CACATGATCCCGATTCATGACTCGACCCATGATCCCGATTCATTACCCGACCCATGATCCCGATTCATGACCCGACCCATGATCCCGATTCATTACCCTGGACCCATGATCCCGATTCATGACCTCGACCCATGATCCCAGATTCATCCGACCCATGATCCCGATTCATTACCCGACCCATGATCCTGATTCATGACTCGACCCATGATCCCGATTCATGAACCCGACCCATGATCCCGATTCATGACCCCGACCCATGATCCCGATTCACCCCGACCCATGATCCCGATTCATGACCCCGACCCATGATCCCGATTCATGAACCCGACCCATGATCCCGATTCATGACCCGACCCATGATCCCGATTCACCCGACCCATGATCCCGATTCATGACCGACCCATGATCCCGGATTCATGACCCGACCCATGATCCCGGATTCATTACAGGACCCATGATCCTGGATTCATGACCCCGACCCATGATCCCGATTCATGACCCCGACCCATGATCCCGATTCATTACCCGGACCCATGATCCCGATTCATTACCCCGGGTACCCATGATCCCGGATTCATTACCCCGGACCCATGATCCCGGATTCATGACCCCGGACCCATGATCCCGGATTCATTACCATCTGATGACATCATTATCATCTTTCTTTTTTTCAGGATTGACAATAGGCTTAAGAATATCGTATACATCTTCAAAGACAACAACGTCATTTTTCTCATGGAGAATTTGTCAAGACATTTAATGGCGCAACACTTTTGAGCAACACTCGCTGTGCCAATGCTTATTCTGATGAAAACTTTAGAATTATGCTCGTTATTCCAGCTACACGTCATGGAGTCGGTATTAATTAAATTGTCTAATCCTGTTTTTTGCCGACAAAAGGATTATGTGTTTAATCTGTCTCTGTTTTAAGTGTCATCTCTAAAAATAGGGATGACATTAAACTTTTGTAACATTATAAATATAGCATGGTTTGGAGGTTCTCATTTAGCAGACGTTGACACCTGATGAGTAGTCTGCCCGAAATGCATAGTGTCTCTTTCTAACTGTAAATAACGGTTCCTTTGAATTGTTTGGTTAGTATTTTGATTAAAACATTTCTTTTAAGAACTATTACATTGTTATTATCACCATTCACCATGGTATTTGCTATTTTGAAATCTATCTTTAAGTTTGTCACCACGACAAAGTCTCTGTTTCATTAATTAAGGTATAACAAAGATACATGTTTAAAGAGGTAATGCCGAATAAAACTAACCTATTTATGATGAACTGAATAACAAATAAATTACTTTTACCTTTGAGGATCTTCAATATAACTGACAAAACCTTCAATAAAATCATTTATGACCTGCAAATAAATAAAATTAATGACATTATATTTAACAAATGGTTGGCAAGGTTGATAAATGTTCATGAGAACCTGAGGATAGTTATGTTTTTTTATGGCTTTTGACAAGTTTCTTTGACACAATGCTTGTTCCACATCTATAAAAATATACAAAATACATCAACACATTTGAATTAGATGTTTAGTAAAAAATGGATGAAAATTTTTACCGAAACAAAAAATATTTCATTTACTTAGTTTATTAGGTTCATCATCATAAGAAAGCTCTACACCACTTCTTGTGACCATTTTCTCAAAAATAGATTGCATATCTCTTTCATAAAGATTTCCATTTTCTTCACCTTTCTTTTGCTTCTTGTTGTTGGACACTAGGAAAAATTGATAAGTTAATTGGAAAATGCAGATTATCTTGCATTTGAATAAGTTGAAAGTGCTTTCATAATTATTGAGGGTTTTCTTCTTCACCAAACTCATTGCTGAGTGTGGTAGACTCCTAACAAAACAATGATATGACTGACATTACACCAGCATAAGTAGAACTGGTGGATGTCTTTGGCAAGTTGATCCATGCATGAAAACTAAAAACAGTTCTAAAAAGGTTTTTTTTCATTTAGCAGTAAAGATAGTTATTATGAATCACCACTAAACCTTACGGAGACTACAGTTTTGGAGAAGTTTGTATCGAATTTTTGTTTAGTCTAACCATTTAACAACTTACCAGAAGAGGACACTAAAACATTCGAATCGGGATTTCTTTTTCGTGATTTAAGCATCGTCGCATGGATTTCATAAAATGTTTTATCATTAGTACAAAGGTGAAAAAAATAAAATTAATTTTTAAAAATCAGACGACCAACGTGCCGCCATATTTGTTCGAACTTCCCGCGCTAAAGGCACTCTGAACGATGGAATATAGCAATTACAATTAGCTGTTCACTGGATTGCAGTTTTTTTTTGAGGGTAGAGGGGGAGTAACTTACAAGTACGCTAGAAGCAGCTATACTATCAAATAATCATCACTCTTGAACTTCGTGCGGTTAAACCTGTAAAATGTTGACTACCCATATATAGAGAAAATTCTCTTCCTAACAAATAATTAAACAATACCAAGAATTAATTCTATTTACTGTATTGATTATCAATATCATTTCTATTTGGCTTCAGCCTTCACAAAAGTCAATTTTCAACGGTTTGTCTACATGTATTTCTTTACAAGGACATCGAGTTTTAAAGTTTTGCTTTTCACATTTTCGTTGTTGTCGTTTCTCAAAATTGCAAGAACACGATACAGTTCGCGAACTTTTTCTTTGTGTTTACTGTCAAGTACGAAACTAGTTCTCTCGACCAACAGCAACAAGTCGTGAGCCAAATCCAAACTTTTCAGACGGATTGCAGCGTATTTCAGATTTTCAAGGCAAGGGTACAGTTCAGAAAAAGAAATCAAAAAAATCTCACCAAGGAATTCTGCATCCTCGTCATCTGATACTTTATTAACATAGCCAATAAGAGCTGAAAGTATGGACAATTGGACTTTCCAAGGATGATTTTTGAGAGAGGACGCAAGTAGATGCAGGATTTCATGTCTCTTTGCAATTTGACGAGATTTATCCACTGGCCAGGCAAACCCAAGACATTCAAAGGAATTGATAAGAAGTTTTACATCTGTGATTTCTTCTTCTTCTTCTTCAGATTTTTCATCATTATTTTCATCTTTCTTTTTTTCAGGATTGACAATAGGCTTAAGAATATCGTATACATCTTCAAAGAGAACAATGTCATTTTTCTCATGGAGAATTTGTCCAAGAGATTTAATGGCGTTCCTCTTGTAGGGAATATTTTGTTTACGACATTCTTTCAAGACAGCATTAGCTATGACTCTGCTGGTATCATCATTCAAAACAGAGTGACATTGAACAAAAACTTTACTCACGCAGTCAACTAGACTTTCTTTTCCATCCCAAGTACGGCCTGCTAGTCCAGAAACAAGAGCAGCAATGATACCATCCAAATGTTGCTTAGGAAAATCTTTATTTAACGTTATGACAATAGTTTGAATGCATTGAGCGGCCTCTACTTTACGTAGCCAAGATTGACCACTCAACAATGTCGTTGTAATGACTATTATTTCATTTAGATATAAGAGGATACCACGGCTTGATACAGGTGTATTTTCAGTCCATATATCGTTCCATGGCGTTTTCTTTCCATCTGCACTTTCTTTCCGATGCATGGCAACAAAGGCAAGAGGTAAGACAGCAGCTGCATGATGGGATATCACATCAGGAGATGATCTCGAGATTTCCTTGCAAACTAAACCACATGCATTTTGTAAAGACGAGCTCTCCTTTTCAAAATACCACGATTTCATTTTCGCAAACAACTTGGAGACGCTGTTATCCTTTGCAACTTTGACTAAAGAACCGATAGCTTCGGCGTACTTCTTACAAATAGCTTGACTTCTGTCATTTAGACCAGACAACAAAGCACTTAGCAACTTGCCAGCGTGAGGTTGTAAATCCTGACCACAATGCTGCACCAATGACACAACAAAACCCGCACAACCCGCCTTCGTTCCAAGACCCAGACCCCCACGTAATAACTCAGTGATACGAGGAACCAACTCAATGAGAACATCAGAATCCACGTGTTGCACGCACAATGATACAGTTTGCATCATTGGTGAAGATTTTGAAAATGATATTCTTGCATCTTCAAGTTTCTCTTGCAAGTCAGCATCTTTATGTACTTGTAAGCTAAGATAGTTCAACTGCTGTGGTTCCAAACCACTCAACGCTTCTAGGAGTGTAGTAACGAGTACAGGAATGTGTGGCTTTAGAAGACTACCAGCGTTCTTACTGATTTTAACGACAGTATCCAAGACAAGCTTGCGTACATCATCCACTCGGCTAGCGATACCTTGTTCCAATAAGACAGGAAGAAGAACTCGGATAGATTCTTGTCCTATTTTCCCCTGATTTACATCACAAGAACGAACAGATACAGATTGAAGTGTTTTACAGGCAACGCTAGCAGCATTTCGAACAGTCTCCTTAATATCGTCCATATCGCGAAGGCACATTGTCCACAGTCGAGGAAGATAACTCATGATTCCATCAAGCGATCGACCATTTAAAAAATTACCAACAGCGACACAACAGGATTGTCGTACACGCCATACTGTGCTATGAAGATTGGCAAGTAACTCATCCAAGATCTCCCCACTGTACTTATCCACAACTTTATGTTGTTCTTTGACGATAGCATGCCAAATACTTAACATCGCTTCACGAACTTTGCTGTTCGGATCAAACTGATATCTATGAACACAATGAATGGTAATTTATGAAGAAAATACGACAAATATAAATTGATAAAATGACAATCATGTTTTACTGGTGACTGGCTAAAAAATATGACAATTTTCTGATCATAAAATATTTCAAAGAGAATATGTTCGTTACATTTTGTAACAATGTCACAGGAACCCAAACATATAATTTAAGCAGTTTTTCCGTTCTATTACCTGTATAACTTTGGAACCAAAGTCTTCAAATGAGGTTCAAGTTCTTTCTTAGCTTGAGCGGCAATAGAGGCGAAACCAAATGCAGCTCCTTTCTTCGAGTTCCACAGAGCGTTATGATTAGCAAGATGTAGAAAACGATAAACGAGTTCTGGTTGATTCATATCACTTGCTAATGAACACAATTCTTTATACGTGGAAAGTTGTCCTGAGTCACCGAGTGGCATCGCGTTATCAAAGAGTTTTGTCTCTGCGGTGATATTTTGTACTTTTTTCTTGTTAAATAACATTGTTTCAACTAAAGATGAGACAATGTCCTTTCGAAATTCCTCTGTTCCATACTCGTAAATGAGGCTGAGTCCTTTAGAAGAAACCTCTTGGACAATTTCATCATTTTCCGACAACATGGCGGAGAAAGCTTTTTGAATGGACGCCATCGTTTCTTGAACGGCACTATGTTGACCTGAGTGTTTTAAAATCACCAATAACCATACACAAGAAGCTTTTCTAACACTTGCTATGTCACTTATGATAAACTCATTCATGATCCTTCCCAGCAACCACAGCATCGTCTTTTTGGTTCCGGGAATTTCATCACTCGTACCAGTCCCCACACGCCATTTACTACGTAAAGCAGACGAAAATCCTCCGGCACCAACGCAAGACAAAGCTTCTCCGACAGTAAATTGAAAGTCGATATCACGTTTACTTGAAGCAGTAGCAAATAGTCTCTCGGCAATTTCATTAACGAAAATAGAACTCTCTTCTCCAATACAGATCATTCCAAGAACTTGGGCAGCTTTTTCTGATAATTTCTGCTCTTTAGAATTATTCAAAATGTGCGTCAACTGATTAATGACATCAGCTTTATTTAGAATTTCTTGTTTGTTTTTATCATTGTTGGAGGTAAGGACACCATCTGGTAATGGCATGGAGCCCTGTCTACACACTTCGCCGGTAGCATCACAACAAGTAAGAACATGATAAGTTGATTTACTTAAAAGAAATTGAATAATCGCTGTAAAAGCTTCTGATATACATTTTGTAATCTTCTCCGCGGTCATTTCAGATACCTCAATATCATCCAGTTCCATCTTTTGTTGATTGTTGAAATTTTCTTTTCCAAGATATTGACCAATCAAATGACCAAGGCAGTTGATCGTTCCACATTGAACAGCGTCTGACGAATCATTAATGGAGGTCATTAAACCAGTGAGCTCTTGAAGAATGATCTCTTTGCCAGATAGACAAATCAAGATGGCAAATATGTTGGCAGAGATGTCACGGATGACACTGTTTGATGACCAAATGAAATTCTTTATCCACGATAATCCAGTTTCATTGAGTTTTGACATGAGATCATCGGGAGCTGACGAGATGATTGCAAGAAGATTCTTGAGTGCAACAGCATGAAGTTCATTGTTTCCAGAGGGTTTTAAAGCTTCTCTTATGAACGCTAAGTATTTATGAATGACAATCACTCGATTCTTAACAATAGTTTGAACATACTTCGAGATAGGAATAAGCTCTCGGTCGTTATCTTCATCTTCCTGGCTAACTTCAGAGCTAAATTTCAAACATCGTTCAAGATATTGAAGGATATTCATGAACACTAAGGGTGAGTGAGGTAAACTGCCAGCGGATGTTAAATAGCTTTGTTTATAACGACCGTTCCCGCCATCGATGCTCTGATGTACAAACATGACCATTTCACAAAAATTTGGGAAAGCGAAGGTATCATTTGGTTGTTTGAGTTGGTTCAGCAGTAAACCACGATTACATTCCTCGCGAATATCGTTTCTAACGTCACCAGACGCTAATAAACACACATAACGTGATTTTACGTGATTACTAGGAAAAAGGATGTTGGCAACTTTTACAGCTGCAAGACGACTTTGAGGATTCTCTTGAGAAACGTTATCTAATATCAATGCTTCAATCAGGGCCAGAGTTTGTGATGTTGCTCGTTTACAGGCTTTTGCAATCATGCTCATTGCTTCAATAATATCCTGACATGTATCAACATCTTTGTTGTTTAATGCTTGGAAAAGATTTTGAAGTACTGTTGCATCTTTATGAAAGAGTAACGGTGATCGCTTTGCAATCTTACCAATAGCAAGAAAAGTAATTCGCTCCGCATCTTCCTCGCCATCATTATCTACAGTCATCTTCATTAAGGTTGACAGAAGTATTGGTGACAAAATTCCCATCACTTTATCTGAACTAAACTCACACAAATGGTGGATAAATTGAATTTTAAATTTCTTAAGCTTATGTTTTGCCTGATTTTTAAACTCAATTTGATCAGCCTGGAAGACAACCTGCAGACAGGCAGGAAAAATATCTGCACACTTACGTGACTTCAAGAGAAATGGAAAGATCTTCAACTTAAGGGAAATGCTGGCAGGTTTACGACTTTCATCCAAGGGAACCTCAGGTTTACCAGGAGGTTGATAGTACCAAGAAAATTGACAATAACCGATTCATGACACCAAAATGTTCCCAATGAGATGAATCCGTGATTCTTTTGATTTGATGGCTGGCATACTCACAAATAGTATGATGACTGTCACCAGTAGCAACAACAAGATGAATAAGGATCAATGGTGCATCAAACAAATCTGATGAAAGAAACTTTAATATTCCAAGTTTGATGGATTCAAGATTATCCAAGTTGATGCTGGTAGACATTAATTGTTGAAATGAAACACGACTAAGGCCAGATGGTACGTCACAATTCTTTGGATCATTGGTTATGGCACCATACGGAAGTATGATAATATCAAGTATAAAGTTTAGGAAAAAATCTTGAATAGCTTTAGTTTTGATTATAACAGAATGTAAATCTTTCATTGTCAAAGATGTATTCTCACCACAAAACATTGCCAGCACAGGAATTGCCAATTGTAATAAACACATTTGCTGTGGTTTTGGCTTTCCTTGCATACTTGAAAACAACCGAGGAAGATACATCAGTTGATTATCGGGATTCAGACGAGGATAGCCCATCTTTAAGTATATAATAGTAAAGTTTCTTACAAACATGGTGCATTTAGGATCCTGATATTGTAGAAACAACTCCTCCATTGGAAGTTGAACGCATTCACGACTCTTTAAGATGCGATTTATTTGAGCAAGGAGTTCCAACACTTTTTTCTTTACATCTTCGTTTCGACTTGCCAGTTTCAAAAGTACCGGTGTTAAGAATTTCTTCATGAATTCTTCGAGTTGATGATCCGTGCCAGCATTACCAAGACGCATGAAAACTCTCTCGAGTAGTTCACTTTCATTTGCTTTATTTTCTTCCATTTTTAAACAAAATAATTTTTAAAATTTCTACGGTTATTTTGACTTCTTGTTCTTGGTGGTTCGTCAGCAAAAACGAAAGACTTCGTGTAAGATTGAGCTAAGTGGTTACTTGTCTGTTGTGTTTTATTCAGGGCGGCCCTCTCGTGGGGCCCGTGCAATATTTTCAGCGCGGGACCCTTCTCCCTCCCTGGCCGGCAAAAATTGATATTGTCCAGAAATCAGAAAGATTAAAAAATAATATGTATACCATGATGTGCAAAAATATCTGTATGTTAAAACAAGAACGTATGTACAATAATTTAAATATTTGAACTGTCATCCAACCCAGCCGAAATCAATAACATTGGTTGACAATACAAAATAAAACAAATTCCGAAGAGGGGCATCTCGTTTTCTTGATATTCAAGATATTACAAGAGTTTGAAACAAAATAATGTGTAATATTTCGTCCTTATTACACATTATTTTGTTTCAAACTCTTGTAATATCTAAAGCAACAAAGGATTGCCATATTTGGGCAGGAAGTCAAGGAAATGTTGACTAATTGTAAACTTCCCCATTTTATGTGTCATAAGACATTGTCTTTGTTTACATTAATATTGTGTGAAATTCAATGATTTTTGATATTTAGTCACGAAGGACAGTTGTCAATAGTTATAGATTGACAGGATGGCGAAACTTCCTTGTATGTTTTTCTTTTTATCGTTCGTTTATGCTGACATATACATGCACAATCCCAGGTACGCTAAGCATCGGTTTAACACACTTTAACAGTTTAATAATCTACTTTACTAAAGATGTATGGTTATATACTTGCTAATATAACACGTTAGGGGGTTAAAGAAATGCAATGCATTTTGTAGGGGGTCCAATAATAGATTGGACGAGGCCAAAAGAGAAAGAAACAACGCCAATAGGTACATTCTATATTTTATAAATGAGTCATTTTTGTAAGTCGTCATTTCAATTAAACGTCACGTTATTTTTCAGATTGTTTGATTCACAAAACAACAATCGTGGCGGTTATAATGTTGGTAGTTTGTATTATTATGCAGGATCAATTTTATCTGTGGAATGGTAAATAAACTACTTCATTTATATATTACACAAAATTTATAATTTTAATGAAGTTTATTTTTGGTTTAATATTGTATTTATTTCTCAGGACCAATCAGCACTCGTGTGCAGATCAAAACAATAACTGTGAGATCATTTTACAGTATATGTGTGGTGATTTAGTCAGAGATGGTACTACAACACGGTATATGTTTATTTTAAACCTTTTGTGTGTACCTTAAAAGCACATGTTTAAGATCTTCACTGTGAAGTTTTTCAACTTGGATTCCATGACTTTGGGATGCAGGTTGATTTTCAGAACCATGGAAAGCCACAGTTATAATATACAAGTGTATTTACATGTAATGATGCTTAAATCTTACTATTTCCTAACTCCTCCCCTCCATTATCCTGTCGTGACAAACTAATGTTCACCATACCTTTTATTTCAGGACGATTCCAGAAAATCCAGTACAATGTAAGAACTATAACTGCAACAACGACAAAAAGTAAGTAAATTAACAATTATTAACTTACTAGTACCTACAAACAGTAAAGTATAAATTTATTTTAGATTTGGAATGCATGAGGATTCTGATTACTATAAGAAATGTCATTATCGTATTCGAAACAGAGGATTATTCACTGCTGATCAGGTATTTTTCCATCTTTCTCTTTTTGTTACTATATATGTAAATAATCCCCATTTCTTTCATGTAGAACTTAAGGAAATTTTCTGCTCGATCTACCCGACAAAACCCTGGAGGTACGAGACGTGGTTATGAATGCCCCGAAGAACGTGATTACTATCCGTATTGGCATCCATCACCATGGAAAGTCAGTTTCTTTCTCATCATTGAGTGAAAGAAAAAACAAAATGAGATTGCAAAATATTTTCATTTTCACCAACATTAGGATATCGCTGTCCTTACAAACAATGCTACAAGATGTCCGTTTTATGAGAGAGAAAGTGAAAATGTCAAAGGCCGATATGAATGCGAATTACCACATGGCTTTTTAAATAGTCATAGAAACAGGAGAAAGGGAATACCAAATAATGAAGAAGACTGTCATGTATGTAATGAATTCATATTTTCATAAATTATTGTTAAAGACAATAGATAAAATACTGTTGTAATTGTTTTACTTTAGAAAATAAAATATAGTTTCACCTCAGCTCAGTTTCCCAACGGTACAACTGTCAATGGTACATGGGTTCAACGACCATCACATAATCTACCACCACCAGAGTGTCGTGAGAATGATTGGTCACGTGACAATCACCTTGGTAACGGTATCGATGGATTTCCCAATACATTCAACTGGACACTACCTGATATAAATGAGAAACATTGCGTGCTAAGGATAAGGTTAGATGCTTACAATATTAACACTCAGTTGGCATTTCCTCCCTGAATAATATGGTCAAGTATACTCAAAGAAATTGTTCAAAAAACTATGGTTATTTGACATTCACTGAACCTAAATTACAATTTTTACAAACTTCATGACTTTTTCAAAAATTCTATCACCTCTAATGCCTTAAGGTACAACATATCCACTGGGGATTTTGAGGGATGGAACAGCAGTGTAAACGCGTCCTATAATTCACGACCTGTGACGAAACTTGACGTTGCTTCACGATTTGGTTTGGATGAAGATGAAGCTAAGAGGAGAGGTTATGTTTACAAACAAAATCCGCAAGTTAAAATATTTGGAGAAGACGGCGGAGATTTTAAACTTCGACTCGCTATTAATACCAACCAGTTTGGACGCGTCTTCCAAGATAGGTAATATTGAATAAGACGTTCAACAAAATCTGTTCCAGAATCCAGGATACGTTGTAGGTATCAGAAATCTTCTCTTGGGAATATCTTAGTGGAAATAATCTCCGTTTAGGTCGCACACCTTTGGAATTAGAACTCGACCGTCAAATCTTGAAGGAAAAACTATTCATAATCTTAACGTAAGAGGAAAACGCGGTAACATTGTTCAGGTTTATCCTGCTGTTGAGTACGACTTTGTTCCAAACAGAAAAACCATTAAGAATGGCGATTATCTTCATTTTCAGTAAGTCATGCACTACATGTTTGGGTTTTGAGTCACTTGATTGGTGACTTTCCAATTCCTAGATAATATAAAATTTCTCCCGTAGACACACAATATTTAACGATTATATACAAAATGAATATGTATCAACTTAAACAAAACGTTGTACCACAATACACACAGCATATCACTTACCTTTATTACACAACATCACACAATGTTACCGAGGTACCGACATGATCACAAACATTTTTATCAACAATAGATGGACAGGTTCAAATACAAATCCAAACAACAACGATGGACAAGGAAAAGCAGGCACCGATAGAAATAATGTTATTTTACTACGTCCACCGCAATATCCTGAAACAACGCCAAAATCAGGAACATACGGTCATTGGGGGAATAATTATCCTCAGCATTTAGATGAAAGTGTATTTCTTGGATTTAGCAGAAAAGATCTCCAACATTTGAGCATTCTTGATAACGGTTTGTATACAGACGATATTTATTCATCCTGTAAACTCAGGTTATAAACATCAAAGATCGTTTCTTACAATAATTGAGCTTTTTGAGCTCTGGGAGTGGTGAAAATAAGACTAGCTCTTAACTTTCTTTCCGTCATTTTTAGTACAATACGGTGGAGAGATGTCCGAATTAGATGACGCAGGTACTTACTTTGACTTGAGTCCTAGAAAAGTGACAAGAAATGGCATATTTCATTATATGTGCTCAAGAAATAACAATTTTTCAAACCGCGGACAAAAGGGCAAAATTGTTGTTAGTGATGCGGAAATTGTTGGCAAGAAAATCGGTTGGAATGGAGGAAATATCACCATTGGTGAAAGGTAGAGCATTGACTTAACTTTCATTTCATATTTTTTTATCATACGCGAGTCCTAAAGGATTATTTAATTATCTTTGCAGTAATGCACAGGGTATTTGGGTAAAACGAGGTACCTTTCAAAAACTTCATGATATTTCCCTCGAGGAATGGTCCAAAAACGATGGTGAAGCTAGGGTTAAAGCGATGGGTATTTCTGTTGATGTTGGTGACAGTTATGCAAGTGATTTCCTGGTCATTCATCCTCAGGAGAAAATTACGTCTGATGGCAAAAAATTCTCAGTTACTCTCAAAGTCGACTCGAGCATCTCGGGAACGGTAACTGTTTACAAAGCGAATAAAAATAATCCAAGATGGAGAAAAGTTGGCGCTCATATGAAAGATGGAATCGCGACAATGCAAGTTGATTCAGGTATTCCATCACTATTTCTCCCATGATGTACACATAAGTAACAAACAAAATTATAAAAAAGACACTGTCTCACCTGATTTTATCCTTCATATTTATATTTATTTAACAAGGTGGGATAATAATGGCTCGTTCTGCTCCAAATGTTGGTCTTATTGTTGGTGTCGTCGTCGCCTGCGTCATAGTTGTCGTCATCATTATTGGTACGATCGTATACTGTCGTAAACACCCGCAAGCTTGGATAAACACAAAACGTACATTCACGAACTGTAACCGATCTTTAAAACGTTCAGTATAGCGAAGAAACATTTGTAGCATGACACGTATCGCTAGTAGCATCTCACCTGTTAAATTTCTTCATGACATTCATCTTTTTATAAACATAATATTTTCGTTGACATCGATGTCTTGGCAAATTGTCGAAATCATTTTCAGCCATCTGTAATGATTATTAATTTGATATAAATATAAGTGAAATTGTGGACGACATAAAAAGATTTAACTTATCTTCCATTCAGCTCACAGTGTACCTATCTCTCAAGATAACTAAATATGTTTATATATAATACACACGATCTATCTTTGTATGAACATTCATTTCCTTGAATAAGTGGACTAAAAGACAGAAACGACGATAATACTTTTTCATGTAAGAATTGTAAAAAATTTTTTCGTATTAAACATATCTTTCTCAATGCAAATAATACATAATAAATTATCAATGTGAAATATACACAACGTTCCATCTTGTTCCTGAAAACAAAACAGACAAAACTTATTGTTTGTTTATATGTGAATAATCAACTCTTGTCCTGCAAACTGTTAAGACTCTAATCTGTACAAATTTACAAATCGTTCTTTTAAAACCAGATTTAGTCATTCAGTTGACAAAGTAAGGCTGTTCCTTTAGCAATCCAAAAATCTGAAGGTTTATTCGATGGAAGATGGACAGCTATGACAAAATTAGTCGAATGACCTAAAAGTTAAAATAAAATCACGTTTTTAAAATTAAAATGGCTTTCGAACCACACTGAATAAGGTTGAACTATATAGTTGAGCTTTATGTTTGATATTTTAAAATTAAAATGGCTTTCGAACCACACTGAATAAGGTTGAACTATATAGTTGAGCTTTATGTTTGATATTTTAACATTAAAATGGCTTTCGAACCACACTGAATAAGGTTGAACTATATAGTTGAGCTTTATGTTTGATATTTTAACATTAAAATGGCTTTCGAACCACACTGAATAATGTTGAACTATAGAGTTGAGCTTTATGTTTGATATTTTAACATTAAAATGGTTTTCGAACCACACTGAATAATGTTGAACTATATAGTTGAGCTTTATGTTTGATATTTTAACATTAAAATGGCTTTCGAACCACACTGAATAATGTTGAACTATAGAGTTGAGCTTTATGTTTGATATTTTAACATTAAAATGGCTTTCGAACCACACTGAATAATGTTGAACTATATAGTTGAGCTTTATGTTTGATATTTTAACATTAAAATGGCTTTCGAACCACACTGAATAAGGTTGAACTATATAGTTGAGCTTTATGTTTGATATTTTATCACAAATGATCATTGTAACGTCAGTAGTTAGGTCTTTATAGAAGTGGAACTGTCTTATTTAATAAGTAAACTTCGATACATTCCTACATAAAAGACTATATACTTTACCTGTCGTGGACAATACTCCTGCTCTTGCTGATGTCTTGTACAGAGGTGAAATATATTTTGTATTGTCAGGAACAAAGTTTAATTCTGGTTGCAAGTGAAGAATCGGCAATGGCTGAAAATAGTTGAGCGTAAAGTAAAAAATACATATAACATCAGTGAAACTACGATACACATCTACAATCTACCGGATTCATTTCTGCTGGCAGAGCGTCCACTAAGACCATTTCTTCATCATCCCATCTGGCTGCATCGATAAACAATCCATGGACATAAACTCCATCTTCTAAAAGAGGAGGAAGGTTTGCCTCAATGACCTCCTCGTCACGTGACTCGATCATCTCGCTGAACTCTTCCTGGTTGCAATATTTCGACTGGACTGTGAAGCGGAATGATAACTGGTCGATCGGTTGATTGTATTTTCTCGCATGATTCTGTAAAGCGCCGGTGAGGAAACCTGGGGATAGCGTGGAACACGTTACAATACATAAAGTATTTATATATATTATCAATGAAAACATGAATACCTTGTGGAAAGAAGAACCCAGATATCCATAAAGATCGCGGTAGTCCATGAACCATCCATTGCTTGAATGAGAAATTTTTTATGAAAGTGAATATCTCGCCCTTTATTATCGTAAATTAAAATCCAAAAGTTCGACACGTTTAAAAAACTAAATACGACATTGTGTGATTTCTTCAAATTCACTATGACATTCAGTACTATGACAACTTACGAAAATAAACGTTGTGCGCATGACAAGATCCTTGACCCAAGATCCTAGAGGTTTTAACGATGGATATGCAGCATTTGACCACATTTCAGGAACCTAAACGAGATTTTACAGAGCTTTTATTCTGTGTACACTACTTAGATAGGAGATCATCTCTGAAAATAGTTTTCCTCACCTGGTTATTTAGGAAACATGTATAAACTTTATCTAACTCAAGCGACATTACAACGAAACCTTTAATTGCTTTCTGTAATTGTTGTAATGACACCTTTATAATCTTGAGAAGTTTATTGAAACGATCGACTTCTTGAATAAGAACTGTTGTCAGTGAATTAACTCGACCGTAGCTATCATGCTGTCGAAGGAAAAATCATCTTTTCAATAAAATGACGAGAAACACATAAATAACATTGACTATAAGTTTATTATTCTAACCGACCTGAAATAATGCTTTATTAGCTTTGTCCATGTCAAGATTATCAGGAAGTTTTCCAAGTATGTTTTCGGCAAGTTCATAAACTATCTCATCGCTTGTCTTTCCTCCACCACTACTTACCATTCGAGGTTGAACATCGAGGACAGTAAGTATCAAAGATTGCGTTTCTTGACTCTGATTCATAAAGAGACAAATATTCCACAATGAATGTTTGAGATACATCACAGTCTCTGTCAACTGAGTACAGATCATATTCACAATAACAAAGAACTCTACTAAACTAATAGTAATCACAGGAATGTTGGTTTGAAATGATGACAATTAAAGCACAATATTAACATACTATAGGTATAAAACATGTGATTTCCAGCGTTCATTTAAGTGGACGCTAACATAGTAATGGAAGATATTTATCAGAAAAAGCATTAAAGCACTTGATCTTGGTATTTTTTCAAATGATAATGAATCAAGAACAAACCTGAAAAGCAATATTTGCGTTCTCATTCATACCAAACACTTCAGGTTCGTCATTCATCGGAAGATTGTCGATAAACTGTCGATATTCCTGGAGGGTATCATAATCCGGTGGGTAATAAATACCTGTAAGAACATTGAAGTATGGATAAGTAATGACTTCATGTAAATTAAGGAACATCAATGGACTTCATACCGGAGTTTGAAAACTTGTACGCATCATTCAAAATTTCTGGTGCAAAAAATCTTCTTAATACAGTACGTAGACATCTCTGATCCCAGGCATCAGTAACTCTTCCACCATATGTTATCTGCAATAAATAATCATATGATATTGAATTTTTCTCAATATTGTATAGAGATGAAATAAAAATTATCTTAATGAACGTGTGTACTCACTTCACCAGTAATAAAAACCAGCGCATCCCAAGGAATCTTTGATTCTTTTATGAACATTTTTAAAGTATCTAAACCACATTCTCGATCAGAGTCATTAAACTCGTACTGTTAAAAAAAGATGACAAAGATGTTCAAACACGATAGAAAATGGATTTATATAAATCAATACACAGCTGTAATACTTTCAATCTTAAAGTAAGATCTACAACAAATTATGTAGGAGAATGAAACGTTAACATGGATACCTTTATATTCCAGCCCAGAGGACCGAATTTCTTTCTTTCTTGAATAATGGCATGGAAGAAACAAAGACCAAACACGAGTTTTCGCCATGAAATACCGAGTTCTGATGAATTGAAAGAATGAGTTACGTATAAAGAACAGCCATAAAATATGGACCTCGATACAATAAAAGAGAAATCGTCGTTAATAAAAGCTTACCATGATTCTCAAAAGGATCCGTACCCAATTCACCAAACGCTCGTTTTACATTTGCTCTCAAACCTTTAGGTGGTTCATTTGTTACTTTAACACTGTTCTGAAGTACTGTCACTGGAAATACCTTTGTTGGCATAGAACTGAGAAACAGTCGGAAATCTTCGTGAACTTCGACCTCTCCCGATGATATGGCTTTGACAAGGGACTCCATTCTTAACATCCACGACGCAGCAAGGTGACAGTTCTTAGAAAAAAAACCATCAAAGTTAAATTAAATAAAATGTTTTTCTATTAAATTTTTCATCATATCTTTTGAAATACCTGTAAGAAAACCCAGTCTCCAGATTTCAACGCAGCTTTGATCATTTTCTCGGCAACAGGCCCCTGTCCCTGGCCAAGCGATATAGCTTGCACCCTTAAAAGGAAATGACATATGTACTATAAAAGAATTTTTGTAACAAAAATCATTTCCAAATTTAATGGTTTTCTTACCTTTCAGTGTAAGCCATTTCTTTGGCAAACCTTAAGAAAGCGTTCATAGGATCTGAGCCCGTAGACAAAATAAATACAAGCGGTATATTTGATGTCATATTTTTGTAAAGTAACGAGAGATCTGTGTTGGGACTTTCAATGAAGACTCGTCCAAGATTGGTTGATACAAATTGACTGACCGCAAATACAACCTGAAGCAACAAGTACATATTGAGTTGAAGATTTAGTTGAAGTACATGCATGTGTTAAAAGTCAGTTACATATTGGTAGTGATAACGGTATTGGGATGTACCATGATGGTAAAGATGATGATGGGATATGATGGAGTACACAGTGGTAATGATGATGATGATGGGATATAACGGAGTACGTATTGGTAGTGAAGATGGAGTGGAATGTGATGGAGCTCATGTTGGCAATGATGATGGACGTGGGATATCATGGAGTACATAGTGGTAGTAGAGATGGTCGAGGGATATGATGGGGTACATATGAATACGTTAACCTTTTCTTCTCGGAAACTTTTGATCAAAATGAGATTTTCAAAATCCGTGAGTTTAAAGTCATCCGCACCATCACTGGCCTCTGTGTAGCTTTCCCATTCAAGAGGATTGATGTTAACCTAAATACCAAAAAAATACCAATAAAATCACGACATTGATGTACTACATTATACATCCGTATCCATACAAATACGTCTATTACCTCTAGTGATCCAATCTTTCCAACGAGAGGCCTTTTTGTAATCAAAACTTTCAAATCTTTGAAGGATAAATCCTCCTGCGTAAAGAAAATTGCTTCTATGAATGAGTGAAATCAGTGTTTTTCTTCTACAGATATTTTAAAATCGTCACCTCCAGATCACAACAAGAGTTCCACATATTATCAGTCAGCCATGAGATTTCTGGCTTGGGAGGTCTTTCCTATGAAATCACGATACAAATATAAATCAACAAATGTTGTCATGAAACTGAGGCTATATACGCCAATTCATAACTGCATCTTATTGTTAATGACAAAACCTGTTATTATACATTAATTTTACCCTCTCAAGTGAAGCAGATCCACGAAGGAAATAATTCCATTCATTGTTTGAAATAACACCTCGTTCTCGTAAAATTTCAGCACACAACATGAATGAAAAGACAATCTTATGTCTCTCAAATAAGCCCCTAAAAATGTAAATTAAGAGATTTAAATTCCTCGGAAAGCCACACTTCTCTTCACCCTTAAAGAGAGACTTTGTACAATGAAATGTCATGGAATGGAATAACAAAGTATGATTAACTAGGACAATGAATAAATGTTAAAATACCTAGAGACGTTTTCAAATACAGTGTTCGTGCAGTTGTCCAGAAGAATTTGTAGACGTTTATCCAAATCATCAGATTTTTCACTTTTTTCAATACAAGTATTGAAAAGCTGGAAATTGATTTAGAAAATAGGTATCGGTCAAGTATGCGTTGAAAGAGGTTATAGATTACAGACATATAAAGATTTTACTTTAATACCTGAGTAAAATACTTGAGTGAATATTGATACATTGGATCGACTTCAGCTAAACTAGCAACAACAAAATACATGACAGAACCACGGGTCGCTACAGGTCTGTACTTTTCTCTTGCTGTAGAGATATTTTGTTCTGTTTTTTCGGCTTCAACAAGACGAGTAGAAATAACACCAGATGTTACCTATCATTTAAACATAAATCACAGACGTGAAATTCTACACAAATTTAAGTCATTTCCTCGCAATATTGAGGTCAACACAAGTTTATTTATGCATTACTTAAGAGGCTTCAGAACAAAGTTGAGTTGAATCCTATAATGTGCACTTATATCCATTATTGTACCTTTGACTCATTCAATGTATTTATCAAAACTTCGTCATCAAGAATATTTCCTTCAGAATGAAATAACAGTTTCAAAATTCGATCTTCAATCGCCTTGAGTTGATTTTTGTCCGAGTTGATTCGCACGATCAGTTGATTGCGTTGTTCTTCCAAATCTGGTCGCTCCAAACGAACAACATCACTATAAAGAAACACACATTCAAACGAACAACATCACTATGAAAAAACACAAAAATTAAACAGAAGCATGTGTGTGATGTAAATAAACAATAAAGAACATGACTTACCCCAGTAGTTGATCTTCAAGACCAGATCTCGTCACAGTAAAGTTGATAATTGTTACTTTAATACAAACTTCGGGCAAATAATGAGGGTTTGCCATCTTGCTTGTCATGTAAAACCTATGTCCCATTTAATGAATGAATGAAAGAAAATAATCATTAGAAGGAAGAAACAAAGACTTAAATAATGCAATGGAACAATTGAAAATCCTCAGAAGTGGATATAGGTATAAATTCAAAAGCAAAATATAAGTACACTACAAAAGTCAATGACTATGATGAAGAAAATTACCGGAAATTTTTGTCGTAATCAATGTCGCTATCTCCAAGTCTTATAAGTAAACGTCCACCCTTCAATAGAAAGATGACATTCGTTAGACAGGCAAGGGAAAATCGTCAAAAGTTAATTCATTGTTTCATATACCTCACCTGGACAAATGTTTGTTTTAGTAACACGGGTTCTAACGCAGGATCTAATGTTTCTTCCACCTAAATATGGAGAGATGATGACAGATAAAATAATAATTTCATAGTATTAAGAAAATTTCCAGCGAGAAATTTAGATACTCCAAGAGTACAATCCCAGCAAGAAAAATACATTTTTCATCACAAATACACTCTCCCACCTCCTCAAGAAGGACAGGCATTCCAATACGAATACAATTTTCTAAAGTTCGTAGATAATTGCCATCAGTTAATTTGATCACTTTTAATCCGTTTTTTGCTTCCTTATTACGAATCCAACGATTTGCCTAAAAATTTACAGTCAAGAAAATGTACGCTTGTGAAACAACAAAACGTGAATAACATGAATTAGCTGAAAGCTCACTTGATCTTGTGGGTCAATCATCAAAGGCCAACGTCGGGCGTTCTTTACAAAAATAGCATTGTCAATGGACACCTAAAGAAGATAAATTTTATGAAAAAATTAACTCGAGTTTCAGCACATAAAATGCTTAATTTCATTTTCTTCTTCAGTCGTTAACCCACACCATAAAACGTGAACACCATAAAACACGAAACATCGCTGTATTAAAGTATAACAACATTAACATACGTTGTCACGTGGTAATCCATCAGCATTCCACTGCCGTATTTCAAAGGGATCAGCAAGCACATTAACGAGCGTGAAGTTCTCAGAAACTGGAATCTGAAGTTCTGTACACTTTCCAATCCATTGTGATATAAGCTAAACCAACAAAAATATTTTCACGAAAACATAAGAAGGACTGTTTTTGTTGTTGTTGACTGACGTTTCGACAACCTTAGCGGTAGTCATCTTTTTTTTTGACTGTGAAGATGACTATCGCTAAGGCTGTTGAAACGTCAGTCAACAACAACAAAAACAGTCCTTCTCAGGACTTTATTAACCTGGACGATCTACATTTACAAACAGTAACGATACTCCCGGGTTCAAACCATTTACTTTAATGAATTATACATTACCTCTTCCCTGTAAACAAAAGTAAATGCTCCGTTATAAGCAACACATGCAGCAGCAATGAAAACGTTTCCTACGATGTTACCAATCTCCACTTCAAATGCCTGTCATTAATAGTAGAAATTGAACATAAATAAGCGATAAATGCAGGTGATTTTCAACTTGTTCTTTCAAACACAAACCAAGTGATAAAACATAACAATAGTTAAGTTAACGAAGACAACTTACAGCAATGTTTTCCGTCCATCTAACTTGTTCATCACTTAATGCTGTCGTCAGCTTTGATGCTCGTTTTAAACGCGCGGCTGTCTGAGCAATATTTCGTGTAAGTTCTTCTTTTTCAGCAACACTATTGTCATATAGCGCCTGCAGTTCGGCAATCTAAACAGTATTCAATAAGTCGTACATTAAACTTCATGTAATATTACCCAAACATCATTAAAGACAACTACAAACCTTTCCTTCAACTTCTGCCAGTTTTGCTTGTTTTTCATGCAGAGTTGCCATGGTTATTTCAAGTTCTCCACGTGCAGCAGCAAGCCTTGTTTGTAAAAAGAAAATTTTTAATGTCACGGGCAAGCACAATGAAGTTACACGAAACATTCTCGTACGCACCTCTGTCGTTTGGGTTCTACAGTTTTAAAGACCTTGGCGTAAAGATCACAGGCTCTTACCCACATGACCATAGACTTGCAAGCCTAAAGATTTGAAAGCATTATCAGACGTACAATAAAACTGCAGTATGTTAACTCTTTCTTAACTAGAATATTTTCTTTATAAATTTATTTTGTCTTCATGGGTTCTCTTCACTTTTACACAACGCACACTGATCTTTCATCAACATAAGTACATTTATCAATAATTGCTCAAAATACACGTATCAAAAAACCTTTGAAGTTTTCTCAACGATTTCTGGTACAAATTTCGGATTGTCCATATATTTTTTCAACTTTTTTAAAGTCGAGTCTGAGATATTATCCTGAAATAAAAGTCATACAAGAAATCAAAAAGCAATTGATTTAAAGTTAATGACGCTCTAACGTTTTTAAATTGTTACTTTATCAAAATCAATCAACCGCTTTAAGAAGTTCGAGTCACCAAGAAGAGTCTTTGACGTTGCCCAGTCCGGTCTACAAAGATTAACAGTCATATTTCATATGAAGATATTCTGACAGTCAGTTTATTTTATTCACATACATACTTTGCTCCCAATAAAATACATATAGACTCCATCACTGTCATAACCATTTCTGGAGGTTTTGTAAAAACACGAAGTTCTGAGATGTCAGATTTATCCAAGGAATCCAGAGCCTACAGCAAACATTGTTATGTTAATCAAAAAATCTTCATAATTTATTCTTACGTCAATCTGTCATTTGTATCCTACAATGATCCCAATTTATCCTATGTGTCCTTCATGTCAATCATACAGTTGCTACATTTCACCTTATTGGCAGCATGTAAAGCCGGTAAAGCTTCGTCTAAATCTCGTTGAGCTTCGGTAGCAATCGCCTCGGTCTCGGCAGCTTTTTCTTTAGCGGCACTCTCGTCAACCAAGACAACCTTGCGAACCTAAAGCACAAAAATCGTTTATATTTTCATCAATATATAAATCCAAAAGATGAGTGAAAATAATCATTATAATGACAGAATCATTCGATATTATCATCATATAAAAATAACAGTAAAGACTCACCTTATCAGCTTCCTCCTGATCAACTTGTAACTTTTCCATTAATTTTTCTGTATCCAAAGACTTTTGTTTAAGTTGTGGTTCAAGAGCGACCAGTTCAATCTGGAAAAAAGACAGCGTGTGTCATCACGTAGTCTGTCATGATACTTTTTTAACACGTCATTATGAAAGGACACCACGGATTATAATGTAAACTTTAGAATGACGCGTGGTTATACCTGCATGTTATCAACAAGTTCGTTTGTTTCAAGTAACTTTTTCAAACCATTCTTTACACGATCACAAGCACCAACTAATTTCCTAAAAAATGAAAATGAAAAGTTTCAGTATTTTTTTTTTTCACTATTATCTACAACATAAGAAAACCAGGATCAGGAAATTCATAAATACAAAAGTTATCAAAATAACGGGAAGTGGTGCAACGTAATCCTATGATCTTTTTAAAAACACCTCTACAAAAATATTGACTAACTTTCTCCTGTCTTCAAGCATTGTCAGATAAAGATTGATCAACTCCAAATAACTGGTCGGTGTTGTGTAGTATCGTCTGCGCAACTCGTTATAAAATCTCTCTGCTGTTTGAGTCACGCTAATATGAGTCTCCACACACATTTCAGATACGCTTTCCTACAGCAAGGCACGTGACATAAAAACAATGAGAAAATTTCCACATTTCTATTTAATAAGAGAAAAGAAACTGCTAAACTTTACCTTTATGTCATCGCCGCCCAGTTCAATTTCTTCAAAGAAACGACAGGCGACAGAAAACAAAGCTTCTCTATAGAAAATTAAAGAAAGTTTTAAGGAAAGCTTAAGTAGACGGTATTATCTTATGTAGCAAAGTTCACCCACCATGAATGCAATCAATCAAAGACATAAAACACAGAGTTCCATGAAGAGTAATCTAAATAAACGTTTCTATAGCTACCTTGGCCATTCAGTGAACCAATCTATGGTACAACAATTCACCAGCGACGGAAACATTCGACAACGTGTTCGGAAAGCCTCGCCAACTGGACTCATACACAGTACCACGTGAAGATTGTTGCGTACTTGACTAATGAAATAAGCAAACACGCCATCGCGGTCATTCTCCTCTATACCAGCATCCTTTGCAGCGGGACGTGTTCCCGCCAAAACTTTTTCATATTCTTCGGGTTCAAAAAGATTGGGAACCTATAAAACATGACACAAACGTGACTGGTGTATTATGATGTTATTACAATGAATTCATTGTATATTTAACTAACTAAGACAGGTATATATGCAGTAAAACTGTCATTATCTTATCACATTGTCATTACAAACCTCGCCTGAATTGAGGATATTGTTAATATCTTCAAGGAATTCCTCCACAACAATCTAGATAGATCATAAAAGAAAAACTTTCGTGAACAATAAATAAAAAAACACTTAAGACGTACGACAGAAAAAATGAAAATGATCTAAATTGTCAATTTAACACTTTACTGTGTTTGTGTATCAGTGAAAATCATACATATGTAGAAATAAGTGTTATATCTCGGTATAAGAGGTTGTTGTGCTTGTGTAAGACATAAAGTTATACCTGTGTATCAGTGAAGAGAAATACTGTATGCCTTTTCTCTAGACCAGCAGAAAAATAAAGCTGTTTAAGATCTTCACGAAAAGCTGAATAATCGTATCCTCTTGTCAATTCAATTTGATAACATTTAAAGCCAGCCATATGAGCAGCTAGTCTAAAAAAAACAATTTAGTTCATTATGTAAGAAGCAGCAGAGTGGGAGTGAACTTTCCCTTAGGACTGGGAAGGAGTTGAGCGTCATTACACGTTGATTACGTTGTTCATAAGTCTAGATTCTATACCTTGTTAAACTCTGTTTCCCAGTCCCTCCAACACCAACAAGCAGCGCATTACCTCTTGGTTGACGTACCATACGGGATATTCTAAAAAAAAGTAAATGATGTAAGACACCACTAGGCATGTCGCGTGATATGATTGAGTCAACACGTGCCTACCTCGTGACGTGTTGAATAGCGTCCATAAAGAAGACAAGTCTCATTTCTTTTGATGAGTTTAAATTGAAATCATCTAAATACTGAAAGATAGAATGCAGAATTTGACTTTCCATTGCGTGCATCTACTAACTCATGAAATAATACATACGTCATTTAAGATGATTTGTAATTTCGTCATATCTGCCAGTTCTTCGTACATTCGGTCCGAAGGCTCAGCTCCCATCTTCATGAAATCACCAAATAATATGGGCTTCGTTTCAAACATCTCAGGATCAACGTTCTGAACGATGGAGATAAGTTGCATAAAACAATAACTTGGATTTAACCAATACTTCCAAAGACATGAATTTATAAACATTTCCATTTATAACATAAATAAAAGAGCACGTTCACACGATCTAATTTGAACCGATCCAACTCCCTTCCACAGATATTATTTAAAATGTTAACCAGTATATATATTGCATTGAAATGAAAATAAGATATTGTACAGCTGTTGTCAACAACGTTGTTTTATTCAAAAGATCAGAAGTGATACAGACGTCAAGAAATTGAATTGCTCACTCAAACATCAAGAAATGTTAGCAAACCTTTGAGAAATGTTTCTGGGACATCTCCGCGAGAATTGTATTGAAGTATTTCTTATCCTCGTGATTGATAAGACGATCGTGAAACACTCGTTGAGCTTCGTGGCAAAAAAGACGAAATATCTGTGAGTAATCTCGAACTGTGCCTGGATCTGCCTGAAGAACACCTGATGAATATATAAGATCATTAAAAACATTAATCATTCACCATTTCACAAAGGAAAAAAATAAATACAAGAAAATATTACCTTGAATACACTTGGAAAGATCTCTTAAGTTAAATATGTAATGCGATTTTGCAGGAGTTGGAAGTAGATCTGTGCTCATTCGTAAATAAATCTCAACACTAAAGAAAATATAACAGATTGAAAATATTCGTAAATAAATATGTTTTCTATAGTTAATGAAGGATATTTTATACCTAGAGGCAACAATTGCTTCAGCAGCTGTTCGTACTTCATTCGGAAACTCCGTCAAGAATCCAGAAACGATGGACTAAAAATCGAAAATATCATTCTTGACATCCTTACTCGATACTCAAAAATATTTTTTGCCTTTATTTGAGACTGCGTGATTGCTATTTTTTTACCTTAAAAATATGTGTCAGTGTGTGTTCAGCAGAAGTTGGGATTGAGAACATACTGAAATGACGTATAAACCGGGGGGTAACAGGATTCCTGCCACCACCAGGAGGGGCACATGCTGCACAAATGATTACATCCTATAAAAGACAATTTATCATGATATACATAAAGTATCATACAGCAAGTCGTTGAAAAGTTGAGCAACCTTGATTTCCTTCCAAAACATTTTCTCACGATCATAAAATCCCTTAAAATCTTGGTACTGTCGGAGTAACTCCACTGGAGGCTGGGCACCATATGTATCCAGTTTAGGCATATTGAGATCATCAACAAATATGACAACTTTCTTTCCCGAAGGTGCTCCTAAAGAAATGCTGATCTTTAGTTGATGGTCTAGTCTTGACAAATAACTTCACACGCTTGTCATATATAATGTAAGATAGAGAGAAGTAAGAAAAAAAGCTATTTCAACGAAAACAATCATGAAAACTAACCAAGTATATTTTTCCTTTTCTTCTCCAGTTTTGACTCAATTATTTCTTGTGTTCTTTTGCTGCTTGTTTGAGCTGAAAAGTTAATGGCGACGGGAACAATGGCGCATTTCTCACTGAAACTATCCAGACAACCTTTTACCGTGACAGACTAAACAAAGAAAGATAGATTTAAAACTTTCAGTCAATTCTACTGGCCCTGCTCATGGTTGGATACAAGATATGTTAAGATAAAGATTTGTATTTATGATAATTTATGCTGACCAAGGTAGATAGAAAAGTAGTAATTGTGCTATTATTTATCTATCATTACCTTTCCCACTCCAGTCATTCCTGTAAAGAACTATTATCTATCATTACCTTTCCCACTCCAGTCATTCCTGTAAAGAACTATTATCTATCATTACCTTTCCCACTCCAGTCATTCCTGTAAAGAACTATTATCTATCATTACCTTTCCCACTCCAGTCATTCCTGTAAAGAACTATTATCTATCATTACCTTTCCCACTCCAGTCATTCCTGTAAAAAGGACAGATTGTTGAATAGAGACGAGTTTCTCAAGTAAAAAACCAAATCTCACTGTATCAACAGTTGGGACAAGAAGATCAAAATATGGAACCTAAATTAAAAAGAAAATCGTTGTCTACTTCAGAAAGAAACACACCAACCAACGCTCTCAATAAAATTGCATCGACCAAGAATATATATTATTATTTTACTACCTCTGGCGAATATTTAAACGATGGAATAATTTTCTCCCATGGTTCCAGGCGTTTTGATTCATTATCAACATAATATCCATAAAGATCCCCAGAAGATGGTTGCTATACAAAAATAATCAACATAATATCCATAAAGATCCCCAGAAGATGGTTGCTATACAAAAGTAATCAACATAATATCCATAAAGATCCCCAGAAGATGGTTGCTATACAAAAATAATCAACATAATATCCATAAAGATCCCCAGAAGATGGTTGCTATACAAAAATAATCAGCATAATATCCATAAAGATCCCCAGAAGATGGTTGCTATACAAAAGTAATCAACATAATATCCATAAAGATCCTCAGAAGATGGTTGCTATACAAAAATAATCAACATAATATCCATAAAGATCCTCAGAAGATGGTTGCTATACACAAATACAATGAAATAAATCCAAATTAAACAATTCTTTTTAATCCTCTAACACTTAAAATGACAAAATGAATAAGGAGTATGACATATAACTCACTGACATCATGACACTGGCGAAAAGTTCCCGGACAAAAGAGTCAAACATATCCATACATCTTTCAACGAGATTTCCACCAATGGCCCAAACGTAAGAGAAGAGAAAAGTGGTAGCAATCAAAGAATGAAGACGGTTTGAATCCATGTTCAAGTCCGTAGCATCTTGAAGTAATAATGACTCAAATAGATAGCAAAGAGTTGTCACTTTACTTATGTCAACCTGTAAAATATGAGAAATGTGAAGGAAATGAGCGAGGACATGGGATTGATGAGGGAGGGAGGGAGGGATTGGGATTGATGACATGGAATGATGAGGGAAGACATGGGATTGATGACACGGAATGATGAAGGGAGACATGGGACTACTGACGTGGAGAGGTGAAGAAATGCTTGTTGCTTAGAACAAATAACAAGAATAATAATAGTGATCTAAAATCCATAAAGAAAAACTACACCACAACATCCCATTTTTCGACGAAATTAAGACAGTATATGAGACTATCTTTACCTGAGGTATAGCTTGGGTACATTTCTTGGTAACAAATTTCAAACCAGCGTCAACATAAGTATTGAATAAATTTATAAGATATTCCTGAAAAAATAAATTTTAATTATTACATTGATTGAACAAAAGAAACGTCCGCACAAAGAAAAAATATGCAGAACAAGAAACGAAATAGACATCGTATAGATGGAACTGGATGGTAAAGATGGAGCTGGATGTTAAAGATGGAGCTGGATGGTAAAGATGGAACTGGATGGTAAAGATGGAGCTGGTTAAGGAAGATGGAGCTGATGTTAAAGATGGAACTGGATGTAAAGATGAGCTGGATGTTAAAGATGGATGGATGTTAAAGATGGAACTGGATGGTAAAGATGGAGCTGGATGGTAAAGATGGAGCTGGATGTTAAAGATGGAACTGGATGGTAAAGATGGAGCTGGATGGTAAAGATGGATGGATGGTAAAGATGGAGCTGGATTTAAAGATGGAACTGGATGGAAGATGGAGCTGGATGTTAAAGATGGAACTGGATGGTAAAGATGGAAATGGATGTTAAAGATGGAGCGGATAAAAAGATGGATGGATGGTAAAGATGGAGCTGGATCGTAAAGATGGAACTGGATGTTAAAGATGGAACTAGATGGTAAAGATGGAGCTGGATGTTAAAGATGGAGCTGAATGTTAAAGATGGAGCTGGATGGTAAAGATGGAGCTGGATGGTAAAGATAGAACTCGGAGGTGTAGATGGAGCATCGTGGTATAGAAGGATGTACGTATAGGAGAAACTCGATAGTTTAGATACATATAATGTTGATATACAAACCTGACTTTCATCTGCTAGTTTCTCTCCAACCCTTTGTATCCAAGATGTAACGTAAGGTTTCCAACCAAGCTGTCCTGGATCGACATAAACCATACCACACCTAGGAATAACAATTATCCCTCAACAGCCAGCTATTAAGAACCTTTAGACGTATGTTTCAAGTACAATAACTCTCCTCCCCTCCTCCCAATTCAGATAACAAAATATTTAGTATCATGAACAGACGGGGGGACAATACCTGCTCACAGTAGCTGGAGAGGCAACAGCAAGATCTTGAACTTCAAACAACATGTGTATTGTTGGATTGAGTTTGATTCTTTCACTGTTAGCGAGACACAACATTTTATTATCATCGAGTACAGTGTTCATGTTTTCAATCCATAAAGCATCCACGGGTCCATCACATACGATCCATTTGTGATCCTCAGATGTATCCTGTAGAACAGATGACGTTTCACGTTGTGTTCAGCTGTTTACTACTTTATATTTTAATAACAGTGTTGAGCATGTTTGTAAATGTAGATTGTCCAGGTTGGTATAGTGCTGAGAAGAACTGTTTTTGTTGTTGTTGACTGACGTTTCGACAACCTTAGCGGTAGTCCTTGACAACCTTGACTCTGAAGATGACTACCGCTAAGGTTGTCAAAACGTCAGTCAACAACAACAAAAACAGTCCTTCTCAGGACTACACCAACCTGGACAATCTACATCTACAAACATGTAACGATACTCCCGGGTTCAAACCATTTACTTTATAGTGATGAACATGTTATTACCTGAACACATTGTCTGACAGTTAAAGCCATCAAACCATCTTGCCATTCCAAAGTTATCTTGTTCACTTCACCATAAAGTTCACCCATACTTATAGACTACAATAACAACAAATGAAGGGGAAATTTATTCGAAGTTGGAGGCAAGATCGTAAAGTGTAGTGTTTGCAAAAACATACTTGTAAAATGACATAAAAAACAATACAAACTACCCGCAAATCGATGTTTAAGAAGCATTGAGGAGTCGAAGTTACAAACCTTAGGATTAAGAACGTATGTATGAACAGGTAAATAATCTGGATCATCAACACCTTGAGAATGAAGACTAGTTAAAGTCATCTTTAATGTCTAAAGAAAGAAAAAAACATTACAACTGTCATCGTTGTTTTAGACAAAGCAATTGATGTGAATTTTGATGAAGAGAAGGATAACAGTGGATAGAAAAGGAGAGGGGAATATGTAAATATACCTCATAACATGTAGTTTTACCACCACCAGTTGGTCCTACCAACATGACACCATGACGAACTAACATTGTTTCATAAAGTTGTATAGTTTTCTTCACCATCGCTGGTACAACCTGACAAAACAAATGATTTTTGAGCCTTTGCAGTACTGTTTCACATAATGACGAGCATTCTTAATGCAGGAGACAATGATAAGGACTGGGTCATAGTGCAGTACGTTTATAGTTTGTATAACATTGTTGAATGAGAAAAACAATAATAATTCGTAAAACAAACCTGTAATTTCTGTTCTGTAAGACAATCTTCGATGGTTGATTGAAGTTTACCGTAATCATGATCGGGTATTTCTCGTCCAGGGAAAAGATCAGAAAGTATAGCCTAAAAACAAAGCAAAGAAAATACTGTTTGTGCATCACTAAATAACATCTTATATCTTACAGTGACAGACAATGGTAACAAAGGATGAGAGAGTACATGTAATGTGACAGACAATGGTAACAAAGGATGAAAGAGTACATGTAATGTGACAGACAATGGTAACGAAGGATGAAAGAGTACATGTAATGTCAATACGAGGATATCTTAAGACGTCATTATGATGATGAAAATACCTCAATATGGTAGATAAGATAGAAATTAACCATTCCTCATGATCACAATCATTAAATCATTGAACTAAAATACATGGAACGCATTTTACCCCAGACACCAGTGTGTCGTGTTTCGAGATTTTGATAGTTGATTGACTACACATGCGTGTCTGAGGTAAAATCTCGCGTGTCTGGGGTAAAATCTCTCGTGTCTGGGGTAAAATCACGCGTGTCTGAGGTAAAATCTCGCGTGTCTGGGGTAAAGTCACGGCTTCAAAAAATAATTAGGGTTTTGTATTACAGGTAGCGTTCAATGTATTTTAGTTCAATGGATTAAATATAATGTATAATTGAGTAATCTTACCTGGAACAATACTGCATCATCAGCAAGAAATTTCGGTAAATTGCTATCACGCAAGGCTCTTATCAATACAACATCTTCACTGAGATTAGGATTGCTTCGTTTCAATGTTCCCGCCATTACAAGTACAGACTTTACTGCTCTCATACCAAAATCATAATGATCTTGCTGAGATAATTGTTCACTGCAAAGACGATACATTTGTACCATCTTTCGAGCGAGGTTCTTGGAAGATTCAAAACCTTCCGAATACAGAATGACTTCAGCAATAAGAGCTAAAAACAAAAATACTTACGATTGTACTCGAGCATACAAGACAAGAACACATGACATGCGCAGTAATCTAACCATAATCTGGTACCATCATTGCCATAGGTCTGAACAAAGCCTTTAAATTATCAGGCAGCTCAGTTCTGCCCGCATAACCAGGATTCATCGTGATGAAAGCAGCACAAGAAGGAACCAACTTGATCTCACGACCTTCGAACATAAAACGACTTTCCTACACAATGAAAACACGCAATTCAAGGTTTTATCAAAACTGCAATAAATCAACATAAGCCTGTACAAAGCTTATGTCCTTTTATTGACATGCATGTAGAAAACTTGCTATACACACCCTTGCAATCTTTGCATTTCTGATAGTCAACAATTGTTGAGCAATAACAGATAAAACCTCGATATCGATACGATTGAATTCGTCAAAACAACACCAAGCTCCAGATTGTGCAAGACCAGAGAAAAATCTCCCCATCATCTGAAAACAACGAAAAGTTTTTAAGTTTTCTACATTAAACATGTAGGCATCTCGCAGTCAATAACTGTACAGTCCAATTAGCGAACATTACAAGCATTAACTGTACCCTCACATCAATAATCAATAACTATAGCATTCGATCAATAGCTGTGCCTTGTAATCATTAACTGTATCTTGCAAACAATAACCGTACCTTCCAAGCATTAATTGTACTCTTATATCAATAACTATAGCTTGCAATCAGTGGCTGTACCTTGTAATCAATAACTGTATCTTGCAAACAATAACCGTACCTTGCAAGCACTAATTGTACTCTTATATCAATAACTATAGCTTGCAACCAATGACTGTACCTTGTAATCAATGCCTTCAGAGCAGTTGAAGACAACACATTGTTTAGCAAGGGCTTTAGCAAGATCCTAAATGGAAAATAACGAATAAAAAACATTGGTGTATATTTGTATATTTTATACTCCAATAAGATCCTTTACCTTAGTAGTTTCAGTCTTTCCAGTACCAGCAGGACCAGCAGGTGCCCCACCAAGATCCAACTGTAACGCTCCCATAAGACAAAGATAGCAACGATCCTTAATATACAGAGAATTATCAACAGATAACTGGGAACACTGTTTTTTATAAGATGGTAGTACCACTATAGTATAGCAATAATACGTAAGATGAACCAAGCTTTCTTACTTACAGTTAAAGGTGTGATGACAAGCCGGGGGGAGGCACCAAGATATTCATAACCATACGTGTATTGCGAGTTGGACATTTGAACGACACAATTATCAAGATCTTGATCCCAATAATAACGTAACTGTTTCATCCATTCAAAACTTTCTACATTGTCAATCTGAATAGAACAAGATTAAAGAAAATAATTGCAGGGAATAAAGGCGAACAATCAGTTTTTCATCTGCACAATACTATGTACGACACCATGTACAACACCCTTTACAGCTAACCTTCCTTCATTAATAAGATATTTACCTTGGCTTCAACAAGACCAGTGACAATATCTCTTGCATGAACATCAATTGTAATTAAAGCACAGAGAATGCTCCGGGTGATTTTTGGCAGTTCACCACGAACAAGAGCCGCGAGCTTGTTCAAGTTCTACACGAGATGAATAAACTATGTAAAAATATTCGAAATACTGAACTATAGTCGTTTCAATTTTTCCTGAAGAAACTTGAACAATGAAATATTCAAACGCTCTCGTTTAATGAACCAGCCGATTTCTGTTTCATTCACATACCTGGAACGATCTTTGTTCAGCTTGTTTTAGTTCCTCAAGCCGATCATCAGTTGATGTAAGACATTGTGTTAATTCCCTACACCACATTGTTTGAGAAACCGTCAAAACGATCTATAAAAACCATTAAACATGTAACAAAAATTCCCAGAAGAATAGCACATGTATCTACAATCATTTGCACATATTTAATTCAATTTCAACAGCAGTTAACATGATTTAACGCACCTGACTGGGATGACAGGTAACCCATTCTTCACGAGTTTTTTCTTCATAATCGCTAATGGCGTACTTTGTTAATTTACGAAGAGTATTTACCATTGATTCTTCCACTTTACCTAACCATTCTTCAACATTCCCTCTTGCCTTGAGGCCCTGGAAACACACACATAATGAGGACAAAATAAAGACGCGATAACAAGATAAAATACAAATGAAGGAAGGCTACCTTTCCTAAAGGCACGCGTTCTTTCTCTGGTGAAATCATTGCGATAATATCATTTGTTTTTGTTTCAACTACTTTATTAGCAGAAGAAGCTAATGAAAAGAAAGACAGAGGTTGAATAAATGAAAGCAAAAAAATTTCAATTAATTTAACATGATAGACAATTTAACATACGTCTGTCAGCAGGTTCATTGGATGTCTGTGTCGGAGCACTTCCAAATTCTAAGCTAAAGAAAACCACATCGACACCATTTGATGAGGAGGAGAGTGGAGATTTTAAAATAAATATTGTTAAACTCACCTTGCAATGGCGTCGAAGCATTTCTGTAAGTGAGGTTGAACTGCATGAGGATTTCGTGTCTGGGAAAGAATTTCCAACAATTCATCATTGGATAGAAAATAAAATCTGAAATTAATAAAAATGATAAGATTTTAAATCCATTTTAAACACTGCAATGTCTTCTTTATTCTCAATTTATACATTGAACATCTTACCTTGGAAAAACAACACATTTGGATTCAAGATACGCTTCTAAACATTTCTGAATCTGATCCAATAACGCGTTATTATTTTGAAATGTCTCCAAAAGGCCAGGTTGCGTTGCAGCTCTCATTGCGTTTGGTAACCTAGCAACCTTTCTCATAATCTCTTTCCAAGATTTATCGACAGTCATAAACATCTTTGCTTCAGCAGGTAATTGTCTTTGAATGTCAGGAGCGCTGAAGATGCTCTCAAGATAAAGCCAATTACGTTGACACGTCATCCATTCATCCTGAGCACGTAAAGTTGGTCAGAAAATGTAGGGTAAATGAGGGTGATTGAAGGTGACTGAGGAACATGAAGTTTCAAGGATATTGACCCTCATGTTTCCTCAAGTGAAGATGAAGTAAAAGTGAGAATTCGTATACTTACCAGTGTTTCACTAAATAACGATAATTGTCGTACCCATTCTTCTACGCGCGGTTTTATAGGACCAACGTGACGCGAGCCTGCGATGGTAGAAATGTTGACCTGCAGTTTTAAAAACAAGAACATATTAGTTTTGTGGTGTTGATGCGCTGTTTACAAGCCACTTTACCTGACTATCGTCAAGTTGCACTTGAATATCATCAACGCCGCCAAGAATAAAAACATCTTTTGAGTCACGATGAGGAAGCACAATAAACTCGGTTGCTTTCCAACCATCTTCAACCTTAGAAATACAAAAGGAAAACCAGATCATATAGCTAAATAACTTATTTTGAAGAACTGCAAAATACCTACTTCGCTCATTGTCGTCAATCTTTCATAAGTATCTCACCTTTTTTAGCAAAGTTTCCAGCGATGCTTCACTAGATGCCTGACCAGAAATCTCTTGTATAGATTCACTATGATCAAACGCCTCAATCTCTTCCAAAAGTCCTAAGGTCAGCGCGTTCTCTTCGCTAAAATTATATTCCAATATTTGCTGTATGGAATCCCAGTGGCGCTGCTTCAAAGCAGGATTGCGCAGATCTGAGATAACTGGTAGCTGAAACAGATGTTAAAAGAAATACTTGAATCATAACTTTTTTACATTTCTTCTTTCGCGAATATGAGAAGTGGAAAAAATCTTAGAAAAGTTTTTCTTTCCTGAAAGTTAATCCATGTTGACTTATGAGAGTTTTTGAAGTTACGTAACATATATTAACATATAATAACATGTATGAACATATATTAACATATATTAATACATATATTATACATCTAATGCAATTTTTCACCTTGTGCCTCATGTCATCGACATTTCCTCTCAATTGCGGTACAACACCATTTGGCGGCAAACCTTTCTCAAGCTGTAAAACCACTTTATGGTATTTCATAACTTGATTTGTCAATGTCTCGGGATCTAGGCTTTCAAATAATGCCTAAAGAGAGGGGAAATAACGATATAATTTTTAACTGTGTACAGCTTGGCTATTCATTTATTTATTGTGTCCTTAGTTTGATGATAAAAATACGAATCCAATCCTTTTAAAGTGTTGCTGACAGTCAAGCGTGTCATTTGCGATATTAAATCTAAGTGTGATTTCTAAAGCATCAGTGTAAAAAAATTTAGTTTGGTCAAATCGCGCCATTTTTATGGTTGTTGAAAGTTGCTTAAAATGTTCTTTTTCATGGACCTCGTCCGTCGTCGGAAGAGTCTGGAACGACTTACTTTTGTGACGTCATGCAAGGTACTCGTCAATACAAAATATATATACAAACTACCTTGGATGACGTCATGATTTGTCTAGATCCAGGCTTCATGCTACGGCAGGCAAGGTCCATTGACAGGTAACTTCTAACCGCCATAAAATGAGGAAGATTTGACCAAATTGAAATTTTTTTTCACCAAAAAGTTCGAAATCACATAATGCTTCAATAAAGCCAATAGAAATTTTTATTGGCGGGGCATTAAAAATATACTTAAAAAAAGTTCAATAATCAGTTGATACATTCTTCATCAAACTAAATGAATTGAAATGAAAAGTACGTGAAGCCATTCATCATAAAATGTAACTGTAAATAACCAAGTTATTCTCTCACGAATAAACACGTGACCATCACATGATACTTCACGAGGTATGTACATAGAGAACACGTGACTACTCACATCCATCCATTCTTGATAGTTCACTTCCCATTCAATACGTGAATCCCACAAAGTTTGCTTCAATTTTAGTTCAGCGTGAGTTTCTTCTAGCTCTTCGAACTTTGTTACTTCAACCTGAAGTTTCGTGTGTAAAAATTTAACCAATGAAAGATAACACATGAAACTGTGTAAAAATTCAATCAATGTAAGACAACACATGAAAGTGTGTAAAAACTTAACCAATGTAAGACAACACATGAAAGTGGGTAAAAATTCAACCAATGTAAGACAACACATGAAAGTGTGTAAAAACTTAACTAACGTAAGACAACACATGAAAGTGTGTTAAACTTAACTAACGTAAGACAACAAAAGTGTGTTAAAACTTAGCAAACATAAAATAACACATGTATTTAAAAACTTGAACAACGCAAAACAACGCAAGCGTTTAAAAAAGAACAATGTTGATAAAAAATGACAGACCTTAAAGTTCTTTTGATATGATTTGTACATAAAAGCTCTCTTTTGTAATTCATTCATTTTCCCTTGAAGTTCGCCAAGGAACGCGACGATATTTTTTGGATCAGAACTAGGATCCAAAATCACCGGATTCTAAAATATATATCAGGTTAAAGATGTCTAAGGTCAAACTTAACTCGATTTCCATACATACATCCTGCATAACACAACCAAATTTCAATACTAAATCCTCATTATAATTTATGAGACAAAATCTTGATAATCAAGTGCCATCCTTGATTTAAAGATTATTCAATCCTTATCACCATGGATGAAATCTAAATCTTGAAAGTACGTGTTATCCTTGCCTGTGCTTGTTGCTTAATCGACTTGACTTCTTTACCAAGGAAAGCAATATCTTTATCAAGACATGTGCAAAACTTGTCAAGATTTTGATCTCTGTCACTAAGACCTTTGTCAATAGCACTACGAACCATAGAGACCGCGCTATTGAGAGTCTGAAGAAAAATGACAAACGTTGCTGACATCATATCAATTTTATCATTACTTTTACTAGTACTACAATAGAATACCTGATAAACTGCCAAATCTTCAGGTGGAGTAGGAACATTATAATGTTCGATTAAGTTATAAAGTTCTTTAGCTGTGGTGCAGTTTGATTCGAGATCCTCTAGCTAAAACAAAACAAAACTAACGCTAAGTTGCTAACAAAACCCACAAAGTTTAAGGATAGTAAGCGAAAATAACAGTCGTTCGAACAAGAAACATTATGCAGTTATGTCAAGATGGTGTACTACGAAGGATTCATTATGAACATACAGGTTACATAAGGATAAAAAATACAACATGAAGGTAAGCCTAGACAACACAACACACATTGGAGGATACTCTGGGATTGTACGGGATACATTAGGATAATAGAGGATATAGGATATATATTGAGGATACAGCATACATTGTGGAGGGATGCAAGGACAATAAGTAAAAAAATATTTCTTTACTAAACATTCCTTATCTCACCCACCTTTTCTTGTATATCATCAAGAAACGTAAGGCTATCGACGAATTCTTCAGTCGTTGATGGCACGATCTCAAGTTTAAACTGAGAATCCTGACAAAACTCCATTAAGGAATCAACTCGTTTCTTTGCCAGTTCAGGGAGGATTTCATGAATCACCTACGGAGAAAAATCCAAATGAAATAACAAGAATACCATGGATGGAAGAATAATGAGAGACCAAGACTTCGTTGCTTACATCTAAACATTTCAAAGGTGAGGGAATTAAAACTTTCTTCAACTGTAGACAATCAAGAAATAACATTCCAATGGCTTTTTTATCGGGAACTTTGTCCACCAACATTCTTTCTGTTGTGTATTTTTCCAACGATATCTTGAAAAATTCCACATCTAAATATGAAGGAAACAGCACAAAAAGTTAAGTTAAGGATTAAATTATCCTGACTGAAGTGCCACCGAAAATCTAATATTGAAGCTTTTAACTACATAAACAGTACTTTCTATACCTAAAGGTTTAACCTACTTGTTTTTCATTAACAATTTAAATTTTCTTGCTATATCTACAGCCTAAATGACTTTAGCACATACCGTGTTCTTGTATTTTCATTTCTTCCAAATCCAAACTCTCGTTCTCTTCATAAAATTCTCTGTACGGCTCGAGAGAGTTTGCAAAACGTGCAGCTGAGTCAAAAGCAGCGGTTATTGCTTCCTAGAGAACGTCAAATAAGAATACTGTAAGGACGTTTGAATACTTTTAAACCACCATAAAAGAGCATTGTTTTATGAGAAACATACAGCCAGTTTATTATTCAAATGACGTAAGTGTTTGTCATCGTCAAACATCATTGTCAAACTTGGACCTTCTCCAATACTACATTCTTCAACTTTACCATTGATGATTGGACTGGATAAATGAATAACATTACATAAAAAACACACGAAGAAAATCAAATGTTTGTAGCAACACTATAGTTGACAACAACTAACCTTGTAAAAGCTTGAAAATAAATATCAGGGACAAGATTATGAACACTGAGTACCGCTTCTTGAAAATGACTGATTACTTCATGTACGCCTTCCTGAAAGTCGTCAAGATCGGGAACGAAGAATAAAGAACGAGTCTCTATAAGTAGCTCAGTTATGAACAACGGTTTCAGATCAACTCCGCTCTCTTCTTGCGTCTACATTAAAAATAACATGAAGTTTATCATAAAACAGTATATTACTGCTGAGCGATTGCGGTCTCGTTTCCTTACATCAATCTCATGATTCGAGGAATGTTTTAAATCATGTAATTGATCTTCTAGATGATTAAGAAGTGTGGATACAGAGTTCACAGCCAGGGCATGCATTGTGTTTACGATCAAATAATCAGCAAGACGAATGAAACTAAAAAAAAGGAAAAAAAACATCACAGGTTCATAATATTGAAATAAAATAACCTACTACTAAAAATTTACGACAACAAAAAGAAGTAAAGTGAATGGTTTGAACCCGGGAGTATCGTTACGTGTTTGTATTCGTCCAGGTAAAGAGAAGGATTGTTGTTGACTGACGTTTCGACAACCTTAGCGGTAGTCATCTTCAGACTCAAAATGAAGATGAGTCAAAATTTGACTCTGAAGATGACTACCGCTAAGGTTGTCAAAACGTCAGTCAACAACAACAAAAACAGTCCTTCTCAGGACTATACCAACCTGGACGATCTACATTTACAAACTTGTAAAATAACCTAGTACTAAAAATTTACGACAACAAAAAGACGCAAAGTAAAGAATGTAAAAAAGACAGAAAGAAAACAACAATTTTTATCTAGTTAAGTCCTTACGACCTAACTTCAACCCATATAAAAAAAACTATAAAAAATATTCGTACACGTTCATCTTTACTCACCTTGTAAATCGAGCACAATGGCTTCTTTTATTCGCTTGTTCCGTGTAGGTCATTTTATCCGGTGCTTCCCCGTACAGATCAAATTCGTAGTCACCATACATACCATAAGATGAAGCACTCTCAACTGCCTCCAAATGATTTTGAACAAAACCTGAAAGAAAAAGAAACAAAATTTGAACAAAATACTAAATCTTTCTTATGAAGAAATCTTCAGTGACATTTCACAAAGACTTTAAATCAATGAATTGCAGAGTTGACGAAAATTATGCTTAGCAATGACGTTTTCTCTCTTTTGATTCATGCAAACAAAATAATTTATTGGTCTTATAAGATCTTTAAGCATATATCTTTTGCTTTTCACTTCATGATCAACAAGATAATCGTCAGGAATAAAACTTGCACACATTCCCTCGAGCTTACACCCATACTATAAACTCACCATCCATTTCACTGTCAGGATCAACAAGATAATCATCAGGAATAAAACTTGCACCCATTCCCTCGAGCTTACACCCATACTATAAACTTACCATCCATTTCACTGTCAGGATCAACAAGATAATCATCAGGAATAAAACTTGCACCCATTCCCTCGAGCTTACACCCATACTATAAACTTACCATCCATTTCACTTCATGATCAACAAGATAATCATCAGGAATAAAACTAGAGCCCATTCCCTCGAGCTTACACCCATACTATAAACTCACCATCCATTTCACTGTCAGGATCAACAAGATAATCATCAGGAATAAAACTAGAGCCCATTCCCTCGAGCTTACACCCATACTATAAACTCACCATCCATTTCACTGTCAGGATCAACAAGATAATCATCAGGAATAAAACTAGAGCCCATTCCCTCGAGCTTACACCCCATACTATAAACTCACCATCCATTTCACTGTCAGGATCAACAAGATAATCATCAGGAATAAAACTAGAGCCCATTCCCTCGAGCTTACACACCATACTATAAACTCACCATTCATTTCACTGTCTGGATCAACAAGATAATCATCAGGAATAAAACTAGCACCCATTCCCTCCGGCTTACACACCATACTATAAACTCACCATCCATTTCACTGTCAGGATCAACAAGATAATCGTCAGGAATAAAACCAGCTTCCTTTAATGCAGTACGACAAGCACTACGTACAACCTCCTTAACAAGATCACGAAACTCCTCAAGTCGACTCGTCACCTGACGTGAAATGCAAAAAAAAGTGAGAATTCAAAACACAGACGTCATCTGTTACGTCATAAAATGACGTACATTTTACAGAGCATAGATATGTGCAAATAATGATAGATTATCAACCTCTTGAAGTTGTTCAAATTGTGCTTGTCTAAACTCATCTAATGTATACGTTTTGTTCCGTTCAATACGACATAACCCCATGTCGCTGATACGATAACACATTTCACGAACATTAAGCAAAGCAGGACGCAATGACTATGGAGGAAAATAAGGAAAAAATTATTACTTTGCATTCCAACATCATATAAAATGTGATAAAAGAAACTTACTGCATTAACGATGAAAAGATTATCTCGTAACTTGTTTTTACATACAGAGATTTTCCTATGAAAGAATATCATACCATTCTTATAAACTTAATTACTACACAGTAATTACTACACAGTGAGATGAAAATGAGAGGGATTGCAGAGGGACACGAGGTGATAGTGAGAGGACTTGAGCGGGATACAGTGAGATGAAAATGAGAAGGATTGCAGAGGGACACAAGGTGATAGTGAGAGGATTTGAAATAGATACACTGAGATGAAAATAAGGAGGATTGCAGAGGGCCACGAGGTGATAGTGAGAGGATTTGAGAGGGTTACAGTGAGATGAAAATGAGAAGGATTGCAGAGGGACACAAGGTGATAGTAAGAGGATTTGAGAGGGTCACAGTAGATGAAAATGAGAAGGATTGCAGAGGGACACGAGATGATAGTGAGAGGATTTGAGACAAACACGTGACACTGGTAAAATATGTAAAAAAAACGCAAATGATTTAAGAGAATTTAATTGTCTTCTTTTGTATGGGGGAACTCTTCAAACTGTTGTATAAAAATCAACTCTCTTACACTTAAAACTTACTTTGTACGCACATTCTTTCTCCATACAGCGAAGCCTTTCCATAAACGAAACTTTTTAAATGTCTTGATTAGAACCAATTTCTTATAGTCGTCATACTCTTTTGCCCATCTTTCCAGGGGGGTAAATTCCGCTGAAGTGTTAGAGATATGAGACACACCCTCCTTGCTGATGGTGTAGTAATTGTCAGATTCTCTGATTTCTGCATGATCTACTATCCTATGGTAAAAAAACAATGGCAAATGAAAAAAGTACCAGGATATTTACAGTCACACAAGAGCATTTTATCGTCAATAACAAGTGAAATAGGGTCTAAATACAAAGCACAACCCCTCCCCCCCCCCTCCCTTCAGCGACAGCACTCAGCACAGTTTAAATATAAGAATTACAAACCTTAAATTATATGGATTATATTCAATGGATGACTTTGGCACAGCTGGACTCATATACAGAAATCCAATCTTTGGATTAGATTTTACCATTTCAATAAATGATAAAACATCATCTTCTTTGACGACCAGTTTTTCTTCCTTTATCGAGTTATCCATATCAAACCTTACTGTCCCTCGTTTAGAAGATAACCTCTCATCCAACTTCTTCTGTTGAGCTAACAGATCATGTGGAAGTTTTGGTAAAGGTGATGTGGTTCGTGTGATGGCATCGATGGTTTTCTTTGGACATGATTTTTTTTCATCTGGTTCATTTTGGTCTTCTGTAGTTGATTTTGTTTTTGGTTTTCCTCCATGCTTCCGTTTCTGATAAGCACCAAGATTGGGCTGAAGTAACAAGAAATTGAAAATTTAATCTTCAACGACTCAAAATAAAATATACAGTGGAAAAAGTTGAACTTACCAAAGGTTCAAGTCTTCCAGTTGTTGGAGAGTTCTAAAAAACATTTATAATTAAATGAATAAAAATGCCTCATTTAGGAGGAAAGAAAGACCAAAGAATGGCTTGTTATAACATTCACGTGATTTAATACAGAAGAACAAGAGCAAAACAACATAAAATAACCTTTCGTCGTTGTGCTGCAGTTGGACCTGAAAATTTAAGTGCATTTGGGCTTTGACCAAGCGTTGGTTTTGCAATTAAACGAGCTTTGAGTTTTGCCTCATTCACACATGGCAAGTTCATATTCTGCTGTGTTTTAAGGCGTACATTTGAGACAGAGTTAGACATTTTATTCGTGAAATTTTACATTCTGTTTTCGTTAACTTCTCCGCCATGAAAATTTACTGTTTCCATGGAGATAACTGCGATACATATTGACGCTGACCTTTGAAGATACCTGGAGCATTATACGACGGTCTTTTTTAACCAAGTGATATTGTTAAACGTCATCACTGACCTAGTCAGCACTCAAGTCTTCGTCCTTATAAAATCTTAGAACATTATCCTTAATCATTTCTTAAGAAAGTTTACTGTGAAAAATTTGCATAGCTTGAATAAGGAAGTTGCTAAAGCACTTTCACAGGTGCTAAAGCACTTTCGTTAGTTAAGAGCTTCATGGCTAATTTAAATGTCTCCCGTCCTTCGACACTCGCTTGTAAGCAGTGGTAATATATCCAATTTCGAACAGCAATAAAAAAATTTGCTTTCTATAAATGGGCACATGGCAAAGATTATATAGTAAAGAGCAATCTTCAAGCATTGCTGTTTGTAAGATTGACTTAAACACATTTATTGACACAAAATGCTGCCATTCTAGAAACGTGTGGCTTTTGGATTATCATAAATCCTGCTTGTGAGAAAGAGCTTTTTGGAGAACATAAAGTCAAACATTCTTTTAAGGAAACATGCCTCTGAACCTCCATTAAATCTCACACATTTGACGGTTGCATTGTTACCACCTAGTCTGAACAACCTGGCGCTGCCACAGTTTTTTAAGCTTATGTCTTAGCCTTAAAGCCTTTAGTTTTTTACAATTCATCTATAGAGAAGACAAAAGGTCTCCAATGGGTGTTTAGCCTCGCACTTCAGACGGAATAAGTTATTGTCATGCTTGTATGCCGGCAAAAATGAAACTAAAATAGCAAAGCCGAAGACAATATCCATAAAAATTGAAATGAGAAAATGTTTGCAGTTATTTATTGGTTTTATTTTTTTACCATGAAGTCCTTCGTAAGTTCATTTTTTGCAGTGAGTTATGACCCTTCACAATCGTATTAAACCTTGTAAATAATATTTTAAACGCCAAAGAAAATGAAAATACAAAACAAAATGAAAACCAATTTCCGGTAAATTGCAAAATGAAAATGCATATTATTTATTTTAACTCACACAGGCTAAAATACATAAGTAATAATACAGTACTCACGGTTCGTGAGCTCCAAATACACACATGTAGATAACATAAAAACAAAAGGTTTTCACCAAAACGAGAGAATGGATTAATTCATTACAAGTCAATAAGCGTTTTATTACTTTTATATATTGTCTATAAAAAAGAGCCGAAAGTGTTTTCACTTTTAAATTCATATAAAGTAAACTAACTATTGAACAGTTGACCATTTCCTATTTCTATTTGTCCACAAAGGAGCAAAATGGACAAGACAGCAAAATCTGATGATTTTCAAGACTCAAAAGGAACACCTCTGGTAATTCAGAAATTTAATATACTTTTTAACTACATAAGCTTAAATTATGTACCGATTGCCGTAAAGGCCTTTCGTTGTAAAATTTTTCCTAGTTTCGAGAGACTTTTGGTTACTACATATAGCATTTTAACGACACATGCAATAACAAAATACGTTTTTAAATTTGTCATTTCTATAGTCATGTTCATGTAAAAATAGTTGTCAAAGAAAGACTGGACCAAAAAGAGCAGGATGTCCATGTCGAGATGTAGGGGAAAAATGTAGCAAAGATTGTCAATGTGGAAGTCACATTATCTGTCGTAACAGACATACCAAACATAAAAATCTGAGCAATGAGAAAGAATTGGCAACAGATCTTTCAAACTTGGTGAGAAAACAATTTTTTTTCATTGAACAGTTTAACTATCTCATATTTCGTAAACGTTTATGATAAAATAAAACAAAATATTTCCTGTTATTAAATCGAAGTCTTTGTTTGTTCTGTCATTTTAATTTGTGGTCAGACAATTGACGAACATGACGGAGATTCTGACGGTGAATCTTTGAAGGAAATGGGATCCATTGACACAGATGCATTAAGAACATCAAGTGACATTTCAAACAGTATGTGTTTTGCATTGTATATAAAATGTCTTAAATGTCATAATAAGAAATAACGAAACATTCTCATATTAAAAGAAATACTTTTACTTTCAATTGCTTATGACATCTTTAATCGAAATCCAAATAAGAGATGTTCACAAAAAAACTTTTCTCTCTTTTTTGCCATAAAGATGATGAAAAGAGATTCACATTACAGCCTTCAAACGGCGTGCATAAAATAGAGAAAGGTTATGCTTTAGTCATTCATAACAGATATTTTCACTATCTACGACCACGACACGGATCTGAGAAAGACTTGAAGGCCATCAAAATGTTTTGTGAAGAAGCGTCTCTAAAAATTGACGTCCAGGAAAACCTTAAAGTGAACGACATTCGAGCCCATTGTCGAAAACTCACAGATGAAGATGATCAAATGTTTAAACAATATGACGGCTTTGTTTGTTTTATTTTAAGCCATGGCAATCGGTAAATATGTAATTTATATAATTTGAGACTTTTGCCTGATAATTTAGTACAGGAATGCAAAATGTTAAATGTCTCAATTAATCTATGGTTCATGGTGGTTGGATAGACATTGAAACAATAACAATGTTGACAGTATATATTTGAATTTTCTGTATTTTTTAAACGATGCATCATAATTTTTATTTCACAACATCACCATATATGCAACATAACCTAGCCCAACACATCACTCCAGTAGTAAAGCTATTCTCTTTAGATCAGGTATAAAAGGTGTGTACGAGGACATTATCAGCGTTCAAGAGATTGCGTCATATTTCAAAGAATGCGATGATCTCTTAGGAAAACCAAAGCTCTTTTTCGTGCAAGCATGTCGTGCTAATGAAATAGAGGACGATGGGATAGAGGAGGATCATAGAACACGTTTGTGTCCCCCAGATTCCTCTGATATCCTCATTGCATACTCAACCATCGAAGGAAAACTTTCCTACAGAGATATTTACAATGGTTCGTGGTTTATCCAAACACTAGTGAAACAACTAAATACGCATGCGCAGAGCTACCATTTAATGGATATAATGACCATGGTAAACGAAGACATCGCAGGAAGTGAACTGGATGGATATAGACAAATGCCAGTTCAAGTTTCTACTCTGACGAAATTTATATGGTTTAAAATGGCCATCAATGTTGATGCTGTACATAGAGATATTAACAACGGTACAAAGGAATCTGATGGAAGAAACTCCAATAGAGACGAGATGAATTATAACTGGGGTGGCCATCAAGGACAGCAGGGTGTCTTTATTCAGCCACTAGTTTATCGCTATGACAACCATGATACGACAGCAAAAACTTATTGGATCTAATGAAAACGTTTTCCTAGCATTGATGTTTTAAATAACTGTATGAAATTCATATCTGATTAAACATGATGCAACAATACGCATGGAAAGAGAAAAGAAAATACATGCAAGGAGTATTTAATTGATAAAATGTAATATAGCCAGGAATTAAAGTGAATTTATGATATCGTTAACGTTGAAGAGATCATTTCTTGTCATTTTAACCGCACATAAATTTCATCAAACATGCATGTCCTCATTTAAAGACTCTGTCCTCAAAGCTCTGTAGCCAAAGACAGTTTTTCAAATTGGACAGCCATTCTCAAACTATTTGAAAAACAAGACACTTATTTCTCCCAATCATTTAATTTCATGCAAACATTGTCTTCTTCATATTTGTGCGACAATGTGGCGACAACCAAATCAAATGGTTTTTACCGCTTTACGTAAAATGAAAACAAAGACGTCATGAATAACTGCAGTAGAAAAATAGTGTCGTCAACACATTGTAAAGAAAGAATCTAAACTGATGAAGTTTTTTCCCCATCAAACCCCTGCCTCAATAAACATGATAAAACCTTAAGTATCGCACATTTATTCACTACATCAACGTGTTCACTCAAAGACAAGAAACTTTGAAATCATTTCGATAATTTCCAATGAAAAACCTCTCTGGATCAATTCCTTATGTAACATTGAAAATAAGTCAAAGACAAACACCTCGGTCATAATTTACGACATGACTTCAAATGACAGAATATACCACTGAACATACCGTCTCACTGTCACGTGATAACGTCACATGTCCTGCCATGACATCACTCCTGCTAAACCTAGTGATATGTTATCCGATAGAGGAGTTATTTGTGACATTTAGCTTAAAGATCATTTCTTTAAATTTCGAATTGCTCAGATGAACTCATCACGAATTTTGTTTACCTCCGTGAATTGCTCAGATGAACGATGAACTTTTATTTGTCTTACACAGCTCTTTGAAAGATAAGTTATATCTTTTAGCAAATTGGAATGGGCGACGAGAACTAAAAACTCAATCATATCTACAAAATCATTAGTCAGCATCATTTAACAACAAAAACAACTTATTTAAATACAAAAATATATTATCATCATCAATTCGTCAATGAATCCAAGTCAATATCAATCTTCATAAATGTTATTACCATCCATCTCAGTTTTTGAAACATCTTTATTATCCACTTCAGTCTTTGGAACATCTTTATCTTCAACCTCAGTCTTTGGATTTTTGACTGAAACGTCTTCAGTCCTCTTGTTCTCAGCTTTAAGAGTGTCGTTTAACTCTTCATTTTTGATTTGTGAAATGTCTTCAGTCCTTCCTTTCTCAGTTTTAGAAACGCCGTCGGGCTTTTCATTTTTTTGATCGCCAGTGTTTGAAACACTACCGATCTTAGCAGTTTCCGTATAAGGAAGACTAACCTCAGGCGTTGGCATAGGATTTTGTTTGGTAGATTTTTTAAAGAACACGGGCTTTGTCAGACTGTGCGAAAAACAAGACATTTGTTTTATGCCAACTTCTTTTTTAGGATTGATTCCAGCAATCTTATTGTTTACCACTGTAAGAATATCGGTCAACGACATGTTTTCTCCATGGTGAAGGAGAACCTTTGTGAAGTAATGAATGAACCATGAACCATAATCAGAATCTCGATATGCTGGAGCATTAAAAATGGTAGAATAAGCAAGTAGAACATCATGATGTGAAGGAATTGAGATGAGACAAGTAGAATTCTCCCCAGGTTGACTAGGAATGTTTCGTTCATCACCTCGACAGTGTTGTGTAATAACAATCTTTGGCTTTCCTTTCAAGGTTGAGTTGTTTGCTAACAAATCGACAAGACGGTTGAGGGAAACAGCGCCATCATCAGTTCCGTACACAATATTGGGCTTTTTTTGAACTTTATAGCCTTTTCTAACGTATTTTCCGTCACCACTCTCTTTACCGTGATTAATGTATTTTTCACGTAATTCTGCATCGCCATGACTGGATATAAAACATATAAATGCGTCGTTGTTATTAAATTCTCGCGTTCCCAAGAAATCGAACTCTTCGTCCATTTTTTTTTTAGTAAGATCCAATTGAATCCGGGAATGAAAACCAAAGTATTCACTTACTTTCTTTATATTATCCAAGTCGATGAGAGCACCCTCACGTGCTTTTAATGGCTTTTCAAATTTCTCGTTGATAATTACAAAAGCGAAAGCATTTTTAACTTCATATTTGTTCAGTAATAACTGCATTTCGATGTCACTCGCCATTTTTTAAAGGAACTCAAATCTAAACACGAGTCAAAAAACTTTACTATAAAAGCAGTGTTTATGATAACAAAATCAGACAGCAAAAGAAAGCGATAATCTTTCAGCTGGCCAAGCCATTCCCTGAAGTGTAAATCACCCGCTTCGTCTTAGGCATATTGCTAATAGCCGTATTTTAGTGCTAAAAAGTACTGGCTGATAGTAGTGAGTTCTATAATAACTGGAGCGGCTATCTCAAGCGCGGCCTTAGATATCTGATGACGCCAAAAAAATGGCGGATTTCGTCCTTTGCCGCTGAGATTTACCGAAATTGACCGCTTTTCCGAAGATTTCACAATTTCCCACTCCCTCCTGAGGAAAAAGTGAGGAAAATGTATGTGTGTATTTGGGATTCGGCAAGCAACTTTTTGATAAAAATCAAGGTAAAAACCTTAAATTCGTAACAGCGAGTCAGCTGTGGTTGCCAGTTATCTGCTCCTACGAGGATGCATTTATAACTATCGACGAAAGACCTATATGTCGGCTACACATGTATGAATGCAGATGTGCGTCGTTTTCTTACCAGCGTCAAACTTGTTTGATCGATTTAACTCTTTAGTCTATACAAAAAAGTATATCATTGTTCATCTCCACGGTTCACGAGAGAGAAGTTAGCTTATTTTTTATCATTGCTATTTTGCTTCTTTTCATGCAATGGGCAATGGGCCATTTTCCTCATACTTGTAAAATGAATGTGTTAAAAATCAAGATTGCATAAGTGTTGAAACACAGTATTTATGGTTCCATTTCGTTAAAATATGCGCAATCAGAGTTTTACGACGATCATGAAAATAATGGAGATTTAAATGAAACTATCTTGTGTTTGATACAGCTCAGGAGAACAGAATATTCGCTTTGAATACTCTAAATTACGCATATTATTATACTGAGATGTTTTGTCAATTCTTCATTTTTAAATAAATTTTAATGCAAAAATTACATCATACAGCAAGCGAAATTATACACTGATTATGTTAGATTATAAGCTTTTTTCTTGGATTAGTATTGACTTTACAATACGCAAGCTTTTTCTACTATGAACAACAAAAACACATTGACACACCAAATGTATATAAAAATCGTTCGATTGTCACGTGTCCACTGATCTATATTTAGTGAACTGAGTTAATATTAACTTTAACAAATAAAATACTTTGTGTTATATTGTATCATGTTGGCAATTATATAAGAGATAATGCTGTTTTATGACGACTTTGGGAAAAATAGAAAATTTAATTAAGAGTATTGATCATGCAATATCCATATAATCTGTGCCATCTATTAATGAACACCCCAAGTCATTACATGTTGTAAATGTAGATCGCCCAGGTTGGTATAGTCCTGAGAAGGACTGTTTTTGTTGTTGTTGACTTACGTTTCGACAACCTTAGCGGTAGTCATCTTCAGAGTCAAATGAGAAGTAAACGTCATGTTAGCCGTATTGTTATCTGGTTATTACGTCATTGTATTGTGTGTACAGGAAATGTGTACAGGACTATACCGACCTGGACGATCTACATTTACAAACATGTAACGATATTCCCGGGCTCAAACCATTTACTTTACCACAGGTCATCGTAAAATCAATGAGTGAAGACGATAACAACTGTATGAATTTGTTTGTTCTGTCATTTTAACTTGTGGTCAGACAATTGACGAAGATGACGGAGATTCTGACGGTGAATCTTAGAAAAAATTGGAGTCGGTTGATAAAGATGCATTAAGAGCACTAAGTAACATTGCAGACAGTATGTGTTTTTTGTTATAAAATGTTTTAAATATCATAAGAGCAAACAACGAAATATTCTCATACTTGTTCAAAAAGTTTCTTTTGCTTTCAATTGCTTATGCAAATTCAATTAAGTGATATCTCTCTTTTTTGCCATAAAGATGATAAGAGATTCACATTACAGCCATCAAACGGCGTGCATAAAATAAAGAAAGGTTATGCTTTAGTCATTCATAACAGATATTTTCACTATCTACGACCGCGACACGGATCTGAGAAAGACTCAAAGGCCATCAAAATGTTTTGTGAAGAAGCGTCTCTAAAAATTGACGTCCAGGAAAACCTCAAAGTGAACGACATTCGAGCCCATTGTCGAAAACTCACAGATGAAGATGATCAAATGTTTAAACAATATGACGGCTTTGTTTGTTTTATTTTAAGCCATGGCAACCGGTAAATATGTAATTTATATAATTTGAGACTTTTGCCTGATAAATTTAGTGCAGGAATGCAAAATGTTAAATGTCTTAGTTACCCTATGGTTACTTGTGGTTGGAGAGAAATTGGAACAATTGCGTTTGCAGTATATAATTGAATTTTTTGTATTTTTTAAACAATACTTCATAATTTTTATTTCACAACATCACCATCGTATAAACAACATAACCTAGCCCAACTCAACACAGCTCTCCAGTAGCAGTAAAACTGTTCTCTTTAGATCAGATATAAAAGGTGTTTACGAGGACATTATCAGCATTCAAGAGATTGCGTCATATTTCAAAGAATGCGATGATCTCTAAGGAAAACCGAAGATCTTTTTCGTGCAAGCATGTCGTGCTAATGAAATAGAGGACGATGGGATAGAGGAGGATCATAGAACACGTTTGTGTCCCCCAGATTCCTCTAATATCCTCATTGCATACTCAACCATCGAAGGAAAACTTTCCTATACAGATATTTACAATGGTTCATGGTTTATTCAAACACTAGTGAAACAACTAAATACGCATGCGCAGAGCTACCATTTAATGGATATAATGACAATGGTAAACGAAGACATCGCAGGAAGTGAACTGGATGGATATAGACAGATGCCAGTTCAAGTTTCTACTTTGACGAAATTTATATGGTTTAAAATGGCCATCAATGTTGACATTGGAAGAAAGTCCAATAGAGACAAGATGAACTTTAACTGGGGTGGCCATCATGGACAGCAGGGTGTCTTCGCTCAGCCACTTGTTCAACTGTTCGAATCACTGCCTGAGAAGCTCTGTTTTGTAACTATTTTCAGCAAAAATAGGTTTTGGTTTGTTTTTTAAATGTTCATTTTTGGCCAACGATAGAACCATCTTGTCGAGAGAGATAGTCTGACCATGAACTCCATAAACGTGATTGCGTTCTCCGTAACTGGATATGAATGCAATGAAGGCGTCATGACTGCTAAAATTTTGCTTTCCCTTCTTTTTAAAGATTTTCTTCATTTCATTTCTTGTTTTATTTTTTTCCACTTGAATTTTAATGCTAAATGTCGTGTACACTTGCTGAATATTTTTCAAGTCAATATCGGCACCCTCTCGATATTTCATTTCTTGAACGTCGAAATCTTTATTTATAATATCTAGAGCATAACCTTTTTTGATCACATATTCCTCTAGCGTTTAATCTTCATTAGTTGCCATTTCATCAACGTCACTCTACAAGTCAGATTTTGAAGGATTCATCTTGAGTGTATTAAAAAACGTAAGTCAGTTAGGAATGAAGTTCTTCTAATCAAACATACCTTTTAAATAGTATCACCAGCAAACGATTCTTTTAGGTAAAAGTTATGTAACGTTAATAAGAAATGTTTATTAAAAGGCCAAAGACTGGATGTTGTCAATTTACGAGCATATAGATTTTTGAATGAACAAAATAGCGATAAAATTAATTTCCCGAGGCAACCCCAACAAGTAATATGTATATAATAGCTGAAAATCAAAACACGAAAGCTGTTACCAGGCATTCAGGAACTATCTGCAGGCATTTTCTTGTTCGGTCGAGAAATTTGTTAAATAAAACATTAAATAAAAAGTTGCATCAAAGTCAATCTTATCGTCATCGTCTTCCTTGATGACAAATATACCTACAGAAAACTTCATAAAAACCTGAGTTGGGTTTCTACAAACAAAAAACGTTGTCATACGAAAATCTTAAATCATCAACGTTTCAAATAGAAAGATTAATGCCGAAAATCAGAGAACAAATGAAAAAAAATTTTCATCGTTCATCTGAGCAATTCACTGAGGTATAGTGGGGTATAGTTTAACAAAATTGTATAGAAATTATTCTTGTTTAAAATTAATAAAACGACCACAATTGACTGCTGAGACATTTATTAAAACATTTCTTTTTCTGACTCTCCACTTATTTACCTCCTGTTGTGCTTTTATGTGGTAACATTGCAAAACACGAACAAATATATCAACAAATATTGATTCCAAAACATGAATACCAAGGAGTATTGCTAACTGTATGGTGAATAAGGCTGGTGGTTCTCATAGTTAATCGGGTAGCTTTACAATTGATATAGTTTATAAATAAATAGATTTATTTTCTTTATTAACATGCTTTCATCTTTACTTATCACAGTTCAAGTCACCAAGAGTGTAAAATTCTTTATTGTCATTGTCAATATCTTTGATAAATTTCTTAAATTCCTTAAAGAAATCAGTTGATGCATTGGTCATTGGTGGTCTATATATTGTTGACACTACAAATTTCTTGCCATTCTAGCTAACGGCCTCTAAAAGTTGTAGTTTATGTAGAAAAGCACACAGAAGAAAATCAATTTAAAACTAATTACAAAATCGAGAGATTAATTATTAAGTGTTACATCGATTGCCCAAAGAGCTTATTAATTTAAATAATCAAATTACACATAAAATGAGTATAGCATTTTGAATGTCTTACAGAATGTCAACGAAATTGAGAAGCGATTTCTTTTTAAAAAAAGAAAATCATAAGTTGTCTCTCAGTTTCATAGGAGTATAGAGAGCCATTCAGTCACATAAGGACGTTGCAAAATACAAATTCTACGTATTGTTTTTAAAATACAAATGAAATATTGTTCAAATTATCAAGCACAGTTAGTTCCTTTAAAAATATGGAATAGTCATTTGCTTAACAAATGCATTTTAAACATTAATTCATTATTTAGTCTTCATACAATGATGCAATAAGCCCTTTCACTTAAGACAGCTCTTTGAAAGCGAAGAGCCATTCTCAAACTGCTGGAAAAACAAGGCACTTGACTCGTACCTTTCGCATCAACATTAGCTACGAAGTCATTTACCATAGTAAGAATATCAGTCAACGACATTTTGTCACCGAAATCCTTCAAAAAAGTTGTTAACCAATGCATAAACCACGAACCAAACACAGAGTCATGATATGTTTTACCTGTAAGCAAATTGGAATGGGCGACGAGAACGTCAGCATGCATAGGCAATGGAACGTCACTGCCGTGATCGGCTTTAACCACACTGTAGTTACTATTTTCAGAAAAAATAAGTTTCGGCTTATTTTCTCCTGAGTTATTTAAGGTTGGATTTTTGGCCATGGACTTAACAAAATCGTCAATAGAAATCTTCTGACCACATACTCCAATGACGTTATTATGTTCTCCGTAACTGGATATGAATACAATCAATGCATCGTATGCACCAAAGTCATCCTTTTTTATTTTCTCGAGGACTTTCTGCTCCATTTCATCTCTACTCAAATTTTCTTCCACATGTTTCTCAAAGCCAAAGGTTTCGCACACTTGTAGAATATTTCTTAAGTCAACTTGAGCACCTTCTCGTTTCTTTGTACTAAAGATTTCATTGACTATTATGAAAACAAATGCTTTCTTGATTAAACGCTCAGTCTTTGAAAGATCTTTATTACTTTGCATCTCAGTCTTTGAAAGATCTTTATTACCTTCCATCTCAGTCTTTGAAACATCATTATTATCTCCCACCTCAGTCTTTAAAACGTGTTCATCATCTCCAAACTCAGTCTTTGGAACATGTTCACTCTCTTCGTTTTCGGTAGCATCAGGGTGTGGAGCTTCATCAGATTTTTGGGTTTTACTAGTGGGAAATTCTTCGTTTTCGGTGGCAGCGGAGTTTGAATCTTGATCAGATTGTTGGGTTTCACAAGTGGGAACTCCTCGATTTTTGGTAGCATCGAAGTTTGAATCTTTATCAGATTGTTGGGTTTCACTTGTGGGAAATCTTCCGTTTTCGGTAGCATCGGAGTTTGAATCTTTATCAGATTGTTGAGTTTCACTAAGGGGAACTTCTCTAGGCAAGGAGACCTCAGTTCCTTTAATGGGTTTTTTGAAAAATACAGACATCGTGAGACTGTGCGAAAAGCAAGGCATCTGTTTTAAGTCATGTTCGCTTGAGAAAGAACGTCTAGCAACAAGATTATGCACCTCTGAGAGAATATCAATCAACGACATGTTTTCATCATGACGTAGGAGAGCTTCCGTGAAGTAATGAATGAACCATGAACCTTTTTTAGGATCTCGGTAAGCTTCAGCGTTAAAAACAGTGGAATATGCAATTAAAACATTGCGATGTGATGGTATTGAGATGGGGGTAGTACGAATACTCTGCTTGATAACTTCACCGCTAGAATTCTTCTGGGTGATTTCCCTTCCTCGGCAATGTTGTGCAATAATAATAATTGGCTTTCCTTTCAAAGATTTGTTGTGTGCCAGTATATCGACTAGATCGTTAAGGTAAACAATTTTACCATCAATTCCATACACTCCATCTGTCTGTCTATTATTTCCCCTACTGTCTTTAAAGTCCTCACCCTCTCCATGACTAGATATAAAACATATAAATGCGTCATTGTTGTTGAATTTTGGTTCTTCCAATTTATTGAACTCCTCTTCCATTTTTTCTTGAGTCAAATTCTGTTTCACATTGTCTTCAAAACCAAATTTCTTGATCAACTTCTTCACATTTTGGAAGTCAACATCAGCACCAATACGTCTCTCAAAACGACGATCTTTAAAGTTCTCGTTGATTATTGCGAAAACGCAAGCTTTTTTAACTTCATACTTTTTAAATAAAAATTGCATGTTTGAGTTGTTTGCCATCTTTAGAACAAACTTAAAATAAATAACGAGTAAAAAGACGTCTAAAAAGCGTTAATGACAACGAAATCCGGTAACAAAAAATGTAGCTAAAAGTCCTTCAACTGGCTTATTCACCTACGTGTTATCAAATAAAATGTATGAACGGAATTCGTTCTGTTAGGCGTACATAACAATTGCATCATACAGACACGTATCTTTTATATTCAATATCAATAAAATATTTAAAATTGTCGACATCAAATGACGAAAACTTCCTGCTGTGTCATTATTTAAAATATTTCTGTATTCGTGCTTTCATACCTCCTGTCTTGTTATTATAATGTAACTTTGCAAAACATGAACAAAAAACATATAAAGATATAAAAATATATATTGCAATCTCAAGTATTAGTGTTTCATTTCTCTACGTATTAAGCAACGTATTTATTTATCTATTCATTTATTTACTCATTTGTTAAGTGTACTTGATTGTACACATAATATATTAATACAATAAAAATTTCTCGACGACATTGGTCCAGATATTAATATTAGTATTTTAAATACTGAACTGATACTGCATAAATGAAATTTGTCCATATTTAGAATCATGCAATCGCATCTATATGGCTTACACGACTCTTTGAAAACGGAGAGCCATTCTAAAACTGCTCGAAAAACAAGGCATTTGATCTTTAGTGCCTCTTACATCAACATTAGCTACAAAGTCATTCACCATAGTAAGAATATCAGTCAACGACATTTTCTCATCGAAATCCTTCAAAAAAGTTGTTAACCAATGCATAAACCACGAGCCAAACACAGAGTCATAACATGTTTTATATGTAAGCAAATTGGAATGGGCGACGAGAACTTCGCATACATAGGCAATGGAATGTCACTGCCGTGATCGGTTTTAGCCACACTGTAGTTACTATTTTCAAAAAAAATAAGCTTCGACTTAGTTTCTCTTAAGTTATTTAAGGTTGAATTTCAGGTTATCGAATTATCGAATTCGTAAATAGAAATCTTCTGACCACATACTCCAATGACGTCATTATGTCCTCCCTAACTGGATATGAAAACAATCAGCGCATCATATTCACTAAAGTCATCCTTTTCTATCTTCTTGAAGATTATCTCCATTTTGTGTCTTATCATATTCATTTCCACATGTTTCGTAAAGCCAAAGGTTTGCACACTTGTAGAATATTCCTTAGTCAACTTGAGCACCTTCTCGTTTCTTTGTATTGAAGACTTCATTAGTATGAAAACAAAAGCTTTCTCGATTAAACGCTTCTCTACTTTGAACTCTTCAACAGTCGTCATTTCAGAAAGTTACTTTCAAGAAAGTTATGTCGGTGAATTCTGAATTAATCGCAATTGTGAATTACAAAAAGTAATTTAATTTAAAGGAAATTTCTTTTGACAGACATACTTTTCAAACTTGTCGAAACAAGATATAATCCTATTACAATAGCAAAAGTATAAAGCATTATAAAGACGCCAAAGACTACATAGTTCAAAGTTGTCATTAGTTGGAATCTTTGTTTTGAATGAAGAAAATAGCAGTGGAATTAAAGTTAGCCCCCTATTGCGAGAGTTATGTATGAAATGACTTCAATTATATTTAATATCTAAGACTGAGGTGGGAGAGAATGAAGATGTTTCGAAGAATGAGGTGGGAGAGAATGAATATATTTCAAAAAATGAGGTGAGAGATGGTGTTGCTAAGCTTAAATTTCATGCCAACATTGTATTCTTTACAGTTTTGCAAAATCCAACCGATTTTTACACAGACCATGCACATATAGAAAACCTTTACATTTGTTCGACAATGCTGCGACAACCAAATAAATTAGTTTTTACAAATAATAAAACAAAAACGCCATGAATATCGCGTCAACACATTGTAAAGAAAGGATCTAATTTGATGAAGTTTTTTCCCCTCAATACCTGGCTCAATAAACATGATAAAAATGCGAGGCGACCTAGCAGTTACTATGGCTGACAACGAAATCAAAACACAAAAAATGTTACAAGGCATTTAGGAATCACTTGCTGGCATTTTCTTATACGGTCAAGAAAGTTGTTAAATAAAACATTAAATAACCAAAATTGCATCAAAGTCAATCTTTTATTGGCATAACAAAATCTTAAATTACCAACGATTCAAAGAGAAAGATTAATGCCGAAAATCAGAAAACAAATGAAAAAATTTAATCGTTCATTTGAGCAATTCACCAAGATAAACGAAATGCGTTGTGTGGGGTATAGTTTAACAAAATTGTATAGAAACGATTCTTAATATAAATAAATAAAATTCCTAACATCAAATGAACACAATTGCCTGCTGAGCCATTTATTACAACATTTCTTTTTCTGACTCTCCACTTATTTACCTCCTGTTGTGCTTTTAAGTGGTAACTTTGCAAAAGATGAAAAAATACAATATAAGGATATAAAAATACATATTGCAGTATGAAGTATTAGTGTTTCAACTCTCTACGTATTGTGCTACGGGTTTATTTATCTATTCATTTAGTTACTCATTTGTTAAGTGTACTTCATTCTATACATAATATATTAAAACAATAAAAATTTCTCGACGACATTGGTCCAGATATTAATATTAGTATTTTAAATACTAAACTTACAGTGCATAAAAAAATTTGTCCATATTTAAAATCATGCAGTCGCAGCTATGTAGCTTACACAACTCTTTGAAAACGGAGAGCCATTCTCAAACTGCTCGAAAAACAAGGCACTTGATCCTTAGTGCCTCTCACACCAATATTAGCTACAAAGTCATTTACCATAGTGAGAATATCAGTCAACGACATTTTGTCACCGAAATCCTTCAAAAAAGTTGTTAACCAATGCATAAACCACGAGCCAAACACAGAGTCATGATATGTTTTACCTCTAAGCAAATTGGAATGGGCGACGAGAACGTCAGCATGCATAGGCAATGGAACGTCACTGCCAAGATCGGTTTCAACCTTAATGTAGTTACTATTTTCAGAAAAAATAAGTTTAGGCTTGTTTTTTCTTGAGTTATTTAAGGTTGGATTTCTGGCCATCGACTTAACGAAATCATCAATAGAAATCTTCTGACCACATACTCCAATGACGTCATTATGTTCTCCGTAACTGGATATGAATACAATCAACGCATCGTATTCATCAAAGTTATCATTTTTTATTTTCTCGAGGACTTTCTGCTCCATTTCATCTCTACTCAAATTTTCTTCCACATGTTTCTCAAAGCCAAAGGTTTCGCACACTTGTAGAATATTCCTTAAGTCAACTTGAGCACCTTGTCGTTTCTTTGTATTAAAGATTTCATTGATTATTATGAAAACAAAAGCTTTCTCGATTAAGCGCTCAGTCTTTGGAACATCTTTATTACCTTCCATCTCAGTCTTTGAAACATCTTTATTTTCTTCGTTTTCGGTAGCACTGGAGTTTAAAGCTTTATCAGAATGTTGGGTTTCACTAGTGGGAACTCCTTGGTTTTCGGTAGCATCGGAGTTTGAATCTTTATCATGTTGTTGGGTTTCACCAGTGGGAACTCCTCGGTTTTCGGTAGCATCGGAGTTTGAATATTTATCATGTTGTTGGGTTTCACCAGTGGGAACTCCTCGGTTTTCGGTAGCATCGGAGTTTGAATATTTATCAGATTGTTCGGTTTCACTAGTGGGAACTCCTCGGTTTTCGGTAGCATCGGAGTTTGAATATTTATCAGAATGTTGGGTTTCACTAGTGGGAACTCCTCGGTTTTCGGTAGCATCGGAGTTTGAATCTTTATCATATTGTTTGGTTTCACCAGTGGGAACTCCTCGGTTTTCGGTAGCATCGGAGTTTGAATCTTTATCAGATTGTTTGGTTTCACCAGTGGGAACTCCTCGGTTTTTGGTAGCATCGGAGTTTGAATCTTTATTAGATTGTTCGGTTTCACTAGTGGGAACTCCTCGGTTTTCGGTAGCATCGGAGTTTGAATCTTTATCAAATTGTTTGGTTTCACTAGTGGGAGCTCCTTGGTTTTCGGTAGCATCGGAGTTTGAATTTTTATCATATTGTTTGGTTTCACTAGTGGGAACTCCTCGGTTTTTGGTAGCATCGGAGTTTGAATATTGATCAGATTGTTTGGTTTCACTAGTGGGACCTCCTCGGTTTCGGTAGCATCGGAGTTTGAATATTGATCGGATTGTTCGGTTTCACTAGTGGGACCTCCTCGGTTTTCGGTAGCATCGGAGTTTGAATCTTTATCAAATTGTTTGGTTTCACTAGTGGGAACTCCTTGGTTTTCGGTAGCATCGGAGTTTGAATTTTTATCATATTGTTTGGTTTCACTAGTGGGAACTCCTCGGTTTTCGGTAGCATCGGAGTTTGAATTTTTATCATATTGTTTGGTTTCACTAGTGGGAACTCCTCGGTTTTTGGTAGCATCGGAGTTCGAATCTTTATCAGATTGTTGGGTTTCACGAGTGGGAACTGGCTTAGACAAAGAGATCTCAGTTCCTATAATGGGTTTTTTGAAAAATACAGACATCGTGAGACTGTGTGAAAAGCAAGGCATCTGTTTTATGTCATCTTTGTTTGTGAAAGAACGTCTAGCAACAAGATTATGCACCTCTGAGAGAATATCAATCAACGAAATGTTTTCATCATGCTGTAGGAGAGCTTCGGTGAAGTAATGAATGAACCATGAACCTGTTACAGTATTTCGGTAAGTTTGAGCGTTAAAAACGGTGGAATATGCAATTAAAACATTGCGATGTGATGGTATTGAGATGGGGGTAGTACGAATACTCTGCTCGATAACTTCACCGCTAGAATTCTTGTGGGTGAATTCCCTTCCTCGGCAATGTTGTGCAATAATAATAATTGGCTTTCCTTTCAAAGATTTGTTGTGTGCCAGTATATCGACTAGATCGTCAAGGTAAACAATTTCACCATCAGTGCCGTACACTCCATCTCTCTTTTTATCAATTCCTCTACTGTCTTTAAAGTACTCACCCTCTCCATGAGTAGATATAAAACATATAAATGCGTCATTGTTGTTGAATTTTGGTTCTTCCAATTTATTGAACTCCTCTTCCATTTTTTCTTGAGTCAGATCCTGTTTCACATTGTCTTCAAAACCAAATTTCTTGATCAACTTCTTCACATTTTGGAAGTCAACATCAGCACCAATACGTCTCTCAAAACGACGACCTTTAAAGTTCTCGTTGATTATTGCGAAAACGTAAGCTTTTTTAACTTCATACTTTTTCCATAAAAATTTTATGTTTGAGTTGTTTGCCATCTTTGGAACAAACTTAAAATAAATAACAAGTAAAAAGACGTCTAAAAAGCGTTAGTAACAACGAAGTCTTGTAACAAAAAATGAAGCTAAGAGTCATTCAACTGGCTTATTCACCTACGTGTTATCAAATGAAATGTATGAACGGAATTCGTTCTGTTAAGCGTACATAACAATTGCATCATGCAGACACGTACCTTTTATATTCAATATCAATAAAATAATTAAAATTGTCGACATTAAATGACGAAAACTTCCTGCTGTGTCATTAATTAAAATATTTCTGTATTCGTGCTTTCATACCTCCTGTCTTGTTATTATAATGTAACTTTGCAAAACATGAACAAAAAACATATAAAGATATAAAAATATATATTGCAATCTCAAGTATTACTGTTTTAACTCTCTACGTATTGTGCAACGTATTTATTTATCTATTCATTTATTTACTCATTTGTTAAGTGTACTTGATTCTATACATAATATATTAATACAATAAAAATTCCTCGACGACATTGGTCAAGATATTAATATTAGTATTTTAAATACTGAACTTATAGTGCATAAATGAAACTTGTCTATGTTTAGAATTGTGCAATCGCAGCTATGTGGCTTACACAACTCTTTGAAAACGGAGAGCCATTCTTTTGGACATACAAGGTTTTGCACACTTGTTGAATATTCTTTAAGTCACACTGAGCACCCTCTCGTTTCTTTGTATGAAAGACTTCATTATTATGAAAACAAAAGCTTTCTCTATTAAACGCTTCTCTACTTTGAACTCTTCGACAGTCGTCATTTCAGCAAGTTATTTTCAAGAAAGTAATGTCGGTGAATTCTGAAGTATTCGCAATTGTGAATTACAAAAAGTAACTTAATTTAAAGGAAATTTCTTTTCACAGACATACCTTTCAAACTTTTCGAAACAAGAAATGATCATATAACTGTAGCAAAAGTAGGAAGAGTTATAAAGACGCCAAAGACTGGATAGTGCAAAGTTGTCATCAATTAGAATCTTTGTTTTAAATGAAGAAAATAGCGGTGGAATTAAAGTTAGCCCCCTAGTGCGGGAATTATGTATGAAATGACTTCAATTATAGTTAAAATCTATGAATGAGGTGGGAAATAATAACGATGTTTCAAAAATTGAGGTGGGAGAGAATGAAGATGTTTCAAAGAATGAGATAAGAGATGGTGTTGTTAATCTTAAATTTCATGCCAACATTGTATTCTTTACAACTGAGAAAGGATCTAATTTGATGAAGTTTTTTGCCCTCAATACCTGGCTCAATAAACATGATAAAAATGCGAGGTGACCCAGCAGGTACTATGGCTGCCAACGAAATCAAAACACAAAAAATGTTACCAGGCGTTCAGAAATCACCTGCAGGCATTTTCTTATACGGTCAAGAAAGTTGTTAAAGAAAACATTAAATAACCAAAATTGCATCAAAGTCAATCTTACGTAGGCATTACAAAATCTTAAATTCCCAACGCTTCAAAGAGAAAGATTAATGCAGAAAATCAGAAAACAAATGAACAAAAAATTTAATCGTTCATCTGAGTAATTCACCGAGACAAACGAAATGCGTTGTGTGGGGTATAGTTCAACAAATTGTATAGAAATGATTCTTGGTTGAAATTAATAAAATGACCACAATTGACTGCTGAGCCATTTATTAAAACATTTCTTTTTCTGACTCGCCACTTATTTACCTCCTGTTGTGCTTTTATGTGGTAACATTGCAAAAGACGAGCAATTATATCAAATATTGACTCCAAAACATGAATACCAAGGAGTATTGCTAACTGTATGGTCAATAAGGCTAGTGGTTCTCATAGTTAATCGGGTAGCTTTACAATTGATATATTTTATAAATAGATTTATTTTCTCTATTAACATGCTTTCATCTTTACTTATCACAGTTCAAGTCACCAAGAGTATAAAATTCTTTATTGTCATTGTCAATATCTTTGATAAATTTCTTAAATTCCTAAAAGAAATCAGTTGATGCATTGGTCATTGGTGGTCTATATATTGTTGATACAACAAATTGCTTTCCATTCTAGCCTTTAGAAGTTGTAGTTTACGTAGAAAAGCATACAGAAGAAAATAAATTTAAAACTAATTACAAAATCGAGAGATTAATTAAGTGTTACATCGATTGCCCAGAGAGTTTATTAATTTAAATAATCAAATTACACATAAAATGAGTATAGTATTTACAATTTGCAGCATGTCAACGAAAATGAGAAGCGATTCTCCTTTTAGAAGAAGAAAATCATAAGCTGTCTCTAACTTTCATACGAATATAGAATGTCATTCAGTCACGTAAGGACGTTGGAAAATACAAACAAATTCTACATATTGTTTTTAAAATACAAATGAAAAATTGTTAAAATTATCAAGCACAGTTAGTTCCTTTAAAAATATGAATTAGTCATTTGCTTAACTAATGCATTTTAAACATTAATTCTTTATTTACCCTTCATGCAATGATGCAACGACCCCCTTTCACTTAAGACAGCTCTTTGAAAGCGTAGAGCCATTCTCAAACTGCTCGAAAAACAAGGCACTTGATTCGTAACTATCTCATCATCTTTAGTTACAAAGTCATTTACTATTGTAAGAATATCAGTCAACGACATTTTGTCACCGAAATCCTTCAAAAAAGTTGTTAACCAATGCATAAACCACGAGCCAAACACAGAGTCATGATATGTTTTACCTCTAAGCAAATTGGAATGGGATACAAGAACGTCAGCATGCATAGGCAATGATACGGCACTGCCGTGATCGGTTCCAACCTCACTGTAGTTACCATTTTCAAAAAAAATAAGTTTCGGCTTATTTCGTTTTGAGTTATTTAAGGTTTGATTTCTGGTCATCGACTCAACGAAATCGTCAATAGAAATCTTCTTACCACATACTCCAATGACGTTATTGTGTTCTCCGTAACTGGATATGAATACAATCAACGCATCGTAAGCACCAAAGTCAGCTTTTTCTATCTTTTTGAGGATTTTCTTCTCTATTTCATCTCTACTCAAATTCTTTTCCACATGTTTCTCAAAGCCAAAGGTTTTGCACACTTGTAGAATATTCCTTAAGTCAATTTGAGCACCCTCTCGTTTCTTTGTATCAAAGACTTCATTATTATGAAAACAAAAGCTTTCTCTATTAAACGCTTCTCTACTTTGAACTCTTCGACAGTCGTCATTTCAGCACGTTACTTTCATGAAAGTAATGTCGGTGAATTCTGAAGTATTCGCAATTGTGAATTACAAAAAAAGTAATTTAATTTAAAGGAAATTTCTTTTGACAGACATACCTTTCAAACTTGTCGAAACAAGAAATGATCCTATTACAGTAGCAAAAGAATGAAGCGTTATAAAGACGCCAAAGACTGGATAGTGTAAAGTTGTCATCAGTTAGAATTTTTGTTTTGATTAAACAAAACAGCGGCGGAATTAAAGTTAGCCCCCTAGTGCGGGAATTCTGTATGAAATGACTTCAATTATAGTTAATATGTAAGACTGAGGTGGGAGAGAATGAAGATGTTTCAAAGAATAAGGTGGAAGATGGTGTTGCTAAGCTTAAATTTCATGAATGCCAACATTACATCCTTCACAGTTTTGCAAAATCTAACCGATTTTTACAAAGACCATGCACACATAGAAAACCTTTACATTTGTTCCACAATGCGGCAGCAACCAAATAAATAAGTTTTTACAAATATTAAAACAAAAACGTCATGAATATCGCGTCAACACATTGTAAAGAAAGGATCTAATTTGATGAAGTTTTTTCCCTTCAATACCAGGCTCAATAAACATGATAAAAATGCGAGGCGACCCAGCAGTTACTAAGGCTGCCAACGAAATCAAAACACAAAAAATGTTACCAGGCATTCAGGAATCACCTGCAGGCATTTTCTTATACGGTCAAAAAAGTTGTTAAATAAAACATTAAATAACCAAAATTGCATTAAAGACAATATTACGTTGGCATTACAAAATCTCAAATTACCAACGCTTCAAAGAGAAAGATTAATGCCGAAAATTAGAAAACAAATGAAAAAATTTCAACGTTCATCTGAGCAATTCACCGAGATAAACAAAATTCGTTGTGTGGGGTCTAGTTTAACAAAATTGTATAGAAACGATTCTTAATTGAAATAAATAAAATTCCTAACATCAAATGAACACAATTGCCTGCTGAGCCATTTATTACAACATTTCTTTTTCTGACTCTCCACTTATTTACCTCCTGTTGTGCTTTTAAGTGGTAACTTTGCAAAAGATGAAAAAATACAATATAAGGATATAAAAATACATATTGCAGTATGAAGTATTAGTGTTTCAACTCTCTATGTATTGTGCAACGTGTTTATTTATCTATTCATTTAGTTACTCATTTGTTAAGTGTACTTCATTCTATACATAATATATTAAAACAATAAAAATTTCTCGACGACATTGGTCCAGATATTAATATTAGTATTTTAAATACTAAACTTACAGTGCATAAAAAAACTTGTCCATATTTAGAATCATGCAGTCGCAGCTATGTAGCTTACACAACTCTTTGAAAACGGAGAGCCATTCTCAAACTGCTCGAAAAACAAGGCACTTGATCCTTAGTGCCTCTCACACCAACATTAGCTACAAAGTCATTTACCATAGTGAGAATATCAGTCAACGACATTTTGTCACCGAAATCCTTCAAAAAAGTTGTTAACCAATGCATAAACCACGAGCCAAACACAGAGTCATGATATGTTTTACCTCTAAGCAAATTAGAATGGGCGACGAGAACGTCAGCATGCATAGGCAATGGAACGTCACTGCCGTGATCGGTTTCAACCACACTGTAGTTACTATTTTCAGAAAAAATAAGTTTCGGCTTATTTTTTCTTGAGTTATTTAAGGTTGGATTTCTGGTCATCGACTCAATGAAATCGTCAATAGAAATTTTCTGACCACATACTCCAATGACGTCATTATGTTCCCCGTAACTGGATATGAATACAATCAACGCATCGTATGCACCAAAGTCATCCTTTTCTATTTTCTCGAGGACTTTCTGCTCCATTTCATCTCTACTCAAATTTTCTTCCACATGTTTCTCAAAGCCAAAGGTTTCGCACACTTGTAGAATATTCCTTAAGTCAACTTGAGCACCTTGTCGTTTCTTTGTATTAAAGATTTCATTGATTATTATGAAAACAAAAGCTTTCTCGATTAAACGCTCAGTCTTTGGAAAATCTTTATTACCTTCAATCTCAGTCTTTGAAACATCTTTATTTTCTTCGTTTTCGGTAGCACTGGAGTTTAAAGCTTTATCAGAATGTTGGGTTTCACTAGTGGGAACTCCTCGGTTTTCGGTAGCATCGGAGTTTGAATCTTTATCATGTTGTTGGGTTTCACTAGTGGGAACTCCTCGGTTTTCGGTAGCATCGGAGTTTGAATCTTTATCAGATTGTTGGGTTTCACTAGTGGGAGCTCCTCGGTTTCGGTAGCATCGGAGTTTGAATCTTTATCAGATTGTTGGGTTTCACCAGTGGGAACTCCTCGGTTTTCGGTAGCATCGGAGTTTGAATCTTTATTAGATTGTTGGGTTTCACTAGTGGGAACTCCTCTAGGCAAACAGAACTCAGTTCCTATAATGGGTTTTTTGAAAAATACAGACATCGTGAGACTGTGCGAAAAGCAAGGCATCTGTTTTAAGTCACGTTCGTTTGAGAAAGAACGTCTAGCAACAAGATTATGCACCTCTGAGAGAATATCAATCAACGACATGTTTACATCACGATGTACGAGAGCTTCCGTGAAGTAATGAATGAACCATGAACCTTTTTTAGGATCTCGGTAAGCTTCAGCGTTAAAAACGGTGGAATATGCAATTAAAACATTGCGATGTGATGGTATTGAGATGGGGGTAGTACAAATACTCCACTTGATAACTCCACCGCTATAATTCTTCTGGATTATTTTCTTTCCTCGGCAATATTGTGCAATAATAATAATTGGCTTTCCTTTCAAAGAATCGTTTTGTGCCAGTATATCGACTAGATCGTCAAGGTAAACACTTTCACCATCAATTCCGTACACCCCCTCTCTCTTTTTATCATTTCCCCTACTGTCTTGAAAGTACTCACCCTCTCCATGACTAGATATAAAACATATAAATGCGTCATTGTTGTTGAATGTTGGTTCTTTCATTCTATCGAACACCTCTAGCATTTCTCTTTCCGTCAGATCCTTTTTAATATTTTCTTCAAAACCAAATGCCTTGATCAACCTCTTCACATTAACGAAGTCAACACCAGCACCTATACGTTTCTTAAAACGACGACCTTTAAAATTCTCGTTGATTATTGCGAAAACGTAAGCATTTTTCACTTCATACTTTTTCCACAAAAATTGCATGTTTGAGTTGTTTGCCATCTTTGGAACAAACTTAAAATAAATAACGAGTAAAAAGACGTCTAAAAAGCGTTAATGACAACGAAATCCGGTAACAAAAAATGAAGCTAAAAGTCATTCAACTGGCTTATTCACCTACGTGTCATCAAATGAAATGTATGAACGGAATTCGTTGTGTTGAGCGTACATAACAATTGCATCATGCAGACACGTATCTTTTAAATTCAATATCAATAAAATAAATAAAATTGTCGACATCAAAGGACGAAAACATCCTGCTGTGTCATTAATTAAAATATTTCTGTATTCGTGCTTTCACACCTCCTGTCTTGTTATTATAATGTAACTTTGCAAAACATGAACAAAAAACATATAAGGATATAAAAATATATATTGCAATCTCAAGTATTAGTGTTTCAACTCTCTACGTATTGTGCAACGTATTTATTTATCTATTCATTTATTTACTCATTTGTTAAGTGTACTTGATTCTATACATAATATATTAATACAATAAAAATTTCTCGACGACATTGGTCGAGATATTAGTGTTTGTATTTTAAATACTGAACTAATAGTGCATTAATAAAACGTGTCCATATTTAGAATTGTGCAATCGCAGCTATGTGGCTTACACAACTCTTTGAAAACGGAGAGCCATTCTCAAACTGCTCGAAAAACAAGGCACTTGATCCTTAGTGCCTCTCACACCAACATTAGCTAGAAAGTCATTTACCATAGTAAGAACATCAGTCAACGACATTTTTTCACAGAAATCCTTCAAGAAATTGTTAACCAATGTATAAACCACGAGCCAAACACAGAGTCATCTTATGTTTTATCTGTAAGCAAATTGGAATAGTCGACGAGAACGTCAGCATGCATAGGCAATGGAACGGCACTGCCGTGATGGCACTCTCATTTCTTTGTATCAAAGACTTCATAATTATGAAAACAAAAGCTTTCTCGATTAAACGCTTCTCTACTTTGAACTCTTCGACAGTCGTCATTTCAGCAAGTTACTTTTAAGAAAGTAATGCCGGTGAATTCTGAAGTATTCGCAATTGTGAATTACAAAAAGTACTTTAATTTAAAGGAAATTTCTTTTGACAGACATACCTTTCAAACTTGTCGAAACAAGAAATGATCCTATTACAGTAGCAAAAGTACGAAGAGTTATAAAGACGCCAAAGACTGGATAGTGTAAAGTTGTCATCAGTTAGAATTTTTATTTTTAATAAACAAAACAGCGGCGGAATTAAAGTTAGCCCCCTAGTGCGGGAATTGTGTATGAAATGACTTCAATTATAATTAATATCTAAGACTGAGGTGTGAGATAATAAAGATGTTTCAAAGACTGAGGTGCGAGAGAATGAAGATGTTTCGAAGAATGAGGTAAGAGATGGTGTTGCTAAGCTTAAATTTCATGCCAATATTGCATTCTTTACAGTTTTGCAAAATCCAACCGATTTTTACACAGACCATGCACATATAGAAAACCTTTACATTTGTTTGACAATGCGGCGACAACCAAATAAATTAGTTTTTACAAATAATAAAACAAAAACGTCATGAATATCGCGTCAACACATTGTAAAGAAAGGATCTAATTTGATGAAGTTTTTTCCCTTCAATACCTGGCTCAAAAAACTTGATATAAATGCGAGGCGACCTAGCAGGTCTTATGGCTGACAACGAAATCAAAACACAAAAAATGTTACAAGGCATTTAGGAATCACTTGCTGGCATTTTCTTATACGGTCAAGAAAGTTGTTAAATAAAACATTAAATAACCAAAATTGCATTAAAGACAATATTACGTTGGCATTACAAAATCTCAAATTACCAACGCTTCAAAGAGAAAGATTAATGCCGAAAATTAGAAAACAAATGAAAAAATTTCAACGTTCATCTGAGCAATTCACCAAGATAAACAAAATTCGTTGTGTGGGGTATAGTTCAACAAAATTGTATAGAAACGATTCTTAATTGAAATAAATAAAATTCCTAACATCAAATGAACACAATTGCCTGCTGAGCCATTTATTACAACATTTCTTTTTCTGACTCTCCACTTATTTACCTCCTGTTGTGCTTTTAAGTGGTAACTTTGCAAAAGATGAAAAAATACAATATAAGGATATAAAAATACATATTGCAGTATGAAGTATTAGTGTTTCAACTCTCTATGTATTGTGCTACGGGTTTATTTATCTATTCATTTAGTTACTCATTTGTTAAGTGTACTTCATTCTATACATAATATCTTAATACAATAAAAATTTCTCGACAACATTGGTCGAGATATTAATATTAGTATTTTAAATACTGAACTTACAGTGCATAAATGAAACTTGTCCATATTTAGAATCATGCAGCCGCAGCTATGTGGCTTACACAACTCTTTGAAAACGGAGAGCCATTCTCAAACTGCTCGAAAAACAAGGCACTTGATCCTTAGTGCCTCTCACACCAACATTAGCTACAAAGTCATTTACCATAGTGAGAATATGAGTCAACGACATTTTGTCACCGAAATCCTTCAAAAAAGTTGTTAACCAATGCATAAACCACGAGCCAAACACAGAGTCATGATATGTTTTACCTCTAAGCAAATTAGAATGGGCGACGAGAACGTCAGCATGCATAGGCAATGGAACGGCCCTGCCGTGATCGGTTTCAACCACACTGTAGCTACTATTTTCAGAAAAAATAAGTTTCGGCTTATTTTCTCCTGAGTTATTTAAGGTTGGATTTTTGGCCATGGACTTAACAAAATCGTCGATAGAAATTTTCTGACCACATACTCCAATGACGTCATTATGTTCTCCGTAACTGGATATGAATACAATCAACGCATCGTATACACTAAAGTCACCCTTTTCTATCTTCTTGAGGATTTTCTCCTCCATTTCATCTCTACTCAAATTTTCTTCCACATGTTTCTCAAAGCCAAAGGTTTCGCACACTTGTAGAATATTCCTTAAGTCAACTTGAGCACCTTCTCGTTTCTTTGTATCAAAGACTTCATTGATTATTATGAAAACAAAAGCTTTCTCGATTAAACGCTCAGTCTTTGAAACATCTTTATTACCTTCCATCTCAGTCTTTGAAACATCTTTATTATCTTCCACCTGAATCTTTGAAGCGTGTTCATCATCTCCAAACTCAGTCTTTGGAACATGTTCATTCTCTTCTTTTTCGGTAGCATCAGGGTTTGGAGCTTCATCAGATTTTTTGGTTTCACTAGTGGGAACTTCTTCGTTTTCGGTAGCATTGGAGTTTGAATCTTTATCAGATTGTTGGGTTTCACTATTGGGAACTCCTCGGTTTTTGCCAGCATCGGAGTTTGAATCTTTATCAGAATGTTGGGTTTCATAAGTGGGAACTCCTCTAGGTAGAGAGACTTCATTTCTTTTAATGGATTTTTTGAAAAATACAGACATCGTGAGACTGTGCGAAAAGCAAGGCATCTGTTTTAAGCCATCTTCGTTTAAGCCATCTTCGTTTATGACAGAGCATCTAGCAACATGATTATGCACCCTTGAGAGAATATCAATCAACGACAAGTTTTCATCATGATGTCGGAGAACCTCCATGAAGTAATAAATGAATAATGAACCTTTTTTAGCATCTGGGTAAGATTCAGCTTTAAAAACGGTGGAATATGCAATTAAAACATTGCGATGTGATGGTATTGTGATGGGGGTAGTACGAATACTCCGCTTGATAACTTCACCCCTAGAATTCTTCTCCAATTCATTTTTCTGGACGATTTCTTTTCCTCGGCAATGTTGTGCAATAATAATAATTGGCTTTCCTTTCAAAGATTCGTTTTGTGCCAGTATATCGACTAGATCGTCAAGGAAAACCATTTCACCATCAATTCCGTACACTCCATCTCTCTGTTTATCATTTCCCCTACTGTCTTGAAAGTACTCACCCTCTCCATGACTAGATATAAAACATATAAATGCGTCATTGTTGTTGAATTTTGGTTCTTTCATTTTTTTGAACTCCTCTAGCATTTTTTTTTCAGTCAGATCAAGTTTAATATTGTCTTCAAAACCAAATGCCTCGATCAACCTCTTCACATTAACGAAGTCAATATCAGCACCTATACGTTGGTTAAAACGACGATCTTTAAATTTCTTGTTGATTATTGCGAAAACGTAAGCTTTTTTAACTTCATACTTTTTCCACAAAAATTGCATGTTTGAGTTGTTTGCCATCTTTGGAACAAACTTAAAATGAATAACGAGTAAAAAGACGTCTAAAAAGCGTTAATGACAACGAAATCCGGTAACAAAAAATGAAGCTAAAAGTCTTTCAACTGGCTTATTCACCTACGTGTTATCAAATAAAATGTATGAACGGAATTCGTTGTGTTGAGCGTACATAAAAATTGCATCATGCAGAGACGTATCTTTTATATTCAATATCAATAAAATAATTAAAATTTTCGACATCAAATGACAAAAACTTCCTGCTGTGTCATTAATTAAAATATTTCTGTATTCGTGCTTTCATACCTCTTGTCTTGTTATTATAATGTAACTTTGCAAAACATGAACAAAAACCATAAAAGAATATAATAATATATATTGCAATCTAAAGTATTATTGTTTCAACTCTCTACGTATTGTGCAACGTATTTATTTATCTATTCATTTATTTACTCATTTGTTAAGTGTACTTGATTCTATACATAATATATTAATAAAATAAAAATTTCTCGACGACTTTGGTCGAGATATTAATATTAGTATTTTAAATAGTGAACTGATAGTGCATAAATGAAACTTGTCCATATTTAGAATTGTGATATCGCAGCTATGTGGCTTACACAACTCTTTGAAAACGGAGAGCCATTCTCAAACTGCTCGAAAAACAAGGCACTTGATCCTTAGTGCCTCTTACATCAACATTAGCTACAAAGTCATTTACCATGGTGAGAATATCAGTCAACGACATTTTGTCACCGAAATCCTCCAAAAAACTAGTTAACCAATATAAAAACCACGAGCCAAAAACAGAGTCATGACATGTTTTATGTGTAAGCAAGCTGGAATGGGCGACGAGAACGTCAGCATGCATAGGCAATGGAACGTCACTGCCGTGATCGGTTTCAACCACACTGTAGTTACTATTTTCAAAAAAAATAAGCTTCGGCTTATTTTCTCTTGAGTTATTTAAGGTTTTATTTCTGGCCATCGACTTAACGAAATCGTCAATAGAAATCTTCTGACCACAAACTCCAATGACGTCATTATGTTCTCCGTAACTGGATATGAATACAATCAACGCATCGTATACCTTAAAGTCATCATTTTCTATCTTCTTGAGGATTATTTCCATTTCATCTCTTTCCAAATTCAATTCCACATGTTTCGTAAAGCCAAAGGTTTTGCACACTTTTTCAATATTCCTTAAGTCAACTTGAGCACCTTCTCGTTTCTTTGTATCAAAGACTTCATTGATTATTATAAAAACAAAAGCCTTCTTGATTAAACGCTCAGTTTTTGAAACATCTTCATTATCTTCGTTTTCGGTAGCATCGGAGTTTGAATCTTTATGAGATTGTTGGGTTTCACTAATGAGAACTCCTCCGTTTTTGGTAGCATCGGAGTTTGAATCTTTATCAGATTGTTGGGTTTCACTAATGGGAACTCTTTCGTTTTCGGTAGCATCGGAGTTTGAATCTTCATCAGATTGTTGGGTTTCACTAGTGGGAACTCCTTCGTTTTTGGTAGCATCGGAGTTTGAATCTTCATCAGATTGTTGTTTCACTAGTGGAACTCCTTCGTTTTCGGTAGCATCGTTTGAATCTTCATCAGATTGTTGGGTTTCACTAGTGGGAACTCCTTCGTTTTCGGTAGCATCGGAGTTTGAATCTTCATCAGATTGTTGGGTTTCACTAGTGGGAACTACTATAGGCAAAGAGACCTTAGTTCCTTTAATGGATTTTTTGAAAAATACAGACATCGTGAGACTGTTCGAAAAGCAAGGCATCTGTTTTAAGCCATTTCCAAAAGAACATCTAGCAACATGATTATGCACTTTTGACAGAATATCAATCAACGACATGTTTTCATCATTATGTCGGAGAACCTCCATGAAGTAATAAATGAACAATGAACCTTTTTCAGGATCTCGGTAAGATTCAGCGTTAAAAACGGTGGAATATGCAATTAAAACATTGCGATGCGATGGTATTGAGATGGGGGTAGTACGAATACTCTGCTTGATAGCTTTACCGCTAGAATTCTTCTTCACTTCATTTTGCTGGGTGATTTCCTTTCCTCGGCAATGTTGTGCAATAATAATAATTGGCTTTCCTTTCAAAGATTTGTTGTGTGCCAGTATATCGACAAGACCGTTAAGGTAAACAATTTCACCATCAGTTCCGTACACTCCATCTCTCTGTCTATTATTTTCCCTACTGTCTTTAAAGTACTCACCCTCTCCATGACTAGATATAAAACATATAAATGCGTCATTGTTGTTGAATGTTGGTTCTTTCATTCTTTTGAACACCTCTAGCATTTTTTTTTTAGTCAGATTTTCTTTAATATTGAGTTCAAAACCAAATTCCTCCATCAACGTCCTCACATTTTGGAAGTCATCAAGAGCACCTTTACGTGTCTTAAAACGAGGATCTTCAAACTTCTCGTTGATTATTGCGAAAACGTAAGCATTTTTAACTTCATACTTTTTAAATAAAAATTGCATGTTTGAGTTGTTTGCCATCTTTGGAACAAACTGAAAATAAATAACGAGTAAAAAGACGTCTAAAAAGCGTTAATGACAACGAAATTCGGTAACAAAAAATGAAGCTAAAAGTCTTTCAACTGGCTTATTCACCTACCTGTTATCAAATGAAGTGTATGAACGGAATTCGTTCTGTTGAGCGTACATAACAATTGCACCATGCAGACACGTATCTTTTATATTCAATATCAATAAAATAATTAAAATTGTCGACAACAAATGACGAAAGCTTCCTGCTGTGTCATTAATTAAAATATTTCTGTATTCGTGCTTTCATTTCTCCTGTCTTGTTATTATAATGTAACTTTGCAAAACATGAACAAAAACTATATAAAGATATAAAAATATATATTGCAATCTCAAGTATTAGTGTTTCAACTCTCTACGTATTGTGCAACGTATTTATTTATCTATTCATTTATTTACTCATTTGTTAAGTGTACTTGATTCTATACATACTATATTAATACAATAAAAATTTCTCGACGACATTGGTCGAGATATTAATATTAGTATTTTAAATACTGAACTGATAGTGCATAAATGAAACTTGTCCATATTTAGAATTGTGCAATTGCAGCTATGTGGTTTACACGACTCTGAAAACGGAGAGCCATTCTCAAACTGCTCGAAAAACAAAGCACTTGATCAGTAGTGCCTCTCACATCAACATTAGCTACAAAGCAATTTAACCATAGTAAGAATATCAACGACATTTGGTCACCAAAATCCTTCAAAAAAGTTGTTAACCAATGCATAAACCACGAGCGAAACACAGAGTCATGACATGTTTTATATGTAAGCAAATTGGAATGGGAGACGAGAACGTCAGCATGCATAGGCAATGGAACGGCGAAGTCGCGATCGGTTTCACCAAAATTGTAATTACTATTTTCAGAAAAAAATAAGCCTCAGCTTATTTTCTCTTGAGTTATTTAAGGTTGGATTTCTGGCCATCGACTTAACGAAATCGTCAATAGAAATCTTTTGACCACATACTCCAATGACTTCATTATGTTCTCCGTGACTGGATATGAAAACAATCAGCGCATCATATTCACTGAAGTCATCCTTTTCTATCTTCTTAAAGATTATCTCCATTTCGTCTCTTCTCATATTCATTTCCACATGTTTTGTAAAGCCAAAGGTTTCACACAATTGTAGAATATTCCTTAGGTCAATTTGAGCACCCTCTCGTTTCTTTGTATCAAAGACTTCATTATTATGAAAACAAAAGCTTTCTCGATTAAACGCTTCTCTACTTTGAACTCTTCGACAGTCGTCATTTCAGCAAGTTACTTTCAAGAAAGTAATGTCGGTGAATTCTGAAGTATTCGCAATTGTGAATTACAAAAAAAGTAATTTAATTTAAAGGAAATTTTTTTTGACAGACATTTAAACTTGTCGAAACGAGAAATGATCCTATTACAGTAGCAAAAGTATGAAGCGTTGTAAAGACGCCAAAGACTAGATAGTGCGAAATTGTCATGAGTTAGAATTTTTGTTTTGAATAAACAAAACAGCGGCGGAATTAGAGCTGGCCCCCTAGTGCGGGAATGACGTATGAAATGACTTCAATTATAGTTATAATCTAAGACTGAGGTGGGAGAGAATGAAGATGTTTCAAAGAATGAGGTGAGAGATGGTGTTGCTAAGCTTAAATTTCATGCCAACATTGTATTCTTTACAGTTTTGCAAAATCTAACCGATATTTACATAGACCATGCACACATAGAAAACCTTTATATTTGTTCGACAATGCGGCAGCAACCAAATAAATTAGTTTTTACAAATAATAAAACAAAAACGTCATGAATATCGCGTTAACACATTATAAAGGAAAGATCTAATTTGATGAAGTTTTTTCCCTTCAATACCAGGCTCAATAAACATGATAAAAATTCGAGGCGACCCAACAGTTACTATGGTTGCCGACGAAATCAAAACACAAAAAATGTTACCTGGCATTCAGAAATCACCTGCTGGCGTTTTCATATACGGTCAAAAAAGTTGTTAAATAAAACATTAAATAACCAAAATTGCATCAAAGTCAATCTTACGTAGGCATTACAAAATCTTAAATTCCCAACGCTTCAAAGAGAAAGATTAATGCCGAAAATCAGAAAACAAATGTGAAAAAAAAATTCATCGTTCATCTGAGCAATTCACCGAGATAAACAAAATGCGTTGTGTGGGGTATAGTTCAACAAAATTGCATAGAAATGATTCTTGGTTGAAATTAATAAAATTCCTAAAATCAAATGACCACAATTGCCTGCTGAGCCATTTATTAAAACATTTCTTTTTATGACTCTCAACTTATTTACCTCCTGTTGTGCTTTTATGTGGTAACATTGCAAAAGACGAACAATTATATCAAATATTGATTCCAAAATATGAATACCAGGGAGTATTGGTAACTGTGTGGTCAATAAGGCTGGTGGTTCTCATAGTTAATCGGCTAGCTTTACAATTGATATAGTTTATAAATAAATAGATTTATTGTCTTTATTAACATGCTTTCATCTTTACTTATCACAGATCAAGTCACCAAAAGTGTAACACAAAGTAACAGTAAACCACGAGCCAAACACAGAGTCATGACATGTTTTATATGTACTCAAGTTGGAATGGGCGACGAGAACGTCAGCATGCATAGGCAATGGAACGGCGAAGTCGCGATCGGTTTCACCAAAATTGTAATTACTATTTTCAGAAAAAATAAGCTTTTCTCTTGAGTTATTTAAGGTTGGATTTCTGATCATCGACTTAAAAAAATCGTCAAAAGAAATCTTCTTACCACATATTCCAATGACGTCAAAAAGGCGATAATGACAACGAAATCCGGTAACAAAAAATGAAGCTAAAAGTCTTTCAACTGGCTTATTCACCTACGTGTCATCAAATGAAATGTATGAACGGAATTCGTTGTGTTGAGCGTACATAACAATTGCATCATGCAGACACGTATCTTTTATATTCAATATCAATAAAATAATTAAAATTGTCGACAACAAATGACGAAAGCTTCCTGCTGTGTCATTAATTAAAATATTTCTGTATTCGTGCTTTCATTTCTCCTGTCTTGTTATTATAATGTAACTTTGCAAAACATGAACAAAAAAAATACAAGGATATAAAAATATATATTGCAGTCTCAAGTATTAGTGTTTCAATTCTCTACGTATTGTGCAACGTATTTATTTATCTATTCATTTATTTACTCAATTGTTAAGTGTACATGATTCTATACATACTATATTAATACAATAAAAATTTCTCGACGACATTGGTCGAGATATTAAAATTAGTATTTTAAATACTGAACTGATAGTGCATAAATGAAACTTCTCCATATTTAGAATTGTGCAAGCGCAACTATGTGGCTTACACAACTCTTTGAAAACGGAGAGCCATTCTCAAACTGCTCGAAAAACAAGGCACTTGATCCTTAGTGCCTCTCACACCAACATTAGCTACAAAGTCATTTGCCATAGTGAGAATATCAGTCAACGACATTTTGTCACCGAAATCCTTCAAAAAAGTTGTTAACCAATGCATAAACCACGAGCCAAACACAGAGTCATGATATGTTTTATCTGTAAGCAAATTGGAATGGGCGACGAGAACGTCAGCATGCATAGGCAATGGAACGGCAAAGCCGCGATCGGTTTCAGCCACACTGCAGTTACTATTTTCAGAAAAAATAAGTTTCGGCTTATTTTCTCCAGAGTTATTTAAGGTTGGATTTCTGGCCATCGACTTAACGAAATCGTCAATAGAAATCTTCTGACCATATTTTCCAATGACGTCATTATGTTCTCCGTAACTGGATATGAATATAATCAACGCATCGTATTCATCAAAGTCATCCTTTTCTATCTTCTGGAGGATTATCTCCATTTCATCTCTACTCAAATTTTTTTCCACATGTTTCTCGAAGCCAAAGGTTTCGCATACTTGTAGAATATTTCTTAAGTCAACTTGAGCACCTTCTCGTTTCTTTGTATCAAAGACTTCAAAGACTTCATTGATTATTATAAAAACAAAAGCTTTCTTGATTAAACGCTCCGTTTTTGAAACATCTTCATTACCTTCGTTTTCCGTAGCATCGGAGTTTGAATCTTTATCAGATTTTTGGGCTTGACTAGTAGGAACTTCCTCGTTTTCGGTAGCATCGGATTTTAAATCTTTATCAGACTGTTGGGTTTCACTAGTGGGAACTTCTCCGTTTTTTTGGGCATCGGAGTTTGAATCTTTATCATATTGTTGGGTTTCAATAGTGGGAACTCCTCGGTTTTTGGTATCATCGGAGTTTGAATCTTTATCATGTTGTTGGGTTTCACTAGTTGGAACTCCTCGACGCAAAGAGACCTCAGTTCCTTTAATGGGTTTTTTGAAAAATACAGACATCGTGAGACTGTGCGAAAAGCAAGGCATCTGTTTTAAGCCATGTTCGTTTGTGACAGAACGTCTAGCAACATGATTATGCACCTCTGAGAGAATATCAATCAACGACATGTTTTCATCATGATGTCGGAGAGCCTCCATGAAGTAATGAATGAGCCATGAACCTTTGTCAGGATTTAGGTATGAAACAGCGTTAAAAACGGTGGAATAAGCAATTAAAACATTGCGATGTGATGGTATTGAGATGGGGGTTGTACGAATACTCTGCTTGATAACTTCACCGCTAGAATTCTTCTTCACTTCATTTTTCTGGATGATTTCCCCTCCTCGGCAATGCTGTGCAATAATAATAATTGGCTTTCCTTTCAAAGATTTGTTGCGTGCCAGTATATCGACTAGACCGTTAAGGTAAACAATTTCACCATCAGTTCCGTACACTCCCTCTCTCTGTCTATTATTTCCACTACTGTCTTTAAAGTACTCACCCTCTCCATGACTGGATATAAAACATATAAATGCGTCATTGTTGTTGAATATTGGATCTTTCATTTTATCGAACACCTCTAGCATTTCTTTTTTAGTCAGATCAAGTTTAATATTGGGTTCAAAACCAAATTCTTCCATTAACGCCTTCACATTTTGTAAGTCAATACGAGCACCTTTACGATCCTTAATATCAGGATCTTCAAAATTCTCGTTGATTATTGCGAAAACGTAAGCGTTTTTAACTTCATACTTCTTAAATAAAAATTGCATGTTTGAGTGGTTTGCCATCTTTGGAACAAACTGAAAATAAATAACGAGTAAAAAGACGTCTAAAAAGCGTTAATGACAACGAAATCCGGTAACAAAAAATGAAGCTAAAAGTCATTCAACTGGCTTATTCACCTACGTGTCATCAAATGAAATGTATGAACGGAATTCGTTGTGTTAAGCGTACATAACAATTGCATCATGCAGACACGTATCTTTTATATTCAATATCAATAAAATAATTAAAATCGTCGACAACAAATGACGAAAGCTTCCTGCTGTGTCATTAATTAAAATATTTCTGTATTCGTGCTTTCATACCTCCTGTCTTGTTATTATAATGTAACTTTGCAAAACATGAACAAAAAAACATATAAAGATATAAAAATATATATTGCAATCTCAAGTATTAGTGTTTCAACTCTCTACGTATTGTGCAACGTATTTATTTATCTATTCATTTATTTACTCATTTGTTAAGTGTACTTGATTCTATACATAATATATTAATAAAATAAAAATTTCTCGACGACATTGGTCGAAATATTAATATTAGTATTTTAAACACTGAACTGATAGTGCATAAATGAAACTTGTCCATATTTAGAATTTTGCAAGCGCAACTATGTGGCTTACACAACTCTTTGAAAACGGAGAGCCATTCTCAAACTGCTCGAAAAACAAGGCACTTGATCCTTAGTGCCTCTCACATCAAAATTAGCTACAAAGTCATTTAACCATAGTAAGAATATCTGTCAACGACATTTTGTCACCGAAATCCTTCAAAAAAGTTGTTAACCAATGCATAAACCACGAGCCAAACACAGAATCATGATATGTTTCGCCTCTAAGCAAATTGGAATGGGCGACGAGAACGTCAGCATGCATAGGCAATGATACAGCACTGCCGTGATCGGCTTTAACCACACTGTAGTTACTATTTTCAGAAAAAATAAGTTTCGGCTTATTTTCTCTTGAGTTATTTAAGGTTGGATTTCTGGCCATCGACTTAACGAAATCGTCAATAGAAATCTTCTGACCACATACTCCAATGACGTCATTATGTTCTCCGTAACTGGATATGAATACAATCAACGCATCGTATTCCTCAAAGTCATCCTTTTCTATCTTCTTGAGGATTTTCTCCATTCCGTCTCTTCTCAAATTCATTTCCAAATGTTTCGTAAAGCCAAAGGTTTTGCACACTTGTAGAATATTCTTTAAGTCAACATGAGCACCCTCTCGTTTTTTTGTATCAAAGACTTCATTATTATGAAAACAAAAGCTTTCTCGATTAAACGTTTCTCTACTTTGAACTCTTCGACAGTCGTCATTTCAGCAAGTTACTTTCAAGAAAGTAATGTCGGTGAGTTCTGAAGTATTCGCAATTGTAATTTACAAAAAGTACTTTAATTTAAAGGGAAATTTCGTTTGACAGACATACCTCTCAAATTTTCGAAACAAGAAATGATCCTATTACCGTAGCAAAATTATGAAGCATTATAAAGACGCCAAAGACTGGATAGTGTAAAGTTATCATCAGTTAGAATTTTTGTTTTGAATAAACAAAACAGCGGTGGAATTAAAGTTAGCCCCCTAGTGCGGGAATTATGTATGAAATGACTTCAATTATAGTTAATATCTAAGACTGAGGTGGGAGATAATAAAGATGTTTCAAAGACTGAGGTGGGAGAGAATGAAGATGTTTCAAAGAATGAGGTGAGAGATGGTGTTGCTAAGCTTAAATTTCATGCCAACATTGTATTCTTTACAGTTTTGCAAAATCTAACCGATATTTACACAGACCATGCCCACATAGAAAACCTTTATATTTGTTCGACAATGCGGCGACAACCAAATAAATTAGTTTTTACAGATAATAAAACAAAAACGTCGCGAATATCGCGTCAACACATTGTAAAGAAAGGATCTAATTTGATGAAGTTTTTTCCCCTCAATACCTGTCTCAATAAACATGATAAAAATGCGAGGCGACCCAGCAGGTACTATGGCTGCCAACAAAATCAAAACACAAAAAATGTTACCAGGCATTTAGGAATCACTTGCAGGCATTTTCAGATACGGTCAAGAAAGTTGTTAAATAAAACATTAAATAACCAAAATTGCATCAAAGTCAATCTTACGTTGGCATTACAAAATCTTAAACTACCAACGCTTCGAAGAGAAAGATTAATGCCAAAAATCAGAAAACAAATGAAAAAAATTTCATCGTTCATCTGAGCAATTCACCGATATAAACGAAATTCGTTGTGTGGGGTATAGTTCAACAAATTGTATAGAAATGATTCTTCGTTGAAATTAATAAAATTCCTAACATCAAATGACCACAAATTGCCTGCTGAGCCATTTATTAAAACATTTCTTTTTCTGACTCTCCATTTATTTACCTCCTGTTGTGCTTTTATGTGGTAACATTGCAAAAGACGAACAAATATTTCAACAAATAATGATTCTAAAACATGAATACCAATGTCAATAAACTATTTTATCAACTAGGGTACTCGTCAAAGTCAAGACTGTATGACAGTAAGGACATTATGGTAAAGCCAGACTATGGTTATCAACAAAGCCCATGGCACTTCGTGCTTATGTTAAAATGTTGTAACATTATGTTTGCTTAAACCTTCAGTTCAGATTCGGGTAGAGTTAAAGATATCATACACTTATAGAATACGTGCAAAATAGTAAAAGCCGAAACATTTTCAGAGCTTTACGATGACCAAAATTGCAGGAAATGAACTGGATGGATATAGGCAAATGTCAGTTCAAGTTTCTACTCTGACGAAATTTATATGGTTTAAAATGGCCACCAATGTAAATGTTGTAAAGATATTAACAACCATTCAACAACCATAAAAAGGAATCTGATGGAAGAAACTCCAATAGAGACGAGATGAATTATAACTGGGGTGGCCATCATGGACAGCAGGGTGTCTTTATTCAGCCACTAGTTTATCGCTATGACAACCATGATACGACAGCAAAAACTTATTTGATCTAATAAAAACGTTTTACTAGCATTGATATTTTAAATAACTGTATGAAATTCATATCTGATTAAACATGATGCAACAATACGCATGGAAAGAGAAAAGAATATACATGCAAGGAGTATTTAATTGATGAAAACGTAGTAAACACGACATGAAATGTAATATAGCCAGGAATTAAAGTGAATTTATGATATCATTAACGTTGAAAGGATCATTTCTTGTCATTTTAACCGCACATAAATTTCATCAAACATGTATGTCATCATTTAAAGATTCTGTCCTCAAAGCTCTGTAGCCAAAGACAGTTTTTCAAATTGGACAGCCATTCTCAAACTATTTGAAAAACAAGACACTTATTTCTCCCAATCATTTAATTTTATGCAAGCATTGTCTTCATATTTGTGCGACAATGTGGCGACAACCAAATCAATTGGTTTTTATCGCTTTACGTAAAATGAAAACAAAGACGTCATAAATAACTGCAGTAGAAAAATAGTGTCGTCAACACACTGTAAAGAAAGAATCTAAACTGATGAAGTTTTTTCCTCATCAAACACCTGCCTCAATAAACATGATAAAACCTTAAGTATCGCACATTTATTCACTACATCAACGTGTTCACTCAAAGACAAGAAACTTTGAAATCTTTTCGATAATTTCTAATGAAAAACCTCTCTGGATCAATTCCTTATGTAACATTGAAAATAAGTCGAAGACAAACACCTCGGTCATGATTTATGACACGACTTGATATGACAGAATATACCACTGAATATACCGTCTCGTTGTCACGTGATTTACGTCACGTCCTGCCATGACATCACTAGTGATATGTTATCAGATAGAAGAGTTATTTGTGGCATTTAGCGTAAAGATCATTTCTTTAAATTTCAACGATCAAATTTGTTTAAGTGTTGAAATACAGTTTTTTTGGTTTTATTTCGTTAAAAATGCGCATTGAGAGTTTTACGACGATCATGAAAATAAAGGAGATTTAAATGAAACTATCGCGTGTTTGATACAGCTCGGGAGAACAGAATATTCGTTTTAAATACTCTAAATCATGCTTATCATTATGCAGAGATGTTTTGTCAATTCTTCGTTTTTAAATCAATTTTAATGCAAAAGTTACATCATACATTAAGCGAAATTATACATTATATAAGAGATAATGCTGTTTTATGACGACTTTGGAGAAAAATAGAAAATTTTAATTAAGAGTATTGATCATCTAATATCCATATAATCTGTGCCATCTATTAATGAACACCCCAGGCCATCCTGAAATCAATGAGTGAAGACGATAACAGCTATATGAAAGACGCGTTCAAGAAGCAGCCACATTGAGCTTTATTGTAAAAATGTTTTCTTTCAACTCAAGCGAGCTTCATGTTGCTTGGTGTGGTCTAGCATCGTACCTTACATCAACACCAACAACCAATATCATTACGGCAAATACAGTCGTCATTATCGTCGACATGTTTTTGGCTGTATTTACTGTCGTTGTAAACGGTCTATTCATTTCAACTTATTTCAACAATCGCAATCTACAGAATACATCTAACATGCTTCTGGTAACCTTAGCTGTCAGTGATATTCTTGTTGGAGGACTGGCACTACCGCTGGCAATAACACGCGCAACAATGGAGATACTGGAAACCTTCAATTGTACATTATTCAACTTAAGTCGTCTCGTATACATTTTCTGCAGTGGTTTATCATTTCTCACAATAATACTAATAACGTACGACCGTTATATCGCCATATACTATCCATTACGTTATCATTTGTTAATGAGCAAACGAAATACAAAGATCTGTTTAATTGCTTGCGGTATACTAGTGATTGGATTGCTCCTTTGCCGCGTGTATCTGTCATTAGAAAGATTCTTTTTAATCATTTGCAGTCTAACATTCTTCACAACTCTCTCTGCTTTACTCGTCTACACAAAGATACTACTCGCAGCTAGGAGGCACAATCTTCAGATTCAAAATATGACGGGGTCGTTCAAATCTTCCCGTCAGATCATCGCGTTTCGCGAAATCAAAACGACGAAAGTAATGGTTTATATATTGGGAGCGATGATCTTGTGTTACTACCCCGGGACGTGTTTTTGGATTTACAGCGCCTTCCACGGTTACACATTGGAGAGTCTGTACACTATCGTCCCGTATATGGAGTCGGCTGTTTTCCTAAACTCAGCCATCAATCCACTTACGTACTTACTGCGCAACCGCAATATACGTTGCGCATTTTCGAAACACCTGCACGAGCTGTTTTATAAACATACACTTTAAATGAATGTAAGGGGATAATTATTATATGAAATCTATTATAAAGAAAGAATTAATAAATTGAAACATTAAAAATTTATGACATGAATGTGTAATATTTACATTACGTTGTATAATTGCATGACCGCTAACAGTATGAATTAGATTCTACTTTTAACAATCCTGAAAAACAGCTTTTCACTGCTAATAGATAGGCTGGATGGCCAGACCAGGCATTCCTAAGGTAATGCAAATGTTTTTGGACAAATATTATATTAAGGTGTTGATTAAAAATAGATGAAATTGTGTAGAAATTAGGCTAAGATTGATTGGATATTTGAGAAGCAGGATTCAAATTTAAAAAATCCCTAAATTAATGGTGCTGGATATTTGAAGTACACAAACTTTGTCAATGTTGTTAACTGACATGGCATTTGTTTATGATCTTCAGGTGTCTTATAACCAGAAATTGCATTATTAACAATTGTCAAAATATCCATTATATGCATGTGATGAGCATGTGATTGCAGTTCTTCCATCAAGGTTATGATGAACCAAGAACCATGCAGGCGATTTCTGTAAGATTCATATCCCTCCATTGTGGAATGTGCAATAAGTACATCTGACTTGGTTGGCAGTACCAGGGGAATTTTGGGTAGGTTGACAGGACGGCTGTCTGCATCAATGGAGATCCCCATGTCTTTATTTTTACCTCTGCAAGCTTGGACAAAAAATAATTTTGGTTTTCCAGCTAGGCCAGTACAATCTCTGAACATTGATACAATTTTCTGAATGCTGATGATTTCGTCGTCAACTCCATAAATTCCATTTTCATCACCATGACTTAAAATGAAGCAAACAAAGCCATCATAACGACTGAAGTCTCGTTTCGAAATCTCACTACAAAGATTTTCCATTTCAGACGCTTTTAAGTTTTCTGTTTCTCGATCAGTGTCATTAATATCCAATCCTGCAGTTTTGCAGAATTTCTTTATTTCTTCAACATCTTTTTCAGAACCCACACGGTCTGGTGTCTTGTCATTGAGAAAGTATTGATTATGGAGAATTAAAGCAAATCCTTGTGTGATCTTATGCTTCATCGACGGGATAAAACTACTGCCACCAACATTTTCATAACCAACTATGTAACAGATATTGATGAGTCAGCAAGAATTCAACAGCAATTTTAAAAAATGTGTCATTTTACAAATTTACACAAACCTGGTTGTTTTGGAACTGCAAAAGCTTCATTTCTTGGTCTAACACGTTCTGAAGAAAAAAAATTGTTTTATGTAGAAAAACATTGAAAGTGAAAGTAAACAACTTATCGCAAATTGGACCCGTTAAAAACTTTCTACAAGAGAAACAATGAATGCTTTAAGAATTTAGTTAAAAAGAACCCTGCTATTTGGCTAGATAATTTGTAACATCAAATAATTCGAGCGTCTATGTATTATGTATTGATCGACAACACTAGAATCACACAGTTCATACACGGAAAGTTATAAAACTTTGCCTTACCCACGCGTCCGCCAGCGCCAATATCAACTTGATTTTGATCACCCATTATAATACTTCCACCATCTTTGTTGTCAATTGTGATGTTATATTTGCTAGCCATCCTTACGATAAAAATTTCCAATATATTTATATTGTAATGTTGAACTTGTAATGATGTTGTTCTCTTGTCTCATCAACTTCCTGTCGATAATTGTGACCCTGCACTCAGGTGTCACTGGGCCTGATGATTTATGGGTTACTCGCTGTAATATGCTTTTCGTTCACCATAAAGAGATCCCAGCAGAAAAAACAAGACTTTATCAATACATTACAATAATATGTTAAAACACGTACAACAAGTATGTAAGCAAAACACAAATCCATTATAGGAAGGAAAAAATTTTATAAAAATTTCTTAAAATAGCACGGCTAAATGACTACAATTTATTCATTTTACTCAATAATTCAAAATAGGAAAAAACAAAAGCTCTGGACAATTCTGGTGTGTAAATCTTGATCTTCTCATCCTTCTTCTTTAAGTCTTCTTTCAAATGCTTCAAACAAGATTTCGCGACATTTTCATACTTAATAACCTTCTTCCATTGTTTTTGTATACTAACGGGTAGAGGATGAAAGACAATACAAGATTTGCTTTTGTCCTTTACACATCTCTTCCGGCACAATTCAAGTTTTTTGTTACTAACACTGTCAAATTGTTGTTTATGTTTCAGTTTTTGTCCAGCTGACATCGTTAATGATTGTGCTGTCTTTAAGGAATGCGACTCATTCTTCTCATTAAAAGTTTTACTGTTTAAAGTGTTTCTTTTACTTCTACAAACGCTCGTAACAGTAAAACTATTTTTAATACCATTTGACTTTAGCCTCATCATTGATCCATTCAAGCTTCTGTCTTTCTTCAACTTGTGATGATATAAAACGCCACTTTTATCATGTTGAATTTTACATTTTCCTCTCAAATCAGCGTAACTGTTATGTCGCGAACATGAAGCAAGAGGTATCGTCGGAACATTTTTATCTTCGATGCATTTAACATTATGCGAGTCTTCGCCTGAATTATAATCTTTGTGTTTTGTATCTTCAGTTACGTTCACATTCACTGGTCTATCATTCTCAGCTGGACTGTTTACACAGCTACAGTTGGCTTTAGACTTCTTAATAAGTTGACACATAAATCTTTTGCGATATTCTTGTAAATGCTGAGTAAATTCAACAAACTCAGCAATGGGTAATGAAGGATAATCACCCATGCGAGTACCGTCATCAGGGAAACATTCTAATGTCGATGAAGATTTGATCTGTTCTGTAACAGGAAATTTCTTCAAAGGTATTTTGTCGATCGATTTCTCATCACGGTCACATAACTCTCTACGTACATTACCTTTAGTTACACTTACAGATATCGGAAACTTAAAAACTTTTTCTTTTGCATTGGAACAACGATTTTGTTGCCAAAAATGCAAAGAATCGCAAGAAACAGGAGTCAAAATCTGGAAACGTCAAAAGAACAAAAATAAATTTATTAAAGCGGACATCGCTGACCATGTATACTACAGGCGTCAAATGAGGCACACTACAGGGCATCCTACTTTTTTTGTGATATGATTTCCATTTTTTTTCCTCCAAATATTTTGGCCTAGAGTTTTGTCAACCTCACATTTATCGTTTGACAATTTCCAGCCATGTTTAAACTGCTATATAAAGTAAAATTCTCAAACAATCAGTGGAATAACGCAGTTTTTAGGTATTCACACAAGAAAAAATAACTTACCTTAAAACTTTGATCACAATGTCTTGCAATTACAGACATCTTGAGGATGATCAGAAAAATGACTTGTTGCGTTTGTGATGTCATAATTGATTGAGTGCGCATGCGTTTCGTTCAAACGCAAGCTTACACGAAGTATGCTTCAAAAATCCAAAATGGCGGATAAAGCAAATTTTAGCACAATTTCCGAACAAAGTTTCTCGAACAAAACGCTACGAAATCTTCAGGTTTATAAAATAATCCAGTATTCAATAACCTCATTGGGAATCATAATTAATACACTATAATAAATGTCAATTAATTATTTTTAGTCCGTGGTTTGTTCGCAATTGAGATGTGATATCTGTCCCACGATGCGTTTCACATCATTGAAAATGTACAACGAACATATAAAATCAAAAAAACATTTACGGAAGAAGCATCGTAAAGAAAACGAAGGATCGTGGTATTGTGAAGCCTGCAATCTATCGTTACCCAATGATAACGAATGGGTCGAGTATACTTGAATGTTGTTAACCTTTTGTTTCATTAGCAATACATTTATGGTATGCTAGACACACCATATGATGGTACATTTATTGTATGGTAGACACACCATATGGTATTTTATGGTATGGTAGACACACCATATGATGGTACATTTATTGTATGGTAGACACACCATATGGTATTTTATGGTATGGTAGACACACCATATGATGGTACATTTATGGTAAGGTAGACACACCATATGATCGCACATTTATGGTATGGTAGACACACCATATGATGGTACATTTATGGTATGGTAGACACACCATATGGTACATCTATGGTATGGTAGACACACCATATGATGGTACAGCATCACTTAATGGTATAATGCATAAACGCTATAACAAATACACCATAGTATCGTACCTTCAACAATAGTTCCCTCCACTCTGTAACAATATTGTATATCACACATACCAGTGCTTGCAGTAACGTTGTCGCAATCTACAGAATCAGTAAAAAGTTTTGCAAAAATGAATGAACAGTTTAATAAAGTAATTGTATGCTTTCTCTGTAGACAAAACATTTGGTTGGTAAACGTCACGATAAATCCATGAAAGCAATGGCAATAAAAGAATATCCAAGAAGTTGTGTTTTAACTCCTGAGGAAATTTCTTTACTTGATGAAGTGTTTATTGTTGAAGATGATAGTGAATAAACAATATTTAGTCGAGCACAAAACTCGCAAAACAAAATGAAAAATTTGTTTGGTTGACAAGATTATAAGGACAACTTAAACAGATTACAAGAAAACAATTTTTTGCAATGTTTGGTGAATATTTATGTTCAAATTGATAAGGTAACTACAGCACACAATACAATAAATCTTCAAAAACATCATTTAACTTTACAACAATTTAATGTTAACGCACGTCGTATAAATTACATTTGGCCTGAAAAACAAATTTCGCGATTCTTTCATTTTAGAGTATTTAACCTCGACTAGCAGAAACAAATGTTAAGCAATCATAAACTATAACAACGGAGCCAAAATATGGAGCAATAATGTAAATTTCTTCAACAACCTATCAGCAAAGATTCTCGTGTGTAGTTTTAAAAATTTCCGTGTGTTTTTTAACGCTCCAAACTTTGAATTAACTCGTTTATATATTTTCTATTCGCTTCTACAACTTTTCTCATACACGCATATTTAGCAACAGCATTCATGCAATTTGAAACAGACAAGAGCGAGCTCTGAAGTTCCACTAAAATTGGGATCACATTAACGATGTATGAGGTTCATTCTGATTCGACTCTTCCTGTGGATCACAGCGTGGGATTTCGTCAAGATTTGGTGTATCCAAACAGCTAGCATTTTGATCGAGTGAACTAGTCGCCTGGGTGTGACATGATCTTTGCTTCTCAAACTTGCGCTTTCCACGCATTCTGCTGAGCAATGAGAGCGCAGCCTTGCGGAAATCTCGCTTCACAAAGGTAAACACGATTGGATTAAGGACTGGGGCGAGAAAACGAATAAATAAAACCATCTCATGAACACTCAAGTTTTCTTTAATTATTTCAGCCCACAACAAATACCATGGCAACCAAGATATAACAAAAAACAAAAACATAAAGAGGAAGATCAAAGCAACACGACGATTATTCTCCGAGCGGAAGCTCGCATCCGTGATTAAACCACGTGATCTGGAATTGGACAACAATCTCAGATACATATGAACATGTATGATCGTTAGGATACAAGCAGGGACAACAAAAGCAAAGACAACGAGGAATATGGCGTGACGATGCCGTGCCACGTGTAGCTCATGAGAAGGCATATGACGTATATAGATTAGAATATGGGCGATCGAAAAAGATACAACCCATATGCAGGCAATGACCGCCTTCAAACGTTCGGGCGTACAGGCAGTGATGTTCCTCATTGGATGAACGATAGCAAGATATTTAGAGATGGTTGCAGCCACGATATGGTAGACAGATGCCAATGTTATCGTAATACTACAAATCCAGTAAAAAACACACACATCCAAATGATTAGGGTGATTCAATGAGAGCGTATCACATGTGAGAGCTGAAGGGACCATAACGCATGCGCACAATATATCAGCAATGGCTAACCCAACGAGAAATGTGTTTCCTGAGCTATGACGTAATGAACGAATCTTGTAGTATAGTATGATAATGGGAATATTGATGGCGCAAATGAGAACAGCTAAAATAACAATTGGTGTATGTAATGAAATATTCCATCCTTTAGCGCCGACATCATTTGATGTTTTATTGTAACTAACTTCGCTGTCAACCATTTCTCCTCCTTCGCCTTGGATTAGCTGATAAATTAAGGAAAAGGAAAAGATATCATTAGATCATGTCACCACATCACACAATCCAGCAAATCAAAAAAAACACACTTGAAAATGCTATTCCGCAATCACAGTTCTTAAAGTACAAAACTTTGATGAACATAAGATTTGTTTTCCAGTTATCAATTTAATCTTGCATATAAAACGTTGCATCGAACTGTAGCACATACCTTTGAACCTATGAAAACCAAACGATTATTAATTGAAAGTTTTGTAAGAAACTCGCGCTTTTGGCGGAAAAGATTTCTGCAAGAAACTCTTTAATAAAGAAGACGCAATGATGCACAAAGTTTACCTTCGTCGTAATGCACTTCTTTATCTACCTTCTATCAACTATTTTTTGTCTAAAATACGTGATAATCAACGAGCTTTGAATTATTAAGTCGATGGAACTTATTTTAAGAGGCTCGTTATCGTTCATAACAAATCAAATGTTGGCGAAAACGAAGCCTTATCACATTATTATTGCAAAATGATTTATTACTTCGCGACAGACAAGTTTTAGTTATAAGTTATTAGATATTTGAAATTTGACAAGTTCCCACATTCATCGTCAATAAATCTACGAAAAATCCTTCATATGAAGGCATCAAAGTACATGATATTAAAGACATTAAAAAATATATGCAAAGGAAGAGTACAAGTATAAAAACCTTTCAATCTTCACCATTTTTAACAAAAAAAAACACGACTTCCAATATACACAGTTGAATATTAAAGAATGTTTGCATATAAAGGATTTTTTTCAAAAACTAAAAAAACTAACCTTTTCACCTTTTTATCTTCGCTTCAAGTCTCGCCAGCAACAACAAAAGCGAAATTGATTTCCCACGATGTGAAAATTAAACTCTTGATGTTTCGATTGCGGGAAAGTGAGACTCAATATAGCAGAATATCGGCCGTTAATGAAATCTTGTTATGCAGACGACATCAATTTAATTTTACATGCACGACACGAAAAAATCCAAACATCAATTATTTCGAAAATCAAACACAACAAGCTAAAAACATCTTTTGTCTTTTAAAACATAAGCTAAGTCTTTAAAATACCGAAGGAAGCTTCCGGATTTAACGACTTAGATAAAATAAATTATTTATCCATTTATTTAGGGCCTGTCCACTAATTCATTTTAATAAATCTTTCATTAAAGGTGAAATGGAACATCGCTCTTGAATGACACACATTCAAATAGTTAATGTCACCGGGGGAAAATGACGCTTGCATTCAATACAACAGTTTATAGTGCAAATTAATGTTTGAAAATCATTCGTTTCTCGTTTGCCTGTAATTAAAATCTCTGCAAAATAGTTTTCAATGAATTGAAGAGTGACAGCAGACAAGATCGCGACAATGAGACGATCACGTGTGATCAGATAAGCCAATCGGGTTTGAGTTATGAAATAAACGTTCGAGAGGAGTAATGTCAAATTCATCCAGACTAAAACAGGATTTATTTTTTACAAAAGAACAGTAAAATTATACCTGGCATAAACATCTTGATGCAGCTTCGCGAGTACGATAAATTGCTTGGTATAAACGATAAAATATAATCCTCAGTGATGTCTAAATTAAAAAAAGGTTATTTATAAACATCGGTGGTGGCGCGATTATTTTTCCAGACATTGTAATATATGCATGAATATTTGCAGAAAATAAAACAGTATGCTATGAAAAATATACATTTTTATGATCATATAGAATAGTAGATGAGTTAATGCAATTCAAAAACTCCCATTTACACCCACTGGTACATAAAATATCTTTTTTACTCGTTGCACATGGAACCGATACCATAATCCTCGATGATAAAATAATAAGAATGTCAATTTCACACTAATGGCCGAATCCTTTACCAGGAGAAAAATTAAAAGAAATTACTTATTTTCTGGGCAAACCAAATGCTATAAGTATCATAAAAAGTATCTAGAATCAACCAATCATGGAAAATCGTTCAGGTGAATTCACATACAACATCTAATTATCGACATCTGCACAGAGGACTGGTGACGAAAAGTAGAAATGGACATCGTTGGGGGTTAAGCGCGGAGCAAAAAATTATTTTTTCATGCTTTGCCCAAAAACCTCTGGTATCCTACCCTGAAAAGAGTGTTTCATAGTTAAAATGTTGTTTCCAGAGATATTTTATATTTGTTTAAACTCATCTTTCGTTTACAAAGCTTGACACCTACGCAATCAAAATCACACGTGAATCTCACATGATACTACAATAGACATAATATATTGATCCGGTTTTTAATATGCACATGAAAAACATGTGACTTGGACGAGATTTGAGCTCGCACCTTCGAGGTACTAGTCCGCCGCTCTACCTGTTGAGCTACCAAGCCCACAGGGATTGGAGACGAGTCAAATCTCTTTTAAACTGCGTATAGACGAGAGATTCTCGCCACTATAGCAGTTTAGTGGATGACACTGACTACAATAGACATGATCTCTGACCGAGACCGACTCCCCCTTCCTATTATATTTTAACCGCGAGTGCCATAACTTACATCTTTGATATGATCTTTTAATAATATATGTTTGCGACAAACTATGATCTTTATCGCTTAAATACATATTACATTTGCAGCTGTTATACGAAGAATTAAGCCACATGATAAGATAAATATCCCACATTTACCTGAAAACATGCACACTTACGATCTTATCAATAATTATAACACAAAGTAAACATTGGGATAAGCGGAGCTTTTGTTGACAAAAAAAGTAGTCTTTGTGTTTTGTAGTTATGAATGACTTGAAACAAGTAAACGAGCATAAAGATGTTTTCAAATCAACCACAGATATTTTATTAAGATACTAAAGCACTGTATATTTAAAAAAACAGCAACGCAAAGGCGGAATTTATTTTAGGTTTACTGATTCGAACAAGAAAATGTCTTTCCTCCTTCGCTCTTTAGACTCGGAGTATAACCTTCTTAGCTTATGGAAGGAAGTGTTCAAGCCAAAGTAAAGTATTTATCGTTATAATTTTCATATGCTGAACGGGAAATACGTAGTTGTTCACATCTAAATTTAAAGAAAAAGTTATGTCCGGTATTTTCGAAAAAATCCAATGGGGGTTATCGTTGGCACACAGCTGCGATTACAAAAAAACGGCAGAAAGGATGCCAGAAGGTGCTTAAAACTTAAAGAAATATTGACTCTTATGCAAATAAACTCTCGAAATTATATAAAACTCGCGTTTGTCTTCACTTTTTCAAAATAACTTGCATCGACGTGTATAAATGAACAGAGAAAGGAAGTTCGATAAGTAATTGTGAGTATTAAAGATGAAAAATTGGCCGGTAATTCACTTGGTTTTAACATTTCAAGCTGTTGCTGCAATCTTTCTTAATTCCGTCGTTATTTATCTATTTATGACGAGAAAATATCTCAGAAATGTGAATTCCAATGTATTTCTCTTGAGTCTATCCATTTCCGATCTCTTTTTTCATCCTCGACAGTTCCATTGTTAATAAAATGTGAACAAATGGCAAACAATCCACCTCCGTTACTTGTCTGCTATATTCACGACTACGTTATCACATATTTTGGTTATACAACCGTTTATCATATTCTACTGGGCATTACGGAAAAACTCTTTGCAATTTGTTATGCTATAAAACATCATTTGAGGTTTTGCAAGTCAATGGCAATTAAACTGAGTGTATTTGTATGGTTTTTGTCTTTCCTCTTTGCTCACATTCCAATTTGGTGGGATTATATTCTTTACTCAAAGAAGATGGAGACACATAATGATGAGCATAATGCTTTCTTAAAGTTTCATTTTGCCAGTGGATATGCCATGCCTTTTGTCATGTCTTCATTCATGTGCTTTGTCATATTACGTAAAATAATAAAAGTATCAAGGCTTAGACAAAGCCAGAGATGTTATAGAAGCACAAGATTTTCCAAAGAAAAACAGGCCGCACTAGCATTTGCAATAATGCTTGGGACATTCCTGTTGTCATGGTCACCATGGTTCCTAGCTCGAATAGATGCCATACAAATGAGTGAGAAAATGTACTTTTTTGTTGTAGTAACAAGATATTTAGTTCCAATACTAAACCCATTATTGTATTCACTTTGGAAGAATGATTTTCGTAAAGCTTTCAAAAGCATGATTAAAAAGAAGGTTAGAAGCAACAGCTTTATAACTGCACGTCATGAATGCCACAATATTGAACAGATGCCATCTCCCACAGTTGATCGACAAATGTCACGTGGTTGTTTGGACGATATGACGTCACAGTTTGATTCTGTTTGAAATAAGTCATCGCCAAAATTACTGTTATAAGTAGGATTGAGTAGTTTTAAAGTAGGTTTTATCATCAAAAATGCAAGATGACGCACCACAAATTTAAAAAAAAACAAAGTAATTAGATCATAGGTTCTTCAGACTACGACAGCATGCCAATAAATAACGTAATACTTACAAAATTTCGCAGAACTTCCAACATTGAACTGTAAACTTGATGAATGAATCGTGCAACACAAGACAGGACATCTTCGCTCACAAACAATTCTTTCCTTATCCAAGAGAACTTTTACAATTAACTTTAATCACATGTATGAGTTATAATCTGTGAATTTTAACGATAATAATTCAATAAAATGTTGAAATAAAAACCAGCGATACAATCTTCCCATTTTTTCTTCCTTCGCCATGTTTTTACACCACTACTACACGTGGGAAATACAACTAAATTACATCCTTCACATAGCGTTCAAATGTCGTAACTCGTGACACTCGCGCTTTGTTGTTCGTTTATATATATATGTTTACAGTTTTATATTTACAGTATTTAGTATTAATAACATCTAAAACAACAAGACATGGTCTATATTTTCCATCACTATACATAAAGAGAGTCTGCTTTAACAGACCAGTGTACGACGTTGTCCGTAAATCAACAACCATCAATCAATGTCCATCAGGCGGTATTTCAGATGTGGTACTTTGAGCTTCTCCTTGTTCGTTTATTGCCTTCATTTTCGTAAGGTGAATGTCTAAGGTATCTGAGGTCAAAGTGCCCTTTCTTGATGTATTTTTTGCTCGTTGTATCGTGCTGCTTTGCGTCATCGTTTGAAAACCTACAGGTGCCGAAGCCCACCATACGAAGATTTTTTTGAAGTCAGCCTGGATAGCGTGTTTGTAGTCGATCTTCAGGAATGAGTAGAGCAGTGGGTTTAGCGCAGCACCAAGATAACGCAAGGAAACAAGAAAATCCTTTACTTCTTGAGATACCAATTTTTCATGTTTAGGATTTATAAAGAAAAACCAGGGCGTCCAACCAACGATAAAAATCATGAAAAACATCAAGAATACGAAGATAGTTTTGCGGTCACTTATTGCCTTCGTGTGAACACGTCCAGGAATATTTTGTGTCGCGAGCTTCGTATGAATTTGATACAGCATTCTGACATAGCAGTATAGTAAAATGACCGTCGCAAGTCCCAAAAAGATAGCAGTTTGTGCTATACCATACAAACGGAAAAACTGAGAAAATGATGGCGTATAACGAAGACTTCCATATATCCAAGGCATCGGTATCATTGAAAATACAAGTGAAAAAAACCAAATAGCGATTATTATCTTTCGATAAACACTGCTAGTTGAAACACTGATTCTTTGAAAGGATGCAAAACGGCAACATATTTCTCAATTGTAAGCGCAACGATATGAAACACCGTTGAAAAACTACAAAAGTTGCCAATGATATATGTAAAACTGCAAGTTTTTCTTGAATGCATGTACAAATATGTCTCACAAGTGATCACAAATGGAAGATGGACAACTCCAACGATAAGATCAGTAACGGCAAGGCTTACAAGAAGAATATTGATGCAATTTTGTCGAATTTTCTCGTGTCTTTTGTAGATTTGTATCGCAAAAATGTTCATTATCACAATAAGGACAGCCAACGTTATTAAACCAACATGATAGTTTTCTACGGATAGTCTTGGTTGTGTTGAATTTTTCGTCGGAGAAGGTAAAGATCTTGTAAAGGATACGTTACTGGAATTCATTATTATTTTTAAACCTATACGACAACACAGATATTTATTGCTTAAGATATTTCTTAGTTGGTGCAATTGTGAAAAGTTATGCAAGGAATCAAGACAGACGTCTCACAGTGATAAATATCATGAATTTACTTAATCACAGCAAAACTGTAAATAGATTATTCATACTGCACGCAGAGCATTCAAATCTGCCAAAATACAATTTCTAGTGATGCATTTCCCTGCAGGAAACATAGTGACGATGAGCTCGTATTTCAGTTTAAATAAAGCAAATTTCATCTTGGGAATGCAAAAAGACAAGATACTTGATACAAGCTAGCAAGCATGATACTTATAAACCAGACAAATGCTATATCGATAAAAATACAACGCAACATGGTTCTTTTTCCAAACGAAACATATACTTACTCTCGCGCAGTCTTTGAACGAATATCGCTTTCTTACACACAAAATAAACTCTGTAAAAAAGAATCTTCGCGTGTAAGAGACTGAAATATGCGTCAGTAATTTTCTTGTGAAAAAATCTAAAATCCAAATTTACCTTTAAGACGAATTGACGACACTTGCGTTCCTGCAATGTGTTCTTGTGTTTTCAAAATAATGTCAATTACACACTTCCACAGAACAAATCGTTTTTTCTATCAATAAAAAGGTATGTACTGACACTTGTGTTAGAGCAAAAATACAATATATAAAGTAAATTTTGATCGACATACATCAATACTATAGCCCCAAGCCGACCTTTATGGCGTATTGATCAAAGTTTAAAAAGTCCGTTCACTACAGGCGATAAAGCTGTTCATATATTATACTGTCAATTACCTTTTTCATAAAAAGTGTTTCAAATTTGGAAATTTGGATTTCTTTGATGAAAGCAGACCTTTGTTGTGCTTGTACGTAAAACAAGAGTTTGTATTTTATCCAAAAACGTGCAAGATATTTCATAAGTACACATTTTTAATGCATCTTATCGTAGAGTACAGCCAGATATCTTCAAAATGCCTGGAAGGCAGTGCGCAGCATGTCAAGCAAAATAGAGAAGATTAGATGTCATGTTCGTTTAGAATAGCTGTCTTTCGAAAACAATATGAATAAAAACGACTTTGTATTCGTTTGTCCATCATTGCAAGGAATAGCTTCCAAAATGATCATATGTATATTTTACAAGGTCCATACAGTAGAGAACAGTTATTAAATAGCTAAGTTCAATCAATAGCTAAATAAATCTGTTTCAATTGTTTACTTGACAATGTATAAATTGTTGGTGGTCAAATTATAATTAACGAGGAAAACCTCTACAGAGAAAAGTTCAAATTAAGGGTTGTATTTTTAACACAGTTATAGATGTCACAATTTTTTGCACGCCAAAATGATTTTGTAGCTTCGTAAATATTAGTTTTCACGTTCTTCAAATTCGTAAAAGATCACAATCAAAGTTCGCTATATTGATATATTAGTTGCATGGTTATCATAAAAAGTGTCATCATAAAATACTTAGAGAATTAATAAAAGTGCCATGACATAAAAACATAGCTAATTCTATAAACACAAGCAATTGGCTATAAAGATATTCAAATTAAATTGCTTGTTGTAATAAGTTTTTGTTCGCAAAAATGGCGTAGCTATTTGCAGTAGGAAAAAAAATAATTCACTTCAAGAGACGCCTTTAAAACACTTTTAAATTAACGCGTGCTGTACATGCTGCGATGCCTACGAACACAGCTATAAAATATTGCATAAAACATACATTGATATACCTTGTTGTTTACTGATCTTTAACCATTTGAACATAAAAGTAAAGATCACAAAGTTTGAGTTGTGCGCTGCTTGCGTTCTTCTAACATGCAGACCTTGTTTATCTCTGTGATGAAAGAGAGTGCCGAATAATGACTAACAGGATGAAATCGCAACAGTTTGTGGCGATTTAATTAGCTCGGTTCAATAAGGCCTTCTTGGTTTCTATTCGTTGCACAGGGACGCCTCCTTTGAAATGAATACATCAGTTAATTAACATCCTTGTTTTGACTTTATGGTCCTATAGATATATTCTCAAGGCTTTGTATCGTTTCTCTCATTCATTGTTTCTCTAATTTCTTAATTTTGGTAACATTTACATTTGTGTGTATTTGCTCTCTTCGAGTTATTTCAACGTCAAAGAATTTCCACCTGAATGATAATGAACAAAATCCTGCATTTTTTGTATGCTCATATTTTACGGGCATTTGCTGCAAGGAAAAATCTTAACTTTGCATCAGCTTTTTGAATGAAAAATTATTTTTAATGAAAAGCCTTGAGGACAGCTTTGACCACAAACCAAACTCCAAATATGAAGTACCTCATATTTATAAACATAATTGTACCCAGCTGTAAAAGTAAGTTCACAAACATCTCGAACTTTAAATACAAAGTTTAAACGAAGTACTGTTTCATTTATCAAGCGGACAAACAGAAAATTGGTCGACTAATAAGGCTATACAAAACAGCAAGCTCCAAGACATGTCGTGCAAGATTTGTCATTTCATCATTCAAATAGTCAGTTAAGTCGTGTCAATCAGCTGTGCTAGAGAACAAATGATCAATTTGTGCATGATAAACTGGAATATCAATGAGATTGTGAATACATGTATATGAACTACACTGCAATAATGCACATTCAAAGCATGAGACGTAAATTAAACGCGTGTTTTTTTTTTAATCAACACATGGTTCACAATGACATCATATCACGACACGGAGTTACTGGTTAGCACATATTGCTTGAGATATAAACAAAACAGCTGTTCTGTGTAGCCTAATTATGAAAAATTATTAAAAACAACATGAACAGTAGGAAACTCAAAAAAAAAACATGTATAAATGGGTCGCCAATGAGCGATAAAAATGCCCCCGATGAAATTGGCAATTCAATATCAACATCAAGCTATAAATGAAACAGTATTTTCAAAGGAAGAAATCCAGTAGTATTGCATGCTAAATATCAAATAGTTATGCATATTTAACCAACATGTTTCATATTTAGTACGTAAACTTTCATCTCAATACGTAAATAAGTCCATATCAATACACATCGTGCGAGATTCTGTGATAGAAACTGAATGTAAATAATGAATAAAAAATTTAAATATAATATTTTGAATGAAATCCTCCATTCGCAGACATTACAGCTATGTTTAAAGCAAATTGAGAGAGAGAGCTTTGGAAAGTTTGATAAGATGTTTTAGCTAAATGGTTCGCGCATTTTCCACGTATTTAAAATTTCTGTAAAACACATTTCTTAGCATTAGAGCGAGTGTTTGTGAAGAATTTAAAGTCAGACTATCTACGACATTAATAAAACATGCTTCTATGAAATAAACACTTTGAAATCACACAAAGTATTGCGATCTGCAAATATATGGCGAAAAATACATAGACTGGTTTTGTTATAGCGTCTGAATATAATTCAACCGTATGATTATAATTTAAGAAGCGTGCTTCACAAAAGCATGGCGCCTTTGTTTTATTCAATTTGTGCCACATGTCGTTCAGTATAATTGAACGTTTGCATAAAACCAGCACAACATATAAACTTTGGGTATAACAAACAACCATTGATGGGAGTATTGTCTTATACTGCAAAGTTCCAGCACAACCTTTTCTTCGAGTTACATATTAATAAAATTCATCTCTGCAAAATAAAAATGGATCCTACATGGAAAGCATTCTTCTACTTCACTGTGTGGTTCATCAAAGTGTGGAAAATCGAAGGTAGATGCAATTGCCACAAAATTGTTTAGAGGGTGACCGCGGGTAAAGAGAAGTAGACCGCATTAAAAAATACAAGTAATTTAATGAAACAGGTTGTAGATCGTCAGGTTGAGAAGGACTGTTTTGTTGTTGATTGACGTTTCGACAACCTTAGGTAGTCATCTTCAGAGTCAAAAGATGACTACTGAAGACGACTCTTTTGACTCTGAAGACGACTACCGCTAAGGTTGTCGAAACGTCAGTCAACAACAACAAAAACAGTCCTTCTCAGGACTATACCAACCTGGACGATCCACATTTACAAACATGTAACGATACTCCCGGGTTCAAACCATTTACTTTATTAATGAAACAGAATGGACAAGAAATATAGTTTATCGCTATTGAGCACATAGCAACGACAAGAACCTATATGATTGTTATAATACATAACATAAGAAGACCATCCAAAGAAGCATTCTGGTTTTTTATCTTCCAGCATCTGTCTTCATCCTAAATACAACTTCAGGCTCGTTCAAGCATCCAAAGAACTCCTCTCGGTACCAGCCTGCAACCGAACACACGTGGCTCATCAAAGTTGAAAAAGCAAGGTACATCAATCTATCACTTCATATAAGAGACGTCGAAGTGTATAGAGGAAAATGTATTGATATTGTCGAAATAAAAGATGGCGATAGCTCACATGCGCCATTTCTTGGTAGGTTAATAACTATTTTAATGATTTTGATGAACCAACTTTTAATTGAGTAAATTCAATCAGGAGGCTATTGCAATGAAAATAAGCCATCTTATAATATACTGTCAAGTGGTAATGCATTACGGGTGTGGTTTCAGTCTGCAAAAAACAGCGCTGGAGGACATGGCTTCAGTGTAACGTACACAAGTGCTCTTGATGAAGGTAGGTGAATGGAAATAATTTCTCCTAAAAGAAAAATCCTTCAAGGATTTTGTCATCTTTAGCTTGCGGTGGTCATTTCAAGACGTTTCCGGGAGTCATTAAAACCCCACGCTATCCTCTACCGTACCCAAATAACCGTGAATGTACTTGGACGATCCAAACTCCTCCTGGTACCTATATTCGCGTGCAGTTTCACGGTGCTTACGGTTTGGAATATCGATGCCCTGATCATCATTGTGAATGTGTTGATTTTCTCGAGATTAGGGACGGAGGTATAAGACTGCGCGAAGAACCTCAATATGGGTACGTTAATGAAGATATTTTAAACTAAATAGAGTACTAATTAAGAAGTTATAAAGCTTATACTGTATTCAGGTATTGTTTTATGAAACCCGAGCCATTTACATCAAGAAGCAATGCAGTAGAGATTAAATTTACATCAGATTCCCATGGACGGTACGAAGGTTTCCACTTCACATATACAACATCACTTACCAGAGGTAAGTAAAGGTGTGGTAGGGACAGTTATTGATAGGTGGTGAGGATTAAAGGAAGATTCTTTTATTGCCAGGGTGTGGTGGAGATATTCATAAAGATCGTGGAATCCTTACAAGTCCAAACTATCCTTACAGCTATTACTCATATATCAAATGTATTTGGCGAATCAAGGCGCCGAAAGATCATTTCGTCACAATAACATTTCATGAATTTGATGTTGAGCGATCATCTTCGTTCTGCGCCGGACACTTTTTGACCATACGAGATGGATACTCGGAAGAAAGTCCACTACTTGGTAAAGTACATTCCGATACTTAAATCACCAATGAACGGAACTCAATGCATATGTTTGTTATAGAAAAAATGTGCACTCCAAAGTTTGTAAAGGAAATCAACTCGACAGGAGAAATGATGCACATCACATTCATGTCGTTTTTTAATTCACACTCCATGGGATTCAGAGCAACATTTGCAAGTCATAGAAGAACATAGACTGCTTTGCTTTGATTTATATAAGCAAACAAACAAGATGGTAGAGCGAAACTGATTATTTATAGAATTATATGTTCATATAAAACACAATACATTGAAACAATAATTTCGTGTATTTTATTAATCACCAGAATTCTCCACAGAGTCGCAAGCGAAAAAATTTCTTAAATACGTTGTCAACTTCTTTGATGATTTCGTTTAAGGTATGGGAGGGGGGGGGGTTCACACCAAACAAATTATTTAGATAGGATAAAGTCAGGGGGGAGTTCATTCGAGACAAATTATTCCGATTGGAAAAAGGTAGAGGTGAAAGTTCACCTCAGACGTATTTCTTATGACGTATTTAAGTAAAGCAGAAATCAAATATCAAACAAGTTGACAACATAAACGTAAAATAGTATTTTGTCGTACAATAAATGGCTGTCATGTGATACTATGAATACCTCAATGCTAAACTATTTGCGCATAAAATACTTTTTCAATTCATCCATAGCAAAAGTGTTAATCTACCAAAAATAACCAAATAATTACTTTACACGTTGATGACTTTCTCGATAAGTTCACACAAATCAAGCAATTTCACAATCAAAACTGCTCATAAAACACGACTTTCTTTCACACCACAACGCCAAGAATTATGGTTACAAAAAGATCTCTTACATACAAACTGTACATCTAAATTATTTCAAAGCAAATTGTTGCTTCAATATTTCTTATTCATTATTATTCATGTCTATAAGGAAACCACGCGTGACAGTAACGTGGGCAACACGCAAAAGGACAACCAGGTGGCTTCGGGTGATTGAACAAACAATGATACATAATCACCCCAAACGAATGTAAATAAAACGCATGAGCTATCCAGCACAATACAAATCGTGCTACCTACTTGGTAATACAACATGTTTAGAATTGTCTCTTTGACCATCTACTCGACCAGAGTTCGCTTGTTGCTGCGGTTGCGTAGCAACAGAATTGTAATGACCTTTAGCCTGCCATGAGTTAACATCACTCATGTGACCAGTAGGCATGCGCGTACCATTCCCTACATCCATATTTGTATGCCATTGAGAGACGGTGGTACCATTACTCCAATTTAAACCAGTATTTTCTGGACGCCACTGTGGGTACATCTGATTAGGAGGATGCGAAGCATTCATTGCAACTGAATTTGGTGCGTTGACAAAGTCTATTGAAGAGGTGTGAGCTATATACCCCCCACTGGTACCTATATACCCCCCAGTGGTACCACTCGTTGTTGGCATTGTATGAATAGCTGCACGTGACTGTATTACTCCATGAGTGGTTAATTGACTAAAGGTGTGTTTACTTGTAGCCCATCCACTGGTAGTACAAGCAATTGTGGATGTACCGCCACTTTTCTTTTTTGTAACATCGTATTCAAATTGCTGCATGCTTCTTTGCTGCAGTTTGGTTAGATTTTCATCCGAGTTGATTTGTTTCTTCACGTTTGATAACGTGTTAGGTTTAAGGTTATTACCATTTGACGATTTCTTTAACTCTATTGGTGTTTGTGTGGAGGCAGTCGTTGTCGGGTTCTTTGTGATTGCTACGCTTGCATTTCGTTTCGTTTCTTTGGTTTTTTCGTTCGTCTTCTTCTGTTCCAGTTTTTTATAAAAATCTTCAAGTTCTCTCGTCTGTCTCTTCTGCATATCCATTTTTTCTTTAAGCTGCCTACGAGAAGCCAAGGAAAGAATTGTTTCAAAAACGCGTGTTAGTTCACGATGTCCGTTAATTTGATAAAATACGTTAATTCAATATGTTATAATTAAGTTTTAAATTAAAGTATTGGGTATAAGTGGCGTTGATCTGATCATTAATTTATTTGTTCTGATATGTCAATTCAGTATCATGTTATTTTAAGCTTACTTTTCATGCAAACGCTTTAATTCAGCACTTTCTTCACGAGAAAGTAACACATTAGACAAATTTCCTTCTTCAGAGTACCGGCTTTCCACTCTTCCATCCTGAAATAAAGACACAATTGAGCAAAGCATAAGCACAACAAACTTTAAATTATGTGTAAAGTTTTTACCTGATATACCCAATTTTCGATGTATTTTTTTTGCTCAACTGTCATCGATTGTTTTTCTGTATTTTGCACTTCCCCATCATGGGCAGAAAAACTATCTGACGATTGTCTACTAAAATGTTTATCACAACCTGACACAGAACCATCGCTGTCATCAAGAAGCCTTTGTTCATCAGAAGAACTTTTTTGTAAAGTCTTTGGTTCGGATATCGTGTTCATAGCCTTTATCTCGTTTGAAATGACTATTTTGTCAAAACTCGTTTGAGTCTGTATTGAAGAGGCTACTTGCACTGTGATATCCTCATTCCTTGAGCAATCATCCGTAGAGCATTGAGATTTCTCGAAATTGACCGAGCTGTTATCGGCATGCTTTGTCGCATCTGATGGTAAAATAGGAATATGGATGGGTGGATGATTGCACGAGGATTGCACGTGAACAATGTCGTCCGGAGCATTTGAAGACATTGTTAAGATCTCTGACGGTGTTGACGTTCCTTCTGATGTGGCGTTGCTAGAACTATTAGTTTCTATTTTTATAACGTCATCATTAGCAAAGTGACGTAGCACATTCTTAGGACTTGCAGATTCAGACAACAATGATTGCTGTGTTACAGTGGATTGCGTTGAAGTCGCTTCTGCGTTTGTCTTAGCAATTTGCTCAGAACTTGATTGCGCGTTACAATCGGTTGCCGTAGCAACATTTTCCCTTCCTAAAGAAGACTGGAAACCAGTTGTACTAGTATCGTCAGAGTTCACGACACTAGGCGGAGACTCTGCAACAACCTGTACCTGAAACTTCTTATTCTTCGCCTTGATCGTACGTACTTCATATGGCGTATCATTCATTCTTTCTCTTTGAGAATCCGACTGAGCGTTAGATTGGGTTGGTTGGGGGGTTGGTTGTTGCAGTAGGTTGGGTTGATAGTGGATTGGGTGTTGTAACAAGTTGAGCTGGTTGTAAAATTGGTGTTGCAACAGGCTGGCTTGGTTGTGAATTGGCTGTTTCAGCAGATTGAGACTTGACTGTTGCAACAGGTTGGGCTGGTTTTGAGTTGGTTGTTGCAACAGGTTGATTTGATGGTGAATTGGTTGTTGCAACAGGTTGGGCTGGTTTTGAGTTGGTTGTTGCAACAAGTTGGGCTGGTTTTGAGTTGGTTGTTGCAACAGTTTGGTTTGATGGTGAATTGGTTGTCGCAACAGGTTGGGCGGGTTTTGAGTTGGTTGTTGCAACAGGTTGGGCTGGTTGTGAGTTGGCTATTCCAACATATTGTGGGTTGGCTGTTGTAACAGGTTTTGAGTTGGCTGTGGTAACAGATGGTGAGTTGGTTGTTGCAACAGGTTGGGTTAGCTGAGAGTTGGCTGTTACAGCAGGTTGAGTTGGTTTTGAGGATGTTGTTGCTTCAAGTTGGGTTGGTTGTGAGTTGGTTGTTACAGCAGGTTTTGAGTTGGCTGTTACAGCAGGTTTTGAGTTGGTTGTTACAGTAGATGGCGAGTTAATTGTTGCTTCAGGTTGAGTTGGCTGTGAGTTGGTTGTTACACCACCACCAGTCAATACTTGGGTATTACTAGAAGCAGAAGGTGTTGCAGGTGTTTGTTTTGCAGGCTCAACGTCTCTGCTTGAGTTCGTTATCTGACCGTTATTTGCTTGAGAAGAAGACTCATTGCCCTGAGAAGACTGCTCTGATTTCGCAGTCACTGGAAACGTGAAAGGTTCGTTTCTTTCTGTTGGTGTTGTTAGGGTCTGCACGAAATAAAGAAAAACCATCAACAAACAATTCTTTCAGGAGAAAATTCACTGAACGCTTTTTAAAGAATGTCTAACAATTAGGCTATTTCAGATGCATGAGTTAAGTTTTGGAAACATTTTGCTTTCTCGAATCAGTAATGTTCCATCACTCAAACAACTTACATGAGCTGAACCAGGATTGCTGTCTGCCGATGTCTGATGATCATATCGTCCTGTTCCGTTCTCGGCATCTTTCTTACTGCGAGCGTCACTTAATATTCTTCTTAATCTTTCCACAAACAACGCCTTATTTGCTTCTCGTAAGTGACCTGAATTAATCTATACAAAGGTATCATATTGATGAATTAATGAACTTCATATAAATGTTTTTACGTCAAATTTTAGTTTCAAAAATACAGTAGACAAAATTCAAAATAAGATTGAAATCAAAAATCGTGAAAAGCTAAGACTTACATCTCAAAACAAGATGTACAATATAATCTAAATTTTGCTAAAGGTTTTGACCGTATATTCTTCAGGCTAGTGTACCTTAATAAAATACCGGTTGGCCAAAAGGCTGCCTTCAGACTAACATTTCATTAACATCTATTTTCATACTGCGCATGCACGACGCTAGCAAACACGTTCAAATGCAAAGGCAAGTTGCAAAACAACTTTTGAAGTGAGTTGTTCTTCTGTCAAATATTTGACAAAAATGACAAACTGGGCAAAGTTATAGAATGTGCAACAAAGATTTAGTATCTATCAGCTATCTTACCATACTCTTTGATATATCTATCGACTCGTCTTCATTTATGTCAAATTTAAAATTGATCCTATAGTTCTTGTACGTATCAAACGAACATTCGATAACATCTTCATTTACGGACAATAAAGTCAACTTGAACGTTCGTTCTTTCTTCTTCGTTTTTGCCGTTGATTGAGTGGAAGCAGGAGTTGCTTGTTGTCCTGACGATAATGTTGCTTGAACTGTTGAAGTTTGACTACCGGTTTGTGATCCAGGTAACGATGTTATTGATGAGTTATTGCTGCCAGTGTTCATGCTAACTGTCTCGTTTGAACCTGAATTGAGAAATTCATTATTTAACAACAACATGGTTCATGTTTTATGCCACAACATATTCAAATGCTCACTTTTTTCACTGATAGTTGAGGAAGAGTCGGTATTTTGCAACACTACATTCTTGTCGACATCGGGGGATAAAGGTCCAAGTTTGACATCACCAGCAGTAGCTGGCACTTGAAGAGGTTCCTTGATATCAAAACGCAACACTACATCATTACTTTGTCAATAAATATACGACGTGGAATAGAAACTTACTAGACGCTGTGATCCACCATTATCTTCCGAGGCAATCGAACTGACTGCAGACATGTTGGAAATTCCGAGTCCTTGCTCGCAGCTGCCGAATTTGTCTGTTGAAAGAAAGTTAAAATTTTAAAGAACAACAACCCTACTACATATAAATTATTTAGAAAAATTTCTTACAGTGATTTTAGTTGCTATTTGAGAATTCATCTCTTCATTTGATGTCGTGAGATTCTCTCTTGATCTTTCCTCGACCGTTTTGCTGTTATTTCTTTGCGATTGTAATTGTTTTTGTTGTATTCCATGTTGTGACTGTTGCTGTACAGTGTTGTTAACGTGATTACTTGACGATGGATTATTTGCTTGAGATTTGTGCATTTGACCATTAGTAGTCGAGCGCGCTTGATGAACTGATGACGTCTCACTACTCTCCTCGGTCTTTTCATCATTATTCGAACTGCTGGCCCCGCTCTCAGAGTTAGAATGGGTGTGATTGTTTCGATCGGTCACTTCATTCTCCTTCTCCTCTACAACACCTTTCTCGCGATTTTTCTTGACGATAGCGACGCATTCTTTGATCGTCTTCGCCACTCGTTGCATGTTGCTTGCGTCGATGAAACCTGAGGAAACCTACAACACAAAAATTCGATAAAAATGATAGCATCGTCGTGTTTTTAACATTAGAGAAGACCCATGAGCCAATAGCTATTGTAAATTAGCAACTAAATTACCGCAGTCCACTCATTTCATATTCAAGTGGTGATAGTGGTTTTATTATTCAGACATTCATTAACGAAAGCTTATTTTGAAATTGTTTGAGTTTTCATAGATGGACAACAATTTATCGGGAATAATGATGGACTCGCTTCTCGTAATACACTACCATTATAACAGAATACAATATAACATTCAACATTTCTTATTCAAAATTTCCCATTACAAATTCAACAAATTCATTTTCTCCATTCTTTGAAAATTAATAGTTCACTGTATTAATTGATGATAACCAGCAAATTGACAGTAACATTTTAGTTAAACTATTAGCTAAACCCACAAAACATTAGCTAAACTAAAAACGATGTTGCAAATCACTTCTGTTGCCCAAAACTGACAACCATAAAAGTAAATAAACATGTCCTACCAGTTCCTTAGATATCTTTTCGGGATTGTCATTTACTAAATCAAAATCGAATTGGATGGCTTCGTTATCCTTATGTTTATCTTTCCGCAATTTTGGATTGCCCAAACGTAGCTGTAACTTTACTAGATCCATGTTATCAGGATCAACTTCGGATTGACGTACGAGGTCCACTTTAATACCAGCGTCGACTTTGAAGAAAGGACAATTCAACAGGTACGGAATTGTATATCTGAAACATTATGTTGTGTCGTCAAATCATTAGTCTAAAATATACACATTACAGTTGTTTTGCGACAGCCTGACGATAAACATCCATAATGTTTCTGATTTCGAGAATACACTAAACCCCACGCTAACTCGAAGTAAATCCAGTTTTCCCTGAATTTCACAGCATATTTCATAAAAATTTACTTTGTTTAATTTCATTAAAACGAATTTCAATTTCTATGGGTCAAACCTTCCTGGATAACTAGAACTTTAAACCCGAAACGCTGAAGGATAAATCTCACGGGATGTAGTTTTATAACTCGAAAGTGCAAATTTGGTTTAAACAACAAACCATTTGTAAATTATACATGCAATATAGTAGTTTCAAAAGTTCATTACGACAATTTGCATCAAAAGCGTTTCATTGTTACTGATCTAGTATAGAATGCAGAACGTAATTGTATAAAGTATGGATCTTTCAAGTAATGACACTTGTGAATTGATATTATAAATAATTATCTGTAAAATGCTTTGTTGTACCTCAAATTTTAAACAAAGAGTAAAACAGCTAATGCTTGAGTATCGACCTTATATACAAAATTCAACCCACACTAAATCGAACCCCCGAGAGCAATTTTTCCGAGTTTTAAGGTATATCATAAGACTGTGCCAAAGTCAATGTAGATTTTCTATTTATCTAACGCACATAACGAAATCATTCACTTCATTTTAACCTAGTTCATAACGACACAACAAATTGTAATAATATACAACATTAATCATACGAACCTCTCTTCTGTTTTGTATTTTGTACATCCAAGTATAATGTCATAGATGTCAGAATTTTCTACCCTAGCAAGGCAGTCAGGGGGAATACCCTATGAAATAAAAAAATTGCTATCGATGATATTGCTCACTCCAGAAAAGATTGACAATGGACAGTTAAATAAGTAAAAAGTTTCCTTACCTGCGTCACACGTTTATAAATCTGTGCAGGATTTTGACATTCCATATAAGGATATTCTAATGTCACCATTTCAAGCATACACATTCCAAAAGCATAGACGTCAACCGACTCATCATAGCGTTCCTCGTACATTTCTGGAGCCATAAATTCTGGTGTGCCTAAAGATAGAAATGAACGAAAACATCACCATTATGGTAATATATACTATAACGAACACATCACCATTATATGAAAGGCTATATGCAGTGCGGTGTTTGAAATTAAATGAAGATATGATCTTCATTCCCGTTGGGTCACCTGAACTTTTAAGGTTCATGAGACAATTGCTTAAATTGTCCAGCAAATGTGCGAAGATCATATCTTCATTTAACATCACCATTATGGTAATACATACTATAACCAACACATCACCATAATAATATGAAGATTGCAATGAGCCTTTCATTGTTACGAAGTTTGAAAAAAATACGTTCAGAAATGACGTTAAATATTGAAAAGAGTTAAAATAATAGCTAAATAGGAAACGCAATCGTTACCTATGACGCTTTTTGCAAACGAGTGCTTTTTTAATGTGGCTAGCCCAAGATCTCCGATCTTGATCAAACCGGTAGAACCATTAACAAAGATGTTGTCACACTTCAGATCGCGATGAATGATGGGAGGGGTACGTGTGTGTAGAAAATAAAGACCTTCAAGTATTTGACGACACCAACTTTTTAACACTTTCTCACGAACGCCTTTGAATCTTTTCAAATACCTTTATAGAATGAAATTGACTTTTTTATCTTACAGAAAAAAAATGTAATTTATCTTACATGTAAAAAGTTAGTAAACTAGACGCTCTTTGTACATCCTAACTACAGTTTATCCTTTCGTATAGAAATAAGGCTAGTTAGAACTATCTATGTAGAAAACAGCAATTTAATCTACTTTTAACGATACTCCATCATTTTGATATTTTCTCAAACGTAAAAAAAGTTGATGTGAGTATTTATTGAGAAACTCTGCTTGAAATGTAAGATTTGAAACAGCGTGGGTACCTTGATATACATTGAGGTGTAAAATCACTATACATGAACATATATGAACATTAAGGGATGAATTTTAGATAGAAAGTTTCCCTACATACCTAGACAAGTACATACACATAAAACGTGGTTTTAACTTTTAACATATGTTCATGCATCAGGTGTAGGTGAAGTAAACTCCATATTTTTGGTAAAAAGTTTGGGATAATCATTAATCTCGCGTCGGGAAAAAAAACCCCTAAGAGATATGGATAGAGAGATAAAAGAACATCGTGGGGATACAACAATTGATCTTTCTTCTCATTGTCGTTCAATAGAATCAATAGAACGCATAAGTCTAAATAGGAAATCCATGCAAAGAAAACGAGTCAAGCATGATACGACAATAGCAAATTAGAAATTATCGTTGATAACTTCAGTTTCTTTAACCCCTGTCTCGTGTTTATGGAAATTGTACACAACCTGTAAACAGCTGCGTGATAAAGAAAACAGGAATTATCATAACTCAACGCATGCGCCTCTTCACATGAACATAATAATCGAGAAAGGAAATAATAGAAAAATAAATAATTTACAATTGCGCGTTGCATGTGACCAAGGTAAAATTACCCAATATATTAATGACAGAACAGGCGGTTTTAGTAAACCAAAATTCAACAAACTTAATTCGTCAAACGTTGACTAAAAACAAAATAATAATTTGTCGAACGTTTATGAAATGTTATTTGCGATCAAGTTAATAATAAGTGTCAGAACAGCTTCCTTTCGACTCAAGCATTTCCTGTAAAACTAGACACGAAACAAGACTACAGACGGACACAACTATATAAACAGCAATAAAGCGACTTTTTAAAACAGGTACAAACTTGAACAAAAACACAATATGAACTGATTTGACGTATTTCCTTACATAATTTATTCATATTTCTAGTAGAACACAACATTAAATACATATATGGCTTCTCTTTAGACTTTCAACGTCGAACTATGACACAAACCGGTAGTCGAACACTTTAAATAAAAAACAGATGTAGGCAGCATTTAAACCAAGACAATACATCTCATATTGCATAACACTAACCACCATAACTCAAGACCTTAGAAATTCTTATTTCATTCGTTAGTGTAAGTGAAATTAATGATTGGCATGTTGTATTGCATGCATTTGAAATCATTATGACAGGATCAAAAAGTAATACAAAAATTACTTAAGTCTGGGTAAACAGCTTAAGACTTAATAATATCTCTCTACACAGAGCTTTGAAACAGGAATATTTAATCATAATGCTTGAAAATAAATTAGAATGCTATGATGATAAAAATAATATCATAAAATATGCCTAGCATGGTTTACTTTTTAAGATTTAAATACTATTAGATACATACATACATAATAAGCATACATAATAAGATATGAAACACATCTTATGAGAGAAAAGGCTTTAAATTTTTGACATGCTTTCCACTGATTATTGACTTAAAACAACTTAAAAGAATCATTCACATTATTTAAGATAGATTAATAAATTATTTCAAGAATATAAACTAGAAAGTGTCTTCAAGCCCCTCCTCTGACCGACCTTAAACACATGACCCAAGGTCCAATGTCCAAGACTCGGAGCATTTGATATATATATAAATTTTGATACTTAATTACTTATTATATACCAAATCTTATTGGTCATGTTCCATATAGAACATTTAAAAAAAGTGCAGTCACATGCATAAAGATCCTGGTTATAAAATTTTTCCTGTATGACATATTTTATTTGTAAAACAGTAGCTGTAAGCATCTGTGAAACAGTTAGATAATATTTAAAAGGTTAAAAGCAAGGCACAGATGATTTAGCTCTAAGACAAAACAATGACTGCAGAGATATGTATCAATAAGTCCATAGAAAACAATGGTGAAATAAAATCTTGAAGGTCCAAGCAAAGCAAACTTGAAATTAATAAGTAAATGGAGTATCTTAAGACTTTACACAGTGCTAATATCAGGAAGAGAGAAAAATATGCCCTAATCATCAAATATTTTTAAAGAAATAACAATAGATTGATCAATGTAAATGGTATGTCAAAAAAAATCCTATGAAATAAAAGGAAAAATAAGTAAGAGTATCCTTGATTAATGAGACATAACAGAGCAAACGAAGGTTTGATTAACAACAACTGTGAATTTGGAAATGTGGTTTATTTACATAAATATTTCAACATTCCCAAAGGATAAGACATGCCTATGTGTCTGGCATCACTATGAATGATGTCTGCATTAGTTTCAAGTTTAAATTCAACTCGTTCACGACAGCACAAGAAAACTCTGACGAAGTGTGAAGGTGTAGCTAAACACCAAAGCCCTTAATATACCAAATATTTGCCAGAAATCATCTTACCTGAACAACGACAGAAAGCTAGCCTATGTAATTTAAAAACAATAACTCAGTACAACAAAAGCACTATTGAAATAGTACTAAAAATAACAGTGGTTACATGCCGAAGAAAGCTTCAAACGAATGTACATACGACACACATCACTAGTTTATATTTTATCAATGGTATTACTTCATACTCGAAGCGGTCAAATATATACTTACGTTTTTAGTGTTCCCGAAGTCATTAGTTCTGTAACGAGAATGAGCTGCTTTTTGTCTTTTTGTCCTGCTTTGGGCCGCTCAAAGAACTCGTGAAATTTAACAATATTTGGGTGCGTAAGCTGTTTCAACATGACAGCTTCCTCTTTGAAACGAGAGCGTTCAGACTTTGAATATTTATCCTAAAACGGCAACGAAAGGACAACAGTTACTTTAACTATAATAACGTTTTATTCAATAGCTTACTTTTGGGAAGACTGAGAGAAAGACAAACTAGGTTTACCTGTAATTCACACCAAGCCACAGCAACGCCAGTTTCTGTGTCCAAGCCTTTGAAGACGGTTTTAAACGAACCACGACCAACTTCTACATCAAATTCAAGAAACCTACCATCAGGACTAGACGCTACGGCTTTTTCTTCAGCCTCAATACTTTCGTTTAGAACAGTTGCTCTCTCTTTGACCTCTTCTACCGTCTTGTCGTCGGGTAATAAGTGATTTGAACTGCTTTCCACAGAATCCAAATTTGGTTTAGAGTTTACATTTTCCTTTAGTTCACTTTCTTCCTCAGTAATACCCGACTTAGAAATCTCCGCAGTCATTTCTTTACCTTCACTTTCTTGTAAATTACTCATAACACATCCTTAAAGCGCTTTCAACATAAAATCAAGGCATCGGGCACTGAGGTTGATGACGAGAACAACCAAATGCAAAGACATGTTCACAAAATTCTCGAAAGAAAACTGGACATTCGGGAAATACGGTTCACATATTTTGTTCAAAGATGTTCATATATCTCTTAGAAGCAAATACGAATTGAATAAACCGACTTACAACGACAAAAAGGAACTAATTACTAACGCCAATTCGACAGACCATCATGGCGACGTCGGAAGCGAATTGACGAAATAGGAAACTTGCAACGAGTATTTCTTCTTCCCACAAGTACAGTGCGTCAAAATTTGTGGAGATACACTCCAAAAAGGGATTAACCCCTTAGCGAGGAAATTTTTCCCGAAAGACCAACCAGTTCGCTGTCTTTTCGACGAGAAGTCTGCTCTGGCAAATACAATGGCAACTACTTGAAGCACATGAATGAAGCTCTCGTCCGAGAAGACGACACACAACGCATGCGCAGATCCTGTTAATGCTGTTCATATTTCTTTATAGATCAGCAAATTCCTTGAATAACTATTAAAAATATTGCTTTTTTTGCCGGATTTCCTTGTTTCGTTATATCAACAAAAACAAGGACTTTCTAGTGCAACCTTTTCATCAGATCGAGAAAATGAAAATTAATGTATGTCAGGTGTACAATTTTCAATGCGCCTCAAAAATTTTGCATATTTGTAATTTTATTTCTATAAAATATCCGCGTCATGCTACGTTTCACAATTGTTTGTTGAAGGTCAAATAAAAACCATTTGAATTATTCTGTCCTTGAAAAGCCGACAAAATTACAACATAAAAACGTAGAAAAGCGACGTGTACATTTTAATTGACCCAATCAATGAATTGCAAAACACAATATTTGTAAAAATACATGCAAATGCAATGTGCCCGAAATTTAAACTTTCCCAACAAAATCCTTGCAGTAAACGAACTTTAAAGTCTACATCCAGTTAGAATGTTACTTTGAGTAAATATTTCCAATTAAAAGTAATTCACGACTAATCCTATTGGGAAAAAAATTGACATCGATTTAGAAATTCTAACCAACACCCTATTTGGCACAATATTTTGAATTCAAAATGAGAAGTTGTAATATCCAACGAATTTACAAATACTTAGTTTTGGCAACATTAATTCACATCAAACTGGCAAAAAAAAAACATGAAAAGAACGCAAAATTGGCTAAATAGGAAACAGAAAGCGAATTTGATGTGTTATCTACTAACAAAAGAAGAAATTTCGAAAGCAGTTGGAAACAAGCAAACAGCAATTCATTATAATTCATTATAATGTACAACGGTTAAGTCAACAAAGTCAAATGTGTTGAAGGAACTGAGTTAGTGAAATTGACTGAAATGTCCATGCGTCTGACATCGCTAAAATACAAAAATAAAACTCGTTCCAGGTCTTTAGCAAAAAATAACACCGCAGTCTAGTAAGAAGAGCTCCACAGTGCATGGTTACAACCATCATTAACAAGCAAAAGAACACACATCTATGTAAACTACTTTCGACATCTTTTAGTCGGAAAATATACGCCTCGCGTTGCAGATATCTTCGAGATCAGTGTGAAGGTCAGTTTTTGATCACGAGCCTTTACCCAACATAACATGCGTTTATATTATGAATTAGAAGCTGTAAACGGATTTCTAACAATACACAACTGTATGGCTGATGGGCCATGTTGAAGTATCTGACTTATTTCGTAAATATTCAATTGCGTCAGATCCTGATCATCAATCTACGAAAGAAAAAAAACCCAAACGAGTTATTTATAACATCAAAGTGTCAACATATTTGCTCCGTCTCTGTCGCAGACAAATTTTTTCACACTTACTTTGGTAATCTTATCCAAAGGTTGTAACATTCCATCGCAAGGACCACCGGAAAGGATAGATGCGACATACACTTCCTGTTGAAATTTATCTGGTTTTAAAGTAAAACCGAATCCGTGCTCTTCACATTTCTTTAAAGAAAACGTGCGTGTTTGCAAAACGTCATTTTGTGCCGAGTCTGAAACTGTTGCTGTACCATCAGAAACAGCTGGAAACAATTCCAGATTTTTATGTTGTTCACTATTCCCTCTTAATTCTTGGGAAGATTGGGAAAGTTTATGGATAGGGTTCTGTAAATAAAACTGCTCTGTTTCATTATCAGATGCAATAGATGATGGTGCATTACATGTCGGTTTCAGGTCTTCAGAAACACACTCTAAAATTTTGGAATTGTTATGTATCAAATTGCCATGGGAATCTTCCGCGAGATACGCATAAGCTTGTTGCGTGGTTCTTTCGTGCGTTTCCATGGGATTTACACATTTTTCCTGGACAACATAACGTACTGATATCGACTTCCCAGTTAAAGTCCCGCAAGAGGAAGAATCGTGAACACCTCGGCTTGACGAAGGTTCACAACGAGTTTTGGAATTCTGGGATACAGGTAGTACACATTGTTGATGGGTGCTACTCATGCCTTCCCATAATTCATCTAATTTTCCCAGAATTCATCGTTTTCACTCTTTACTTCACAACATTGTGTGGCTGTGATTTCACCTTCATTTGCCATGTTCGTTCTTCTACTATCATTCATGTTTGATGATACACCACAATGCTTTGCGGCTCTGTCTCCATTCTCTTTCTTAACAGTTGGTGTGCCAACGACAATTTGATTGAGTTCGTCAAAGATCTCGGCCCAGGCTGAAACACGATGTAATGACGACATATCCGGGATCTCAAGACCGGTAGCCGGTGCGTCAATCGTAGGAATATTATTCATACGGCATTTGGCGCTTTGTAAACGAAGTTTCACAAGCTCACCGCTAAGTTCTAACATTTCGTAAATCTCTTCCACAGGTTTATTTTTAACTAAAATATCATTGACAGCAAGAATTCTATCACCAACATGAACTGCTCCACTCCTAGAAAAATAAGCAAAACTCTGTACACGGTTCTCAGGTAAGTTCTATGACGACCATCGTTAAAACGGAACATTGACAAAATCATACTGCCCATCGTTAAAATGAAATATTGACCAATTATTAACCAATGAAACACTGGCCAATCACAGTCAAATTAACTTCCTGAGAGTAAACGAGTTAAAGAGAAGAGACGCAATGAAAGTTAGGACCTTAGTTAAGCAATAACGCGCACAAAAAATCAGTAAGAACAAACCTTTCTGCAACATTTTCAGGAACCAACGATGAAACAAAAATGTTGTTAGAATCTTTTCCTTTGCCATCTTCAAAATAAAAGAATGAGAAACTCATTTAAAAAAAGAAGAGAATTTCTCAGGAGAAGATGCGAAGCATGGAAAGCAAGTAAAAGTAAACTAAAAAAAAATTCATGAAAACATCAATCATGGAAATATCATTAATTATTCTATAAAATAAACAATAAAAACAATAACTTACATCCAACATGAATACCAATTGTATTACCACCATTTTTGGGCAGTTCAACTGTATACACAATACCAGAACTTACATCTATATTAAACAAATTAAACGTGAACCATTGTGTTCTGCAATTGTGGCAATCAATTTCACGTCACTCCTAAACACTTATGTGCCAGTGGGAAAAACTCTAATTTCGAAATGCATCTATAAAGAGTTGTATTTCTCTGGCCTTAAGTATGTTGTCACTCTTTCAGCAGAATTAACAAATTACTAGACAGAAACAATATGCTATACTTATATTGCTAAACAGTTTCGAATGGAAATCTTAGCCAATTGCAAAACGCGTTTACCAATACTCTGCTGGATGTTAGAAGCCGAGCGACTAAATTGAATCATATAAATTATCACTCCTGATCTATTGCAGACACGGGTACACGATGGTTTGTGTGGGGGGGTGGGAGGGGGTCTGTACGCTCTAGTTTGGATTAGACACTCTTCCACACCCCTCCCCCTAAATCCATCCCTGATTCATTGTATTTCTAATGACTTATGCACATATCACTGCGGAATGATAGAAATCAAAAATACCTTCAATATCCTGTTCTTTGTTCACAGTAACTTTGACAATTTCACCCAAATGTATTGAATCAATATATGTTATAACGTCGTCAACATTCGACATTTTACGGCCATTTAACGAGACTAATTCGTCACCATTGTTCAAGACACCTGTCCTGTAGGCGGGGCTTGCCTTCCTCACGTGACTTATAACAATTACCGTTTTCTCATTTGCATTCTTCATTTCTGTCAAAGATAAAAGAGCTCTCAGCAAACTGGCTGAGGACATTTACTCATTAATTATTAATCATATGTAAAAAAGAAGAAAACACTGCAGTGACCAGACTACAATTTCAATAAAAAAGTAGTCATCATTGGCTTACATTGTTGAATGTATTTACTGTTTACATTTTGTGGGTAAGATCAAAAAAGACACGTTTATCGAAATTATTTAATCATTTTTCATATTTACACAAGAAAATGGGAATCAATGAAGTAAGTAATCAGAAATTCCTTTGCACACAATATCTGAGAGAATGGTTTCTTCGCTCATAAAACCTCGCTTACAACAAAAGGAAAGTCGGTCTTTTCATTTTAAAAAGACCACTTTACAGTATGTCTGCTGTTTACTGGACTGTTGTTGAGACGTGCTGCGAACAAAGTAACTAAAGATGTCGTCAAATGTGCGAGCAACCATGTAGAACGTTATCATCATTTAAAGTAAAACCGTTTCTTGTTAGAATTACGGATGACGAATATAATTTATAGTCCATTAAACATTAAATAAGACGGCAAATTATCTTCCGTGTGTTATTGATTTTCACGAGAATACACCTACCTATAAAGGTGATTCCTAATCCAAAATAATTTTTCGGCAGCTTGACCGTGAAGGTTCCAAATGCAGCCACAACTGATTCTAAAGGAAAATCATACAAAACCACATCAACAATTTCCACATTAATACTCAGTTTCCGTGACGTAAAAAAATGTGCAAAATTTCGATGCAAAAAGCTAGAAGAAAAGTCGTTCTTTTTAAATATTTACATTCAATGTTTCGCCACTTAAGTCACAATCAATAACAAAAATAATTTGACAAACCTCCAACAGTGAATCCAATAAGAATATTCGCATGGGTTCCAAAACTTTGCAAAACAGAATTAGCATGATCTGCAGTCATCGCTGTTACATCTGTATCGTTAATTCCAAGAACTTGGTCATTTACTTGCAATATTCCAGATCTATAAAAAAATATTGAACTTTAAGATAAAAATCTTCATTCAGACGTAAATACGTGGATACTTTAATGCAACCTTTCAGCTGGTCCACCGTCATCAATATGCCCAATCATCAAAATATTTCCCTCCTGTGCCATGAAGCCTTCAGAAAAAATCAATCCAAAGCCTTGACTATCTGCGGTCAAATTCACCTCCACATACTCCATACGACATAACTGCGCATGCTTCATACAAGTAAAACTCCCGTTACTTCGATGTAATCCTGGTCTACGACCGCGCAATAAGGATCCGGAATGAATATTCGAAAGAGATGACTTTCTACTTAGCAATTCCGTATGTCCTGACAACGGAGAATTACGACTGGAAGTATTGATGCCAAGACTGTTGGAGCGACGTTTTCTAACCTTTGAATATAATACTGCAAAGAAAATTGTAAACCAATTGTATACGTTCATCGATATTTATTGTCATGATCATTGCTATGAACCAGTGGCTTAGGGAGGGGCATGGGGGGTTAGGTTGTCATGATCATTGCTATGAAACAGTGGCTTAGGGAGGGGCATGGGGGTCAGGTTGTCATGATCATTGCTATGAACCAGTGGCTTAGGGAGGGGCATGGGGGTCAGGTTGTCATGATCATTGCTATGAACCAGTGGCTTAGGGAGGGGGCATGGGGGTCAGGTTCCTTCTCAACTTTTCAAAACCAGTGGCTTAGGGAGGGGGCATGGGGGGTCGCGTTCCCCCCAACTTTTCAAAACCAGTGGCTTAGGGAGGGGCATGGGGGGCAGGTTCTCCCTCAACTTTTCAAATTTAAAATAAAAAAGTGCCATTTTTTACAAAAAATGTCCTTTTTAAATGAAAAACTGCCTCACAAATATTGTGCCCTCCAAACTTTCACTTGCTTCCTACGTGTCTCTACTACGAACTTATGTACAAAACACACACACCCTCGGAACTTTGTCCCTTCATTCTTCGATTAGACTCAGGTTCACTTTCCACTTCATAATTTTGACGAGATTTTCGGACAACATCCGAGATCTCAGCGTAGTTGTCGCTGTCGTTCAACAGCAAACGTGTGGCATTGTCATAACGGACAAAATTACCGCTTGGAGTCTGGGGAAGAGCTCGAAGTAATCTTTCGCGAGCATCGTCCTTGGGTAAAGTTCGATGTTGAACAGGAGCTTCATCACGAGCAGTCGACTCTGATCTTTGATCATCTGAATCATCAGCCGAGCCCGTCCACGAATCAACGTTTGCGTACCTACAGACATATGTGAGAACCTAAATGCACACGTCTGGTGTTTTAGTAGCGAGTATTTACAATTATAAAATAAAAAGAATAAAACGCGTGCGGTGGTCGGTCTATAGATGTGTTTGCATTAGCCTGTGTGAAACAGATCTGAGTTCAACCAATTAAATAAATCGATCAATCAAAGAGAATTTTGTAAATAAATTATGAATAGATTACATTTGTGTTAACTTTGTCTTTTTCGCATTATTGTTATATTATAGAAGCAATAAAAGATGTTTTTCGTGTTTGCACAGGATTACGTAAACCTTGTAAGAACTCTTGAGCAGATGAAACCCTTGACCCTCGGTCTCGGGCTTTCAGTGATCAACTCTGTAGTTCTCTGAAAGGCCTCCTCGCTTCGCATGAGCTTGTGCGAACACAGTAAAAATATTTTACTTCCACATACCAGCTAACTAACCTGTCAGATAAAGCAGGCTCGTCATCTTCCTTATTCAAAGTATGAGAAGTGAGAAATTCAATCTTCATTCGGCTTACACTCTTTGCCAGCAACTCAACAACTGCAGCCAAAGAAAGATCTTTCACGAAGGTCCCATTCACTCTGATTATTTGGTCGTCTTTGTGAAACACTCCCAGCCTAAGAGGATAACAGGATTAGTTAGGGATAAAAGACACACCCAGCCTAAAGGGATAATAGGATTAGTTAGGGATGAAAAAAGAAATGACCCATACTCTCACCTATCAGCCAAACCACCTTCAATAACATGAGATATGACAAAAACACCACGTCTTTCTTCTCCTAAATATAATCAGAAAAACAGAAGGCAAATATAGCGAGCTAACAGGCCAAAGGAATAAGACAATGTCTTTTTTAGCTTCGTTGGTAGTCAGTGAATTTTCCACAAAGACCATCACAATACCTAATGTTAATCCAACGCTGACTGTTGGAGCTGGCTTTTCAATTTCAACTATCCATGTACCATTACGTGTGTTTAACACATCTAAAATTTAATGCACGCTCAATACTCTTTTACTATACACCATATCATATCGTACACAAGAATTACCTACTTACTTTTTTGACTGACGTCATACTCGATTTGTAAAGATACTTGATCATGTGCATGTTTTAACAAGAGCACGACGTCTTCATGTGATAATCCTAACAATGCTTGATCGTTGATCGCCAGTAAACGATCACCAACATGAAGAAGACCATCACTAATGAATGAAATTTTCTCGCTTGAAGGAACGAAGTTACTTAAAAACACATACTGTTTTGTAGCAACATTCTGTACGTTTGAGCAACACTACTGGGTCTTGTGCTAGGATGTGTGAAATTCTGTACCTTTGAGCAACACTACTGGGTCTTGTGCTAGGATGTGTGAAATTCTGTACGTTTGAGCAACACTACTGGGTCTTGTGCTAGGATGTGTGAAATTCTGTACGTTTGAGCAACACTACTGGGTCTTGTGCTAAGATGTGTGAAATTCTGTACGTTTGAGCAACACTACTGGGTCTTGTGCTAAGATGTGTGAAATTCTGTACGTTTGAGCAACACTACTGGGTCTTGTGCTAGGATGTGTGAAATTCTGTACGTTTGAGCAACACTACCGTGTCTTGTGCTAAGATGTGTGAAATTCTGTACGTTTGAGCAACACTACTGGGTCTTGTGCTAAGATGTGTGAAATTCTGTACGTTTGAGCAACACTACTGGGTCTTGTGCTAGGATGTGTGAAATTCTGTACCTTTGAGCAACACTACTGGGTCTTGTGCTAGGATGTGTGAAATTCTGTGCGTTTGAGCAACACTATCGTGTCTTGTGCTAAGATGTGTGAAATTCTGTACGTTTGAGCAACACTACTGGGTCTTGTGCTAAGATGTGTGAAATTCTGTACGTTTGAGCAACACTACTGGGTCTTGTGCTAAGATGTGTGAAATTCTTTACCTTTGAGCAACACTACTGGGTCTTGTGCTAAGATGTGTGAAATTCTGTACGTTTGAGCAACACTACCGTGTCTTGTGCTAAGATGTGTGAAATTCTGTACCTTTGAGCAACACTACTGGGTCTCGTGCTAAGATGTGTGAAATTCTGTACGTTTGAGCAACACTACTGGGTCTTGTGCTAAGATGTGTGAAATTCTGTACCTTTGAGCAACACTACTGGGTCTCGTGCTAAGATGTGTGCAATAATTCAATTCTGTACTTTTGAGCAACAATACTTGTGGAAAGATGTTTTAAATTCTGTACCTTTGAACAGCACTACCGGGTCTCAGACTTACAACAACAACAGGACGATAACCATGAATAGATGTCTTTGGTGACTCTGTCGCAAGAAGATAAAGCAAGACTTGTTTGGTGGAAAATATTTGCTTTTTGAATAGGTTTGGTAGTCAAATAGAAACATCAACATTGATGTCTTATACCTCTTGCTACAACACCAAAACCATCACGTTCTTTCTTCAACGTTATAATGGCTGTTTTACAAGAGCTGTGTATATCAATATCTAAAAACGATACAAGCATTAAAGTTTGTGAGAAGCTGTGGATTACAGATAACTAGAGAGGTAGAAAGCTAACTCATGATAGAAAAGATTTGACCAAATGCATTTGCATGACATGGGTAAGACTATAAAAACCTCTGGATGACAATAATTCTCACCATATCAGGTAGTGGTGTCTTACATCCAGACATGAAATTTTGTAGTGTTCACCTGAGATCTCGGTGTGTAATTTCAAACAACTAAGCTTTTATGCACAAACATTTTGAATCAAGGGTGAACGGTCTAAAAACTTTGCACAGTCTGGTCTTATATATAATATTCCACCACAACTAGTACTGGTATGCCATAAGATTAATTTCTCCATACCAGGTGGTATTGGTGACTTATACATATTTTACAAAACCTGGCACTGGTATATTATACCTGGTACTGGTATTTTATACAGGATCTTTAAATTGACATGTTGTCCAGCACTGCGCAACAAATCCACTATCTCCTGATGAGTAAGATTTTCTGTACTTTTATTGTTTACGCCAAGATTATGTCACCTATCACCAATGACTCACTCCTAAACAAACCAAACAGAAGAATTTACACGGCAATCAGATCTTCTACATTAACTCTTCAGATGTGATGACAAGACACAGCTTAAACAAAGCTTATTTCAATTTTTAATGAATCTATGCATGAATAAGCCAATCGTGACTCAAACATAGTGCTCTTATACTTGCTCTTGGAGTAAGAAAAAGAAACCGTAGTTAAATAAATAGACATTTGTTACAACATTTACAATAATGTAAGGAGACAGAACTCAAGATATCTTTAGAGAGTGACTACTATGTGGTTAGTATGAAGTCAAAAATATACATGATTGCAAAATACCTGTCAGCAATTCCACCCAATCGCAGGTGAGACACAACGGGATACACACTACCGCGATCAATACCCCCTAAATAAAAATACGTCATTTTGACACAAGAAACCTTTTGTGTATAAACATGCAGTTCCTCTTAGCTAATCTTCTCTAGACTTACATACGACACAAAATACATAAATGATAGTTACCAGAAACTGTAAGTCCCAGTCCTTTATCATGCTTGGTTTTGATAAGAGTAACAATCAAAATGCCTGAATAAGAAAACAGACAATATTCCTAAGATTGCTCTACACACCTGTTTTAAAAATACAAACTTTAAGTTTACTCTCATACTTTGTTGCAAATACGTAAATCACCAACCTGTGTTTTCTTCCTTGGCATTATTTAAAGAACTTCTTCACGATATCATAATGAAATAAAAGGAGAAGTTTGAAGATCATGACAAAATACTATAAAAATTTATGAAATAACTCACATGTACTTATTTTGATTGTCTTTGTCTTCACGTAAACCTTTGTCGTTCTTCGTAATTTCTATGGATTGAGAAAATAGTGTTTGATTCATAAATATCTGCAGAAATCGACTCGATCATAATACACGAACATTTGTACAAATGTTATAAAATACGAGTTTGGATGGCTATTATGAATGAGCCAAGGGGGTTCTTGAGTACACTCAAACATGTTCTTCAAAAATGGCCATATTAGGTTAGTTTTAGCTTCGTAATCAAGATAGTGAAATATGTCAAAGGGAAGATGAATAAAATCTGTTATGAGCACAGATTTAGAAAGCTGTAGTATCTTTGTTGTAGACCCACATGAAATTTAGTCAAGGTCTTAAGTTCACCTCATTTTTTATATATCATTTGAACTTTAATAATCTCATTGAAAATTTGAGACATTTCAAGTCAAATACAATCGAGACAGCTGCACTTGATATTTCAAATGTTCATAATCTTGACTAAACACAATCAAAGCATTAACAATGACAAAGCCATTAAAATTGTGCATGCAATGTTTCCAACTTTTGACTATCTTTCAGTAAAACTATGATTGGCAGATGCAAAGACTTATTTAAAAAAAGAATGCAAACTATGCATTATTGAAATACCAATCATACACTTCATTACATGAAATTATGTAACCAATAACCTACATAGAGTAAAATAAGTTATAAAATTAACTGAACTATTAACAAATCATCTAGTAACCAATTTGAAGCTCAGGATGGTAAATAAGTGCATAAAATGCATAGTTGGTTATGTGCAGAAACGTTTTGTATCATAACTATATTACGAGTGACATTTGATTACAAAATTTTTAAACTGACCACAAATGAAGTCTTGCTTTTTTTAAACTGCAGCATTAAACTTCATACATTAAACCAATTCAAACATGTTAATGCATAGATATAACAGTAATAGCATGAAGCACAGCAGTTTTTGTTTAGACAAGGTGGTTTAATAAATCATTAAACAGAAGCCCTAGGATACTAAAAATAACAAAAGCTAGCAACGAGGAAAATTATTAGCGATACCTGGCATCCTAAAATGTATAGCTGTGTAGTTTGGCAAACCACGTCAAATAGGAGAAGAGGTTTTGAATGTTATGAAATAAAACAGCTGAACAATAGGGGATTCTTAAAAGGACAGCTGCATAAACAATATGAACAATGATATTGTAATAATGAAATGTCTGGAAAAGCTGTTTCGCGGTCGTGTATTTCGGATAGGAATTTTTTTCAGTCATTACAATGGAGAGCAAAGATTTCGGTAATGAAATAAAGATAAGAACTTTATTGTCGAAAATAGCTTTTGTTTCCTACAAAATTCTTGGGGCAAGCACATAATTTAACTTATAATATTCGAATACAAAGCCTGGCATGGTGTCATTTTCACTTAAATAAAATTCATGTCCGAAATTCAAAGCCGCATTAAACTTTTCTATCCACTTTCGTTCGTTTTCGTAAATATTTCTTAAATGCGTGTTGTTGTCATCATTACTACGCGGTCTGTTGTTTCTTTTTAACAGTAAAACAAACAGCAGATTTGAGCAACACTTTAAATACAGTACACGCACAGGAAGCGATTTCAAGCAACAAATCAGTCGGAACACGGGACAGTTTACCCGTTATAAAGTTAAAACTTCATTTTGACTTCATACTCAGTAATTTTTATCGAAATATGGGTTACTCTCCACAGATTTCAAGTCTTACTACATTTTACCTTAGACGGTATTCCTGTTACGCTTGAGTAAGAAATAACTAAGCTTATACAATCAACACTGTTGTACATGATGTCAACAACATCTTTATTTGCTTGCTTACATTAAACTTGGAGTTAAATTACACCGACTCGTGTATTAAACTTACTTGATTTCATCCGCGTTAAAATTGAAGTCATCTTCTTTCACGTTCGAGTACCTTATCGCTACGGGCATCTTAATTCATTTATCGTAAAACGAAAATAAATCTCAGACAGGTATTGGTAAAGCCATGCGATGCTTTCCATCTTATGTCAATATAGCCTATCGACACTTGACGTCCACTTTTGAGTGTTTACAATGGTTACGTTGATGGACGGAAAGGGATAATGATTGATAAACACATGCGGTCTCAACAATATAAAATATTTCACACTCATAAATCATTTTCTCTTATACTAACACGTTTATAAATTTCTCTAAGGCCAACCATTCTTGCATATCAAAATTCAATAGATCAAAAACTCTTTTCCAAAAATAAGAAAGAAATCAACATATCCACGCATGATGAAAACGAAGGAGACTGGGGCCGGAAAACTAATAAAATTTGGCGGGGAAATTTTTTTCTAGCTTTCCTTCGTCCATAAAACAAGTTTTCTTTTAAAAAAATATCTTTATTTTAAATGAAAACGTGAAATGATTTGTGAGAAAGTCAAAATAAAAAAGACAAGTGATGCACAGGTAAGCTGTTGCGTATTTTTATTTTGCTAAAATGTTTAGTCTATGCCGGTTGAACACAGCAAAACATAAACCGTTTCATGTTCTTCGACAATTCATTTTTGTATTTTTTTGTGTCCCTTTTTCTAGACCCTCGACTTAAACGAGAGAAGTGAAGACGAGGATATGGAGCTATATCAAAAAAATGAAGAGCCTCAAACATTGGAGTTGCTTCAAGACATTGAAGACTTCCCTACGAATGGTGAGCATTAAAAACGGACGGAATGACAACAGTTCAAGATCTCATATACTCATGAAATCTTTGTCGTTTGATTAGACAGTACAGCGTTAGAAGATTTCAGTCAACAATACGACATGGAAGACGAAACCCTACAGTGCGTTCCTCAATTAAGCATGGAATCTCCTCTTCAAAATGCTAAAACAAAACAACAACAGGCAAAAAGACCTCGAACGAAGATTACCGCGCAGCGTAAAAGGATGGAAAAATCATCTCACAAAAGCAACCTAAACATCCAAACAGTTTTGCCCAAGAGAGTCCCATTAGCGAAAATGTAAGTATAGGTTCATGAAATAAACGACAAAGTCAATGATGATAATAGAATTTCTTTTCAGGAAGACGATTTTCCTAAGGCAAGAAAGGAAGGAACTTGGATACAATGTTCAAGGATCGACTGCTTAAAATGGAGAAAGTTACCAAATGAGACTGAACCCTTTTTGTTGCCAGATCGCTGGGTCTGTGCAATGAATCCTGGTACGAAGCCTCACAATGTCCAGTAAAGACATTTAGAGTAAACATCGTTTTTCATGTTTCTGTTGTATAGATACAACACGAAAACAATGTACTGCTTCTCAAGAAACCTGTGACAGTCAAGATGACTTTGATGTTGTTTATACACCATTCGTCCAAGGGTCTTTGGTTTGGGCTAAAGTACAAGGTTATCCATGGTAAAAATGATATCTCTGTGTATTTAAAAAGAAACTACAACATAACTGTAGCTACATCTTTTTTATAAATGTCTTCAAGGTGGCCAGGTATAGTGGAAGACGATCCAGACTACAAATGCTGCTATGAAACTGATGATAGCGATGTTAACCCAGTAGGTCCAACTGATGCCCAAAGCTCAGAGACTATTTCTCCACTTTCAAAACTAGTGTTTTTTTTTTGTGGATGTGTTTAGATAAGTTATCATGTCTCCTTTACGTTCGACAAAGATGTGTCAAGATCTTGGGTCAGTAATTTTAATGTTTGTAGTTTCCACGGTGTTGAAAACATCAACAAGGTATAGATTTTATTCTATTGCAACTGAAGTAGATATATATGAATCACATTGACGTGTTGCTTGTCGTGTAGATGAGTACAAAACAGAAAAGGTTTAACAAACCTTTAGAAAGAGCATTGATTAAGGCAAGAAAAGCGATGGATATGTCTTTGGCGGAAAGACTTCGCCAGTACAGTTTTAATTTGTTGTACAAAGGTTATCATGGTGAGAGATTTAACTAACAAATAATGACAAGATGTTTGAAAACAGTACAGAGCGTTGAAACCATCTCTTCTATGACTCTTGTAGATGTCACTTAAAGTTCACAAAACGAAAATAATATTGTTTTTTTCACATTAGATAACGCAACACGAAAAAAGAAAGAAAGAAAACGGAAAAAAGAAAAAATTTCCCCATCATCAGACGCGAAAATAAAGAAAAAGAAACTTAAGAAACGGAAGAATGAAGTTAGCGATGTACAACAATTTAAAATTGATAAGGGGACTACAGTGGATAACACGGGTGGTAGTATAAGCACATCGCAATCTAATAGCGAAAGTAATCATAGCATTGCCGTGGATAACGAGGGTAACGGTAGAAAATCATTGGATGACATGGGATTCAGTGAAAATTCTCTGTACAGCAACGATAGTGAGGACGGAGTAATCACAAATGATGTGGGGACTAATGTGGTCATCCAGGATAGGGAAGATTGTGTCGTGATGAAAAAGGATAGGGAAGATTGTGTCGTGATGAAAAAGGATAGGGAAGATTGTATTGAGATGATGAAGGAGAAAAGTGAAAAAAAGAAAGTGAAACGAAAAAGATTTCTGGAATCAAGTGACGAAGACAATGAAGAAAGACCAAGTAACAAAGGTTTGCTTTGATATTTATACATGATATTCATATAAAAATATCTATTGTGAAACATCTTAATTGTAAACATTTTAAACAGCGACTCAAGTGTGTAGTGATTGTGTGAATATCGACGACGAGAACTTTACAACTGACATAAAGGAAAAGAATCGTCCATCACTGAAACACAAGATGAACAACAACATTCTCCGAGTAACAAATGCCATCAAAATGAAAAGAAAAATATCGACAAAACTAAAGTCATAAAAGGCACTGAGAAACCAAAGAAGAAAAAAGATGAAAGTAAATAGTAAATACAATAGAAAAAACAGTTCTCGGCCAATTTCATAAACTTAATTCTAGCTATATGTAACATCGGAATTTCCTTTCAGACTTCAATATCCGTCACTTACAATAGAACGGAACAGGTTTCGAAAAAAAACATGAAAATACACCAATATTAGTTCTCACATCATTGTTTGCATTGTGCTTAGGTTAAGCTTAGCAAATAACGAACGTAACAGAACTATACGCAATTATTGTTGAATAGGTGGAAAGAAAGAGAGGAATGGCGATAAACGAAAAAAAGAGAATGCAACAAAGCTAAAGAAGGCAGTTGAGGAAGAGAAGCCGAAAAAGAGAGAAAAGACTAAGGAGGGAATGAAAAGCATTACACGAAAGGCAAAGAAGACAAAATTCATTCGCCCTATGAAGTCTAAAAAAGATTTAAATGAACAGACTGTCAGTAAAAACAAGAAATTGGCGTCAGAGTTTGATGTAAATGAAGAAATCAATTACAATGAAGAATTTGAAGATCATAATTTGGATGAAATGAAATCATCAAGGAAAGATATTAACACAGTAGAAATTAGTTTAGATAAGATTACAAATCAAAGCAAGAAAGAATCCATGAAGAAAACTAAGAAAAACAAAAAGGACATCCTTGTTAAGAAGAAATCCTTTATGTCAACAAGCGTGAAAAATACTGATCAACAAAGAAAATCAGACACAATTGGTAAGAGCGAACCAGTAAAACCGAAGAAAATCGAGCTTAGTTTCTCCTTTGATAAGAATGAAAAACAAGATAGCAAAAAGAAAGGGAAAAATGAAAATGAGCACAGCCAAAATATCACCCAGTTACACCAAGAAAACATCAAATGGTAAGATAACTCAATTTTGTTATTCTTAGAAAGTTTAGACTAGCGAAAAATCATGACAATAGCTTTCACTCAACAGTCTTTCTTTTTAACGATATTTTCGTGTGTAGCAGAAGACATGAGTCTAGAAGGCAATAGTATGAAACCAGCAGCAAGATTAAACAGTTCTTTTAAAGAGATGAAGAAGAAACATAAGACGCCGAGTACAATGAAGAAAGTCAAGCAGAGTTTTGGCAAATTCAAAGCTCCAATGAAAAGCAAAGTATCACCAAATGGTTCATACGTACAGACCTCGATATCTGAAGCAAAGGAGACATTGCAAGAAGTTCTAGAAATGTCGCAATGCAAGGATGCACGAGATGATGATGAAAACTACGTTAGTATAGGTAAGGAAATGATTATTTTAACGCTGATAAACAATGAAAACAGATCAAACCTTTTCAGTTGTGTCCACGCATGATTGTGTCCACGCATGGTTGCTTCCGCGCATGACTGTGTCCACGCATGATTGTGTTCACGCATGATTGTGTCCACACATGATTGTGTCCACGCATGATTGTGTCCACGCATGGTTGTGTCCACGCATGATTGTGTCCACACATGATTGTGTCCACGCATGATTGTGTCCACGCATGGTTGTGTCCACGCATGGTTGTGTCCACATACGATTGTGTCCACGCATGGTTGTGTCCACGCATGGTTGTGTCCACACATGATTGTGTCCACGCATGATTGTGTCCACGTATGGTTGTGTCCATTATGATTGTGTCCACGCATGGTTGTGTCCACGTATGGTTGAGTCCATTACGATTGTGTTCACGCACGATTGTGTCCACGCATGGTTGTGTCCACGTATGATTGTGTCCACACATGATTGTGTCCACGCATGGTTGTGTCCACGTATGGTTGTGTCCACACATGATTGTGTCCACGCATGATTGTGTCCACGCATGGTTGTGTCTCACATGATTGTGTTCATTGTTACGATTGTGTCCACGCATGATTGTGTCCACGCATGATTGTGTCCACGCATGGTTGTGTCCACACATGATTGTGTCCATGCATGATTGTGTCCACGCATGATTGTGTCTACGCATGATTGTGTCTACGCATGGTTGTGTCCACGCATGATCGTGTCTGAATACGATTGTGTCCACGCATGATTGTGTCCACGCATGGTTGTGTACACGCATGTTGTGTCCACACATGATTGTGTCCACGCATGGTTTGTGTCCACGTATGGTTGCGGTTCACATGATTGTGTTCACGCATGATTGTGTTCACGCATGGTTGTGTCCACACATGATTGTGTCCACGCATGGTTGTGTCCACGCATGGTTGTGTCCACACATGATTGTGTCCACGCATGGTTGTGTCCACGTATGGTTGTGTCCACACATGATTGTGTCCACGCATGATTGTGTCCACGCATGATTGTGTCCACGCATGGTTGTGTCCACATGATTGTGTCCATGCATGATTGTGTCCACGCATGATTGTGTCTACGCATGATTGTGTCTACGCATGGTTGTGTCCACGCATGATCGTGTCCACGCATGGTTGTGTCCACGCATGATTGTGTCCACGCATGATTGTGTCCACGCATGATTGAGTCCACGCATGATTGTGTCCACGCATGGTAGGAAAATACTAAATACTCCCTTTGATTGTTAGAATCACTGGAGAGCGATATCAGAGATCTTTACGATGAGTTGTCACAATCTGCTGGAATGGAGGACAACAACGATCTTCAAGAGAGTGATTGCGTTAGTATGGAATTCATTGAAGAACAAATTTCTAGAAATTCAAGAAAGAATATTTCAAAGAAAAACTTAACGGACTCACCTGAATTTTAAAATATTTCAACGTTTAACAATTTGTTATTATTTATTGTTTTTTACGAATGCTTGGTTTCAGAGAAAATATTTATGAATGGTTATCGAGTTTCTAAAATGAACGTTTTATTTGTCGTTATATTCAAAGTTGTAAAAAAGAAGGATATATTTGTTCAATAATCATTTGGTTTCAAACGTCTTAGTTTCTCTCTTTTGTTTTTATTTCCATGTTTTTTCCATGGTTTTCCAACAACCATCATGTTTGGATCATCCTTCGCAATTTGCAAGAGCCTGCGATATTCATGGGTTCCCGTAGTTGCCGTCACGTGAGAATTTACTTCGGACTAATCAATATTACAAAGAGAGCTGTTAGCTAGTTAAAATCAATTTTGACAATTTTGTTTAAAGACATAGTACAAACCTGTTGAAAAAAATCATTATCAACTGCGTTTCCGTTCTTCTGAGAAATTTACAAACGGAAATATAAACTGTTACCTTATTGAAATTTTTTTCAATGAAGCAGTGTCAAAAAAACGTACATTGCTTTGCTTCTTGTTAGAAATCAAAGGTCTTTTTTTCACAGTTTTCACATCTGCTGTAAACGATACTTGATATTCTTTCTCATCAATATTAGGAGGAGGATGACAATACAGTAGTTTGCCCTGGTAAAATATTGAAAGGACTGGTGAGGACACAAAGGGATAGGCAGTGGCATAACTAGTACAGCCGTGCTATTAACCGAATAAAGTGATTCTTTTGGTCCTTTTTTTATACATCGAAAACTTTATAATTCAAAGAACCGATAGTTCGGTTTTACGATTCTGTCCTACTCCCACAAAACGCCCACCTATGAGTTACATAAACTATCATAACATTCAATAACTCAAGCCATTTTCATAGTTTAAATTGAACCCCATTTACCAACTATCAATTTTTCATACATTTTAGATGGAAAACTTTCATTAATAAACTTATCAAACTACTACCTTACCAAGAGCACAGGTCGGTCCACAATTCAGGCACTTACATTCACATAATCTTTCAAGATATATCTAGCAGAGCGTGGTGCATCTGATCTTCCTTGTCGAGTGATAAAACTACGGCTTTCTAGGGAAACAAATTGTAAGATAAAATAATACACTTCGCAAAGACGTAAGTATCTTATCTTTCCGCACATGAAGTTTACAATATACTCATAACTAACCTCCATAAGCATTGAGCAGTTCTTCAGGATAAGGTGATCTCTCTTGCTCTTCCCACTCCTCTGGTTTATTAAGATTTATACCATACACTGTCTCAAATATGTAGCGTGGTATACGTTCACATACTTATCTATTGCTAAGGAATTCAATATAATATGGTCGTTTTACAAAAATGAGAATATTTACTATTTTTTTCTATGAAATCATAAAAAAGATATCAATGCAATTGGTTGAACATGATCTCTGAGTTGATCGATTGGCAAAATTCCACTGATGACCATTTCCGCCTTTGTTGATACGAAAGATGGAAAAACAAGACCAGGACAGTCACACAAACAAATTGTCTTGTCCACCATCAGAGTCTACGTGAAAATTAAATGGTTTAACAGCTTGCTATGATCTTATTGTTCATTTAAAATCGAGCAAAACGAAATTTCCGTACTTGAAAGTGCTTTGTTCGTCCCGGAGTAGATGAAACGGGAACTTTTTTTGATTGTAAAATAGCATTGATTGTTGAACTTTTACCAACATTTGGATAACCAACCTTAAATGTAAGAAATAAAAATTTTAATTATTACACCGTAATTATAGTAATACGTTATCAATGATTGAAGATCATGCTTACCAATCCAATCACAGTCTGATGTTCCTTAATATCCTTCACTACCACCTGTTGATCATTGATATCATGATGTAACCATTGACAATAAGCAAGAAGTTCATCACCAGTTAACAAATGACCACTTGTGTAAAAGTCAGCATTTCGTCCAGCAATATGAAGGACATCGTTACATTTTTCAATAGTTTTTAAAAGATCCTTTCCTTCAATTTCATCATCAATATCAACAGTCTCAGATGAGTTTGAACAATCAAGATATTCTGCTTCCTTAACACTTTCACGCGAAAATTTAGTAGGTAGACTTCTAACATCATTTTTGACACAATTCTTTGGTTCCATTGTTTCATCATCAAAGTCTTTCTTATCAATATTTTTTCGTACATCATTTATCTGAAGAGCTGCATTCTCCACCAAATCATTTCTTAAACTTTCATTTCCCAAATTATCAGTTGATTTCTTCTGCATAGCTGGAAATTCTACGTCTACATCCTCTTCATCAACAGTATCACTATTTTCACTTTCCTCGCTAATATTGTCATCTTCCAGTTGTTGAATATGTAAGTTAGCTTCAAAACTATGCCCTCCATTACCTTCTTCATCCTTTAGAAAAGCATTCTACAATTCAACACATTAAATTGCTTTTTTAATAAAGTAAAGGATTGAGCAAGGCTTGTTATACACTGTTTACCAATTTCTTTAGCCTCTCTGTCTCAAATACTGCTGACCAAAAGATTGCTTTGACATTGACACTTTTGAAAAAGGCAGCCCAAGATTCTCTGTGAAGGTATAATGAGGTAATCTTTAGAAGAATTCACAGAGCTAATTTCACTGATATTTATGCCAATAAATCTACTCATCACAGTGATTCATACCTTTGAGCCTGTGTCAGGAAATCTGCCTTATTTATCAACAACACATTAACTTTGTTCTTGTTCACTTCTTTCACATAATTTTCAAGATCCTCGCATCGAAACAGCAAAGGATTACGGGCATCAACTATCTGTACCACAACATCACTATGTTATTAAAAGACAGGCACCTTATCAACAACCATCAAATAAGATATTTTAAGAACTCTCAATCAACATCACGTTACCTTCGTTCAATCACTCTCCACAGCTGACGCCAAAATTCCAAATTTCGTTCAAATGGTGTAATAATCAAATCATCATTTGCTTCTATTCTACACACAAACAAATAACTCCCTTTCAAATTCAAACTCATCTCTACAAAACTCAGTTCTTCTATGGAATTTGCACATACTCAGCTAATGTTCTCCTCCAAGCCAAGAATTCTTCTTTTTCAATTTGATCAAGTTGTTCGGCAGTAGTGGTTGCATTCCATTTTGGCCTACAACAAACTCCATTAATTTATAATATTCCATGTAATGCTGTCAGTTTATGGGCTACACTTTGCTTTACAATGAGCATACTAAGCAAAATTTCCAGGAGGCTTACAATAAAATAGTTCATCACCTTCGTGGTATTTGCAAAAATTCCTTATGTTCTTCTTGTATTTTATGTATCCTGCGCTCGTCTTCTTTTGATGGTAAACCACCTCTATTGTTACTATTGTATACTTTGATGTTCAATTTTTCTGTAATTGATAACACAATATGACTCCAATGTACATAAGTTTGATTCACATGTGTAACAGGGGCTGCAAAGCAAATTTGTGATTGGAAGGCTGTCAATTCAACTGCCAAAATGGTGTGCAGTATAGGTCCTGCGGAAGGAATTTTTGCTTTGCACTCCCCAAGTTACATAAACACCACCAAATGTTTGATACGTTAACTTTTTAAGTACCTGCTGCGAACTCTGTCCCAGCTAATTCTGCTGTTGCCAGAAACTCGTCCAATGCACTTTCCTCTGTCACAGATTTTGTATTTAATTTCTCATGTTCGGGTAATTCACTGGTATGTAGCTGAAAGTCATAAAAATATACAAAACATTGTGCCAAATTGAGGTTTTGTAAAAATTGCAGTTAATAAATGCACATCAGTAACAATTTTCGTCGCTGAACTATGTTCTCACCCAACTTTCAGGTTTGTTTCCTTTAGTTCTATCTTTCAAAATGGCTCGTCCAAGCTCCTTTTTATGTTTCTTTCCCATGTCAATATTTACGTTTGATAATTCTCCCAACTATTTTCGACATTTTGTTTTCAATATTGATTAATTACCAGCTCTGTAACGATATTTCATCTTATTTTAATGATTATTACAACATTTTAGTTCCATTGTGAGATTTCCTTCTTTTCCATCGTTTAAAATTACAAGAGAAACAATATTGCGTAATAGTTACACCATAAACTTGATGCATAATGGCCCCCACCCCACCCCTCGTTGGTACATAAAGTTTCAAGTACCACGGCGAAGTATTTTCCATAAAGATTATAATTTATAACCAGTTTATAACTAATAGAATGAAATATAGAATAATAAAAATAAAATACAGTAAGAAATTTTAAAAAAATATTATATTCAACAATAACATTTATGATTCCTAACACAAACATAATTTGCATGATATCCAAAACGAAACCGTTATTTTCTTTGTCTTTGCTTGGTCATGCACGTCTTAAAAATTAATAAGGCAACTGAAGTTTGAAACCACAGTGTCTTTATTTTCAGTTCCTTGTTCCTTTTCTAAATTTTTTGTGTACACTTGAAAGTATATCGTAAGCAGTCATGGATGGTCCAGGACAGTTTAACGAAAGAAATTTTGAGCAAAACATGCCTGCATTTCCACGGATATATTTGTCCGTTCTACGACCAAGTTTAGCAGAATTCTTTGGCATTTATTTTCTTACTTTCGGTCTTTACGCGTGTTTAGTTGGAGACCTTAGAATGCGGGGGTTCGGTGCTGAGATAGCTGTAGTTTTCTTATTCATTGGTGTTTACTCCATGACAAAAAAAGTGAGGTTTGTATTAAAAATATTGAAATATGTCGAGTGTCTTCGTGCTTTGCCTTCTTGTGTGATACGTGATACTATGAACAGCAGTGGACAATGACGCAAATTCTATTTGTAATATAATCCGTTGCTTCGTTAGAAAAATCTATGGTTTGCGTCAAAGATTATTGCGGTTTATCTGAATTTATTTTTAAAACAGTAACAAATTTCTTTGGTTTCCCATGCCTTATATCTTTGATTAACGAGAATGATGTTATCTTTTCAGCAAAAAGAGAATGTTTAATACAGAAATCACCTGGTTATTTTTGTAGCAATAAAAACTGCTAAGTTTAATTTTACTCATATAGCAATGGTCACCTCAATCCAGTTATCACTATGGTTCAAATATTTCGAAAAGGAATCCAACCATTCACTGGTATCTGTTATATTGTAGCACATTTGCTAGGTGCCGTACTTGGAGCTCTTAGTGTAAGGGTAAGTATGCAGCTTGTGATCAGGCAAAACTTTTGAATGTCTTATATTTCTATTATTTCACAGGCCATTAAAACCAGAAAACTTGATAGTCAATTCATACAACCATCGTTGGGTGATGGACATTCAATATTTGCTGAAATGATGGGTACATGCATTGTAATTCTGGCTTATCTTTGCCTGGCAACAAAAGGCAAGGGAAACACTGCCATATTGGGAATTGGTTTTGGTTATGCAGGGGCATTGATTGCAGTGTAAGTATAATGCAACTTATTCCTATAATGTGTAAAATGGACTTATCAAACTATTTGAGTTTATAAAGACAATGTTTATTAGTTCACATGCTCTTTCATATCAAAGTAATAATAAATATGGGTTTTTTCAACATTGGCTTATTCACTTTATTGATCATGTTGTTTTGGTTCAAAAAATAATTCATGTTTGGCTAGATCAAGCACATTGAAATTCTGATATTTTTGGTATCGTGGGAACTTGCAAGTGATTGATGGTATTTCGATGATTGATGATTTTTTAACAGTTAGTGAATTGTGAATGACTTGGCAACAATTTTAATGTGAAAAGATGTCTGATGAGTTGTATCAACAATATGTGGTGATCAATGTTTCAAGAGCATTTTTAGTTAGCATTTTAACAAGTGAAAGTTGATGTTCATCATTTTTGGAATTCATGTACAAGTACATATTTTAAGTATTTTATAATGTTCTTTCAATATTTCTTTTCAGACATGGTTTTGCTATGGGTTACCTTAATCCAGCTCTCAACTTTGGCATTTCAGCAGCAAGCAATAACTGGGAGAAACATTACGTTTACTGGGTCGGAACAGTTGCAGGAGGTGTACTTGCTGCAATATTGCATGGTTTGATCTTTGCCTCAGACGATGCACTTTGGATTGTCAAGATCATGAATCGAAGAAGATATTTCCCAGAGAGAATTACATAAAACATATCTTGGTTGTCCTATGGTTTTGAGCAATGATTACTTAAATATGATGATTTAGCAAATCTAAAATAAAATAAATAGAACATTACAGGCTCAATTTCATGAATAACATCTTTGAAGGCAACTCATGTTTGTGTTTTAAATAAATTGTTTTACTGCATTTTAATTGAAGTTGTGTCGACTCATTATTCTACATACATACATAAGTACTCCTTTAAATTATCTATAATAAATTAAATATACATTTATATATTAAAAATTTATATACATTAAATTAGTTAAATTTACATTTATATATATCAAACAAGCATGTTTTCTCAAGATTTAAAATATCTACAAAAGTTTTATGCTACCCATTGTTTCAAAGAGTTGTTTACATGTTGGACTTATGTTCCCCCATATTTGACATTATGTATCTTATGATTATAATTATGCTCGAATAACCCTAGAATACATTGAAGGAACAAAACATTGCATCATTTACCACAAAAACCTCTAAAGCAAACAAAAAAATACAAACTTTGCAAAATGCCTTACTCTGTACTTAGAGATCACCATGCTTCACTATGTCCTTTCCAGGTTACCATGCTTCACCATGTCCATTTGAGATCACCATCCTTCACCATGTCCTTTCAAGATCACCATGCTTCACCATGTACTTTTGACATCACCATGCTTCACCATGTCCTTTCAAGATCACCATGCTTCACCATGTACTTTTGACATCACCATGCTTCACCACATCCATTTGACATCCCCATGCTTCACCACATCCATTTGACATCACCATACTTCACCATGTCCATTTGACATCCATTTGCTTCCACATCCATTCCATTTCACCATCCACCACATCCATTTGACATCACCATTCACCACATCCATTTGACATCACCATACCACCATTCCATTCCACATCCATTTGACATCACCATACTTCCATGTCCATCACCATGCTTCCATCCATTTGACATGCATCCTTGACATCCATTTCACCATGTCCATTTGACATCACCATACTTCCCACATCCATTTGACATCACCATGCTTCACCACATCCATTTGACATCACCATACTTCACCATGTTCATTTGACATCACCATACTTCCCCACATCCATTTGACATCACCATACTTCACCACATCCATTTGACATCACCATGCTTCACCACATCCATTTGACATCACCATACTTCACCATGTTCATTTGACATCACCATGCTTCACCACATCCATTTGACATCACCATACTTCACCATGTTCATTTGACATCACCATCGATCATCACCATGTCCTTTCAAGATCACCATCCTTTACCATGTCCTTCAAGATCACCATGCTTCACCATGTCCTAAGAGATCACTAATGATGCTGCAGCTGGCAAAGCGACGATTGATCCATTGAGAGATTTATCAGGTGTTCTGTCAACTGCATTTGTGGAGTTATGTGTAGAGTAGTCGGTACTGTTCAATGATTCATGTAAACGTATTTTATTAAGAGCGTCATACAATGATTGATTGTTCAATTCACCGTTTAAACATTTTGACTGATTCTAAAAAAAAAAGAAAAAAAATTCAAGAAAAAGTGTTTCCAGGATTTCATAATTCGTGTAACGAGAAATTACCTCTGGTTTTTCAAGAATTCGATTTAATCTTTCCAAATGTTCATTTTGTCTGAGTAAAATATTCACTTTATCTTTTAAGTCCAAGTTCTCCTTTTCTACGACAGATAATCTTGTCTCAGATTCACGAAGTTCTCGCAAATTTTCTCTTATAGCTTCCTCACTCTCCGTCAACCTTTATTACAACAGCAACATAAGTTCTAACACATGTTCTCCCTAAAGCACTTGTTACAGTACAACATCATGAAACAAACCTCGTTAAAAGATCTTGTTTCTCCTGTACCAGTTGACGTCTGACGTCATCAGTAGTTAGTTTCCATTCCTCCTCTTTCTGGATCTTTTTCCGAGACAACTCAAGTGAATTCTGCAGGGACAACATGGCGGCGTTCATCGTTCGTCTTTCCCGCTCAAACTTTTCCCTTGATGATTTTAGGTGATAGATATGGATAATATCAAAATGATGTATGTTTAAAGGATGTATTGAATGGGATGTGTGGCATTAAAGACGTACTTCAATGATTGTATCTTATGAATAGCTTTCATCTTTCGTCTTTCACATTTTCCTTCCAGATATTCAATTTTTTCAGCCGCAACGACAAGCTCAATTTTCATTTGATTATCGTTTTGTCGTAAATCGTTTAATTTCTCAACCATAGTCTTGCCTTCGTCTTCCGCTATCTTATTCTAAATTATGAACACAGCAAACTAACTACAAATATGAAAACATATAGAAGACATTGACTCTTCATTGGCAGATAACATTTATAAAGCAAATTTTTTAAAAATAATAGAAAATGCCAATGTGAGTCTAATAAAAAACCTCCATTTTAAACCGACTTCGACCACAATAACCAACACACATATATATTTCCACAGATAAAACATACTTACATCGTCAGAAATTTTTCGTAGTTTGTTTTGTAGTGTCTCCACTTTATGCTCATAATCTTTTACAATATTTTGCAGTTCATTAATCTTCTCGTGTGAGGATTGCTCTCTTGTTTGAAGAAGATCAACCTGGCGTTTCAATTCATCAATTGTAAGACAATGCAGTGATCTAAAATATAAGAAAAACGTAAGCTACACAACAGATGTACCTCAGTATCCACAGTTATCATAAAAAGAACATGTTCAATTACGACAAACACTCTTCAGTATTTAAAGATATCATAAATAGCACGTGTTTTCAACAATAAGACTCCAAAATATACTCCTCAGTATCCATAGATATCATAAATAGCCCGTGTTTGCAACAATACGACTCCAAAATATACTCTTCAGTATTCGTGGATAATTTTAAAACGTGGTTAACCTGTTTTGTTCTTCCTCATCTAATTGCGACTTCAATGTAGAACTTTCTTCTCGTGTCAACTCCAGTTCAGCTTTCATTTGATAAGCTTCTCCAAGTTCTTTATGAGTTCGTTCTAACTCCTCTTGAATATTGTCACGCTCGCGCTGAATTGACAACAACTATGTGAAAAAGAAATTATCCTCAGTGTGATGAATGATAAGGAAAATGGAAAATTTAACATTTCACGAGATTTCATGCCCATGTTGATATAGAATTGAGAAGGAATATTGATTATGATGTATTGAAAACAAGTATTCAGTTGCAGACACTTAATGAAATATTGGTTGGTGGAGGCATAAGATTTCTATTGAGATCTCAGCCATAGCCATAGGCATACAGCCATAGCCATAGGCATACATCCATAGCCATAGGCATACAGCCATAGCCATAGGCATACAGCCATAGCCATAGACATACAGCCATAGCCATAGACATACAGTCATAGCCATAGACATACAGCCATAGCCATAGGTATACATCTAAAATTTGATCATCAGAAATTCAATTTAAGGATTCCTACATCGACATAATCCTACACACACAAGAAGGTTTTATGCGTCTGCTGGTACGTCTACAAAACAAAGGTCTATCAAATAGTAATTATTTAACATCACAGTTATGTTATGTAAGTGCCATTTGAGGGATTTGGCGCAAGAATCTTAATTTTTCAAAATTATTGGGGGTGTTCTAGTCCTCCCTCACCCCTCCCTCAAGTGTCCGCCAGTGCAAGTATTGGTGATAAAGAGGACCGTAAAACATTACCTTTAAATTGGCAGCTTCAGCTCTTTGTTCTGCCGTATCCCTAGAAACCATTAAATTGACGACGTCAGCATCTTTTTTGTGCAAATTATCTTCAGTGAGTTGATGAATCTGACATTTCTGAAACATGAAGCAAAAATTAAAGAAGAAAGGGAAATTTGCTCAAAAAACTCTGTTTATTAATCCACTTTACTCGTTCATAGTCCCTCTCCAATTGTCCTTTATCTGATTCTATAGTCGCTAGTCTTTCCATTAGCGATTTTGTTTGTTCCCAGGCCTTCGTAAGCTCGTTCTCAAGTGTAACATTTTTATTCTCTAACGTCTCTCGAAGACGACTTTCAAATTCCAAAGCAGTACTCGCTTTTGCGCCAGTTCTACTTGTTGTATTAAACTCACTTCGTAAACGATTCAACTCCTGAAAAAGAAATATTAAATGATTTTTAATAAAGAACTAGAGAATGTAGGTTATAAAAACCTTACTCGGCACCTCTTCTCTTTGTCTTAACAACAAACTTAAGTCTTTATTTTCTTTGATAGTTTGTTCGAGATGAGATGCCAACTTATGTCGTTCAATTGCATATGTTTCACGTTCGTTTTGCATCTCAGTACGAAGCTGTGTTACCAATGTGTCGTATTTTGACTGTAAGGTTCAAAGACAGGTTTTAAAACAAAATGATTGTTTACATGAAGCCACCAATCTTCTACTCACTTGACTATCTAAAGCGGCGTCATGTTGTTTCAACAACTTTTCAGATAAAACTTTAATTTCCTCGCGTAACGACTCCCTTTCCAGTCTTGAATTGGCTAAAGTTTCAATGCTCATCTCAAGACGCCCGTTTACATCTGAAATGCACAAAATAAACGAACGCGATGTAAGACGGAGAACATATGGAAGCGGCGCCAAAATGACCATTTACAGCCCTTACCAAAGAGTTACACATTCATAAAACAACTGAATTCGTAAGAAACATGAGAGTAGCTTCGTACCTGTGTGACGATGTCTTTCGTACGATAAAACACCTTCTTGTTCAGCTAGTTTTCTCTCTGTTTGTTGTAACTGAGATCAAACAAAAATACAACAAACTTATTGAAAATCACTCGCAATGATGCAGTTCTTCACGACATGGTAACATTTCAATATAAGATCTAGGTTTCACGAATGAATTACTTCTAAGGTATCGTATGAGTGGGCAAATGTATAACTGTAGGTCTTCAACCTAAACTTGTTGCTTGATTTTACAATATCTTTTCAAAGGAGCTGTATAAAGGCTATCGATGTAAAATCCAAGATGAAAAAAAGCAACCAAATGTTCGTGCAAGACATTTTAGATTAGAAATGAAACAGCGAAGCTCGTTTTGAACCTTGTTTTGAATCTCTGAGACTTTACGTTCCTGAGATAAAATGATAGATTGAAGTGAAGATTTCTCTTGTTCCAAATGATCAATGCGAGATTTCTCACTGTCAGCCTCTTCTTTCTAAACAACACTAGACGATAAAAATTTCCTCCACGACACAAAGTATTTTACAATTTAATGACAAACCATTTTCTTGTTCTGTTCTATACACCGACCGAGTTCTGAAACAAGCTCATTACGAGTTTTCTCAAGGCTAACAACATGGTCACTAGTCTCCCGCTCTCGAGCAACGCTTGCCGACAATGAAGTGTTGAGATCCTTTTACGAAATCATACAACAAAGAAAGAGAGACAGAGGGTTGATATTTCATACATGTAAATAATTTAGAACGTCGAGTCTACCCCACCCCCCAGTAATGCAATATAATAATTCATAAAGTGATGGTTTGAAGCTGAGAGTATCGTTAAATGTTTGTAGATGTAGATCGTCCAGGTTAATAAAATCGTCAAAAGGAGTGTTGGTTTAGTCATGTTTCCAAATTGACTTCATAGTTGATTACCACAAAGCTTTTCAAAACAACAATCAACAACAACAGCAAACTGTCCGCCTCAGAATTTTACCAACCTGGACGATCTAAATCGACAATGACGTAGTTACCTTCCACTGTTACGTCAAAATACACGTTTGAAAAATGACGTGTCTATGACGTCATGCTAACTCAACTCAGTAAATTCTACATGTACTAACTTCTATGGTTCCATTACCTACAGGTAATTAATAATTATATCATTATATTTTTCAATACCTGCTTGAGATCAGAAATCTGTGCTCGTAATTCTACGACTTCGCTCGACGTCGACAAATGTTTTTCAACGTCTTCGTTGTATTTTTTATTCAACTTTTCTGATTCTTCTTTTATACGTAAAATTAACTAAGAAAAAAGAAGCCTTTCTTAGCCCGTTTTAATAAAAAAAAAAAATAATTCAGAAACAAAAAAATACTTCGTCATTATCTGCTTTAGTTTGCATCAAATCATTTCGTAGTTCGTCAGCTTCAGATTTGGAGAGAGAAAGTTGTTTTTGAAGAGCATTCATCTATCAATGAGAGTTCACACACATTAATGAAGAGCATTGATGTATCAATGAGAGTTCACACATATTAATGAAGAGCATTGATGTATCAATGAGAGTTCACACATATTAATGAAGAGCATTGATGTATCAATGAGAGTTCACACATATTAATGAAGAGCATTGATCTATCAATGAGAGTTCACACATATTAATGAAGAGCATTGATCTATCAATGAGAGTTCACACATATTAATTTCTTCAATGACTATTTTTCAAATTCTATAAGAAAATAAAGTTACCTAGTAACTCGTGACCCAGTTACTTGATACGTATGCTAGTGACGTATTATTGATGACGTAATACTCGTTACTCGTGACGTAGTTATTAGTGACGTAAGATTAATTGTTACTTAATTACTCGTTACGAAGTTATTTCTGTCTTTGCTATTTATTTTATTACGTAGCACAAGGTTACATAAAGTGAAGCAAATTTCCAAAACAAAAAAACGTTTTTCTTTTTTTTCCATCATTCTCCAGTAAAAGACGTCCAATGATACAAACAAAATATTGTTTAACTAACAACTTGGTCATTTACAAATTATATTGATTGAAGGTCATTTCTTATGGTCAAGAGTTGTTTTAATAAGAAAAAATGCATCTCCACCTGATTATGAAAATCTTTTTCTGCATCAGCAAATTTACTCTCATCTTTCTTCTTGGCTGTTTCTAAGCGAGTCAACTTTAATGTCAGTTGATCGATGATATTTTGTTTTTCATTTAAATTCTCTTTTGCCCTTTCAAGTTCTGCTTCAATTTTCTTCTGCGCATCTTTAAATTCTTGTATTTGAGCTTGAAATCTTGAAAATTTACACAGAAAAGATAAAAAGCATGAGTTTAAATGAATGCAAAAAAAAGAACTAATCAACAAACTATAAACAAACAGATATTGGGTATATTTGTTAACATGACCTTTATTTGCTTTCACATCAACCGTGTTTGAGGTGCTGGAAACGAGGCACAATTGATAACCTTATTTTACGTACCTTTGAGACGAGGAGTGCTCCATAGATAAATTCTTTTCCTAAATTTGTAGAAATAATTTTTTTCTACTTGCAATAAAGGAAAATAGAATTGTAAACAAAAGTTAAAGAATTGTTACCTTTTGTGATGTTAATTCTTGTAACTCAGCAAGTTCTTTTGCTGTTTTTTGAAATTGATTTTCACAATGGTTTTTTTCTGTCTCAAGTTTGCCCATCTTGATCTAATGAAAAAATTTTATTCCCAAACAATCATAAATGATCCTCTGCACACCAACAGTACCATATGTTCATACATCCTTCCTCTACACACCAACACTACCATATGTTCATACATCATTCCTCTACACACCAACAGTACCATGTGTTCATACATCACTCCTCTACACACCAACAGTACCATATGTTCATACATCATCCCTCTACACACCAACAGTACCATATGTTCATACATCATCCCTCTGCACACCAACAGTACCATATGTTCATACATCATTCCTCTACACACCAACAGTACCATATGTTCATACATCATCCCTCTACACACCAGCAGTACCATATGTTCATACATGATCCCTCCACACCACCAGTACCATATTCCATCTTACCATACATACATCATCCATCTACACACCAACAGTACCATATGTTCATACATCATCCCTCTACTACCATATGTTCATACATCACTCCTCTACACACCAACAGTACCATATGTTCATACATCATCCCTCTACACACCAACACTACCATATGTTCATACATCATCCCTCTGCACACCAACAGTACCATATGTTCATACATCATTCCTCTACACACCAACAGTACCATATGTTCATACATCATCCCTCTACACACCAGCAGTACCATATGTTCATACATGATCCCTCTACACACCAACAGTACCATATGTTCATACATCACTCCTCTACACACCAACAGTACCATATGTACATACATCATCCATCTACACACCAACAGTACCATATGTTCATACATGATCCCTCTACACACCAACAGTACCATATGTTCATACATCACTCCTCTACACACCAACAGTACCATGTGTTCATACATCATTCCTCTACACACCAACAGTACCATATGTTCATACATCCTCTACACACCAACAGTACCATATGTTCATACATCATCCCTCTACACACCAACAGTACCATATGTACATACATCATCCATCTACACACCAACAGTACCATATGTTCATACATCATTCCTCTATACACCAACAGTCCTCATCACTCCTCTACACACCAACAGTACCATGTGTTCATACATCATTCCTCTACACACCAACAGTACCATATGTTCATACATCATTCCTCTACACACCAACAGTACCATATGTTCATACATCATCCCTCTACACACCAGCAGTACCATATGTTCATACATCATCCATCTACACACCAGCAGTACCATAATGATATATTCACATACATACCTGCAGCTCCATATATTGCTGTTTACTTTTATCCAATTCTTTTTTTACATCTTTCAAAATAGTTTCATCCTTTATACGTGAAACATGCAAAGATTCTTTTTCCGATTTCAACTCTTTTTCCAAATCTTCCACCTAAATGGTACCACACAATTGCATTAAACAGTATTCAGATTATGCAGTGTTATATTCTGACATGTTCAAAGTTGAAACTTTTAATAAAATTTTTACCATTTTATACAGCTCAACTTTCTCTTTCACAACTTCGTCTTGCTTATTTTGCACTTGCTGCATTTCCACTAAAGCTTTTTTCAGTCTTTCTTCAAGCTCTATATTTAGTTGACCGTCACGACCTTCTAATGCTAATTAAAAAATGCACGTCATTAATGTCTTTCACAAAATTTTGGGGCCTGAAGCCATTGTTAAGCAGAGTGTAGCTTGTATAGTTATGTCATGATGAGCATAGCAAATGCATCAACGTTATGCCAACTTACCACTTTGCTTTTTGATCATCTCAGTTAGATCTTTATTATGTGCTCTTTGTTCATCTTCAATTTTTCGTTTTAAGTTCAGAACTTCCATTTGAAAATCCTTACATTTCTTCTCACTGGCATTTAGTTTACTCTGTACCTCCATTCTTTCAGCTCTGATTTTCTCCATCTCTTCTTTGTGTATCTTAGTTTCTTCTTGTTTTACTAAACGCATGTTCGCGTGCATTTTGTTTATTTCATTCTCCATCTCAGTTCTTTCTTCCTCTAGCATTTGAACTCTTTGAGAGTCGGAAGAGCTCCCTGTGGTCCAATTAAACAACCATATGTTAAAACATGGCAAAGCACTTTCGACTTCGTTAAAAAAGAGTTTTTAGACTTAAAAAACTGCTTTAAAGTCCTCACTTTGCTTAAATACTGCTTCAAAACTTTGTCGTAACAAAGATATTTGCAAGCATATTTTATCTTTCCAAAATATTTTGATAAAAATAACAGCACAGCAACTTACCAGCCATTTTCAAATTTCCATTCTCTAACTCCAGGAAACGCACTCGATCCAAAGCTTGATTACATTGTCTAACAACGTTCACAAGACAGTCTTTCATGTCCAACTTATTCTGAACATGCTCAAAATTCACATTTGATTCTTTCAACAACGCAATAACATCCACAATTCCCAACATGTTTAATTCTTGATCATTTTTCATATCGTCTAGGTCCGCCTTCAGTTTCTCGTTTTCTACCTCAAGTTCCAAAGTCAAAGCCTCGCGTTCACTCGAGAGTTGCCGTATGTGTTCAACATAAGTTTCCACCTCAATCATTTCCTGTGAATGCTGTTTACGAAGCTCTTCAACAGTTTCAAACGACGATGCTAAACTCGTCTCTGATCGTGACAGCTGTCGCCAAAGATATCGTAGTTTATGTTCGGCAGCAATGTCCGTTTTAAAACCATCTTTCCTCAATCGTTCATCAATTTCGTGAAGTTCATCTGCATCCTGCGGGAGATGTAATGTAAAATGCTTAAATGCATGACAAATAACGAAGTCAAAGCGATTATTTTCTCAGAAACAAGTTAATAAAAGAAAAATATTCTCCATGGTAACATATCGACCGCGTTCACGAAAGGAATTCTCTACGAGCGACAAAATGCATGATAAACTTCCACAGTTTATGCAAAACCTATACATTGGACAATGGGAAATTTTATGTTTACTAACACTGATATAATCGAGAAAGAAAAGTGTTGACCGTTTTATACATAAACATAAACAAACATGAGAAATATTCAAATATAGCACAACTCGAGAACAAAAGACTATTAATTTTTGAACGAAACTTACCGACTGAAGAATAACTAAAGAAGACATGATTCTCTTCTCTAGGTTTACAATATAGTAGGCCAAAAATAACACATACTCTTATCATTAATCCCAAAAAAAACCTTTATAAACTTGTTAGCATTGGCACTCATCCATCATAAATGTCACAGTGACCGTGAGTGATCGTGAGACCTGAGGGCCTAGGGCGAGATTTATTTTAAATAAAATATTGTTTCATTCTATAATATATATTTGATTATAAAAATAAAATCAATAGTTTCCCAAGTTTCCTTTCTGCCCATTAAATTCATAGCAACGGATTTAAAATCCTCAAAATAACTTAATTAACACCATAAACTTTCTTAGCAAGAATCTGTAATTGTTCAAGAAACAAAAATGTTAGTATTGTATGAGGGCCAATTCTCATATAACATGGCGTGAAGCCTTTCCATAGCGCAAAAACACCTTCATTTCTGACAACTCGAACTATAACATCCTGAAAAGGGAGAATTTTTAAGGTGAAGACAAATATATCAAATACAATAATCTTTCATCATGTATAATTCTTACTAATCCATTTTTGTACTCAGGTACACCATCAACAACTTTCATATTTTGAATTCTGAAAAAAAAACACACAGGTCAGATAATAGATGAAAAAAATTTATATAAAATCATACTCAACAACATACCTAGTTTTAGCAATATCAACTGGTAAGGAAGCATAGGTTGTCGCCAAACCACTGATAAGACTTGCTGTGAAATGACAAGTCACATTGTCTTCAAAATATCCTAAAAAAAAACAACAATGCAACAATGAACAATTTTACCCATCAATAAAACAAAGAAAAATACACACAATTTACTAGTTAACATTCATATTTACCTGTGCTAAGAATGTATTGTTTGGCCTGTGAGTAAGTAGCTAACTGAGCTGCATTCACAACCATTGCTCGAGTCATTGTAGGTACACAACCCTAATATACATACATTCATTTAGTTATATGACACGAAAGTTCATCAGCTTGATAATTTTCTGTACCGTCCACAATGCTGTAAATCCTTCTTCAGCAGCTATTCTTCTCAAAGCATTGAAAACGCTGGTGTAATTTCTTCTTTCCGCAGGAGGCAGTCTTAATGTAAAAATTAAACAATACAGTCTACTTCAGTCATGCTCAATCATGTTTTCAATTGAAATGAGAATAATACCGGCCATCAGAAGTCATTCTTATCAACGAAAGATCAGCAGGAGTTCCAACAAAAGCACCAATAGCGCCAGCAGTAAAACCTACAAACAAAGTTATGTAAGACAACAAAGTATTAGACATGAAGGAGTATTTTAAGAAAGTTAACAATACATTAAACTTACCAAGTAACATTTTAACCATAAATTGAGGTTGCTCTCCATTGGGTCTAAAACAAACACAAAAATTCACTATCATGGAAGACAAAGATAATAAAAGTATTATTTGAATCTCACCCTTTGAACTTTTCGAAAAGTGTTGTGTAGACCGAGTCTTGTTGTGGTGTAAGTAGCCTGACGCATCAGACCTGCAGATAGCCTGTTTATTAAATACAACATAATACATTTAATTTCTACTCCGCAGTTTGGTAAAGAAGCAATGATGTTCTCTAACCCATTATAGACACCAAAAACACCTTCTTTTTTAACAATGTTAAAGACAGCATGAAAACTAGTCTTATGTTCACGAGCAACACCTTCAGCTCCTGTTGTATGGAAACATATACATCAAAATAAATCAAGATACTTATATTCATGAGAATCAAAAGAACACATACCACTCATTTGCATTCTTGTTTTGACCAAATCCAGTGGTTGAACAAAGAAAGTTGCAGACATTCTAAAAAAGCACATTCTGCCATCATTGATGAAAATTTGAGATTAAAAATAATCTTAATTCAGAACTCCTACCCTGATAAACCCCCCATTATAAATCTTGCATAGCTGGGAATCTTCTTTTTATTTTCGTTAACAGCTTCACTTCCCATCTTGAATCAGTTGAATGCTTTCGGCGTTTGGGAGCGAATGTTTTTTCTAAGCAATTTTCGTTACCAAGAACATTAACAAGTTAAAATATTTTATTGCAAACTTTTTGTTCTAACACATCTGAAGTAATAACGAGTTAAGATGGAAGTATTTTAAATCTTGTACCATTTGATTGTTAAAAAGTACAAAGGCCAAAGATTTACTGTAATTTAATAATCAATGCGCCAGAAGTGATAATACACTGGTCAGCGGGTTAAATTTTTTGGCCGTTACTTTATCTCACCCTTTCTGAATGAAGTGTGTCACGTGTGTTAGTTAAAAACAACATATTGATACGCTTCAGAAAGGGTCAGATAAAGTAACTGCCACTTTTTTATGCAAACTTCATGTTTTCACCAATATAATGACATGTGGGTGGGGTTCTGTCTGCGTAACGATCCCTCAACCAACTCGCATAAAATCCAATTTGAAAACAGTTAAGGATGTTCAATTATGTTAAGTATATCTGACTAGACGATAACTCAAGAAAGTTTAAAGGAAAAAGTGTACTTATGTCTGCTATTGTTCTTCATCACAAGCTTCAAACACCTTTCTTAGCGCATTGTTATATACATAAAATCCACATAATCGAGGAAACTTTATTTTTGAAACTATTCTGCTTCAATGAGTTCTCCATCTTCAGGCAGCTTGCTTTTCTGGTTCTCCAATAAATTCAAAACGACACTACCTACATCCTCATCCTACGAAGAGAAAACGACAAAGATTTTCACGATCCATTAGACAGCCGCCATGAAAATATTTTTAATTGCAACAAACAAGGCAAAACAACTATAGAAGTCAATTTTTGATGAAATCTAAAATAATTTTAGAGAATAATTTCAGTATGGTAGTAAAAATTATAGTTATGACTAGCTTCGCATATGATCTATGACTTTTCTGAAAGGAAATTAATTGGACGCATGCGCAACTTACTTGATAAATCCAGGAAACTAGCACATCACAATTCTTATCTTCCTCCGTCACAGGAGCTGAAAGCTGAACAACAAAATGGGACTCAGAAGTGGAGGGGCTTAGTACTGGAAGGATAATGATGTAGTTAGGGGTAATCAACACTGTTACATTTCTGAAGGAAACAAAGCAACAATCTAGGTAGATTAAATGAAAAAAATATCGAAAATTGAATGTTCCATAAATAGAGGGTTGGATTCTGACATCATATGTATGCTGAGCTCTAAAAATATAAATTTTAAGATACCACACCCAAGCAAAAAAAAGTTAATGCAATCTAACTTGTATTATTCACATACTAATCGCTCTGTACAAAACAATGATGCAAAAAAACACCATTACTGACATGTACAACAAAACATTTCTACCTTAACAATAACTGAATCAACTGCAAGAGCCCCTTCTCCAATTCTTTGCACGTTTCTTTCAGGTAAAGAACTAAAGAAGAACATAAATTTGTGTCCTCCGTTTATAGTTTGTGGACAAAACAAATTTCGATTTTGTCTTTCAACATCATTTTTTGTCTAAAATTTCTACAATTTAACTTTAACGTAACTGTAACATATTTAAAAGCATTTTTATAGCAAAAAATAAAGTTTACGTTTGTACGTTAAACCAGAATTAACTTTTCTTAAATATACTAATCATAAACGGTCTTTTACTGTCTGCTTACTGTACTTACATATTATTACCTTCTAGCGCGGCATGACTTACCCTTTAAGCAATGTCTGAAGCTGATCCATGACGTCATTTTGTGACTGCCTGGTTTCCAAATTGACAGATGATGTAAATCTTAGCTGATGTTCAACTAGACCCAGCTCTTTGAATGCCTCATCCTGTTCTAACAACCTCAAAGACTGCAAACGAAGAGCAATATATCAAATCAAATACTTCAAGTCGTTATAAAACAAGACATAGGGCTTGAATTTTGTGATAAAAAGGAAAATTTTACCGTTTCTTTCATGACAAGAACTCCTTTGACCGGCAATTTATCTAAAAGCTTTGGGCGTTTACCACCTAAATTGAAATAAAGCATGAAAATAACATACACGTTATTTACTAGAGAATATTGTTCAAGCAAACCTTGAATCGTCATTTCATTTTTCAAGCTTCTCTTCAATAAGCTTATCGACATATCGACGCTAATTTGTGGAGTGGTTGCTATAGAGATGGTTTCGCCATTTGCTGGCTTGGAGCAGTCAATGGCTTAAGAGACAAGAAAAATTCTTTGTAAGTGAAAAAACGTTGTAGCAGTTTACCCTCTCTTCTAATTTACCATGAACATCTCTCATTTAACATTCCTGATTACCTGTTGTGACCACCTCTTACTCTCTTCTCTAGTTTAACATTCCTGATTACCTGTTGTGACCACCTCTTACTCCCTTCTCTCGTTTGACAATCCTGATTACCTCTTGTGATCACCTCTTACTCCCTTCTCTCGTTTGACAATCATGATTACCTGTTGTGACCCCCTATTACCCCCATTTATCACCTAGTGTGATCATTTATTCTTCAGTTACAATGCGCCAAAATGCTTAATTCATCGATCATGTTGTAAACACATCTTGCAACCTTTTGTCCCTGACCAACACTTAAATCGATCAGGTTGTAAACACATCTTGTAACCTTTTGTCCCTGACCAACACTTAAATCGATCAGGTTGTAAACACATCTTGTAACCTTATGTCCTTGACCAACACTTAAATCGATCAAGTTGTAAACACATCTTGTAACCTTATGTCTCAGACCAACACTTAAAAATGTCCCTGACTACAAGCTACATACACCCTACTCTTTTATACGTACCAAACTCCTCTTTAATCTTATCACGAAGGAAGTCCATTTTCTGCGATTCCCCATGCACCAAAACCACATGGCGCGGTTCGGCCTTTTAAAAAAATTCATCCCAAATTATAGGTGTACAATGTTTTCAAGCATCAAGAAAGAGATTCACAACCTGACGTATTAACTGCATGATTCCTTTAGCGTCTGCATGTGCACTAAATAAGAAATCTAGTTTAATGATAAAACCCGAGGTCTGTATATTTTGTTTTACAATCCTTATGTTGGTACTGACTTCAACGCAGGTAACACTTACCTAAATGACATCTGTTGAACAGACAGCTTAACGTCGATCTAAAACATTACAAAAACAATGTGGATCATTAAATATCTCCCTTCCTCCCTTAATACGGGATCCACGTTTATCATTCAATATCCTCTTTCCCCATATAAATGGAAACCAAATTCATCATTCAATATCTCCCTCCCTCCCTTACTTAAGATGAAAACCACAAAAAAGATAACATTCCTGTACCGTTGTTTTCTTATCAAGTTCTATCTTTTTCTGTCCAGCAAGTACCTTGTGTCCTACAGTACCGACAACACAATAACCAGGTATGACAATCTAAACATAAAGAAAAGCTTTCTTCTACAAAGAAGACATGAAACTGAGTGTGCTGGTGCCTTTACCAACCATATTTCTTTCATCAGGAGCCCATTTCTTAAATAACTGCAATGATAGACCAGAATGCAACATTCCTGGTGTGGCAAACACAACCATTGGACCAGGGTTGTCCGCGAAAGATCTCTCAAATGGCTGAAATTGAAAAAATAATGCCATCCATCTAGCTTTTCTTGTGCTAGTCTTATACCCTATCCATCAAGCTTTAAGGAAAGACGTCTATACCGATAAATGAAAATATTTCCACGTACCTTGATGTGTTTGAAATCAAACATATTCCTTTGAACAAAAGTATTCCGAATTTTTTGATTTGTCCACGTGATGAATAATTTATAATAATGATTGGCCTAGGTTAAATGGTTCAGTAATAAATATTCGTCCACGTGATGAATAATTTATAATAATGATTGGCCTAGGTTAAAAGGTTCAGTAATAAATATTTGATAAGGAATCTTTTCACCTTTTCCGTTAGGCCTGTCGAGAAAAATATCGGCGCTTTTAAGTTCATTCTTTCCCTAACAAATAAAAAAGCCATAGAGCATTTGAAGTATGGAAAAAAGTCGATAAAAGACAAATATCTCTAACCAATAGGTTTCCAATAAGATACATAATTCCTGAGCTCTTCCCAGAGCGAATACCGGTATCAATATCTGTAATATATTAAACAATGCACGTAGCAAAAACGTTTGCAACCACCAATGTAGACATTTACACTTGATTGTACACACTAATGTACATAATTATCCTTGATTGTGCACACTAATGTACATAATTATCCATGATTGTACACACAAAAGAACTCGCTCACTGCAGTGTGACCAGACTTTGTAATTTAAATTACTTTCAGTAATTTTTGGTATGATTTGATAGTTAGAAAATTTTAGTGATTACTTTGGTAACTTTTGAAATTTTGGTATTTTAGTAATGCAGGGAATGTGGTGAATGCAGTGAATGGGGTGAGTGTGGTGAATGGGGTGAAAGTGGGGATTGCGGTGAATGAGGTGAGTACGTTGATGCTGTGAATGGGGTGAATGTGGTGAATGCGTTGAATGCTGTGAGAGGGGTGAATGAGGTAAATGGGGTGAATGCTGTGAATGAGGTGAGTGCGTTGAATGCTGTGAATGGGGTGAATGAGGTGAATGGGGTGACTGTGGTAAATGGGGTGATTGCAGTGACGCGGCCCGCCCCCGTTTAATGAAGCTATCATTGAAACCATGAAGGAGTATAAAATTACAAAGTCAACACTTCACCTTTCCTCCTTTATCGATTGTATCGTGAACTTTCTTTAATAATTCGCGTTCCCTTACTCTGAAAACAAAAAAAAATTACAAAATATTCTGTGGATGTTTATAACATGAAGGTAGGAAGGAAAAATCAATGAGAAAAACACACTCTGACACAAACATAATCATGTAAACAAAAGATTTGAGTTATAACATCAAAAGTCAAGTTTTATTGCAATATTTCGACTTTATTTCAAAGTCATTATAAAGGTAATCCTTGAGCAGACGACAATTTCATAAGATACAAAATAAAACATAATCCGAACAAGGACCATCTTCTAAACTTAAATTCAACGTATTAAACAAGACAAAACCAAAATAATACACTTTTAATTGTCTTGTTTGATAACTTGAAGTTAAGTTTACAAGATGCACGTTTTCAAATTATGTTTTATTTTATCAAGCTAAGCTTTAACTCTATCACTTGGCTTGATAAAAACTTTGAAATTAAAAAAGTCGATAAAAAAGTCGAAATATTGCTTTAAATCTTGTCTCTTGATGTTATAACTAGAATCTTGAGTTTAAAAGATGATGTTTCTTCGGAGTGTGTTCTATCATTTATTTTTTGAAACAGTCGGCTAGAAAAGGATTGTAGCAAAAAGACTTTCCACCTTTTTGAATCACGAACTGTTGTAGCGTAAGTTGACTCGGTGATCAATACATCGGGACGACATTTATCAATCCACGCAGCACTAAAATGAACAATCAAATTTAACATGTTGACTCGAATAAAGCAATGTTCTTTAAAACAAACCCTAAATGTCTGTCAGGTGTCATATTGTAGTCACCCTAAACAACATAAATTTAAGTGAAGCAGATTTACAAATTGAAATTGACGATTTCTTTAAAGATTAAGAAAAAGTTATAAACTCACCGTATAAACAACGGACTCGTTTCCAACTTTCACGAGATACATGGCAGCGCCAAGAACATGACCGGCATAGTATGGTTTTATTTCAAGATCGTCATCGACCTTTATTGGTAAAAAAGTCAAAGCTGTTGATTGTGTTGATTCATATATTACGAAAAGTAATCAATGCGACCTGCACACATTGGTGGAGATTGATAGCTATGACTTTCTTCATACAATCTTTTATCATCTGGAAAAAAGATTGTTTTATTCTCTATACGTAGAAGCCTTATGCCAGACAAGTATTCTTTGGGTTATTTGCAACGCTAGGTAAGTATTTCTGTTGTGATTTGAGTACTCATACCGCAGATGTAAAGAAATCAGTCTCTCCTTTCTTGTCCACTGTGATTTTTCGATAATCCTCCTACAAATGAAAAAATTTCCATTTCAAATTGTGGATTATTTTAAGCCAAGGATAAGAGCAAAGATTCAAATAAACAATTTTTTTGATTTGTGATTTGAATCAACGTTAAACATGTTTCATACATTCATTTAATTTCGAGAGTATTTATTGATGTCGTGTAGTGCAATGAAAGATGATTCTTTCCCTGCAACATTACAACACCTACGACCGTATAATTGTCGTCTAGATTTTGTCAACATTCATAATTATTGTAAGTGAAACACTGCACTTGAAGCGGGATGCCTAGTGGTCACAGTGACTTTGGATCACGACAGAACTTTTCTTCTGTACAAACTACAGTACCGACCTCGAGTAACATGACTTGACTCGCGAGTATCGAATGGCGAGTGGGCGAGTAACTCGCGAGTCAATTGCGAGTCACTCGAGAGTGACGAGTCACTCGCCCACTCGCCATTCGATACTCGCGAGTCAAGTCATGCTACTCGAGGTCGGTACTGTAGGTGGTCTGATGAGCCGAAGCTTGCTACGTATTTACATCCGCAAGAAAGATAAAGTGATCGGCGTCAAAATTTCCCATTGAAATGTAAAATGCAACGCTCTAGTGCTCAATTATCTCGAGGGTATTGGGAGGTATGGTTCAAATGGGATTTTTGTTTTATTTGAATTAGTTTTCACACCAGTTGTTCTTACAACAAATGAAAGATTCTTGTGAAATGAAACCAAGCCAATGTTATTTTGCCAATCTCGTTTACTTTCTGTCGCCTGCAAAGATGTTTAACTCTGGAAAATTTTTATTTTGATTTCTGTAATGAACTGTCTAGGTGAACTCTTTTGAACAGAGTAAGAATGCTAACAGACTAGACTATATATTGATTCAAATATTTAACTTACCAACAATATAGGACATATAGCTTTCGTTGGATGTGTCATATATATTGGACCGTCATAGCCAACCATTTCTGAGAAATATGGCAGGGCTCCACAATGATCTAAGTGAAAATGTCTAAAAAAATAAATGTGTTATGCTACCAAATAATCTAACATTACAAAAAACATGTTAAATAATCAAAAAAAGAATGGGACTAACGTTATAATAACACAGTCAAGATATTGAGTTAATGATCCAGTTTTTGTTATGTACTGGAAATCAGGAAAACGCCTCTATGAAAAGGAGAAAAAAATCCATAAGTCACATCAAATAGCCAAAAGCAAAAACATGGTGATGGGTTTTTATCAAAGAGTTATTAAACTTGGGGGGGGGTTTAGGCATATTCTTAAAGCTCTAGTCAAGCTCTTTCCAATCAGTTCAAAATGTGCCATTTCGGCACACATGCAGTGCTAAAGATTTTAGGCAAAATTTTGCAAGATTTTCAGAAAGATTTTACTCATGCAAGATTTTGCAATATTTTAGAAAAATCTTGCCTAAATTCTTGCATAATCTTGCCTAAATTCTTGCAAAATCTTGCATGAATAAAATATTGGACGATCATGACAAAATCTTGCATGAATAAAATCTTGCACAGAATACAGCCTATTGTACAATCTGGGACATGGGACCAACAATTTACGGTCTGTAATTTTATCTGATTCAAAAATCAAAAATTTTACCAAAAAAACTTTTTTCGTCCTCTATTAGTTTATGGATCAATTTTTCCACATACTTCACAAATGATGGGCACCCCTCAACCCTCATTCGCTTGTTCATAATACTTAGTGCAAACCTTATCATTGTAGCCCATGTGCATTCCACAGTCAAACATGATATTCTTGCCTCCAATTGTAACCAGTATACAACTACGACCAACATCTGATAACGTCAAACATCGTTATTAACATATATCCATGCTTCACTATGCAAGCACAAGCAACACAGCCAATGTAAACAACTAAATATTGTGCAAACTATTCGGAGAACTCTCATCTCCCGAGTGCCATATTTATAAAATACTGCATAAATTTCATACCTTGTCCAGCCCCTAAACAAAATTGCAAGATGAAAAGTTATATCGTTTCTCACAAGCTCCTACAGAAAATCAACATCTACTTGAAAAAGTCATTTGGAGAGTGAAAGCAAGCATTTCATAGTTTTTATTACTAAGCACAAGTAATCTTACCTAAAGGAACAACCTTTATTTCTGGCATTTTAATGGATTTTATCCAACCAGAGCTGAAATAAACTAAAGTATAAAGAAGTACCTAGGAAGTTAGCCAATACCCGCCATGTTGCTCATAATACACAATTACAGTAACTTGTTTCCATCCGCTAAAATAAGCAGTAGTCACTCGAAGCAAGGAAAATCGTAGTTATGTTAATAATAATCTAACTTTATCTTCGTTTAGCAATGAAACCAACTACAGCGTTGCATACTTTGTTTCATTCAAACCAAGTGCGTAAGGAACCATAGGGCGCAGGGGGGGCACGTGCCCTCAACAAATTTCGAAGGAAAAAGTGCCCTTTTTGTGATGAAAAATGCCTTTTTGTCCTTTCTTTTGAAAAGAAGTTTGATAGCCCTTTTTCCGCAACTCGTACGCTAGTTATGTGCATTATTTACAACAAAGATGTATGGATTATGCCTTCTTCTTTACCTTTCCTTTTATTTATGTATTTCTTGAATCTGTAATTATTAAATTTTATTACTGAATTTATGTCTTTTCCCAGTCATCTCTGTTAGCATTTCCCAAACTGCTTTTTGCCAATGTGACCACAACAAGTGGAAAAAACGGTTAACAGATTTGTTTTTACGTTTCGTGCGGAAATATTAAATTTACAGGCGGTAAAATTAACTAGTTTTAATTATCCCCGTCATGCATATTGTCTTACTTGTTAAAAATAAACTGTCACAACGAGTCTACTCACACAAGGAAAAATTATCAATTCCTTCATTATTTCTGAAAATTAAATAAATATCGCGTTTCGAAAAGGTTTCTTAACTATACAATCGTTTATTTTAACCTAAATTGCTCTTACTACCAAAGCTGTGAATCTCTGATTTCGCCAATGATTTGTCCAGCCTTTTGTAGCGCCTAAAAACAATACAGGCAATGATGGATAAATGTGATTGGGAAAATGAAATAAAATAGATTCAGAAAATCAATGAAAAATGGTTTATACATACTTTGAGCATTTCAGTTGCATCGTTCCGCCTTCTGTGTATATCGTCAGACTCTTCAAGAAGCTCGTTAAATTGCTCGGTCTATGAGAAAAGTCATTTTTATAAGAACTAAATAAAAGTTTTTTACAACAATCATTCCACATTTGAAATCAGACCGGCTCCAATTTAGGGGCAATGTAATTTCAACTAAAGTAATTGGTTTGAACCCGGGAGTATCGTTAAAAAATGTAGATCGTCCAGGTTGGTATAGTCCTAAGAAGGACTGTTTTACAAACATGTAATTTCAACTATTAGATTAGGGCGTCCGGGGACTATCCTCACTAAATTTGGACTATTACACATCGCATTATAGATAAAGATTTTACTGCATAATGCAGTATAAAACTTTAAGAGTTTTATATCGTCAGAACAAGTTTAGATTTCAGAGCCGTTGTTAACTAGGTAAAAAAATTTTTGGGAGGTTTTACAAAAGAGAAGTTGCTCCATTTCCGATGACTATGAAGCTGGTTCAAATTGCAAACACATTCCTTTAGCCCTTTGTTGCATGTAAACTTTGTTTGTTTATTGCCAGTTAACCTGCCTTAAGCTTCATTGACTGTTTTCTAATATTTTCACTCCTGAAAGGAGTATATTTTGATTTGCCAGGAGGTGCCATAAGGCACAATGGCCCATATATAGGCCAGTCCTAACCTACGTCATTAAAGACAAAAGATAAACAATACACTACAAATATACGACAATTTTCAAGTCTTACTTTATAGAGTTTTTCTACCAGTTCGCTTTGAATTCTTTCCTTAACGTTATTGACCAGAAAACACATCACAGCTTTGGGTATGCTGGAAAAAATAGGACGCGACAAAAATTACGATGTAAACACGACGAGTATAAAAGTCGAGAGAAATGCACACGAAACAAACCTGTCTTGAATATTTTTTCGGACGATGTCAAAATAGGACGTAATGAGTTGCTCTTAAATCATAGAAAAAAATATCTTAAAAAACTGACTCAAAAATACATAAAATAAAACGAAAATAAGCCAGTTTAGGGATAAATGACGATCACTTACGAACTAAATCCGATTCCTTTTGTTGTCTTGCAGACATATCTATCTTTGACGTCGCATTTTGATTTGTTTTCGATGCCGTTTTACTTCCCTCGGCATCTGACTTCTGCTCCTTTTAAAATATGGCAGAGGTCAGCATGAATAATATAATGTTATTTATCAACCAAACGATCATCAATAACCAGTGTAACTCCTTATTGTTCATTGATATTCATCATCATCATCACAATGATGTTCACAGAGTTATTCCTAAAAACTTTTCTGACGACATATAATTTTATGTTCGTTTTCTGAACAGATACTTTAGGGATAAAGGGGAACAAACCGGGATGTGTAAGTACTATGTAGGTACAATGACATGAAAAGTGTTTTTTGTTTAGTAGATGTAAGTACAGCAGTAACATGAAAAGTCATGAAGATAAAAGATGTCTTCTTATTACCAGCATCGAGCTTGCCGATGTACCAGCCCAGAAATCTGGATGGTTCGTGTTGATGTAAGCAAGTTCTATCTTCACAAGATTCTCCACCTTGACAAGAACAGATATATCAATATGGATAAAAGGGAGCATTATTATGATAAACAGTTGGTGTACTCACCATATCATTGGTTGGGTTAAGTCTTTTAAAAAGCATGTCCGAAACAACTTCAACAATACGATTACGTAAAGCGGGAAATCTCTTCATTTCTACAATCTGAAGATAATAAAACATTTCAATAATTTTTTTGTTTAAGTACTCGTGTTGTGGTCAATTTATACAACCCACTTGTTAAAATACTCGTATTATAGTAAATTTACAAAACCCACTTGTGTAAAAGAATGTTGAATAATGCGTAACATTTCTTCATGAACAAGATCAACACATCTCAGACCAGGATCCTCAAGTCGACGAATTTGTCGTTTTACGAGTAGTTCAAAGGATATTTCTGGCACAAAAAGAGCCGGACGGGGACCCTATGCTCAAACAATAAAAAATGGTTTATTTTCATAGAAAGATACAGAACGTTGAAGACTATTCATTTATCACAGAAAATAAGTTTATTTGAGGAAGCAAAAACCAAATTCTTCGCTTAATCTGTAAACAATGGATGTCAGTATGAAAATCGAAAATTTTATGTAAAAATTTAACATGCTGTGGGAAAATCTAACATGCTGTGTAAAATCTATGACGCTGTGTGAAAATCTAACAAGCTGTGTAAAATCTATGATGCTGTGTGAAAATCTAACATGCTGTGTAAAATCCATGATGCTGTGTGAAAATCTAACATGCTTTGTAAAATCTATGATGCTGTGTGAAAATCTAAAATGCTGTGTAAAATCTATGATGCTGTGTGAAAATCTAACAAGCTGTGTAAAATCCATGATGCTGTGTGAAAATCTAACATGCTGTGTAAAATCCATGATGCTGTGTGAAAATCTAACAAGCTGTGTAAAATCCATGATGCTGTGTGAAAATCTAACAAGCTGTGTAAAATCTATGATGCTGTGTGAAAATCTAACAAGCTGTGTAAAATCCATGATGCTGTGTGAAAATCTAACAAGCTGTGTAAAATCCATGATGCTGTGTGAAAATCTAACAAGCTGTGTAAAATCCATGATGCTGTGTGAAAATCTAACAAGCTGTGTAAAATCCATGATGCTGTGTGAAAATCTAACAAGCTGTGTAAAATCCATGATGCTGTGTGAAAATCTAACAAGCTGTGTAAAATCCATGATGCTGTGTGAAAATCTAACAAGCTGTGTAAAATCCATGATGCTGTGTGAAAATCTAACAAGCTGTGTAAAATCCATGATGCTGTGTGAAAATCTAACAAGCTGTGTAAAATCCATGATGCTGTGTGAAAATCTAACAAGCTGTGTAAAATCCATGATGCTGTGTGAAAATCTAACAAGCTGTGTAAAATCCATGATGCTGTGTGAAAATCTAACAAGCTGTGTAAAATCCATGATGCTGTGTGAAAATCTAACAAGCTGTGTAAAATCCATGATGCTGTGTGAAAATCTAACAAGCTGTGTAAAATCCATGATGCTGTGTGAAAATCTAACATGCTGTGTAAAATCCATGATGCTGTGTGAAAATCTAACATGCTGTGTAAAATCTATGATGCTGTGTGAAAATCTAACAAGCTGTGTAAAATCCATGATGCTGTGTGAAAATCTAACAAGCTATGTAAAATCCATGATGCTGTGTGAAAATCTAACATGCTGTGTAAAATCCATGATGCTGTGTGAAAATCTAACATGCTGTGTAAGAATCGAGCTATGTCCGTAAAAATCATAGTTTAGGAATAAAACAAGATCCTCCACATATTTTCACAAATAGAAATCTTTCCACAAGAAATACCATAAGTTCATGTAAATTCCTACCGTTGCGTTTTGTATAGCTGTAAGAATATCTGTCGTTGACAAGTCACCAAGAGCGTCCATATTTTGCAGTTTTTTGCCAAAGGTGTCGTGAAATATATAAGAAATCCTTGCGCCACCACATCTAGAATCAAAAACAATAAATAAAGCGTTCAGATGATTAAAGAAAGGTCAGATGGATATAAAACACAATAAAATATACTTAAAAAGCCACGTACATTTCTGATATTTCGATATCTTTGGCTGTTCCTTCAATAATTGCACAATAGGTTGAAGCAAACTTTGTTACCAACTGAAGTAATGTTGGCCCCTAAAGATAATATAAAATGTCAATTACCAAGCGGTCAAAAGTTTCGTAGCGCTTAAACAACCTTCAAGATTTAGAAGAATTTCAGGTTTCAGTTTGACAGAAGGATTTAAGAAATATTAAGGCTTTTTAACATTTTCTCCGTAAAAAGAAGTAGCAAAAAAAAATAAATCAATCTTTGCTGTTTTTCTTTGTGCTAAAAATTTAACACAAATCACCAACTGTCATGAAGCTGACGACACCAGTTTCAATAATACTGTTCGCCATGGCTCTGCAAGTTGCAACCTCCTTGAGAGTTGAAAATATTCACACATCGTAATTTACGCATATTTCATTTAAATCTGGAGAACAGATTTCTCACGTCACCATTCATACAGCGAGGGGGGGGGGGTGAAGAGACTCTTTATTATATAACATGGTAATTCTACATTTCTACAAGGGTGTGTTTATGTTTAAAGTACAAACCTTATCAACAACAGGTTTACCATAAGATGCAAGTAGTTGCTGATGTTGTGAAATCATCACATTGACACGTGACTTTAGACTAGGAAGGCAATTTCTGATATGATTCATCAAAAGCTGAAACGGACAATACACAAAAATGTATGAGCTGAAAAGATTGTGCATGGTGATTTATCAAAATGCAAGCAGTTGATTCGGAGAGCGGATCGTGAAATTTGGCCATAAGCAAAAAATTCTTGAAAACCTTATTCAAAGATCTTGAAAGATAAAGGGTCCCATTCTTTGCTGCTAATGCTGGATAATGTTGCTGAAAGAACTCTCGTTCATCTGATAATGCTTCTGCAATAGTCTGAAATTATCATTGAAAATAGTAATGAGAAATTTCCTAAGTCATAAGAACAGCATAAACCACTGGGCTTTCATTGAAAGTAGCCCCCAGTTAAAACAAGTAATAAAGTTTGATATATTTTTAAGAATTAAAGGTAAATCACCTTTCTGTTATTGATATCTAGTTGACTTCGGTTAACAACACCTATGATTCCTAATTTCACTGGAATCACTAAAAATAAATATAAAAAACAATAATACAGTAAACAAAGCAGTGTGCGAATTAACGGTGTGCAATGTGCAATTTGCACATCGTTTTAGCTAAAATGAAAACAAATGCACATCACTTTTTCAAACGATGTGCAAAAATCAGCGGTTTTAACGAAAAACACTGTCGTAAATCATATGAATTTGTTCACGTTTAAAAATATTAATTTAACAATTAGCGCTATATAATAATTAACGTAATATCGATTTGATTATGCCTCTAAAGAAACACTTTTGTCTAAAAATCTGCACATCGTTTTTTCTGAACTAATTCGCACACTGAAACAAAGCAATGACATAAATAATGCATTATATATTAATATTTACAAAACATGTAATCTATAATCAACAATGGATAATCATATTCTATAAGAATGTTTCATATCTTATCATGTATCATATCTTCATTTAACTTCATTTAATCATATTCTATAAGGTAGATTTAGTCATTCATTCTAGATTTATTCATGTTACCCACTAATCCCCTTAATATATTCCTATACATCTCCACATCATCCCAAAATGTACCTCTTCCATACAATACATCCAAAGCATCAGTGCCAGGATCCATCAGATCAAGTTTTGGGCACACTGCAATGGTTCTGTTGCCAGCAGGATCAACTTCCTTTGCAATTTTTATTGATTCAGAAGTTGCCATGTCAGTGTTCGCTGGTGTTACAGCAAGAATTATACTGTTAGGATTTTTAATATATTTCAAGACAAGGTCTCTCATTTGATTTTCAATGTCTGGTGGCTGATCACCAACTGGAACCTTAAAAAATAGCAAAGAATCCAGTAAATTATAGAATGAACAATATGTTTTTTATTGCAACTTTAATCTGTTTTTCTGTTTCATAGTAAATTTCATTTCTGTTCACATGATTTAACACATCACCACCAAAAATGAAAACTTCAGGTTTATGGAGTTTTTGGTTATATACTTGAATTTTCTTCACTAGTTATAGCCATGATTTTAAAGACAAGGCTGAATGAGCTTTTACGTAGGTACCTACCTTTGTGATACCAGGAAGATCGACAAGAGTTAAATTGACAACTTTGGGTGAATAAATCGTTAGAATAATTGGTTCTTGTGATATGCCCTGAAGGAAGAAAAATTTTGACTGAGAAGTATGCTAAAATATGATTGAAAGAAGCTCCAAAAAGATGAAAAAAAATTGTGAACAAACTGACTTTATTATGACCCGTTAATCTCTCAGTCTCCCTTTCAATCTCATCTCGGATTTCATAAAAATCTGCAAATTTCTAAATGAAAGAATGCGCAATACAACATTCGGCAAAACTGCCATAAAATTAACTTATCAGTGACAATTTAAAAATTTGTAGTATTCAATTTAACCTTATCTTTAATATGATGAAACTTTCCCCATTCTTCCGAGTCATCTATTTCCACAGATTCATCGTCACTGCCTTCACTTTCGTTTTTCTTAATCCTTCGCCATTTTGATGATGAATGCACAAGTTGCAAGATTAGTGGACGTCTTGTGACAATACCAGGTCCTACAAAAACAATGAGATTCAAAATTGCATATTTGTCTTATATTGTCATAATTTTATTCACAACCAAAAAAGAATGAAATTTTCACCTCTGGGGAGAAAATCCCTTCCAACAATTCCTTCTAAAACAGAACTTTTTCCGCTACTCTATAAGTTTATATGATCATAAAATGTTGAAAAAATGTTTCATGAGTCTACATTATGATTATTAAGTCGAAAAGGAAGAATCTTCTGGACTTTGGGCAATTCTTATTTACTAACAGTCGAATTTCACCAATAAAACTCTAATGAAACGCCAAATCGAAAAGACATAAAAGTGGCCTTTTTTGGAGGCTATGTTGAAGGTATGTGATTAAGCAGAACAAAATTCAAAGAGAAATTCCGAAGGCAAAACCTTCTGTCATTAAATATAAACAAATGATTGCGAAAGGAAATGTTTTACCTGCGTTCCAACGACAACAATTTGCGGTAACTGAATGGCTTCAGTGCCAACAGTATTAAACACATCTTGAAGTTTATTTATAACTGGTATCAACTGTTCCATTTTCTTTGAAATATTACGGAATTAAAAAGGACTAAGAATTGAACTATTTCAAAACAAAGTCACTTTCAATTTTATCCTCTCATATCCCCTAGCATCCCGAAGGTGCGAGTTCATATCCCCTATGGTCAGCAGATCGTTTTCATCATCTACAAGAAAATGAACTGTGATTTACCAGGAATGGAAGCATGCCGCCATCTTGTTCAATTCAACATGGCAGATGTTTATTTGCAAGCATCGCGGATTGTAGAAAATGTTTTAAAAAAAAAAGGAGCACCGAAGAGCTTAGTGCTTGAGAACAGCAAGATAAAAAACAAAAAGAAACTATACGCATTAGTTTGCGAATCAATAAAATGTAAGAAATGAATCGATTTTATTTAGCGTTGATTACTTGCTGTAAGAAGCAGCATGTTGTCTATGAAATTGAATTAGCAAATTGACATGAACATCATGATACTAAATTGAGTGCCATGATCAGAAAAATTTAATTTAAATAAGTTCCAAAGCCTAATAATCATTCAAACCTTATAGATAAGCGCAGTTCACCAACAGTGAGAATATCATTAGGCAAAACATTGAAACTTTGTTTTAACCGTAGACAAATCAGTAACAGATCAACTGTTGGAATCATCCAGACTACTACACCTAGAGAAAAAGGTAAAATACACAAAAAGTGTCAAAAAAATGACATAAACATTTTCAACGTTGTCCGACCAACTTTATCTTTACGTCATGATTCATAGTTGAACTATCCAATGGCACTCGTTCTTGTTTATGACTTCCTATTTGGCCATGGTCTTCGAGTTGGAGGTCATTTTAAACTTGTCATGACTAGAAATAAAACCAGTTTAAATGCTGCCTTAGCAAGAATGAAAATAAAATCTCAAGTAGTACACAACAAAGATCTTTTACCCAGCAATATTCAGGAAAATCAAGGTGAGGCTGAATTTGTCATTGATATGGTTCATAGGGGATACATAAGGATTAACATTGACTATTTGTTGTTTAGGTATACACATTCCACGGTATGTTCGCGTTAATACATTGAAAACGTGCGTGGATGAAGTGACGTCTTACTTTTCTCAAGAAGGATTTAAGATGAACATTAAAAGATTTGATTTAAGCAAGGTATTGTTCTGTTATTAACGTGAGGGAAGGGTTGTGTTAAATGTAGGAGGGACTTTGACTTTGATAATCTTAAAGAAACTTGCGGAGTTAAGATAATAGTTTTATGACGATGTCATTGACATTTTAGATGACTTCAAATTCGTTCACAATGGATGAACACATTCCCAATGTTCTTGTCTTCCCACCGACGACAGATCTTCACGATAATTCCCTTTACAAAGATGGCAAGATTGTCTTTCAAGATAAAGTAAGTTGGACAAATGAATCTTTTGAAAAAAAAAGAAAATCTTTTATTTTCCTCTGACACCTCGAGCAAATCATCAAATACACTCTCCTCTATCTTTATCTCAGATTTTTATGTTCTTTCATTCTCTAGGCAAGCTGTTTTTCAGCGTTCGTCCTCAATCCTTCACCTGGTAGTCACGTGATCGACGCGTGTTCTGCTCCTGGGAACAAGACTAGTCATCTGGCTGCTATCATGGGCAACAAAGGGTCAGTATATTTCGTGTTGATCATAGCAGTACATCTACGAAGAGCTTACGTCTGTTCTTGCTTTTAGAAAAATCTTTGCTTTTGACATTTCTCAAAAGAGAATTTCAACGATGAAAAGATTGCTGTCGCGTTCTGGTGTATCCATTGCAGTGATAAAGCATGAAGACTTCTTGAAGGTGGGTTGAAAATTGCCAATTACTGTACGATATAACAACGCTATAAGATGTTTGTAAATGTAGATCGTCCAGGTTGGTATAGTCCTGAGAAAGACTGTTTTTGTTGTTGTTGACTGATATTTCGACAACCTTAGCGGTAGTCATCTTCAGAGTCAAAATGAAGATGAGTCAAATTTTGACTGTGAAGATGACTACCGCTAAGGTTGTCGAAACGTCAGTCAACAACAACAAAAACAGTCCTTCTCAGGACTATACCAACCTGGACGATCTACATTTACAAACATGTAAGGATGCTCCCGTGCTCAAACCATTTACTTTAATACTATAACATCGTTCTTCAGATCAATCCTACCAATCCTATGTACACAAACGTTCATTATATTCTTGTGGATCCTTCATGTTCTGGCTCAGGGATGATCCACAGATTGGATTATGCATCTTGTTATCAAACTGAAATGGTAAATTTCCTTTACATCATTCTGAACAGCAATACAATAAAATCATCTCCTACGTACATCTCGCTTATGTAGGATGAAAAAGAAAGAAGGAGAGTTTCGTCGCTTGCGTATTTTCAGTTGAAAGCTTTAAGTCACGCTCTGTCTTTTCCAAATGTGAAGAGAGTGGTTTATTCCACTTGCTCTTTGCATGACGCGGTAAAACTGTTGTCCTCTTTCAATTAGGAGACGATGATAACAACGTTTTATTTATGTTTTTATTAGGAAAATGAGGAAGTGGTTGCAAAGGTTTTGAGAACGTTTCAAGAAAAGTTTCAGTTGGAATTTGCTTTGCCCGAATGGCCTCACAGAGGACGAACTTTGTTTTCCGAAGGTGGGTGAATTCACCGTAAAGTTTGTGGTGTGTGTATGTGCTAGTGTGTTTTAAAATGTTATTTTTCTGTCTGTTTATTCTTGAAGCATGGAAATGTGTGCGCGCCTCTCCGCAGGAAGGCTCTACGAGTGGTTTTTTCTTGGCCTCGTTTGTCTTAAAGGAATCGTTAAAAGAATACGAAACAGATAAAAAAATAAGAAAGATAAACTTAAATGGAGATGGATGTATATCGAGAAAAGAAGATTGGACTAGTGTCATTAAAAACGGAACAGATTTTCTTAGGAAAAGTGAAAAGACCAACGACACAAACTCAAAAACCGCAAAAAGGAAACGCTTAAATCTGAGCAATAATACAGAGACAAATTGTTCATTTCAAGAAAACAGGAAACTTAAACATTCACGAACGAAAGTGGAGAATCATCCGGATATTTTATTTAATAAGAAAGTAACAAGAACGATGAATGTTAGAAATATGAAATGGTGGTATGTCCTTAGAACTGATCTTAGAAAATGCTCTTCTCAACAATTCGATAAACAGCGCGAAAAAATTCTGAAAAGATCGCTGAAAAGAAAAAGATTAGAAGCAAGCATGAACAAAGAAAGTTGATAAAAATTTCAAAACGAAACACCATGGCGAATTCCTCTACAATTTATTTAGATGTTCTAGCTTTCGTTCAATTACTAATATATACAAATACATACTTACATCAATTTTTCGTTCATTATTTACAAATCCAACTATTGCACGGTCATTCATTCAACCGGGCCGCAAACCGTCACATGGTGATTATTATTTTTACAATTTTCACATGATAGTTTCATAAGGAAACAACAACATAACCTGAAAAGTACCTGACGTCATCGATACCTGACGTCACCAACACCTGACGTCACCAACACCTGACGTCACCAACACCTGACGTCACTGACACCTGACATCGACACCTGACATCATCGACACCTGACGTCATCGACACCTGACGTCATCGACGTCTCTTTTTCGATGTTTGAGGGTAACATTTTGGACAAAACCATTTGCCCTTTGGTGGATCGGTGATTCCGACACAACCATAATGAAACCATTCGATTGGGCACTACATTGTAAAAGACAGAGAACACACGTTATGCAAACACTAACCCGAGAATTTGCTCTGAAAATGAAATAATGAGATATGGCATTTAAAGTCATGGCATTTAAAAAGTTTATAGAATTTGCAGGTTACTAAATCCAAGTTATGAATATAAATAAAAGATAATTAAGATTAGGACATACATTTGGATTATCACATCCAACCATTTCTCCATATGAAACCTAAATAAAAGATCATTTAGTTGATGAGAGAAAATTACGGTCAAAAGCCACTCCATCATCAAGTTACACCAATGAGGTTGATAAAATATCAAAATACCTGGTTACAAAGGCAATATCGTGGTTCATTTGGATCATAAACCCAGTCCACAGACTGTGAAATAACCGCTGTTTGCAATGGTGCAGAATCAACAATCGGCGTCTTTTGCCTAAAATAACACTTTGGAATAAGATAGAAGCTTTGAAAATATCTAAACACAGTAAAGCATACTTTTTGCTTCTTGCACTTTGTTTATTTCCTGATGGACTTGGATTTAGAGAAGAGTTAAGCTCCAGGTGTGACATAGATGGTGAGGATCCATAGTTGATATTTAACGCTGCAGGTGTTCCAGGATAGGGGCCACCCATTTGTGTTGTCGACGTCATTGATGTGTTTATAGATAGACCTATGGTGAATAAGAAGACGTTAACTCTACTATTGAATATTTCAACCTTTCTTGAGAACTCTTCACAATTTCACATTATTATTGACAAAATATTTGCTCACCGGGATATTCCGATTTTATTGATTGCCCATAAGCTTTTGTGTTGCTGTTTTTTCTTCCGGGCATTGGATACAATTGAGAATCTGAATGAGAAGGTGCAGCACTTGTGCTTGCTCCCACTGTTCCTGTTCGTACATATACATCCATAAGTATTCAAATTTAACCATTCATACAAAAGGCACAATATATTACCGATGTTATACTGCATTGACTGTGGGCCAGCTAATGACATCTTTTGATCTAATGACATATAGATGTTAAATGAGCCTGAGCAAGAGTTATAGTCTGGGAGACTGACTGTTGACACAGGGACAGAAATGTCCCCATTTGGCAGATCTTCCGCAAACACATCTATTGTAGTTGCCTTTCGTTCTGTAATCAAATGATTTCATTTAATGTCTATCACTGTAGAACATTAATGACAAAGCTACAAATTCTACTTTTGTAACTTACTATGGGAATGTGCTGATGGTGGAATGATGTTACGAGCCAAGGGTTGTATAGGTTGAAGGGTATTAAGGCTCGGTACTTCTGGGGTGGATACTTCATCTAGCTGTAATGATCCTACATTTAAAGAAATAGAGATGTTCTATGTAGGAAAGTGAAGAGATTATGCAGCATGGAAAGCTGTTACTCTTACTTTGCTCAAGGATTTCTGTTATACCAGCATTATCTGCCTCAAGTTCCATCTTGAACTTTGATAATTCTTGATCCAATTTACGCAAATGTCGATCTACCAAATCATAAATACTCGAAGCTATAGAAACCTTCTCCTCTGCATCATCTAACGCCTTTGTATATTCCTGTAGAAATAAATATGGAGTAATGACATTTATTTCGATATTAAAACATTTTAGTGGAAATATCTACCTGTTTTAATATTTTATAGTATTCATCTCGCCATTCTTGAGTTGCAGTTGCCGCATTAGAAAGGAATTCTCGAACTTTCATTTCCAAATCATCAATCCCATCTGCAAAGATCAAGCTCAAATCAAGTCAATGAAGACTTTCATTATGAATAAAATCATAGAACTTACTCTGCACTTGTAAATCCATTTCTCGTATTTCAGTAAATCTATCTCTCAGATCAATTGGCAACTGCTCAATCACTAACAAGGATTTATTTAAGTAATCTCATGACACAGTTGCATTATGGGATATATAGCAAATGGTACAATGTCCACACAACATAGTATTATACAAATTGATATATGAAAACGCTTACTCAAACAAAACACACACTTATTGTAAATAACATTTTAATACAATTAAATAGTCAAATGGAAATATATTAGACAATCATATCAAACACATTTTTTGCCAAATTCATTTCTTTTTGCAGTAATCAGGATGATTAGTGAAATGTCATTGTGAAAAATATTCAACAAATTTTGGATTGTAAATTTTCGATAAGTGCACATCCACTGAAAATCCAGGTGCATAGAGCAATTGAATAAAGTTTGCAATGCACAAAATGGCGTCTGTACAACGAACGAAAAAGTTGAAAATATCCAGTAATTAAGCATAACGTGGTAAAACAAAATAAACAAACACGTAAACACGCTTATTTTTCACGATCATAATCAACTTACACTCAAGGTAATCCTCAAGATAATGCATTATTTAATAAAAGCCAATATCTATTTTTTCTTCTTGTTCTATTGCAAATGTTCCGCCATATTGATTTCGGCAATCTACCGCTGACCAAATTTTACTGACGGCTCAGGTTAACAACATTAGAATATATTATACATAATTTCTTAATTTGTAAATTTTTTTCATTTGTAAGTTCAAGTCAGACGCATCGAGCTTCCATTAGCTAAAACACAACATGAAATTGCTGAAAACGTCCTTTAACCGTTCATTTGGTCAATGTAGACAGGTTTTCTTATTTCATCTAGGAAGGACAATGAATTGTTTTAAAAGCGCGCACTATGCAACTGACGCAAAGGTTTGTACGTTCACGCGCCGTTTAGCATTTTACCAGCTGAGGTAAAAAAATATTTATGCAAATTCCAAGCTGTTTCCCGGAAATGATAAATTTATGCAACATAAATAAAGCTTGTAAAATCTTTCTTGGAAAGACTGTAAGCATTAACCTTTTTTATTTAGACTGAATTAAAGAGAACAATACTCTATGATTTTCATATCAGCCAAGGTGCAAAAATGGTTCCCTTTTGTGGTTGGTCAATGCCCGTACAATACAAGGATGGCGTCATAGTCTCCCATAACCACACAAGGACAGAAGCTTCAATATTCGATGTGTCTCACATGCTACAATTTAAATTACATGGGAAAGATAGGATTAAATTTTTGGAGAGTTTAGTGGTTGCTGACATTGATGGTCTTAAAGAGAATCAAGGAACTTTATCTGTGTTTACTAACGAGCAAGGTGGAATAAAAGATGATCTCATCATTAATAAGCTGCCAAATGAACTTTATGTAGTCTCGAATGCTGGTTGTGCAGATAAAATCACTGAACTAATGCAAGTGAGTAATATTTCATAAGTGTTTAAACATAGAGTGTTAATGTGGTTGGAAAAGAATTACTAAAATATGTTATTTCAGGAAAGTTGTGCTATGGTAAAAAATGTTATGGATGTTGCATTAGAATTTCTAGAGGATAGATCATTAATTGCACTTCAAGGTTTGAAATTTTATTTAAAATGATAGAAAATTGCCCGAATAAAAACCTCTTGTTGTATTTTTTGAACTAGGACCTAAAGCTGCCGCTGCTCTGCAGGAAGGAATAACAGAAGACCTTAGCAATCTTTACTTTATGAATGGTTTCACAACCAATGTCTTTAACATTACTGATGTTCGTGTAACTAGATGTGGTTACACTGGGGAAGATGGTTTTGAGGTGAGTAAGTTATAGTATGATTAAAAAATATCAACATGTACATCATCATTCCTCTTACTTCATCTTAGTTATCAGTCCACAATAAGGATGTCCAAAAACTTTGTGAGTTGCTATTGGACAGTAAAACAGCTGATGTTCGAATGGCCGGCCTTGCTCCGAGAGATAGCTTGCGGCTGGAAGCTGGCCTGTGTCTCTATGGCAATGACATTAATGAGACAACAACACCTGTTGAGGCGTCATTATTGTGGACAATTGGTACAACGTGTTTGTGTAATTTTTATGTTTGCTAATTACGATTTGGTCATAATGATTTATACTGTTTTATAAATATATTATTTGTACTGAAGTTTGAAGTATTAATTGATGATTTTTTAGGTAAAAGACGACGAGCAAACGCAGACTTTCCTGGAGCCGACGTAATCATAAAACAAATCGCGGACAAACCAACAAAGAAAAGGATTGGTTTGCTGTCTTCAGGTCCACCAGCAAGAGGTAAAATAGTCGGTATTTTGTTGACGATTATTTCGCTTTGTTAAAGTTATAATTGCTATTTCTAGCTGGTGCAGTTATTTTGGATGCAGATGACAACGAAATAGGTAATTTAAGAACGGTATTTAAAGTATATGTAAAGTTTGTTTTTTTCTCCCATAACGGAGTTGATGTGTATTGTCAACTTTAGGTTTCAATGCTTATAAAACTACGTTAATTTTTAGGCAAAGTTACAAGTGGGTGTCCTTCGCCAAGTTTGCCAAAACAGAACATCGCCATGGGATATGTGCCACGAAAATACGTTAAAAACGGGACAATTTTGAAACTAAAAGTTCATAAAAAACTTGTTCCTGCTACCGTTACTAAAATGCCATTCGTCCCTACGAAATATCACTTTCCAGCAAAATCTTGAATTGAGTTAATTCTACACTCACACGAATCCCCCCCCGGAAGAATTTATGCAAGCATTTAATGGCACGGGGGGAGCGTACGAAATATCAATAATACTTGTTACAAATATACTATCCAATGTTTCATTGTTTTTAACGCTAGTTCAAGTTACCTCTGATAGTAAATACTTGTCCTCAAATTTCTCTTTTAAAGTTTGTATCATTCCTTTTTCAAGCGAAATCGCGCGAATACTCGCCTCAATCTTCTTTTCATTCTTCTCGAGGTAGTGCGAAGTGTCGTTTATCAATTTATTAAGATTTTCGTCGTCCGCCTCGTCCAGAGGTACGTCTGTTTTTATCGGTGGATTAAAACGAAAATATATGTCTTTTGGAAGTAAATCTTCAAGGATTGTGTGCACAGCTGAAAGCGAAGAATTGAAATAAAATCAATAAAAGAAATTGGTTTGATCATCGCACTTTGAAATGACATTATACTTATAACTTTCAAGTTATTTGCTCATCTAGCTAAAAGTTTTATTCTTATTGACTGAATGTTCACCGTCAAACAAAGAATAGACGAATATTTTGATACACAAACCCTTGATTTGAAAGATCATTTTTTATATAAAAAAAACTTGCGTGCTGATCAAAATTTATGAACAATTTTCGTATATAAGAACGTTTAGAAATAATTTTACACTTTATTTCTGGAATAGGACTTATAAAATAAACAGATGCTTGTAATTACATTACTTTCTACAACTTTTGACTACTTCATTTAAGAAAACATTTAACTTAACCTTCAGTGTCCGTTGCGCTGGCAACAACTTTAAGAAGTTTTTCTCGCAAACTACTGAATGTCGAGTTAGTATATCGTGATGGCGTATGGTAGATCCCAGTCCCCAAAGATATAACACACTGTATTTGTGAACATGGCCAGATCAATTTGGCTTCGTGAATAGCGAGGGCACAAGGACTGTTAGTGAGAAGACCACCATCCTAATAAATAGATAACATAAATCAAGAAGTGCAGTCAGTCTAGACATTTTAGTCCTGTAGCCCGTCTAGACATTTTAGTCCTGTAGCCAGTCTAGACATTTTAGTCCTGTAGCCAGTCTAGACATTTTAGTCCTGTAGCCAGTCTAGACATTTTAGTCCTGTAGCCAGTCTAGACATTTTAGTCCTGTAGCCAGTCTAGACATTTTAGTCCTGTAGCCAGTCTAGACATTTTAGTCCTGTAGCCAGTCTAGACATTTTAGTCCTGTAGCCAGTCTAGACATTTTAGTCCTGTAGCCCGTCTAGACATTTTAGACCTGTAGCCAGTCTAGACATTTTAGTCCTGTAGCCAGTCGAGACATTTTAGTCCTGTAGCCAGTCGAGGCATTTTAGTCCTGTAGCCAGTCTAGACATTTTAGTCCTGTAGCCAGTCGAGACATTTTAGTCCTGTAGCCAGTCTAGACATTTTAGTCCTGTAGCCCGTCTAGACATTTTAGTCCTGTAGCCAGTCTAGACATTTTAGTCCTGTAGCCAGTCTAGACATTTTAGTCCTGTAGCCCGTCTAGACATTTTAGTCCTGTAGCCAGTCTAGACATTTTAGTCCTGTAGCCAGTCTAGACATTTTAGTCATGTAGCCAGTCTAGACATTTTAGTCCTGTAGCCAGTCTAGACATTTTAGTCATGTAGCCAGTCTAGACATTTTAGTCCTGTAGCCAGTCTAGACATTTTAGTCATGTAGCCAGTCTAGACATTTTAGTCCTGTAGCCAGTCTAGACATTTTAGTCATGTAGCCAGTCTAGACATTTTAGTCCTGCAGTCAGTCTAGACATTTTAGTCATGTAGTCAGTCTAGACATTTTAGTCCTGCAGTCAGTCTAGACATTTTAGTCCTGTAGCCAGTCTAGACATTTTAGTCCTGTAGCCAGTCTAGACATTTTAGTCCTGTAGCCAGTCTAGACATTTTAGTCATGTAGCCAGTCTAGACATTTTAGTCCTGTAGCCAGTCTAGACATTTTAGTCATGTAGCCAGTCTAGACATTTTAGTCCTGTAGCCAGTCGAGACATTTTAGTCCTGTAGCCAGTCGAGACATTTTAGTCCTGTAGCCAGTCGAGACATTTTAGTCCTGTAGCCAGTCTAGACATTTTAGACCTGTAGCCAGTCTAGACATTTTAGTCCTGTAGCCAGTCTAGACATTTTAGTCCTGTAGCCAGTCGAGACATTTTAGTCCTGTAGCCAGTCTAGACATTTTAGTCCTGTAGCCAATCGAGACATTTTAGTCCTGTAGCCAGTCTAGACATTTTAGTCCTGTAGCCAGTCGAGACATTTTAGTCCTGTAGCCAGTGTGGAAGTTTTAACCCTGTGGAAAGCCTGCAAGTTTTAGTCATGTAGTCAATAATCGTAAGTTTCAATTCCCTACCTGATGAATATCACGACCCAGTTTGAACTCCTCAAAATAACCAGGAGCAGCTGAAGAGGCGCGCAAAGCTTCCCATAATTTGTGAGTACAACTTCCGGGATAATGGGACTGAGAGTTGTGACGATGACGATAATTACGAAACACATATGGACGAAGTGTAGATTGGTTAACAAGGGTTGATATGGCGAGCACCTAAATACAAATGAGATGATGTTCAGAGCAAGAGAAAAAGAAAAAGAATCAACAATTTCGTGATAAAATGAATCGTTCGAACTCTGAAGCATCGTTATATGTTTGTAGATGTTGATCATCTAGGTTGGTGTAGTTCTGTTGTTGTTGTTGTTGACAGACATTTCTACATTAGCGGTAGTCATCTTCACTGTCACATGACGTCAGTCAACATCAACACAAACAATCTTTCTCAGGAGTCCATTAACCTGGACGATCTTCATCTACAAACATGTTATCCGCTATTTAGTACTTCAGGAGACCAAACATGATCTGAAAATAAAATCTCCTTCGGGTGTATTCACACCTAAACATCATCTCCTTTACTATATTCGTATGAATGCTGACAGTTTAAAGACACTGAGCATGACAACTAGTGTTTGTAGTTATCTCTACCTTTGGTGTACTTTTATCTGCAGCTGTGTCGATAAGCCGTGTCTCTCCTAGAGCATCTCTGAATGGAAATGAAGCTAGAAGAATCAAGCAACTTCCTTGTTCCCATCTTAAAATGTAATCTTAACAATTCAAGACCGAACCTAAGAATATTCTCGAACTTTGCTGTGTCGTAGTAAGCATGATTCAAAAACAACTTTCCAGTTCCAATAAAAGTATTTACGGAGAAGATTTCTTGAGCAAGATGGCGGTATATTTGTGTACATTGGTCAAGACTGATCTTCTTGACGCCCAAGAGAAATGCTAAAATCGCTCCTGTACTTGAACCACAGATCAAATCAAACATTTTATGAATTTCCATCTTTGCTTCTTCTTGGATTCGTTTCAACAGTTCAATTGCAACAACTCCTCTAATTTAAAAACATCAAAATTATTGTTGATCATGAATATAACAAAACAGTCAACGTTCAAAATCTAAACCTGGAACCTCCACCGTCGATACTCAGAATCTTAATTCCTGGTCCTTTCACGGGATCCGTCCATCCCAACAGCACCAGTCCCTTGCGAGCCTCGCCTTGTATCTGTTTATCAGTAGACTGATAGCAATGTTGAAGGATTTTTGTCACCCCAGACCTACGAGCAAGACTCCTAGCTGACGGGTACCTGTACAACAATGAATGTGTTGTAAAAAAATGAAAGGGTTACCTGTTCTTTTTATGTAACATTCAAATGACAAATACTACTTTTGTATGCAAGCAAACATAACCAGGAATGGATAAAACAATAAACATTTTATTCAAAGTGGTTTTACATGATGTCACGTGACTGACAGCGCTTATGTTAAATAATGAATAACAAAATGAGAGAAAAAACCTTAAAAAATGTTCGTTTAGTTCTTCCAGTCGAATCAAACGTGATTTATCATTCTTTGCACTTTCAAGAAGCTCCAGAAGTCGCGTTGTTCTGTTCTGTACGGTTGCTACAGTGTGAATATTGAGTTCTCTCGTCACAATATTAACTGCAGGAAAATTTCCCAAAACAGGAACACGATATTTGTCTTTGATTGCATAGCAAGAACAATTGTTTATCTTGTTGCTAAGTATTCGATAACAAGATGAACGATGCCTTAAGAGCAATGTTCCCATAACATGACTAAATCATAACCCTTAGATAAAATGTACTGCTGATGCCGCCATCTTGGATTAATTTACTTGTTATGACGTCACTGATCGATAATGACGTCATAGGACAATTCAATTTGTCAATTTGACAATTTGTACATTACTAATGTAAGTTTTTCAATCAAATCACAACTGACAGAGTAAATTTTTTCATTTTTATTCGGCAAAGAAGGTTCCCCATGATTACATAGGGTCTTGATTTAAGCCAGCTTTGGTCGAACTAACAAAGCAAGATACTATGCTTATATGAAACCTTCAAAACTAAATTTTTAATCAACCGAAAACGTTTTAAACAACAATCTTGCGATTTGAACAACATATTTACAGAATGTTTACAATATTGATTGACTCACGATATGGCTAAATATTTCACGTATTTATAATATATGTTAATTAATTCGTATAACTATTATATACATCATTATCAGTCTATCTATAATTTTTTTGAACGATTCATTTTTTTAAAATTGAATATCATAACGAAACACATATTGTTTTACACCGTGGTCACAAACACTGGACCATTAGTCATACCCAACCTGTTCCTTTGTCTCAAAACCTCTTCAACTGTCATAAAATCATCAAATGTTTGTTCGTTACAAGACATTTTTTTATGCGTAAGTTGAATTATTTCGAAATCATTTCTTTTAATTGTCCCTTGTTGCGATGCTTTCCTTTCAGCTTCAACTTCTATTTTTTTCGTTCTTCTAGCTTCGCGAACTTTGTCAAGCTGTCTTCGACGATCCTCTCGACTCCAATATCTTCCAAGATACACAGACTGAGTTTCATCATCTGTCGTCAATCCTCGTCTTTCTTCGGCTAATTTCTGCGCACGCTCGCGTAACAATCTCTGTTTGGCGGGTTTCAGTTTCTTACTTATGAAAATTCGACTTCCATCTTTGTTTCTTCTCACTCGCCATTCAACTTTTGTGTCACTCGACGAATGATTACCATTTCCTTTCGACTCACGATTATCCCTCTTTGATCTACTGGATTCACAAGTATCCCTCTTAGATCTGCTAGAATCTCCGTTTGCTTTGTCTTTCTTTTTTCGATTTTCACTTCTATCCTTACACTCTGATCTCTCTTTACTTCGCGATACTGGACTGTTTTCACTATTTTTAGATCGATGCGATTTGCTGTGAGTTTTTGATTTATGTTCTTGAGCAGAATTTTCGTCCGAGGATGTTTTACTTGCTGGTTTTCGCGAGCTATGCTTTGAATGTTTCTCTCGTTCACCAGAACGTTGTGAGTGTTCGTCGGAGCTCCTCTCGCGTGGACTATCCCGCAAGCCCAACTCTCGTGCGTTACTAGCACACGCGGTAAAATGAATAATCTGCTTTCCTAACGCATCCATCTGTGCTTTGTGTTGCTCCTTTTCATCCCTCAAAGGTCGATCATCTCCTCCATCATTTCCAGAATCATTTTTCGTGCTATCATCGGTGCGTGCAAATCCACTATCTTTCTCATCCTCTCGAGATTTTTTGCCAATCAATGCTTCAGCTTCCTCTTCATCTTCTTCGTGTATGACACCAATCGGAAAGGCTTCGAGATGCAATCGAGATTGATGATGAAAAGCTTCGGGGTCGTGATCACTCTCGGCTCCGAGGAGAGTTGCCTGTAACTGAGAAATGAGAAACATTTACATCATTATGGAATATTGATAAAAAAGCACGATAAACATGTAAAGATATCTTATGCCATTTCTTATTTCTGCTCTTTTACAATCCATATCATTTAGTGTATCTTTCTGAAAATTAGATCAACCTTTGAGAGAGTTAATCCATCGATTTTTTTACGATTGAACGTAGTAGATTGAAAAGAGTCTTCAACATAGATAAGAATCTTGAACTGAAGACTACTCACTAAAATATTTTACTAAACAAACTAAATAATCTAAATCAATGTAAAATAGAGTAATAATACAAGTAAAGATGATATAATGCATGATAATGCATTAATCATTGATTAATTTATATCAATGATGCTTAATTAATGCATGATATTTGGTAAAGATGATTAAAATTCCCTTGAATTTTTACTTGTTGCCAACTTCATAAACTCAACAAACCTCTGCAACAGGCCTTGCAACAAGAAACTTTATTTCTCTGTGTCTTCGATTCAGCAAACCAACAGCATCATCCAAGCACGTTACAGCAAAATCGTTAATCTGGAACGAGAAAATGTTTTCTTTTACGTCGAAGTACATAATTACCAATATTACACACAGCGAAAAATAATTATTTCCTTTGTGACGGACACGTAGAGTGACGCGTAGTGTTTTATCTTTTGCCAAAACAACTTGTCTTTATTTCAATCGTCTCGAAGTTTTCAAAACGTGTGATGTAGCTATAGTACCTTCAATATTTGATCTCCTTCAATCAAGCGACCGTCTTTACCAATAATAGACCGAGAATCCACCTTAATGTAGAAAAGATCAAAATTTTACATAAAAATAAACATAAAAACAACTAAATTCACAAAGTTTACTCTACGTTAACCTTTACCTCGTCAACAAATACCGAACTGACATCCTCACCATTACCAGAGTACAGTTTCATTCCAAGTGATTTGTTTCCACACGTTCTGATAGTAATTTCCTGCGGGTAGAGAGAGGCAATAAAATGAAACAGTTCACTAACACCCTTAAACTACTAAAATGTTTTCTCATTCTGTTCAATAGAAGAAACCGCAAAACAATGAATTGCCTTTTTAGTTTTTGTGCATGGAATGGTGTATAAAACATTTGCCTGAATTCGGTAAACACTTTTGCTTAGATACGTTTGTGATTGAATATACGCTATTGTACATTGAAAGACATTTCTAGACAATGAATGGCTAACTCGATCAGAATTATCTTTGACGAAAAGACTAATCGACAACAACAAGGGAAGTCTGATAAACCAAATGGTCAAAATAATGAGGTCATATTAAAGAGCTCAAAGTAGGTGGGTGAATTTGATTAAGAAAATTAACATGATAATACTACTTTACGTCTTATTTTCTCATCCTACAGGAACTCATAAACTTTCATCACAAAGATTGTTTCTATTTCTTCATTGTGAAAAATAAAAACGATTTCTAGACGTAAAAACACCAAACTCGTACAAAATAACACCTCTAAAAACTACTTCATTATACTCACTTCGTATTCATACTCCAACTCAGAATCAAAGTACAATTGATCTGTTTCATTGACCGCACTACAACATTCTTCGTCATGTGGTATTTCTTGGTTCGTCTCCAGTCCTTCTTTCTCCAAATTCCCTCGAGTTTTGACGTTTTCCAAGCTAGCTTGACTAACATTTCCCGAATAGTAACCATTACTTAAACTCTGTATTTCGGCCAAATCCTCTCCCTCGCAGCCTGTTTGAACAGCTTCATCAGGTAGAATTCTGCTGTTTCGTTTCCCCAACGCTGCAATAGATGAATTCAACAACAACCTGTTCAATATTTCATCTTGTGGTTTCACATCATCCGACGTGTATCCTGTATTCATGCGAAGTTCGCTGGGATCAAGATCCGACTGATGTTCACCGTTCTCGTCAACACCAGAGTCTTCTTTCTGATGTATTCTACTTATTGTAGCTTGTGGCGAGGATTCAAGGGACGAAACATTGCTACGACAGTAACAACATGAAAACCTTGTTTTCAGTTCCTCTGTTTGAACACCAACGGAAACATAACCAGTAGAAAACATAACGCCGGGTTTAGAGTTGTTAAATCGTTGAACTGTAATCTCTAATTTCTCACCAGCGTTTTTAAAAGCTCGCACGGCTTCCTCGTGGGATGCGTTCGACAAGTCGATTTCATTAATCTAAATGAAATATTGAAGAAGGAATTGTTGAGGGTTGGTATTGGACGAGATAATTTAAGTGGCTCTACGATATCGGACCAGCCAATCTTATCATCTAATCTTGAACGGGGGGGGGGTCTCACAATACTGACAAATGGTTGTTTTGCATGTGTTTACAGGTTTCATGGTGAAACAAAATGATATCAGAGTAACGTTCAAAACATGAACATATAACATGATGTAGGAGTTCCCCTAACTTCTATCTAAAAATGAAGATTTTCTGCTTCAATATGATAGCGTCCACAAATGGTTTATAAGACAAATATCGCCCAGAAATCCACTCACAATTGCTCACGCAAAAAAATTCTTTATATAGCTGTGGTTATTTTGCAATTGACGAAATAAAATTAGTCAAATGCCTTTGAACAAAGCGTCACCTTGGCCTAACGTCTGGAAATATTGGCAGACTGCTGGAGTAAGAAAAGTACTTGACATTGTACAATAGTTTTGAGTGAAATGAAACTACTTGTACAGAAACATTTTATAAATAGACCTTTTCTTAAGTCAAGAATTCATTTGTTTAAAAGTTTTAAGAAGTGTGAAGAGTTTTAAATACTTGAAGACTTTTACTTCATCGCAGACTTGCACAGGACAGCAATACTATAAAGTGCTTGAAACAAGAAGTCCTTTGAATAGACGATTTTAACAAAGACATAGCCTTGAGCAAGAAAAATCAAGTAGAATGTTTCGAAAAGGAAATCTTTGTACATACTCGGCTTTGTTTCTTCTTTTACAAGAGAAGCAAACAATTTCCTTCCGTACACTTGAAATATTAAGTACTGATGCTATCGTGGTTTCGCGCCTTAAAGAATTTTTGTTAGAGGCTCGTTAACCTCTAATCCTAAACTCGACCCTGTTCTTTGTGGTTTTCTGAGCCCCCACTACAGTTTCTCGCTAAAGGTAAAGTAACGAAACCTCAAACTTGATGATATAATAAACCACCTATAGTAGATATTTAAGTCCAGTTATACGAAGTGAACCCGTCATGTCAGCGGTGATGAATTATGATAAAAAACAAAGGATTGATAGGGATGATTGTGCAATACATTTTAATGAAATTTAAAAAATTTGAAAATTTTTAAAAATGAGAGCAGGATGAAACGTCCTCGGTAATTTAAAAAGTAAAATGTTGGCAACGCTTACGAGTGGTAAAATAAGATAAATACATTCATTACATATCATCTTTCTCAGTCGGACACTTAGTTATCTCCGGGAACATAATGAGTTGAGCACACCGAGATATTAAAATTTAAAAAAAATTGAGATGAAAAAAATACGATAGCATTTCCTTATTAAGACCCATTTTGCTGCTTACATCACAGTTGCGTCAAATGTGTTCGAAGTTTCTTATATTGAAGTATTTTTCATATCATAAACTGTTAAAAATCTAACAGGTTTACATCTTCATAAAAAGCTGCTGGTGTTGACAAAAATTAAGTGAACAGGTACTTTTTACATTTACATGTAAAGATTTAGCTTCGTTTATAGAGAGGCAATCATTCGTTCGACATAACGAATATAAATGCGATCGGAATCAATTAAATTTACTAAGAAAAAAACCAAAAAAAACCAGAAAAAAATCACCGATGAAATTTTTAAAGAATATTAATGATTTTGAATAAGACAAAAATGACGCAATAGCTTTTTAACTAAAATTTATAAAGAAAATTTCATCCAAAAATATTGAAAAACATTTAATTAAACGAAAGATGAAAGTGCTCACCAATTCTCCCGTAAAGGATTATTCCACATTTCGTCATTTCACAGAAAAGCGCTACGAACGTTAGCGTAAATTCGGCGATGTTTACTAATCAAACAACGAAGCAGGTTACTCCTCTACTGCAAGGAATTCCCGCTGATAAATTCATGAAGATTTTAAAAGGAATATTCAAGCTGGTGATTTATTGCATGTCAACTTTAAAAATTCATAAACTACGAATAAAGATGAAGCAATACTGTTGTTGTCAACAATAATTTACCTCAATACTACATATGCATGGTTTTAAAAATTTACATGCAATGTGGTGTCAAGTTTACTTCAATAATATCTGCAGTTATCTTAAAACAACAGACAACAATAATACGTACCAACGATCAAGTGTCATTGTTTTTACTACGTTTCCTTATTAAATGAAGTTTTTGTGATTCCACAAGTATGTTTTTTGTAGATTTGCAAAGTTGACAGAACAAAAATGGACTTAGCAAGGATGATGATTCCAAAGAAAACCAAACGTTAAAAATATATTATCAAAACATAAAAGACAAGAGCAATTAGCTTTCTCAATAAATGAAAGCAATGATTTTTTTCAACCAATCACAATTGCGATCTTTATCATGTGACAACTTTGATGATGTGATCCATTCGTGGGAAAGTCGTGGAACTTAAGTTGTTTAGAAAGGGCGTTAGGCAAACATGAAGCATTGTTTTTATTAAAAACTGAAAATCATTCTGTTATAGCGGGAGGTAAGTTGTTTCTTCAGGCAACATGGCTAAGAGACTTATATCACTGGAAATGTTAATTTAATAAAAGCTGCAATTTGGGAGAGAAACATCAAACTGTGCCACTGTGTCAGTACTATTTCGTCCCCAGACTTGAGGGACGGACTCATTATAAAATATTGATTTTAACAAAATTGACCATTAGTCATGCAACCAGCTGTTCCTTGAAAGGAAATAATTTTCTTGTTATTTCATATATTTGAGCAATAAAAATACTGCATTTCGAATCTTTACGTGCAAAATAACAGATGAAGTTAAAAACTGGTGAAATTCGTTTCAGAAATCGTGTTATGACTGCCGGCAAAAAAAACTGTCAGGTTTATCTGATTAGTGCAATTTGGAGATCACGAAAATTGTTTAATTATGGAAAATAAGACGGGACAAATCCAAAAATAAGTCCAGACGAAAATAAAAACACGTACTTAACTAGTTTGCGTGATGTTAGCTCTTTTTTAAATCAATGTGTTCTGTAAGCAGGAAATGGACAAAAATCCTGCTCACGAAACCATTAAGAAAGGAAGACCAAAGGTCAAGCTAAACTATTTTGTATTTCGTCTATACTAATGATAGTAATCACCGATTATAATTCTGAAGAACAAAATCACGCAAGCAAAAACATCTTCGACTACAGATTAACATGAAATTTTTAGGCGATCTTTGATCTGTCATATATATGAACGATCTGTGACAATGATTCTGAAAACCAAAGCAATTTGTGTAAAGAAATGACGACAAGACATCGACATAAAAAATATGCAACATATGCAGTAAAAATTCAAATGATGAAAAGATGTTCCAGCTATGAAAACATCTACGGGCAGTTTAAATCTCTGCGGGAAAATGTTCCTGATAGAAAAAAATGACTGTGTGCGTAATAATGGCAACCTATCGTGACAGTTGGGGTAGAAATAATACTTCGATAAAAATGGCCGCCATGAAGATTCTCAGATAAAGAAACAATTAGTTTTCATCCACTACGTAGCAAACATTAACAATACATGGCTATAACATGAAGAACTATTGTTTCTATACATTCTCCACTGAACAGATGATAACCTGTCACAAAGCACATGATAAGGCAAGGCTCAATAGCATGAAGTAATCTATACACAACAAACGCTACCACGGAAATAAAGCATTTATCGTTTGGACGAATCACGCTTCGGTACAAAATTAAGTACAGCTGCCGTTAACTGACAAAGCATCGCAAATATTTGCCAAAAATGTCAATAAAGCCATTAGCAACTCTGCTTCTTTCAATTGAACTAATGAAAATAAAGAAATTTGCCGAATGCACACAACACTGTCAGCTCTAGGATAAGATAACGATTTGGACTAACTTCAGAGGTTGAATTTACCGTCAAAATTAGAGTGAATTGTGGAACTTTCGGCAAAAATTTCTAACGATTTCTTAAAGGTTAGAAATTATGCAGACCATTATGAGAACATATTGTAATAATAATTACAAACTGAGACTCCACATGTATAACACACAAGATAGCTTTAAGTTTTTAGGATAACATAATTTACGTTTGCAATCAAAACATAAAAATTAAATTACAGCTTTTAACGATCTCTCCAGCGGCAATTTAATTGAGGCAAGAAGCCAACTGGTCCATTTAAAAATTAGTTGAACTATTGAAGAGATTTCCTCTCGCTCAAACCAAAATTTTTCTTATCGTGCATTTGTCAATCAAGCCGACCACATTAAGATTTTCATTTCTTGTGTACAGCGGCATATAAACCCTTTGTCGCTTGCTTATAACGAATTATCAAGATACACAAGATATATAATTTAGTAAAACCTTTGAAAAAACATATGCTACTATGGTATAACCTACATGCATGTAGTGAGGTAGAGTCTGTTCACAATTTACCCCACACGAAATCAAGACGATAACTTCATCAACCATACAAACAAACAAACTTTAATTTAGTGCCATTACACGAGGGTTGTACAGACATACAGGGAAGGTATGACGTATTTAAACACTATATTATTACTCTCTCAAATTTGGTATACCTACATGTCGATGCAAATACATAAAAATGTAAAGTTTACAAATTATTGAGACCTAAGCATTTAAAAGGAAGTTTCTAGAGAGAAAATGACATCAAACATTATGTTTACGAATTAGAGGAAATTATGTTACATTCAAATGAAATAACGTAATAGCAAAGTAAATGCGTAAACCCACATTTCTTATAAGCAAAAAGTACACAAAATTTTTTCAATAAGTATTTTTCGAATCAAACGTGCAGGCAATTACATGTCCATCGAAACACAGTGTGCTTAATTAAGCATAAAGTGATACTGCAGCTTACCGTTGCACGCCAAAATGGTGAATTTTCTTTCTTTGTTTAGTAATAACTTTTACGTTAAACAAATATTGTTCGAATGTAACTTTTAAAGTAAAATACACGCACTCTATAATATATAGTCCGGTCACAGCGTGAACTAGTTTAGACCTTGTATATATTGCTAAACCAATGATATATAATAAAACAGCTTCTTGAGTGGCGGAAGGAAAAACAAAAGAAGAAAGTTTGAAACACGCCATGCAATACAAAACAACACAGCTGAAACCAGACAGTTTCATTTCCAAATAAGCAATCACACAATTACTTGTATTATTGCTAAAGCTACATTGCCAAATGTGTTGATTTCCCATCGGTTGCTTATAATCAATTCCAATTAAGTTATAATTTCAGTTCTCTAAGAGAAATCGAACTCACACACACATGATAGCTAAGACTGGCTGCGATTAAACGTTTTTTGACAAAAAACAAGATGCCATCTGACGATTATTGCAATTGAAAATGGATGAAAACTGATTCCTATGTTGACATACGCTGTGACAAATAAATACAACGGAAATAGACATTCTTTGTAATACAATCGGTGATTTTTCATTTACTTGTGGAATAGAACTGATGCTGATTTTTGAAATGCTGTTCAAAGCTATGTATTAAGAAATAAAATTTCGACATTCGAATTATAAACCGAGCAGTTTTTTTAAATAAATGACGTGTTAGGCTAACGACATCGAGTGATTACAGATTATCATACAACTCGCCAAAAGTTCAAACTTTTTGTTTAATAATGCCATAGCAGCTGAATAAGATCAAAAAGACGCAGTTTGCTCAACAGTTTATCAAGAACTTAAAAGCGCTTTTTTGTAGCCAATATAAATAGTGGATAAATAATTTTACATCACAAATTTGTTGCAAACCATCATGTGCAAAAACGACAAAATCTATTAGCTACAAAAGCATCGTAATTATGACAGTAGTTGTAAGAAAGTGTGGTAATTTACGTTATTTAAAATAAACTACCCACTGCTACTGATAAATGCGCTAAAATATTAAAACAATTTAATATGAAATATTATTTTGGCTTCATCATGTCGACGATAATGGAGTATTTCTTTCGGAGGATAGAGAAAATATTAGAAACGTAATGCGTTATGCGTAATGAATTATTTAAATCGGAGTTCTGATCTATGAGACACGCACTCTTTAAACTAACTTCCTGAGAAGACGCGCTGCCAAACCGCGCAATCCAAACAATCAAACTTGAAAGTTGAAACACGCCATTGCATGCTAACGCAAGCATTATGTACAGCGGTGTAGATTTTAAATTTGATTTAAACTTCATCGGAAACAAAAATTATTTAGCTCATTTTACTTTGATTTTGCATTTGAAATGTAATGAAAATTTCGAGTGTTTTCCACTTTTAATTGAACCAAAAACTGCAATAATAAGGTTTGTATGTATCTTATCAATGAAACACCAAATTTTAATTTAAATAATCTTGTCGTTACTTTTCGATTTCGCAAAACATAAAATACTATAAATATAAGTTTATAAGGAAACCCGTTCACTTCGTTAAAACATAAAACAGATTTGAAAGGATTAATACATACTTAGATTTACCACATGTTGAAAGACTTCATGAGGATAATAGCTACAGGGGGCTTAAACGAAATAAAACATAAACTTACTTTTAAAATTCTGTCATAGAGTTGAAGTTTTTCAGATGCAGGGCTGTTTTCGACTATTTTGGATACGTAAATTCCCCGATGTGTGTCGTGCTCCTGAAGAAGAAATAGATAAACACAACAATTAATGATGAATAAAATAAGAAGAAAACATGATTGCAGTTACAGATATCTTAAGCAGAATATATTAATGTTTGCATCATTGAAAAGTTGTTCTGCTGTCACTATACAACATATAAATCCGTCAATTAGTAAGGGAATATGTCTCAGACTAAGTCGCAATTAAAAGACCTAATATGTCATTTTTCGTAAATATTATTCCTTAAAAATGCTAGGAATGTTGCAATTAAGTAAGATGTAGCAATTAACCTTTTCTTTGGAAGAGGTCATGTAAGCCTCACATTTTGAGACGAAGAGAATGGTCCTACATTGCAAATACAGTATCATCAGCTCCCTACCTCAGTTCCACCACGAATATTCAAACCCAGGATACCACCAGCGCGTTCAAGAACAACTTTCATCTCCGTTTCATCTGCTGTCTGAGATGAAAGAAAGCATGAAATTATTTGTATCTAAGACCTTCCGCTTCACGATGTTTAATGAAATGTCCAAGGCACGCATGTACTTTTTGGCGGGAAAGATATTGTGTAACTATCGTAAGAATAACATAAGGAGACTAAAGAGATGAGACTAACTTAGGTAATTCCCAAATTTGCATTTTTCAATGTACTTAGAGCATAATGTCATCCGTAAGGATCACTTATATATATACAAATCTATAATATTATATTTCACCCACTAAATCTAAGAACAGTTCATATTTAACATCAAATAAATCAAAGAAAGAATGCATAAATATGGAAATTGGAAGGAAAGACTCTTGGAAATAATGTTAATGTCACTAAGGGTCAGTGAATTAAAACCTCGTACATCATCAAGTCATCGAAATTAAATTATTTCAAGAGAGAAATATATACTTCTGGCGTACGTCAAAAATTCTTTACTAAGTATCATATTGAAAGAAAAGTGAAGTTGCGTCCGTCAAAACTGAACACCGCAAAGTATATTTCACGAAGTTATTGTAAATATATATAGTGTGAACGAGAGTGAATGAAGAGCAGCCTTTGAAAGATCTCTCACTAAAACGCATTTGTCAGTTTTAGCTGTCAAGTGCGTGAGAACTGCTTCAGAATACAGAAGCCAGGACAACGAAATCCTTTTAAGCACGCAAGAACAAATATCCAGTCAATATCTTTGACAAGTAAAACCATAAAAATACCGATGACATTATGCGTAAAATGCTTGCAATCTCATAAAACACATGTCAGTACATGTAAGTAATTGGTTATATTCTACTTCAGCTTAACCCGGATAAATGTATTATATCGTAATGTATTCACGAAGATTATCACGTTGTGAGCACGAATAAATGGTCTCCCCTGCAGAGAATTTCGTCAAACTACCAACATATACTTCACAAGAAAAAATGTCGCCTTGGCCTTCATATAACAAGTCTCGTCTCAAACAGATTTTACACCTAAACTCCTGAAGCATTTTTTCGTAATTTGCTAGACGATAACTGTCAAGAATTTTTAACCTCTGCTCACAGATAAATTTCTATAAAATATACTGTAAGCCGTATACTTCAAAATATAATTGAAGTATACTTGCCCATTACTTCAAAATATAATTTCATGTTTGTAACAAATATAAACACGTTACAGTCGTTAGATAAAAAGTTCAGTCACTTCTGTCACAAATAGCCCCTCAAACAGTCCTAAAGCAAATCTCAAAACTCCTCAAACCTTCACGAGACAGCAGTAAATTAAAAAATATTCAAGTAGAAACATGACAATCGTACTGTCTGTACAGCATCGGTATTCATTTCGATTTGTTAAAGCACTATTTGAAAAAAAAACCCCGAACAATTCTATGGTTTTTATATGGTGCACAATATTATAAAGAGGAAAACTGCTTTGATGAACTCGCTGCTAATGTTATATCCTTCTGTAAAAATAGTAAACACGACGCGCAAGAGTCGGAGATTTAACAAATGGGATATAAATTTATCGCTAATGAAAACATACACAATACCTGCGTATTAAAGAGCTTAAATTTTAAGTGCTGGAATACAAAAAATCGCACAATGCAAACGTAATCACAAAAGAACATCGCACATTCTTTATAAGATCATGACGATACAACGACGAGATTGATCGTTGATATGCGAAATTCCCACACATGCATTGTTATATAGTACTTCTCTCTTACAATCTGTCTGTTATTCCCATCGACAAGCAATTGTACAATAATAATGACAAACCATTAAAATGGCAATGGATGTTATTTCCTCATACACGCATACTCGTTCAACGCAAGGCATTATCATAATAAATATTGTTTTAATAAGAAATCGTGAAATTTCTTTTGCAATCGTTATCGAAACACATTGTTCTGATTTAGAAATACTTACATGTAACGTGGCGAAGCAAAGTTTCTAACATGATATTCTATAATTGTATCAGGCCTGTTCAAATAACGAGCTCGTAACAAAGAGATTAAAAGAGTCTGCTCTCGATAATCTGAATCATATATATATATATATATAAAGACATCCATATCTGTCTATACATGCGTATTTTAATGTCACGTTTCGACTTTACGCCTACCTAACCTTCACACGCAAATGGAACATTGATATTGGGCATAAAACAAAAAACACGTACGTTTTACTACATCAAACGGATGAAGTCTAATGATAAGGAAAGATTAAAAAAATATACAATTAGGATTTACCTTGTCTGCTTCGCGACTATCCAACTGTCTCTTTAAATAGTTTATCTGGGAATTTTGATCTCTTGTTTTTAATTCATAATTCAACGTTTGCTCTTGGTACAATCTCAAATCCTGTTCCAATTGCGTAAATCGTTCCTGCATTGATTCTTCGCGTTTTACTAAACGCGCAGACACTTTTTCACGTTCGTGTTCGGAGCGCGAGAGTTTTGCTTGTAAAGATTGTACTTGGGCTTGTAGAGACTTTACACAATCATGTTCGCTCGCATCGTGAAATAGTAGAGGCAAACCGCAACCTTTAGCACACACGAATACCTGATTTAATGACCCAATGGTCGATGCTTGTTCATTTGTGTATATTGCGCGTTCTATAATCTTGGCGTCTTTCTTTGCGTAATCACAAACCTCAAGATGAGCCAACATGTCGGACAACTGCGTCACAATGTCACAACCTTCGGCGTAATTCACACAACGAGTATTTAACTGGCCGACCAATATCTGTAAAGGTAGTAAATGTGTTACATTCTGTTCGAACGTGATTTCTCTACACCCTTTAGGACAGTGAACTTTGTTCGTCAGCCACGATCTCAGACACTCCTCGCAATATACATGATCACAGGAGGTTATAACGGGACATCTATATACATTACTACATAAATCACAAAGCAGACTATCTGGAATAGGATCCACAAATATCTCACACCTATAGCCCATCTTAGCGCACGGGAGAACGCTTCGAAAGACAAACAGATCTGATCGCAAATGACATTCTGCGGTGGAAATGAGCGAAACATGATATTAATACACACGTATGTGGAGGGGCGGAGCAAATCAACACTAGAAAACCGGAGAGTCGGTCGAGAGACCGAACAAAAACCCGAACTCATATATAAAGAGGCAATTAAGTTTAATTAGAATCATATGTACAAATAATTATTTGCATATACTATTTTAATATTCGACTAATATGAAATAAAAACATGGTTTTACATAAGTCAATAATTAATGTAGTTGAAAAAGGAGGCTTCGCTAGGAAAAAAGGAAATTAATCATCCTTAATAGCCTCTGTATATAATAGAGGTTTCCGTCATACAACTAAAGGCGTCAAAAGATTTAAACGCTTAATACGACCGCATAATATACGAAGAGTGAGGAAAATTATGAGTTGATGGAAGTTAAGACTAAACGACATCAATAACTCACGAATGTTTTCGATATTGGTCGAAAAATTTTTTTCTAACAATATAGTAAAATCTCAAAAAAACTTTTCTCTTCATTAAATTGTTATCATGTTAAAAACACGATTTAAAAAGTATGTAACCACTTTATTATTTTCCCTGGATGAATTCCTTTGAACAAGCAGATTTGTTCCACGGTCAAGTAAATAGTGATATTACGCAATGCTTTCGAAAGGTTTAAATTCATAACTTTTTTCCGTTGAAAAATTGCCTAACAGAATACAATTCATCATGTTTTATATATACCAAGCAAATTTCATGTTTGAACATTCGCACTTAACATTTGTGTAATTCTTTTCTGATACCTGAAAAATACTTCCAGTTTTCCGGTGATGTTAGCCAAAAAAAAACAATACTCATATTTATATATAGGATAGCAATGATAATTTCCTTTTCCTACAAGTGGCTTCGCCATTTACAGTTTATCAAACTAACACAGGTGAAAGTATTCTTCTTGTGAAAAATTCACAAATTGACGTTTGTAAAGATTGCAAGAACAAATCTTGAAGACAACAAAAATCTGCTCAATGCCTGGGGTGTAGATTTATGAAAGTTCACGAAATGTGCCGACTGCTCTTACACCAAGATAAGCGTGCAAAACTCTTAAGTTGGTCTTCAGTAATCCTTTTAAATACAGACATTGTAATTTCAAAACTCTAAATCAACGTAGCTAGGTAAACGTCCCGCTGTGGCCCTTACAATTATGTAACTTGTTGAATCTTTGTAATTGAATTGACTGTTATAATTACTGGCAAAACTTAAGGAGAAAATAATCAATAATCGTTGGCAGGATTCATAATACAATCTATACCATTCTAAAGATAAAATTTATAAGTTTGGCGCGGAACTCAACGACTAAAATGGCAAACAATTAATTACTTAAAGCATATATGGTCGAGACAGATCTATCTTTATCTTTCTATATAAACTGTTGTCCGTTTTCTTCGCTAAATGCAATTATGTTTTCTACATCATGTACAGATATGAATAAGACATGAACTAATTTATACAAAAACAATACGTTAACTACTGCTCTCAAACACATTATTATATCGACATAATATCGACTGCGTTTGTATGTATCACATAATAAAGTTACCTAGTAAAATGGTTAGATAGAAGCTCTAGCCATCAAAGACAATGCACGAACTAAAGAATAACGAAATCTCTTCAACGTTACCCGCTGTAATAGTTATTTTCAGAACATCATAAACAGCAGCAATTGTATTTTCCTCCACCGTTCCGGTATATCATGACAATATTTACTGTCATAAAGAGTTCAAGAGTATATATGTATGATTTCGAATAAACAAGTTTTTAAATGTTAATGAAATTCGACTTTGCCTAGTGCAAAGACCTGCAGCAAATTGTGTATATATAGGAGCAGCGGCAAGCGTTAAGTACCTCTTTGATCTTCATATCAAAAAGCGACAATAATTATAGATGCAGTCAGATAAGCTGAACTTCAAGTTTACAATCTTAACAATGTGTACACCACATTGCAAAACAACTGTATACAATATGTAAAAATGTCAATAAATAAGATCTAAAAAAGGAAAATAAAGTGTTGTCGAACAACACAGATCTCAACGGACGATAAAACAATTTTCGATTTGGATTTTACAAAACTGCATAAGTTATGTCGGTACTTCAAAAAACCGTTAATTGCTGAGCGGCTGTTAAACGTATTAATATAAAGCTTTACTCTCTAAACAAATGATGCAAAGTGTCAACTTCTAAACAATATACTTAACATCACTACAGAATATTTATAAAAACACAAGTGAGGTCAATACGTAAGTATAAAATATAACTTCAGATCTTTCCTTTAATCGTCAGTTGGAATAAGTTTGAATGTTCAATGACGTTGTTCGATTATCAGAATGAGTTACCTTAAAGCTATCTACTAACAAGGCCATTCTAAATATACATAATTGTATAAAATGACAAAACTACCTGACAGCCATAAACCGACAAAACACACGACACAATCCTAAATTAGCTATTCTTAAATGTCCATTATCATTAACTTGCAAAATGTTCACTTATCCAATCAGTTTCCAAAGCGACCAATCGTTTTACCTTATTGGTAAACTACAGTTGTGTTTTTCTCTAAAGAACTCCAAATGAGTGGGAAAGTTGCATTTTATACCTTATAGTTTGGTAACATTGACCTTGTTATACATGCACATAAACGAAAGACGAAAAACATCTTTTTCACAGTCAATCACAGTTTTTTCCCTTATATAAAATTCATGCCTCATCCAACGAAACTGCCGAGATAATATCATATGCATAAACTAAGGAAAAAGCATTTAAAGCTTATGAAATTCTCAACATTCGGAGAAGAAATGAAATTCAAAGAAGTTTCTTCAGTTTTAGTTTATATACAAGTTTCATGAAAGACAGATAAAACCTTAGGAGTATACAAATTCATATTTTCACGAGCGAATCAACAGGCCACGTTTATATAAATACATTTCTAACCCAATATTCGAAGCAATTCTGCAGTCTCCCGATAGACAACATGTTTTGATAGAAAATTCTTCAAATGTATAAGTTGTGAAAGTTCATGTCTGATCATTCAAACACAAGCCTACCTTGTAATCGTCGAAGCAAGAGTCGATCCCCAACCAGATTAATTTACTTTTAATGCAATGAACATAAAACACTATGTTTTACACGTCAGTCACACATTCATCTTCGCCTGTCTCTGCCATTGAAAAGAAAGAAAGCGTTACTTTACTAATTAAACAGGTTCTTTGTCATTCAATTGTTTCAAGAGCCTCTCATTCATGGTGAATTACGTGGGTGCTGAACGTACAAAAGCATTTCGCCCACTATTACAATGAAAGAAAACATTTAACATTTGGCTGGCAATCGACGGGAATTTCCTAAAAGGGGACTGACTGTCATGTTTGTGAAAATTTAGTGATGGTTGAGTGGCATATTACTGCTCAGTTTACCTCATAAAGAAATATTCGTTTTCATTTACAGCGCGGAATTTCCTGTCGTTGAAATATATATGGAAACGGACTGTGGCTATGTAAACTGGAAACATGACAGACAGGAAATAAAAGAACGCGTTAGGTATAAGAAAATCACTTTACTATTAAAACGATATCTTTCTCCTTTTTCGATTTCTCTAAAACTGAAAGAAACGTTACCGAATTTATGGCAAAAGATGACCTTTTCCCAACTACATCAAAGTCATGAATACACGGAATCATTTCTCGATACAAAAGGAAATGTCATTCTAAGCAGAAGGAACGAAACTGCTAGCTTTAAATCTCATTTTCAACAACTGATTATGATATAGGAAAGATTTCTAAGAGCCTTGACAGACATGTTGCGACTTAACTGAAAGAATTTGAGCCTTGTAAGATATTATATAAAAGCTCTTACATTTTTTTAAGTAAATTATTTTAAATGGATATTCTGTAGAATAATGCCTGCACAAAAATGGCCTGAATATTTTGGCATGCTTTTTTGAATAAATAAAGCCAGCACTCCACACAATGAAAAGAGCTCTCAAACAGGCCGAAAAGTTTGGAAAAGACGAAAAGACGGAAATTCAGATATTCAATATAAAATATTCTGTATTGAAATCAACGAGCATAGAGAGATTATCCTGTCTCAATAAAAAAACACGTAAAAAAAATATTTTATCTGTCACAAGTGCAATAATAGCTGGGTTTTTTTTCGCATGAAGACATAGCTCTTTCAACAAGATTGAAATTAAAGATTTGCATGACACAAAATATAACTATGATGGGTTTCGCACCAAAAGAATCGACAAAAAACGATTAACATGTTGAAATATGAAAGGTATTTTGAAACGACAGTAATCGTCGTGAACTACAAAGGATCGAAAAACGCGACGTACTCAATTCCCATAAATGCCATACATAAACAGATGAAGCTTTGGATTGTCTTGTGGTCTTAATTTGGTAGTGGAATTTCAATTTTGATTGTTTTTCAAGAAATGTATGTTTTCATAACTGAATGGTTTCTTATTAAACAATTTCGACTAAAAAAAACGAAAGAAAACACTTACATTCGCAGGACATCATTGACATACGGTAATCATCGTTAGTCTGATCCGCCTCATCAATACAAACTTTGCAATATTGCAATTTTCAATCAATAGCAGGTATGACTTGTGGACAAATTATCGATGCTGTCCACTTTAACAGTTGAAATGTATTCCTAATTGGAGTGTTTACAACCTACTCAAATCAATTATCGCACAAAATATCTACGGTGACCAAACAGTTTGCATGAAAAAACGACAAAATAAACACCAATTTAAAGAAAAAATGTGTCGTCAAATAACGTGATTGCAAATGAAGAAACAATCACGTTCATTAATGTCGATCTCATTTGTCATGAATGCATGGTTTCTTTACTGATTTCCGTCAAGGCCATTGAAGTTGAATGAAAAACATAAGCAATGACGGAAATTGCTATTACCTTAATAAAATTACGACCACAGCGTATAAAATGACTACGAAAAGTAAAATCTATTCATGTTTTTCAAATTCATACTCTATATGAAGTATATTCATAACTAAATCGATACAATTTGCAAAGCCGTGAAAACACTAAATGGTTGTATTATCATTATCATGATCATTACATCACTTCTTCAGAATTCTTTTAAATCTTCTGTTCCCTATCCTATATAATGTCATAAGATATTTCTGTACCATGCATTAAAAATTTATAAAGTTGATTCATTAAGCGCGCGGTTGGAGACCATATTGTCTGTCCAATTTTTTACTAATAGTATGCATTTGTAGCATTTGTTTGATAGTGATAATGATTCTACTGATTTCAAAGTTTAGAAACATAAAATATCAAATAACAGACAGTCCACAACGCAACTGCACTAAACTATGATATTCAGGAAGACATTTGAACACCGAACACAAAGCCCTTGTTAAAAACATCCCAAACAACTGCTTGCTACGGTTTTGATACAGTACTTATAAATAACTGTGACATATTTACCACCGAAACCTGCCTAATGATGTCAAACTATTTGTGGGGGTCGGCGTACAACTGTAATTAACTATTACCAATCTTCGTTCAAGACTTAGTAAGAAACTCATTAGATCTAACTGAAACACGTGTCTAGTATGGGTTTATCGTCTGACATCGTGTACAGCAAAGATAAGACAACGTGGGGTAGCGCTCATTCATGTTATTTGTCATCACAGGAGACCGATAAAGTCGTTTTAGGCAATTTGGATGCAATGATTATCAAACACACACATTGTGTCTAAAGAAACCATCTGCAATGTTTGAACTGAATTTCTATTATTCTTTAAACAACACGAAAAATTTTTCATCACAGCACCGTCTTCAGTTATTATTATTTTAAGTCCATTGAACGACAATAGCAAGTTGTAAACGGGCTAAACAATATTTTGAACATGAATCGTGCATTGGGAAACAATTTATAAATACAAATACCCAAAGGCTAAGTTCGATATTTGCGCATAACATTCAACACAAAGTATAATATATCTGACTACAGAACAGCCAACAAAAGTGATGAATAGGTCATGTGACAATCATGTGACAAATAGGATGTTTATATATGGTTTGTATACTGTGCACAGTTGCTTTTACTAACAATACGCATGAGCAGTAGTTGGAGGATGAACACAATACACAAACATATGATGAAAAGTAAGTAAAGTTATGAAAATACGATTTTATGCCTCTTGAACTCAGCTGCAAAACAATGCAATTAGTACATAATCCCTCGACAATCCTCGCTTAATCCTATCTGTCCATAAATAAACCGACTAAAGTATTGCATGACAAGTCACGTGAGGAAAGCGGGGAATCTTGGAACCGAACACTTTTCTGTCAATAAGGGCTAAAATGATCAAACAGCGATTGATCTGTGCGAAACAAACTTAGAAGGCCCAAAGGCATTATGTGATAATGTATACTGACATAAAAACATCGCTGTTAATCTAATATTCACCAACCAAGTTTATTGATTCAGTCTATTAAAAACAGACAACGAAAAACAATTATACGTAAATGGTCAGAATAGTTGAAAGCAATTTTTAAGACACCACGTTTGAACTTGAGCACAACAAAACCTGGCGCTAAATTTCAAAGCATTTGATATTTACACTACGTCTTATCGACACGCGATGTTGAAGAGCATCATAAATATCAAACAATGTTCATGGTTCCTCTTCGCATGCGATGATAAAGTACTATGTTGATGACAACTTCTTTAAAATTGAACAACGGAATGAAAATAAGTCAATCCAAAAACGCTACTAGCTAAGCATACGAGAGCGTCTGTAAAATCAATTTCTCATTTATCAGTATCTTCTGCATACACTGTACGTTAAGTTTAAAGTCTTTCCTAGTTTTCAGGATATTAGGTTACACATAACACTGAACAATACGATCCTTGAATTACTTTTATACACTTAATGATGACCAATCCGTACCAAATACAAATCTATATTACGCTGGTATAGTTGATTCGAAGAAATACTTAATGGAGAGAAATTTCATGTCCAAGTGTAGAACATACACGCAATATTTTACAAGAAATAAATATAAAAGATGATATTAGAAACTTACGTTGCTTTTGTACTTGTTACGATATCAATGATTAAGAAGAACTTCTAAAAAACAAAAATGGTATCAGATTACACTTGACTTCTTTCTTGTAACTCTCGATATTGTCAGGTTTTGCGTCGCGGCAGTTTTAATATGATTTAGATCCAAGCAATGACAGGCAATAATTTTCTTCGCAACAGGGAGGCAGTTCAATGTTCATAAAGAGAAAGCACTCAGTGTAAATTCAGTGGGATATTTTGCTATTTAAAGATATCGAATTTACGTGAACAGCGTTCGGTCTGAGATGAAGGACAGCAAATATCATATATGATGGTAAACAAATGCTTAAAGAATGCCAATAAAAATTAATCCTTACTCTTGTGTCAATGCTGCAACAAAGACAAGATCTTCAATTATGAGCCAAAAATATTCAATAAACATTACGTTTACATGCTCCGAAACGCAAGGATACAATCTTACATTCCCATTCCTCAAAGGAAACGAAAAATTCTCAACAAATCCCAGAAACATTTTATGAAAACGATTGAAAACAACAACAATCCTTATTACAGTATCATCTTAAAACTTTCACCGTTGACTCATTAATAAGCTCTACACCACAAATTCAACTTTCGTGACACAACCTGACAAAGCATTCAGTTAAGATTTCTTTCTCAGATGTGCACATTGATTTTATGGCTCTTGCAAATCCTTTAAGAATCGTTTAAGTGCATACAATGTAAAAGAAACGATAATATAACAGACAATGAGGCTGTAGAGAAACGCTTTGCCTTAAAACATAGCGCCATCCAGACTTGTACAAGTAGATAAAGAGTATAACACTATGTAGTTAAAGAATACAAAGTTGACTCTTGAGATAAAATGCGCGTTATCTCTACATAAAAGAGTGCTCATTGAGAATTTTTCGCACAAACATTTTATTCCTGTATGATAGATGACTTCTCTAACTTTATTTTTTGGTATGTTTCTGGGTAATTTCTTTCGTCATCGCAGTAAAAATCATCAAATAAATTGTGTTCAATTGAAAGAACTTACTTATTCAGTAAAGATATCTTTGAATGCAGTGCGACAAGTCAGAAGCAAAAGGAACAAAGTCGATTACCTTTACATAAACTTTTTTCAGCAGAGCTCAAAGTTTTGAGTGCCTTTGAAATGTTTTTTTATAGCAACAGCGACCAATCAAAATAGAGATTCGTGATGAGTCATCATCCTCAATGTCCGCATTATGATAACAGGACAAACCTTCATCAGAGCTCTAACTTTTTTATCAATGGCGGCATTCACTTATCGGAAAATATGTTTAAAAGTTCTCCAAAATTGCTTCTTTACTCAACTGAGTTCAATTACTATCTTAGTTCAATTCCCGCGTCTTAGTATGGAATTAAGGAATGATAGGCATGTTTACACAACATCAATGTGATTCCACCACGTTTTTATGTGTACATAAGATAAGCGGTACGTGCAACTTCAAAAGTTCGCTTCACCTTTGATTGCACGAGTTCTAGATTACTTGGACCTTTGTTGTCAGTTTACAAATTTTTATTTGCTATGGCAAATGAATGCTATCAAAGTGCGTTGTGAGAAATGGACAACACCAATAAAAGCACTTCAAATGGACAAACACACGATAAATTTTCGGTTCCTAAAACGCTCATTATCTATCTCCAAACTAAATTCATTAAAGATTGACATATTTTTGTACAAAACCTGTTTGTATAGACGTCGCCAATGTTATTGATGCTTAAACAACAAAAAAGTCACGAACCATTTACGAGCTTTAGATAAAAAAGACCTGCTTTCCACACTCATCCTTAGTATGGATAAATACAACCTACTTTCGAATTTATTTTTCATTTTAAATATATCGACAACAAACGCTCAAACAATTTTTAACAATTACAAGATGAGTAATCTGTTAAAAATAGTGTTTTCGTTTCGATAAAGGCAGCCATGCATACGCTGGTTTATTATACACATTGTTCTAGTGCTCTTTCCCATGTCCTCAAACATTGATTTAAATATAATCATTTCCTTTGATTTCAATTTACCAGACTTTGTCGGAATTAATTGTACTGACTGTATTATAATACAGACGGACACGTGTATTCTTGTTGTTTCCTGTGGGAATATAGCAACATTCATGATTTATATGAGTATTCATACATATGCTCGAAATTATATTTTGTATCGTTTTTTAACATATTTTTTACCAAGTAAATACTTCAGTTGTCTGTAATACGTGTTGTATACAACAATAATTCAACATTTCAAATATATTGTGCAAAATTTAAGAGGAAAATTTCATGGTTAGTGTTCGGTTAAATTTACGAACGATTTTTAGACAATAATAAAAACAAATCGAAGGAACATTTTGCTTACATTATGAGAAATCACCAAGGTATTTAAATTGAACAGTAATCAATAAGGTCGACATCAAAGAGCTCCTACTTACCTACATACATAAAATACAAATAATGACCGTCTCGCTAACCAGAAATCTTAAGTTTATGATAAAACAGGTCTAGAGAATCATGTATTATGAATTATTTTATCATTGACTCTATTTACGAAAATTTACAATCTTAGTTCAAACAAAACTATGTTCACCCTGCGCTCTAAAGCATTAGAAACATAAAATACATAGATAAAAAATAAATTCTCTCTTTAAGTTCTTACTTTAAAAGACTTGTACTTTGTAACCACATCAACAACCGTTCTGACGGACGACTTTCTCCTTCTGTAGCTCCCTTCTCTTTGTCTGTAATAGACGACTGATTCTTAAGTTATCAAAGAATTACTTGGATCGTTAAGCTTTCACTTGCGTCATTAAACACGTGAAAGGCTTTTTATTCAACAAACTTCGAACACGTTTCAAAAATGACGAAATTTGAATGTTTTAAATAACAATTAGATTGCGTAAAATAACTATTTTAGCGCATGATGAATAAAAAACATCAAACAATCTTTGTTTGAAACTTTGTGAGCTATACACAAACAATTTAATTTAATGACAGGAAGATCTTGGAGCTAAGTATTTTCATTTAAAATCGCTCTTATTCAAGAATAATAAATTAGACATTTTGAAGAAATAAAAAAAAATGAGAAAAATCAATAACTGGAAATCGTATAAGACGGTCGAACATTAAAATTGATGATTTTCATCAAAATGACTTACATAATTAATACCACCGTCAAATTTTATCATAAATATGCGAACTCTTTACCAAATACGTAGATAATATAGTATAATTTATTATAAACCTGTCTACAATTTTGACAGTTATGGCTCTATTTTCCAATCACATTTAAATAAAATGCCAAAATACATAAGCGTAAACCACTTGGCACATCACAACTATATGCAATAGTTTAAATCGTGTATCGTACAATCTTATTAATACAATGGCCAATGAAATGATGGTTTCAGCCTAGGAAATAAGATATTATTTTATGACAGGACGAGTGGCTAGGAAATTCAGCATATTATCAAATATTAATAAAATAAAATGAATTAAAGGCAGGTGTATTCAAAAGCAGTGTCTGAACGACAAGTCGACAATTGTCAAGTATTTGGCAATGAACACTAATGGCTCAACTGGGGGGGTATCAAACTTCCTCATTTAGTACTTTCACAAAAGGAGAATTCATCTTCTACTTTGTTATCATGCTCAAACAAACTTTTATATCATTTCACACATTCCCTTTTGCTCGTAACTGTCAAAAGTACTATCTACATACAGCCCTGCTTTACGATTGTACAATTTAATGTCAAAACGTAACTAAAACATGATGACTTTCCTTTGAAAATAGTCTTCACAATCCTTTATCTCAACATTAGAGACACTTTAAAAGAAGCATGCATTAGAATTGTAGACTATTTTTAGTGTTTGACAGCTTTTCAAGTCATATTGACAAACCATTTTAGTAATTAAATACAATCAAGTATTTATTGAAGATAATGCGCATTTAAATGACAAAAGTGGCGTCACAATGCAAATATATAATGCATCTTGTTTTTGAAACAAATTTGGTGTCATAGTCACCTGACAACCTAATATAATCAGACTACCCTCGATTACCTCCATCAGTTTAAGGTTCAAAGTACAAAAGACACTTGCTTGCTATGGTCTTAGAGGGGGGGGTGACAGAGGCATTTACTTACCTACATAACAAATATTTTCAAAGGTTTTATTGTCTTCATTTGCACAACTTAAAAGCATTTAGAACATCAACAAAATTGTATTGTAAAAACCGTTTTATTGATTTTTGCGCCCGCCTCCGAAAGCAAAATTGCTAAAATTTAACTAATTCCTTACAAAACCTTAGTGTTTTTCTTCGTTCAAAATAAACACGACAGAATGAGCAGCAATTTATTAACGTAAGTTGACATATCAAGTCAGACTATAAAGACAAATGGAAAAAAAACACACTGAAACCACTAGCAACTTCAAACATATTTATTTACCTCAGTAAACGGAACGTCGTTTAGATATTTATAAGATAATAATCTAATCTTAGTCTGTCGTTGAATTGAAATCATTTAAAATTTATTTGTTTTATCAGTATTTCATGTATTTTTCAAAAATATGAATAGGGAGAAAGTGATGAGAAATTAATGTTAAAAACAATCGGCACAAGTTTCAAAACAAAAAATACTTAAACCTTGAGTCTATCTATAGGGGTGTCTGCATTGTCTTATTATAATCCATGACTATAAAACGATTAAAATGATTATAGCAAACAAATAAAATTCTCGTTCCTTCGACGTCAAAAACTATTGAAGATGTTTTACATGATAAAATTTGAGATTAAGTAAGTGCAGTGTTTAACAAGTCGCTAACGTTTAAACCACACATTTCTAGTCAAAAATGGATATCTTTACAACGAGAAGAATTGGACGAATTTTCTACAGTACACGAAGCTGACAGGCAAATTTGAAAATTTTGTAATAATCACACGTCTTAACTACCACTAAACATAGTATTTGGTAAAACTTAACTGAAATTTCAAATAAGCACGAGTTGATGATTTAGTCGGTAAAAGCCGTTAATGAATGCTGCTTTTTACTGCAGGTATTCAATTAATGATTTGGAAGATTATTTGAAAATGATATAAACCAGCAAATGCAATGAAAGGAGTTTAAGCGCAAAAGCAGTTTACGAAAGGATTTTAAGCCCTTCAGCTAAAATACATAAGACAAGTTACAAACCTTTCAACAAAGATTCATAGCATTAACTTTGGCTTTTATTATATTTCCACTTCAGAGCGCATATGGTGTTTTTCTATATTGTTTCCTAAACAGCTTTTTGTTGAAAAGCTTTTATCCCACTTCAAATAATTTCCTGCATTTTAATATCACCAGCAATATCAGCACTGCTCAACTCCTCGACTACAAGGATAAACACACAATATGTTGAGCTATCTTGAATAAACAAGTTTCCTTCTTCGAAACAATCAATCAAATTCTTCATACTTTACAGATGCTTTGTCATTAAATAGTGTTTATTTAGTTGCCATAAGTTTTAAAATCGATGTGATAAGATCTTCAAACAAACCATCAACGCGCGCTAGCAAAAAACTAGCTCAAATTGCAGAAAATCTGTATTTTATCATGCCAAACGAAAAATGAAACAAGTGAAACTACGCTTGCAAACCTTGTTTGTTATTCACACATGTTACGTGAAAATAAAGCAAATTGAAAAGAAATTTCTAACCTCCTTTGTTAATTCTTTCATGGTTTCCACCTTAAAGAACTTTCAAAGTAAAATAATAAAACTTTTCAAGCCAAATATGGTCACAAGAGCAATTCTTCCAACATGACGGATATAAGTTCTTCGCTGGTCTGTCTCACCCAGATCTCACCTCATGCAGCATACAGGGGGGAGAGGATAAAACCATAAAACCACTGCATAAAACTCGAACGAGAACAAATCGTCGAGGGGAGAGGGCGGAAGGTTAATTTCAATGTTTCAATACAAATACTATTAAAATCGTTAAAATAGTTCTATTCATTGGTCTATGATTAAAACTTTCGATAAACAAACATAAATTAAAAATTACATAAGTAAAATAATGTTCACACTTTTCAATATTTACAAAAGAACATCAGAGTTAGTGACTGGCAATCTAAACATTAAATCAGATTTTCTGATATCAAATCATGAAGACAGTTGGTTGTAAAAACACGGGGGTGTGACCACAGTTTGTCCAAATAAATTACGACGACTTCATTCTTTCATACCTTATGCTGGCCAAGTCTATGAAACAGAAAATATCTTTATAAGCGGTTTAAAATACTTTTTCAATTTCCAGTTTCGTCTAGAGTAATGCAGTGTACTGTGTTCGCACATACATGTCTAAAATGTCTTGTGCTTATATGGTACTAGAATAAAAATAGCCTAGCTTAAATGGAAGCATGTATTATATAACGAGCTGTATTACTTTACTTCACCTATGAAAACATTTGAAAGAATTTCTTTACCAATAAGTACTAAGATTACGTTGTTAAAATTTCTTCTCATTATAGTAATAGTTGAGTTTCTACTCAAAAACCTACAGTTTCCCTTCTTCCGGGGCCATATCCTCGGGGACATTTTGAGAATCGTCGCGTTTCTTTCTTTGAAAATGAACTCGTTGATGACGACTCGTTTTGCCGTGTTTTATGTCACGTGACTTTCTGCTTCGTTTTTTCTTCGACTGACTGGACAGCGTAGAAATCCCTCCTTCAGATTGAGACATTAATCTGGCTTGCAACGCTCTGATTTTTAAAGATGAAACATAATTGAAAAATAAGTGCTCAACTACAATTGCCTGTATCATTGAAGAAAGACAGAAAAATAAAAATGAAAAAACAACAAACTCTACAATGCAATAAGAAATCAATTATGGAAAAATAGTAAGTCACATTATAGGTATAAAAATTGACATCAAATCATCAAATATAGAAACACTTACAAATCTTTTTCATTATCACTAGAAGAGCTATCAGAGCTACCGGAGCTCGCCTCAGAACCTGCTTTCGCCATTTCGGGCACAGCTTTATTTGCAAGTTGAGGTGTAGATGGGACAGGATGAGAACGTGAACCGCTGTTCTTTAATATCGAAGGCTTTTGAAGCATCGGCTTCACTAGCGACACGGGCGTTTCGATCAGCGGTTTCTTCTTCGCCAAACTCGCTCTCTCTCGCTCAAGTTCTACAAACCCAAAACACGCAAAATGGTTATTATACAGGAAAAAATTTCTTCCGTAGGCTATGTCATTTTACCTTGAGGAGTACTATGCATAGGCCCGTCAGATGCATATAATGGTGCTAAAGAAACGTACAAAAATCTAAAATAAAAATGCCCTACATATCAAAAGTACATCAATACGCAGACAAACCAGCAGCTTTCTTCTTGTGGACACCATTTTCAGATTTCTGTTCCCACGAAGCCGTTTCTTCAAAAATTGAAATTCAAATTATCTCAAAAACGTGTGTCGATACCATTAAAATTAGCTAAAATTTGTACAACCTTCGTCGGAACTGCCCGTATCCGATGAGATGATCATCGTTCGACGTCGTCGCCTTCCGTCAGAGGAGTCTGATGATTCAGGTTGAGTCGTACTGTATTCTAAAGAAAAAGCAATGGCAATTTCTTCGACATTGTTTCTCGACAAAATCAAAGCATTTTATAAAATCTTCTCACCAGATTTTTCAGGAGCATTCCACATTTTTGCTGCATCCTCTGGCAAAAAAAATGAAGCACAAATTAACACATTAAATGATCTGATGTTGTAAATTTAACAAAGACCTAACCCATGTTAATCGGATCCTCTGTGCGAGGCTTTCTTCTCTTAATTTCTCGATAATCTAGTTAAAAAAACACATTTGATCGTCAAATATTGATCCACAGACCTATTTCCACACTAAACAAAGTTTTGGAAGATCGAAATGCGCTTTGTTGTTCTTGTGGGCAATGTAATGGAGCAATATGGAACTCATTTGCCAAGGAAACGGGATAAAGCTCTTACGATTTCATAAACAATGGAGCAATATGGAACTCATTTGCCAAAGAAACGGGATGAAGCTCTTACGAGTTCATAAACAATGGAGCAATATGGAACTCATTTGCCAAAGAAACGGGATGAAGCTCTTACGAGTTCATAAACAATGGAGCAATATGGAACTCATTTGCCAAAGAAACGGGATGAAGCTCTTAAGATTTCATAAACAATGGAGCAATATGGAACTCATTTGCCAAAGAAACGGGATGAAGCTCGATTTCATAAACAATGGAGCAATATGGAACTCATTTGCCAAAGAAACGGGATGAAGCTCTTACGATTTCATAAACAGTGGGCACTATTTCTTTTACCTGATTCGCTGTCTTCATCATCAAGAAATGTACTAAACTGATCTGTTTTACTTGTTCTTGTCATACTTGAACTATGTAAAGTACTTGATGATCGATCAGTTGAAGATGTTTCAGCATTATGTCTTTTTAAGCCATAACCATCCTCACCGGCCAAGTTACTTCCGGGATGATATGACATTTCCTGTTATCAAGTACACAGAGATTTACGTGAAAGTCATTCGAAGCTTCTCCTCAATCATTAGCAAATGAAAAGGAACTGAAAACACGAAATATTCACGCCGGTAGATTTTATCTACTAAACTAGAGCGCTTTTGAGGTGAAAACAATCTTTTAACACCTGTCTGTATGTTATATGTGTACATTAAGATTATAAGAACAAAAATACATACGATTCTGTATGGCTACTTTATGTTACTTACATATAATCTTCTTCGTCTTGGTCGTCCGTACGTCTTGTCCCCAGTTCTCCAGCGAATGAACGCGTTTCTGTATTCTTCACGTACCTGATACAGAGAATAAAGTGCAATTTGAAAGAGACAGTAAGCCAATGAACTAATTTTATACTGAAAGAAACTTTTACGTAGATGTAAACATCCCTACTTGTAAATCTTGCATACAGCTAAATTTTACACGCGCGCCTGGGGGTCAAATCCCGAATTTTTCTTATCGTCGTAATGAGTTTTTTGGGCTGTGCGTGGAAAGATTGAGACTGGTTTAATTGCTAGCTTCAAATTTTGGAGGGAGATACCTTTGCATTTATATTTAGTTCAATGCAGTAGGTAGAATCACAGAATAGCATAAGTTAGTCTACATCAGATTTCAAGAGGCCTTACACTGCTCTATGTGTTGTACAGTGAAGCATAAACTTTTCTACGTCAGATAAACAACATAGCATGCATTTGACTATGGCTGATAACAATAAAATATAACAGAAACGTCGTTAAGATCAAGAGCAATAAATATTGTTGAGGAAATTCTAACCTTGGGATCACAAGCGACATAAAAGATAAAATGAACAGACTTTGACAACAACATAAAATGGCATATAGAAAATGGAAGACCATGTGCTCTTCATTAACAGCCAGCACAGCAAAGGCGAGGGTCACAACAAGGACAGGTACAAACAAAGCACCAACTTTTAAAGCATATCTATTATAAAGGAGAAAGAGAAACATCTTAGGGATTCTCAAGACACCTGGGGATTCATAATGAATATTTAGGACACCTGGGTATTCACAGGGAATCTTCAGAACATCTTGGGATTCGTATTGAATCCATAAGACACCCGGGGATTCATAGAGAATCCATAGGGCATCTTGAAATTCATAGGCAATCCTTAGGACATTTAGGGATTCATAGTGAGCCTTTCAGACATCTGGGGATTTATAGTCAATATAGCCTGTTCAGATTCTCTACGAATCCCCGTGTGTCCTAAAGATTCACTATGAAAGAATAGGCAAAAGATATCAAAGGGTTTGACTTACTTAATTTTTAGTGCATTCTTATAAACACTAGTGACGGGTGTGTTCTTGGGAATGAACGCATTTGGTTTTCTTTTCTTCCTGCCTTTTGTACAGGACAAACGCAGTGCCATAAGAAAAACGATTAAATTGACCTAAACGACAACAAAAAACAAAAAGGATGAACTGATGAAAAAAGAGTAAAGATGTGAAATTTCCAATAAAAACTCACAAAAATAACACCAGCGATAGGAAGAGTAAACGTCCAAAACAAAGTTCCGCTTGTTGTCATCCAGCAACTGGATAGAAAAGAAATCGAGAAAATGTTTAGCAAATGAAATCAATTATTACAACGATAGAGCAAAAATTATTCACGATATACACAGCAGTGAAATGCTTCACAAATGCGTTAATTTAAATGATTAAGCACTCACAATCTTTCATTTCCATATCCTTCGATCGCCATTCCACTTGACAAACCAACAACAATGGCTGGACAACCTAAAAATTACACAAAAAATGGACATCTTGTTTACAAATTGCGAAACATGCTCATAAGTTCCAATGCAGAGTAGCACTTACCCCACCCAAGAAAGTAGTAAAACGTCATTTGCCCCGAGTCAATATCTCTTTTTTCTGTGAGCCTACGATACATATGCACAGTCTCCACGAACATCCAGGCAAAGACAGCATCAAAGAAGTAGTGTAAGATGATAGCAATAAATCTGCAGATGAGCTGAGGAAAATAGAAATTACAAAAAAGTAAGAAAAAGGATGGTTGCATACTTCATGAAATAAAACTAGCAAAATTATTTGACGTAAGTAGAGCTACAAAAGAAACCTATACATGAATCATAAGTGTAGTCTTGTTGAATTTCTATGTATAATATAAAATTATTATACCTCGTATGATGTACGGTTGATGCCAAAAACATACGCAACTTCAGCTAGAACAATGGCTAACACCATATTTCTGTGGATAGAGTTCGTATTGGATTGAAGATCGCTGTCAAAAACATGTTGTAACACATGAATAACATGAAGTACCACATGAATAACATGTTGTAACACATGAATAACATGAAGTAACACATGAATAACATGCAGTACCACATGAATAACATGAAGTAACACATGAATAACATGAAGTAACACATGAATAACATGAAGTAACACATGAATAACATGAAGTATGTCCTCGTGGTATCAACAACAGAACTCACCTTAAACAAGTAAATGAAAAAATAACGAATAGAAGAATGACGAGAGATATAGACACACCAACGTAGGTCACAAGTTGTATGTCATATGGGGATGTCACAGGGATCTAAAGGGATAATATATCACGTGATGTATATCGTATAAACATGAAGAGAGCGGTGATGAGCATGCGCGTACCTCGATCTTAAGATCAGAGACGACAGCAAATGACGTAAGATGATAACATCTACAAACTGTATGAGTAAAATTACTTGGAGCTTTCTCACAACCATTTTTTGACCATCCACCACCATTAGAACCACTGGAAGATATAATGACGTAATTTATCTTGATATTGTACGGATTGTCATTCTAAACGATTTCTAAATCATTATAGATTTATCTTTACCTAATCATCTTAGAGTGTGTACTTAAAATCTACACTTGCACAGCAAAAAACAGCAAGCCTACATTAGCTTAGTGTAAACCTTGAATACAGCCATTTACCAATGGTATTAAAGGAACAAGATAGCTTCAGATTTGAGCACAATCGTACCCGCGATCAAATCTGAAGCTTTTCTGTTCGTTTAGCTTCATCAAAGAAAATCCAAATTACAGAAAATTTTGCCGCTATAAGCATTATCACAATGTAAGAACAATTACATACGATAAATATCTAAAAATAAAGGTTTTTATATATAAAACATTACGGTATTGAGTAGTTCCAAAATACACAATCATATTGTGAACGATTGACCTGAAATGAAAAAAAAACCAATTACATGAAAACACAGATCTGCGCATGCTCGGCTTTCAAAAAAAGATTGATTTTAACCTCGTGGATTTCAAATTCGATGATAATAGGTTCTTTAAGATACAACGACTCCATTCCTTTGATCCCAACAATAATGACGTCAGAGTTTACGTCAAGAGAAAGGTCGCTAAAACTACAATGTAAAAATAAGATAATGATGTTTATGAAAGTAAACAAGCACAAGTGGAAGCTTCGCTGCACTTGCTCATTTAATGGTAAATTTCAAAATATTTTGGTTTTCAAATGATGACCAATCAAAATAAAACACGTGAAGATCAAATGACCAATCAAAGTGAAGCACGTGAAGATCAAATGACCAATCAAAATAAAACACGTGAAGATCAAATGACCAATGAAAGTGAAACACGTAAAGATCAAATGACCAATCAAAGTGAAACACGTAAAGATCAAATGACCAATCAAAGTGAAACACGTAAAGATCAAATGACCAATCAAAGTGAAACACGTAAAGATCAAATGACCAATCAAAGTGAAACACGTGAAGATCAAATGACCAATCAAAGTGAAACACGTAAAGATCAAATGACCAATCAAAGTGAAAACGTCAAGATCAAATGACCAATCAAAGTGAAACACGTCAAGATCAAATGACCAATTAAAGTGAAACACGTGAAGGTCATGGGAAGATGAGATCCACCCATTAATTCACTATAGGATAAGGCAGATAAACCAAAAAGGATTGACTAACCTTTCTTTGACATCAAACGAAAACGGTAAAAGATCACCAAGATATTTTAAGGCGATGAATGCAATTGCTGATTCGTCTTCTAAAATACACGAAATCACAGAATATGCAGAACAATAAAATACGTCAACGTTCGCATGAAAACATAGAGAACTAGCAAAGCTAAAAAATAGTTGAAGAAAGATTAAATGCACACTAAATCAAATTAATTTTTTTTTAATGTATGAGAAAAGATTGAAAAAACAAGGCGAATATAGATAAAAAATATAAATCTTGAGTAAACGAACAAATTCTTCATCGAAGTAAACATAAACAACATGAAAACATCCTTCAGCTTACTTGGTGCCCCACTGTTCTCAAACAGAGATGACGGTATCTCGACACGATTACTTGTGTTGCGCCATCGTTCAGAAGACAATAAACTCGACTTATGTTCTTCCAAAGGAAAAGTCAAGCCGAAAAAACGCTTCGGATCAACAGGTTCCAACTGCATCACTAAAAGTCATACATCACATCTTAAAAACGTATCGTTCATTTCATGATAATGAATAAAAGCTCGTTTCCAGGCTTACACATGTTTTCCTCAACTTTCACGTAAGATAAGAGATTAGAGGTGGATCGTTTTCTACGATATCCTTTCCTTTTAATGTACACCATACTACTCGCCAAACTTATGCCGAACATTTCAAGTTGATGCATCAATGTGACAGTTGCTGAAGGTGTCTTTATAAAACAGAGTAGAAATTAAGAAACGACAATTTGACATTGTCCACAGACCTTTAAAATTTGTGATGCAAAACCAAGAAAGAGAAAACAGCTCGCTTGTTTTGCTATGCGTAATAGTCTTTCTTTAGAAATCTATTGTATTTCACGCAAAGTGAACACAGAAAAATTAACATGGCGGGACAAAATAGCATGCTGGCTACACTGGAACAACCATTTTCATCCTTGGCTTACCTCTTTTATCAATGACCATCCTATTGAGTATTCTGGAGATACAAAAGTGCTGACAGCATTTGTCGTCGTCTATACAGATGAAAGGTGAAGTCTTAGTGCAATAGCAAGCAATACTCTAATACGTACCAATCACAGGTAACATAAATACGTACCAATCACAGTTAATAAATATGTACCAATCACAGTCAACAATAAAAAAACAATCCAAGCAAAAACGCCAAGAAAAAGGTGAATGAATGGCTCAAACATGAAGTATTGTTGTAATGTTGATTAGGTTTTGAGACTTAGAGAAAATTAACAGAATACATTTAATGCTTTTCTTACATCTAGAAACTCGTCATCTTGTGAGGAAGCAAGTTCATCTTCAGCATGATCGCTTTCAAATTTTAGCAATGCAAGAATGACATTATAGGCAAGGGACATCTTTTTGATAAAATTCCTTCGTCTGGAACAGTATGTTGTTCAACGAATTTGAGATTAATATTGCTTTCTCTGTCGTCAGGTTTCCATAGTGTTTCAACTGAAATAATGTACAAAATACGATATGAAAAAAAAACAGAATACATTTTTACTAACATTCCCCGTGCAACATTTCCACTAAATTCCAACGTCGACCGTAAAAAAGTGTAAGCTAACCTAAAGTGAAAAACAGATAATTGTATTAAAGTAAATGGTTTGAACCCGGGAGTATCGTTACATGTTTGTAAATGTAGATCGTCCAGGTTGGTATAGTCCTGAGAAGGACTGTTTTTGTTGTTGTTGACTGACGTTTCGACAACCTTAGCGGTAGTCATCTTCAAAGTCAAAAAAGTAGTCATTCTTCATCTTCACAGTCATTTTTTAACTCTGAAGATGACTACCGCTAAGGTTGTCGAAACGTCAGTCAACAACAACAAAAACAGCCCTTCTCAGGACTATACTAACCTGGACGATCTACATTTACAAACAGATAATTGTATATTACCAGTAGTTAGTCATAGAGAAATCTATGTTTCACTGTAGTCAGTCATAGAGAAGTCTATGTTATACTGTAGTTAGTCATAGAGAAGTCTATGTTATACTGTAGTCAGTCATAAAGAAGTCTATGTTACACTGTAGTCAGTCATAGAGAAGTCTATGTTACACTGTAGTCAGTCATAGAGAAGTCTATGTTACACTGTAGTCAGTCATAGAGAAGTCTATGTTATACTGTAGTCAGTCATAGAGAAGTCTATGTTATACTGTAGTTAGTCATAGAGAAGTCTATGTTATACTGTAGTCAGTCATAAAGAAGTCTATGTTACACTGTAGTCAGTCATAGAGAAGTATATGTTACACTGTAGTCAGTCATAGAGAAGTCTATGTTACACTGTAGTCAGTCAGAGTAATTGTATACAATAGTACGATTAGCTATAGAGACTTTATGCTATACTGTAGTCAACAACAGAGAATTGCATGCTATTTTGTAGTCTAAAACAGAGAAATGTATATCTTCAATTCGATCACGTAGTTCAACGGAAACAAATTTAATGCATGCTAAAGTACTGCAGCAAGAATCAAAGACTTCAAAATGTTATCTAACAACGCACTTACAGTATTGGAGATGTCAACGATTGCTTGGGAGACACAATCCGAGAGATCAGGATCCTGCCAGCCATCATGGAACGCACACATTCTGCTAGCCACACCAATAGAACCGAAAGGACATTTCCGTTTAGATAAAACACCGAATGATTCTCGTGGCCAATTTATCCGTTCTGATTTGGATTTAGGGCACGAAGTATTTATGACTAAAAGAAATAAAACGTTGAACACATGTGAATTGCTGTAAAGAGATGCGCGTACACTAGGGGGTAATGGGAGATAAAGTATGCTAAGTTAGCGAAAGTGCATAAATAGGATGCTGCGAGTTAAATGATACAAAGATAATACAAATCTGGAAAGAGAGCGCACTTTAAAGCTCGATGAAAACATAACAAATAATTATCCATACTTTCACATCCTTTTTTGGTGATTTCACCCTGTTTCGCAGCACACATATCGCATATACGACCAATCACACCTGGCAAACAAGGACACTGCCCTCCGACTGGTGCGCACATGTCGTTCATGCTTCCGGTTTCATCACAATCACATTCCTGGCAAACATCGTCCAGTTTTCCTCGGGGAAGAAACGCGCGAAAATAACGTTCCTAAAGTAAGCAAGCGAAATAGCACACGTAAGGAAAAGCCTCGAAAACTACAGTTAACCCGACCTCTGTACAAATTATTGATTTGTTTAAGTGTATGAAAAAGAGGAAAACTTTCAACTTTAAAAAAGGACGAAGTAAACATAAACGCAGATGATATACTGATGACGAAATAATTCAATGTCTGAGAATATATCGATGCAAGTATCGTAGTAATCGACAACGATTAGCGAAATTTTATGCAAAAAAGAAAATGAAGTGGTTCTTACATTTCTCCTGAGATACAAGTGACTTAATGTAAATGCTTTGCGCATAAAGTTTCCATCGAGATTTTTTTAAATCATTTGTGAAATACGACAACTTACCTTACAATAACATTCACCAGTTGTTTTATTACAAACTGGATTATACTCGAGTTCGGTGGCACAATTACATGGACCACAAGTTCCGCTATTTGATGCACTGAAGAACTCGTCACGACATGGCAGTTCACTTTCCCTTTCACAATATTTTCCTAACAAACGAAAGCTTTAATTCAGTTAGGATTCCTTTCGTTCACGCACAAATAATAAAGAGTGGAATCTTCTTGCAAAGAATGTTGGCTTAGTTAGAGACGATTTTTACATAGGAAGAGATCTCTATCTATGTAGATATTTTAGTGAAGAAGTTATCTAGTAACAAGACAAAAGAATTGCGAAATCTCGGATGTCGGTTTTTTAACTTACCTAAAACTGCGTGGGAAGTTTTCCCCCTGTACGAGGTTTGTATGTGTGGGAAGTTTTCCCCCTGTACGAGGTTTGTATGTGTGGGAAGTTTTCCTCCCTGTATGAGATTTGTATGTGTGGGAAGTTTCCCCTGTACGAGGTTTGTATGTGTGGGAAGTTTTCCTCCTGTATGAGATTTGTATGGGTGGGAAGTTTTCCCCCCTGTACGAGGTTTGTATGTGTGGGAAGTTTTCCTCCCTGTACAAGGTTTGTATGTGTGAAGTTTTCCCCTGTACGAGGTTTGTATGTGTGGGAAAATTTCCTCCCTGTATGAGATTTGTATGGGTGGGAAGTTTTCTCCCCTGTACGAGGTTTGTATGTGTGGGAAGTTTCCTCCTGTACGAGGTTTGTATGTGTGGGAAGTTTTCCCCTGTACGAGGTTTGTATGTGTGGGAAGTTTTCCCCTGTACGAGGTTTGTATGTGTGGGAAGTTTTCCTCCCTGTATGAGATTTGTATGGGTGGGAAGTTTTCCCCCCTGTACGAGGTTTGTATGTGTGGGAAGTTTCCCCTGTACGAGGTTTGTATGTGTGGGAAGTTTTCCCTGTACGAGGTTTGTATGTGTGGGAAGTTTTCCTCCTGTATGAGATTTGTATGGGTGGGAAGTTTTCCCCTGTATGAGATGTATGTGTGGGAAGTTTTCCCCTGTACGAGGTTTGTATGTGTGGGAAGTTTCCCCTGTACGAGGTTTGTATGTGTGGGAAGTTTTCCTCCTGTATGAGATTTGTATGGGTGGGAAGTTTTCCCCTGGAGGTTTGTATGTGTGGGAAGTTTTCCTCCCTGTATGAGATTTGTATGGGTGGGAAGTTTTCCTGTAAGGTTTGTATGTGTGGGAAGTTTTCCTCCCTGTATGAGATTTGTATGGGTGGGAAGTTTCCCTGTATGAGGTTTGTATGTGTGGGAAGTTTTCCTCCTGTTGAGGTTTGTATGTGGGAAGTTTTCCCCTGTACGAGGTTTGTATGTGTGGACGTTTTCCCCCTGTACGAGGTTTGTATGTGTGGGAAGTTTTCCTCCCTGTATGAGATTTGTATGGGTGGGAAGTTTTCCCCTGTACGAGGTTTGTATGTGGGAAGTTTTCCCTGTACGAGGTTTGTATGTGTGGGAAGTTTTCCTCCCTGTATGAGATTTGTATGGGTGGGAAGTTTTCCCCTGTACGAGGTTTGTGTGTGGGAAGTTTTCCCCTGTACGAGGTTTGTATGTGTGGGAAGTTTTCCCTGTACGAGGTTTGTATGTGTGGGAAGTTTTCCCCTGTACGAGGTTTGTATGTGTGGGAAGTTTTCCTCCCTGTACGAGGTTTGTATGTGTGGGAAGTTTTCCCCCCTGTACGAGGTTTGTATGTGTGGGAAGTTTTCCCCCTGTACGAGGTTTGTATATGTCGGAAAGTTTTTTTAACTTACCTAAAAAATTCTTCCTACAACTACACGTGAAACCAACATCATCATCAGTCCGCTGACATGTGCCACCATTCTGACATGGGCTCAAACGACAAATATCCTCGCATTTTTCACCATAATACCCAGGGAGACATACACAACTCGTCTTTCTCCATGACTTTTCACATTTGCTGGTCGGAGGACAGGAACTCGAGACACAATGAGCCGTAGACAAACAGCCGCTGGTCACAATATGCGATGAAGCAGACGATATGTTCTGAGATACATTATTTACGGCAAAACCTAAAAATGGTAAAATGATGTTAAACAAAATATTTTAATTTGCAGAAAGGGAAATTTCACAAACAATAGAGGAGCCTTCCCAATCGTGTACTGACTCATTACAATCATTCAGTTTTCTGATATGCTTAACCATGAATTATTGGAAAGAAATTATAAGTTTTATTTTATCACAACGACGGCATTTTTACGACTTTTATAAGGATAACAATTCAAAAAGATAAAAACGCTTTCCATGAAAAATACTTAAACACAAACAACAACATTGTATACCTTGAATACAGCCGTCAAATCCTGAACCAGATCTTCCAATATCACCAAGAAAAACATCCAAGAAACTCGCCCCAGTCTCTGCACTCGCCGTGGCAAACAAGACTTTACGATGAATACGATCGATAACGACCTGGATGGAGGTGCGTGAGAACTCTACTTCAACATCGTGCCATTTCCCATCTGCCAGTTTGATATTGTTGACGTTCAAATGTTGATTATTGTACGTGAAATAGAGAGCAGCGTCAACCATCTAACATTGTGATAAAGATTGTATTGTGAATGTCAGAATTCCTGAACTGTCTCTTCATTTGTAAAATTTCGACAGCAGGGGATCGAAAGGAATCTTTGTCGAAATGTACTTTAATATATTTTTTCGAATTCAACATAAAACAAAAAGAGAGGATACCTCAAGGAAAGACGTACTATTGGCTGCAACAATTTGCATGAGAGTCCCAGATTTCTCGACCGTTCGTAAAACAAGCGATATTGTCAAAGTGGGTGCAATTACCACATGCTCGATCCTGACTGAAGTGTAACTCAGGCGAGTGAAGCTATAGGGAACGGTTGCTATGAAAAACGAAATGAAAACTCTCAATGACAAAACAACAGAAAGAACACACGGGCAATCTGTTTACAAATCTCTTTTAAAATACAACAGAGCAATAAAATACGAAAACAAAGAAGTCGGTTTGAAAATTCATTTAAAATGCAAAACTTTTCCCCAAGAAAGGACCTTTGCTTGGAAAGTCAAATGATACTGCATTTACCTTACTGGTTGATAAATCGTATTAAAAACATTGCGTGAACACGAAAACAACAAAATACCCACAACGACAAAAACACAAACCTTTTTCACACCTTTCTCCAGCATATCCTTCATCACAGACACAGATCATTCTATCCCAGCTATTCACACATGTTCCATGTTGGGAACAAGAATCACTTTTACAAAAATCACGTTTCCTGTTGCAACCAATTCGAGTATTTCTATTGTATATCGGCAAACCCATGTCCAAAGGAACTTCATTTATTCTTACATTACGTATGCAACCGTTAAAGCCGAGCCCACGAAGGTATGGTGTAGAGCTTGGTATGCCGCCAAGGAAAAGAGGTGATGTAAGGTCCATTGATCTTTGAAAATAAAAAAAGAATTGATACTAGAACTTGAACAAGAAATCCACGGATAGAGCAAAGTGACTCCTTGACATTGACTCCTTCAAACAATCATAAAATGTTTCAAACATTTTTCACATTTCTTCATAAACTCCATTTAATTTTGACTCATGTATCAAGTAAACATCCGCTGACTTAGAGAAAGTAAAAGGTATATCACGAGTCAGACATGAACTTTCTATCTATGACAGACCTCACCTTATTGAAAACTATTTACTTCTACATATCCATCACATCAGTACATATCCCATCACATCACTAAATATCTCATCACATCAGTACATATCCCATCACATCACTACATATCCCATCACATCACTACATATCCCATCACACCACTACATATCCCATCACATCACTACATATCCCATCACATCACTACATATCCCATCACATCACTACATATCCCATAACCTCTCAACATACCTTAATTTACCACGTCCTCTCTTTGCAGCAGCACAGTCAAAACTACCGACTTGCTCACCAAACTTAACTGCCACAGCGGTTTCACAATTTTCACCAAGAACAATGGAGCCAATCTAAGGTAGAATAAAACAAACGAAAAAACTTAAGCAACAGTGTACATATAGACTGTTCAACTGTATGCTTAGATTCCTAAAGACGATTAATTTAAGAGATAAATGTCTTGACTATGATGCTCATGAATGTAAGAAATCTTAATATGTGATATGCAGAGGTATTTTTATAAAATATGCATGACATGGTACTTTGCTAATTAAATATGACAATTCAAAGCGTACTTGAAATCTATATGAGATCATCACTTTTTGCCATACACCATTGGTGATACTTCCTCTATCCCCAGGCCCCACACTGACGGTCTGTACGTCTTCACCGGCAGAGAATACGTAATACAAATGACCATTGCGTAGTTCGAGAGCCATCGTGTCATTTTCAAAACCGTAACGACCAACATAAAGAAGTAATCCATCAGAGTTTATGGTCGCAAATTCCAATGAAATATCAATATGCCATCTTTGTTTTAGACCTTGATGAAAAAGAACATGTAATATAGCTTCAAATTTTAGAACAAACTCACGCAATTCTCCTATTTAGTATAAAAACGGACGAACAACAACAGCATGTTATTATTGCACATTTCAACAAATATAATGAAGAATATAAGGAAGATAAAGGAGAATGTCGAGGACGATAACAGAGAATTTAAAGGGAAATTGAAAGGAAGATTTCAAGGAAGATTTCAAGGAAGATTTCAAGGAAGATTGTGCATTATTCAAGAAAAGCTGTAGAGTCACGTAGAAGTCTATATAATTCTTTGCGAGCATTATAATCATTTTTCTTGCAATTTTAAAGCGTTTTAATGATATAATTATAACCTGTAAAAGCGATAAAGGAATCATTCTCGAAGCTTCTACTATTGACATCACAAAATTTTCCATAACCAGTTCCTTTCTTGCAGAGACAGTTAAAGCCTTGCCTTGGCAAGTCACGACATAAACCATCATTTTTACAGATACCATCTATGTAAAATAACCAAGGTTTACATCAACAAAAGATATGCTTTTAGTTACACATAAAAACCGTTGGATACAGGTTGTTGATATCAATGGATAGGGGGGTGCGCAGTTTAAAACAACCCTATGGAGGCAGGGGGTTCGTATCTTAAATATGCACCATACACTGTCCTGGTAAATTCACAAGACAAGGTCCCGCATTAAACATCTTTCTAAATCCAGTCCAATTAAAGCAAGATTAAATCAAATACCTGGTAGACTGTGGCATCTTGTTCTCGAAACATCAAATTCACAATTTCGCCCGACAAAGTTATTTGGGCATGCGCAATAATATCCTCCTTCGTAATCTATACATCTTCCATTGTTATGACAAGGGCTTGAGTAACATGCGTGTAACTGCCGACTGCATTGGTGTCCGTAAAAACCCGCTGAACATACAGGTTTAAGTACTTCGCGGGCTCGGACACCATAAAACACAGCAAACGGTGTGATCAACAGTTGACCAAGTCCATTCACAAACGTCTTATTGATTTGACAGGTAAGAAAACTATTTTTCTTAGTTTTACACGCTTCACCGACAAGTAAGAAATGATTTGAGTGCTTTCCCGGATTGATTTCTTTATCTGATGACAGAACAATCATTTCAGTTGCCTTTTCAAAAGATGTTAAGTTTAAAAACAAGTTCTCTAGCAACAACTGTCCATTCACAAAACCATTACGACCATTACGAATGGCAAGCCAAACGGTTAAATAATCATCAGTATGAAGAACATTACCAATCCCTTCACGAAACTTCATGTAAGATCTTGTGACATTTCTTAGGTAGAACACAATGACGGAGCTTTCGTGAAGCCGAAACATGGATGCCAAACTTTTCTTAAATCTTGTCGACAAAGCAAAGAATTTGGATGTGGTTGCATTCTTTACATAAATAGGCACACTTGCTTGAAGAATAGATTCAGTTATAATGTTAAGATTAACACTGCCAAATCTTGAAATCACGTGAACACCGTCTGAGATAGTGACTTCAAAGACAATTGTGTTTGTGTTAACAAGAGCAGATTCTTTTACTTTAAGGACACCTGTATGTTTTTCAACAGTTACGGCATTTCTTAAACGATCATCATTCAACACGATGTCATAACTAAGTTGAGAATCTTCATCCGGATCATATGCAGGAATAGTGAAGTTTACATCCGACGGAAAGAGACCTTCTCGAACGTTGATGACAATTTGAAAATTCTCTGTTAACTGTGGTTCATTATCGTTGACATTCGTTACATTAATATGCACCTCGCCCCAGGCCAAAAACGACGCGTATATGGCCTGGACCGTTAGTCGATAGCTGGTCTTCTGTTCGTAATCTAAATGCTTTGCAAGTTCGATAATTCCGCTGCTACTGAGTATGGTGAACGTATTTTTATAATTACCACCAGTGATATCGTACAGAATGTTGGCGTCTTTCACGTTGTCTCGCGTTACAGCTTTGATTTTTAAAATTTCATGATTGAGAGGAAAATCCTCGGGAATGCTAAATTCGTAAGGTGACGATTCAAACTCGGGCGGACTATCAACGATGTCGTTAAGAGTCACCTAGAAACATTGAAAAATAGCCAATAATGAAGTAGAACTTCAATACAAGACGAATTTAATGGTGGTTGACCATAAATTTAACGGTGGTTGACCAGATGAATTTAATGGTGGTTGACCAGATGAATTTAATGGTGGTTGACCAGATGAATTTAATGGTGGTTGAGCAAATGAATTTAATGGTGGTTGACCAGATAAATTTAATGGTGGTTGACCAGATAAATTTAATGGTGGTTGACCAGATGAATTTAATGGTGGTTGACCAGATAAATTTAATGGTGGTTGACCAGATAAATTTAATGTTGGTTGACCAGATGAATTTAATGGTGGTTGAGCAGATGAATTTAATGGTGGTTGACCAGATGAATTTAATGGTGGTTGACCAGATAAATTTAATGGTGGTTGACTTACCTTAACTTGAGTAGTTGAATTTAACGGTGGTTGACCATGATCGGTAGCAAAAACTGTGAGCAAGTACTCAGGTGTCACTTCACGATCAAGGCGTCGATTCACCGTTATTTCACCAAGATCTTCGTTGATTTTGAAAGCTGAATTCACGTTTCCTGTAATGTGTAAAAATCGCAAGTCAAAAAATTTCCAAACATGTACACACAATGTTTCGTTCCGTCCATTGGCGTGACACTAAGACACGAGTCTTCGGTTATTATGTACAGTTCACTAACACTGCAACACACAAAATAGATGGAAAAATTTTATTTCATTGCGAGCACAAACCTTTTTCTTTCAGTTTATATGTTATCTTTCTATTTATACCCTCGTCACTATCCGTTGCTTTTATCTCTGTTACAAGCTGACCAACTCTTGCATCTTCATCAACAGCAACCACGTACAAAGATTGATCAAATTTTGGTTTGTTATCGTTGATATCAAGGACAATGACATCAACATGAGCGCGTCCAGAACGTCTACGGTCGCCATTATCCTTTGCGAGAATTTTCAACTTGTACTTTGGTCGACGTTCACGATCTAACACAACAAGATTCGTAATCACTCCAGTCTTTGAATTGATTGAGAACTTGGTATTTCGACCAATTATGGAGTATGTAATCTCAGCATTTTTACCAACGTCATCGTCCAGAGCCGTCACCTTTGTGACAATTGTCCCAACGGTGTCGTTCTCGTAAATATTACCGATGTACCGACCATGCGTGAACTTTGGTGAATTATTATTGGCATCGATAACATGTACCATAACATCCACCAATGTCCTTCGTTTACCATCGTATGCACCTACTTTGAATTGATACAATCTCTTCTTTTTGTAATCAAGCCTGCACGATCTCCTCTTCGTGATACCACCAAGTGAGTTGATTGAAAAGCAATTAGTTGGGTCATTTCGAATGAAATAGTTGATCTGACCCTTGGTGTCTTTATCACTTGCTGTCACTGTGGTAAATGGTCGACTGGATCTGTACATTTCGTCAATTGTTACATTATAAAATATCTGATCAAAAATTGGTGCAACGTCATTCACATCTTCAACATCAATATTCACGAACACTGAAGACTCCAATGGTTCTTTTCCTTTGTCTTGGGCAAACACCTGAAAGCGAAAACGAGGTGTTGCTTCACGATCAATTATCGATGTTGTCCAAATCTTTCCTGTTTGAGCACCAACTCTGAATGGAATATTTTTAGCCCTTATTGAATAGTTGATCTCTTGATTTTCCTTGGTATCTGCATCCTGTGCTTGAACAGTTCCAACGAGCAAGTTCGTTGACTTGTTTTCACTCACTTTGAAATAATATTCTTTATTTAAAAACTCCGGTGAATTATCATTTACATCCACAATGGTGATGGAGACATCTACTTCATTAAAAAGTGGCACAGTACCGGAGTCTTCAGCCATAACCTGTAGAATATATTCACTCCTTCTCATAATCCAGTGACCCAATTAAGACAATAACTCCAGAAGTGGTGTTAATTTGAAACAATTGCTTCTCGTTACCAGAAACAAAGCTATAACGAATTCTCTGGTTCTTGCCAACATCACAGTCGGTTCCATTGACAGTTCCAATTGCCGTACCCCTCAAACTATCTTCTGCAACAAAGAAATTATATTTACTCTCATTAAACATGGGCATACAATCATTCTCATCTTTTATAACAATGAACACATCAACAGTAGAATTTAAGGGAGGTGTTCCTTGGTCTTGAGCTTTCACAACTAAGTGGTATGAGGCTGTTGTTTCCCTGTCCAATTTTTTATTTACTGTAATCACACCATTTTTAAAATCAATGGTAAACGCTTTGTTAACACCATCTCCATTAACAATGCTGTATTGAATATCTCTATTTGGTCCAATTTCATCATAATCATGAGCTCTGACAGCTAGAACTGTCGAACCAATGTCCTCAGATTCAGATATCTCTTCTCTATAAACTTTCTTATCAAACTCTGGCATGTAGTCATTAACATCTATAAGTTTTATTGTTAAAACCATACGGTCACTCAAAGGCGGGTTTCCTTTATCAGTTGCTATTACACGAAAGACATGCTTTTCCATGCTTTCACGATCAAGCAAGGCTTTCGTCCTGATCACACCTGTATTTGTGTCAATTTCAAAATAATCCCCGCTGCGAATATTTCCCATGGGAGTCATCTTGTACTCAATTTCTCCAGATTGGTAGTAATCAACATCTGTTGCTGTGGCATTGTACACTAAACTCCAAAGTCTTACATCCTCTTTGATAGTCACAGTCTTGGAACGTAATGGAAATTTCGGTGGATGGTTCGGGGTGAATCTTTTGGTCCTGGGAAAACGTATTGCTTGCCTTGGGTTAGCTGAGATGTCATATAGTTTGGTAATTGATCGTGGTATTAATCTATTATTGAAATACACATCTTTGTTAAGTTCTTTACTATTTCCAGCGTTGAGCAAAGTATGCATAAAATCCTTCTTTGAAACCCTAAGGCGTTCTAATAAAAAAGGTTTATTTCCCATTGTTCGTAATTTTTGGCTAAAGTCCTGTGTATTTAGCTTGCTATTAGCATGTTTTGATACACGCTTAGGAATTTTGTACTTCGTGAGCATCTTAGGTTTCTCCAGACAGCGTTCCTTGTTATGTAAACTTATCACAATAGGTGTCCATGATTGGAGTTTCGTGCTGGTATTCATAGAATGCACAGCTATCACAAACATTTTCTTTTTGAGAAAGATGCCACAGTTTAAGTCACGTTTTAATGTTAGAACTCCACTCGTTCGATTGATAAACAAAAAATCATAAAGAAATCTCATGCTTTGTTCAATCACGAGCGAGTAGTTTGTTCTTTGTTCACGGTTCAATGATAAGTCAAGTTCTGTGCCAGCCGTCATGTCGGGAGACAAGCGAATCCTTTCACCCTTCACGAGCTTTCCAGTAAAAAGGGCAGTCAGCACAGCTAAACATAGTAGACGAAACGCACGCGCCATGGTATAAAATATTAACGATTCTGTTTGTGTAAACAATCTTCTCATAACATAAATTGAAATGAAAATCTTATGAACTCAAAATATACCATCCCCAAATGACCAACATGTCTCAAAAACATCAAAGGAACTTCCCAAGAAGTGGTTAAACCCGCCTTCTTTAACATTTTCCTCTTGTTTTTTCTTCAACTTGTAACCTTCGTCAAGCGATCATTTCATACTTGATTAATGATTAGAGGTTTGCCGCATAGCAACCCCATTGGTTGTGTTGACATCACGTGTCACCAGGAAACAATCAACGATAATTCACTAGTACAACTTCGGCCTTCTTGAGAAATAATTAAGAGTTGAATAAATTAAAAGTAACGTTGATTTCACTTTTAAATCTTCTCTGAGCAAACTCTTTGTGGGCGAAAGCACAACAGATTGTGGCTTTGATACGAAAGTGTAATCACAGGTACTTTTTATTCTGCCCAAAACAGATGGCAAGTGGCGGAACACTACACGAGTCTCTAGCTCGACATGAGGTCAACTTAAAATCCCATAAAAGTCAGTAAATTGCCTTTGTATGCGAATCATTGACCTTAATAACTCATCGACTTCAAGATCATTCTTTCATTAATATTTGTAAAACAATACAAGATTATTCGAGCGTTGTATTTGTTAAACATTTTAAGTCATGTTTCTTTCTAAAAATATGCGGCTTGCATAAATTCTCGCCTTTTCAAAGAGATAAAAATCCCTAGGAAATTAATGAATACAAACAGAAACTCATTTTAGAAAAAATGAGTTTATCAAACAAATCAAATGGGAATTATTGAAAGGAAGAAACAGTTTAGACAAAAAAACACCAAGTGTTTCAACGATGAATACATGTTTTAAAATTAAAACTGGCAGTGATTATAAAAAAGGATTATCCCTTTGTTCAAGATAAGAGAGCGATTTAGAAGGGCAGCAGCACACTTCTCAATTGCGGATTAAAAAATTAAGTAAAGCTAATGACAACAGCTCATTCTTAAATACAATATACCAAATTAAAATTAATATAATAGTTTTAAATACATCATTGCTGATAAAATATTAAAAAGTAGGTGTATGTATTTATATTCATGACAAGCATGTATAAATATCACATTTCCATCAATCTCAAATTCGCATTCATTGCATTAAAAAATAACATTTGTGTAACTATAATGGCAAAGCTAGCATTGACTGGCTATTAATTTAAAAAAAGTGATTCACTCAATTTATGCATATCATGTCATTAAAACCAAATACGTATGTCATCTTAAAATCTTAACTATAGCTAATGGCAAAATTATTCATTAAATAAATATTCTGATAAGAAATACAATCATTTTATTAAGGCCTCATAACATGGCACATGACACCATCACAAGGTTTAATTGTTAGCTTAGCTTCCATTCTGTCTGTCTGTCCTGGTAACAGTTGAAATTTGAACTTTCTCAAAACTCGAACCATAAAAACCTTGATTTCAAACTTAGCAAATGTTCGTCCAATACAATCACGTCGACCAATGGAGAATGGAAAATGTGTTGTGGTGAAATTTTGAATGTGATCGACATTTTCAAACCTTTCAGGATCAAATATTTCAGGATTTGGCCAAATTTCTGGATCATTTCCAAAGAAGAGTTGACTAGATTCAACAATTACACCAGAAGGAATGTTCAAACCACCAACTTCTAAAGATTTTAACATTACTCTTATTGGTGCAGTTGCAACAGGATGTTTTCGCAATCCTTCTTCCATAACCTTGTTGAAATATTTCAAATTTCCCAGATCTTCAAACTCCATGTGTTCACGATCACCAAGCACTTCATTTGCTTCGTTAAGGATCTTCTCTTCGATATGAGGATGATTGAGAATTTCATAGAGCAAAAATGATAATGAATTTGAAGTAGTTTCCTGTCCAGCAACAAATATGGTTAAGAATTGGTCAATTATTTCATCCATTGTTAACCTACCATCTTTGATAAGAGAAGTCAACAAATCATTAGGAACATCTTTATTATTTGCTATTTCATTTATACGCTTTTCAACATGCTGAGAAGCAAAATTTCGCAGGAATCGAACAGCTTCAATTTGACTTTTCTTTTTCTCATTTTGTAAGAAGCTCCACTGAAACATTGTCAATAGTGCTGAACTCAGAGGATTTTCCATATTATCTTGAGTACCTTCCAATCCAAGACGAATTGCACTAAGAAACTTTGAGTTTGGATTTTCAATAACTTGTGTATCAATATTAAATGATACTTGACTGATAGATTCACATGTTGCTTTACCAAATTCAACCATCATACTTATTGGTTTCTGTTCTTTAACAATTGCGTTCATTCTGACCAGAAAACGATCACAAACATTGTTGAAATTTTTCATAAAATCACGAAGAGATTTTCGATAAAATGTTGGATTCATGATATGTCGATGCATTTGCCAAGATTTTTCATCCGTGTTTGTAACTAATCCATATCCTGCACTGCGCTCACCATAGACAAATCCAAGTTTATCATAAACGAAACGAGGTTTCACTAAATGTTTATGGTTATTTATAAAAACATGTCTTACATAACTTGAATCTGCCAGAAATACCACGGGTTGATGTGCCAAAAACAACAGATATATTTTACCGTACTCAAATCTTTTCACCATCATAAATTCCAGCAAAACTCGTCCTGTTCTTGCTTTGTACTTCCAAATATCTGGCAGATGACCAAGAAAGAAACTTGAACGAGGTGGTCCTGGTATATGAGAAGTAATCCAATGTATGTACATCAAATATACAATAATATAGAGTGATAAAGTACAAAAGATGGTCAAAACTGCGAGTGAAATATAGAATATTATTGAAAGCATTTTGACATTATAATTCATGGCAATTCAAAGATTGGTTAACCAAATCAAGTCATTAAGCAGCTGTTAAACGCAACAAGATGACGACACTGAAGGCGATATGGCGACGAAGTCAACCGATTAAGTTATATTTTAATGAATTTACTGACTGTCAGTTAACAACATTATACTTGGAATTTATACTATTTTTACTAAACTTATACCAAATTACACTGCAATGACAACATATATATTATTACTTTTCTATTATTATACAATGTGTATAACCATGTACAATGTACCCACACGGCTATCACCATAGCACAATGGTGACTCCTAAACTTGTCACATAGGAAGTTAGGTTATACTATTTACACTATACTATATATACTACAAAACATGTTACCTGGTATATTTGACTACATTACCAAATAAATTATTGAGATTATGATAAATAAATCGAACAACTAACTTCAAGTAATCCTATTAATGTTTTAATACACAAGTAAGAAACAATAACCGATGGTGTAGTCAGATGTGGTGTATTCTCATCAATATAAACCAATCGAACCAAATATCTACCATGGACTTTCTACACGCAAATGGTAAAAGTGTGACATCACAATGATTACATGCAAAGTTATATAATACCTAATGAAAAGATGATCAAAGTACTTGTCATTTATATCTACCACAATCAATTAAAACATCACATTTATTACATAAAAACTATGGTTAAGTTTAAACTGCAGTGGCATTACTCGCATTGATCATTGGTGGGGAGGGAGGGAGGCAGAGATAATCATATATGCATGATATAATCTGCAATTGATTTTAAAATATGGCAGAACAAAAATATATGAATATCCTTCTTTCAATTATCAAACTGGCGGTTGTTTTCAAAAAATGATTCACATACTTTATGCATGTTATCTCATTTAAACCAAATATATGTGTTATGTTAAAATTTTAACTATACCTAAATGCAATATTATTACCTTCAGTTGCTCTAATCTAATTTTGTCTGTCATTATGTCTGTATACTTTGTGATGGTATGTGTTTTATATATCTTTCATTATTTCCCCTTATCCCACTTTATACCATCTTATCCCATATTTCCTTTCATTTTTTTTATCCCACCATGTAATTTAATATTTCTCTGATGATGTCTTGAGCATCAAAACGAAATGTTACACTATTGAATAGATATTTCTTTTTTATACATTATTTTTGCATATTTAATGGCTCTTTGAAAAGAACTCTGCTGGGCTTTAACATTTATTATAAGAATTCGCCTCCCGCCAGGTACATCCCTGGTCACAATTCGCAATATTGTTAAATGAAAAAAATTTTTGAAGGCAATAATCCATTTACTAACGCCTCATAACATGGCACATGACACCATCGCGAGGTTTAATAGTAACTTTAGCTTCCATTCTGTCTGTCTGTCCTGGTAACAGTTGAAATTTAAACTTTCTCAAAACTTGAACCATAAAAACCTTGATTTCAAACTTAGCAAATGTTCGTCCAATACAATCACGTTGACCAATGGAGAATGGAAAATGTGTTGTGGTGAAATTTTGAATGTGATCAACATTTTCAAACCTCTCCGGATCAAATTTTTTAGGATTTTCCCAAATTTCTGGATCCATTGCAAAGAAAAGCTGATTACTAACAACACTCACACCAGAAGGAATGTTCAAACCACCAACTTCTAAAGATTTTAACAATACTCTAAATGGTGTAATTACAACAGGATGTTTTCGCAATCCTTCTTCCATAACCTTGTTAAAATATTTTAAATTTCCCAGATCTTCAAACTCCATGTGTTCACGATCACCAAGCACTTCATTAGCTTCCTTAAGGATCTTCTCTTCGATATGAGGATGATTGAGAATTTCATAGAGCAAAAATGATAGTAAATTTGAAGTAGTTTCCTGTCCAGCAAAAAATATGGTTAAGAATTCGTCAACTATTTCATCCATTGTTAACCTACCATCTTTGATTAAAGAAGTCAACAAATCATTAGGAACATCTTTATTATTTGCAATTTCATTCATACGCTTTTCAACATTCTGAGAAGCAAAATTTCGTAGGAATTGAACAGCTTCAATTTGACTTTTCTTTTTCTCATTTTGTAGGAAATTCCACTGAAACATAGTCAATAGTGTTGAACTCAAAGGAATTTCAAAATTATCTTGAGCACCTTCCATGGCAAGACGAATTGCACATGGAAACTTCGAGTTTGGATTTTCAATAACTTGTGTATCAATATTAAATGATACTTGACTGATAGCTTCACATGTTGCTTTACCAAATTCAACCATCATACTTATTGGTTTCTGTTCTTTAACAATTGCGTCCATTCTGACCAGAAAACGATCACAAACATTGTTGAAATTTTTCATAAAATCACGAAGAGATTTTCGATGAAATGTTGGATTCATAATATGTCGATGTATTTGCCAAGATTTTTCATCAGTGTTTGTAACCAATCCATATCCTATATTTCGCTCACCATAGACGAACCCAAGTTTATCATAAAGAAAACGAGCTTTCATTAAATGTTTATGGTTATTTATAAAAACATGTCTTACATAACTCGAGTCTGCCAGACATAACATGGGTCGATGTGCCAAAACCAACAGAAATATTTTACCGTACTCAAGTCTTTTCTCCAGAAGAAATTCGGCGTTAATTCGTCCTGTTCTTGCTTTGTATTTCCAAAGATCAGGCAGATGACCAAAAAAGAAACTTGAACGAGGTGGTCCTGGTATATGAGCAGTAATCCAATGTATGTACATCAAATATACAATAATATAGAGTGATAAAGTACAAAAGATGGTCAAAACTGCGAGTAAAATATACAATATTAGTGAAAGCATTTTAATGTTTTAAAGCATGGAAATTCGAAAATCGAAGTGTCAAACAGAGCTTGGTCAGCTCCCACAAAATGTAAATTTGAAATTATTTGTTCACATGATCAAGATGAACATTGACTCTCCAAAAACAGGAAGTTGGAAAATGATAATTTTCTGCATAAATATTTGAATACACTGAATTTTAGTGTTGTTCTGCCATATAAAGATGACAATAAGGTCAACTTATAGAGTTAAATATTTTAATAAGTTTACTGACAGTTAGTTAATAACGCTATATCAGTGCGTTGTACTAGAAATATATACCACAAATACAAAAGTTATGGCCTGCCACTTCCATTCTTGAAATGAATAAATTCTGTAATACATGACAGAAGTATTAATTTGACTACATTACAAAATAACTAATTCAAAACAGTGTCCTTAAATACTTTTAGCTGTTAATATTCATTCTCTATTAGAAAAAGTCTTGGGCCTGTTTCAAACATCGAATTAACAGTTTGGGGCATGTAAAGTTTGATGTTTGAAACAGGCGTTAAGAACCCTCTCTTATTGTTTAAGTTGCGTTTTCTCTCAGTTTTAATCTAGCGAAATGAAAATCAAGCATTTGAAAATAATCCATTTATTAACGCCTCATAACATGGCACATGACACCATCGCGAGGTTTAATTGTTAGTTTAGCTTCCATTCTGTCTGTCTGTCCTGGTAACATTTGAAATTTGAACTTTCTCAAAACTCGAACCATAAAAACCTTGATTTCAAACTTAGCAAACGTTCGTCCAATACAATCACGTCGACCAATGGAAAATGGAAAATGTGTTGTGGTGAAATTTTGAATGTGATCGACATTTTCAAACCTCTCTGGATCAAATTTTTCAGGATTTGGCCAAATTTCTGGATCATTTCCAAAGAAGAGTTGACTAGATTCAACAACTACACCAGAAGGAATGTTCAAACCACCAACTTCTAAAGATTTTAACAATACTCTTGTTGGTGAAATTGCAACAGGATGTTTTCGTAATCCTTCTTCCATAACCTTGTTGAAATATTTTAAATTTCCCAGATCTTCAAACTCCATGTGTTCACGATCACCAAGCACTTCATTAGCTTCGTTAAGGATCTTCTCTTCGATATGAGGATGATTGAGAATTTCATATAGCAAAAATGATAATGAATTTGAAGTAGTTTCCTGTCCAGCAACAAATATGGTTAAAAATTCGTCAACTATTTCATCCATTGTTAACCTACCATCTTTGATTAAAGAAGTCAACAAATCATTAGGAACATCTTTATTATTTGCAATTTCATTCATACGCTTTTCAACATGCTGAGAAGCAAAATTTCGCAGGAATCGAACAGCTTCAATTTGACTTTTCTTTTTCTCATTTTGTAGGAAACTCCACTGAAACATTGTCAATAGTGTTGAACTCAAAGGAATTTCAAAATTATCTTGAACACCTTCCAATGCAAGACGAATTGCACCTGGAAACTTTGAGTTTGGATTTTCAATAACTTGTGTATCAATATTAAATGATACTTGACTGATAGCTTCACATGTTGCTTTACCAAATTCAACCATCATACTTATTGGTTTCTGTTCTTTAACAATCGTGTCCATTCTGACCAGAAAACGATCACAAACATTGTTGAAGTTTTTCATAAAATCACGAAGAGATTTTCGATGAAATGTTGGATTCATGATATGTCGATGTATTTGCCAAGATTTTTTATCCATGTTTGTAACCAATCCATATCCTAAATAGCGTTCACCATAGACGAACCCAAGTTTATCATAAATAAAACGAGCTTTCATTAAATGTTTATGGTTATTTATAAAAACATGTCTTACATAACTCGAGTCTGCCAGACATACCACGGGTCGATGTGCCAAAACCAACAGAAATATTTTACCGTACTCAAGTCTTTTCTCAAGAAAAAATTCGACATTAATTCGTCCTGTTCTCGCTTTGTATTTCCAAATATCTGGTAGATGACCAAGAAAGAAACTTGAACGAGGTGGTCCTGGTATATGAGCAGTAATCCAATGTATGTAGATCAAAAATGCGATAATATAGAGTGATAAAGTACAAAAGATGGTCAAAACTGCGAGTAAAATATACAATATTAGTGAAAGCATTTTAATGCTTTAAAGCATTGAAATTCGAAAATCGAAGTGTCAAACTGAGCTTGGTCAGCTCCCACAAAATGTAAATTTAAAATTATTCGTTTACATGATCAAGATGAACACTGACTCTCAAAAAACAGGAAGTTGGAAAATGTGTAGGTTGTTAGTATTATAATTTTCTGCATAAATATTTGAATACACTGAATTTTAGTGTTGTTCTGCCATATAAAGATGACAATAAGGTCAACTTATAGAGTTAAATATTTTAATAAGTTTACTGACAGTTAGTTAATAACGCTATATAAGTGCGTTGTACTAGAAATATTATATACCACTAAAACAACAGTTATTGCCTGCCACTTCCATCCTTGAAATGAATAAATTCTATAAAACATGACAGACGTATTAATTTGACTACATTACAAAATAAATAATTCAAAACAGTGTGCTTAAATACTTTCAGCTGTTTATATTCATTCTCCATTAGAAAAAGTCTTGGGCCTGTTTCAAGCATTGAACTTAACAGTTTGGGGCATGTAAAGTTCGACATTTGAAACAGGCGTTAAAAACCCTCTCTTATTGTTTAAGTTGCGTTTTCTCTCAGTTTTAATCTAGCGAAATGAAAATCAAGCATTTGAAAATAATCCATTTATTAACGCCTCATAACATGGCACATGACACCATCGCGAGGTTTAATAGTAAGTTTAGCTTCCATTCTGTCTGTCTGTCCTGGTAACAGTTGAAATTTGAACTTTCTCAAAATTCGAACCATAAAAACCTTGATTTCAAACTTAGCAAACATTCGTCCAATACAATCACGTCGACCAAGGGAAAATGGAAAATGTGTTGTGGTGAAATTTGGAATATGATCAACATTTTCAAACCTCTCCGGATCAAATTTTTTAGGATTTTCCCAAATTTCTGGATCCATTGCAAAGAAAAGCTGATTACTAACAACACTCACACCAGAAGGAATGTTCAAACCACCAACTTCTAAAGATTTTAACAATACTCTAGTTGGTGCAATTGCAACAGGATGTTTTCGCAATCCTTCTTCCATAACCTTGTTGAAATATTTTAAATTTCCCAGATCTTCAAACTCCATGTGTTCACGATCACCAAGCACCTCATTAGCTTCGTTAAGGATCTTCTCTTCAATATGAGGATGATTGAGAATTTCATAGAGCAAAAATGATAATGAATTTGAAGTAGTTTCCTGTCCAGCAACAAATATGGTTAAGAATTGGTCAATTATTTCATCCATTGTTAACCTACCATCTTTGATTAAAGAAGTCAACAAATCATTAGGAATATCCTTATTCTTTTCTAAGTCGTTCATACGCTTTTCAACATTCTGCGAAGCAAAATTTCGTACAAATTGAACAGCTTCAATTTGTCTTTTCTTTTTCTCATTTTGTAGGAAACTACACTGAAATATTGTCAATAGTGTTGAACTCAAAGGAATTTCAAAATTATCTTGAACACCTTCCATTGCAAGACGAATTGCACATGGAAACTTTGAGTTTGGATTTTCAATAACTTGTGTGTCAATATTAAATGATACTTGACTGATAGTTTCACATGTTGCTTTACCGAATTCAACCAACATACTTATTGGTTTCTGTTCTTTAACAATCGTGTCCATTCTGACCAGAAAACGATCACAAACATTGTTGAAATTTTTCATAAAATCACGAAGAGATTTTCGATGAAATGTTGGATTCATGATGTGTCGATGTATTTGCCAAGATTTTTCATCCGTGTTATTCGCTAATCCATATCCCGCATAGCGCTCACCATAGACGAACCCAAGTTTATCATAAATAAAACGAGGTTTCATTAAATGTTTATGGTTATTTATAAAAACATGTCTTACATTACTCGAGTCTGCCAGACATACCACGGGCCGATGTGCCAAAACCAACAGAAATATTTTACCGTACTCAAGTCTTTTCTCCAGAAAAAATTCCGCATTAATTCGTCCTGTTCTTGCTTTGTATTTCCAAAGATCTGGCAGATGACCAAGAAAGAAACTTGAACGAGGTGGTCCTGGTATATGAGCAGTAATCCAATGTATGTACATCAAAAATGCGATAATATAGAGTGACAAAGTACAAAAGATGGTCAAAACTGCGAGTAAAATATACAATATTAGTGAAAGCATTTTAATGCTTTAAAGCATGGAAATTCGAAAATCAAAGTGTCAAACAGAGCTTGGTCAGCCCCCACAAAATGTAAATTTAAAATTATTTGTTCACATGATCAAGATGAACACTGACTCTCAAAAAACAGGAAGTTGGAAAATGTGTAGGTTGTTAGTATTATAATTTTCTGCATAAATATTTGAACACACTGAATTTTAGTGTTGTTCTGCCATATAAAGATGGCAATGAGGTCAACTTATAGAGTTAAATATTTTAATAAGTTTACTGACAGTTAGTTAATAACGCTATATCAGTGCGTTGTACTAGAAATATTATATACCACTAATACAACAGTTATGGCCTGCCACTTCATCCTTGAAATGAATAAATTCTATAAAACATGACAGACGTATTAATTTGACTACATTACAAAATAAATAATTCAAAACAGTGTGCTTAAATACTTTCAGCTGTTTATATTCATTCTCCATTAGAAAAAGTCTTGGGCCTGTTTCAAGCATTGAACTTAACAGTTTGGGGCATGTAAAGTTCGACATTTGAAACAGGCGTTAGTTAAAAACCCTCTCTTATTGTTTAAGTTGCGTTTTCTCTCAGTTTTAATCTAGCGAAATGAAAATCAAGCATTTGAAAATAATCCATTTATTAACGCCTCATAACATGGCACATGACACCATCGCGAGGTTTAATTGTTAGTTTAGCTTCCATTCTTTCAGTCTGTCCTGGTAACAGTTGAAATTTGAACTTTCTCAAAACTCGAACCATAAAAACCTTGATTTCAAACTTAGCAAACATTCGTCCAATACAATCACGTCGACCAAAGGAAAATGGAAAATGTGTTGTGGTGAAATTTGGAATATGATCAACATTTTCAAACCTCTCCGGATCAAATTTTTTAGGATTTTCCCAAATTTCTGGATCCATTGCAAAGAAAAGCTGATTACTAACAACACTCACACCAGAAGGAATGTTCAAACCACCAACTTCTAAAGATTTTAACAATACTCTAGTTGGTGCAATTGCAACAGGATGTTTTCGCAATCCTTCTTCCATAACCTTGTTGAAATATTTTAAATTTCCCAGATCTTCAAACTCCATGTGTTCACGATCACCAAGCACCTCATTAGCTTCGTTAAGGATCTTCTCTTCAATATGAGGATGAGTGAGAATTTCATAGAGCAAAAATGATAATGAATTTGAAGTAGTTTCCTGTCCAGCAACAAATATGGTTAAGAATTGGTCAATTATTTCATCCATTGTTAACCTACCATCTTTGATTAAAGAAGTCAACAAATCATTAGGAACATCTTTATTATTTGCAATTTCATTCATACGCTTTTCAACATTCTGAGAAGCAAAATTTCGCAGGAATCGAACAGCTTCAATTTGACTTTTCTTTTTCTCATTTTGTAGGAAGCTCCACTGAAACATTGTCAATAGTGTTGAACTCAAAGGAATTTCAAAATTATCTTCAACACCTTCCATTGCAAGACGAATTGCACATGGAAACTTTGAGTTTGGATTTTCAATAACTTGTGTATCAATATTAAATGATACTTGACTGATAGCTTCACATGTTGCTTTACCAAATTCAACCATCATACTTATTGGTTTCTGTTCTTTAACAATCCTGTCCATTCTGACCAGAAAACGATCACAAACATTGTTGAAATTTTTCATAAAATCACGAAGAGATTTTCGATGAAATGTTGGATTCATGATGTGTCGATGTATTTGCCAAGATTTTTCATCCGTGTTATTCGCTAATCCATATCCCGCATAGCGCTCACCATAGACGAACCCAAGTTTATCATAAATAAAACGAGGTTTCATTAAATGTTTATGGTTATTTATAAAAACATGTCTTACATAACTAGAATCTGCCAGACATACCACGGGTCGATGTGCCAAAACCAACAGAAATATTTTACCGTACTCAAGTCTTTTCTCCAGAAAAAATTCCGCATTAATTCGTCCTGTTCTTGCTTTGTATTTCCAAAGATCTGGCAGATGACCAAGAAAGAAACTTGAACGAGGTGGTCCTGGTATATGAGCAGTAATCCAATGTATGTACATCAAATATACAATAATATAGAGTGATAAAGTACAAAAGATGGTCAAAACTGCGAGTAAAATATACAATATTAGTGAAAGCATTTTAATGCTTTAAAGCATTGAAATTCGAAAATCGAAGTGTCAAACTGAGCTTGGTCAGCTCCCACAAAATGTAAATTTAAAGTTATTTGTTCACATGACCAAGATGAACATTGACTCTCAAAAAACAGGAAGTTGGAAAATGTGTAAGTTGTAGGTATTATAATTTTCTGCATAAATATTTGAACACACTGAATTTTAGTGTTGTTCTGCCATATAAAGATGGCAATGAGGTCAACTTATAGAGTTAAATATTTTAATAAGTTTACTGACAGTTAGTTAATAACGCTATATCAGTGCGTTGTACTAGAAATATTATATACCACTAATACAACAGTTATGGCCTGCCACTTCATCCTTGAAATGAATAAATTCTATAAAACATGACAGACGTATTAATTTGACTACATTACGAAATAACTAATTCAAAACAGTGTGCTTAAATACTTTCATCTGTTAATATTCATTCTCCATTAGAAAAAGTCTTGAGCCTGTTTCAAACATTGAACTTAACAGTTTGGGGCATGTAAAGTTTGACGTTTGAAACAGGCGTTAAAAACCCTCTCTTATTGTTTAAGTTTGCGTTTTCTCTCAGTTTTAATCTAGCGAAATGAAAATCAAGCATTTGAAAATAATCCATTTATTAACGCCTCATAACATGGCACATGACACCATCGCGAGGTTTAATAGTAAGTTTAGCTTCCATTCTGTCTGTCTGTCCTGGTAACAGTTGAAATTTGAACTTTCTCAAAATTCGAACCATAAAAACCTTGATTTCAAACTTAGCAAACATTCGTCCAATACAATCACGTCGACCAAGGGAAAATGGAAAATGTGTTGTGGTGAAATTTGGAATATGATCAACATTTTCAAACCTCTCCGGATCAAATTTTTTTAGGATTTTCCCAAATTTCTGGATCCATTGCAAAGAAAAGCTGATTACTAACAACACTCACACCAGAAGGAATGTTCAAACCACCAACTTCTAAAGATTTTAACAATACTCTAGTTGGTGCAATTGCAACAGGATGTTTTCGCAATCCTTCTTCCATAACCTTGTTGAAATATTTTAAATTTCCCAGATCTTCAAACTCCATGTGTTCACGATCACCAAGCACCTCATTAGCTTCGTTAAGGATCTTCTCTTCAATATGAGGATGAGTGAGAATTTCATAGAGCAAAAATGATAATGAATTTGAAGTAGTTTCCTGTCCAGCAACAAATATGGTTAAGAATTGGTCAATTATTTCATCCATTGTTAACCTACCATCTTTGATTAAAGAAGTCAACAAATCATTAGGAACATCTTTATTATTTGCAATTTCATTCATACGCTTTTCAACATTCTGAGAAGCAAAATTTCGCAGGAATCGAACAGCTTCAATTTGACTTTTCTTTTTCTCATTTTGTAGGAAGCTCCACTGAAACATTGTCAATAGTGTTGAACTCAAAGGAATTTCAAAATTATCTTCAACACCTTCCATTGCAAGACGAATTGCACATGGAAACTTTGAGTTTGGATTTTCAATAACTTGTGTATCAATATTAAATGATACTTGACTGATAGCTTCACATGTTGCTTTACCAAATTCAACCATCATACTTATTGGTTTCTGTTCTTTAACAATCCTGTCCATTCTGACCAGAAAACGATCACAAACATTGTTGAAATTTTTCATAAAATCACGAAGAGATTTTCGATAAAATGTTGGATTCATGATATGTCGATGTATTTGCCAAGATTTTTCATCAGTGTTTGTAACTAATCCATATCCTAAATAGCGTTCACCATAGACAAATCCAAGTTTATCATAAACGAAACGAGGTTTCATTAAATGTTTATGGTTATTTATAAAAACATGTCTTACATAACTAGAATCTGCCAGACATACCATGGGTCGATGTGCCAAAACCAACAGAAATATTTTACCGTACTCAAGTCTTTTCTCCAGAAAAAATTCGTCATTAATTCGTCCTGTTCTTGCTTTGTATTTCCAAATATCTGGCAGATGACCAAGAAAGAAACTTGAACGAGGTGGTCCTGGTATATGAGCAGTAATCCAATGTATGTAGATCAAAAATGCGATAATATAGAGTGACAAAGTACAAAAGATGGTCAAAACTGCGAGTAAAATATACAATATTAGTGAAAGCATTTTAATGCTTTAAAGCATGGAAATTCGAAAATCAAAGTGTCAAACAGAGCTTGGTCAGCCCCCACAAAATGTAAATTTAAAATTATTTGTTCACATGATCAAGATGAACATTGACTCTCAAAAAACAGGAAGTTGGAAAATGATAATTTTCTGCATAAATATTTGAATACACTGAATTTTAGTGTTGTTCTGCCATATAAAGATGGCAATGAGGTCAACTTATAGAGTTAAATATTTTAATAAGTTTACTGACAGTTAGTTAATAACGCTATATCAGTGCGTTGTACTAGAAATATTATATACCACTAATACAACAGTTATGGCCTGCCACTTCATCCTTGAAATGAATAAATTCTATAAAACATGACAGAAGTATTAATTTGACTACATTACGAAATAACTAATTCAAAACAGTGTGCTTAAATACTTTCATCTGTTAATATTCATTCTCCATTAGAAAAAGTCTTGAGCCTGTTTCAAACATTGAACTTAACAGTTTGGGGCATGTAAAGTTTGACGTTTGAAACAGGCGTTAAAAACCCTCTCTTATTGTTTAAGTTTGCGTTTTCTCTCAGTTTTAATCTAGCGAAATGAAAATCAAGCATTTGAAAATAATCCATTTATTAACGCCTCATAACATGGCACATGACACCATCGCGAGGTTTAATTGTTAGTTTAGCTTCCATTCTTTCAGTCTGTCCTGGTAACAGTTGAAATTTGAACTTTCTCAAAACTCGAACCATAAAAACTTTGATTTCAAACTTAGCAAACATTCGTCCAATACAATCACGTCGACCAATGGAAAATGGAAAATGTGTTGTGGTGAAATTTCGAATGTGATCGACATTTTCAAACCTTTCAGGATCAAATATTTCAGGATTTGGCCAAATTTCGGGATCTGTTGAAAAAAATAATTGACTAGTGTCAATACCCACACCAGAGGGAATTTTGAAACCATTCACTTCCAAGGTCTTAGACAATATTCTTGACGGTGCAATTATAGCAGGATGTCTACGAAGTCCTTCTTCCATGACCTTGTTAAAATAGTTAAACTTTGCCAGATCTTCAAACTCCATGTGTTCACGATCACCAAGCACTTCATTAGCTTCATTAAGGATCTTCTCTTCAATATGTGGATGATTGAGAATTTCATAGAGCAAAAATGATAATGAATTTGAAGTAGTTTCCTGTCCAGCAACAAATATAGTTAAGAATTCGTCAACTATTTCATCCATTGTTAACCTACCATCTTTGATTAAAGAAGTCAACAAATCATTAGGAACATCCTTATTCTTTTCTAAGTCGTCCATACGCTTTTCAACATTCTGAGAAGCAAAATTTCGTACAAATTGAACAGCTTCAATTTGTCTTTTCTTTTTCTCATTTTGTAGGAAACTACACTGAAACATAGTCAATAGAGTTGAACTCAGAAAAGAATTAAGATTATCTTCAACACCTTCCATTGCAAGACGAATTGCACTGGGAAACTTTGAGTTTGGATTTTCAATAACTTGTGTATCAATATTAAATGATACTTGACTGATAGCTTCACATGTTGCTTTACCAAATTCAACCAACATACTTATCGCTTTCTGTTCTTTAACAATTGCGTCCATTCTGACCAGAAAACGATCACAAACATTGTTGAAATTTTTCATAAAATTACGAAGAGATTTTCGATGAAATGTTGGATTCATGATATGTCGATGAACTTGCCAAGATTTTTCATCCGTGTTATTCGCTAATCCGTATCCCGCATAGCGCTCACCATAGACGAACCCAATTTTATCATAAATGAATCGATCTTTTACCAAATGTTTGTGGTTTTTTATAAAAATTTCTCTTACATATCTTGAATCTGCCAAACATACGTAAGGTCGATGAGCGAAAAATATCAAAAATATTTTACCGTATTCAAATCTCTTCTCAAGCACAAACTCCACCATAGTTCGTCCTGTTCTTGCTTTGTACTTCCAAATATCTGGCAGATGACCAAGAAAGAAGCTTGAACGAGGTGGTCCTGGTATATGAGCAGTAATCCAATGTATGTAGATCAAATATACGATAATATAGAGTGATAAAGTACAAAAGATGGTCAAAACTGCGAGTGAAATGTAGAATATTATTGAAAGCATTTTAATGTTTTAAAAGAAAACCATTTATCAAGAAACTATTTTGATTTCTTGAACAACCAGAACGGAATAACAAAAATACATGTTATGTTTCTCAAACAACATGTGAATTTACCTCAGGAAAGAATATTGAATTTCATTAGTTCGTTACACAATAATTTCATCGAACGATATCACATGTAATGCCTGAATGAGCTGCAACGTGATAAAGCTCACACAACACATTCAAAGGAACGATAATGTTTTAACAGGATATGTACGATTTCAATACAGATGATGTCTTGAAAGTGTTGAATATTATTTTTCAAACGTGTAGTTTAAGTTATAAATAGTAAAAAAATTGTAATCACAAGCATTACGTATGATATCTAGAAGTGCAATACATAGCTACTTGAGAGAGTGGAGAGTAGCGAGCTTGTGGGGACAATTGATAATCTAGGTATAACAAAATGACAGAACAGCCAACCAAAACTCAATAATCATACAGTATATAGCAGCAATGTCACACTCAAAATGGGTTACAACCATTACATAAACAAATATCACAAACTCATCTGTCAAAAGAAAGAGAAGAAACCAACGAGTTAAGCACGTGGAAGCTTTATGGGTAATACATGGTAATAAGAGCGGAGAGTTGATTGAAACAAAGAGAAGCACGCGGTGGATATTGGAACTTACGTACATCGCTCAAACATAGCATTACATTCGTGGTAAATGGACATAAATACATTATTTTTTGAAAATTGGAAACTATAAACAAGAGCAATTACACAAACTTTAAAAAATGCAAGAATCGAGAAAAAGAGGTCAGACGAAAACAACAATTGATTCTTGGAAAAAGTGAAACAAACAAAGTTAGAACTTCAACTACTTATTTATTCATTTATACATAAATAAATAAATAATGTGTAAATTACAAAGAAAAGTTACGGCTTTGGTAAAGAACTAAAATGAAAATAGAATTCGTGATGGGTATGTCTAAGTTATTTTCTTTCGTAGAGGCATAATTAAATCTTTATATATATTGAAACTTTTACTTTGTACTTAGCTTTGATTTGGTTGTATTTCAGTGCTTAATTACTATTTAGCTAAAAATACGCAGTGGAGATAGAAGAAAGATTTCTTTCATGCAGGAGTAGTTCAACAAAAACTTTTAGCCACAGTTGAACATCGTACGATAATCGGAAAGTTGAACGACAAATGAAAACTGTAAAAAATAAACTAAGCATAAACACAAACCTCATGAAAATGTTCCTGTCTTTCCTTTTTGCACAATGGATCTGCGGTGTTTTCTGAATGACTCAAGTTTCGTTCTGCAGCTCTGCTACCACGCAGTTTCATAACTGTAATGTCAGTATCTTGGGATTTTTTACACCATGTGAAACTTTTCCGGTCCAAATATCTCTAAAAAAGAAAACTGAAGTAGCTATTTAGTCAAGACAAACGTGACGATTATGACATAAAACGTCAATTTAATTTCATTCACACAACTGACACAAGACAGTTTTTGTTCGCATTATAAAGATAAAGCAAAGTTTAGTTATATCATATTAATCCAGTGATACTATAATGAATACTGGAGAGGAGAAGAAAGAGACAATGGAACACCAAGGTTTTCCTCAATAGCAGTCTGAGCAACAACAACGCATTTTTTAAGCTTTAAAAATATATCATGGTAGAGTGTTACATTGTTTAACGTCTTGAATGAGATATAATAATTTAAAGTAAATGGTTTGAACCCTGGAGAGTCCTTCTCAGGACTATACCAACCTGGACGATCTACATTTACAAACATATATAATAATTTAACTATGAACTAAAGGTTGTCAACAAAATCATCATCGCATTGATGAATGAAATGGAAGATGGGAAACAGTGCATTCAAAAGATCATACTTATTGATTAGATTTTCAATAACTTGTGTATCAATATTAAATGATACTTGACTGATAGATTCACATGTTGCTTTACCAAATTCAACCAACATACTTATTGGTTTCTGTTCTTTAACAATTGCGTCCATTCTGACTAAAAAACGATCACAAACATTGTTGAAATTTTTCATAAAATCACGAAGAGATTTTCGATGAAATGTTGGATTCATAATATGTCGATGTATTTGCCAAGATTTTTCATCAGTGTTTGTAACCAATCCATATCCCGCATAGCGCTCACCATAGACGAAGCCAAGTTTATCATAAACGAAACGAGGTTTCATTAAATGTTTATGGTTATTTATGAAAATATGTTTTGAATAGGCCAAATGTGCTAAAAATACCACGGGTTGATGAGCCAAAAACAACACAAATATTTTACCGTATTCAAATCTCTTCTCAAGCACAAACTCAATCAAAATTCGTCCTGTTCTTGCTTTGTATTTCCAAATATCTGGCAGATGACCAAGAAAGAAACTTGAACGAGGTGGTCCTGGTATATGAGCAGTAATCCAATGTATGTAGATCAAATATATAATAATATAGAGTGACAAAGTACAAAAGATCGTCAATACTGCGAGTAAAATATACAATATTATTGAAAGCATTTTGATGTTTTAAATGAAAACTATTTATCAAGAAACTATTTTAAAAATAGAGCAAGCAAAATCTACTAAAGTTTTGATTCCTTTAACCACTAGAACAGAATAACAAGCATACAAAAATGTAAACATGTGATCATGACTGATAACCTCATGTCTCTCAGAGACAATATTGAATTTCAATTGTTCGTCACACAAATATTTATCGAATGGTATCAAATGAATAAACTACATTGTGATGAAGTTCATAAAACTCAACACTATTCACGATGTATCTTCGACGATTTAAATAAAAATGATGTCGTGAATGTTTCAAAACAAGTGTGTTATTTTTCTTGAATGTCAAGTTAAGTTTATAAAATCGTTTAACATCTTTGATAAGTTGTTTCCTAAAGAGGCTCAGTGGCTCACACAATAATCGGTAATCAAAAGCGTTAATAAACTACGGGGCAAAGAGGTACATGGTTATGAATGCTGTAAACTGGCCGATGAATATCTACCAACATGTGAACTTCCTTCATACCATCGTTTCCCCACTCTATTGAGTCTATTCTATATAATCGCTATGCTTTTGATACCATGCAGATACAGACGACAGAGTACGGCGTACCGGATACGAAAGAGCAATCCAGAAAAGCTCATACAGCAGCCTCGTACCCTGGCGCTTCACATGGTGTGCGTGAGCATGGCGCATTTGCGTGGCTGTAACAAGCCGATTACGTGTGGAAGCTTCCCAGCGATTTTCCCATTTTTTGCTCGCGCGTTTCGTCCCGCGCAAGTAAGCAATGTGACATTCAAAGCGCCTGGGTACGAGGCTCCTGATATAGCACTTTCACACTAACTACGTTTAATTTCTTGGTGCTTTACTAGTGCCAAACTTCTCCGCGTCGCTCCACACACAATCCAAGCAAAAAATCACGCGGTCAATGAGAGCCATTCAGCAAACGGCGAAAATTTAAGAATTTCCTAGTGGCGTATTTGACTATCGTGGTGCATAGTTAATCTGTTCGGAGTAAAATTTTTCGATTACTTTCTAATTTTGCAACGATGATCGCGTTGGGTAAATCAAGGGAAATGTAGTTGTCTAAACTTGCTTCCTTATTCAAAGATTTCAGTTCATGAAAATGTTGGTGAATTTTCATCTTTGAAATCTTTGAAAAATATCTCAAACGGAGCGAATGCTCTAAAGACTAAAAACAGTTAATTAACCTTTACTCGGAGACAAACGATTAAATATTCCGGGACACTACTTTAAACACAAAACAACCTTTCAACTGCTTCCATGGATATTTTAAATACCAATATCTGATGAAAATATTATGGATTACATGAAATACTCAAAGTACCATCCTTTACAAGCTCCAAAATGCTTGATGTTTTAAGGTCGTCAAGTCGGATTTGTTTTCCAGCCTTTTCACACCTAGCAAAAAAATACATAAATCATCAACTTTAAACATTTCGCCTCTCTATACAATCCACGATAAATTTCTCAACAAAAATATTTATTCTACAATTGACTTTGCTACAAACAAGTTATTGACACGATTTAAAACGCACCATAAATTTGACGCAACTAAACGCTGAACGGCGTCTTTGGCAGAATTTTTAATATCTTCAGCTGTTGTAGACTGTTTAATCCTCACTTGCGTCGTAATGGTTAAGTTCAGCGAAACTTCTTTTTCCTAAATAATGAAACGGTTCCTGTAGCTCAACTACATAGTAATTTCTTAAAGTTCAAAGATACAGTAAAAAATGCTTACACTAAGTATACAACATACCTCTTTTGGAAGATTTTCTTTTCGATGATATCGGGGAGATCTAGGTACAGTTGGGGAGTTTTGAGGTAGTTTCGGAATCTTAACTGGTCTCTGTGGAGGATCAGGTGGAGCAGATTTTGCTCGACTTCGTTCAGTTGTATTCTTGCGTTGAGCACGAGGTAAAGGGGGTGGTTTCATGGTTGTTACAACCTTTGGTGGAGGAGCAGGTCGTCGGGGTGCCTTTCGATCGGAATATACCGTGAGACGTCGTGAATCACCGACAACATCACGTACTGCTGCTACTGCGTAAGGAGTTACTTCCGGAATATCAGGCACTTCCTCATATTCATTATCATCATCGTCAGTTGTGTCAATTTCAACGTTTTTTTTTACTTCTGATATTCTCTTACCTAAAACAGGCGATTCTTTTGAATTACGATTGCTAGAAAGCAGATTTTCAAGAGAATTTTTCCGTCGAAATTTTGGAGGTCCTGCATGAAGCTTTGGCTCAGCTTTTGGCGAAGATTTAGAAGGTCTCCCAAGTTTTCCTGGATCAAGCGACTTTGGTCTTTCTTTCGGGGCAGACATGGCAAAGCCATTAACATAGACGTGTCCATTGTTTTGATTTTTATTTGGCGTTGCAGATTTCAGATCCGAGGGTGTCTTTTGATCTGATTTTATTGGAGGCTGGACTCTTCGTAAAGATAATCTAGCTTCTTTTTTTCTTAAATCTTTAAGAAGAGCTTCACGAGAAGTTACATCCTTGAAGAAAAAAATAAACAAACTTTGACATGTTGTGTTTTAAAGAAACAGATGACAATACAAAATTTACAAACAAACGAAAACAACATTTTCATTTCTTTCAATCAATGTATGTTAAATACCTCAGTGCCGTTGTCGTGTCTTTCGACGTAAGAGCCTGGGACCAAGCCTCGCTAAAGAACAAAATATCAATCATCAATCTCAGCGCAGGCACCATTACCAATGCAGTTGTGTAGGCAGCATTTATGAAGGGGGGCGGGCAAGTCATTAAAGACACGCCGAAACATACAACTTATATAGATGTTAATTTAAAATTGTCGAGAAAAAGGGGATGCAATCAGGGGCAAAACTAGAACGCTAATTGGAGAGTGAATATTCATACAATAAGCTCTGCCCTGCTGATTTCTTTTGAAGTTAAAATCGCTAACAAAGAAAATCAGTAGGAAGAACTGAATATAGGAATATTCATCCTCCCCCCCTCCTCCCAATTAGCGTTCTAATTTTGCCCCAGGGTGCACTTGCCCCCTTGCCCTCCCTCGACTAAAACTCAGTAATGACATAGTGTTATTTACTAGATTGCAAGAAAAGGATAAAAAATCCTACCTACCTTTCGTGAATCATTGGTGATCATTGTAAACCATCCATCGTCCGCAGTTTCCACAATTCGGATGATTTCACCGGCCTTGACCGACACTTCGTGTTCATTTTGTGCTATGAAGTCGTACAATACTCGGTAGAGTTCGCCAATCTCCGTCACTTTCGTTGGCAACGTTGGTGATCCTTTCGGTGTTACACGTCCGCGCTATGCGTGAAAAGCATGGTGAAAAAAGATTTGAAATGGTGAAAAACCAGTTATGAATACTGGAAAACAGGTACGCAAACAAGTTTTCAGTAACTAAAAACGGGTAAAAACCGGTAGTAGTTATAGGCAAAAACAAGTTAAACAGGTTTCACGAGGTTCCTTCTTCAAATTTGTTGTTTTGAATGTGTTTTTACCACGTCAATTACAAGCTTGGTTTTCATCAAAAATTATAAAATAACCATAACATAACGCGTGCGCTGATTGGTCAATGGGTGAGTTTGCATCAGCCCGCGTAAACCGATCTAAGTTCAACCAATCAAATCAATCAAATAGAATTTTAAAATCAATCATGAATATATGCTGAAGGAAAAATCAAAGGATTTGTTTGGGAAGGTGCATATCCTCAACCTTTGGTCTCGGGCTTGCACTGATCTGCTTTTGCGTTCTCTAAAAGGTCTCATTGGTTTACATAAGCCTGTGCAAACACAGTAAACATCTTTTATTTTAAAGAAATCACTCTGTAATGTCATGTCCTCGTGTTTTCAATCACAAACATTTCTTTCTAACATCTTTATTACCAATGCTAAAGGAGATTCCATTTTCTCATAATTGTCGAAGTCAACAACAACCTGTTTCAAGAAAATTGTAAACAGATATTGATTCTCCAAGTCTCGAAGTAACAAACCCAATTTTCAATGGCAATGTGAAACATTACCTGCGATTTTCCAAGATAATCCCGCTTTTCTAAGTTTGCAGTTTTTGATTTTGGAGGTTGAAAAATGGCATCCATCACAATAAATTCAAGTGCTTGGCCATTCTATGAAAAAACTGTTGATGTTGAAAAAAGCTGGTAATCCTAGATGCGAACCTTTGAGTGGGAACAAATATGAGATAACTTTAGATGCACTAAACAAATGATGTACATAATGACAAAGAATTTTAGTAATAGATGCAACATGGACGTTAACCTAGTGGTTGGAATCACTACAATATCTCAGTACCTTTAAGTTTGTTAAACTAATATCTACAATGTTATGCCGTGGTTCAACCTTGCATTGCAAAGCAAGTAAAAGATCTTCAACAGCACTGTCCTCATATCCAAGACTTGAGAGGCAAACAGCTCGATTCAAAAGAACCTATAGGTGGAAAGATAAGATGAGATATGTATAACTGGCATTATCTGTAACCTTTTATACATTGAAAAAAATGTTTCACCTCACACTTGTAAAGTTTATATCTTAAGCCAAGTTGTCTGTAGTCAATAAATTTGCCATCTCTTAGCTTCCTCAATGTTTCATTAAAATTCACTAATGCATCTGCATAACTAAAACAGGTAGGACAAATACAGACATCTCATGAAATAAATAGTTTAGAGCAAGCCCTTTGATACCTGGTACACATAAGATTGACAACTCCCAACATAAAATGTCCTATAGCCATGTGAGCATCTTTCTTTATGACATCTTGAAATGACTAATGAAAGAGAAACTTTGTGTAATTAAAAACAAGGGCAAAGAGTGTTTTTAACTCGTGTAAGTGCTATTTGAAAAAGCATGTCTCTTCCTAAAGAGCAACACTTTGTACCGTAGATCATCTAGTTGGCATGATTGATTTGAAAATTGACAAATTCTTTGGCATATGAACTTACCAATAAAGCTGCTTGTAAATCACAAAGTGATATGTATGTCCGACCAATGTTGAATAAAATTTTTGCTGTTGAATCGTTCATTTCTCTGAATCTACTCAACGATGTTTCGAAGTCGCCTGAATTGTATGATTCCACGGCCTCTTTCCATTTTTGTAAGTTTTGAACTAGCGTCATTATGATATTTTACAATCTTATTTTATACAATGATCGTGCCACAGGAATTTCGTAATCTCAGAATTGTCTTGATTAAAATTCGATGGTGAAATATGACACCTTTAAACATTCACCATCCACTCAAAATAAATGGATTATATATAAAGATAAGCTCTGATGACAACCAAAGACCAAACGGCACGCACGTTCTCACGATTTCAAGAATTCAAAGATTTTTACAAATAAAAGTTGGTACGAAAGACATATTACCATATTGACATTGTTCCACCCAAGGGCGGATTTATAATATAAAGACTCTTGACACAGTTACGTCGACTCTCCAGCTGGTCGAAATTTTAAAACATTTCCTTATTTATAATAATCAAAATAATTTTAAGGAGAAGCCAAAACTTCACGCATGGTGAAGCAGTTCTCGGACTTGAACTGCTATAGCTATACTACATGAAGTGTTCCCTACAATGTTGTCATGACAACTTCTAACAAGCAATATGGCGAAGTAATTGAAGTGTTTTTTCGTTTGAAGAGTATTTTTGTGGAATTTTTGTTTATAAATGGAGTATACTGGTAGTTCGTACGACGGAGAATTTCATAATGGAAGGTGATAATTCCTTTAAAATAACAATTTGAAATAATAATTAAAATCGTAATTTATTAGCTTTAGTAATAACTTGTTGTGAAACTTTATTTTGAAACTTTTATTTAGAATGGAAGGGAATGGCGCATACAAGCTTCCCGAAGCTTTGAGCTCTAAATATGTGGGACAAATGAAGGATGGGATGTAGGTCCACACTAAACCGTCTTTGTTCTGTGTGTCTACATTGTGTTGGACTGCAATATAGACTTAATTAAGTTCAAATTTAGTTTCTTGCTGCAATCATGATTTAAGCACGAATCCTCTGTATTTAAATACGAGTAAATCCTCTCCCACGATTTTTGGGAAAGGTAGCTTGGGAAGGCAAGGTCACTTTTCCCTAATATCTCATTTGGACCCCCCCTTATCAATAAAATTAAGCGTATTAGCTGTATAAGTTCTTCTGGGGGAGATGGAGACTTGCTAAAGTCAATTGGTAAATGTCTTCGACAATCCTTTGGCTTCCTGTGCCCTAGTCCGACTGAACGTTATGATTAAGCAATTGTTGGACAAGATTCAAATCATCAGTAAATATCCCAATGCTTACGCAAAGAGTATGCGTTAGATCACAATTAAATCGAATTGTTTTTTATTTACAAGGTTTCATGGCTCAGGTACATTGTTCTTTGATAATGGCAGCAAGTACGAAGGAAAATGGGAAAATGGTATTGCACTAGAGGTAATACATTTTCTCTATAAAGTAAATGGTTTGAACCCGGGAGCATCGTTACATGTTTGTAAATGTAGATCGTGCAGGTTGGTATAGTCCTGAAAAGACTGTTTTTGCTGTTGTCGACTGACGTTTCGACAACCTTAACGGTAGTCATCTTCAGAGTCAAATGAGGAGTAAACGTCAGGTTAGCCGTATTTGTTATCTGGTTCTTACGTCATTGTATTGTGTGTACAGGAAATGTGTATTGTCATTGTGGATTAGTGTGAAGTGAAATATTTTATTTTTAGTTGTGATGTGTGATTTAGGTGTCACGTATTTAGTTGTAATGTGTGGGTGTCAATTGTGTATTGTAGAAATAAAATATTTCACTTCACACTAATCCACAATGACAATACACATTTCCTGTACACACAATACAATGACGTAAGAACCAGATAACAAATACGGCTAACCTGACGTTTACTCCTCGTTCGACTCTGAAGATGACTACCGCTAAGGTTGTCGAAACGTCAGTCAACAACAACAAAAAACAGTCCTTCTCAGGACTATTCCAACCTGGACGATCTACATTTACAAACATATTTTCTCTACATCAAAAGCTTTATGTCCGTCCTTAGTTGTTGTCAATCGTTTTCATCGTTTATTAAAGGGTCAATTTACGTTTCATGATGGTCTGGAGTATAAACATCAGGAATGGGAATACTGTGATGGTTATGACAGACGATTTTATACCGAAATTTGCAACGGATTGAGACCTGCAGGTGAGGATGTACCACTTTAAACGTTGATTTGTCTTTATTGAATAAGCTACTTGGTATTCTTAACCTTAATCCTTGAGTCATGGCCGAAGATCGTATTTGTACTGAACGATTCAATAAATTAAGACAAATTCAAGATTCAACAATGCTTAATTGGATTTTGTTTTAGGTCGTTCCCAGCTCACCAATCGCGTGCCACCACGTGACATTCTCGAAGGCTGCTATGACTGTGGTGACGGTTTTTACAACCCAGTGACGCGTATTGTTGTAGATTATGAAGGGCAATTCTTACGAAATGCGGGTAATTAAATTTGACCCAATGACAAATATCCATCGTCGTCGGTTATCACCGCTGCCTGTACCTGATTTTGATGTTTCCAGTACTTTCAAGACTTTCTTCCTTCTTTTCACTCTAGACGATGACGAGCATGCGTGGATCATGAAAACATGTCGTAAAGGATGGGATGAAAATGTTGGAGGAAAATTAAGAGATTTTGCTGCAAAATAATCGGGAATTTTCTCAAAGCGTTAGCATATCATGTAAATAACATATAAGAAACAAATAAAAGTAAACTTATCGTCTTCTGTGAGATAAAAATGTTACATAATGAATGTTTCACAACACCAATAATCGTCATTGATTGAAGTGCTCTTTAAGATATAAAATGTTTTCATCTATACATTACGCTTTTTTAAGATTACGTCGATTGAATGGCGATGCAATTGTCGTCAATGTAAGGTGAGACCACTTCCCAGACCTGCACAAATATTGAAATCGTAATGACACAATATTTTAATAAACTTGCTATTTATCTAGAAACAACGATCTTAAGGAAATGGTTTTAATACGAGATTTTCATTACAGCATAATGAATGTTGACTGTCTAGGTTTGGTGCTTTATCGTTGATTTTACAATTACGGTAATGGTGGTATTAGCAGTGGTGTTAGAGGTGGTGGTGATGGTGAAGTAGTGGTAATATGTGATGATAGTAGTGGTGGTGGTGGTTGAGTAGTGGTAATATGTGATGATAGTAGTGGTGGTGATGGTTGAGTAGTGGTAATATGTGATGATAGTAGTGGATATGGTGTGATAGTAGTGGTGTGATGATAGTAGTGGTATGTGATGATAGTAGTGGTGGTGATGGTTGAGTAATGGTAATATGTGATGATAGTAGTGGTAATGATGGTGGAGTAGTGGTAATATGTGATGATAGTAGTGGTGGTGATGGTTGAGTAGTGGTAATATGTGATGATAGTAGTGGTAATGATGGTGGAGTAGTGGTAATATGTGATGATAGTAGTGGTGGTGATGGTTGAGTAGTGGTAATATGTGATGAGAGTGGTGGTGATGGTGGAGTAGTGTTGATTTTTTATGATAGTAGTGGTTGTGATGTTGGTGATTATGGTAGTTGTCAATTTCAGTGAACAGTAAATAACGTCAATGTCATGTTTCATAAACATCCCACCTTTTCCGATCGCAGAAGATTTGTAACTTTTTCAATGTCAGGGGCCATTATTCTGTCTTTGTCCCAGGTTCTAGTAATTAAATACATGGTAAATAAACCCCTAGGTGATAAAACTACGACAATGATTATGTTCTTGATGTTACGTAACGCAGGGTATTTACCATCTTAGGTCCGTTTCAAAAGTCGCATTTTACATGCGCTGAATGCACCTAAAGCAAAAGATAATGAGATAAAATTCCTCATTAACTGCATTCGGCTCACGTAAAATGCCACGTTTGAAATAGGCCTTTTTGTAAACACCAAGAAATCTTGCACCATCAATGAAGCAACCTTTTCTAAATTGCAAGTTTTTCGAGTAGCCCCTTTAAAGTAACAATCATATTTCGACTTGAACGGATCACGTGTCTGTGTATGAAAACTTACTTGACGTATTTTCGAACTAATTCATAAACACCTTCCAGTGGTTCGGTCGTCTTCAGAGGACGCAAAAACTCGATCGCCTGACAAGCAGCTAACAACTCGATAGCAATAACTAAAACAAAGAAAATATTTTGTCATATAATAAAAATACTTGTTTGCAAAAATAACCCAAATTGCAACTCGAGAAATGACGAAATGCAAATCCTTGCAGTATAAACAATCAATGTTCACTGACTAACTTTCATCTCGAGAGCGAAAAACAATGAAAGATTTCGTAAATATTACACCTCGTTCAACATTTTCCACGACCTTCAACGCTTTTCTCGCTGAGAAACCACCCATGGACACGTGATCTTCAGTACCCGCTGACGTAGATAAAGAATCGACGGAAGATGGGTGACATAACACTTTATTTTCGGATACTGAAGAGAGAATTAAGCTTTCGAAGTTGAGTTATGAACAGTACAAAACGGAGTTTTGAAGCAAAACCTTCCTTAACTACATTTGGAAAAGAAAGCTTTTCTAATAATGCATTAAAAATCAAAGTAACTACTTAATACCTAGAGCCGCCGCTGTGTAATGCGCCACCATGAAACCTAAAAATAAAATTATCGACAGGCTTTTGAAAGAACTAAATCTTGCGGACATAATAGTACGAAACTCATAATAAGCAAAGCTCTACCAGAATTTAGGCCACCGTTTTCAACAAGGAAGGCTGGTAAGCCACTGTAAGCTAAAATGTAGAGAATCGTTGATTAAATTTAATCAATCATTGTACATATACAAATCATTATTCATAAATAAATAATCTCCACCTGGATTCATAAGCCGTTCAATACGACGTTCACTGATACTTGATAACTCATGGACTCCAATTGCTAGATAATCTAACGCCTGAAACAGATATGACGTAGACGGAGATGATGAGAAGGAGCAGAGGATCATATGAAGGGTATGATTTAAGTCTTGAGAAGGATTAAAACGAATATAATTTACCGGAAAAAAATATCTCAGAAAATGATATTTAGTGCATGATGATCAAGATCACAAAGGATGAGATGGAGTACGTGATGTTTAAATAGATCACTAAGGATGACATGGAGTACATGATGATTAAAAAGATCACTAAGGATGACATGGAGTACGTGATGTTTAAAAAGATCACTAAGGATGACATGGAGTACATGATGATTAAAAAGATCACTAAGGATGACATGGAGTACGTGATGATCAAAAGATCACTAAGGATGACATGGAGTACATGATGATTTAAAAGATCACTAAGGATGACATGGAGTACGTGATGATTAAAAGATCACTAAGGATGACATGGAGTACGTGATGATTAAAAAGATCACTAAGGATGACATGGAGTACGTGATGATTAAAAAGATCACTAAGGATGACATGGAGTACAGGATGATTAAAAAGATCACTAAGGATGACATGGAGTACAGGATGATTAAAAAGATCACTAAAGATGAGATGGAGTACATGATGATTAAGAGATCACAAAGGATGACATGGACTACATGATGATTAAAAAGATCACTAAAGATGACATAGAGTACATGATGAATAAAATACCTTTGCCGGATATTCTCCATGAAAATTTCCACCAGAAATAACATCACGTGACTCGGCAAAGATCATCTGATTTCATTCGTAAAGACATAAGCACAGAAACATTTCACTTATCATCTCACAGAACTACTAACGTTTAGTAAACGTCGAAATACTTCAGTTTAGATTAAATTCAATCAAATAAAAGATACAGGATTATCTGTTGCGCTGTTCATCTCGGTGGTGAGAATATCTTTTGCAAATTCGATTGTATCCAACGCAATTCCATGAACCTTGAAAGATGACTGAAAGTCAGTACAAAAAAAGTTCAACTTAACATCGTCGTCATTTCTCTTTCTTTTACCTGTGGACAGCAACGCATGGTGTATGCATCTTGCACGCGATCACAAAAACGATGGCTTTCTATAAACGAAATTCGTCTTCGTGTTTATTAGTGCAACGTAAAAGTGCCAGAAATTCATATAAAATTTGTATCATAGACGAAAGCATTATTTCAAGAAAAGTACAAGTTGGTTTTCTACCATAAATTTCAGAAGGATAACGTTCGGTATGTAGTAGAGACTTTATTCTTTTTGCTACAATTCCTTGCCCCTTGTGTGGTCTTAGCTTATGAATACGACTTTCAAAAGCCCGTGGTGTTCCTTTAAGACTTTCCAATGTTAATGCAGCAACGACGTCTGTCTGCCGTGAAATTGCGATTGCCCGAGATAATGCTATATACAGTCAATAACAGACGAAAACACAAATTTAGGTCGTCTCGATGAACATCAAAACAATGCTTGAAAAAATGTTCGACCTTCAGATCCAACAGCAGTTATTAATTGGGTTCCATTGATCATTGCAAGACCCTTAAAGACAAAAAAAAAAATATGAAAACCTCCTTATAAAGCATAGTTATCTGCTTGACATCACCTCCTTTGGACCTAACACGATCTGTTTTAAGCCATGTGCCAGCAATACCTATAAACGAAAATTCTTTTGTAAAAAAGAAAGGTCCGTGGACATTATTTTCACAGAGAACCCGAACTAAACGCTAAAACAATAAAAAAATCTGTTGTAAACATAAACAAACCAGTTTAGCGTCGCTCCAACCACTTTTACGACTCCACATTTTCCCTTCTCCCATAAGGCCAAGCGCGAGGTGAGCAAGTGGTGCAAGATCCCCACTTGCTCCTACAGTTCCCTGCTCCGGAATCCAAGGTAAACAAGATGCTATATATATTGAGAAATAGATTGGCTGCAAAGAAAATTTCACTTTATAAATTCTTTCATTCACAGTAGTTGATTTGGTTTTCTCTATAATACCGTTAAAAGCCTCCACGATCAACTGCAAATTCTCCCAAGATATTCCACTAAAGGAGAATTGCAAGAGAGTTATTTAACAGATGATTAAACGCAACTTATTGAGGTAAAATATAAAGTGTTCGTCTACTTTAAACAACGCAAAGAGAAGCTTGTGTAAAAATAACAACAAGAAAATAAAGAAAGAAAGACAATGGACGGAAAAAAAGCAAAGAAAGAGACGGCCATCAACACAAATCCATAACAAAATATCCTCAAGTACAAACCTGTATCCTTTAGCAAGCACATTAATACGTAGTGCCATCATCATTCTTGTTTGTTCAATTGTAAGTGGGTTTCCTGTACCAGCTGCATGCGATTTAATCAAATTCTCTTGAAGTTGTCTGCATGTTAAGACAGCAAGAACAGTTCAATTTACAAAACATCCGTTTTTTTATATTTATAAAATTCACATCTTACTCTAGCTTTTCTCCCGATATAACTTTCTGGGCGAACTTTCCAAAACCAGTATTGATACCATACGCCACTGCAAAGTAGAGAATGAAGGTAAGCAAGCCAGCGGTTATTTGAACAAGTCACGGTAGTTACTTTATCTGAGCCTTCCTGAAGTGTATCAATATGTTGTCATAAAGGAACACACGTAATATCTTCCTACGCAATCTTTACCATATTTAACCATACGTAGGACATCTTATCCATACTTAACCATACGTAGGACACCTTAACCATACTTAACCATACGTAGGACACCTTAACCATACTTAACCATACGTAGGACACCTTAACCATACTTAACCATACGTAGGACACCTTAACCATACTTAACCATACGTAGGACACCTTAACCATACTTAGCCATAGGTAGGACATCTTAACCATACTTAGCCATACGTAGGACACCTTAACCATACTTAGCCATACGTAGGACACTTTAACCATACTTAGCCATACGCAGGACACCTTAACCATACTTAGCCATACGTAGGACACCTTAACCATACTTAGCCATACGTAGGACACCTTAACCATACTTAACCATACGTAGGACACCTTAACCATACTTAACCATACGCAGGACACCTTAACCATACTTAGCCATACGTAGGACACCTTAACCATACTTAGCCATACGTAGGACACCTTAACCATACTTAACCATACGTAGGACACCTTAACCATACTTAGCCATACGTAGGACACCTTAACCATACTTAGCCATACGTAGGACACCTTAACCATACTTAGCCATACGTAGGACACCTTAACCATACTTAGCCATACGTAGGACACCTTAACCATACTTAGCCATACATAGGACACCTTAACCATACTTAACCATACGTAGGACACCTTAAACATACTTAGCCATACGTAGGACACCTTAACCATACTTAGCCATACGTAGGACACCTTAACCATACTTAGCCATACGTAGGACACCTTAACCATACTTAGCCATACGTAGGACACCTTAACCATACTTAACCATACGTAGGACACCTTAACCATACTTAGCCATACGTAGGACACCTTAACCATACTTAACCATACGTAGGACACTTTAACCATACTTAACCATACTTAGCCATACGTAGGACACCTTAACCATACTTAACCATACGTAGGACACTTTAACCATACTTAACCATACTTAGCCATACGTAGGACACCTTAACCATACTTAGCCATACGTAGGACACCTTAACCATACTTAACCATACGTAGGACACTTTAACCATACTTAACCATACTTAGCCATACGTAGGACACCTTAACCATACTTAACCATCGTGGGACACTTTAACCATACTTAACCATACTTAGCCATACGTAGGACACCTTAACCATACTTAACCATACGTAGGACACTTTAACCATACTTAACCATACTTAGCCATACGTGGGACACCTTAACCATACTTAACCATATGTGGGACACTTTAACCATACTTAACCATACTTAGCCATCGTGGGACACCTTAACCATACTTAACCATACGTGGGACACTTTAACCATACTTAACCATACTTAGCCATCGTGGGACACCTTAACCATACTTAACCATACGTGGGACACTTTAACCATACTTAACCATACTTAGCCATACGTGGGACACCTTAACCATACTTAACCATACGTGGGACACTTTAACCATACTTAACCATAGGACACCTTAACCATACTTAACCATACGTAGGACACTTTAACCATACTTAACCATACGTAGGACACCTTAGCCATACGTAGGACACCTTAACCATACTTAACCATCGTGAGGACACCTTAGCCATACGTGGGACACCTTAACCATACTTAGCCATACTTAGGACACCTTAACCATACTTAACCATACGTGGGACACCTTAACCATACTTAGCCATCGTGGGACACTTTAACCATACTTAGCCATCGTGGGACACCGTGAAACATACTTAACCATCGTGGGACACCTTAACCATACTTAGCCATACGTGGGACACCTTAACCATACTTAGCCATACGTGGGACACCTTAACCATACTTAGCCATACGTGGGACACGTAAACATACTTAACCATCGTGGGACACCTTAACCATACTTAACCATACGTGGGACACCTTAACCATACTTAGCCATACGTGGGACACCGTGAAACATACTTAACCATACGTAGGACACCTTAACCATACTTAGCCATCGTGGGACACCTTAACCATACTTAACCATACGTGGGACACCTTAACCATACTTAACCATCGTGGGACACCTTAACCATACTTAGCCATACGTAGGACACCTTAACCATACTTAACCATACGTGGGACACCTTAACCATACTTAGCCATACGTGGGACACCTTAACCATACTTAACCATCGTGGGACACCTTAACCATACTTAACCATCGTGGGACACCTTAACCATACTTAGCCATACGTGGGACACCTTAACCATACTTAACCATACGTAGGACACCTTAGCCATACTTAGCCATACTTAGGACACCTTAACCATACTTAACCATCGTGGGACACCTTAACCATACTTAGCCATACTTAGGACACCTTAACCATACTTAACCATCGTGGGACACCTTAACCATACTTAGCCATACGTGGGACACCTTAACCATACTTAACCATCGTGGGACACCTTAACCATACTTAGCCATCGTGGGACACCTTAACCATACTTAACCATCGTGGGACACCTTAACCATACTTAGCCATACTTTGGACACCTTAACCATACTTAACCATACGTAGGACACCTTAGCCATACTTAACCATACGTGGGACACCTTAACCATACTTAGCCCATCGTGGGACACCTTAACCATACTTAGCCATCGTGGGACACCTTAACCATACTTAGCCATACGTCGGACACCTTAGCCATACTTAGCCATACGTAGGACACCTTAACCATACTTAGCCACGTGGGACACCTTAACCATACTTAACCATCGTGGGACACCTTAACCATACTTAGCCATCGTAGGAAACCTTAACCATACTTAGCCATACGTGGGACACCTTAACCATACTTAGCCATCGTGGGACACCTTAGCCATACTTAACCATAGGTAGGACACCTTAACCATACTTAGCCATACGTAGTACACCTTAACCATACTTAACCATAGGTGGGACACCTTAGCCATAGCTTAGCCATTGGGACACCTTAACCATACTTAACCATCGTGGGACACCTTAACCATACTTAGCCATACGTAGGAAACCTTAACCATACTTAGCCATACGTGGGACACCTTAACCATACTTAACCATCGTGGGACACCTTAACCATACTTAACAATACGTGGGACACCTTAACCATACTTAGCCATCGTGGGACACCTTAGCCATACTTAGCCATCGTGGGACACCTTAACCATACTTAACCATAGGTAGGACACCTTAACCATACTTAGCCATACGTAGGACACCTTAACCATACTTAACCATAGGTAGGACACCTTAGCCATACTTAGCCATACGTAGGACACCTTAACCATACTTAACCATACGTAGGACACCTTAACCATACTTAGCCATACGTAGGACATCTTAACCATACTTAGGACACCTTAACCATACTTAGCCATACTTAGACAACGTTAGACATACTTAGTTCTCTTTAGACAACCTTAGCTATACTTACACTACCTAAGCTTAAGATTACGTAGGAAGATATTACGTGTGTTCCTTTATAACAAGATATTGATACACTTCATGAAGGCTCAGATAAAGTAACTACCTAACCCAAGTCGCTGATGGCAAAAGAGCTGGAAACATATGCATGTACCTTTGTTTTCACGAACTATGTCCTCCACAAGTTCTCGGCCTTTTTTAACGCGATCTATTGCTTCAGGAGAGATCTACAAACACGATTGTCTTATAGTTATAATATACAAGAAAACTCATATTTGATTAACAAACAACTTCGGTTTTGATGCAAACGTTTTACCATTTTACCGTATCTATCTACGTTCAAAAGACACGCAAAAAGAAAAATAGAGATCACTTTCCTTACTTCTTTAACTCCTAAAACCTTCTCGCTTATTTAAAATGAGAAATACCTCTATTTTACAGTTTCCACTTGCAAGATGTTTAAGTATTTCTATAGTCAGACTCTCGCCATCCAAAATCATCTAAACACCAAATTGGACTTAAAGAGGACTTAATGAAACAAATAAAATTCAGATGAAAAAAATACCTTTTGTTGTGATGGAAGAGATGGATTCTTTGAAGAAAGACCTTTGTCTTGGTTTTTAAAATAAATCAAGGTAAACTTTAAGAATGTAGACTTTCACACAGGCGACATAACGACGATCTAGCTAACGGAACAAGAACGTCCCGTTTTCATTTTTTTCACTGCATTTATGGTCAAATTTATACATTACAAAATCAGAATAGTGAGCTAGGCAATATGAGGTGGAAAATGGAATTCTGATATAACATATTAAAGCCTAGCAGAATGAACAAAGTGCTTTTATATAACATCAAACGATCAAACATAAAGGATATGGATCGCATACATCATCAGCCGTCGTAACTAAAGGTAAGAAAAGATTTCATCGGTAAGTAAAGCAGAAAACTTTATTGACAGATACAGTTATTGAAGGTTACTTATTCGTCTCTTTAATATAGGAAAGTAGAAAAGATGAATTCGATGAAGCCAGTTGAGCAAGATATAAGACAGCAAAAAAAAGAAGTGAAATACGAATATAAAAAGAAAAGTTTAGACAAGTCGTATAATGACAAAACAGCTTCCATAATCCGAAAAAGTAGTGATTCGTTTTTTCTGTGATACGAGCTGCACATAACGAAAAAGATTAATTTTGCAAATGCTATATTATTGGTTTGTTACACAAGGCCTTGCTATTACTTTTGATTCAAATAAAGACATGGTTTTGTGAACATGAACGCCATTCATAAAAATCATTAAGTATGGGTAAACACACTGTCAAAGATAAACTCGTATGTAAATATAGCAAAATATTACCCGCTTCTATAACATCGTACGCGGTAAGGTTGAAAGTGAGAGCGCGAGGACAAATTTCGAATATATTCGAACACGGAATTGTAATAGACGGTAATTACGTGTGAAGCATGCTTATCTCTAGAAAAAGATATTGTATGCTGGTCATGTCGGTTGTATCAAAGTCAGACAGTGGGCGGACCACTGCGTCATTCCAGTGAAGTGCGTATTGTTTAGAAAAGCGAAGTTTACTGCAACAAACTTTGCTGCGACAAAAGATGACTTGAAACAAAAGTTGGCAAATGAAATTATCACAATATTCAATTCAATGAACAATTATCTCACAATCAATCCACGCGAAAATGTATGGTCAGAGTCGTATGAAAGTACACTATACACAAAAAACTGACTAACACGTTTCTATAACACCAATGTTACTCTAAACTGATTGATACGTGCTTCGAAACAAAATTTTCAATTTGCCCTATCATGTTGTATGATAACCACCTCAATTATACATTCAAATTTATTAAAAAACTCTTTTAAAAACATTGAAATTTTGCAACCAAAATTCAACACCACGTGTTAGCATCTATGTCCGCAGGTCCTCATTCCGTACTACTTTCAACCAAACCATCGCAAACACCATTCTTCTTATCGAAAGAGCTTGTATTTCTACTTTTCATCTCGAATACGAAAAACACAGGGTAATAAAAGGGTTCAACTTTAAAAGTAAAACGAACAACACCATTTTTTTCAATCTCGACCAAGACTAAATAAAACCATTCGAAGCCAAACAGAGTTAGATTACAAAGATATAAAATCTCACATCTCATCTCAACGAAGTCATCATTTTCCAAAACATCTTGAATTACATCATCAGACCAGAGCGTTCCACCGTCATTAGGCAGTTGCAAACACGCGTTACTGTCGTTTCTTGAAATCACTTCGCCCAAGGTTTGAAATCTTAGTAAGGCTTGAGTCAAGAGCCATTTTACGCTGTGCTTGCCGTCTTCACAAGGAACAACGACACATTTCTCGTCAAACTTAACATGAACTCGCATGATGATAGCACTAATACGAAAATCTTCGGTATAAAATAAAGGTTTCTTGATTTAGTATTATAATTACATCCACTTGTGAAGCACGCCTTCACAACGCCTATAATACATGGAAAGAGAAGAAAGACAGGACACTGTTCTCTACTTCTTTTCTCATACAGAATTGTATTTATATCTCATTTGATACTTCCAATTTCTTTAGTTTTTGACCGAGAACAAGATAATTTTTATGACAAAACAGGAAATAATATTTATATTGTTTGAGTAGTGACAATGATCCACGTTAATGAGCATTTTTCAAAGACACAGATTGCACGTGCAATTTCGCTGGGCAACTTTGCGTATAACATATTTTTACTTGCTAATGAGAAAGAAAACTATCTTTAAATGAATTTATCCGAATACAGGAGCTATTAAGGTTGACTTTGGAGGTTTGGAGGTTTTTAACCTCGCATCTTGACGCGTGTATACACGTATGATCTAACATGGCGACAAATCGACCAATAAGCATGCTGTATTGGATGGTAGGAGCCATCGAATTGAATAATTTTGCATAGAAATGACTAAGTCAAGTTGATTTCCATCCTTCGACATTTAAGACATTTACTTAAACCATTTAGGAAAGCAATAGTTTATTCCAATGATGTCATCATTAACTGAAATTTGCTCTGGTCTGCCTCTTGATCCTCTACCGCAACGACAAGCACGAGACGAGACGATACCACATGCACCGAAACGCAACACGAATCTTACAGAAGCAGAGAAAATTGTGAGAAATTATGTAACGTAGTCAGAAATTTTGGAGAAACTTTTAATGTTAGCACAGAAATCATGTTATAAAGTAAAAAATATTCGTCAAAGAGGATTGGGATTGATTGCAAACTTAGTGTAAAAGAATACAATGTAATGAATAATAAATACAGGCTAGCGAGCATTCTTGACAGTTCATTTTGATTAAACAAACTTTGAAAATCGTATAAAGCTGACGTTAAACAAGATCATATTCGCTTATGTTGTTCTGTTCTTCTAGCTAGCAGTAAAGAATGCTCTACGCTACTTTCCTCCTCAAACACATAAAGAGCTAACGGAAGATTTTGTCGACGAGCTGAATAACTATGGGCACATATACATGTATCGCTTTCGACCACTTTTAGAAATGAAGTATGTGCCATTAAAGATTTTTAAAAAAGATCAGTTATCGCCTACATCATCATGAAGGCAAAATCAAACATTTCTTTTCACAGAGCTTACAACATCAACGAGTATCCATGCAAATGTCAAAATGCTGCGGCCATTATGCTGATGATCATGAACAATCTCGATCCAAAAGTCGCCCAGGTTAAGTGTCGTCATATTTCAGTGCTGTGCAAACCTTCCTTATCATGGTTACTTCATGTTATTTTGTTATTTTCAATATAGTTTCCTCACGAGTTGGTCACATACGGAGGTAATGGTCAGGTGTTTTCCAACTGGGCGCAGGTAATATGAATAAATGTGACGTAGCGTTAAGATGGGTGGTCTGTAGGCCAGATAAAACAAATTTTATCATTCGCTTCATTACCGTAGACATTTGAAGAAAGGCCACCAAGATAAAATGAAAAATATATTTTTATTCACGTGAAGACTCCCGTCATTACTTCATTTAATGCTTAATAAAACAGTTTCTTATTATTTAGTTCCGTATAGTGATGCATTACTTATCAATTATGACCAATGAACAGACTCTGGTCATGTATTCCGGACATCCTTTGGGACTCTTCCCCAGTTCCCCATCAAGTCCTCGCGCCGTTATCACGAACGGCATGGTTAGTTGAATGAAGAAGGATAAAAATTGGTTGATAGGTGATAACCACATGACCCATCAGTATTCAAATATCCTGTTTATCCACAGATGATCCCAAACCATTCCAGTAAAGAGAACTACGACAAACTGTTTGCGTTAGGTGTGACAATGTATGGTCAAATGACAGCTGGTAGTTATTGTTACATTGGTCCACAGGGTATTGTACATGGTACAATGCTTACTGTACTTAACGCAGCCAGGCGTCATCTCCATACCTCCCAGTTGGCTGGACGTGTCTTTGTTACTTCCGGTTTGGGAGGAATGAGGGCCCAGGCCAAAGCAGCAACGATATGCGGTTGCATTGGAGTGATTGCGGAGGTACACGTGAGGATAAAGTCGTTAAGTTGGTTCAATTTATTCGCTTATGAAACGTTCTATTTTAGATAAACAAAGATGCCTTGCATAAAAGATATCGTCAAGGGTTAGTTAAAAGATTACAACAAAATAATATTAGAAGGAGGATTAAAACAAGTTTTCCTTTTCTCTGCAGATGGTTGATGGAAGTAACAGATGATTTAGAAGAATGTATTGAAAGAATAAAGTGAGAATTTCCTCCTGACATTATGTAATGTCCCTAGATAACGGTATTCAAGGCGGACCCATTCTTTCCTTATCTTCCAGAAAAGCCCGGAAGGACAAGAAAGCCTTAAGCCTTGGCTATCATGGAAACGTTGTAGATCTTTGGTTGGAGATAATTTTTCATTTTTATTTTTCAACAATTATAAAATATGATCGTTGATTTGATATTCTGAACATTCCCTCTCTCATGATAAGGGAGCGACTTGCCAAGGAAGACGAAATGTTGGTAGAACTAGGATCGGATCAATCATCGTTACATAATCCATATAATGGAGGATATTATCCAGTAGGAATGTCTTTGAATGAAGCAAACAAATTAATGAATACTAAGCCAGACGAGTTTAAGAAGGCAGTTCAACAAAGGTGACATCCCATCCTGTCATACCTCTATCTGCCTCGTCTTATAAAAAGTAATCATTTCCTTGTCTTTAGCCTAAAACGACACGTGCTGGCGATCAATACATTATCCGGTCGGGGAATGTTCTTCTTTGACTACGGGAATGCATTTTTATTGGAAGCCAGAAGAGCCGGTATTCTATCACAGCTCCGCTGTCGTTTTTCCAAGAGAGTCTGATGAGGTGAACTAAATCACGTTTTCTTCACGTGTTTCAATTAAGGCGCGGATGTCGTCAAAAAGGACGGGACATTTCGTTATCCTTCTTACGTACAAGACATCATGGGGTTAGACAGAAACCGTATAAAATTCAATTGAATTAAGTCAAGTTTTGTAATACTAAATAAACTCCAGCTTCATCTCACATTGTATTTATTTCAGTGACATATTTTCCCTTGGATTCGGTCCATTCCGGTACGAGAACGTTAAAATGTCGAGAGAACAACTTCAGGTTGTTTTACTGAATTTTCACAATTTGTTTATGCTTCTCAGATGGGTTTGCACCTCTGGATTGGAGGAAGACTTACAAGAATCAGACAAAATTGCTGCAGATGTTTTGCAAAGTCTAAAAGGAGAAGGTAAGAATACCAAGCATTTCTTACAAAAAAAATTTCTTACTGTACGAAGCACATTAGATGCCAGTGCCAGCTGGACTCATGCACTGCAAAAAATCCTGAGTATATGGGACTCAAAAATGTATGCACCCATAGTTACTCTTGATTCTGCGCTATTACGACTCAAAGTAAGCGTTGTTTGTGCGCATATTTTTGAGTAAACGCTAATTTCTGTCTAAGTTGCTGAAGAGGCGAAACCGCAATACGTAGACAATATTGAATGGATTAAAAATGCTCATGACAACAAACTTGTCGTTGGTTCCCAAGCACGTATCTTGTACGCTGATCGAAAAGGACGAGTTTCAATTGCTGTTGCGCTCAACAAAGCTATAAAGAACAAAAGAATTAAAGTGAGTGCATTGCTGATCAATTTAAAGATTCTCTTTAAAGAAAATCAACTACGTCATTCCTATACCTTCATTCCCAGGCTGCCATCGTGATAAGTCGCGATCATCATGACGTCAGCGGTACGGACAGGTATAATCCACAAAGGAATTTGGATCATTTTCAAGACAAACTAAATTTACAGTATTTATGAAATCTTTTCAGCCTTTATAGGGAAACATCAAATATTTATGATGGTTCGAAGATTTGTGCCGGTAAACGTTGATATTTTGTCTTGTTTTAATGTTAGCTTAAACTTGACTTGAAATATTTTTATTTACGTGTCTAGACATGGCCGTTCAAAATGTGATTGGTGACTCATTTCGCGGTGCAACCTGGGTAAGCTTACACAACGGTGGCGGAGTGGGCTGGTAAGTGACTGGTATCAAGTGGCAACTTGTAAACGCTGCTACAAAATCTAGAGATTTTCTTGCATGTTGCCCCAAACACCCCCCCCTAAGACCATTTCCCAATTTAATCTCAAATAACATCAAACCAACTATATCACATGTGTTTGCAGGGGGGAAGTCATTAATGGAGGCTTTGGTTTGGTGCTAGATGGCTCAGAAGAAGCTGAAAATCGCGCTAAAATGATGTTGTCATGGGATGTTTCTAATGGAGTGAGTGCTAATTGTCAACATTTTCATGGCCGATGCTGCCTTAATCATTAGCGCTACGACATACATAACGAAATGCAAATGTTATCGTAAAAGGACAATTGTTCATTTTTACCGAACCTAACCAAACCTACATTGATCCTCAACGACAGTCAGAGCCATAAATAAATGCGCTATGATTGAAACCTTACAATTTTTGAGTTAACTAATTCTCATGCGGCGGTTTCTTACATAGGTCGCAAGACGATGCTGGAGCGGAAATGAAAATGCCAAACTCACCACAGAAAAAGCTATGGCCGCTGACCAACTGCTCAAGGTCACCGTTCCATTTGCAGTAGAAAATGAAGATGTTATTAAAAGGGCAATGAACAGCAACTAAATAAGCTATGCACACAAGCGCGATTACTCTTGATAAAGAATAGACAAAACAACCTTAAAGATAAGAACTTGAAAACTCCAAAGATTTTTGCACTTGAAAAAACCCATCAAAACATCCGATAAAGATCTCGAGAGCTTTCCAGGTGTCATTGTAACATTAACCAATGTTTTTTCTTCCATTGACGCAAAGTTTTGAGAACAAGATACGAAGTTTTGAAATATAAACCAGTAATCGCACGTTTCAAAAGGATATAAAATAAAGTTGAGCTTAACTCTTTTCATAAAAGTTTGTCATACGTACGAAGACACTGCCGAAAAATGAAAGGTTTCGCCATATTTCTTTTTGCTGTTGTTTCCTTCGCGATGCTGCACAGTAGCAATAGCTTTGCGGTAAGAAATTCCTCCTTTACATTTGTCGTCACGCTTTCTTCAATGTTTACAGGGATTTTTTAACTCATCACACAACACACTAAAGTAAAATATTTCTCTCCCCTTCTGAAGCTGATAAGAATGAAATACGAACGTCTTCTCTATTTGACAAGACGTGGGCGCTGTGTGCCCATAGGAAAGTACTGCGAACTGAGAACAGATTGTTGTTTGAGGCCTGGAAAGAGATATCTCAGATATACATGTCCTGTGACGAGAAATAGGTAAGTGCGGAGAAAATTTAAAGAAGGTTCAAAAAAGAAAATAATTTCTGTCTTGTTTGATTCTACGTTAATAATGGACGATTCTCCCGCGTCACCTGTGTGACATTTACATTATAATTTTGCTGTTACTCCTGGCTCCAAGGTATATGCAAAACTTAACACCTTACAAAGTATAGGATCTTTGTTGTACGTTAGGGTAACTTCATCTGCAAACACGCAATGTTATTGTTTACCATCCATCGCAAAGATACGAAGACCAATCAGAGTCATGAGAGTGAATTCAATCATGCAATTGAGGTTAAATTTATAAGATTATCTGTTGATACATTTTAAATGGTTTCATTACATTTGTACACATTATCTTGCCTTTTACTGTTCAACGTGATGGAAAAATATGCCAAAATGACGGCTATGATATGTGATCAAGTTGCTCAACTTATTGTTGAAAAAACTGTAAAATTAAAATGTCCAACACTCGTTTTCATATAATCGAAAAACCAAATTAATTTTTATGTCTAATTGGATTTGGTCCCCATGACTGAGACCATTTTGTGGAAATCTCGGTCTCGGATGATAGACTAATTGTCATACATTTTGAGCTTTGATATGGCAAATGAAAAAATGCAAGAAGCACCTCATCAAGTATTTCTAATTTAAGGTGTATATTAACATAATATAGTACAAAGTTGAATCAACCATAACTCATAATTGCGTGACACAAATATAAAGTAGTAGATTCAAATTTTTTCACGCGGGCTGTTATGGAGGAATGTCACAATAAAAATCATTGTAAATTTTAACAATTTATCATATAGTCCTACCCCACAATATATATAATATTTATTTATAACAAGCAACGACGTTTTTTTGTACAGCGTAAACAAACATTTGGCGTTTACTTTATATTAGCAGACTTTCTACGACATGTACAGTAAACGAATGAATTTTTTTAGACCGCAAGACAGATATTGCCAATGAAGAGAAAAGATGTTTGCAAAAAAGAGCTCGGACGGACGCAAAAGACTGAACACTGAATAATACATAGAATAATCGTAAACTGTTCATTGTAGAGTTGTATTTAGCGCGTTTACTAATTATATTTAATTGTTTGGCATAGTATGAGATTGAATTCTTGGTAAACAATGCATGGCAGTATCATGTTAGGCTTACAAAATGAACAGAATTTTTGATTCTCTAAAAATGACAACGCAAATACAACAGTATCCTTTCATTTTGAGCCTAAACGAGGCACCATCGCTATTAATCGACAAGTGAAAGATTTCTTTTGAAGGCACTTGCTGGAACACACATGCCATGCGCTAGATTATTGTTTTGTGTTCCACAACGCACACAGCGTTATGTAGTTCAAAACAAATAGCAACGAATGATTGCAAATCAGAACACGCGCGTATGTGTTGTGACTATGTCGAAAATGAAACCTTCGTTTAAACTGGAATATCATGGCGAACGACGAAATTGTCCATTATCGACTTTGCAACCAATATCTGCCGTTTAAGCTCTACCTCCCCCCCCCCGACCTTCTCCCTTCCCAATAAAATTACATCATACATTCATGTACATACGGCTACAGAAGTTCTAAATCGTCCGTTAGATCCAACCGTCGAAACTTATCCAAGTTATAAAATCCTGCTTTGACTGTCCTACCACCAAAAAATCGACCATTGAGGTCAATGATCGCTGTAGAGACAAGAAAATGAAGGGTGAATAATTATTAACGCGAGAGGATTAATGAACGATGTGATATATGTAATTTCCACGTGTTATTAGCAAAATTGTTCTAAGATGATAAGTGGTTCCAAGGGGAGAGGAAATTGTTCTAAATGATGACGAAATAGTTCTAAGTTATGATCAAATGGTTCCAAATGTAGACGAAATAGTTCTAAAGTGAGATCAAATTACTCGAAAGTATGATCAAGAAGTCCTAAGATACAATCAAATAGTTTCAACAAAATATTCCCAGAGATTACCGTTGATTCTAAAGAATAACCAAATAATTTTGAGGTAATAGAAGGGAAGGGTTAGTTTTTTAACTTTCGTGGTTATTAAAGATATTAATGCTTTCCTACCAGAGCATCAATTTCTCAATTCAAACGCAGATTGGTGCTATAATTTACTTTGTTTAAACATACGATAACAAAAAGAAAAACAACATGAATACCTTTTATTGCGGAGTCCATTTTTTTGAATTCGACAAATATCCTTACAGCCTCGTCTTCCGCGACACCTTGGGGGATCTGGGAACGAGAGTATCAAACTCAAAATAAATAACCTTTCCAACAATACGTACGATAAAAACATTGATGATAACAACGTACTTCGTAAATGATAACTTTTTGAACCTCGCCATATTTGCTGCATTCTTCAGCTGTCTCAGGTTCCAACTCATCATCCACTTCACCAGGTCCAACCATGTTCTACACAACCATTAAGATATATTAGGATATATTAGGATATATTAGGATGTATTAGGATATATTAGGATGTATTAGGATATATTAGGATATATTAGGATATATTAGGATATATTAAGATATATAAGATATACTAGATGCCTATTCTAGTTCATAGCTATTTGAGTGACTTTTAGAAACCTTCCAAAGTCAAATTGTAAAAGACCCAATTGGGCTGTAGAGTATATAAAAAGTTCATTGTTATTCATTTTTATTCAAATGTTAAAATGAAAGCGTTCAACTTTGAGTGCTTCTATAAATTCTGACTCACACGAAGCAAAATAACTTTGCTTGGATTCTTCATTTTACCAATAATAGACTCATTTTCTTGTGCTTGGGGTAACTCTACAAGTAAACAAGAACATGTATAGAAATCCTCAAGTGCAACTTAGAAGAGAAAAAATTCTTTAAGGAGCCACAAACCAAAGCTAAGTAAAAAAAATCAAACCATTTCATTATCCAAGAGACTATTTTAGGTCACTTTCCAACAAAAGATTGAAAAGTTTGAGCTACAAAGTTGAAAATAGTAAACTGTTTCCACAAAAGATTATGTGCAAGCAAAACCAATGCTCTTTAAAATTGCACGGACTTTGTGTAGTAAAACATGAAAAATTGCACAACTAACTAGCCCTTATAATTTTTTCCGCAATGTCTGTCATATTTAACTTTAGCTTTAAGCTTGTAAATTTACTTTCTCATAAAAATTTCCACCAAAATTCAAAATCAGGTTTTCAAAGACGGCCTAAAACTTGCCGAAAGAAATCCATCATTTTAGTGATCCAACAAGGATCACAGTGTTGTGGAGCAAAATATCATCCTCTTAATCAGGCTACCTGGATACTGTCACTTAAATCGCATCAATTAAGGTGCAACATGCAATATGAACAGAAGAATGGGAACCAACCTTTCTCCTGGTTGATAATCTTCCCGCCTCTTTTGCTGGTCTTCTCAACTTGTAAACACTGGTTAATGCCTTGCTCTTGTTTACCTAGTCCTAAAAAAGAAATCAAAGTTTTTTAACAACTTTCAAGACAATGTTTCGTTTAAGCTTTTGTAAGTCTGAGTGAAGAGCAATGAGGTGAAATTGTTGCATTTCAAAGCATTTATGCATTTCTTTTGCAAAAGGTTATAAAGTTGATTGTGATGTTGAAATGCGAGATGTAAAAGTTCAAATGCTCTTTGTAATGTTTAAATATTAAAAAATTAAACATCTATTCAACAGTCAAAATTGTATAATCATTGTGCATTTTGAGGTTTCGTGAAAGTTTGCAATTGAAGCATCATGAAGAAAATAACAAGATGTCCTCCGCAAACCTTGTCCATCTTTCCACCCATATTTTGCCATGATATTAGATGCAACAGGACTACACAAAGAATACAACTTTGAATGAAAAAAAATTTGACCATTATGCATTACTATGTTTGAAACTGACTGAACCGTAGTTAAAATACCTGTCAAAACCGACATCTGGTTTTGCTGGCTTACCAAATAAACCTGGAATTCCAGAGAATGGTTTATCTATAAATAAACCCAACAAATTATACTTATAAAATAACACTATGAAACAACATGTATCACGAAACATTTTGATATAAATAATGAATGAAATTTCAAAAGGCATGATAATTTTTTGACTTTCAATCTCATGACAAGGGCAGCTTAATTTGCCAAGTGCAACAGATCCTGCTAAGTGCATATATTTTGTCAAGTGCAACACATTCTGCCAAGTGCAATATATTTTGTCAAGTGCAACAGATTCTGCTAAGTGCAACACATTTTGCCAAGTGCAACACATTCTGCTAAGTGCAATATATTTTGTCAAGTGCAACACTTACTGTCATCATCAGGATTGGTAGATGCTGTCAATGCAGCTGGAGGTGCAATGGCCGCTCCACTTTTTCTTGAAGAAGATGCAGCAAGGGATCTTGGTTCTTCATCTTCGTCACCATATCTTCGACGTCTGCCTCGACTTCTATAATCATCACGATCTCGGTCACGACTTCTATCTCTATACCTGAATTTAAAAAATTATCAGTAAACTCTTCACAAATTTCAATAAAAGCTACATCATTTAGTCAACCATAAAGAATTCAGGAATACACTAAATAACATTCCCAAAAAAAATCACAACACATCTCTAAAATATTTCTTTTCTTCTTGTGTTAAAAATTGTTTCATTTTTGATCATTTCTACCTGTCATCGTGATCTTTTTGACTTCGTTCAAGTTCTCTTTCTTGTTTTTCTTTCTCTCGTTGTTTTTGTTTGCATTCTTCATAATCGTTGGGTTTCATAGGATCATATTCATCCAAAATCACTGCCATTGAAGCCTCTGTTTGAACAAATGGCTCTGTTGTACTCTATAAGAGATTAAAGCTAGATGTTTCATTCAAGGAAAACTAATTTGTATTGTATTTGTGAAAGCCTACCTCAGGTTGCTTATTCTCATCATTTGATATTGAATTTTCCTGCTTCAAAACAACAATTATGTACAATCCAATAAGGATATTTAATCACATGGTTGCATAAAGGATTACCTTTGTAATGCCAGATTTAGCCAATCCTGTTGAACGATTTGATTTCTAAATGCAACAAAAAATCATAAAGAAATTAATTTAATCAACAACTACATACGTCAATAATCTATAAGACTGAGTCTTAAAGACTCTATACATCAACTTAACAGTAGTGAGTCCCTTCATTAAAAGTTTACAACTTACGTTGAACTGTGGTCTTCCTTGCACAACCTTCTGCCTTTTCAACTGCTGTTGCATAAAACTAAAGCTGTTCGACCAACCCGCTAAAAATAACGAAAGACAAAAAGATTAACATCAGTTGATCAGTTGAGTTGAGTCAGCTCCAAAATTTCTACACCAGTCAGTGAATTCATCGTCACAAGTCCAGGAAACGCCGAATTTCCGAGTAATATTCGAAGCAGTTTCTACTCAAGAGATAAAATGGATTTCTAAAAGCCGAATGATAATTTACGTTACCTGCTGAAGATGAATTGTTCTCCTTCAACGGAACGCCATCTATATCATCGTAGAGCGACATCTTGCTTTCACATCATGTATTAACATAAAGTATTCATAAATGATAGAGATTGCGGGCTCCTAGTCATAGCAGTATCAATAAAAAATATTCATTTCCAATGTTATATATTCATTATTTGTATATATATATTTTCTTCATTTCAATGGCATGGTCACATAAATAAGTTTGGACTTAACCATGTACTCAAAACATTAAAAACTCTAGTTAAAAGCAAAAAATAAAATACCATAAGAATTTTTATTATTGAACATTTTAGCTAAGCATTATGACTCAACTATATCATTATTTAAACTGTTAAGTGAGTCATTAGTCGCATCTTTATTGTGGAATTTGGGTTGATTACTTTCAAACAACCTGTTCACTTCTTCGAGACTTTTTCCCTTCGTCTCTGGTACAAAAGCAAAAACAAATAACCAGCCAATAAAAGCTATGACCGTATAAAGACCAAATGCACCACATTTAGTCAATAGCTTAGTTAGATGGAGAAATGTTATGGACACAAGAAGATTACAAATCCAGTTTGTAGCTGACGAGCTTGCATTACCAAAACTTCTTGCCCATTGCGGGTAAATTTCAGAGTTTATTGTCCATGGCATTGGCCCCATGCCTGGAGCAAACCATGCAAGATATAAAACCAGGCCAAGTACTGCCAACCAAGACAATGGAAAAGGACAGTGATCATAATTCCAATGAAAGCTATCGTTAGTAGTTTTGTTACACAATCCATCTTTGGCATGGTCTAACATGGAGTTCGACATTACTGGTAAACAGGAACTGTTTGAAAATAACCCATTAATTTTTTCATAACAAAATCCACAATGAATATCTTCAACACAGGAATAACAATGAGTGTAATCATGAACACATGAAGAATCAATATGTGGTTTCAATGTTACGGCTGGAGATTCTCGTAAGTCCAAATAAAATGTAACGCTGAGTAAAAAAAGGCTGAATATAACACCAGCGAGACTAATCAAAAGTAGTTTTCTTCTTCCCATTTTTTCAACTACCAACAATCCAATCAGAGAGAATGCAAAATTTGTGAAAGCTACAGGAACCGCGAGCCATATAGCCTCCTCGTCGCTTTTAGTACCAGCCATTTTGATGATTGTTGAACTGTAATACCTGAAATGAGTGAAGACAGTAGTATATAAAAATAATGCTACACTCAATTGATTTGTGCAATCAAGAATACATCATGAAAGCTTACATGACAGTGTTAATCCCTGATAGCTGTTGAAATGCTTGCAAACCGCAACCAACTAATAACGCCTTCCTAACTGATGGTGTTTTCCAGATATGCCAAAATATACCACAATTTGTTTCATCATTTATGGCTAAATGCTCTCTTTGTTTTGATGACAATATTTCCTCAATTTCTTCTTCAACATCATCGGAATTACGAATCCTTTTCAAGACTTTTCTGGCCTGATCAATGCGTCCCTTACTAGCAAGCCATCTTGGACTCTCGGGCATGAAAAAAAGACCAAAAAGCATAATGGCTGATGGTACACCAGAGAGACCAAGCATGAACCTGAAATCAATAAAAAAAGTTTGAACTTGGAAGATTTGATATCCACTAAAGTCATCTGTCATCTGCTAGTATAAACATTTGCTATCACTTGGTAATCAAGAATGAATCTCACTACCTCCATCCATCAGACTGACTCGCAAAAATCCCATCAACAACGCTGGCTACAAATTGACCTCCTGTTATAAAAATGTTATTAAGTGTGACCAGTTTTCCTCTCATATCTGCCGGAGCAGCTTCAGCAATATATACAGGAACGGTCATTGACGCACCACCTAGAAAAATCATTTAAAGACAACAAAACATTAGAAACTCCTAGCTAATTGAAATTTTGAACAAAAACCTACCAATTCCTAGTCCTACAATAGCTCTACCAACAAGAAGTGTTTCTTCATTGCCAGAAAGTCCCATAACCAAAGCACCAGCAGTGAAAACGATGGCAGAAAGTATCAAAACGAATTTTCGACCAAGATATTGACTTATCGGCCCGCTAAATACAGCTCCGAAAATAGCGCAACCAATGGTTATGCTCACTACAAGCTCTTCCATAAAAAATGTGAGATCAAAATGCTTTTTCAAGATTATCAAAGCACCCGAAATGACACCCGTATCATAACCAAACAGAAAGCCACCGACGGCAGCAAAAAATGTCAAAATATACACAAAACAACCTCGGTTTTCACGTTTCGAACTTTTGAGCAAAGGAATAGTTGGCTTTTCGACCGTAGGAATAGTAACTGAACTTTCCTCGTCGTCATCCATACTTGATTTTTTGAAATGAAACGTGTTAAAACATCAACAAAGACAGTAATTTTCCCTAAAATCTCAAAAATTGTACATTACATGGTGTTATTCCATGTGGCATTATAAATAAATCATCGGAAGTCACGGGACACTACGAACACTTTCCGACAATCGTGAAAATAGATTTGGTATTTCATAATCCAAACTGATCCTAATTCTACAAATTCTCAAGATGAACAAGACTTAGTTCCGGGTTGCAAGTCAAGTAATTCATTTATTGCAATGCATGTATAATAAAAGAAATAGAAAAAGTCAAACTAAAATCTAAACTACTGGGCTTTTTAATTTTCGAAACCCATTTTTAGTTTGACCAGATGACAATGAACTGATAGTACCATGGCTGTCTTCGAAAGGTCGAGAAGAGCTTTGTTCACAAAAAATTTTTCTTAACACTTTGTAGGCATGAGTTCGAAAGTCCCTGCTTTGAAATGCATACAGAAATGGATTCAGCCACGATGAACAAAAACCAAGAACAATACCCGCTTGATAATATGTAGAATTCCACTTTAAATTATGTATTCCACCAAATTGAAAGAGAAGATACATTATATGATTGGGGGCCCATAGACAAAAAAATGCCATCATCACAACAAACACTATTTTCACAGTCTTCTGTTTACTTTTAAGAATCTTTAAACGTTGTTTGTCGTCAGCAATGGACTTGCGTAAGGTTGTATCCAACACAGTGAGACATTTTCTGATTCGATGAAAATTAAAAATGAATGTGACAGCAGGAAAAATAAGATGGCAGATAAGCACAATAGCATATATGGAAGTACTAACAGCTTCGTTAGGCCATTCATACTTGCAATAACTGACTGTACCATTCTCCCCAGCCCAATGGGAACCAACAATTGTGGGAATCTGTACAATAAATGCTGCCATATAAGCAGCAGCAACACTTAGATAGGTTTTGCGAGATATCCCTCGTTTTATAGTCAAGAATGGTTTGCTAATGGCAGAATATCTTTCGAAACTTATGATGACAAGAATGTAAATTGATGTGTCACTCAGCCAAAAAGGAATGAGATATCCAGTTATTACCTTACACATAATCTCGCCATTCAATCCATTCGGATGAGGTACGGCGTTCGTCGATGCTACATATATAGGTAATGCGCTAATTGCAAATATTAAGTCAACTATTGCCAAAGACATCAAATATATGTTGAATGGAACCTTGCGTAATTGATGTTTTCTGGTACCGCTTTTCAAAACAACGATTATAACGGTAACATTTCCAAAGAATCCAAGTATAAATATCAAACAATAACACGTCAGCTCCCACGACCAAAGTGGAAGTCCGCCATCTTTTTTTCCACTCATGTGAAGCGCTCAAATTGCTTTCTTCCCAAATAAATATATTTTTCAAAAAAATGACAGAAAGCAGAGTTTACTTCGGGTAAAACAAGCAATTATTCAAAATTACACGACTACAAAGGAAATGTTTTAGACTCAAAAAATAGCATGCCCGAGCAGTTAAGATAAACAATTTCCGTTTCCGTTTCATTATGTATTTTATAAACTACATCGAAAATCGAGATTCAATCTAACAATTTATCATTACGCTAACTTTAATTCTTCATTAAAATTTCTTCACATTGGAGGTGGTGGGGGTGGGGGAGGAGGCGGTGGAGGTGGGGGAGGTGTAGATGTGGAATTACCTAGAAATAACAGTGCGATGTGATCAAATACATGATATATGTGAAATGTCCATTTTTAGACAACCTAAGATGTTTAAATGACTATAAACAAGTTAACATCACGACCATCAACAAAAATTTCGTACCTAAATCATTTGGCGTGTTATCACTGTTGACGTTTGGTGTAGAAGGACCACTTCCGTCGGTCTCCGTATCATTATCACCGGCTGAAGGTGGGGGAGAGATGAAGGTAAGGACAGCCGTACCTTTAAATTGACACAACCACAAAGAAAGTTTTACCTTGACTTTGCTCTTTTTCTTCTTTTTCTTCTGCTTCCGTTTTATCCGCTCGGAAAAAAATTCGCGCGCTGCTCAAGGAGTAGTAGAGAAGTTCGAATTCCTGAAATATAAGAGAGATTCAGAAAACAAACAAGACGTAAAGTCTAAAACGCCGTGAAAATGGCGTAAATATAGTGTGGAACGTGGAACCAACCATATATGTGAAAAACGCCATTTTTACGTCATTTTCACGACGCTTGTTGAATTAAGAAATAAAAGATGTTTACTGTGTTTACACCATTGAGTTCTATTATAGAGCTCAATGGTTTACACGGGCTTATGCAAACCAAGGAGACCTTTGGGATAACTCGAGAGCAGATCAGTGCAGTATTCGTGATCGATTTGCAAATTCTCTTTGACTGATTGATTGTTTTGATTCATTTGATTGGTTGAGCTCAGATGTGTTTTGCACAGGCAAATGCAAACAGGGCTCTAGACCAGGGGTCTCCAAACTTTACAGCCGGAGGGCCACATGAACTTTCATCCAGCATGTTGAGGGCCGAAGAATATAAAAAATTTCCACGTTATCCTTCAGCTTTTTAAATTTCGCAATGTGCTTGAAACGGAAGTAGGAAGTTGGGAGAAAAATTGACGTAAGCCACTCTTGCTAGTTGGCTTGCGACATAACGTGAACTTTCTGCACAAAGTTTATTTTGTTTAATAATAATATTGATAATAATATATATTAATTTTTCTTAAGTGCCTCTGCGGGCCGGATTGAGAGGCCCAACGGGCCGCATCTGGCCCGCGGGCCGTAGTTTGGAGACCCCTGCTCTAGACCAATCACCGCACGCGTTTTATTGCTTTTATTTCATAATTGCTTATGATACATCATTTCCTGTAAACTTGGACTTGGCATGCGCAGTTTCATCACTAAATACAACCATTGTTTGGTCACCTTTTGAATCTTCATTTCATCAATTTTTAATCACAATTCTTTAAAAAAACATACCCTTTGAAAAGCTGAAAGTCGTTTTTGAGTTAAACTCAACGTCTGCTGAAGCTTTTCATCTCGTCCTCCTTTGCCATTCAAAGACAGCGACACTTTACGCTTGTTAAGATAAGGAGAAGGTATTTTGTTATTGTTCGTGGTTTTAACAACGCACTAGTTATGCAGCATACCATGTCAGTCAGGTATTTTTGATCCACAGACTGAAACCAATGAAGAGAATCAAATTCTTTGTATTGATTTAGCAATTTAAGAATGTACGCCACTCCTGTATAAAATCGTATTTTCAACAACGTCATCATTTTAAATTATTGATATTAACACAAGAACAAAACACAAACCCATTGCAAAGCCATCGTCAGTGAACGCGGCGCCTTCCTTGTTTTTCTTGTTCATTTTTTCTTTGCGATTCATGGAGTACTCGACAAAGTTTATCGTCTACAAGTAAAATGTGTATATTACAGTAAGGATGTTTGTTGCGTTCACCGAATAACGTAAAAAAGCTCTTGACTCAACAGTGTCATAAAGATCTCTCACCAATGGAGGAATTATGATGTAAAAATTTCTCAAATGCATGTTCTTTACGTCTCGAAACTGAGGGACAAACACATCGACTAAAAGCTGTAAAATACAATCACAACACGAACATGGTAGAATATCAATAAGATGGATGCTAAAAACATTGCAAATGTCATACAGAGTATAAACTAGACCTTAAGGAGCATATAAGGATGTATGCTTAAGTAATCAATACACATAGCTAATGTCATACAGAGTACAAACTGGACCTTAGGGGGCATATAAGGATGTATGCTAAAGACATGTCAGCTGACCTTAAAGTAATCCGTCCCTTCAGCAAAATTCTTTGCAAGGTTGCCAATGGCGGCGTCAAGATTCCTATGAAAGAAGACGTAAGTTAGCGATCTACAATACAACCCGTACAATAAAACACAGTTCAACAACAGTAGACGGTATGTTCAAGTACATACTTAGCTGCTTCGTTTGTTTCTACTGATAATCCTTCGTCTTTCACAAGCTCTTCAAAAGACATAATATCTTCCAAGTCTGGGACGAACCTACAAATATCAATGGAATATCTTGTGTGACGTAAAGAATTGAAGTCTTTAAAATGACAAAATGCTGACTAAACCTTATGGCATTTGAGACGCAGTGAAGACCACCAGATCTAACCATTCTGATGTAACCCATTGCATTACCTACACAAAAAACACCCGCAAAATGTTGAAAAAACGGGCAAAGGAAAATAAGACCTTTCTCACGAATGACATACCAACTTGAGTGATGAGCTCTCTAAATTGATCGAGATAGCTAAGGGAGTCTGGGGTCAAGCCAAGTTTACGTATTCCCTTATTGAATTTCTCCGCTCGGTCAAACGGATACTTTTGCCCAGTCTCCTCGCGCACCTCCTTAAAATATCGAATATCCTAAAGAAAAGTACAAAACAGTTAACTTTGACTGAAATTTCAGTCCACTAAAGACGAAAATACCAGGAACTACAGCAATTGTACCCCACTATCCCTCTACCTTGAGTACCCGTCCTTTGATATGTTCGTCGTACAAAAACTGAGAAAAAATAAAGAATTTCTTTCGAAGGAATTGATAGGTAAAATTCACAGTCGTATTCATGATGCCGGAACCGTGGGTTCGGATAGAGTTCGCGATGTGTCGTATGTTGATCGTATTCAGATGTTTGTTATTAGAAGAACGCTCAACAAAAATCTATGAAAATGAAAACATTTTTCGTAAATACAAAAAGTATGGTTCAAAACGTAGTGCGGCAAGCCCAGACGATGATTTAGTACCTGGTTATTTAAATTGTACAAGTATCTTGATATAAAAACGTGAATGTTTCGCATTATTTCAAGGACATCGAGACCCTTTAAAAACAATAAAAAATCTTCGTAGGATAGTAGAATTTTCAAACTTGTGTGTAAAATCATACGCGGCCCAGAAAATCACTTAGCTAGATAATCACTAGCTAAATAGTTCACTTTGTATTAATTGATTTTTAAAGTTCGTGGCGCACGGTCTGTTACGGTGGAATGGGGCGAGTTATCGTTTGTTTTAAACTATTTAGCTACTAGCTAAGTGATTTTCTGAGCCGCCTATGGTAAAATGGTCTTTATATTTTCCTCACAACAGAGAATTTTTGCAATCTTAGAAACATCATTTTATTTCAGTGCATGATTGCTCAATTCAAATGATAATTTTTCCTTTTGGGAGATTTTTTAACGTAAAAAATTGCTATCTAGTGGATAGCGCTTTTCGCAAATCGTGCGATCGGCCCCTAATGGAATAACAATTCACGAAGAAATAAATTTGTAGAATTTGACCAAACAAAACGTCACCAATTAATACGTCATGAAAGACGCGCGCGCATCAATTAATGACGTAACAAATAAAACTTCATTAACAGCATTGCAAGACGCAGTTTTCGAGTTCTTTTTTGAAGCGTGAGCAAAAGCAAAAGTGCACACAGGAAAAAACTTTCAATACAACACAATAAAGAATTTAGAATGGCGATGAAAATACACGAAGATAATACATCAATCGGTGGAGTGCGTGAAGAGCACATACAAAACGATTGTTGCGAAGAAGTCGAAGATATTTGGGCCGAGATTTATCTTGATGAAAGTGGGAAAAGATTTCTCAGAAATATTCCTCTCGATCATCCTTTTATTAGGAAAAACAAGGCGAAAAACAAGCCAAAAGAACACGTTATTTCAAAGGTACTTTGGTATTTTTTAATGTAAGCAAAGTAAGCAATGCTTCTGTTGATATATATTTTTTTAATTGGAAATTTATAGAGAGACAAAAACTTGTTGAAAACAGATCGCCTGCTTCACATTTCAAATGTCGGAGAAGAGATAAAACACAAGATGGAAACACTTCGCTGAATTGTGATAAAACCTCCAACCAACCAAAAAGAAGACGGCTTGCAAAACGTCTAAAGAATGTATTTCAGCTGAAGACAACAGCCGTGAGCCCGACCATAAAATCGATTGATAAGGTCCCAACAAAACATGGCTTATCATCTGGTAACCAACTCAGCAAAGATAAAAGTTACCACGATTGTAAAACTGAAAATCAAATGAATGATGAGACTGTAAGGTCGACAGTTTCAAAAGAAAATGTTGGAAGAGAAACGGTCCATAATTCCTCGGAAAAGATAGATATCGAAGCCGGAAAGAAAGGTACGGTGTAAAAAAGATTCAAAATCATAAAATATCGTATTAATCTGTCAAAACAAAGTTTCCAACAATACTCATCACAGTGAAGTGAAATAGACGAGCTCTGCCAATCACAATACACAAAGACCTTTTAGATGTTAGTGACATTATCATATATAAATATATAATCTAAAAACTTAAAATTTTTAATCCTTCACCACAGGCAAGGACAATAGCTTAAAGTTTAAGAAATGGAAAGATGTATTGATTCGCAACCGAAACAGTGTGTTTCCTGTGGCCGCTATCATGACCGAAGGATACGAAAGTTTATCAGATGGGAAGAAATGAAATCATCTGAACTATTCATTCATAAAGATCGTGTGAACATGGAATTTATTGAAAGATTAATTTTAATTATTAAGGTGTATATATATTAAATATAAATTGTAACGGAATGCAATGAAAAATAAAAACAGTTGGTTAGTATTAAATTATTAAGATGCGTTATGTATATATTTACGATAAATTGCAAAGAAATGCAACGGAAAAGACAAACAGTTGATTAACATCAATTATTAAGGTGTGTGTATATGTATTTAAGATAAAATGAAATAAAATGGACAAGTACTTGCTGTCACTACTCGGAGTTTCACGCCGTAGGGCGATCTTCAGGCAACTGACAGATTGTTTATTATTCACTGACTATATACATCGATTAGAAGGTGTTAGGTGAAGGTGTTAGGCGGTAGGTGAAGGTGTTAGGTGAAGGTGTTAGGCGGTAGGTGAAGGTGTTAGGCGTTAGGTGAAGGTGTTTGGTGTTAGGTGAAGGTGTTAGGCGTTAGGTGAAGGTGTTAGGTGGTGTTAGGTGTTGAAGGTGTTAGGTGAAAGTGTTAGGTGAAGGTGTTAGGTGAAGGTGTTAGGTGTTAGGTGAAGGTGTTAAGGTGTTAAGGTGTTAGGTGAAGGTGTTAGGTTGAAGGTGTTAGGTGAAGGTGTTAGGTGAAGGTGTTAGGTGAAGGTGTTAGGTGAAGGTGTTAGGTGTTAGGTGAGGTGTTAGGAAGGTGTTTAGGTGAAGGTGTTGTTAGGTGAAGGTGTTTGTGTTAGGTGAAGGTGTTAGGCGTTAGGTGAAGGTGTTAGGTGAAGGTGTTAGGTGAAGGTGTTAGGTGTGAAGGTGTTGAAGGTGTTAGGTGAAGGTGAAGATGTTAGGTGAAGGTGTTAGGTGAAGGTGTTAGGTGGGTGTAGGTGAAGGTTAGGTGAAAGGTGTTTGGTGTTAGGTGAAGGCGTTAGGTGAAGTTAGGTGAAGGTGTTAGGTGAAGGTGTTAGGTGAAGGTGTTAGGTGAAGGTGTGTTAGGTGTTAGGTGGTGAAGGTGTTAGGTTGAAGGTGTTAGGTGAAGGTGTTAGGTGAAGGTGTTAGGTGAAGGTGTTAGGCGTTAGGTGAAGGTGTTAGGTGATTACGAATTTAAGTTACGTATTCTTGGTTAGAATAAAATTATTGTTATAAAAACGTGCTGCATGGAGTGATCTCCTTCTATGAATGGAACTCCAGCTAAATAAGAAATTTCAAATGCAACATAATACAATTTACAACTAACCTGCTCTAGGGTCTGACTGGGAAGATGAGCCTCTGTCATCGACAAATTGTATCTTTGTACAGCGGCATTCTTCATCTCGCCGTACGTCTTCCAATCATGCAAAGCAACCGTTGTCAAATTATAAAAGGTTGCATCCAAGTAGTGAGCAACATATTCTAGAAATTACAAAATCTTTTAGTTTGTACGAAATGAGCAAAATTCCTTAGTAATTGCAACAAAATTGCAACACTTATTTCTGCAAATATAATTGTGGGATCTGCTACCTTTGACGTTAATGAGTCGATCAAAGAATCTAATTGGTTTGATTTTGAGGAATTGTGACAGATCCTTCACGCCAACCTTAACCAACAAAGCATAAAATTATTCCCCACGGCCGATGATTCGTCACAAATTGAAATTATTATACTCTGAATGGATTCCTATCGCCAACTTGTAAGTGCTGATGAATATAAAGACGAAGATCTGTTTCGATGAGTCGACAAACGGGTTCAAGGAAATGCTACGAAAATAAACACAAAGTTTGCAGCGATAATCTGTGTATTTAGGGTTTACTCTCAAATTCGTTGATTTAAAATAATATATTTTGGCGAAAAAAGTTAGGGAAAGTTAGAACTAAAACAGTTTTTCCTGTTTTTTTAGGCTGTTACACTTTGTCCAATTGAAGAGAACTTCTTAAAAGAGCCTTTTCGATCAATTTTCAAAAAGATTCCTCAGAATAACAGCTAAACCTATACATAAAACAAATTCTAAGCATTCGGTCCAAGATATTTTTCCGTGTTGAATGGATGCCATATCGTGAAAATTCAAAGAAATTCAATTTAGAAAAATTCAGTGGAAATTATAAATAACCTGATCAAGCAACAACACAGGAAAGATCGTTAATGAGATGTGTGTGTGGGGAGGGGATAACGGATTATAACATATATAAATGTACGATAAATATAAGCACCCGAAATTATCAATCTTCAGCGCTCTCTGTAGTAAAATTACAGTATGAAAGTCATCGTTTCAGATCTATTTGATTTTGTAAAGGCAAACCTCGTTAAATTGCTTGCTTATTTCATGATCAAACGCCTCCAACATTGTTTCTGGTGAATCGTGGCGGGATTGTTTCAACGGTAGAACGCAATCGCGAAAGGCACCAAACATATACTGAAAGAAATATTTTCATTGTAATGCAGGCTCAGACCACTTTAAATAGTAAGGTTGTGAGTGTCAGCGGTCAACGAAGAACGACTTAATGATAAAACTGGTCTTTATGGGTTATATGTTTATGATTTGCATTCATTGTAATGCAGGCTCAGACAAGTTAAAATATTAAGGTTGTGAGTGTCAGCGGTCAACAAAGAACAACTTAATGATAAAACTGGTCTTTATGGGTTATATGTTCATGATTTGCATTCATTGTAATGCGGGCTCAGACAACTTTAAATATTAAGGTTGTGAGTGTCAGCGGTCAACAACGAACGACTTAATGAAAGATACAAGAATCTACTTACATGAACTCGTTGAGCATCAGTAACTTTTTCTACAACATCATTTAAGTAGGTCGGGAAAACTACCTAAAAATTTGAAAAAAAGAAGACAAAATATTTTAGTATAAGGAACAATCATCATCATGAAACCGAGCGATTTTCGTTGCGACTCCAATCACAAATAACCAACCCTGTGCCAGTAGAGGAAGCTGCAATCACAAACTTCTTTCAATTTGTTTCTCAGTTCGCAAACAACTTCGTGTTTCTTCAAAACCTGCGTCAAATTATTCAGCTCTTCTTCGCGAAATGTTTTCTTTAAGAAAATAGTAAGAATGTCATAACGAACACAGAAAATGGAGAATAAAATAAAATCGACGCACTGTCAGCTTTGGGAGATTCGAGAACCCCATCCTCAAAAAATTAAGGGGCCAAGAAATTATATTAATGAATACAATAAGGCAGAAAGCTCTTTACAAACCGTCTGCGTCGCAACATGTAGTCCAAGTTTTGCCACAAGACGTCTCTCGCGGGTTCCTAGAACAGAGAAATTAGAAGTAATTTGGTTCGATAAAGCAAAGTAGACTAAACGGGTATTTTTGAAATAATACTTAGTCTACTGCATCTTACCCATTCCATTTAAAGCATTTTGAGCCATTAACAATGCGGCCAACACATCCTGAATCGAAGCAAGAAGAAGATAGTAATTTATAGTAAACCTATTTATAAATAAATAAATGACAACACAACTATAGGGAGATGTTTGTAAATGTAGATCGTCCAGGTTGGTATAGTCCTGAGAAGGACTGTTTTTGTTGTTGTTGACTGACGTTTCGACAACCTTAGCGGTAGTCATCTTCAGAGTCAAAAAAGTAGTCATCTTCAAGTCATTTTTGACTCTGAAGATGACTACCGGTAAGTCAACAACAACAAAAACAGTCCTTCTCAGGACTATACCAACCTGGACGATCAACATTTACAAACATTCAACGATACTCCAGGGTTCAAACCATTTACTTTTACAACAATAGGGAGTTAAAAACGTAGACCAGATAAACAGAACGCCAAGAAAATGAATATCAAAACATAAACAAATCGCACAAAAAGTACAAAAAACTCCACATACCAAACGTCTGTGAGTGTATTTCTTATCGGCAGCAATACGATTCTACAATAATAAGTTTCCAAGCTCAAGTTATTCGGCTATTTTATACAAATGTAGTAGCAAATAGCTCACCTTTACGTTTTCCAACAAATTCAAAGCAAGATACGATAGATATTGTATGATATGAGTAACACTCTCCGCTATCAACATACTACGACGATGAAAAGTATGTTCGATGGCTTTTAGAAGTTCCACAAGTTTGCAGAGTGCCAGAACGGCGGATTTCGTCATCGGTGTGTTCATTGCTAAGTGAAGATTCATGATTGTCTTTACACGATGACTAATGGTCGACGCATACAGGATACCCTGTTTTCATTCAAGAGATGGAAAAATTAATAACATTAACCACTTTCGCGAGATCCTTAATTATTGAAAGGATGCAGAAAAATTTCACTCAAGCACTAATCGCCACTTCGGATGCATTGACTAACCCATAAAATCCCAACATTGCCTCTCAATAGAACTAGCAACAAAATTAATCCACTGATGATTTTATATCATCACAAAATAAATGGCGTTTTATACGTAAGCATCAAACTCTGTATCTACAACTGTACACAGAAATCCTCCAATAACCAAAGTAATTGTCCTATGTCCTACCTTTAGAAATAATGAACATCTCTTATTGAGATTTTCAGTCAAACTCTCTCCAGAGTTCAAACTTGATTCCATAAGAACCATCCATGCACTGACTTGCAAATTCATATTCTTCGCTTCTCTATAAAGTACAAAGATCCTGTAAGGCACAAACATTTACCTCCTTGTGTTCATATCTATCCTAACAAGTACCTTGGCAGATTTTGACTAGCAGTGCTGAGAAAACTCTCCCTAGATGACCTCACAAGTAATTCTTGTTTCCGATCGATAATTTTCTGAAGTTGCGGAATTTTTGATTGAATGAACTCGTTGGGAAAGAACAAAACATTGCCAACCAAATGAATGGCAGGAATCTAAAACAATAGAAAAATATTAACATTTCAATTTTTTTTACTTCTATATTTGAAATTTGCGAATTCTCTTTCAAATGTGTTAAGGCATCATTCCTGATTCATATTTTCCAGTGCAAATACCTTTTTATGAACATCCAAAATTTGCTTCAAAAATTTCTTGTCAAATTGCCGAAATATATGCACATACAACGTATAGAGAGCCAAAAAACAAACGAAATTCTTTCTTTGATCAATTTCACCGTTTTCCCCTACAACGAAACGAGGTGCTTTCACGACAAATCTCGTGAATTTTTGATCTTGTTGTAAACTAGCACCTACCTAGTTTTGGCTCGATTGTCGCGAACATCACTTGTAGATGATGCGAAAATTCTTCAAGAAATTCACGATTGCCACTCACAGGAATAGCTGGCGAGTCAAAGATTTGCTTCACACAATTCTAAATGCAGTGTGCGAATTAGTTCAGAAAAAACGATGTGCAGTATTTTAGACAAAAGTGTTTCTTTAGAGGCATAATCAAATCGATATTACGTTAATTATTATATAGCGCTAATTGCTAAATTAATATTTTTAAACGTGAACAAATTCATATGATTTACGACAGTGTTTTTCGTTAAAACCGCTGATTTTTGCACATCATTTGAAAAAGTGATGTGCAATTGTTTTCATTTTAGCTAAAACGATGTGCAAATTGCACATTGCACACCGTTAATTCACACACTGTAAATGTATATCAACTTCACATGAACGAAAGGGATTTTAAAGGTAAATATGTAGCCAATAATGCTCACATTCCGGACTTCCGCGTTTTCAATACAAAACCAAAACAGCAGTGAAATGCTATGAAAATACAACGCACGTGCCAATACAATCTACAAAGTACCACACATGCAAAGATTGCGATCAATGCATATCCCATGCAATACATTAAACATACATCAAAGATCAAACCATCCATTATTTGCCCTTCAATCTTCATTATCCACTTCTCTAATGGTCTGAGTTGATCTGGCTTCACACTGAAAACACCTGGGTTATGTTGTACCGACTTCAGCATTCTGGAATTAAAGAGAGAAAAATTTTGTACTAGGCAAAAGAGTTTGAAACATTTTGCAATGCTGGATTGCCCAGAGCACAAGGCTTTGAACATTGACATTATTTATAAACTTATGGTACAATTTTCCAGCATATAAAAATATAATAACAACTGTCTAAAGCATGCATGTTTTTTGAGTTGTCAATCCCGTGAAAATCCCCACCTTTTCTACTGGTGGAATAAATTAGCAAGTTAAATGAACCGAACTATAATTTTTATACCTCTTGTATCTTTTCCAGTTTTCATGAATGCCAGTGCTTTCGTTCATGATTTCATCAAGAGTGATCAGGATTGAAAACAAATCACCCAACTTATCAAATATTGTCTGCCCAAAAAATAACATATCTTAGGTTGACAATCACTAGAAGATTTAATGAGTAAATTATGGTTCAAACTTACAGCAAAATGGACATCGGACACATCAAGAACTCTTTTACCGGTCCTTTAAAATGGTACCGCAGTATGAGAAAAACTGATATGATATGAACAAATCTACTGAAAATACAGAAAATTATAACATACTTGGCATAGAGTAAGCTGAGTTGTTGGATAACATGTTTGGTAACATCATTTGCCCGATAAACAAAACTTGATATCTCCTACAATGATACAATGTAATAAAAAAAAATTTAAAACACAAAACTACACCAATCTCTCACTTAAAGTACAAAATGATAGCAAACATGGCTGTTACCTGTAAAAGAGGGAGCAATCTACCAAGTTTGACTTGGGCATCACCTTCGGGAAGTGTTGCATCCGAAACTGCAGGTAAATGAATCACAATAAGTACATTTATGAAAAATACATGTGAACAACAATAATGACGAGTTATACCTGACTCCTCGAAGAGTAAGAGTGGATGGTAGAACTTGTTAACTGCCTAAAACATCAATTTTTCATCTTTGATAATGAAGTTTAATGTTTTATAAATCTTCTAGTATATATTTAAGTCATTGGCTCAAACTCAATCTATTAACCATACATTCTAATTATGTATATACTTCATAATGGTGTATAGCACCTAATATCTATAGTCAATTAAAGTACCTGATAGTCAATATACGTACCTCATGTTTCAGCTCACTTATCTCAGAACAAATAGCAGAGAACACCAGAATGACTTTATTTAAAATCTATAGAAATCACATCTTGACTTGAGAAAATAGTTTACGCAATATTTAAAACATGGATGAGTTAAAGTTTAATTTACCTTATTTTCTGTCTTAATTAGTTCGTTAAATCTTGCTTTCTCATATGGCAGAACCTAAACATATGATTGAGAAGTATTTGTTTGTATGTATATGAACCATTTTTGAACGGTCCTCTTTCATCTTTCTGCTACTCTTATACTGCTGACCATGCAGTCTACTGAGTAAATTGCAACCTAAACTTTCATTAGTCAAGATATCAAATGATGAGAATGAGGAAGACTTAAGACTTTGCCAATCGAGAAGTTAAACAGAAATGTTCATTCTTACTTGAAGTTCGATTGGATCAAGTGAAAAATCCCAGGATTCCCCAGTCCATTCGTCCAACGCATCTTCGATTCCCTTTAATTGGGTTGCATACTCCTCCAAAAACTGCCCATATTTTCTAAGTTGCACTTCGCTCACAATCTCTAAATACACAAGAAACAATGTTTGAATACTTGAAACACTTTTTTAGCTTTCGATCAAGCAGATTTCTCACTAATTGAGCCGTCATTGAATGCATCAAAAGCCCAATTTTCATCTGCTTCCGACCCCATGATTTTTCTATTTTCTCTTTCGATATCACTCCAGTTTAAAGGAGGCGTTCAGGAGAGATATCGGAATTCACCGGAATTGACCGATTTCGGCCCGAAGGACATGGCGGGAAGAAACTTTTATTTTAAAAATTAAAAAGTAAATAAAATCGAGGGTGAAGAAATCTTTGAAGAGCATTTCAACCATGAATTGGGTTGGTGGAATAAGGTAAACAGTCAAAGAAAGCAAGAAGACCATTGTATTGGCGTTTTTGATGCTTTTATAGCAAATACTTAATTTTCCTTTCAGGAAAAGAGTAAAAGTAAAAGAACAAAAAAGACTGCAAAAGGTAAACATTTCTTCTTTACACTTCTCTCCTTAAATTATCCAAGACAAGAAACTGCATAATCAAAATTTTTCAGGAGTTTTTTGAAAGGAAAAGACAGCAAAAGAAATTGAACGCAAAGACGCCCTACTGTCAGAATACAAACCAATGGGAAAACAAAGAAAGTCAGGATTCTGTTGAACCACAAATAATCAGCCAAGATTTACTCGCTCTGCAAATTATTATGAAAACATACGACAAACATCCAAGTAGGATTTCACTGCAGTATTCAATTGATTATTTCCTCTTCGTAACTCACAAGTTTTAAATCATTATTTAGAAGATCGTAATATAAGATTGCCAACTAGAGTTAATTTAGACAAACCAAAACGTTACCAACAGAAATTTTGCAATGAAGAGATTTTGGATCTTCCTTTGCCATCGTCCATAAAACCCTCTAACTTGGAGCTCAACGAAGTTCAAAAGAGAGATGATTCTCCTGTCAATTTATGGAATGCAAGAAGTCATACACCACGATACGATAAAGATTTCAAAAAATGGACCAATCGTCGACATGAATATCATAAAAAAGAAAGATATACTAATCAATCTGTTACAAAAAAAGATTCAGCTCAAAATTCTAGTTTTTGTCATGAAACAATGCAAAATAAAACACAAGATAATGCAGTCCTTGACTTTTCGATGATCGCAAAAAATACTGGAATCATTGGCTCACCAGAGAACAATTCCATATGTTATAGAGATACAAATAGCTTGCGTACAAATTCCTTGCAATTAAATGAATTCCACGATAAGGAAAGCGATGAGATGAAATCATTTCAAAAACGTTTCTCGTTAACGATAATGAATGATCACGACACAAGGGAATTCATGCAAAGGACAGATCGTCATGACAGAAAGAATGGAAGAGAAAGATTAAGCAGTTTTAAAGAGCAGGCAATGAATGACAGCGCAGCAAAATGTGGTAGATTTGAAATGCAGGTATTCCATTATGATTACACACTTGCTGAATGAATTTATTGGAGTTTTTTTTCAATGAACAACCACTTTTCTAAGATGGAGATTTAACAAGAATCTTAATCAAAAGGTTAAATAGTTGGAATGTTATTAAACAAACAGAACGATAGCATAATGCTATAACCAACAACTACAAACAATAACGACCTTATCTAACAACATTTGAGAAATTAACCTTCCACTCCTCTTCCTTGTAAACGAGACAAGTCTATTCAAAAGCAGAGAGCCTTATACGCTAGAAGTCCCGGGCTTGTGACCGGTATAGCAGAGTTTCGTTTAATATGGAAATCGAGCTTTGTCCATATGAACTGTTCGACACGCTTCAAAACAAAAATGAGCAGGAATATTCAGTTGATTAATCTATGATAAACCTTTCACCTTTTAACTCTGCTATACCGGTCACAAGCCCGGGACTTCTAGCGTATAAGGCTCTCTGCTTTTGAGTAGACTTGTCTCGTTTACAAGAAAGAGGAATGGAAGGTTAATTTCTCAAATGTTGTTAGATAAGGTCGTTATTGTTTGTAGTTGTTGGTTGTAGCATTTTGCTATCAATCTTAATCAAATTCAGATTGTTACGCGAACTCTAGATTTATAAATTAGTCTATAAGTTTGTCTAAATATCAATCATTCTTTAGTCTCCTTTCATCCCGTACGCCGCACCAGCACCGCATTCTTTAATCGCCCGTAATAAACACAGCTCAAGAAAGCAAATTGAAAACATGGATAGAAACTATGACCAGATTGAAGACCTCGTTCCACGAAAGCATCCAAAACGCATAGAAAAACAAAACGACAACGTTTATTCAAGCAGTTTTCTTGTTTCAAGAGAAATTCCAATCAAATTCGAAAATGAATTTGCCGTAGAGAAAAGAGACGGTGGTAATATTATTTCATCTATAACGGTACAGTATATTAACGTCGTCCTTGCTATCTTCCAAATACCTAAAGACCACCTGCTTACACACAGTTAAACGCAAGTAAATTATACGATTTCAGGAAAGGATGGATCATTCGCCATCGCCACGTGTTAAACCGATACAGTGTATGAATAGACATGACTCAAGAACATTTCTAAATGATTGCTTTTTATCGCAAGAAGCAAAGAACCTGACGACACAACACAATGAACCAATGAAAGAAATCCCTGATGATGACATCATAACAACACAAAGTTCTTCACCAACAGATATGCCTGAAAAGGAGTTGGAGCCTGTTTTATTTGCTAATGATGGAGAAATCCTAGAACAAAACGAAGCTACGATTGAGAATACTCAAGTTAAAGTAATTGAACAGGTATTGTTGGAAAATTTCAGACAATACGAGAAAAATGACGGCAAAGAATACACTGTTTAACGGACTGCAGAGGATATTCTATGTCTGTAATGATAGCAAAGGATACTAAATGTCCATAAATGCAATGATAGCAAAGGATAACAAGGGACACTCTATGTCTATAAGTGTAATGATAGGAAAGGTTAGCAAATGACTCCTTGGATACATACGTGTAAAGACTGGAAAGAATAACAAGAGATACTGTATTACTGTAAAAATAACGTCTGGATTTGTTTAGGGAATGCAAAGCAATGATCGAGATGAAAAAACTACGACAAGAAAAAATCTCATGAACGCAGAGAGAAAAATGTTAAGGAAGAATTACAAGAGGTTGATTTACACTCATTTCATCGAATGACAATAAAAAAACCATGGTTGACATTTGAGAAATGCTTTTTTAAGGTAATGACAGTTCAACAATACGACAGCAGTCAAGAGAGCCCAGATGACTCAAGTTGGTCATCTAATGACTCAGGTTTGGAAAGTTAATATGTCCATTTCTTTATTTCTTCACTGAAGAAATCTTTTCTTGCTGTTTTTGGATTTACGCGGGTATTTTACCAACGTTTTGATTCTGTCGTTACCTTTTGTTACTAGAATGTGAAGACAGCAACGATACAAAGACCAACAAAGACAACGTAAGACTTTAAAAAAAATTTTTGTCGTTGAGGAAACATCTCGGACGTCAACCATTTATAACGACATATTTATATAGGAGAAGAAAGAAATAGAAAAATACTCAACAAGCAAGGAGCAATTTCCTCAAGAACGATTTTTGAAGAACGATAAAAAAAATAACCAGCTTGTTTACACGTTTGGCCAGTACAACGGATTACAGCCCTGGGTGAAGATAAACGATAGCATTCCACAAGAATATTCCAAATTATCAAAGTTCAGAATCTATCCTATGCATAATATGAAGGAGAAAAGTACTCAGACATCGCCACGAAAAGTTATCGTGTCTGTAAACGATAAATCAACACAGTGCGAAATAGACAGTACAGATAAGAATGAAACAGAATCAAGCAAAGTTGTCCTAATCAAAGAAGAAGAAGTTACGATTGGGGAATCAGTAGTCAACAAACCTCGCAATCTTGCTTATACGACAAGGTGAAACAAGAGAGAGATTTAAAGAGGATTATTTTGGATGGTGGTAGGGAGAAAGAAAGAAATCATAGCAATAAAGAAGTCAAGAAATGTAGTGACCCAAGACCTGATAGCAAGATGTCCACATCAATTGATTGCGAACGCAAACCTCACACTACGAATGAAGAAGAAAGTTTAAAAGTTGAAGAAATTAAAAGCGACCAAGAGCACAGTTTGACAAAACAAGAGGAGGAAGAAGACCTAAATCAATCCACATTATAAGCAGACATGAATTAATTTATATCAAAAAAGATCTTGCTATGGTTGACCGTTTTTCATCATCAAATTTCACACAAATAAACAATCTTTTCTACACATTCAAAATCAATTGAGTGTAATCAATCATTAATCAACATGAACGGTGGGCAATCACTTTGCATTAATGTTGTTAAGAGAAAAAGACGTTTTTATCTGTAAATGAATATGAGGATATGACAGGATTACTGTATGAATGATTATCCTGTGGATAGGATTAGTGAGCATAATCGTACCTGATGCTTGGCTACCGAAGACGAGAAATTCATCGATGATCCTGCCTAATCAAACAACATTTTCGAGCTGATTTTTATCACAAATTATTATTATTGAAAATTTTAATAAAACTTTAAAAAAAACTAGCCATCTTTGAATTCGGTAAAGAGTTTTTCTGTATGTATAGTTCTGGAAATTATCATCTTAGACTGATCATAAACACCGAGAAATATAGCACCACCAATACTTATCCATAGAACACGTGGTAAAATGCCAGAAAACAACCTGAAGACACAAAAACAAATCATTAGGGCGATTCTCAGTTCCGGATGAATACTGTAAATCCGTTGTTATTTTTGGCGATAAGCGTTTACAACAATTAAAACCTAACAAAGTATACGATATAAATTGTGTGCTAAGATAAATTTACCTAAAACATATGCTGTTAAAGTTATTCACTAGTCTTCACTGAGATATAAAAAAGCAAATGTGCCGCGTCACAAGTGTGACCAATGAAAATGGACGCTTGGCCTAAGGCCTTTTCGCCAAGTTCCACACTTGTTTCGATACATTGATACGGTAAAGTAATAAAAACACATAAAATACTCAATCAAATAACCCTAATTTAAACTGAAATGGACATATTCATACTTTATAGATAACACAACAAAGGTCGTTTAACAATATTTCCATCCAGGGGATTGCACATTAAGTAAATGAATACATTTCGTGAAATGAAGATAAGAGAAAAAAATCTTTTATACCTTTTTATACCCTCATCTCTTCCAATGAGAATCAAAGCTTTCAATGCATTTATCTTGGTGATGGGAGAGTCTTTCTAAATGATGTCACATCAAACAATCGATTGCAATGTCTTAACAACCATGAGCGGGAAAAAAGAAATACTTCACATCAAAATTACTCAACATTTGGAAAAAAAACGTCTACCTCAGCTAGCATAATTCTTGTCTTGGTGACGTCAAGAGGTGTTGTCAAGGCAGCAGCTACGCCACCTGGCAATTACCAAAAACACGTGAAAAGCGGATTGATTACCAAACGTATGTACTTTATAGGTGCCTAACACAAAAAGTCACCTTCAAAAAATTGCTTTCTCATGTTTCCAATGAAAAATACTACAGAACTGAAATTGTACCTGACAATGAACCACAAACAGCAGATTGCCAAGCTTGAATTGGCTCTTTTTGTTGTTTCGACCATTTTATCTAAAAATTTAAGAAATTATAGAAACCATCCATTATCTGAGAGGATCGGACGTACATAATTTCCATGATTTTCATGGACAAAACTGAGGAATCACAACGATCAATTTGGCGTATCTTGTACTTCATGAAATATTAATTTAGATCAAACAACATCAGCAACCTTTAGGTATTCCCACAACGGGTACTGAATGAATGAAAATGGCACCTTAATAAAAGAAACACAAGTTATAAAACTTCAAACAATTCAAGGGTGAAAGGCACGAATCGATGTTCGGTTATGATAGAAATAAACAGTAAAAGCCATTTGGACAGTTAAAAGGAAAGCCTATCTAAATAGATCAGTCATGCGGATTGCCTCGAAGCAAACTTATCAAGATTAATATTCATATAAACATACAGTCGCCTGCCTTATGACATATTTGCATACAATGCTTGCCTGAGGCTTGTGAGCTAGAAAATAAATCACACCACATTTGGCATCGTTTAAATCGACTACGAAAAGTGTATATATAGAGCTGTTTTCCACTTGGCGTTACTGACATCATCATGGTTTGCAGGAAAAATACACGACTAAAAATACGCTAGCCAAAAATAAAAATAGACATTTGAACCTTCATATACATGCCGATAAGACTCGTGCATAAACTGTGGCCATTGTCAAACTTTAAATCACAATAATATCACATGGAAAAGTAACATTTAAACTTCACTACTGCAAAGACGACTGCTCATTATTTAGTCACATTCTTCAAAGACAAAGTTGAGAAAAACAACAACAGAAGGTAAGAGGTCAATATTTTTCTAAGGCATGTCTTTATAAAACAGAAACACTGTGTGCCTACAGTATATCAGTTGCAAAACCACAGCGATTCTGTCAATTTCTTATTGAAAGATGAGGTCGTGAGGTGAATACCTTTCAACAACCGTAATTATTGTGATAGACGTCGACGCCTAACTATAGTCTATGATTATGCATTAAGGAGAGCTTATTTTTGGAGGCAGATACGGCTGTTAACTCGCAGTTTGGTTTGAATGGTAGTTAGATTGATAAAAAAGGCGAGGAAATCATTATTCGGCTCAGTATAAGACGGTTCGTGACATTCACATGCTCACTTTTAAAAGATCGAAATTTACATATGAAGAGAACTTAAAGACCATGCAACAAACACAATGCAAAATGTCAAAAAAATATTTTTTTTAGATTTCTTATGACTGTCAAGTCGAATACATTGACGATATCGGAAAACATGAATGTATCAAAGAAAGAAAAGACGCACAAAACAAATACAGCTCACAAGGCATTTAAAACAAGCGAAACAGTATCAAAGAAAGGATTTATATTGCAGCTTTCAAATGAACAGAAAAAGAGATGCGAGGTAATCGGAAAAATTCTTTGTACGCTTGGAGACAACTTGGAAAAGTACTACGAGCAAAACGGAGGCGAAGTACGAACCGGAAAGACGATAAACAATCACACAAAGGTTCTTTTCACAAAAAATGCATGAATGCACGATAAATGTGCATTGTTAGAGTGTAAATTACAAAGATGTAAATTAAAACTTGTTGCTTTTTAATAACAAAATAAACAAACCTCACGAAACACCGTGCTCCAGTAGCCTCGATAGAAACCCTTAAAACCCTAAAAATATTCACCGATTTTACAAAAATGTTTATGACAAGAATTCTTGCGCTGCTAGTATTCTTATTGTATGCTGATTGATTTAAAAACGACTCCAATAAAATTATAACATATCACTTTTTTTAGAGAAACCGAATCATGTTCATTATGCAAATGACATTAATATGACATCACATTACATAACAACATTTTACTTAACATTCATAGAGTTTTGCCTTTATTAAATATGAATATGTGTTACGGCCAAAACTTCAATTTTTATGACAAAGTTTCCAAGCTTTTTTCTCAAAGCTAACTATGTATGCATGCGATGTCATAACTAACAATTTATGATGACCAAATAACTTAATTCTAATTAAGGCAATTTAGTTATGAAATAGCAAACAGAAAACTGCACAGTAAAATTTTGCGCCATAAACACTCTAAGTTCTGATAAGCAAGAAACATTCTTAAGTAGCAGACATTGCAAACCTCTTCTTGTAATGTAAATTTGAAAGCTTCTACACTTGAAAGTAATTTATTTGCTTGTGCTCTCTGCTTCACCATCTCAAATGGAACCCGTACACCATTGGAAGTCTAAAGTCAGCAAATCTAACAGTTAAATTGACACGAACATTTGATGAGGAAACTAGAGAAGTTTGTTCAGCAGGAGATAAGTAGTCAATGCTAAGTTTGTGACAATTTGTAAAATATGGTCACTGGAAGATCTGAGTCTTACTTGTGTATATTTTGAATTTTTCAGCTTATTGCATTCATAGTGACAAGTCTTACTTACTAACTCTCCAATGCCAGCAGCCACCATGTTTACAACAACATTGAATGATGTTGCATGTGGATCTGCATGAACCATCCTCTTGACAAGTTCATATGTACAAAAAAAGGTCGCAGCTAAACAAAATAGCAGGAGAAGTTAAATGTAGTTTTGATATGCTCCTAAGTCTTGAATGTATCCTCCCCTCTTAAGGTAACCGCTCCTTCTAAAGTAGTCAACTTTTTAACACTTGTCAAAAAACTGCTAAAGTAACCTCCCTCTTCAAAGTAACCTCTCCCAAAAAGTAACCTCCCTCTTCAAAGTAACTCCTCCCAAAAAGTAACCTCCCTCTTCAAAGTAGCCACTCTATTTACAGAACTGTTAAGAGCTTTAACACAATCACACTTAATGCATTCTGTACAACATTCTAAACAATAAAAAATTCTGTAAATTTTTGTGAACTCCTGCAACCTTATCCAATTTTAAGTGCATTGAAAAATACTGTTTATACGGAGTGGACCATGGGTGTTAAGAGCAGCTGAAAATATATAAAAACAACTCAAAAATTTCATCAAGTGCACTCCAAAACCAAATGTCCCTTTGTAAGTAGCAAACAATTTCTAAATTTACTCAGGCCTCTCCTTTTTAATACTCTACATATCCAAACTAAACAATAAAGACATTAAGCAAAGCCAGCCTGTAAATGTCCTAATTGATAATTCCTCCCATGAAAAGTTGATTCCATATGGCTAATGCACACAGAAATATTTTCAGAACTTTCTGCCCACAAGCATGCCTTTCATTAAGGGTCAAAGAATTTTGGAAGGTTAATAATTTGTGGGTGGGGAGGCTAAATTAATATATTCATACGTTACTATATGTCATCACAATTGAATTCAATAAAAATCACTAGAAACTAAAGAAGTATAACATGCACATATGAATATTAGCCATATCAATTATTGCTCTTCCATGGTATCTGGAAGTATTTCTTACCTGAAGGAGTTGAGCCCACAGCTAAAGAACCAAGTCCAGAATAAAGCTTGTGAAATCCACCAGCTTTCCAAAAACCTTGTGAGGATTGAAACCTGGTCTTAATAGTATCCAAAGGGAATAATACAACATCCACGGATAATCCTGCAACAGCACCAGCCTGTCATACGATATAAATATACACGATAGCATAGGACAAGTGTCAAAGACTATAAATTGGAAACTTCATTTTAGTAAGTTCTTCTCATACCACTAACGGTAAAATGACTGTCTCGAACATTTCATAACATGTATTTCTTCGCAGAAATCATTAGTTCACTTCATCCACATTCTACACGGCTACACCACTACACCACTGACCACGCGAAAAAGCTATAAAATTGCCGCTAATTCCGCCATCAACTTGTTCATTCGTTCTCTTCAGGACACGATTGTTCAAAGCAGGTTGCAGCAATGTTGCGCTGCAACCTGTCAAGAAAACAGACAACAAAGCCCTGTTAACAATACTGTCTAATTTTCAAGAGTTCAGATGGTTTTTTTTCAACAAATGCGAACATAACCACTTTTTCAATGATGATGCCATCTAATGAATTGATAACAGCATGGTCGGGGAGTGGTACATAATTTAAAAAAATGGCGTATTGGTCTGCAAAAATTATGAAAAAATATGAAAAGATAACACAAGTTAAATACAACAAAATTAACTTGGATAAAAATTTATTGTATAGAAAAGTCAATTATTTTGCGAAATATCGATATATTTCAATGTTTCTCCTAGGAATAAAATAATTTATTATTTATTAATGAAATAACAAGTCTCAATTCTACATCCACTCTCTTAATTCCTATGTTTTCTTTTATTGAAAAGCAATAGATTTCTAAAGAAATGAATAACGATAACACATCAAAACAACACAGCACAACTAAAACTTGTCAAATGATTTGCTTAAAATAACTTGTTTGGTGATTATCTAGTGTGATGTTTTGTTTAGTGACTATCATTATGTTAGGTCATGTAACAACGAAATGTCATACTACAAAGACGAGTAACAACATTTTTCCTTATTTTCATATTTCATGATAATTTCTCTTTGCTTAACCACCACAGTAAATACAAGCAAGTTTTAGTATATTTTGGCAAAGATGACATGTTTTGACATCACAAAGATGACAACAGATGACAGATGAATTTTTCAGGTTCATGAGAAAATTGCTTAAATTGTCCAGCAAAGTGCGAAGATCATATCTACATTTAAAGATGTCAACGTCAATCACAACAAGAATAAGTTGATTCTCCTTTTGAATATTTTGTCTTAACTAAAAGCACACTTCATACAACACATTATAACAGTATTTTACTTAATCATTGGCGTCAATCCTGTGTTAATTGGTGGGGGGACCATATTCATATATCTGCTGTGCCTGGCTAATTCCTTTTCAAAACAATTTCATTTGCAAAAGAAATCAACCTGGCATAACAGAATATATGAATATGGTCCCCCCTAATTATCGCAGGATTGACGCCAATGTTTATTTTAATTACAAAAAAATGCTAAGATTGTCAAGTGCAGGCTGTGCGAAACTTAATTTATTCCAAAATAGGTGGCAGAAGTCTATTTTGGAATAGCTACATCAATTTTTTTTTCAGAAGTTCTTTCCTAAATTAAAGAGCGAGGGAACTCTCTAATTTAGTTAGAATGTTGGAAATCCTTTATGCTTTTCGTTAATGACATTTACACTTTTCATAATCGATCAAAGTTTTTTTTTATTGATCATCTGCAAACACCGAAGAATCTAAGTCAAAGATTTTGTCGTTTAAAAATCATTTCTCTAAGTAAAGCTACTTAGTCCAAAAACACGTAAAATAAGTTACTAAACTTACCGTACGACTGAAACGTTAGCGACCATTGCAGTCCACCCACTGAGAGGCCACCTCGTTCTAAAAGAGACACAAACAAGTAATGAAAAAGTTGATGACAGACAGAAACAGAAACCCACTTACAGTCCTAGCATCCTTTTCTTTATCTTTTCGTCCACTCTGCATCTGAAAGAAAAGCCTAAAGAACAAGTTAGATGCATGAAAAAAAAACAAACAAACATATACCCATGTCTTCTTCTTGATGTTCGCGTCCTCTGCGCCTGAAAAAATGCTGAATAACAAGTTAGGGCTGTGTCAAAATAAAAAAACAGGAAAACCAACAAACAGACACATACCGCAGTCAAAATCTGCATCTGTTCCTGTTTGACTGTAAAAATAATTGTTTAAATTCAATCATGATACACCATTAGAGCAAATGTACTTTGCAAAGCCAGCCGGTGTTTGCAGAAGATCTTTTAAAATTTTAATTGAAACTCGTAAATTTCGATAATTTGCGAGTAAAGACATAAATTATTTTAACTGCTATTTACACACTATTATAACATCCCTCAATGTTATAAAAGTGCCATTGACAGGTAAAATAAAGTGGTTAAATATTTAATGTCGACAGCTTTTAGAAATTACCTCAAAAAACGTTTAATTTAAAGATTTTGCAATACTCTGCCAGCGTATTGCAATTTCTTTTTGTGACTATATAATAGACTTATTCAAAGTCATCATTAGAGAAGCGAAATTTATAAATAGACTTATGGTAAATTAGACATCATTTCAATGTTACATGAAAGATCTGAACGCAAGAAGCACCAACATATTAACAAGTTAATAAGCATGGTAACAGATTTGGGTTGACTTCTATAACATTAGTCAATGGTATAGAAGTTCCAGTCAGTTAACATGAAAATACGCAGCTACAACAACTCATCTCTTTGATCCTAAATCTCCCAATTTTTTCTAACATCGCCAGCATGTTAGAAATAAGCAATAAGCAAAAGTGACTATTAAGCTACATTTACAAAATGATAACAGGACAGACAAATTGATTTAGATGTACAAAATGAAAGCATTGCTTTCACAAGTATAGTTCTCTGTCGATATCGAGGTCGAAGAACTTTTTCCTTCACTTTCATTATGTTGACGGCGGCTATTGTCTAGAAACAAAATACAGAAGCAAACAAAGCAAGTGAAATCAACTTTTAAATATATACGACATCATCGCAATTAATGAATAAATATGTTCATTACTAAAGCATCATTTATCGTTTCTGTCTGTACTTCATACAGATATTTCTTAGTACTTTAATATGGCACGTTGGTCAAATGTTTTAGTATAATGAACATAGCTTTTTTGCTTCTCCGTTCTTAGTTTAAGAGTTCTCTCAATATTTCTCACTTCACAGCCATCCTTCCTCTTTATTATCTTCAATTCTCAACCGTTTATTACTTTATTAAGTTCTTGAATTATTTGCCTTAAAAATGAATTTTCTATTATCTTGTTGTAATCGAAAAGATAATTTGATTGATTTAAACATCTAAAAAAGAAGCTTCTAATGCCAAAGTCATACCTGGAGCTGGTGCTATCCTTTGTCAGACCCGTCTTGCTAACACTCAAGGTAAAACTACTCAAAGGTATATGGTAAAACTACTCAAAGTGAAGTATATAAGAACAAGAAAAATTGACGTAAAATATTAAACAAAGACAATAAGTGAAGAGTCGACATTAGCATTGACGTAAGCACAAAATTAGACTGAGCTTCAGCCGAACGTTAAACAAAAGAAAATTTAGGGTTTTTTGTGTGTTTCAGTCTCACGAGGGTAAAAAACTTAAGGTTTCTCTCTCGTTCTTATTTCAATAGTAAAACTGTAAGCATGGTTCACACAAGTAAAATAAGCAGGAACGTCAAGACTTTTGTTTCTATTGCTCTAGAGGTTTATAAAGACAAAAACATTGGGATTTTTTTTAAATTTTCTTTTTGTTCTTCTTTTGTTCTTCTCTTAGCTTATGCTTGAATTTTTTCCTTATGCTTGCGTTTATGTCGATGCTTATCTCACATGCTTCGTTGATTATCTTTGTTTTGTCTTTTGTACACGCTTGTTCGTGTATTTACTTCACTCGTGTGAACTAGGCTGTAGACGTCATCAGTTATCTTCATTCAATTTAATTATCAAAGTTTTTAAACACAGAACTCAAATTTTCTCAGTCCAACGTTCATACGAGACTACGTCTCAGAAATATGCTAAGTTTAAATGATAATAAATGAGAAATAATAAGTTTAAAGAACGATGATGATTACTCTCTCATCAACCTTATTGGAAAGGACATTCATATTATTAGTTGCGTAGGCACTTTTCTGAAAATACTTCAAATCAAAATAGCAAATCAAATTAGAAATGAAAATTATTTCTACGACATTTGTGGATCAGTATAATTTCAATATAACACGACGACTAAACTGTTGCAATCACAATTACTTAAGTGTGTTTTCTTTTACAAACACAATATTATCATTTTCAATAAATTATAAACACAAACATTCTCCAATTATTCTCTTGCATTAAATTGTGCAAAGCAACTCAAGCACGGAGAAATCCATTGCACACACACATGCATTTTGTATGATATTACACAACTAAAAACTACTTTTCCATTAAAGATCAGTTATAAAAGAAAACGGTGTAAGTTCTACATTCCACCAATATGAACAGCTTTTATTTCCACAAACTCGTCCATTCCGTATTTCGATCCCTCTTTTCCAATCCCAGAATGCTTCACACCACCAAACGGTGCATACTCACTGGAAACAGATGGTGAATTAACACCAACCATACCTACTTCTAAAGCTTCTGCTACCCGCCATATTTGTTTGAAATCTTGCGAATAAAAGTAGCCTGAAAAAATGTAAAATCAATATAAGCGGATGAAAGCGGTTTACAAGCAGATGACAAGCATTTGTAGGTAACCACGTCCTTGGAAAAATTAAATACTGAACAAACAAAATACTAACTCTATTTCTGGGGCATACCTGCAAGACCATAGTACGTGTTGTTCGCCATAGCAATGGCTTCAGCTTCGTTATTAAATCTAAGAGAAAGAAATTTTTAGCATACGACAATGAAATATTATCTTCAGTTGGTCGAAGACATAACTAGCAGTAATCATGTTTTAATCATATAGGGGAGCCAATAGATATACATTCTTGATATTTAACAATACATCTTCATACAAGTCAAAGCTAGCCTACCTCAGCAGGGGAACAACTGGACCGAAGTTTTCTTCAACGCTAACAACCATGTCGTTTGTTACGTCTGTCAAAACAGTTGGCTGGAAAAATGATTCACCCAGATCAGTCATCCGGGATCCACCTAAAGCAACCTTTGCTCCTTGTTTTACAGATTGCTGTATGTGAGTTTCAACTTTGAGAACGGCTTTCTCATTAATCAGCGGTCCTTGAGTGGAGTTCTTGTTCAAACCATCACCAACAACTAACGTTTTCATTCCTTATAATAAGTAGGCATAAAACATTTTACTGAGGAACAGAATAACTGTGTTTACTGATTCAATGATAAACAGCTTTAACATGCACAGAAGACGATCAAAAGCACATATTGCAGAACTGATATGATTTCTAACATTCTTAATTGTCGCCATTCAGGTTCGCGTTCACACAAAAATGAAAAAAAAAGAATTTCGCAATGTCTCAAAGATAGTCAGAGTTAGAGTTATCAAACAGGAAGAACTTCTACAATAAAAACCTGGTCGGTGTGGATCGTGCTAACGAGTCAAAGAGTTTGTTTTGAGGAGTTTGTTACAAGGAATAACAAAATATTAAAACACTTGCGACGTTAAATAAAATCGCTGTTGCCAGCATGAACCAAAAGTTCATGCAAATGATGACTGAGCATCTGAAAATGATGAACAAAATTGCATTTTCCACGTAGTTTGTCATTAATTGCTGGATAGAATCATTACTTGAGCCCAGAAATCAAGCTAAAGATGCTTTACTCAACCTTCAACAAGCTTTTGTGTGAATTCTTCATAAACTTGTTCCTGGACAAAGATTCGATTTGGTGCAATACAGACCTAAGAAAATGGGGACACACAAATAATTCCATCACTTTAGGACGATGTTCTTGTTGAAGGTCGACTCCTACTGTCATTTATATAAAACACGTCAAACTATCCTGTCCTGTGTTTCTAACCTGTCCTGTGTTTCTAAACTTCGCGGTAAGAAGGCCCTGCGCAGCTAAATCAAGGTCCGCGCTGTTGAATACAATGAAAGGTGCGTTTCCTCCAAGTTCCATTGAAACTCTCTTCACCGTGTTTGCACATTGACTTAGTAATAACTTTGAATGAAAAAAAAAACGACAGAAAAGATGAAGAACAATCATAAGAACAAATCTCAGGAATGCTTCATCAAATACACAAGTGTTATTCAAGAGAGAGTGCAGTAATTTCTTAAACGGCAGAAGTACCTTTCCAACAGCTGTGGAACCAGTGAAGGAAAATTTTGTGACAAGACTGCTCTCCATGACAGCATCAGTCACCATGGAAACATTGTCACGTGAGCATGGTAACACATTGAACACTCCAGGTGGAATGCCAACTTCTTCAGCAAGCTAGTTCAATGAAGATTATTTTAAAGTTTTAACCAACTTGAAGGACTTTTGCATGTATTTATTGCACAAATACCTGAGCAAGGGCCAGGGCGGTGAGTGGAGTATCTTCAGAAGGTTTACATAATACTGTACATCCAGCGGCCAGAGCAGCAGAGGCTTTCTTTGTTATCAATGCAAGAGGAAAATTCCACTAAAATTGTAAATCACTTTAAAAACATGTATAAGAATCTGTCTAAATTAAGGTAGCACCGAGAAGTTTCTATTTTGAGGGCGTTCCTTCCACTTCCCCACCCCTCCCTACAAAAAATGGCACAACCAAATGTAGTAAACATCCTTTTATGCATACTAATATTTTAAGTTTTGCAATTGAACACCATAGTCTGAGAAATATTTTGAGAAAGAGAAGATGACTACCTCCATTTGCTAGCACCAATGATTTTAACGAGTTCTCCCATTTTTAATAAGAAAATAATAAAAAAAAGACATCTGCACTTATGCCATAAATCATCAAAATGTTATATAACATTCTACCGGAGTCCAAAGAGCTGCAACACCAACTGGTTGCTTCATCAGTATGATTTTTGTGCTAGTCTGAGCTGAAGGAATCAATTCCCCATTTATTCTTTTTGCTTCTTCGGCAAACCATTCAATAAAAGACGCTCCATAATATACCTCTTGATATGCCTCAGTAAGAGGTTTACCCTATGAATACAGATTATGTCCACGAGTTTCTTCATAGTAAGACATTATCAATGTAGAAAAAACCAATCCGAAAAGCTTCATGTTTTTTTTAAAATCATTCGTACCTGTTCTAATGTCATTACTTTGGCAATATCATCCACCCTCTCTAGAAGAGCTTTGTGCCATTTTTGTAAGAATGTGCTTCTTTCCTAAAGACAAAAATCAGAACAATTCAAATATTCATATCTATCTAGAACCAACATTTGTGATTAAACAACACGTGCCATTCAAATCAGGGATTATATGTGTGTTTAAAGTTAAACTGCCACATGTAATGACAGCAGTCGAACTCCAATTCATTTCCATTCAATTCAAGGCAAAAAATAGCTCAAACCAACCTATGTCAATGCAAGCACACACTTTAAATTTTAAAAAGTTTTGTAATGATAACAAAAAGGTATCTTCAATTTACGAGGGGCTACTTTTCATCCACGGCCATAAAAAACTATTTACTTCTAAGATTGACGAAAATGATATAAAATGTCATTAAAAACCTTCACAGACGTTGCTTTCCAGCTTTGAAATGCTTGGGCAGCGGTAAAAATAGCTTTTGCAACGTCGTCGTGATGAAGATCCGAGACGTCTGCTAATTTTTCACCGTTTGCAGGATTAAACACAGGAAAAGTTACTTCGCTCGAAGCAGATTGCCATTTCCCACCGATAAATGCTTTGTAGTTCTTCAAGTATGGTACATGTGTTCTCGCAAGATTGGAAATGTTACGTAAACTTTTATACTCAGACATTTTATGTTTCTTTGTCTGTTTCAACTAGTACGAGATCAGTATTACCTAAGCATAAATCTCCGTTTTGTTTAAACTTATTTTATGGAGCTTTCTCATGCGTTTCGTTGATGTTGTTTGACGTTAATGCCAGGAAATCTGCCAGATTATGACAGGCTTATCAAGGATATTGCTAGCAGTTCTTGAAAAACAGATATCATATAACACAGCAGGAGAAACAAATCTGGTCTTTTATTTGATTTTATTTCATTTTAGGAAAAATTATTCAGAGAAATATCTCCACAAATGCATATAAAATGACCATTTTTCACTCATCTGGATTTCTGAAAATGGAAGAAAGATAGTTTGAGTTAGATACGATTTCAAACAGAAAATATTTCATTACATCAAATACCTAAATGCAAAAGTTGAAAACATTCTGATAGTAAATACATACCGTACTTGAAGACAAACGAAATATCAAATAATTTCCACTTTTACCAGGTTGATAAGTTACTGAAGAGGTTGAGGAGGAGCCATGAGGTCAATGTCTGAGAACGTTCTTGCACCATAAACTGCTAGGATAAAAATCGTGGTGTGCTTGATAAAACGCCTGAAAATTGATGAGAAATGGACACAATTTAGAACTATTTTCCAGCAAGAAAAAAAAGATTGATCCATACCATTTCATTGGATTTTTGTATAAATCTACAATATGATCAACGACACCCATGGGTTTGCCTTTTAAACTTGGTTTCGAAGAAGATTTTTTCATGTTTTTGTTCAGAATTCAGCACTCCGAAGACGACCTTTTTCGAAGAGACCTTTGGCAGTACTTCATGTAATTTTGTTTGGTAAAGTGAAGGTGCATTGAGTTTCAATCCAGCAAATTTGCGGTCAGAACCAGGAAATGACGTCACTGCAGTATGTAGTGTATCACGAGATCAACCATCCATCGCGTATCGTTGCCCTTCGCTTTACTTTATATTTTTTCAAAATTCTGCTGCTTTTTTTGTGTTATATTCATCACAGACTTGCACGAGTTATTATCAAACATAACTACGTTGATTTTTAACTCCCAGGAGTTCGTTAAGGTATGGAAGATGGCATTAAAAAATGCAATATATATCGTGTTCTTTTTTGTCGAAATTGGTTGCTTTTTTAAATCGAAAATCATCGATGTTCATTCTCTCATCGGATTGGATATTTTCCATTGGCTTCTCGGTCCATTTTATTGCTTAATATACAAACTATTTACTATTACCACTGTTGTATCGTTGTTTCGTAGCGTCTAGATATTTGATGATGAATTTTCCGGATAAATTATTAATTTGATAATAACGTAGAGTATTTTACTACGTAAAGGTTAGAAGCATCTAGAGTATTATGTTGCTTTTATTCAGTTGTTCTCTGTGCATATTTGGTTGTGGAAAGTTTTTGAGGCTATTTATGTGGCTTCACGAAACCTTCTGTATAATTTTACAAATTATTACCATAAATTATTAGATGGAGCTTCATTGTATATTATTCTCAGATCTCTTCCCCGTTTTAATTAAATCATAAACCTTCATTCAGTAGAGTTCAAGACGTGAATTAAATTTTGAAAATGTCTTCAAGAAAAAAGGTTCTGTTGAAAGTGATAATCCTGGGAGATAGTGGGTAAGGACACATGGTAAAATCAATTAAAAATATATTGTATCCAAAGTGAACTTATATTTGTTTTCATTTGAGGGTCGGTAAGACATCCTTGATGAACCAGTATGTAAATAAGAAATTTAGTAATCAGTACAAAGCAACTATTGGTGCGGATTTCTTAACAAAGGAAGTAATGGTTGACGATAGGCTTGTTACCATGCAGGTTAGTTTGACAACCCTAAACATTGAAGTTTTGCTGATGATGGTTCATATACAATGGAGTTTTAATGAACTCTAGATTTGGGACACAGCTGGACAAGAGAGATTCCAAAGTCTGGGTGTAGCATTCTACCGCGGTGCAGATTGCTGTGTCCTAGTATTTGACGTAACTCAACCAGGATCATTCAAGACTCTAGACAGTTGGCGTGACGAGTTTCTTATCCAAGCTAGCCCTAGAGATCCTGAGAACTTTCCGTTTGTGGTGTTAGGAAATAAAGTTGATTTGGAAAACAGAGCAGTATGTTCCTTGTGCAATTGTTTGCTTATTATTTATGGATGAAATATCCATCTCATTTTCTCCCTTTATCAAGGTGTCTGCTAAGAGAGCGCAAGGTTGGTGTCAAGCAAAGAACAACATACCGTACTTTGAGACGAGCGCCAAAGAAGCAATTAATGTAGAACAAGCATTTCAGACCATTGCAAAGAATGCGCTAGCTCAGGAAACAGAAGTGGAGTTATATAATGATTTCCCAGATCAAATCCACCTTGACAACAATACAAGTAAACCAAAAGATGGCTGCGGTTGCTAAGGATGTATCAGAATAAGTAATTCATAATAAAATATAAGATGAGAATCTTATTTATTTGAAATTCTCTGAACTTTCATGTATTGATCAACCACTCATTTATTTTGGATTGTTTATAAAATTGAATATAAACATTCTTCACCTCCGGTTTGCACATGTGCATGTTTAACTGATTTCCCCTTATGATTTTTCAATTATAAATTTATTCTGCTTCATTATTTCTCTGTTTTTTAAAAACTTCTAACAACACAGCCTTGAAAACAACTGTTCAAATCATTAGAATGAATAGAATTCAAATTGTAGTGTAATCGATTACAGTAACTTTGTATTCTTTAATTTGAAAAATAAATGCAGTTGAAATTAAGGCATATTCATGAAGTTGTTGTTAAAATTCTGCTAGCCACGTGTAGCTGTCCCAGTTACTGGTTTGAGGATTTCAAAGAAACTCAAATACATTTAGCAGCAAGACATTTTATGCTATATCTGTATTTCAAAAAAGGTAATCCTCTTTCTGACTGGGTAATGAAAAAGTAATTATGACTACAACGAGTCAGTATTTTTTGAGCTGTGTACTATCTGAGATCTGACTACTCCATCGCGCATGTCTATTAGAGCTTGCATACTTAGTGGTTCCCAAACCCTTTGCGTGAACATTGGCGAAGATGATTTGACCATGGATGTTAGTATTTCAGGTTTGACAGGCTTCAAATGCAAATCACTTTCAACACGGTGTAAACGTTTTGAGAACTCTCCTTTACACTTCGCTTTTCGCTCTGTCAAGAACACAAGGTTTGAGAAGCCTTTAGCCACTGGGAGCTGTTTTCGATGAGGCAATTTGGGAATGTATTCATGAGATGTGTTGATTTGAATAAGAGGGAGTTTACTTTTTTGCATGCAACTTGATAATTCTTCGTTTTCTGTCTGAAAGTACAAACGAAATCGCATTTACATTCTAATTATGAGTCTTAACAGCATTTCGAATTAAATGGTTGGATGAAAGATTTGACAATCATGTGGAATAAGGAATGGAGTTTCCTTCGACATTGTCAGAGAATTTTATTTAGGTAATAAAGAGGCTTTCAAGAATGACATTTAATTGAAAGTTTAACTTCAAAGAGAAGAAATGCTTACTTCACGTGTAATGTCAAACAGTTATTGACCTGGATTACCTCAGACTCGGGGTAATATCTTCGAATACCATCATCGTCAATATTTTTTGTATAATGTGGTTCTGCTGTAACTTGCAACAATAACTTCGTCTTATCTTTATTAACGTGTGCTATACGATACATAAGATCCTGACGATGCCGACGGTATCGTACGTCCTTGAGCATCTCACTTTCTTCAAGACTTGTAATTTCCGGTGCCTATGAATCAAAACTTTCTTCAATGTCGGAACATAAATATGTGATTATAGTAGAAGTGTTTGGGGCGGTGAAAATATATAAAAGTTGCTGTGTTTATTGAAATAATGGTGTAATAGGTGTTGTTTTGTAGGTCTACAAACATTTCCTGAAGAAAAACAATGATTAAATAGAATTAGCACCTCTTCTTCGCTGACAAAATTTCTTTTCACCGGAGTTATATGACGTCTTAAGCATTCCCGGATAAAACAGGCGTACGCATTCTAAAAAAGGCAAAACCACGACAGACTGTCGATAGATACTGGACGAGCTTCGAGAATGGTTTTTTTAACATAGGAAAATAATAAAAGCTTTATTTAACGTTGATTACTTCGTAAAATCATCCCTACAGTCCGTTGCCTGTAAACATTGCGTTTATCACAATTTGGGAAAAACATGGCTAAAGCAGCTAAACTGCTGTAACTTCGTTGAGACGAGACTTAAATTGTCAGATTTATTCACCTTAACATCAGGTAATATCAATGCGTCCTTATTGAGGAGTTTTTGTCGAGAATAAGCTCTTAATGCATCCCATAATGCCGCTGCACCTTCGTGACCTTCTAAAGATAACACAGAACTTTGACACTTTTCATAACACTATTTTAAAAATAGACAGCGACTCTGTTAACAGTTCAAAGATTTCAAGAAAGTCATACTTTGCCTTGCAATTGAGAGATCGAATTGTTTTCTCGGTTTTTCTTTAACACTCGGGTTCAAAAAACCGTCTGCATCATTGCCAAACAACCGTTGAAGTTGAACTGGTAACGGTTGCACTCGCAATTCGTGAAAATCCGCGTCCTCTATTGCGGACCTTTCTAAGAAATCTGACAAGTTATCTTCAGAAATAACGTCCACTCTCGAAGAAACTTCTGAAAGTTTTTCTTCCATTAATAACATCGGCGGCTCTTCCTTAGGCTTTTCTTCGACAACCGTTACCTTAAAAGTCTTCACGTTATTTTTTTTTAAAGCCGTCGAATTCTTCCCGGGGTACAATTCATCTACAATTATAGACATACAAATTTTAAATGTTTCGATAAATTGCTACGTATGTACATTTTCTTAGTTCTAACAACCATTGTGGCAATAGGCCACGAATTATTTGACCTCTTTTCAAATGATTTCTTTTTGAATATTTTTTCTTTTGCGATTTGGGCAACACCGTCTTCTTGTTTTCTTTCTAAAGAAAGGAAAGACAGCTATTGGTCTCAACCTCGTTGTCTTCCATCAACATGCTGCAAAAAGACGACAAACAATTCCTCATTACTTTTTCTTGTGTATTTTTTTCAAGGATCAACTCGTCTTGTTTCTTTATCATCTCGTGCTGTAGTCTCACTCGATCGTGCAGCGTTTTCTGTTTTCGTTTGCGTTCTTGATCTTTCACAATATTCCACATTTTAAGCATGTTAAAGGCTTTCTAACAATAATACGACATAACACGCGCATATCATGTAAAGCAATATGTTGTTGTGTCCTATCTTGTTACAAAAACAGTTATAACTTTTCAAATGAGGCACATACACACAACAACTGTCTTAAAACATTACAAAATGCTCGAAACCTTGTTAACATCAGTTGTATTCCTTTCTTCATCTTCAATGGAGTCCCTACGATACTTCTCTCTTCTGTTCTTCGACTTTTTCACTTCGTGACAATTCATCGCTTCAAACTGATCGCTAATTGGAACTGGATGTTCCACGCTAAAATGGAAAATCCGTAAACTTAATGGATATATAATGGAGAAAAATGATGAAACGTGAATTTATAGCAGGCAATAACAAGATAAAAGCTGAACTCCTTTATTTTACAAAGCGATGATACGTATATATTTAAAGAGAGCGACGCTCAAAAGCCTTTACACAATCCAACGATGTCAAATTTTTCAGAAACAATACTTGATTGTAAAATTAACCATATATACAAGATAACAGGATTATATATGAAATAAGATGGCATCAGTCACAAGTACTATCCTCCATGATCTACGAGCTATTATCAAACATTTGTCAAATAGTCATTACAAATTTATTATTCAACATTTACCAAGAATCTTTAACCTCCCTATTCACTTCATATTGTGGGAGATATGTTTTAAGTAACGGCGGTAGAGTGGACGAATTCATATTTTTCAAGCATAAAGATGTTTGAAATTACTTTCATCGAAACTTTTCTCAATAACCCTAGCCTCCATATTGGATGAACAATAACAACTGTTGCTACGGTAACAAAACAACATCCACGTTTACCAGGGCCTGTAATATCATCACGAAACAGAAAATTGCAACCTAATGTTGCAACTTCCATATTGTGCCTTGTCATGAAATTTCTACAATTATACGAAAATATAATCAATGTTTTGCCAGCAAGTAACAATAAACGTGTATAGGCATGGCCACATTGGCAAAGTAAAATCAATTTTTAGGTAAAGCAAGACACAAATAAATGAGAAATGAATTTCCAAGTCCTCATACATAACACAGAACAAAATATATTACATTAAAATACAAATAGATACAGCTCAAAGAAAACTAAAGAACTCACTGCTATTGTTATATCTACAAACTGTTAAATATAGGGAATTATGTGACAACTAAAGTGAGCACTTGATGTAAGCACTTGATGAGCCTCAGTGTACATAGTTATCTATCAGTATCCTATGCATAAAGACCTACTTTCATCCTATGCTCTCATGATCTTTCATTAACAATTAACAGTCTATCTTTACCCTGAGCTAAGCCTTACTTACCTGAGCAATGTCAATGTTGAATTTGAAATAACAAATAATAATTTTAGACAGTTAAAAGAGAAGCAGGAATTCTTCAATCAATATCTTCTAATGAATGGTTTGATATCATCAGGTGGGATGACAGACTGTTCCAATGGTGCTTCAGTATCAAAATTTTTCCCAACACGCAAGCTGGGCTGCCTCATATTCCTAGTTGGAATTGGCAATTCCAAATGATGGGCTGGTAACGGCTCTTTGAAGAAGTAAGGATGAAGCAATGCCTGGAATATTGTTTGAATTGAATCTGGACTTTTTTTTTATCAAAGACAAGCCATAAAACAAGAAGACAATACTATGTACAGAATCTATTACATATTTAAGAAGTTAAAAAGCCATAAACTTACTTCAGATGCAGGTATTCTTGACTTTGAGGGATAAACCAAGAACATTTTCAGTAACTTAATAGCCTTTAGTAATATAAATAAATTTTAAAAAATTCACAGCACATGAATATATTTATTGGTTGATTCTATGAACCTCTGTGCTTGCATCAGGCACCAATTTTTCCAAGGGAATTGCTGGCATCATAGGAAATGTTATTTTGTTATAATCAGGAAGTTCTGTCATTCCCTGAAATAAAGATTTAAGATATTATGAATATGAAACTTGAATTTGATTATTAGAGCATTTTGTATACCGGCCAACTGGATTCATCAGGAGTTCCCAAAACTCGTAAAACACAGCAAAGTTGGTCAATATCATTCTCTCCCTTCAAGATAAATAACATAACAATTAATTTGATACTCTTTACAGTATTAATCATGAAAAATCTCATATGAACTCACAGGAAATAGTGGAGAATTGTTCAAAAGTTCACCAAAAATGCAACCGACAGCCCTTTAAATCAGAAAGAAAAGAGGCTAGTTAAAAAATAACAATTTTAGAGAACATGTTTCAACTATAGACACACCCACCACAAGTCAACCCCTTCATCATATTTTCTACCTCCGTATAGCAATTCTGGAGCTCTGTACCACCTTAATATTCATCACAATGATGATTAATTAGGTTATTTAACAATGCAATGGACAACTGAGAATAAAATTAAACAATGCAAAAATATTTTGAATTCAATGTATAGACAGTTGATGCTAAACTATAAAACCTTGTGGCCACTTGGTGACTGTACAAGCGGTTCTCCTCCGAAGAATAGATTCTAGCCAAACCAAAGTCAGCAATTTTTAAATGCCCCAAAGAACTGATGAGAAGATTAGCAGGTTTTAAATCCTGACAGTCGAAGAAAAGGCATTATTAATTTGGTCAGTGAGCAATTGAAACAATATTATATTTCAATTACCCTATGGATAATAAAGTTTTGATGACAATAGGCAATTCCTTTGAGTAACATACCCATGTAACTCTTAATCTGTGCCTATAATAAACACATAATGTAAATATGTAATACATTTAGAAAACATGAAATACACAAATTTACATACTGCAGTCAGTGGACTGTCAGAATTCCGAAGGACTTCAGACAAATCCGAGAACATGTACTCAAACACCAACACGAAGCCAGCTCCATCAGGAAACACATCAAACAATTGAACAACCTGTAAAATTACAACTATTGAACTACATCAAACTCAACACTACATGTTAACAGCACATTTTTAATTAAATTGACTAACAAATTGATTTTCGATCTCTTGAAGGGCTTTAATTTCTCTGAAATCAAAGAAATTACAAAGTTACAACAAATAAAATCCAACGCTGATCATAACCATACAAATTCCCTTTTGCTTACCTTAAAGCTTGGTTTGGAATACCATCTTCGAGTTTTCGTAAAGGAACTTTTTTCAAGGCAACAACCTCGCCACTCTAGAGATAGAATAGTATGATTATGTATGTTTACACCTCATCATCTTAAACCTTATGTTTAAGAATTGCTTAAAATCTATTGGATACAAGTTGTACCTGAATGTGCTTTGCCTTGAAAACAATACCGTGAGCTCCTTCCCCAATACGACCGAGTATATTGTACTGTTCCATTTGTTTTGAAGAAAATCTCAGACTAACTCACTTTTCGTCTTTTCTTGTCCTCCATGTTATGACGGTGGCAATGGTTGAACGTGATTGGTTCATAACTAAATTCTGGCAATTCTATTGGCTGCGACTGCGATGAACTAACAAAGCCATGACATGATGTTTCCAGTGTGTTTATATTGCTAACTCCTTTCTTCTCTGTACGTGCGGTCGAGTTGTCGTAAATTGTTTTTTGTTTTATGTGTTTTTCATCGCCATATTTTCTCCAATTGCCTGTAGCAATAATGTGGAACCCGCTAAGCGAAGGATACAACAAGTATTCAATGTGCTTTTCAAGTTTTCAATCTGAAATTGCTCCATTCGGAGACGGGTATATGGCTAGTGCATTTCGTTGTCATGAAGGAGTCTGTGTTTAGGTTTTGTATCTAATTTTCGTTGGTATCTGTTTGTATTTGTTTGTTTGGAATAAACTGGTTGTTCTTTGTCGTCCTATTTGTCTAAGCTAGAAAATTTCGCTGATGATGTCAACAAGGCGAATATGATAAAAACATGAAATCATACACTTGAACTGAAGCGAAAATCTGGCATATTTCGAAGCAGTATAAAGAAATCGGAAAAAACAAAATTTTTGGAGATTAATGTATGTAATATATCTGCTCTCTTATGCCAGCATTCAAAACTGTGCAAATCATTGGTCTTAAGACCATAAAAAGAATTAATAAACAGTTTATTCAAAGGTACGCATGCGTATTACATTTTGTTCAAAAACGTGAAGCACTTGAACAGGATACGGTTCAAATATGTGAAACACGTGAACAGAATGTGATTCAAACACGTGAAACACGCGGAATGTCACTTTTTACCTGAGTAGGTACAATTGCACATTTGCCATACATGTAAACAGCAAATATAACTAGGGTTGCCCCAGCTACAAACTTTAAGTTAAGTTGAAAGGAAAAGAAAAACACTGAGACAAAACATGATATGATAATGGCTACTGATGTGGCAAAGCCTTTTAAAATATTGTCAGCATACTTTACAACTACCGCAACTAGCAATCCCCCAAATGCCTGGTTGAGGACCACACACCAGACTAATTTTGTGTAACCATGGAAAAATCCATCTTCTTGCACTCTTGCACCATCTTTACACCACATACCAATCAATCCAATGACAATACCATATAGCCCCATTTGTACATTTCTAATCCAAACTCCTGCTTTACCACTTTTCAGGATTTTCTCAAAATATACCCCTAAAACAATAGATTTCTATCACAGTATCACGAGAGCAAACAGCAAATCTCAAATCCCAAAGCCGTACCAGCAAATCCAGAACAAATGGTTGAAACTATGACTGCATTAAGACCAATCCATGGATACTGTTTTCTAGTAACATCTGAGATTTGTTTTTGGTTGCTGTCAATATTCTGTACTTGAACAATAGCAACACCCACAAACAACATGACAAGAGCAAACCATTGACCATGTTGAAGAGTTTTCCTCAACATAAACACAGAAAATAATGCTGTTGTTAAGATCTTCAGCTGGTAAGTCACCTAAGGCAAAGCAAGCAAAATATTTGCATAACAAAGAATAAATACATGAAGATTATGGCTACAAACACCACATTTTGTATTTTCATACAAGTATTCATAAAGTACCTACCTGAAAAGTAGCAGCCTCCAGATTTGAAATAGCAACATACAATAGATTATTTTGCACAGTGTATATGAGCGAAGGAATACCTAATTTTAATGTATCAGTGATGTTTCCAAAGATGGAACTGTACAAGAAGGATGCCCAATTTACAATGTTGCCTTTGTGTTCAATGAGGATGATTATCAAACAGGCAACTAACTTAAAGAACTCTGTCATAACAACGGCCGTTGATGTAACATAAAGTTTTCCTCCTGTCATTCTTGTGTATCGCATTGTAAGGATAAGGGAGGCATTTTGAATCACCAACACTATAAGACTTATTGATTTCATACTGAAGAGACCCCTGGATACTAAAAAAGAACGATAAACATTATACATTGTCATGGTGTGCGCAAATCTGTCTTTTAGAAACAACTCCTCGTCAAAACTCCTGTGAAATGAATGTCTAAAGCTTTGTTCTGCTTGATTGCAGTACCTTGATTGCAGTGATACAGACTCTAATGCAAATATTAAGATATTAAACGTCTACGTACTCTGTGTACGATCGAAGGTACATCAATATTATTGACAAATTTGAAATTTCAAGAAAAGCTGATAAACTACGACTTACCATCAGGGGCATTAGTTTTGTCGGTTTCTTCGCTCGAAGTTTTGCTTGACATCATGAAACTCAATGAATCCAATCAAAAATTCATCCGTTCCACAACATCACTTGCACTTGCCACGTTTCTAAGGCCGCTAGACAAACGTCAAATGCGAGCCTTTAATAATTATTAAAATATATTACAATTAAATAATGAATGACGTAGACATAAATTATTAAGCTATTTGAACTTTGAACGAGAACTGGAGTGGACGGCAAGATGGTGCCAAACTAGAGATGATAAGCACGTGGATTTATTTACGCATATTATGAGCGACGTTGGTCTATTTTCACGTCTAAGAAACAAAAAAATTCCCATAAAGAACGCATCGAACATGCTCGTAATATCCTCAACGATGAAAACAATTTTTTATCTAACAAAATTCAGCTTCTTGTTGATTGGACATGTCATCTATTGAATGGTAATTTTTTACGAGATGAAAGACAAAGCTCAGAACTTTGGAAGCTACTTGGTGAACTCTTAAACCATCAGCATTGTAGAGAGATTGTTCTTCCTCTGAAGGTATCGGCTACTATTTTTAATGAACTTAAAGACATCAAGAATGTGTTTGTCAAACGTCTTAAAGAACATGGAGCTCTTCGTGATCAGGATAGAATTGTATCGGTTTTTTTATGCTTCACCGCCTTGTTTGAAAATCCCAGTATGTCAATGGCATTTTTTACAAAGATTGAAAACATTGAACAAGTAGTTAAAGATATTTCAACATGTCTTATGGCAAATTTGCTGCTGCCTGAAGTGATGCCATCAAGGTTAATGACAGTTCTAGTTTGTATTGCTAATGTTGCGCTATACCAATATAAAGTTGCCCAGAATCAACAAATGACACAGCATAAAGTTTTCAATAATCTTTGTGACAAACTGCTTTCACTGTTGCTAATACTTCGAATGCTGGTGAAAAACAATACCTCTTTCCATTGTTCAGAAGTATATAAAATAAGTTCTGAACTAGATTCCGTCCTAGTGTCAGGACTATTCAACAAAGATATGTTATCAAGTTATATTGGCGACACGAATGTTCAGGAGGAGCCAATGATGAAAAAAGCAAAGATTATGAACAACTACGATCACCTCTTTTCTGTTTTACAAGACTTTGTGGCTGAGTTTGAAGGAGGAATAACAGTGGAAGGTATTGACATTGAAGAAAAGTATGTATTCATGGCTGTGTCTGAATTCTGGCCGTTTTTACTTGAAAATTTTCTTTTAAAAATAGATAAGAAAGCAGATGATGCCAGTAAGTTCAATTTTTTGTCAAGCTGGTTGAAATAGGCAACACAGCTTGTCTTAAGTTTGATAAATTAGGAATGATAAACAAAATGTTGAAGACTTTGTTAGAGCTTGATGTTTATCAAATTGCTGAAGACTCCATCAATAACAGTACAATATTTAATTGGTTTGTTTTGTTCTGTGAAACTAAGCTGCTCTCATCAAGTGTTTACATCAGCTCGGATGTATTCCAGAGTTTTGATCTCATCTTGAAGCTGAATCATAAAATCATTGAGAATTCACTTGAAGAAATTTTAAAGAGATGTCTTGTTAAATCAGAAATCGTATCAAATGAGGAATCCTTTAATACATTTCTTTGCAATCTTATTGCTACGTATAGTAAACTAAATCAAATGTATAAATTGCTAAAATCTTTCCTGGAGGTTGCAGATGAATTAGGGGAAAAAATGGAATCAATTCCTGTGAAAGTTTTGTCGCAGTTTTCCACTTCATTTGAAGCCTGCCCATTCAATCAAACTATTGAAATTTTGGAGATGTTTATCAATGAAATGAAAGAAAAAGTGGAACAAATTACACAAAGCAAAATGGCTGATTTATCACTAGAAATAAAGACTAGTCTTTTAGCAAACTTCCTTGTAAATTCAACATTTGATGCATCAAATCCGCATGGTCTTTCTATAACTAAAGCAACACGAATAGAAAATCTCCTTCACAATCTTAAACATGATGTCATCCTACCATTAATGACAGTCATGCCAACCTTAGCAAGTGCTTCACAAAATCATGTTGGATTTTGCACCATGTACCTCGTCAACAGTCTCAATTGCTTAACCCTGTTTCTGCATCAACATGATGTAATTGCAACACCTGAAGATTTTTATATTGAGATGAGTTGGGATGAAAGTATGGAGTCGTATGTACCTCATGAATCTTGGTTTGGTTTGTTGATATTGAGCGAGGACAAGAGGTTGGAGTTCTCTGTAGAGTTAGCTGTGTTACATCGCATTCGAAGGTTACTTTTGGCGGTGGATGATATTGATGACGATGAATTTCAGGAAATGATCGATGAATTTGAGGAAATGATCCGTTTTGTGCTTCACATTCCAAGCATCGAAGTAACTGAAAATGATACCATTTCGTGGAATTTGAATCCAGGTAGCGTGGATGGCTCAAACTATCCCATCGCCCATTGGTCTCTTCTTTGTGAATATTTATTCTTGCTCATTCCTTATTACTACGAAACACTACTCGAAAAATTCGCCGAGTTCTTTGTCGCGACACTTCTGTTAAAAGATCCTCCGAGTCGACTCGTCAATCTGCAGTTACACTCCGAACAATTTCAGAAACCGTCATTCAGAGTGGCGTCATTATCTCATTTCCATTGTTGCAAACTAAGGTGGTTAGAGCGTTCTGGAAATTAATTGGTTTAAACATTCAGAAGATTGACGGCTGGACATTTCACAAGGTGTTTACCTGGGATGATGTTGATACAAATGATGCTGAGAAAGATATCGATATAACTAAAGCCTTCCATTACGCCGGGGTTTTCTGTTCAGTCTCACGTTTACTTTCACTTCTCAAAGAAAGAAATTAATAAAAGGCAAAGAAAATTACCTCATGACGGTCCTTGGACTTTTAAGAACACTTCCAAAGCTTCAATGTGATCAATTTACTTTGATAAACCAAGCCCACACAATACTTGGTATATTGATGTGTGATTTATCTATGAAATTTCCAGGTTATAATCATGAAGCAAGTCAAGTTTTGCAACCTGTGGAAATACAGATTACATGTCGTGATCTTTTATTATTTCTTTTAAATCCTCAACATGTAAAGTTGAAGTTTTCACCTTGGTGTTTTATAAATGTCTCATCACTTTGTAACTGGATTTATCGAACCGCATTTGAAGGAAACGCTAGCGAACATTTTCCTCGTTTAGTTGAAATTACGCAAAAAATAATTGAGAACATCGTGTTCATCACGTTAAAAGATCTAGGTGGTGAGAAAGCGAGTGATATTTTAATTTTCTCAAAATCTTAGAAATAAACACCGAACAATCATTTGAAAACACAATCTCTTGTTATGTGTGCTTGCATCGATTTTCTAGAACAGAAGAAGAAGAAGAAGGCTTCGTTAAAGACTGCAATTTCTATCGTAATCTCGGCTACCAGGTCTTTTTCGAGTGTTTTGAAATCTATCAGGAAAGGGCCATCACATCAAATGAAATGAAAATTGCGGTCATCACCTTGGGTTCTGCTTTAACACGTGCAGTGAGCTTGGTACCAGTAAAGGAACTTCACTTTACATTTGCAAACGATGAATGGGAAAATATTGTATCTGCTCTGGTTGTGATGATATTAGACGAGATGGAAGAACCAACTAGTGATGAAGCAACAACTATCAGCCTTATTGAAGCTTTTACTCGCATCCTAAAGAGCAATTGTGAATATTCTTTGAAGGTCTCTGACGAGTCGCGCTCTCGGATTTTATTTAAGTGTTTGGAAATACAATGCAAGGTTTTTCGCCCTCGACGAAGGACGGGAAAGGCGAAAATGTCGAGGAAATTACCTTATTAAAGAAGGCTGTAAATAAACTGTTTGAATGTTTGGCTGATGATGAAGAAGAAGAAGGGAATTTCATCAAGACTGTCAACGACATCTTAGAATGGAGTGTGAAAGAAGACAATGATAATTATACAACTGGTGTGGAAATTTTTAAAGATTTGCTATCGACGACAAGCAGCAAACGACACAGGAAGCAGTTGCGACAAAAGATGGACAAGATTATGATTTTGTTGTTGAAGAAATCATCCAGCAATATAAATGCGTACATTGTTTGTATTGAGGTTGTTGCACAACTTGTAGCTATGGGTAATGGACTGTTTCATCGTAATGATTTCTCACTGGTTTTTCAAGCTTTGACAAGTGAAGTGAAAGAATCAAGGATTCAGGACTTTTGTCGTATTTTCACGGCCAAGTTTACCATACTCAGTTGGAGTTTATTTTTTTATTCTGAAAATGTGTATGGATTGATTCACATATTCATACCATGTGTTAGGGAACTTTTGGAAAGCCTTCTCCGCAACAGTTGTCGCGACATTTCTAGCGATCCTCTTTGTCCAACAGAAGAAACGGATTTGTTAAATTGTTCGAACAAAATGGCGCGTCTTTATCAAGAAATCTCATCACATAAAGACGTTATGTCCAAGTATTCTTTGTACCTTCTTGCCGATTGTATCCACGTGATTTCATGTCATGGAGCACGTGCTCCTATACGTCAAGTCATTGTGCAAGGCGTCTATTACATTTTTGATCTATGCAACGACGATTGTCTCACGAAACTTCACGTTTATCTTCCGAACAATCAACGAGAGCTGTTCCGATCTTTGAAAGAAGATTACACCGCACATCATAAGTTTAAAGGGAACGCTTAGATTGGTTGTAATAAAATGTTTAGTTTATAATAATTGAAAATAATATTGAGAAATTATAATAAATGGAACTAAAGTGAACTTCGTTTTGAGAAAATCAGCGATATGTTTACGTTTTTAAAAGTTAACCAATCCAAACATGCTTAACACAAAAATGTTAACGAAAAGAGTGAGATAATTGCACTTTGTTTGAAACCAGCGACGTGCTTTCTTTTGGAGTATACAACTAATAACTTTAAAAAACCCAAAGTAAAAGATATACCTTTGGTGCTGCATGATTGAGCGCTTTATTAACCTTCTCTCCGCTTTCAAAAACATTCGTTTAATTTTTTTGTGCCGTCGGGGAAATAAAATTTGGTGGTAGACCTTTAATGCGTTTCACTTCGTAATTATTCGCGTAAACTATAGCTGTACTATGCATAGACTGTAGGTGTACCATACATAGACTATAGCTGTACTATACATAGACTGTAGCTGTACCATTCATAGACTGTAGCTGCACCATATACAGACTGCAGCTGTACCATACATAGACTGTAGCTGTACCATTCATAGACTGTAGCTGTACTATACATAGACTGTAGCTGTACCATTCATAGACTATAGCTGTACTATACAAAGACTATAGCTGCACCATATACAGACTGCAGCTGTACCATACATAGACTATAGCTGTACCATACATAGACTGTAGCTGTACCATTCATAGACTGTAGCTGTACCATTCATAGACTGTAGCTGTACCATTCATAGACTATAGCTGTACTATACATAGACTGTGGCTGTACCATTCATAGACTGTAGCTGTACCATTCATAGACTGTAGCTGCACCATACACAGACTGCAGCTGTACTATACATTGACTGTGGCTGTACCGACTAACATTCGACTATACTTTTATTATAAAAAATAAATTTTTTCACAATGATAAAAAAAGTCCAATTGACTCAGTTCAATGAACATTGCATTAAACCAATCGTGCAAAACATGTGCATGTGCTGCTAGCGGCGCAGAAAAAGGAACGCATTTTATGCAAATCGCATTAAACGGTGAGGAGAATGAAAAACTTTCGCCTGACTTCGCTCCATTAAAGTTTCCCATCATTATGTGTGGGACACATAAACATCAGACGTCAGTCACCGTGTAATCATCCGGTAAGTTCTTGTATGTCTCCTGCCACTTTGTCGGGCTGTACACTGATGCCGATGAGGGTAACCGCTGACCATGACCGCCGTCCACTTCAATGTGCGCAAGATCCGTGAGCAAATCTTCGGCCATCATATTTAGTTCCACATCGGAGACGTCAAAAGCTTCTGATATTTCACGTTGAACGGCTTGAATAATTGGATCATCCGGACTTAAGGATACTCTCTGATCTTCAATGTTATCTGGATTGATTCTGGTTTCACTCTTACTGCGTCTTCGCTCTTTTAAGGGGAAAGGAGATGGTCTGTCACTCACTAGTTCATCCTCGGGAAGACTTGCACTCTGTTTCAAATCAGAATGATTGCCAGTTTCTATAGGTAAGATAGCATGCTCTTCTGGTTTGGAAACGCTTGCATCCGATGCAATTTCTTCGTTGCCAAACGTATGTACATCGCCATTCATCGCATCGTTATGTGGGGGTGGTGGAATTTTCTTTGCAGGTTTAATCTAAAATGCAATATTAAGAATTTGACATACTTAAGGTAGTTCATGAAACAATGATAGTAAATTTTATGAAGTCATAACTCACCGGTTCTCTCTTTAAAGGAATTTCAGCTGACTCAACTTTGTGCGTCATATCAGATCCAGTGCTTCGACGCTTAAACAAAGCAGATAAACGTAACGAAGATGTGCGAACCGGCTGTGATGCAGGTCTAAAAACGAAAAAAAAACATACCCATCTGTACATTGAAGACACCACACATCTCTAAGCTTTTCAGAAACCTGATAGCTGTCACCAAATATTTTTGTGTGAAGCTTTGTCCAACTTACCGCTCATCGTCCTTGAGATCTCCATCAGAAAAACGTCGGCCATTTTCCATTCTTTTTTTGGGCCAAGCTCCACCGTTTTTCTAAAAAAAATTGACATTTAATTGCTTGTAAATTTTTACGAAAAACAAAAGTTTTTCATTATTGAGTCTAAGCATAAAACCTCCGCATGTTGATCATTTTTAGAAAATTTTTTAACTTTCTCATCCAATTGTTCTTCGTCGTCGATTTTCCCAGACATTGCTTCACGTATTTTCGGACCCAGGCCTTGAATACCGCGCAGACCAGCCTTGAAAGAAAACAGCAACTTTGATGTTGGGACCGACAACAGACTCCAGCCAATCATTACCCACCATTCATGGGTCGTGTGAAACGTTAACTCCAGATTTAATAACTGACCTGTAGAGGGTAAGTTTTGTCCTCTTGTGTTGCCATGACACTCTGCTTGCGGGCTCCCGGTGTTTTCTTTCTTGCTCGAAATCGTCTGAAATAATCTTGTATGAGATATGTGGCATAAAACTTTCCCACTGTCACACCATCATCGTCTGCAAGAAGAAAATTAAAAGAAATTAAGTTTGGCTAACAGCTATTTTGTACGCACATCTTTAGAGGTTCACGTCAAAGTCTAGAACCGACTTGCCTTCGGTTTTCGGAACAATCTTGTCTAAAAGTTCTTTGCTAGTGCGTGGCCACACTCTCAAAATAATTCCTCGTAATTGTTGATTTGCACCGTCTAAAGAAAGCTTTCCTGGAAGATGACGTGACAGAAAGTTAATTATCCAAGAACTTTAACGACTTCTAAACAAACATCGATAAATAATGAGAGATCTTAGAGATGTTTTACCTTCTGGTCTTTTTATATTCAACGCAGTTCTTATCAGACCAAACAGAGTGCCTTTAAAATCAACAGTGCCATCGCGATTCAAAGGCATGTTCATGCCAACCAAACGCTTAAGTGAGAAAAAATCACGACTCAGAAGATTTTCAGCGAGACTGGAGGGAGAATAAATATTTAATTTTATATGATTTTGTTATAAAGCAATCTTCAAGATTATCTCTCATTTTACATCGCTGTCATGTTTGTGATTGCTTGTCAACGTGTGTTGTTTAAAAGCCCATTTCGTTCAATGATACAATAAAACACACATTTAATTGGTCAAAACTGCCCAATTTGCGTGGTCCTCGCTGAAAGAAAAAAAAACAACATATGGCTTCCTTTTTTACTTACTCTGCATGCGTCTCTTTGAGGACAAAATTCTCCAAAACCAAGAGGTGGCTCAATCCGTTTTAACATCGCGACTATATCCACATGCTTCACACGACCTCTAAAATAAACAATAACGACGAAAAGATGTCTTCGTTTTTACATACAAGAATATGAAAAAAAACCCGGCGAAACTTGAAAACTCACTTTGCTTCGGTATCGTACTCGGCCCAAACTCGGACATACTCGTCAAGATGATGAGGGCCCAGAATTGACCAATCACGTGTAAGATAATCGAAATTATCCATAATGACTGCTACGAAAAGATTTATGATCTAAAAGAAAAACAACATCTGGTGTCAATCGGTCAAAAACTAAAGGATGTCTGATATTTCTCACAAAAAGTCAGCTTTATAAGGGCAGAGAAATATTTATCTATAGTTAATTGCTTTAAGGAGGTCAGGAAAACATCTCTTTATTGTTGGTTCAATAATTTAAAAGTAAAGGTTACAGCTCGACTATCGTGTAAACAATTCCTTTGCATTTCTTGATAGAAACTTTACTATTTCTTGCATTTCAAATGAAGAGAACTTACCAGAAAGGAACAAATCATGTAGAACGCAACAAAATAAAAATATGCAAAGAAAGTTCCACATTCTTGATCTTTCGTATCTGATGAAGGATCGCATTTTCCTCCACCGGTACAAGACAACATAATCTGTTGCCAATTTTCACCGGTCGCTGATCTGGATTTAAATGAATCGAGTCGAGGATTAAAAGATTAAGCTTATCTAAATCAAGACGGGGCTGTAAATTAAAAGATGAAGTTTATCTGAATAAGGATGGAGTAATGGCTTAAACCATAAAGCTGATCTGGTTAAATAAGTCCGCTTCCATAAAAGAAATTATGCATCAACATGCCGAAATATTTTAAAATTTTCATCGTGTTTCAACTGTATCCACACAAAAAATTGCATAAAGATGAAATTCCAAGCAATATATACATTTTTGACAAATTCACAGCGGCGAAGAAACTTACCTAAAAAGAACCAAAATGGCTTGTGGGAAAGTCTGAAAATTATTATGCTCAGTTATAGCTGTCTCGTCATCTAATTTAATCTTGCCAAATAACTAAACAACAATATCAACCAAACTTCAATGACGTCACAGCAAGGAACTTCAATTACGTCATGACATAGTCACGTGACAAACCTGCATGCCAACGACAGCGAATATGAAAAAAGTCATTAGGATAAGCAAACCAACGTACGGCAGAGCCTAGAAGTAAGAAAATATAAAAACTTAAGTTGGTCCAATGTCAGATATGCAACAAGAAGTGTTGACGTCATAGTTCATGGGTTGAAGACACGTGACCAAATCGTGAAAATCTAGTAAAGGTTTGTAGTTACCTGAAAAGATTTGATGAAAGTCCAAAGAAGTTGACGAATTCCCGCACCTTGGTTTAATAACTTCACAAGACGTAAAGCGCGGAATAAACGCAAGAAACTGAGACTGAAGGTCATTTCTCCACCGCTCTGCAATTTATTTAGAATATAAATTGTCACCGAACTATCGTTTAAAAAGTCAGTAAAATTGACAAAGGATCCAAAGAAAGTGTAAAGTTTCAAAAAAAAAACACTCCCTCCTGACTCGTTATTTCAAACAACAAAAAAATGTTTCAAACATTTTCTTCATTTCTCCATTAACTCCCATTTCATTTAGATTCATGTATCACGACACAAAAATCCGAATACTTGAAGGCGAGAAGAACTTTTTAAATACAACATGTCTCAAGCTACAATGTACAGAACTACTTCTTGTCATGTTGTACACGGTTTTAGTAATTTTCTTATTGTCCACGGTGTGATGTCTATGGCTTTGTATTGACTAATTTATTGGTTAATTTGCTTTTACGCCTGATGGAAGCACGCAAAGCTGATAACTGTTATTGAGGTGAAGAGTTTCAAAATGCATTTGTTGAAACAAGCTGAAGAAATAATATATGAGTGAATACTTGCGCATTTCACTCAACTAACTAATGAGTTTATATCCATCAACTGGATTTCTTTGCACTGTTCTTGGAGCAACTGTCTCGATCATAAACCATTAGAAAAATCTTCTATAGTTGCAACAACCAACTGAATGTACTAGTACCAACTATGGAGTAATTAGCTCGTTCAGTTACAAATTTTCAGATAAATCATATGCGCATGCGCAGTCAACTTCACCAGCTGCCCAAGTTCATGGTCATGGCAACGACCAACTGCATCTACTAGCACCAATGTTGAAGTAAATAGCATGCTTAGTAACAATTTAATAGAGAAATCATCTGCGTATGCGCTTGAGCATGCGCAATCCACTTGACTAATTGTTCATAGCCATGACAACGACCAACTATAAGTACTTGCACTACATTTGTGGCAATTAGCTCACTTAGTCGCAAATTATAAAAGAAATAATCTGGGCATGCGCAGTAGTGACTCTGATAATACCACAACTTTCGTAAGCCTTTAAATTTCTGTATATACATATCTAATGCTAAAATTTCATATAGTAGATGTGAACTAGCAGTGGTAGCTGGGTGCGATATAGTATGCAGTGGCTTAGGGGCCCACACTTCGGTGGCGACCGCACTCTCCCTGCGTACCCCGAGCAAAGCCTATCGCAGGTGATCTCGGGGTCTGATGGGCGGAAGCTTGCTATTGCATCTCCCAAGTAGGATAGCGTGGAGGGGCTGAAATCTCCTACCGAAACGTTAACATGCGGCGTTCTAGTGCCTTACGCTTAAGTAGGTATCGGGAAGCATGGACCGAAAACGGGGTTTTTTGCTTTCGAATTTTATCTTTTTCTTCTCTTAATGAGCAATGTTTAAGTTAACTTTTTCTGACACTTATAATTTAAGACAACCTTAAACATGTTTTATAGAATTTATATTGGTTTATATCTTTCTGATTTAACTCTCTCATTTGCTGTTTCTCATGTATCACGAGCAAACCATCCATGGGGTTTCATGGCAAACAAGAATTATCTGGTTCTCTTAATTACCATGCGACGCTCTAGTGCTCGACTATCTCGGGCTATCAGATAGCATGGACCGAAAACTGGATTTTGCAAAGGTTCAAACAACTTCTGCCTTTTTGACTTAAAATTTAAACCAACTCTAAGCATGTTTATACGTTTTTTAATTGTTACCTTTTACAACGCAAATCATTTTCTCTTTAGCTTGAAAAATATATAATCATTTATGAAGGTAAAAATCTTTGATAATCAAGCAGTTGACAGAAAATTTCGTAAAAAACCCTCCTCGTACAACGAAAAGTTGTGCATATATATTTTTCTTTATCGAACGAGACATTACCCGAAAACGGATTTTTGTTTTCAAAATATGTCTTGTTGTTTACCAGAGTTCTTCTCATGAAATAAAATAACTAAGAACACTGCATGGTTTCAAACAACTTTTTCATTTCTTTCCCTTATCATTTAGGCCAACCTTAAACATGAATGTACCTGCTTCAGGTACTTCCATCGTATCGTTTAATGTTGGAATGGAGTTCAAGGCTTCATACTTTATACCATGATTTGAAATAAAAACATGTCACGCAAATTAACATTGAGTCAATAGTGCTTAAGCATCTGTGGAATGTATGAAGAGCCTGACTATGAAAAAGCCGGTTTCCATGGTAGCACGTTTCACCGTCATTTTTGTGATATCGCGGTTAAAAAACAAAGTTTCCATAGAAACTTTGCACTGAAAATGAAAGTATGAAAAAGGATTTACTGAATTTCTATGCCTTCACAATATCCATAACGAAATGTTCAGTTTGCTATGTTAAAATACTGTCGCGAGCATTGCCCCCCTTCCTCATTTCTTAGAAGTATGATAATTTACCATCAGTTCTGCTACCAAAATATCGACAATACTTCCAACAACAACGATGAAGTCAAAAACGTTCCAACTATCCAAAAAGTAGTTCTACAACATAAAAACCAAGAAAATTAATGAAAGATCATGTTTGGTAGCGCACGCTGATGTTCGACGAACGAAATTCAAGGTTAAGAAATCGTTTACCTTCGGCTCAAATGCAATCATTTTTAATATACACTCAAGTAGAAAGACAGCTGTAAAACCAATGTTGAAACCGTCCAAAACACGTGTGTAGATAAGAGGTTGTTTATAATGCTAAAATATCAATAGAATTTATTACATCGATGTAATCAATAGATCGATAAAAACTTACTATCACAAAAGTTGGTATCGCAAATATAGTGTTGGAAGGTTATAAACAATACATGGCCTTTTCATCATTGATTTAAAACATCAAAAGTTTTTACTGAGTTAGTCGTGTGGGGTGTCTAAAAATAGTACACAAATTTATGCAGGCATATCGAATTAGTTTGCTGCATAAATTAAACATTACTTTAAAGAAATTCAAATGAGTTAAAAGCATTTACGGGCCTTATTCCATTCCCATTAGACACTATCATTATCTGCTTTCCTTGTCTCATTTAAAACTGACATATATACACACGAGTAAGACACTTTTATCAATTTTTTTACGAGTCAATCAAAGTATCAACTACTAAATTAAACCAACAGTAATTATACCTGCATTGCCAGCACAATGGTATTTAACGTAATGAAAGCAAAGATCATGTATTCAAATGCTCGTGACGTCACCACCTCCATATATGGAATTGAAATCGGTCGCTGGGCTTGTACAGTCGGATGGGCTTGGCATTAAGAACAAACTCGATACACTTTCGCTGATTTTTGTCAAGTTCACAACCTTTGAATTCCTCTTCGCCTTCTTGTTGAAATGTTACGATGACAAAGCCAACAAAAATATTTACCATAAAAAACGCTATCACGACTATATAAATGACGTAATATATTCCAGCCAATGGGCGATTGTTTAGAACAGGTCCGAAACCGGGTGATGTGGAGTCGATGGAATTATGAAGAATGCTAAAGAGTACGAATGTAAAAAGACCAGTGGAACTCTTAGAGATCGTTATGAAAAATCAACATTGAAAGTGAATGGAAAACGGTGTCGGTACTAACCCGGGCCATCCTTCGAACGTCATGACGACAAACAAAGTCAACATGGCTTGAGGAACGTTATCGAAAGTGAAAGCGTTTCGTTTCCATTCACGATCGACCATATCATTGCCATCTTTAACAAATTTTCCCCTTAAGTATAAAAATGCGGGGGGAAAAATCAATTAAATTGTTTATCGAAGAAGAAATCGACGGTCGTTGCATCGCAATCTTCAAGCAAAAATGTTAGAAGTTGTATCTTACGTATGAAATAGAGACGAAGAAACATGAAACATCGTGTATACGTACATGCATTCCTCTTCAGTACGTTTTGACTGATCTGTGCAGTAATAAAATGTGCCCTAAATTGATAAATCATCATATTCATTCTTATTCATCGAAGATAGAGGTAGAGATGTAAGACGTTTCCACGAACAAAGCAATACCTTGAAAAGTTGAACCCCGATGACGGCAAAAAGAAATTGAAAAAGCACCGTTACCAACATGATATTTCCTATTGATCTCACCGCCATAAACATGCACTGAACAACATGCTGTAAAATTGCATTGAAAAAAATTTTTATATACACCAGGAAAGAGAAGTTACGTAGTCAGGGGGGGGGGTAAAAGTCGGGCAGGCTACGATTCTTAAAATGGAAGCTGACGAATAAAGGGAGGATCTTTAAAGAGAAAACCACTCCGACCGTCTATAAAAACAATGGTTCACCAGAACAGTTCTAAAGCGACATTAATTTGTTGTTTTTTCTTACTTTTAATCCTTTCGCTCTGTTGATAGCACGAAGTGGCCGAAGGACTCGCAAAACTCTGAGTATTTTGACGACAGAAAACTGAGCTGAACTGAAGAGATTAAATGTATAATCAATACAGTACATACATACATGAAAAAAAGATGTTTTCTTAACCACAAAAAGAATATTTAATGTGCTCTCACCTTAAAACAATCGCTAGTATTGATACAGCAACAACTAACATATCGAGAAGATTGAAACTACTACGACAAAACGATCCGCGATGAAGAATAAAACCATAAGATATGACCTATATACAAAATATGTGATTTTATTGTTGTTCAAACATTAATTGGACCAGGGATGGACCTAGAATGGTTTTCTTTGGCGGGAGGAGGAGGAGGAGGAGGAGTTAAATCAAACTTCGGTAGCTACTTGTTGCCGTAGCATGTCCGACTTTTTTCGTTATATTTTTCTACTTTTCTATTATGATTGAGAGATTTTTTGAAAGTGTGCTCCATCAAAGTTGCTTTTGCTGAATAGTTTGTTGTATTTTTAAGGAAATTGTCACGTTATTTAGGCAAGGCCAAGAAGGGTGTAAATCACTCAGCACTCCTCTCCTAAATCCATCCTTGAGTTGGATTCATTTTCAGTAACTCAAACCCCTTCTAAGTAACTCAGACTGCTCAATAACTTAAAACAATGATGAAATTACACTAACCTTAAATGTTATTTCCAATGTAAAGACGACAGTAAAAAAGTAATCAAAATATTTCAAAACCTTGAAACAGAGAACGAATTACTACATAAGCATTCGATAAATCACGACAAACTTATAGTTTTACGTGTTAAGAAATGTCATTACTTCGTTTCTTTGCGAGTTTACGCGGACAGGATCTTCAGCAGCCAACAAAGCACTACTGACCAAAATACACGCAAGGATAAAGTTCACTGTGTATGAATACGTGACGAAATTAAAACATGTGACTCGAAACCTAAAACAGAAAGTGGGTATGATTAAATATGAAACCACCCTCCCATATATTAGCTACCCTCCACAGTATAATCCGCCTCCCATGTACGAGCCACCCTCCCATGTACAAGCCACCCTCCCATGTATAAGCCCCCTCCCATGTATAAGCCCCCTCCCATGTATAAGCCCCCTCCCATGTATAAGCCCCCTCCCATGCCTCCCATAAGCCCCCCTGTATATGCCTCCCATAAGCCCCCCCCCCCATCCCATGTATAAGCCACCTCCCATGTATAAGCCACCTCCCATGTATAAGCCACCTCCCATGTATAGCCCCCTCCCATGTACCCTCCCCCCCCTCCCATGTATAAGCCACCTCCCATGTATACCTCCCATGTATAAGCCACCTCCCATGTATAAGCCCCCTCCCATGTATAAGCTACCCTCCCATGTATAATCCGCCTCCCATGTACGAGCTACCCTCCCATGTATAAGCCACCTCCCATGTATAAGCCCCCTCCCATGTATAAGCTACCCTCCTATTGATTACATAATAAAAAGTGTGTTGTGTGTACTGTGCAGATCACTGTAGTATCACATAATCAATATATTACCCACCCACCCACCCCCGTCCCGGCCTCATTTACAAAACCAATAAACGACTTACGAGCTTACACAAGATTTACGGTACTAATAGCTGGTGGCGAATGGTATATATACTATCTCCGTGACGTTCATTTCTTCATGCAAATATTAGTACACAACAGACAACATAAAAAATATACCGATTACTGCTGCTAAAGATAAACAAAGAACTCTCTTGTGGCATTGGATCAATCTTATCTGCCACAAAACTATCACGTTTTGGTACCATTCGTTGGACAGTCGACGAATCTAAACACAATAATGACAATGATTATCTATAGTTGTATATTAGGATCCTTTATTATCCATACATATATGAGGATACTTTATTATCTATAGTTGTATATTAGGATACTTTATTATCCATAGATATATATATGAGGATACTTTATTATCTATAGTTGTATATTAGGATCCTTTATTATCCATAGATATATATGAGGATACTTTATTATCTATAGTTGTATATTAGGATCCTTTATTATCCATAGATATATATGAGGATACTTTATTATCTATAGTTGTATATTAGGATCCTTTATTATCCATAGATATATATGAGGATACTTTATTATCTATAGTTGTATATTAGGATACTTTATTATCCATAGATATATATATGAGGATACTTTATTATCTATAGTTGTATATTAGGATCCTTTATTATCCATAGATATATATGAGGATACTTTATTATCTATAGTTGTATATTAGGATCCTTTATTATCCATAGATATATATGAGGATACTTTATTATCTATAGTTGTATATTAGGATACTTTATTATCCATAGATATATATGAGGATACTTTATTATCTATATTTGTATATTAGGATCCTTTATTATCCATAGATATACATGAGGATACTTTATTATCTATATTTGTATATTAGGATCCTTCATTATCCATAGATATATATGAGGATACTTTATTACATGAAAACTTACTCCTTTTGACCTCATTTGAACCGGAAACATGATCCTGTAACATAAACATCATTATTACAGAAGAATTTAAAACGAGGTTGCGTGAAATGCACCTCGGCGATTTCATGATGCACATAAAAAACACGTCGAGAGACCATAAAAAATACTAGACTTGCTTCTTACTTGGTCAGGTCGTGCTAAACCATTGAACTTATTCTCCAACGAGCTTGCACGTTTTACACTATAAAGTTATAAGTACTAAATCAACCATACATGCGATCACTCCTTCCTCTCATCCCTCACCCCCATGCCAAAGTACTCCTTACCCCCGGCAACAACACACACAAAGGCATACGACCCTCCACCGAAAGAAAGTTAATCTTACCTGTTTCCATATGATTCAGAAATAGAAGAATGAGATGTTTGAGCAATTATTCTTCGTAACAACTTCTTTTTCTTCTTTTCCTTGCGAACTCTCTCGTGCTCATGCTCAATGCGTGTAAGATTTTCTGCATCTGCAAGGTTATCCACCGCAATCGCGAGGAAAACATTCAGAAGTATATCTACTTATTATTAAAGAAAAATGCGATCATTAAAAGCATGGGTATAAGGCTTATAACCAGCTATAACTTCTCAATAACATCCATGTTTTCACAACATGCAACCAGTCACCTCCCGCAACACCTTCATACAAATATTTGACATGAAAAATCACAAGTCACTCACAATCTTTCATTGGCCTTTCTATAAAAGACTTGTACCAATTACAGAAGCAAAAGAACATTCATTTTACTAACGACACAACTTAATATGTTTAATGATTTGAATTCCCAACTATACATTTATGTACATAGCAAGCCCTCGTAAGTGAATCTGCAACTATCTATTTACGTACATAGTAGACCCTCGCAACTGAAATTCTAACTATCCATTTATATACATAGTAAACCCTCGTAACTGAATCTACAACTATCCATTTACGTACATAGTAGACCCTCGCAACTGAAATTCTAACTATCCATTTATGTACATAGTAGACCCTCGCAACTGAAATTCTAACTATCCATTTATATACATAGTAAACCCTCGTAACTGAATCTACAACTATCCATTTACGTACATAGTAGACCCTCGCAACTGAAATTCTAACTATCCATTTACGTACATAGTAGACCCTCGCAACTGAAATTCTAACTATCCATTTACGTACATAGTAGACCCTCGCAACTGAAATTCTAACTATCCATTTACGTACATAGTAGACCCTCGTAACTGAAATTCTAACTATCCATTTATGTAAATAGTAGACCCTCGTAACTGAAATTCTAACTATCCATTTATGTAAATAGTAGACCCTCGTAACTGAAAATCGAAAACATCACAATCTACTACATGTGTACTCTACGCACTTGTTTTACTATAACGCTGATGGGTTCAAACAAACTCAACCCAGCAATATGGATACATAATGATATGTAAGAGTATATATGGATACATAATGATATGTAAGAGTATATATGGATACATAATGATATGTAAGAGCATATATGGATACATAATGATATGTAAGAGTATATATGGATACACAATGATATGTAAGAGTATGTATGGATACAATTTCCAACAATAACGAGTACAATGAAATATGCAATCGGTATGGCAGCCTTGGATTGCGAATACCGCCGTAGGCACGTATCCCGTCATACATGACGGCATTCCAATCTTCGCCAGTCAAAATCTACAACAAATGATACGTCACTTCAATAATGTTTAGAAAATTAAGTTTTACAAAGCTACGATCTAACCAAACGTTTTCTTATTCACTTTACTTGAAAAACGGTCAAAATAGCCGTCCAAAACGCGTCAAAATTACTTCGAGGTGTTGCTGCATCATCAAAATGAAACCTGAAAAAGAAAATCCAATTTATCTTGGTGGAAAATCACACACAATAGAGAAAAAAACAAGTTAATGAAACCACGTTTAAGGATTGACGTAATTTGATGAAACCAAGTTTAGGAATTAAAGCAAATTTATAAAACAAGGTTTGACGATTAGTGTAAATTGCTGAAACCAGGTTTAAGGATTAGTGTAAATTGCTGAAACCAGGTTTAAGGATTAGTGTAAATTGCTGAAACCAGGTTTAAGAATTAACGTAAATAGCTGAAACCAGGTTTAAGGATTAACGTAAATTGCTGAAACCAGGTTCAAGGATTAACGTAAATTGCTGAAACCAGGTTTTAGGATTAACGTAAATTGCTGAAACCAGGTTTAAGGATTATAGCAAATTGATAAAACAACAAATTGACGATAAGCAAGACTCATACTTTCCACCAAATGTTTGCATTCCAAGAAGAGAGAAAATAACCATAAACAAACCAAGAAGCAACAAAAGACCAGCGATGGATCTTACACTGTTTAATAAAGACGCGACGAGATTGCTCAGAGATGTCCAATGTCTAAAATGTAAACATTAGAAAATGACAACACAGTAAAAGAGAGCGTCTTCACAAACAAACAAAGCTTTTTTGAGTAATTCTACTAAAATAAACAAAAACCTTACTTCGTGACTTTAAAAATCCTCAGCAATCTAACACAACGAAACACGCTAATTCCTATCGGAGGCATTCCAGTAATCTCGGTAATGGCGAGCTCCAATAGGCTTCCTAAAACAACCTAACGACGGTAGAAAAAATTCAACAATATTTATCCTACTCGACGCTTTCTTAAATGAAACCTCCGGAGGATCCAAAAGACAAGTTAATATGATGGGATGTATGTGGGGACAGTGAGGTACTTCTCTGTACTTTGATATGACATGCATAATATGCTAAATAAAAGGGCACATGTAGGTATAGTGAGGTACTTCTCTGTACTTTGATATGACATGCATAATGTGCTAAATAAAGGGGTATGTGGGGAGGTACTTCACTGTACTTTGATATGACATGCATAATATGCTAAATAAAAGGGGCACATGTAGGTATAGTGAGGTACTTCTCTGTACTTTGATATGACATGCATAATGTGCTAAATAAAAGGGGTATACGTGGGGAGAGTGAGGTACTTCACTGTACTTTGATATGACATGCATAATATGCTAAATAAAAGGGGTACATTAAGGTATAGTGAGATACTTCACTGTACTTTGATACAACAAGCTTTTTGTGCTATATAAACATCGTCCTACCATACAATCAAATCTGTTGAAGAGTGATCCAAAATATGCAGAACGCCCGAGACAATATATTTTAAGAAACATTTCTAACGTAAAGAGTGCTAAAAAGATTTTGTTGGCACGGTCTAAATGAATAAATAATAAAATATTTAAAATATATATTGCGCAGTTATGAGCAAACATTATATAAAATCAATCAACAAGAACGTTGCAAAAGGAGTTTGCGTTCATTAAAATAATACTAAGTTAAAGAAAATGTATTATACAGTCATCAACCATAAAAAGTGTTTTCTATACTGTCATCAACCATAGAAAAGTGTATGCTATACAGTCTATACTACGAAGTGTTTGTTATACAGTCATCAACTATAGAAAAGTGTTTTCTATACTGTCATCAACCATAGAAAAGTGTTTTCTATACTGTCATCAACCATAGAAAAGTGTTTTCTATACTACCATCAACCATAGAAAAGTGTATGTTATACAGTCTATACTACGAAGTGTTTGTTATACAGTCATCAACTATAGAAAAGTGTTTTCTATACTGTCATCAACCATAAAAAGTGTTTTCTATACTAACATCAACCATAGAAAAGTGTATGTTATACAGTCTATACTACGAAGTGTTTGTTATACAGTCATCAACCATAGAAAAGTGTATGGTGTGCTGTAGTCATTGTATGACCAATGTATGTTGTACAAAGCAAAGTAAACTTACCCAAGAACAGCGTGAAATACTCAGGCTGTTTATAGTGTTCCATCGCCAGACAAAAAGAGTTTAGAAACACAACAGCGATAACAGTCCAATAAAAAGCGCGAGACTTGACGAACTCACGACAACGCCGACGAAAACGTTTGTGATGATTTTTAAAATATTTTCTAAAAAAATACATTAGCACGATAAACAACGATTCAACTTCCAGGTATTACGAACAAGGACTGTATTTGTTTTTTTAAGATATATTCAGCAAAGATGAATAGTAAACTTCGAATCTTCATGATTAACAATTTTTCAACCTTTTTCTCTCGAACCACGACAGTTCTCGCGGTTCTAACTGTGTTTCATCATTCAGGTCATCACTACGTGACTGCGAGCCTCGAGGAGACCTGGACACTAAATAAGATATTTCAAAAATCTACGATCATTTCGGTCACATGCCGTTCTAACATGCATTGTCGACGTACGCGTCATGTGACTTCCACGAGCTTCTTTATCACTCTCTTCATCATCAGCTAGATCTTCTATACAAAGATGAATGGTCTCATCAATGACCTAGAACCCAATCTACTAGATATCTGACGCTGCCAAAATCCTATAAATACAAATGAGGCAAGCCGCCATCTTGAAAGGTGGCAAAACTGACGATATTTATGATCAATATCTGCTTTTCCTGAATTGATATATAGTTGGAAAGTTGATAGCCTATGTTTGATTTTTGACATGTTTGATAGAATTGTTTTTTTACAATTGTTTTTAGAATTGTTTTTTAGCTTATATTTCATTTTGAGTTTTGCTTTTTGCAACCTTTCAAGATGGTGTCCTTGCCTCACTTTGACACGGTAGTTAGACATCTAGGGGATTGGGTTCTAAAACATCGGGTCTCATACTGTTGAAGGCAAAATGTTTTCACGACAAATGAATGAACGGTCGACAGTAAAAATGAAATAAATGATCACGACATAAAGATATATTTTGTAAATCACTGAAGAGAACGAGCTATTTTTTACAAATCATCACCTTCATGAACATTTTTCATAAACATTAAACGTTAATGACAAGAGACTAGCTCCTTCAGCAGTTACAAAACATCAGAACTTGCACTGACAGGCGTCGTGAGAGATAGCATCTTTGGTTGAAAATTATTTTTCTGGAGACTAGTACTTCTTTAATAGAATTAAGATATACGTCATAATTCATATGTTTTGTTACCCGCTTCATTGATCCACTCCACATAACCATGTAAAGCTTCTTCCAACATTTGCCTTTCACGAAATTTCTGAAACTCGCCACTTTTTTGTGCGCGTTCTTTTTCTTTTGCAAATTCCCTAAATAGAAAATTTTCTTACCAATCTTCAGCACGATGTTGCTTTCCCCTTCACACACAATCTGTACGAAGTCCTCCCACTTACCACCTTTAGCATGAAATCAATTCTCCTCTTTTCACATTCACTACAAAGTCCCCTTCCTCCTCTCACATTCACTACAAAGTCCTCTTCCTCCTTCCATTTCCTTCCATTCCATTCCTCCATTCCTTCCTCCATTCCATTCCATTCCATTCCTCCATTCCTCCATTCCATTCCATTCCATTCCATTCCCTTCCCTCCATTCCTTCCATTCCCCTTCCATTCCATTCCCCTCCATTCCATTCCTCCCTTCCTCCATTCCATTTCCTCCATTCCCCTTCCTTCCATTCCCTCCATTCCCTTTTCCATTCCCCCCTCCTCTCCATTCATTCCCCCACTCTTCCTCCATTCCTTCAAAGTCCCCTCCTCCCTCTCCAGTTCCACTCCTCCTCTCACATTAACTACAAAGTCCCCTTCCTCACATTCACTAAAAATTCACCCTCCTCTCACAAATAGCACGAAGTCATCCCTTCAACTATTAGATTCAGAAGGCACTCTTATCTCATTCAGTACGAAATACCCCTTCATGATAAAGTCATCCAGTCCTGTTTCCAACCTTGAACAGTGATATTTTAAGGACGATGGTCGAACCTACCCGCTTAAAACGCCCAATATGAGATTGAGCACAAAAAACGACCCCAGAATAATGAGCGTTATAAAATACAACCATGGCCAAGAACTGCTCGTTACATTGTTTATCTAAGGAATAGAAAACAGCCTGTTAAACACAAAGTTCACAGCAAATCAAGTTCTCCTTCTTCACAGCAATGCTCTAGTCGCCATTATATTCTATTGATCTAATCTAAGACTTTATAAAATGAAATTTCTTTCAAACCATAAACTAGTAACAAAAAATGAAATGAGATGATTGCTTTATTGCGTAGCATTATCGTAGAAGCATTATCGTAGAAGCATTATCGTAGAAGCATTATCGTAGAAGCATTATCGTAGAAGCATTATCGTAGAAGCATTATCGTAGAAGCATTATCGTAGAAGCATTATCGTAGAAGCATTATCGTAGAAGCATTATCGTAGAAGCATTATCGTAGAAGCATTATCGTAGAAGCATTATCGTAGAAGCATTATCGTAGAAGCATTATCGTAGAAGCATTATCGTAGAAGCATTATCGTAGAAGCATTATCGTAGAAGCATTTTAGCTTAATGAGCATTTCATGCAAACGACGAGCTTTTTGAAAATAGACATGTTTCGACATCTCATTAATTTATCCTATTTCCTCATTGTTATAATTTATTCACATTTATTCACATTTATGTATTAATATTACTGTTATTGTATCTTATTAACATTATGAACTCTGTAACATTTATGTAATAAATAAAATAAAGACTTTGTCTTGGTGACGTAATGCATTTTGGCAGACGTTGACACCTGACGAGTAGTCTGCCAAAATGCATTACAGTATGTCTTTTAGGTTTAAAAACAGTTCTTTTAGAATTGTTGGATTTTTGTTCTGATTTTAAACAGTTCTTTTAAGAACAATTATATTACTATTTTGACCATTCACAATGGTATTTGCTGTTTTTAAAACAACTTATACAATTATTCAATCACACAGAAAAGGGCATCACGAGATGTCGAAACATGTCTGTTTTCAAAAAAACTCATCGTTTACATTAAATACGAAATGAGATGAAAAATGTTTGTAAATGTAGATCGCCCAGGTTGGTATAGTCCTGAGAAGGACTATTTTTGTTGTTGTTGACTGACGTTTCGACAATCTTCATCTGACTCTGAAGATGACTACTGTCGAAACGTCAGTCAACAACAACAAAAACAGTCCATCTCAGGACTTTACCAACCTGGACGATCTACATCTACAAACATGTAACGATACTCCCGGGTTCAAACCATTTACTTTATAGAGATGAAAAATGTAAACAAAGACTCACATTATACATGACATCAGTCCAACCTTCCAATGTGACACACTGAAACACTGTAAGACAAGCCAAACCAATATTATCGAAATTCGTGATGCCGTTATTAGGTCCATCCCAAGGCCCACGACATACTTCTCGAGAACTACAATAGTGACCTCCACCTGTTGTGGTACAAGGGACTGGATCCTCCGAGGTGATTGACACTAGTTAACAGAAATAAAAAAGATCTTATAATCAAAATTCGAAAAGTTGGGGAAAAGTTGAAAACTAACTTGTCGCGTTGTCGTAACAAGTCTTGTGCATCTTTCCAAGAAACAGTTCCAGTCCAATAATGGCGTACATGATTACGACAAAAACAACAAGCAACGCAATATGAAAAAGCGGTAGCATTGCCTTGAGGATAGAATTGAGAACAACCTGCAAACCTAGAGACGACAGAATTATAAAATATTAACAGGTAGACAAGAAATACAGAAGCCTGGCTGTATCCGTACCATTAAAGTTGACATTGAACGAAATATGTAACTAACAGGAAAGCTATCTTTAAACATGTCTGTAAACGCATGAAGCAAATTTTACTTATCGATAAGCATGTCTGGAGGTGAAGCCCTACATTTTCGCTTAATATCGTTATGAGGAGTGCGTGGACGAGTTAGAAGCACAGAAATTTGTGGTTTAAAATCACAGCTAGAGGAAGCCTATCAAATATATTCAGTTCATTAGATATATTAGTTACGTCGTACTTGGTACGCCAGACACAAGACGCAAAGGTCTCAAAACACGAAATGCTCTCAAAGCTTTCACGTTGCCCCAGGTCCCACCCAACGCTATCGTCATCAAACTGAAAACACACAAAAATATTCCATTTTCAAAGAAACGTCATGCAGAGCAGCGAAATAAATTCATTGTTTATACTTACCCTATGATAACAATAACGAAATCTAAAATATTCCATGTGTTTCGTAGGTATGCACCGGGATGAAAGAAAAAACCGTAGGCAAGAATTTTCAATATCGATTCAATGGTGAATATTGTGACAAAGAAGTATTCAGCCTTCTCCTAAACAAGAAATCAAAAGATTATCATAAAGTGAATAGTCCCAGTGTCACCCACTTTCCCCAGAGTCACCCACCTTCCCCAGTGTACCCCACCTTTCCCAGAATCACCCACCTTTCCCCCCTTTCCCCAGAGTCACCCACCTTCCCCAGGGTCACCCACCTTCCCAGTGACAACCACCTTCCCCAGTGTCACCCACCTTCCCAGTGACACCCATCTTCCCCCAATTTCACCCACCTTCTCTAGTGTCACTCACCTCGTTCAATGTCCTTTTTTCTCCCAGTTTCCCCTTCCTTTCCCAACATTCTCTCTTCTCCAGTGCCCCAAATCTTCCCTAATGTCCCCCTCTGAGTTAATTGCCTGGGATTTGCAATGTGCAGTTACTGCGATATATGTATGTATTATTGTTTTCAATAGCGCTTACAGGTCTTGGGGGGATCAATTACTGCTAAATCATGCAAATTTTCAATGTCGGCTTATTTCAAAGATGAGCAGTTGCATATGCAGATGGCCGACAAAACTTAACGCAACCGTGAATTTAGCTTAGTGCTTGGCATTGTCACTATGCGTATAAATGTTTTCTTTCTTCAATACCACCCATTGAAAATTGTGTTTTGTTTTGGATGGTAATGAAGTAAACTGATCGCTACGACGTGACGTAGTGACAGATTGTTTGAAATTCCGTTCTGTTTCCAAGACACCCATAAATTCCTAGTGGCGTGGGAACACCGCAAGTTTGATTGTGCAGCGTGAATAATTTAACACAGTTCACTTACTGCAAAAACAATGAATTTCCAAAGAAATCACTACTGCCAATTGATATGAAATTCAGCACAACCAAATTTGCCGGCTGGCTGTGCGAGGCACTGCGAGGCTACGTGTGCGTAGAATTTTGCTCGTATGAAAAATCCCACACAAACGAAAAAATCTAATTTTTCCTTTAATAAACAGCATTTTGACGTATGGAAAAAAGCAAGCATAATTCATATTGTCAAAATTAGTTCATGAAAATGGGGCATTTAACAATTACTGAAGTGCTCAAAACGTGACATAAATTATTAATGCAATTCCACTTTTATTTTATAAACGTCAGCCATGGAAAGTATTTATAAACTCATAATTCGATGACCGAAAGCCAAGAGGAATATTGACGTCTTCCCACACACACATTTATTATAACTTTCACCTTTAAGTGTAAACGTTCTCATGTGTGTCGACGACAGATGAAAAAACAGCTGACACTAAATTATTCCCATCGAGTCAAATTTAGTACGCTAAACTATAAACAAAGATTTGCGAAAGGCAAACAAGAATTTCGAATAAAGAAACTGCATGCATTTCTCTATTTCCAAATCGAAGCACGCGAAAGGGTTCATAAAACAGTGCACATGGCGTTAATGATTTTTTAAAATATATACTGTATATGACAAATGCTTTCGGCCTCTTACCAAATTCTCGTTCACTGTACTGCTGTCTTCCTTAGGTAATGGTTCGTAGGCAGCTAATGCCGCACAATTAGCAAATATTGTTATCAAGATGAGAATATCAAAGGGCTTTAAATAAAATATATTGGTTAAAGAAAAAATTGACAACAACATAACGAGGCAAAAATACTTGAGTATCGACGACACTTGAGTTATGAAGTGTTGTTTAAATGCCTTAAGTGCAAAAGAGAAATAGCGCAATTATGATTATTTAAAACACTATCAACGAAAGAGTTATTTATTTGAATCAATTGACATTTGATAGGGTGGCTGAAAGTTAAATCTGCAATAAAATAAGGATACTTTCCATTCCACGATATTAATAGCATAACGCCGTATTGGATGGTGCAATTCTAAGCAAAGCAGAGCTCGCTTAGGACGCACAGACGAAACAGCAGTTGATGTTTTAGGTCTTCTACTGGGTAGTCGTTGAGGCGAACCTCCTATCGCATCCATATTTAACCAAGAAAACTCAACAGCAGTCGTCACAATCCTGCATAAAATACACTTGTTTCACGATAGAAATGAAGAAAGAAACAAAAGATGTACATATTTCTCAACTGTGGTCATAATCACAATCTCTCGCCCAAAGCCCAGATTATACGTGCTTTAGTATAAAATACCCACAGAGATTGTCACGTCCAGTTAAGACAGTTAAGCAAGATTACATGGGCTTCAAATTCGTTCAAACAACAAGTCCTATTGAAGTTTAAATAAAAGCAATACAAACCATTCGTCGACCTTACTTTACTACAGGTCAACCCATTTCACAAGATTCTCTCTGTTGCTTGAAATTGAGAACATTTAATGATTATTTTAAGCCTATTTGAGAAAGCGGGCAGACCATTACGCACAGCAGGAATCAAATTCCTAATTTAGCAAATCAAAACATTTAGCGCTCGCGCATGTTACGAGATTTCCTGCTGATTTCCATGCGTCAGATAGAGAACTGAATTCCTTTATATGGAATATGATGTTTTGTCCAACATGAACAACATAAAATAGAAAGAAATAGAGAAAAAGTCGCACAATATCTCATTGTAAGGTATAAAATTTTTGCTTTAACAATAACTAACAAATACAAATTCCGCATTTTGTTCCGATAAAGCTCTTGCAATTTACATTTTAAAGTCTTCGCTTCACTTTAGTCACGGTGTAAAGCACAGACGTCAAGACGATGAAAATACGTCATAAAAAAGCTATGCAGTTGGCATTCCATTTGCGGCCGTTTGCACAGAGCCTGGACAGCGATTTATCCTCTGGAGTGGATAATAATAAATCTCTTCAGAGGAAAACAAGTTTTAATTGTACAATCAATGAATACAATGTAAGTTCAAAGATAGTAAAGTTTCATTTTTGTTAAGAAAATACAAAGACCTCTTTAACACTTATGAAAATATCAAAAATCTAACGCCATCCAGCCTTGGTGCAACCAGACAATAATAACCAATGAAATTACTTAAACGTTTTTAGGCATCGCTCAACCAAGGATGTTGTAGACACTCGGCTGCAGTTGCTCTGTTATTTTGAACGTAATCTAACATTGGAAGTAGAAACGAAGCCAATTGACCTGCATCCTTCTCGTTCCATTCGTACTTTTCAACGAGAACACTCTCCAGGGGCCTGGGAAAGAAATAAAAATACTTCAACGAATGAAAACGCAGTAATTTTAGATTCTAAGAAGCAAATTTTTGTCTCGTCCTCCTCACTTTGGCAAATACTTCGAAAGAATTATATTGAAAGATTAAATCTACATTGGTGGGACTGTCGACAATATAAAAATAACTATCACCTAAATCCTTACGAATAACAATCGTATTAAGACACCGAAATTCATCCACATAGCTACATGTTTGCATGATATTCCTCAAATGATTAAAAAACACGTGTCTTTTAAAAAAGGGGATCGCAAACACTCGCTGTCGTAGCAACAACTTATTTACGGACTGTTGCTAAAAGTTAAATTCAACGAAGTTTCAGGAAGTTTTCACAAACCAAGGTCTTAGTTCGGTGATGTTTCTTAATATTCCTGGAAGAAATAAAAACAGACGCCATATAAACAATACAAAAATCAAAATAAATTAAAATCAATACATTATCGTCATCACTCGCCTTTCCTGTTAAACATATCGCAGGAATACTTTCCTCCCAGAGCGATATTTTTTGGTATCTTTCCAAGCAACTCCATTATATGAGCTATATGATCTGAAAATTAGTGTAACGAAACACTTCATCAACTACATCCACCATCCACTTAAATTACAAATCTTCAAGTTAGTAGTAATTTTATTTGAAAAGATAGAAATTGCAATACATAGTTAAAATAGAAGAATTTGCGTGGTTCGTGGTTTTGGCATGTTTATAATTCACTTCAAGGGTGTTTAGGTGCACTTAAAAGTAGGTTTGTGGTTCATGGGCTTCTCAAGGAGTTCAAAGAGGAGCACAAACATGAAAATCGACAGCAAAATGAATGCTTTCGGCCATTGAAAAAAACCAATAAAAGCTTTACGTGAACCTTAGTCTCGTTCCCAGGGCCTCTCTTCCGTAAGAGCATTAACGCTCGTTCCCAGTTCTTTCGTTTATTTGAGCCCCAACCTTTTTTCAGGGCCTTTAACTACATTGGAACATGAACATTAACCTGTTCACAAACCCAATGCTGAACGCTTTACTACAAAGTGAAGAGTTGCGTCTGTAGGCTTACACGCAGGCGAATTCACGTTTAACCACTTATTTTTATTTACCTTCATCACGTGAGTAGCTGTCACCAGAATGAGGCTCGAACAAATAATCTCCTGTGAGCAATTCAAAAGCCTAGAAAAGCACGACACTATATCAAATAAAACCAAAAATAACATCACTTTCGCTCAGTTAATAAGCCCCTGTTAAGCGAGCTCGAGGTCTTTACGGAGAAATATCGGACCGAAGATTTTTTGCAAAGACCGAGCCCATATATGTCGTGGTTTTTTGTGTAGTTTTTTTTGCGTTTTGCTTTACGAAGTTTGTTTATCTGTTATAGTAAAATTCGCATGTTGGACCGTGGTCCGGAAAATAATGGACCGTAAAAAATGTTTCTGAACCAATCAAAGCGCGCTATTTTGCCGGAAGTGACGCTGCTGGCAATATGATAATATTTCTTACTGGGCACTTTGGTCCTGTTTCAAACGTCTTTTTTTTGCATGTGTCGAATAAAATAGTTTGAATTAAGTGCACGCGAAATTCGACGTATGAAACAATTAAATTCGACTGCATTAATTGAGGTCGACTGCTTTAATTGAGGTCGACCTTAACTTTAAAGTCGACCGGCTTGGTCTAATTATGCGACGAAAGTACGACGTCGTTTCACAGGCTAAATTTTGCATGTGTCGAATACAATTTGGCTCTCGCGTTTCACTCACAACAAAGTCTGGAATGAGATAAAGCCAAGACGTCGGGTAATAATTGCATTCGACGCATGGGAAATTCGACGTTTGAAATGTACAGTCAAATTTGTATTTCGATCGAATTAAATTGCTAATTGTATTCGATACATACAAAATTCGACGTTTGAAACAGGTCTTATCGATCAGGACAGCATTAACGTGTACAATCTACATTGTAATCGATACTTTCCGGTTCAAAATCATTCACAGTGTTATGTTATTATAGTTTATTAAAGTCAAGTTGTGTGAGCATTAATTATAAACGCTTATCAAAAACGTTGACATTTAAACGACGATTCGTATTCCGTAAGAGTTCAACTCCCACACCTAAATACCTTCATCTACAGTGCACCCTTAACCATAAACTGGACTGGCTGGGGTGTCACGTGGCAATTATGTACAAGAAAACTTCAAAAAATTCATTCGCGTTAATTTTGAGTATTACGGTGGCTCACAAGGGCCACCACACAAAATAAAAATATTAATACACACACAAAATAAAAATACACACACAAAATACATTATACACACACAAAATACATTATACACACACAAAATACATTATACACACAAAATACATTATACACACACAAAATAAAAATACACACACAAAATACATTATACACACACAAAATAAAAATACACACACAAAATACATTATACACACACAAAATAAAAATACACACACAAAATAAAAATACACACACAAAATATGATTGCGGGCGCTTGCAGTGTCGGCTTACTCGGAATTGCTCGTAATTGATCGTTTTTGTTTTCAAAGTTCTAATGGTTCCAACTTCCAGAGTACATAACAAAATTCACTGATTTCACTGTGATCAATTATTTCAAAGTTGCTTACGATATTGCTCCCCGTATTCTGGTTAAAATTAAGGTTAATGTGTTGTCCTTTGAAAGGACATTATTGGTCTAGCCTGTCCTGTACCAGTTATAAACAGCTTTGGGGTACTTGAAGTTGAAGTTAACGGACTAGCAGAGCTCGAAGGGCAACTGCTTGAAGAGACGCTACTCGTCATTGACGCTTCAGAACATTTTGGCAAAGAAGTTAATCTTCCCAAACGCACACCGCATTTGTGACAAAAAGAAGCTTCGTCAAGTGATTGTGCACCACAGTTGGCACAAAACATAATTATGCCAGGATTATGCAAGAGCTTGCTTTCGATTCCTTTTCAAATGTAATTTCAAATGTTTCGCAGTTGAAACAGTTAAATACGACGACAAGTCGACCACATGTTAAAATCACAATTAGTGAATTACACATATCTGATTACAAACTGATAATATGATAGTCAGACCATCCGACACTGCAAGCGCCCGCAATCATATTTTGTGCGTGTATTTTTATTTTGTGTGTGTATTTTTATTTTGCGTGTGTATTTTTATTTTGTGTGTGTATGATGTATTTTGCGTGTGTATTTTTATTTTGTGTGTGTATAATGTATTTTGTGTGTGTATTTTTATTTTGTGTGTGTATAATGTATTTTGTGTGTGTATTTTTATTTTGTGTGTGTATAATGTATTTTGTGTGTGTATTTTTATTTTGTGTGGTGGCCCTTGTGAGCCACCGTAGAGTATAGTTCTCACTGCACATACCATACACGCAGTACTCCAAATATCCGCTGGTGGTCCGTATGATGAGCCAACGAGAACCTCGATACTGCGATATTGTCGAGTCTGAATCTCATCCGTGAAATGATGATCCTGGAGGGAAAGACATGGACTAGTGACGTCATAGATAGCGTCAAAGAACGCAAATGAGCACATAACTAGGGAACGAAATTTATTTAATGAAACAAATAATCAAGTGCAAGACTTCGAAAGTTTTGCAATGGTGACATTATATAGGCTAGGCCATTGGTTTAGTACAAATTGAGCTACAGCAACGGATTCAGTGTTATAAAATACATGGTTTTGATTTTCTTAAGATCAAAATTTTACCAATGAAATCACTTCTATTCAAAACATAAATACGTCCAAAAATGAACTGCTGTGATTTATAATGACGTAACCTTCTTCTGCTAATGCTGAAATTTTTACAGAATTCATCTGAACATGCGCAGTCAATTTGACCAATTTTCCTAGTTCATGGTCATGGCAACGAGCAGCATGCAACAATGAGCCGTGAATAATATTGATTTCTAAAATGTAAGCCGAGCTTTAGCAACCGTTGAAAAACCAAAACTATCAACAAAGACTATTGTAGTCGTTTAACGGTATGTTTACAACATAAGCACTTACCACCCAGCAGGCGTTGCCAAGGTCTGCTATTTTGACACTTTTAACATCGTTCTCCGCGTCTGAAAAGTAGATCACAAAATTCTTTCCTCTCGTCTTACTTCAAAATCAAAAATCATATCCATGAATCCATTTATTATTTAAACATACTGATAACGGTATCCATCACTTCAGACTCGTTTCCATCTCCCTCGCTTACGTCCAATTTTTCGACATTTTCCATGGTCTCGTTAACACCGACATCGCTAACAAAGACAAACAAGTTTCTATTAACCTGAACAAAGATGGTGACGTAATAGTCACGTGACAATAACGATTCAAATATTTTAAAACTCGAAGCTATCCGCTATTCTGATAGAGCTACCGTCGATTGGTAAGGTCGTCTAGAAAAGCGAAGTTACAGAGAGTTCTTTGCATCAGTTGTATGAGAAAAGTCCATTACGATATCATCTCTAAGATTACCATTAATGAACTTCAAAATATAGGTAGAAAATGTCGCTAACATACCCACAACAAACTTTAGATGACGATGTTTCCATGAGCTGCTCTTCACAAAATTTCCTTTCTTTCTCGTTATTCACACTCTCCCCATTACTCCATTGCATTTGCTCGTCGTCGACATTGGCCGCCTTGGCTTCGGCTACGACTCGTTCGTTACCGCCACAAGTGATTTGCGTCGAAATTTCGGCGTCTGTTTTAGTTGTAACTATATTTTCATTCTCTTTGTCACATATACCATTGACATTTCCATCTTCTGATGTTTGTTCTAAACAGTAAATATGTACATATATCATCATGACTAAAATACCGATGACTGAGTTTCTAATAATCTACTCTTTTTATAGTTCTTATCATTATTCTCATTTTCACATAAATACAAAACAAGTGAATACCAGACACGTACGTCACACAACTTTGCTTGAATTGAAAACAAAACAAAAACATGAAATCGAGGCAGACAATGACATCATTGATACTTCACTTGTTTTCACTACCATCAAACAAAAGATGCTATCACACAAGCTCGATAATTGGGAAGGTGGGACGATACTCATGTATGTATGTTTTCATGCAAGTAGTTTCTCTTGAAATCAATTGTAATTCTCGATTAACACTGATTAAAACATAGAAATATATGAACACCCCTCATTATCGATCTTGCGCAGCTCGTTATTCCTCTGGAATAAAAACTTCAAGAGCTCATTGTGAGAAATCGTTCTCGTGGTTTTGACCAGGAGGTGAACAAACATCGAAACTAACTACAATACAATATATCAAAAAAATATCCATTTCATTCAATAGCATTTTGTCATTAGCTAAGACGAGTATGAAATGAGATATTTCACTTACCATTGTTATTTACAGTCGGTTTAATTTCAAAAGCACATTCAGCATTTGAAACGTTGTTTCTCTCGTTGCCGAGTTCCGTATCGTCGTTAGAGCTTCGTGACCTTGTCGCCGCTTCCTCGTCGATTGTTTTATCGAGTTTATCCTGCTCCAGTTGATATTTCTGCTGTTGTTTCTTTAAACGTTTCTTTAGCTTTTTTTTCTGGTTTTTGGTTAGTTTCTCGACGCTTTTCTGTTGTTCCTTCAACGCAAGCAAACGATACAAAAAGCATTCCCTATGGTCAGCGGTCCTACCATGATAACATACTTACTAGAATTATATGTTGAGGAGCCGTTGCAACTGCAAGAAATGGGTAAAAAGCCTTTCTTAACAAAAAAAGATTCTTTTCAATACATTACACGAGCAAATATGTAGCCTCCTCCCCAGTGCCCTAAGCAAGTGGAACATAATTACATAAACACCCTCCCCCCTCAATTGTCAATTGGGCGGTAGTGGTATAGCAAGGCTGCAAGGTTTGGTCCTTTGTTTACACAATGGCTGATTATTGGAAAAGTTGTATAAGGGGAGTGAAAAAACGAGCTGGCTACACTTTGCCAAGCAATATTAATGAACCAACCATTCCTTTTTTCACAACCTTTCTAAGATGGTAATTTTAAACTAAGCTGTAGAGGAATACCATTTCATGAAGCTCACCGATGTCGGAGGAAAGATTGCCATTAAGGGAGGCCATTTTTGCATCATAAGCAAGCTTTTGGATTTCTTTATTGTTAATACAGTAGAGTATGTTCTCTGGTTTTATATCTGTGTGAATGATGCCACATTTTGAGTGGAGATAATCTAAGCCAAGGAGAGTCTAGATGAAGCGATAAAGTATAGTCAAAAATAGCAAAACCACAAATAAACATTACAACTGGCAAAAATTGTAAATTTGTCCGAGTTCATACCTGTTTGATGATAGATTTAACTTGTCTAATAGGTAGACCAGTGTAATTTGATTGTATTATAGACTTTAATAAATTATGACCAAGAACTTCAAACACCATGCATATATCTTAGAGGAGTCAACGATAATGCATACCATATTTGGACAGGGTAAAAGATTATACTAATCAATAAACACTCGGACACATAAACATCCACTCAGAAAAATACACACAGCAAGCTTTAGAACATTCTAAGAATTTCCTTATCCTAACATCTACACAACCCTGGAGGCAAGTTGATGATATCATGACAAATAAATCAAAAGATACGTGTGCCATGCACTCCTGTGATTTTAAAATCATCTAACATCTGTACAACATGTCTATGACCAGCATGTGTTGGATCTGTCCTGTGTACCTGGTTAGCAAAAATTAAAAAATCATGATTTAAGCTACATTGCAACAGATATTCAAAGACCACATTTAAATGACGCGGTATACCTTATCTAATAATTTCTTTTCATCCAAAGCAGTTTCTGTGTAATGCGATGCACTTTTTACAATTTTTAATGCAGCATAGCATTTATTCCTGTACGAGTCAAAAAGAAAATTGTTCTGAATAATTCCTTATTTGGTTCCACACGAAATGATGTTATCAAATCACCTCAAGTCCCAAGCAAGCCAAACAGTCGAGAAATGACCCCATCCCAGTTTACGTATAATACTGTATCTGTTATTAAAAAGATCACCAAGCTTCACAGGATGATAACCACCTAACAAAAATAGAAACAGTAAATTTTCCTTACATCTTTTCAACAAATTGCACAAAAGATAAGTGTACCTATTTTTTAATAAGATTATACAAGAGTATAGCATAGCAACAGACATTCTTTTAACCCAATAATATGCAAATGTTTTAGCTCAAATTTCCTTTGACATAGCAACATATTTGGAATAAGGAAACGACGAGAATTTCTAAATAATATTATACTATACTTCTTACGCCAGTTACATGTGCATTCGGGAAGAAAATTAAACTCGAAATTAAATCAATAAAAGCAAACGGATATATAGCTAATGAGAAAACAAAACCTGTACAACGATATTAATAAAAATAAGCGAAAGGGAGCGCGAGGCAACTTTTAGGAAATCTAAACTTATGCATGCCATGTTAAACGTCAAGATTCACAATTGTCAGCCAAATTCAACGTACAATTGTAAAAACATGTATAATTATCGTCCTACACACGCGAGATTACAAATAATACCATTAAACTGTAAACACCATAAAAATTATGATTCGGCGTATTCAATACTGTCGATAAATATGTTCACATTGCATTCAAGTGAAAACATTTATGAATACCAGCATATTGACAAGCATCTCGACTTCTTGTTCGCGTTCAGTGTACGTTACATTCATAAATAATAGACAATTATTATCATACGCACTCAAAGATTGCTGTTTGTTGTCTGTTATCGGAGAGAAGACATCAAAATGTTCAAAAACATAATAAACAAAATACCTCTTTTGTAGTCTCCGACATCCTCTTGCTCTTCCGAATCACTGTTATCATCGTCGTTATCACTCTCGTATTTTGGTGGCGGATTATCTACTCGACTGATAAATATTTAAGAAGAAAGCTTTAGGCAAACGTCAAAACTCTATTGTCTAAGTAGAAAGTGACTTTCTAGTATTACTTCGCTTTCTTGTCAACTTTTCCCGCGTCCCGTTTCATAACTTGTTTATTTTTCGTCGCCTTGCCTCTCCGTTTCTTGGCCTGGATTGCGAGCACTGAGGAAAAAGATTCGGCTTTAAAATCATCATGAAGAAAGTCAACAAGTGCTCGATTACAAAGTAAACGATTATATGCGAGATGCGACATACCTTTCCGATTCATATTTGGGTTCATTTTGAGGTAAACAATGTACTTTTTCGCTTGTTTTGAAAGCGTTCGGTTCCGATTACAATTCACACGCAAGTGCTCCACTTCTCGGAAAGGGGGGGGGGATGATACATGCTTTGACCAGACGACCGGACCGAATTGATTAGGTATTCAAAGGCTCATGAAAATAGCTTAAAAGAGGAAATTACAAGGCATGCCCTTCTCAGATTAATTAAGTTTGATGACTACTTGCATCGCAAGCTCACTGATGTGAGTATGAAACAAATTTTCTGAGTGAACCATTACAATTTCTTTTGAGCAAAAATCAAAGATTTTAATCACCATATATGGTCACCTTTTGAAGGATGTGTTTCACAGGAACATATTTGTTATTGCGACATTCTTTTTGAGAAGAACGAACATACGCCATTACGCAATAAAGACACTGTGTGTCGCAACAACGATGGACGAGGAGCAAATGGTTGCGCTAAACATGTCCGATGGTGAGGCAAACGAAAGAGGGGCGCAGGACACATCGAAGAGGAAAGGAAAGGCGCCAATTAAAGCATCAGTCGTGAAAGGATCAGAGGAATATTTGCGTAAAAGGGCACGAAATAACGAAGCCGTTCGAAAGAGCCGGGTCAAGTCCAAAATTAAAATAGAGGAGACACAACTGCGCGTGAATATGCTGTCAAAAGAGAACAGTGAATTGAAGACAAAGGTCACGCTATTGACTAAAGAACTGAACGTCCTTAGATCGCTTTTTGCCAATGGTGGCATTACCATTCCGGAGAATATTACAGTCGATAAAACGCTGGAAGTTGGTGCAGAGGCTAGTGTCAGCACCATCGTAAAGAACGAAGAAGATATTGACAATGATGTGTAGGTATGAACAAGGTAGAAGTTGATCGGTGTTGCTGCGAGTTTCATCAATTCGTTTCGCGGGAGAACGATTCTCTTGATGTAAAGATATTCACCATTTATTCTGGGTTAATATCTGGGGATTATGTATGCGTTTATACATGGGGGTGAGATGATTTAGTTAGGATTGATACATTTTCAACAAGTGCTGGCGTTGGTCAATGGAAAGAACATCCAGAATGTTATGATTGACTGCCATGAAGCCATAACTGAGTTCTCACTCAATCTTAAAAATTTTTTGTTGTATAATATTTACAAAATAATTTTTTCATGCTGTGTATTGGTAAAGTACTGCTAAATACATCAAGATAAGGGTGCCTATTGCTAAGAAACAACACAATTGTTGTTTGAGCTCTATTTAATACTGGTTACCAAATATGGCAGTTAAGCACTTCAGAGAATATCTATGGATGCAATCAACAACTGGAGTATTAAAATTATTTTCACTAAAATTCAGCCGTGTTAAATATAAATGTACAATTTACCACTGTAATCAACACACAATTTTATCATAGCCACTTGGTGACCATATTTTTTGTACAAAACTATTAAATATATATATTGTCACATATGAATATGCGTATTGTTTTGATTGTTTTCATTGATTAAAAGTGAATTCATTCGATTGATAAAAAATACTTCTCATCGAAAGCACTCTATTTCTTGATTAGCCATTCTTAGCTCCCTGTCCTCAGCGCAGCTGGGCAAAGATCCCCACAACATGACCTCCGTCCCTAAATAACAAAGGAGAATATAGTTGGTAAACTTGAAAAATGAAAGTAAAATTTTCTGCATAAGTACCTGTCGAATCAAGTCTTTCCAATGGATATGTCACATCAGAGTGAAACATCCAGAAATGACCATTGTTACACGAGGTAAGGCAAGAAGAACATGGTAGAATGACATGATAACCCACAACACAACCACTAGAGATTGAAATTATATTATACACAATATTACAAGTGGAATACGAAGGATTGGATTCCCCCAAAACATAGTTTTCATACATTTATCGTACATTTCAGACACATATACACCACGTCGTGAATAAGAATTTAAGTCCTATACTTCAATGATATTTATTGTAGAAAACGGGATGTTCATGGATGGTAAAATACTACATTTTCTACATAAGTCTAATGAAAACTGAAAATTTCTACTCTTAACAATTTTCCTCCTTACCATCGTTGACATGCGACATCTTTGATTCGACAAAAGCAACTCTTCGTTCTGTAGTCACTTCCAATCAATTGAATGGACCTAAAAGTACAAGTATTTTCAATACCCTAAAATACACGAATGAAAGTACACAAATACAGTCAAAAAGCTTACTGTTCTGGAGGTAAGTCTGTCGAATAAAGCTCAACTTTCGTATCGGCTAATAATATAGCTTTCATTCCACGCGCACACAAGCATGTATCGCAGTTTATGCAATGCAAATATATCACTGTTTTATCGTGAAAACCTGGCTGGATATTTCTTGACATGACGAAGTCTATTTTAAATATCTTTACCAATATAAACACGTTGAAAGGCTATAAAACGGACACTCAATTGCAGCAATGAACGTGAAAGAAGAATGAAATCACAAAAGTACGATATCAAATTAGCATTTAATAATTTCTAGTAATTTCATTGGATGTAGCTACGCAACTGAAGTCGAAATCTATTTGTGGTTCTTTAAAAAAAGGGCAAACTCCCCAAGTAAAACCCCCCATGTGCGGGCAACGGATGACCTCATGTAAAGGCTAAATTTTCATAATTTCAAATAATTAATTATTATAGCATCAATTTAATAAATTTGTTAATCTTCTGTCAATTATTAAAACCTTTATGGAATAATTTTGTGTTCTAAAATAACTCAATAAAACGATTATTACGACGCCTTTTTCTTAATCTTTTTAAATTCTTTCTTTAATTCCGGTTTCCACCTGGTCAGTTCCGCGTATTTTTTTAACAAGCGCTTCCAATAAGCACTGACGTCCTCCATTCTTAAATGATTCCATATAAACTTTTTACCTCTATAAAAACGATTCACGACCGTTTAGTGAGAAATAATCGATGGAACAGAAGCAAATATAAAAATGTTTGACACGCTGTAAATTTTGTAAAACATAAACGCCGAAACAACGTTACCTTTTTGCAATTTCATGAGCAACATCATCATTAGCTCGAGCGAACTCGATCAAATCCCTACATCAAATATCGTACAAACATATCAATTGTATAAAATATACTTCAATAATACATTCATCATTTACCTTGCATCGGAAAGATCACTTTTTACTGGAATATAATGAACCCACGGTTTAAGGGCAGGATAAAAAAACTCCAACCATTCGTCACCAACATGAAAGACCAACGATCCGCACAAAAAAAGATGCTTGAAACGAAAACTAGCTGCGACGCCTCGAAAGTTGAATAAATATCTAAGAAAAATTAATGAAAGAATGATTTTTCAGAGTGTAGACTACAGATGAAGTGTGATATGTAGTACTGACTTGTAAACGCAATGGTCTTCTAAAGATATTTCTTTAGCAGCAGGAGCGTTTAACGTGTCCTAGATTTAACGTAAAAAAATTAACAATAGTTAACATCCCCCCGGGATGTTCCCAAAAAACAATTTTGACATTTTTCAAAAGAAGAAACTGGGAGTTACAGAGTGTACAATGAATGTAAATGGGCACAAACCAACATATAAAAACAATAAACAGAAATCTTCGTTCATTCATGTCGATGAGTTTGTGTTGAATATACCTATTTTGAGCATTTAACAAAAAGCTTCACTTCAAAAAACGCGTTTGTTTTAGATTGTAACGAAATCTGCCCGTGAGAAATAGCGTTTTGAAGAATCTACAAATCGATCTTTTTTTTGTTGGGGGGTGGGGGGAGGCATGTCCGCAAACTCTTCTTGTGGGGTCGCGTTTAAGGCTATTAAAATGGGGGAGTGAAGTTTTCTACTTTATCTGATTTCCAGGCCTGATTCTTTGTGTATTGAGCATCGACAAGATCTGGTTCTTTACGAGATAGTAAAACTAACGGATCACGTTCATCACTTGTCCTAAATATCAAAAATAATCATTAAGAAATACTGTAAACCATCTATAGGCCCCTCCTTCCATGCATAAGCCTTCCCCTGAATAGACCAACGACGATCGTGAGTCTCCATTAATTCCACACATAAGCCCACCCACATGTAAGTTCACCCACATAAGCCCACCCGCATGTTAGTTCACCCACACATAAGCCCACCCGCATGTAAGTTCACCCACACATAAGCCCACCCGCATGTAAGTTCACCCACACATAAGCCCACCCGCATGTAAGTTCACCCACACATAAGCCCACCCGCATATAAGTTCACCCACACATAAGCCCACCCCATGTAAGTTCACCCACACATAAGCCCACCTGCATGTAAGTTCACCCACACATAAGCCCACCCGCATGTAAGTTCACCCACACATAAGCCCACCCGCATGTTCACCCACACATAAGCCCACCTGCATGTAAGTTCACCCACACATAAGCCCACCCGCATGTAAGTTCACCCCACATAAGCCCACCCCATGTAAGTTCACCCATACATAAGCCCACCTGCATGTAAGTTCACCCACACATAAGCCCACCCACATGTACCCACATATAAGCATGTAAGTTCACCCATACATAAGCCCACCTGCATGTAAGTTCACCCACACATAAGCCCACCTGCATGTAAGTTCACCTACACATAAGCCCACCAGCATGTAAGTTCACCCACACATAAGCCCACCCCATGTAAGTTCACCCGCACATAAGCCCACCCGCATGTAAGTTCACCCACACATAAGCCCACCTGCATGTAAGTTCACCCACATATATTGGGTTGGTGTTGTGGCTTTAAACAGTGCTTTTAAGAACTATTACATTTTTATTTTGGTCATTCACCATGGTATTTTTTATTGTTAAAACAATATTTGAACTTATAAAACTGAAAACAGCTTTCAAAATTTTATCCCAAAACAGATCTTGAAGAAAAGATTGAATTCAATTCCATATAAAATTGAGTCTCAACAGGACACAAACCCATTTACCTGGAACCACGAAAGAATGCTTTATATTCCTTCACATTCCATGGAAATTCTTTGGCCTTCCTAATTTAATGAAAACAGCAAATGATTGACCTCAATAGGTTTGATTGTACATGTGTAACCTCATCAGTGTGCGAATTAACAGTGTGCAATGTGCAATTTGCACATCGTTTTAGCTAAAATGAAAACCATTGCACATCACTTTTTCAAGCGATATGCAAAAATCAGCGGTTTTAACGAAAAACACTGCCGTAAATGATATGAATTTGTTCACGTTTAAAAATATTAATTTAGCAATTAGCGCTATATAATAATTAACGTAATATCGATTTGATTATGCCTCTAAAGAAACACTTTTGTCAAAAAAATTGCACATCGTTTTTTCTGAAATAATTCGCAAACTGAACCTCATTATGTGATATTCATACTTTTCTAAATCCTCACGCATTAAATCCCATCTTCCCAAGCCAGTGGGATAAATGGGCCAAACAGCAGGACCACCTTCCCAAAAGGTCCATGCAGGATACATGATATCATACTCTTCTTTTGTCTAAAACATTCAGGACAGCTTTGATAACCGACTTCATAAGAAATGTTATCTTGAAGCAATTACCTTACTAAATGAGAAAACAGGAACAGGGTCCATCCAATAAGACGTCTAAAATACAACCTCTTTTTAAAGAATGACCTATTAACCTCTGTAAAACATATGAATAGCCTGCACACCTGTGGATAATCATGTACATTAATGATCAGTTCCATATTGGGTAACTTGTCTATGATCTCAAGAATAAAATGTTCCACGCCATTACACCTGAAATAAAATTACTCATAAAAGAACATTCAAGGGCCGGATCAATGCTCATCTTACATGAGGGCTGTATTTTTTAGTTTATTATTAGTCTATTAGTCTTATTTAGTCTTATTTTAGTTTATTTAGTTTATTTTTTAGTCTATTATTTTAGTTTATTTATGTTTCAATGACGCACTTGGTAATACTCAATAGCATATGTTGGTGGTATATAATATGCAATAACCTTTAAAATGAGAAGTTCTACCTTCACTGAGCCTTATCTAATACTGTTATATCAATCCCCTACAGTACGTAATACCATTTAAATCTTTCTTAGGGATGCTTGTGCTAGAGAATTCCTGAAGACAGTGAATTCAACACTAAGTGATAACAAACCTTGCTTCGAACATACAATCATTTTCTCTGAATAATTTATGATTGATGATCTGATAGTGCGTTCCTCTTGTCTCCTTTTTTGCCTTGTCAAAATCTAACTTTGTTATTCCACCTTTATCTCTCCATAATTTGAGATCTTCCTCTATAACATTCTTGTAACAACCACTGTTCACATTGGAGCACTCCTTATACCCTGAAACACTCTGATTGATTTTGTTCAGGTAAGATATCCATGAATCTAAACATCAAATTGATAACAATATAGCAAATAAAGTGCCACAATCACATATGTAGCCTACTGCTTCATGTTTGGCTGTCTTATGTATATTTCATTTAATTGGCGTCATATATATTCTTCTTTATAATGAATACAAAACATTTACATAGCATGTGGGCCACCTAAGTTGTTTTTGATAAAACGTGGCTCCTTAAAATTGATTAAATTTAAATACTTTAGAGAGCACAAAATGTCAGAGGTGTTTGTTGCAATGGTTTTTCTTAAAAGAACCCATGCAAAATGGCACAACACCGACCAGGTGTTTCTTCTGAGCGATATTTTCGCAATAAATTTCGTCACCTTTCATCTTGTATTTGTAAGAAGGATCGAGCTTATCTTTGTCATGGTCAACTCCATATTCATTGTGAGCACATCCAAGAGCAACTAACGAAACGTTAAGGCACAACAGGAAAAAGCTTACTCTTGCTTTCATCTTTGCCTGCTAACTCTGGTTATTATATTGTATTGTGGCCAGCAATTTCAACTTAATATGCAAACATGTACGTGTCGGACAGTCAAACTCACACATGTTTAAAAGCAACACAAAAACGATGTTTTAATTTCCATAACAATAGTGCCTCTAAAAGCTCCATAATTAGTAAAGCATCAATAATTTTCCCAGGCAATTAATTCTTGCATTAAAACGTGGATAAAGACTTAGTTGTTTCTAGAATTTCTGTTATTTCACTTTGACAGCAAAATCATTTTATTAACTAGTACCCAGGTCGCTTACAATTCGTCACGGCCACGGCCATGAACGTTTGAATGCTTCCACTTCTATTGTAAAAAGATTCCTTTAGTTTATAACTTCAAATAAATGACAGCAGGTTGATAAATTATGATTTGCAATTATAAGAAAAAGGGCCAGTAAACTCATAGATTCACGTCAGCATTTGTCACGTCAGTTTTTTGTAAAGAAAGAGAAGAGTGCATTGTTCGTTAACAATGAACATATGTAGTGAACAAGATACTTGTCTCCCCCTCCTGGTTACACGAAAATATAATATACTCGCAAATAAGTTTATCGTAAGCCGGGGGTAGCTCACAAGAAAATGTAAAATAACGGGTCAAGTATGGAGTGTCAATGAAAGATAAACATACCTTTCAAAAAAATGTGTGGTTTATCGTACTTCGAGGGTCAAGTTTCGACGGATCGTTGATAAAACCGAGGGAATGACTTCTATTGAGCATTTAAAAACTGAAATTGAACGGCTAAATAAAGAATTACAGCAAGCAAGTTGCGATAAAGTTAGAGCTGCCGAGTATGGATTGGCGGTCTTGGAGGAGAAGCAGACTTTACAAGAACATTATGACGAATTGGAAACGCAGTTTGAAAGTAATAAACATGAACTGGAAAGCATAAGAGAGGTTTGAGATGATTTCGGATATTTGTACGGTCATTTTGCCTGATAAGAGGTAGAATAGCCATTGCAAGTCCGTGCTCTTTCAGTCTTTCACAAAAGAAAATTAATCCAATATTATTATCAGTTTTGATTAAATTACAAGCGGTCAATGAGATTTTCTTTAAAAAGTACGAAACATGCTGATTTAACACGTACTGGACTTTGTAGACTTGCGACGAGTGTTTTGTGAAATGAGGTTTGTTTCGGTAATCAAAACGTGGAAGAATTATGAAAACTATAATTTTACTGTTCCGTTGTGAAGCGTTGTAAATCGATTAAGTATTTGCGTATTTTAAATAACTCAATTTCCTCGGCAAAGCCGCACCATAAATAAAACAGTAATTGAGTTTGTGTACGCATAAAAACATCAATACACAGCTTACAGCTGCATCATTCAAGACTAATCTCAAAAAATACTAATAGTAAAACACTAGCCAGCAGGTGATTTGAATATTACATGTTAAATTGAGCTCACCAGCTATTGAGGGTAGTATTAAAATATTTTGATGTGGCAACGAAAAAACATTTCTTCTAATCTTTTTGTTATAACATACACAGGCTTTAGAACAGCTCAAGTCTGAGCATTCAAAAGTCAACAGATTTGGCGATGCACGAGAGGAAAATTTAGTTCAAGAAAGCGAATCCAGGGAAGCTGGATTGCTTGCAAAGATATCGGAACTAGAAGAAGATCTGAAGGTCTTAAAGAAAAGTGAACGCAGATCTGCAAATGAGGTTGAACGATTGTCCGGACAAAACAGTGGTCTTCTAAAGGAGGTGGAAAAACAACATGAGGATTTGAAAAAGGTTAAGCTTAACTTGACATTTTTTAATGTAATGTGGTAGCTAGTAGCGAAGCCAGTTTGTTTTTTACTTCTACAATTCAAATATTTTTGAGTTCATTCACTGGGAAAACAATGAATGAACTAATGTACAAAAGAAATGAATGATAATTTCGCTGAAAATTGCATTGTAAGAGTAAAAAATCATGCTGATTTTGCCACCTGGCTTCCCCTGGCCTCTTGTTGGCTCCCTCTGAACACAAAATTGGCCCCCCACTGCTTGGGTCCTTTTGGTACTTTTTTGTGATTGGTATACCAAATATTTTATTGGAAATAATATATTGCTCTCTTGAAGTAAGAATGCATAATTCAGTCACATCTGATATGTTGTTATTAAATTGTTGTGCAAATGCATAGAATATAGCACTTACGAAATTGTAGTTTTAAAATTTAAATTGGAAAGGTATCTCCAGACCTTCTGCCACATAGCTCGTGCTTCATGGGGTTTTTTGAGGTTAATGGTCACCCTGTGTATCCCTTAATGTGACCATTTGTACAGCCAAGAACTTTCAATGTGTAAGTCGTGTTCTCAATTTCTTTTTTACTGTAGGTGAAAGGAGATCTTCGTGAGTTCAAGATTCGCAATGCGCGTCAAAATCAGGAATATGCTGAACTTGAAGAGGAGAACACAAACCTACAATCGCAGCTTTCGGCGTCGAAGTCAAAGCTTGTTGAATACGAGGCATTGAAGGTAGAAAATAGCACGCTTCGTGAGGAAATGGACGTTATGAAGGTTCAAATTCAAATGTCCTCAGGCAGAACGGAGGAATACGAAAAACAGTTAAATGAAACTCTGGAGACTTTGAAAGAACAACGCGAGCGAAATACTCAGTTACAGAAAGAGTTACAGGAACGAACTCAGTTACCAAGTGTGGAAACCTGGGCGATGGAAACGAGGGATTTAGCTAGCATTGATTCCTCGGACGATGAACATCCATTGGTTAAGAAAATCACAGAAGAATACCATCAAACGTCAGCAGAACCAAAATCCCCGGCACCGGGACTTGTGGATGATCTCATGAAAGAATTACACTGTACCGAGTTACGTGATCTTGAAGTTCAGTTGACACAGCTTAACAGCGAGAAAACTGCTTTGACCAATGCGCTTGCGCAACGCAATAAGGAAGTTTTGAAACTGAAAGAAGAATTCAGTGCATTTTCGACCATACAAGATTCACGTGAACTTCGTAGGGAAATTCAAGGTTCCACACCATCTACCGAAGACGATGTTTTTGTCTTGAGTAATCAAATTAAAGAACTAGAAGAAATGAAGAAACTCGTCAAGAATTACCAACAAAAGAACGCCAAAGATCAAGTGACGATTAAGAATCTGCACGCGGATAACGACAAAATAAAAGGTGAAAACGCTTCGCTAAAAAGTAAGGCGGACGAGGCAGAATTCCTGTGTGGCAGAGTAAAAGAATTGGAAGAGAATCTTATCAATTATAAAACAAAAGACGAAGAGTCTGAAGATATAATACGCACCCTTCGAGAAGACGTGAACTCTATGACATCACTTGCGGGCGAAGCTAAAGGAAGTCTGACCTGCACTCAGGATGAATTAAAGTTAGTGAGCGAAGATTTGGCAAAGTTGTATCAACAAGTTTGTACTGCTAATGGTGATACACCTAACCACATTGTTCTTGAACACCTCAGAACACTTTCACCCAAATACAAAAAATCTGACAAAATATACGGTCGAATACTGAATGGTGATGTGATGGATTCATCAAGTGACGCGAAAGATATCTTCATCAAAAATGGTGGCGAGAAAAATGATGATGTGGAAGTGCACAATGATGAATTGACTGAAGAGGAATCAAATGGCGATCCTCTGGCCTGCTATAAACTTATATCAGCCGTGCGCGATCAGGTTCGAGTCTTAAGGAAAGCTGTTGAAAAAACCGTCGATATCTCGCGCGAACATCGCGAGGCACCCTCGCTTCTCGTGGGAGGTGAAATCGACAATATCGCGTCTAGTGACGATAGTTCATTGCAAAATCAAATTTTGAAACTTCAGCAACTTGCAGCTTCCAAACGCGAGCAAATAACAACCTTGCGTACGGTCTTGAAGGCAAATAAATCAACATATGAAGTTGCCTTATCAAACTTAAAGAGCCGATACGAGGATGACAAGGCACTTCAAAACGAGGTCATTACCAAACTAAAAAGAAACTTGAAATCAATGCAAGCTGAGTCAGCTACCTTCCAATCGCTGCGAAGCATGTTCGCCCAGCGTTGCGAGGACTATGTTGCGCAGGTTGACGAACTTCAACGACGATTAACGGCCGCTGACGAAGAGAAGAAGACGCTGAATCATTTACTTCGAAAAGCCATACATCAAAAGATTGCTCTTACACAGAGGCTCGAGGAATTTGAGTTGGCACGCGAACGTTTACGTGCTTACACGAGACGAAACTTCAAACAAGTTCAATCTAAACCAAGTACTCGAGTATAGTGTTGGCGTGTTGTTATACACGATGACGTAGACAAACGCGTGGTCAGCGCGTGCGTCATCGCGACATTGTACAAGAAAACGCGTGGTCATTGCGATTTTAGTCCCGCGAGAAAAGAGTTGGAGGATTTTTAGTTGTAGTATAGCTTATATACACTTAAGTGTTTTAAAAAATTGACAGTTTTAAAGTTATCAAAAACTTGTATATACATATATATATCATAGCAGATTTTATCTTGAGTTATACATTTTTAACTATTCGTGAAAAACAAAGATGATATTTCTTTCATTTATCGTCGACAGTACAAGTAAGTAACAATATGACATTGACCCAAGGTCGGTCAAAGTAAGACGATATGTCAATTATAAAAGTTCCTCAAAGTCATATTTAAGTCACAAGATACCCATACAACGTCACACTTTCACATTCAAACTTGTTTGCTAAAGAGAAAGCGATCAATCCTCACAGTAATTTTAGGTTGAAAATGAGACAGTCGGTACTATTACTGTCTCTGTTTTGTCTCATTCATTCTTCAAGTGCATTTGTGTGCTCTAAATCACCAAAAAACAATGCAGAAGTTCTCCAGATTCACCTTGTGCCACACACACATGACGATGTAGGATGGTTGAAAACTGTGGATCAGTATTATTATGGTTCGAACAACAGCATTCAAAACGCCGGTGTACAGTACATTCTAGATTCATTGATACCCGAGTTGGAAGCGAACCCTTTGAGACGTTTCATTTACGTCGAAATGGCTTTTTTTAAGCGTTGGTGGGACCAACAAACACCAGCAATGCAGGCAAGAGTAAAAGGACTTGTACAGAGAGGACAATTGGAGTTTATAAATGGCGGTTGGTGTATGAATGATGAAGCAGGAACACACTACAACGCAATTATAGATCAAATGACATTAGGTTTGCAATTCATCGAAGAAACTTTCGGCTCGCAGGCACGACCAAGAGTGGCTTGGCATATTGATCCGTTCGGACATTCGGCCGCGCAGGCTTCCTTGTTTGCGCAAATGTCCTTTGAAGGATTCTTCTTCGCTCGCATCCATTATGCGGATATGGAGAAGAGAGTAAAAGAGCAACGAATGGAGATGATATGGCGGGGTAGTCACAGCCTTGGCGACGCAAGTGATATTTTCACTGGCGTCTTGTATAAAGGCTACGGACCACCTTCAACATTTTGTTTTGACATCCTTTGCAATGATCCACCGATGAAAGACGATCCGCGTCTCTTCGACTTCAACGTGAAAGAAAGAGTGGAATTATTTATCAACAAGTCTTGTGAGCAAGCATCACATTATAAATCAGGTCACATCATGCTTACAATGGGTGGTGATTTCAACTATCAAAATGCTCACACGTGGTTCAAAAATATGGACAAACTCATTGCTTATGTCAATCACGTAAGCACACAAATAGAGTGTATGAATACGATTCACTTAAAACATTAACCTTTCTCTCATTTTTTTATTTGAATTCATGCAGGACGGAAGAGTGAACGCGTTCTACTCGACGCCTACTAAATATCTGGACGCCATCAAAAACATGAAAGTTGAAGTAAAAACTGACGACTTCTTTCCGCTTGCAGATTGTCCCCATTGTTATTGGAGTGGTTTTTTTACAAGTAGACCCGCGTTGAAAAGTTATGCTCGAAAGAGCAACAACGTCCTGCAGGTAAGTGTATTTACATGTCTTTAAGGGTTTATGACACGAAATTTCATCACGAATTTGTTTCATTGTGTTGCATGCAATAAAGAAAATGATTTCATAACTTCTTAAGTGGAATTGCCCTTATTGTGCTTTTTCTAGCGATATTTAACTTTTTTATAATTTCGTTGAAGCACTATTGCTAACGTACATTTAATAAAGACGACGTTTTTTTAAGAATAGACGTGTTTCGGCACCTCATGATGCCATCTTCAGTATAAGTGAATAATTTTTTTAAATAATACAAAGTTTATGTAATTATTCACCTATACTGAAGATGGCATCATGAGATGTCGAAACATGTCTATTCTTAAAAAAACTCGTCGTCTTTATGAAATGCACATTTAACATTTTTCTTTATGCAAATAACATCGTTATCACATCACAGAGCATAATGACCTTTTAAAGATTGTCAATTTTCAAAATTGTCTGAACGCATGGTAAACAAATACAACAATTTAATGAATACATGTCTAGATGATTATGTGCAAAGATGTCAAAGTTAAATATTTCATTGCCCACTGTCGACAAAAACTAGTTTTTCCTAATGTTTATTATGCAATGTGATGTCATAACGATGTCATTTGCATATTGAAAAAAAAGTTACATATTTCCAAAAAGAAATAAAATAACACAATTTCATTTAAAGAAACAAGACATCTTGAGATTGCAAAATATGAATCAAAACAAGACGAGAAGTAAACTGTAAATTTTCAACTTTATTTCAAAGTCATCCTCAGACAGAATGATATTTAAAACCAAACATACACATATATATTTATGTGTATGTTTGGTTTTAAATATCATTCTGTCTGATTGATATATATCTTGAAATTTCAAAATATGAATCAATCTTGTTTTGATTCATATTTTGCAATCTCAAGATGTCTTGTTTCTTCGGAATTTGTTTTATATTATACTTTTTTAAATTGTCGGCTGGTCATGGTTTTTCATTTAAAGAAGTCATTAAGTGAATTTTAAATTATCTTTACAACGCAATCAAAAAACACGACGGTAAAGTTTGGTGTTCTAAACACTTTAAACAACACTTAAAAAACACAGTGCTATTGAATTGTATACATTTAACTTGAAACATTGAGCTTTGAGTTAAATACTTTCTTACAAGATTACTTTACGCTGTATATTTTTGTAAGGTCTGCAAGCAATTAGAGGTACTGGGAAAACTAGGCGAGTCCGATCCTAATTCACAGAGATTGAAGGAGGCAATGGGTTTGGTAAATCACCATGATGCTATTACTGGTACAGAGAGACAACACGTGGCATTTGATTACGCAAAACGTCTTTCAATGGGAGCTGCTGACTGTAAGGTACGATGTTCTGAAGAGCACCGGAACTAACGATGATAACGAAAACACTGAACGAGAGATTCGTTGTATAACTAAGTGTCAATCACTTGAAATAAGTACTTCAACATTCTTTCTGGATTTTTCTCATTCTTTCTTGAATGGAACACACTCCAAAGAACATCATCTTTTAAAGTCAAGATTCTAGTTATAACAGCAAGAGACAAGATTCAAAGCACTGTTTCGACTTTATTTCAACGTAGCTTGATACTGACGTTGAAATAAAGTCGAAATATTGCTTTGAATCTTGTCTCTTGCTTTTATAACTAGAATCTTGAGTTTACATGACGATGTTTTTCGGAGTGCGTTTTATCGTTTATTTCTTGAATAGATGGTCATAAGTACAGCTTTGAAGAATATCGTCAGCAGAGAAAGGGGAACAGAATTCCAGTACGGTTTTTGCGACTATTTGAACATCAGCGCTTGTCCAATAACAGAAACATCGACGACGTTCAGCGTCATCGTATACAACCCCATTGCAAGGTTCGTGGACTTCTATATCCGAGTACCAGTCTCGAGCAATACTTTTGAAGTTTTCGATCCGAAGGGAAAACCAGTTCCGTCGACCATACAAAAAGTATCAAAAGAAACCGTATTTGTTCGTGGTGATCTAGGGAAGGCTGGGTACGAATTGACCTTTCCCGCGAAAAATCTTCCTCCACTTGGTGTAGCGGTCTTCTTTGTGAATAAAACCGTATCTAACAGTGTTTACCCACAGAAGAATCAAGAAGAGATGACTAAAGAGAATCTTATGAAGTCCCAAAATGATTACACGATATCAAACGAACATCTCCAATTGACATTTGATATTGAATCGGGACGTCTGTCGAAGATAGACAATCTCGTCTCGAAAATAAGTCTGCCCGTGGATCAAGCATTTTTCTGGTACAATGCAAGTGTAGGCAATGATGTAAGTTTTCAGGCTTCGGGAGCTTATATCTTTCGACCAAATTCGAGTACAGCGTTCAACGTCAGCGCAAACAATCAAGCGAAGGTGAGTTTTTTAAAAAGCGATATTCTACAGCAAGTTCATCAAGTATTTTCACCATGGATGAGTCAGACCATTCGACTATACGCCAACAAACCATACGCAGAATTTGAATATACTGTTGGACCAATCGAATTGGCACCTAATCCGTATATCGGAAAAGAAATCATTTCAAGATTTGACACTAATTTAAAGACCAACGGTGTCTTTTATACTGATGCAAACGGCAGAGAAATGCAGTTAAGGAAACGAAATCACCGCCCGACATGGGAATATAAAAGTAAGTATCTAATACTTCACGGTTACATGAAGTTTATGAACTTCATCGAGAACATATCAATATTTCAGAAAAACGTAAATTTAGTACCTTCAAACGAACCACGGCTGCGAGGGAAACCTTAAGGTAACGTGGAAGATGAAGTTTGCCCTCTAATGTTCATTCTTTACTGTCATTTTAGACACAGAACCTGTAGCCGGGAACTATTATCCGATCAACAGTCGTGCTTACATCAAAGATGCATCTGGTTTACAGCTGACCGTTATGACTGACCACTCAGTTGGTGGATCAAGCATCAAAGATGGATCTTTAGAAATGATGATACATCGTCGTTTGCTACACGACGACGCCAGGGGGGTTGGGCAGCCTTTAGACGAACCGGGGAGAGACGGCCATGGTCTAATAGTGCGAGGGAAATTTTTAGTCTTGCTTGAGCCCGCAAAATCATCCGCAAAATTCCATCGCACTGTGGGTGAGGAAGAACTGTTGCGCCCATCACTAGCATTCTCGACGGTCAGCGGTCAATCATTTTCGATTAGTGGTTTAACGCGATCGTTGCCAAGAAACGTACATCTTTTAACTCTGGAGCGATTTGGTAAATCAGTATTGTTGCGTCTAGAACATCAGTTTGCTGTAGACGAAGACGAGGAATTGTCGAAAAACGTAACAGTAAAGTTGAAAGGTTTGTTTAAAGATCTTAAAATTCTGGAGGTGACAGAGCTTAACCTTAGTGCAAACCTTGTGAAAAGTCAACTTGGTCACATCAAAGGGGACTGGATCCGATCCATGCGCGAGAATAGGATATTGTTGAGGGAAGATGATTTTGAAGTGATGTTAAAACCGATGGAGATAAAGACATTTAAAATCGACATTCAGTAAATCTCATGATTGAAACAAAGAAATATTAACCTATGAACAATTATCAATTCAAAGGACAAATTGTAGATGTTATCTAAAGGGGAATTTTGATTAAAATGATGCAGCAATGGTTTGTCCAGCAACAACAATACTGCACCAATTTCCAAATGTTTGCTACCAAGTCACCTTCGAGCTTTTTTCTGCAGCTTACACAAAAATAGAAGAAATCCTCTCGGGTCAAAACTAGGTTCATTACTTTGCACAAACACAGGCGCTTCTTTCTCAATTAAATCTCATAACCGCAACACTATGATAACATTTCATTTAGTGCCATGCATATAAGTATGAAACTAAGCTAAAACTTATCTCTTTAAGTTGAGCTTTCTTCTACTTCGGTTTTATTGTATCGCTGTTTTATGAACGACATTGAATATACTATTCACATTTCTCGTCAGTTGTCTTCGAGGTTCTTCCACATAAAGTCGTAATTTATCGAGCACATACGAAGGCCAGTTGTCGTCGTCGTCACTACGTTTCCACGAACTTCGCACACGAGGAGCTAGATGACTGTCAGGTATTATAAATGGTGAGTTAGGATATCTCCTGTACAAATATCATGCATCAAAGCCGTAACTTGGTGTGTTTTTTTTTCTACCTATTGAAAACATTTGTCACGGAAATGTCCGATGTTTCTCTGAACATTTTATAGCGTTTACGATTTCAAACAAGTCCCTTATTATTAGATCATAATTACATGTCTGTAGATGTAGATCTTCCGGTTGGTAGAGTCCTGAGAAGGACTGTTGGTGTTGATGTTGACTGACGTTTTGACAACCCGAGCAGTAGTCATCTTCAGAGTCAAAAAATGTAACGATACTCCCGGGTTCAAACCATTTACTTTACTAAGACCATATTTACCTCGTCAATTTGCAGTACTCTTCATACGTCATCCAACAGTCTGCTCTTCGAGTGACCTCCGCAGTACCACTTGACAGATTCATTATCTCGATTTTGGGAGCAACGAGCGACGCATGGGGATAAACGAGATCAGAATTGAACACCTTTCTCTTTGGGTTTTGTACTTTAGAATCTCTCGCGGCGATATTGGACACCAATCCATTCTCCGCCATGCGTTTTTCACGTGATTTCAACACATTGATACATGCAGTAAAGTCGTGATCTTCAGGATATAAGAGGACTAAAATATGAAAGCTCCAGATAACATTTGTAATAATTATTTCCTCCAAATCATTACTGTCGATGCGTACCTCGTTCCAGAATATTTTTGGACAGCGGTAGACCGTGGTGATGGCATAATTCCACAATTTGTTCGTATTCTCGTCTCTGCCGTTTTTGAAAGTCGTCAATAAGTGGTCCAGTTGGCCCTCCTATAGTGCAACAACGATGGGAATTTTCCACCGTTTTTCTAATTTTCGAGCGATGTTTGTTCCGCTTCAGTTGTCGTCTCGAGCGCTTCTCGGCATTCTTAAAACGGATAAAAAGAGAGGGTTGAGAGAATTGTTTAACTGACCACTGCAGATATACCGTTCTTTATTCCACAACCAAAGGAGTCCATGTTGATAGATGCATGATATAATTCATTTAAACAACTGATTTCAAATAACTCAGTAAATACAACAGAACATGCATATATGTAGGTATATATACACCATCTCTCAATCCTAAATACGTAAAAAAAATTTGTAAAAAAAAACTCCCATGAACAACTTTATTTGCTCAGCAAGAGTCACTTCCTGCATGTAATTAATCTCTTTTCAATTCAGTGTTAAAATGAACGATGTGAGTTAAGATGAACACATTAAAAACTACCTTTTCATATGTAGAGTATTCACTATTTGTGAGATGAGGAAGACTAAGCAAAGAATGAGATGATATTTGACTTGTGCTCATTTTATTTTCTTTGAGCAGAGACGTTGATGATTTTGCATTTGACTGTTTTGAACTGTTATGATGATGTCTGAAAAGAAGACAAAAATATTTAATATACAACAAAAAATAGGCAAAATTGTCAGTATAGCATTATGTCATTGTGTTAAACACTGACATACTTACATGTTTGTAAATGTAGATTGTCCAGGTTGGTATAGTCCTGAGAAGGACTGTTTTTGTTGTTGTTGACTGACGTTTCGACAACCTTAGCGGTAGTCATCTTCAGAGTCAAATGTGAACAAAATGTCAGTCAACAACAACAAAAAACAGTCCTTCTCAGGACTATACCAACCTGGAGGATCTACATCTACAAACATGTAATGATACTCCTGTGTTCAAAGCATTTACGACATACTTACTGTTGTTTTGTTATATGAACATCCTTTGCTTTAGAAAATTCCTTGTAATCAAGTAGTCTATCGCCGTTCGAGTCGAATATTTGAAAAAAATTATCAACTGCACCGTCACTGAGTGGTATGTTATTTACTTTCATAGTTTCAATAAGTTCCTCTCGACTAATTTTACAATCCTTGTCCTGGTCAGCCTGTAGAAACAGATCCAGCAATCTTAAATGCCTCTTGGCCAAGTAATCATTTATAACAGACAAGGCAACAGGCTCTGGTTGATCAATGGATGGAAGAGACCAAGTCCCTTTCCCTTTGGATGACTTAACGTCTTCACTGTCAAGTTCATTGTCATTCTGTAGTGAGAAATACATCACGTTAACACTTCAGCAAGTCAATACTAATAAAGAAATTAGATAAGACTTATTCACAAAATAGGATCTTGTAAAATATATACTGAGAGACAAAATACAGAGGTCATTCGTTTACGAATGACAAACAACAACAACAGTTGGGTCCAGGCCCCTTATTAATCAACGATTATCCCACTATGCTCTAGAAATAATGAAACAAATTACCTGTTTCATTTTATTCAAGAGCACAAGGGCAAGCTCTGCTTGAATTTGCGCATCATGAACACGTCGTTCGATCTCGGTGAGGCTAGGTTTTCTTGAGAGCCATTCAGAAAGTCTTTCGTGTTGGTTCAAGTCCTGACGAAGATTTTTTCTTTCCCGAATCCAATTCTTATAGCTATCAATGTCAATGTCATCATCTCCAGAAGATTTACCATTCTCTATAAATGTTCAAAATTATGTTTAAATTCCGGAAAACACATCAATACAAGGAATTCCGTTCATTTTAATAAAAACATTTAGGTATTAACCATAAGAGCTTGTAAGTTTGTTTTTCTCCGGGGGAAATGGTGAATTTTTCACCGCACATGTTAAATCTTCAATGTTAATGTCTGCCATACGTGGAGCGATCATAACTCGCTTCCTTCGTCGAGTATCGTTCTTTAATGTTTTCAAAATACCCTCACGATATGCTTTCGTCTTTTCCAATTTCTTTAATCGTAACTCCATCATTTCTAGTTCGTACAATGCTTCTGCAATGGTTTCTATTGGAAAATATAAAAAAATGACTAATTTTTCAATGTCACTTCAGTTGTCATCGCAACAACATCGAAACGTTATTTATCATCTGTCACAGGTAGATGTCTTCGGAGTCATTGTATAATTTGTATTTGTACAATCCATTCAAAGCATTAGCGTGTTTGGTTTTTAAAATGTTTATGTTCCAATCATTTTACCCTGAATCTATTGCTATCAAAGCAAATACTTTACATAAAAAAATCAAAATAACCAATAAATAACCTGTAGATCATCCACCTGATTAATCCGTTTTTATTATAGCACATAGAAAATGCTTATAAGGAGCAATGCAACGCATGACTTTCTGTAATATTGCTAAATTATACATATTCTTTTTTAAATAAAAATGGTTGTGAGAACATTTCAAGAAGAATGTTCGTATATTGAACGACTGTCGAGCCACAGTTATAAAATAAAAAAAGGATTTGTCGATAATATGAAGGTGAGGTGAACAGATTGCATAAAATGGCGATAGTCTTTAGCTCCGTCAGCTTATCATCTTTTATTTGCTTTGCAGGTCGAGGGAATTTTTTATGTCAATAATAATTTGGAAAAGTTAATGTTTGACGAGTTGAAGCATTGGTGCAATTCAGCTGGTAGTTGTGTACACCATTGAAATTTGTTTCTTCTCAGTTTTTGCTTCTAATTAAAAACCAACATATCTGTAGGTGTTGGTGGTTTTCTTCCTGGAGTGAAACAAATTGCAAATGTTGCATCTTTGCCAGGGATAGTTGGGGTAACTAAAACTTATTTTATTCATGTGACATTTAAATGCCCTTGGTTGTAATACTTTACATTGTCATCTTTTATTCTCATAGAAATCTATTGGCTTACCTGATATTCATTCTGGCTATGGATTTGCCATTGGTAGTACACAAAACTTGAATTATTTTTCATAATATTATTTGTTTGGCATAAAATAGTTTCAACTTGACAGCAGTTGGTTAATACTAAGTTATCTAAAGATACGACTTTCCTCAGATCTTTCCATTTGTTCCAGGCAACATGGCTGCATTTGACATGAATGACCCACAAGCAGTTGTATCACCTGGTGGAGTGGGATTTGACATAAATTGTGGGGTAAGGTTGATACGAACCAACCTTGACGAAAAGGATGTTTCTCCGAGGAAAGAACAATTGGCGCAGGTGCATGATGTTATTATGACAATATTAAGAGTTTATTTGCTTCATCAGAAGTTGAGATTTAACATTTACCCTTTAGTCTTTATTTAATCATATTCCTGTTGGTGTGGGATCCAAAGGAATTATTCCAATGACGGCAAAGTCAGTATGCTACATATGGCTAATGTGGTTATTAGATGAAAGTTAAATCACCAAATGTCTTCGGTTAGGGACCTAGAGGAGGCGCTTGAAATGGGTATTGATTGGTCACTACGGGAAGGTAATGAAAAATAGCAAACTTAAAAGTTATAAAATTGTCAAAGGAAGCGAAGCGTTTTGTTTTTGCGTAAAAATGTGTTGCTTTCTTTCTTAACTTTAGGATACGCATGGGCTGAAGACAAGGAGCATTGTGAGGAATATGGAAGGATGTTACAGGCAGACTCTTCAAAAGTCAGTTCTCGAGCCAAGAAACGGGGGCTTCCTCAGGTATGGTAAAGTGTGTATAGAAATACTATATGAAATACTATAGAAACACTAAATGATTTCTTGTTCAAACTAAAATTCTTATTATAAATAACAGAGCCCAGCTAAGTGCTTTTAACAGAGCCATTCAATACAAAAGTAATGTATAAAAAAATATTTATTCAAATGTCTATTTTTATAGATTATTTTTATATTGAATAGCTCTTTTAAAAGCACTTTGTTGGGCTTTAATATTTATAATAAGAATTCGCTTCCTGCCCGGTATATCCCTGGTCACTATTCTGATCAAACTAAAATATCCTTTGCCATACCTACATATACCATAGTCTACCTAAACACCATGCTATGTTCTTAGAGACATCCTGTTACTCATTTATTTCCACATTTTACAGCTTGGCACATTGGGAGCTGGTAACCACTATGCTGAGATACAGGTTGTTGATGAGATATTTGATAATTATGCTGCCAAAAAGATGGGTGTGGATCACAAGGGTCAAGTAGGTACATTATGCAACACATCAAAATGGTGGATGACATTTTCTGGATTATTGTGTATATGTATATTTTCTGGATTATAAGGTTTGTGTAATGATTCACAGCGGTAGTCGAGGTCTTGGTCATCAAGTTGCAACAGGTAAAATATCCATAGATTATTCGGTTGTAAATTTAACAAATCCCTCTGTTAAAGAATTTATCAAAATCATATTTCATCATCATTTTATTAAGACGCCTTAGTTTTAATGGAGAAAGCCATGAAACGCGACAAGCTCGATGTGAACGATCGTCAGGTGAGAACATCTCAATAGCAAAGTTATTTGTCTGTTTTTAAGCATTTAAACCCATGTCGTTGCTTTGGTATTTCGAAGCTTGCGTGTGCAACTATCGGTTCTCAAGAGGGACAAGATTATCTCAAAGGAATGGCAGCTGCGGCGAATTATGCATGGGTTAATCGATCCACTATGACATTTCTTTCAAGACAGGTAATGCGTCGTACCCGTGAAGATTGCCAGTAGAAAAGACTACGAAAAACGATTTAACGTTAACTTATTCACGGATGGTTTTTTCTCTTCCAGGCTTTTGCGAAGGTTTTCCAATCCACACCGGATGACCTCGACATGCATATAATCTACGACGTTTCACATAACATTGCCAAAGTTGAGGAGCATGTATCATGAGCACTTAATGAAGTAACATCTACTTTGTGTATAGAACATAAACATGCAACGTGACCACGTTACGTCTCTATAGTTACTACCAGGAACAACGTGACCCCGTCACGTGTCTCCAGTTCACATTGTTTCTTCCCATTCAAAGTTTTCATTTGTTCCTTAATAATGATCTAAGATGATTGATAATAAACAGAAGACTTTACTGGTGCACCGCAAGGGATCAACAAGAGCATTTCCTCCGCATCATCCTCTTATCCCTGTGGACTACCAGGTAACCCTACTGTATCCTCTTATACCTGTGGACTACAAGGTAACCCTACTGTATCCACTTATCCCTGTGGACTACCAGGTAACCCTACTGTATCCACTTATCCCTGTGAACTACCAGGTAACCCTACTGTATCCAATTATCCCTGTGGACTACCAGGTAACCCTACTGTATCCACTTATCCCTGTGGACTACCAGGTAACCCTACTGTATCCACTTATCCCTGTGGACTACCAGGTAACCCTATTGTATCCAATTATCCCTGTGGACTACCAGGTAACCCTACTGTATCCAATTATCCCTGTGAACTACCAGTAACCCTACTGTATCCACTTATCCCTGTGGACTACCAGTAACCCTAATACTACGTATGTTTTATCTTTTTATTTGGCAACTATTTGAAACCCGTCACAATCAGAAAAACACGGTCATCAACTGACATCTTATAAATTAATTCTACTTGACAGCTTACTGGTCAGCCAGTCTTAGTCGGGGGTACCATGGGAACGTGCAGGTAACAATTTCGTTGCCTAGAGACAACATACATACGTCATCTATAAAAATCAAGATTCGAATCTGATATCAACTATTCTGTACACTGAACATATGTGATTTACTTTATGTCATGTCAACTTTACTTACGCTATCCTCAAAGCAACTCTAGATGAAAGTGATGTTATTTTCTCTCTCTAGTTACGTCCTGACGGGAACTGAAAAAGGAATGAGCGAAACATTTGGTACAACTTGCCACGGCGCTGTAAGACACACATAACCATTCAATTGATTATCAAAAACAAATTTCTATTTGCTGTTTCTTACTAGGGCAGAGCCTTGTCAAGGGCTAAATCAAGGTAGCAAAATGATCATTTCTGTCTAAACTATGTAATCACTCCATGTTTTAAACGATACTTGTTGATTATTTATCAGACGTAACCTTGACTACCAAGAAGTCTTAGCAAAACTGGCCGAGCAGGGAATTGCAATAAGAGTGGCTTCTCCAAAACTTGTCATGGAAGAGGTGAAATAAGATACGATTATTATTGTTAATATACATTTCATGCATGTGTTAGGAATTTCGAAAAGTTGTAACGATTCATATTGTTCTTTAATTCATTTCTTCTCTCCAGGCGCCAGAATCCTACAAGAACGTCACTGATGTTGTCGACACATGTAAGAAAAATTCTTGCATAAAATTTCAAACCTATCGCTTCTTTCCTAGCTAATAAAAAGTTTGCTTTCGACTTTCTCAGGTCATGTAGCTGGCATAAGCAAGAAGGCAATAAAACTGCGTCCTATAGCCGTTATCAAAGGATGACAATGCTGACATATATGGCCGATTTGTTGAGTGTCGTGACTGTCATCACGTGAGAATGTAGTCATTTCGTGCATCTTAATGAGTAAGTGTGTACATTAGTGTACATCAGTGTACATGATGTGTACATGAATATATCAAAGATATAAACGGTGAAGGATATTGACGTTATAAGTTATATAGCCTTCACTCCAAATGGATAGAGACAAATTAATATTCCAAATAAAATAAATAGAAATATAGACTTGTTAGTGGTTATTGGTTACAAACTGAAATATTGCTCTGAACGTCGTACTTGTCACGGTGAATGATGCAAAACAAATATTTGGTTGTGGTTACAAACTTCGTTTACCATTTGTCATTCCCCGTGACAAATACGCTGTTCAGAACAATATGTAAATAAAAATAAGTTTTATGTTTACACTAAAGATTCCAACTGCTCATTTTTGCCTTTCTCGCCCTGAGGTCGGGTAGTTAAACGACCGATTGACAAGTTAAAGATAAACGCTATACAATGTTATGCTATTTTAAAATTTTCATTTGTTGTTGACATGTTGCTAAACATTGTCACATAGTTGACCAAAAGTCAATTAGCAACCTCAACATTTCTCTTCAGCCACATCAAGAAGCTCAATTGAAGTTTTACCATTCACTCTTTTGCCTCATACACAGATTGTTCTTTTGTTTCATTAAAACTGCTTTCTTCAGTAAATTCCTAACACGCATCTCAGAGACGGCATAAAAAATGATTATAACTTCGGTCAGTTTTGCTTAAGCATTATGTCTGAACTACATTTTTCTGGCAAAATATGTTGTGTTAAATTTGTTTCTCTCCCAAAGCAGTATTTATATGTGTTTAAATTTGTTAACATTACTTGAAACCAAGCAGCTTCATTCTGTTTATTGCTGTTGTAGCGTTAAAGGCTTGCTGTAAATAAAAGAAATGTAAATTTTCAATGATAGCCCAAAGATAGCCCTAACCCCAATATAATAGCTCAAACTATAGGTCAAGGTAGTTGAAAATGTAGACAAATCATATATTCACAAACCTTCCATTTATTCTTAAGAAATGCCTTTTTCATCTGTTCACTAACAGAACTGTGAATATTTTTGCGCGAAGCTGTTCTACCGGATATCCTGATAAAAACAATTTGTGAGGTATGTGATATTGCAAAATCATGAACGCAAATAAAATTTTCCTCACCATGGATGAACAAGAGCTTCTTTACAAGTAAACCTTTTATTTGGATCAACTTCCATCAGGTGACTCACAAGATCTTTAGCTAAAACATTAAATTTATAGTGTTGTTTAGATTACATGAAATTATTGATTCAATCAATTGATACAGCAAGGATGTAGATACCAGATTCAGAAATATCATCCCAATAAGGTTCATCAAACTCATATTCAGCTTTTAATATTTGTGCAAACAGATTAGAATCATCTTCATCGTAGAATGGAGGGTAACCACATAGACTGCGTTGAAAACAGCAACAAATAATCAATCATGAATGGAAAAAACAAACCGAGCTATCAGATGCTGTATAAATACACAGTCTTTGTAAAATCTAATGTCAATGAAGGCAGCTTTATATTGAGTCTGGAATTTTAATGATGACCATAGAACATGATTGTGCTACAACAAATAAACTTACAGGATGTATGCTATTACACCAATAGACCAACAGTCAACTGGAGGTCCATAAGGCTTTTGTTGCAAAACTTCAGGGGCTAAAAAGAAAACAGTTGATACAACAAGGCTGGTAAAAAGGAAAATATGATGACAAGCCCGCATACCTACATATCCTGGAGTGCCACATGCTGTATCCATAATGCCATCATCTGTCCCTTTGGATAAGCCAAAGTCACTTATCATAAGTCTTGAATTTTCTTCCTTTCTGTTGTAAAATCAATATTTTCCCTTTGAGCTAGTTTCAATTTTTATCAAAATTCACTTCTGCTAAGGGTTTTTTCACTAGTCTGTGTGAATATCAGACAAACATTAATTAGCTATATACACATTTAATATAAACGACAACCTTTTTGAAAATAGACATGTTTCGACATCTCATGATGCCATCTTCAGTATGAGTGAAATAATAGAGATGTCGAAACATGTCTATTTTCAAAAAAGTTGTTGTTTGTATTAAATGTGTATTGGCAATAATGCTTTTACGAAATTAGCTATATGTTGAACTGAATGAAGAAGAAACTACACTAAAATAAAGCAGTGCATCCTACAGCCATAGCTAATGAAAAAATTACAAAACTTACGTCTCATACAGCAGGTTTTCTGGCTATATTTTAAAATAAAAAAAAAATTGCTAAAAATACTCAAGTCTTCAAGGAATTAACTTATTATAAAGTACGAAGATATGATCAGGCTGTTTCATACCTTTAAATCACGATGTACAATTCCCAACTCGTGTAAATAAGCACAAGCTTCAAGAATGCATCTTAAAGCATCACTTGCATCTTTTTCTGTATAACTTCCTCTTTCAACAATACGATCAAACAATTCTCCTCCTGTAACACTGAAAGATGAAAATACTAGGCTAAAGTGAGGTTGAATGAAAATCGAACAAATACATAAGGTTGTGACATACTTACAGATCCATGACCAGGTAAAGATGAGTTTTGTTGTCAAATAGTTCTTTCAAACCAATTATATGCTTGTGGTTGACCCTGTTAAAATGTCAAAAACACAACATTCTTCAATTCCACATCTTATGATAACACAAGTATATGAATATACAAAAGAGGGACATATCAATCTTTGAGTGACAGGTGTTCCACCAAAGTCCTTGGGGGTAAAAAAAGGTTAAAATAATGGATGGAGAAGACTTATGATAAGCTGTTGTGGTTAAACCATAATTTGAATACACTTAAAATGAAACGCACGTTCCCAAGACGAGATTTGCAAATCGCAATAAATTGACTCTCTAACATTTCAGGCCGTAAAATCAATTGCACATTTATAATTCAAACAATTCGATGTGAAATTTATAACTTTTTTACGCAGACTATCCTGTTACGCATTCCTATGATCGGGGCATCGTCTCCATGAGAGGCAAACGAAACCGATTCAGGGTCCTGCTGCGTTTAAACAGCCGGCTATCTGGAGTTTGTGTTTGTGATACAAATGGGACAAACTAGAATGTTATTCTAGTACAAACCGCAGGCAACAGACTTTAATCTTACTGGGGTATTACTTCAGAAATTTACTTTTTAAGAATGTTGATTTCGTTTTCGATATTCTCCTCTTTGCCTTTCAGCAGTTTCTTCGGAATACACTTAATGGCATAAGATTTTCCAGTCGACTTCTCGATGCCTTTAACAACCTCCGAGAACGCTCCGCTAAACACAAAGAATATTCAAGAAGATATTTACCACATGGCCAGAACATATATCTTTCTTTTTTGAACACACAAATAAAACAAACTCACGATTCATTTGGAGAATTTTTTGAAAGGCATTTGACGTGTGGGACGAGAAATATGTTTAATTTTAACAGCTCGTTAGCACACGAATGCTTGTTTAAGAACAGATTTGATAAACATTTGATTGGAAATGCTTATAAAATAAATAGATGCTATATGTAACAAGGGAATTATGTACAAATGTTACAGACAGCAATCGCCCACACTTTAAAAATTATGAAAGTAATGCCTTTTAAAGCAATGCACGTTGTTCCAAAACAAAAAGAATTCATCCACAGAAGAGACACAACTTATAAGAAATACTTAACACATAGCGCTCTGTCATCAAGATAAAAACATGAGATGCATTATACACAAACTTACGTTCCAAGAACATCTTTCAAATCATAAAACTTCGTAATTTTGTCATCGAACGTTGTCTTTCCAAACAGCGGCATACTGTTAGTGTTCATCGCACAACAATTTGACGCCGAAATAAACGCAAAGAAGACAAAATAGGTCAACAAGCATTAAAAGAGAAATTCTACACCGGGATAAGTCCAACTAAAAACAAAACCAGCTGTCCTGCTGTGTAAACAAATGCTGTATATCTCTATGTATATGTGTATATTTCTACTTAAATAACTAAACACCTGTTGTCTAGGGTCAAGTGAAGGAAAAACGAATCGCACAACTATTTATAAACTTACAACAGATGATTGTGGAAGAATTTTGCACAACTTGGAAAACAGTCCAATAAATGAAGCATTGTTTTGAAATTTGTGGTCAAAAGCCTTGATATTTTGCACGAAACAATTCAAACAGAACGTTTTCACTTAATAACTGTTTATTGTTAAATTTGTCCGAACTATCCAGTCGTAAATAAATAGGTCAGTGGAGAAAGAGAAATTGTTGCTTATCCTTGCAACATACTGTTTATTTTTGAAGTTAAGAACTTTTTCAAATGTTTTCTTTTCACGAAGTAGTTTTTAATGTTTAAAAAACATTATGCCATTACTGTGTAATCAATAAGGTCTCGGTTTTCACTGCCGCATTTTCATCAAACAAAAAGTTAATAGCCATAAACACAGAAGACAGTAACATTTTATTTTATGCTCAATTTGTTTATGAATACCACCCAAACAAGCAGCATTCGAATTTGCATTTTTTAAATATAGCATTTACTCGTATCATCTTCAATTGTTATATTATTATGAGCAGCGTAGGAGGTTTAAGTCATCAGTTTATCACAAAGCCTCAAATGTCCATTAAAAGCACTTTAATGATGAGCACGCTCAATCGTTGCTCCTGACTATAAGCCATTAACTTCGACCGCATAAACAAGTTGACCATAAAACATCGCTTTTCGATATTTTTCCAATAAAAGAGAAAAGAAACGTATGTAAAACAACTTCAACAGAATTTAACGGAACGGTCCAAGAATGGTGCAACAAAAACAATAGAGGCTGTAAGGTATCCAGACCGAGGGGTCGCGACGCCACTCTCCCTGCGTACCACCTTGGTGTTTATGGGCTGAAATTTGGCATTAAAAATGGAGCCTAAGTAATAACGCTGAAGAAGCCGAAATCTCCCACCGAAACGTTCACATGCAACGCGCTTGTCCTTTCTCTCGGATTATTAGAAAGCATGGACCAAAAGAGGATTTGTGGGTTTCGAAAGTTTCCTTTTTTTTACAATCTTCTTTCGTTCTGAGGATAAAAACTTCAGTATTGTTTGCTGCAAAGTCCTCCTACATTCTAAAGAAAAGTCCTCCTACATTCTAAAGAAAAGTCCTCCTACATTCTAAAGAAAAGTCCTCCTACATTCTAAAGAAAAGTCCTCCTACATTCTAAAGAAAAGTCCTCCTACATTCTAAAGAAAAGTCTACCTACATTCTAAAGAAAAGTCTACCTACATTCTAAAGAAAAGTCCTCCTACATTCTAAAGAAAAGTCTACCTACATTCTAAAGAAAAGTCCTCCTACATTCTAAAGAAAAGTCCTCCTACATTCTAAAGAAAAGTCCTCCTACATTCTAAAGAAAAGTCCTCCTACATTCTAAAGAAAAGTCTACCTACATTCTAAAGAAAAGTCTACCTACATTCTAAAGAAAAGTCCTCCTACATTCTAAAGAAATGTCCTCCTACATTCTAAAGAAAAGTCTACCTACATTCTAAAGAAAAGTCCTCCTACATTCTAAAGAAAAGTCTACCTACATTCTAAAGAAATGTCCTCCTACATTCTAAAGAAAAGTCTACCTACATTCTAAAGAAAAGTCTACCTACATTCTAAAGAAATGTCTACCTACATTCTAAAGAAAAGTCTACCTACATTCTAAAGAAAAGTCCTCCTACATTCTAAAGAAAAGTCTACCTACATTCTAAAGAAAAGTCCTCCTACATCCTAAAGAAAAGTCCTCCTACATTCTAAAGAAAAGTCTACCTACATTCTAAAGAAAAGTCCTCCTACATTCTAAAGAAAAGTCCTCCTACATTCTAAAGAAAAGTCTACTCACATTCTAAAGAAAACAACACACATGAATAGTCGATGCTACTATCAATTACCATCTACAGTTCGCAACACCTATCTTTCTATCTGACCACGATTACAATTCATTAACCTTGATTATATCGCAGGGAGCGGTTACATCACAATGTAAGAAGGAGCGGTTACATCACAATGTAAAAGCGAAAGCTATTTGTTAGAAGTGGAACAATGGGGGAACGTAATTACTTCGTCAGATGGTTACACTTCGTGAGTTTTCTATTTATAGGTCCGGGATAATTAGTATTTCGAAGAAAGATATTAATTTAAAGATGTTGAGATTTTGAAATTGAATACAAAACGTGAATATACGATAGTTCCACGAAGATCATATAAAATTCTTTCGCTATTGTAGATTTTCAGTCATAGAAAGAGGTTTTTAGAAAGCTAGCATCGAGCTGTAGACATAACAATTAAAAGATTAAAAATAACGTACCGTTTTAGTTTCAGCTTATTTTCTGTGTTGCCATCTGTCGCTCTGATAGTCTCCAGAAGCTTTTCCATTTTCATCGAAGCAGCTGTGAACGGTTAAATTGTCTGTACAAAAAAACGACTCGTAAAGAACGTAGCTGTCGTTTATTCAATAACAAATGAAAAGAAAAATGTCAATAACAAATAACTAAAAAATACGTGACAACGATTTGGAAAAAGATAAAGCAAAACTACAGACTTTATGAAGCATTAATGAATTAAGAGGAAAGCAAATTCACAATCGTCGCGGGAGATCCTTTCTTTCCCTTCATTATGTTTTTTACGAATGACAATCAAAGCAATGACACAAAAATGTGAATAAAATTAAATCGTAATAAAGTGTTATATAAATTATTTATGCTATCGACTGCTGTTTTACACGCCACTCCACGCGCTAAGCTTGTCATTGACATGAAATTAAACAGACTCATTAAACACTTGAGCAAAGAAAATATTCCTGAATATTTGACATAAAATACCTCATATGGTCGGTTGCGAGTACGACAACGCAGGAATTGCGTTCTTTTACCATGCAAAGATGGCCCAGCTAAGGATTTAGTTTGTATCTGCCAAGCAAAACCATCGGAGTGAAAACGGTTAAAAGCAAGATTTCTATTTGATCCTTTTTCAACAGTCTCGCCTTTGCTTTTTCATATATTTCGATAAGCTATATTTATCTCGCTTCAAGAGCAAACAATTCAGGAATGTCACATGAAACTATTAAATAAAAAATTGATGAAAGACATCTGTTCTCCGAGTTACTTGTTTATCAACAACAAAAAAGGTCACGTTTGCCAGATACAAGCGCCATTTCGGTAATTTAATGATTCTAACATATGAAAAACTTTTCAAAACGTTATAGTTAACGAAAACAAACAACATAAATCGCGTTTCAGTTTCAAGCAATAAGCCTACTTTTCGTGACTGTGTTTTTGCAAGGGGTGACACAATCATAAGGATTAAGAATCAGAAAAAGATGAGGATTAAATAATATAAATCCAAATCCAAAATTCTCGAGGAACTCATTGAACAATATAATAGCCAAGAAATAACACATTAAAAATCACTTTACAGTTGTCAATGGAAATAGCCAAGAGTTAATTTTTTAATTGTTCAATCTATAGAAGTTCTTCAACTTAACTGGACACATTTTCCAAATCTTTTTCCTCTATTTGTCGCATCGCCTCTTCACGAGCCCAAGTATTCTGCCTACAGAACAAGCAGTAGCAAGTTCATGGTAAAGTTGAGACAAGATACAAATGTAAAGCTTTATTGGACACATAATACTTGAATACTATTGCATGTACACGGCATCAATTGAACTTTTATGAGTTGCTTTTTTTAGCATGTGCATATTTTTTCAAAGCCTGGTGTTGAGGATTTTAGAAAGCTTACACCAATGTTTTAGAACCCAATCCCCTAGATGCCTAACTACCGTGTCAAAGTGAAGCAAGAACGCCATCTTGAAGAGTGGGAAAAAGCAAAACTCAAAATGAAAAACAAACTAAAAGAAAGTTTAAAATTGCAATCCTATCAAATATTTTAAAAAGTAAGCCTAGACTATCGACATTGCAACTGTATATAAACTCAAGAAAAACAGATATTAGTCGTAAATATCGTCAGTTTTGCCACCTTTCAAGATGAGCTTGTCTCATTCATAACACCAACATTTCGGCAGATTCAGATATTTAGTAGATTGGGTTCTAGGTCATTGCTTACCCCTACTCTAATTTCCATAAGATCACAACACAATCACTACACATATAACTAGCTGGTGCAAAAGTACACATTCGGGATGGAGGAGCTTGCCCACCTGAATTTTTAAATACCTCAATAAAATTAGTGGGAATGTCTGGTTATTTATGTCTGTCTGCAAATTCGATCAGGAGGGTGCAAGCAAGGTAGCAATAGAGATTGAAAAGTGTCCTTACGTTGTATCAGGTCTATAGTAAAAGCCAACGCCAAGTATTAAGATTGAAACGATCCACCAGCGATACCAAATGGCTTCCCATTCTTCCCACACACGTTTTTCACCATTAAGCCTTGGCTATTTGAAAATAGTGCTACTAGATTACGATAAAAGCATAAAACAGACATGCCACATAAATTATTCATAAAACAACAACCAAAATACATGTAGGAATCGAATACGTTTTACAAAATAAACGTACAATTTAAAAAAGAAATGTACTTTAGTTTTAAGATGGTGAGGTCAATATCAGAATATGTTCAAGTTTCAACGATAATAACGAATTAGTTAATGTAATACAAAGCTTTCTGACCTTCTCATTAAATAAAAATCCATTTGGAGGTTCACGTTCATTCGTGAAAATACTCATACATCCATTATTCGTTAGCATTGGACGTATTCTTCTGGATAAACGAATTTGACGAAGAAGAACGTTCGCCATTTTGATTTAAGGGAAATTGAGCACGAGGAAACAAAGGAATTTCCTTATAAGCAGGAATTTGAAAACATCAACTTTCAAGAGCAAATTCTTAAAATGGTTTTGAAAAGAACGCCAAATTGTATAATTCGGAAGAAATGGTTTATAAAGAGGTGCTGAGAGACATGTTAGTCAGATTCCTGTACGTATACTTGAAGATTGAAGCGATTTTTTGACGTTGCAACCATATGTTCAAATGTCATAGTAACACAACACCCACAACAAAAGTGGGTGACGCACTTTCTGTACTCAACCTCAGTTTACTGTAGGGCTGTAGCATCAGTTGGTTAAAACTTAATAATAGCTGTGATTTTTCATCCATGTTTGAACTTGGATCGCAGTTTTCCTCTAATTTTGAGTCCAATGATACGTCTCGAAAAGGATTACCGTGAGGAGTAACATCTGTATAAGAAAGTGTAAAAAGGCCAACTTAATAATTTAAAGAGATTATTTTCTAACCATGCAAGGATTGTCTGAAGTTTCTACACGGAATTCATTGGTGAAGGTGAATGACGCGCGCGCTTTTCAACCATGGCAAACATGGCGGTGAAGAATAGCCGAGAAATAAAAAGGTTACTCCGGTTTTACATATTAAATTATCACCGATTGAGGAGATCAATGAGCTTTATCCTAACATCAATGGTATAAAAAATAGGCCGATATACAAAAAAAGTCGTCAGGAGTACAACGAAAGATTACAAGAGGTGGAAAGACAGATAAACATGGTGGCGAGAGGCGGAGGAGAACCTTACATTACTTTAGAGAATCGTGTAGATTTTGAAAAGTTTCCCGAAAATTTCTCTTATACTTGTCGTAATATACCAGGTCCTGGTGTCCTAATTTGGCCGGATCCTGCTTACATAGTTGCGTGCGACTGTAAGGACAGATGTAACGAAAAATGTAGCTGTCCCTTACATTCAGGAAGTGAATTTGCTTACGATTTTAGCGGTAGAGTAACTTTAGCCAGACGACGTCCAATATACGAATGTAATATGAAATGCCCATGTCGTTCAAACTGTGGTAACAGAGTTGTACAACGTGGACGACAAGTAAGGGTAAGCACTGTGCTTTACAAGTCATTCTTTGGATTGGAGGTACAGCTGAACCTTGATGTGTCAAAATATAAACAGATTGGAAAGTTAGAACTGGGCAATTTTGACAAAACTAGGCTTTTATGGGGGAAAATTTGAACCTCGCCTGTGCAGTTAACGAACTTTCTAGTCTGGAAGTACAATGACGTGATTTCTTGCTCAAAATCTTGTTGTCAACAGTTGCTGGACATTCTTGTTTTTTTGTGCTTATTCTTATCTCCACATGCTGGTACAAACCATAGTACCATTTTGATGTTTATGCTATTGCAGGTATGCATCTTTCGAACGAAGAGGAAAGGTTGGGGATTAAAGACTCTTGATTACATCCATGCCAATCAGTTTGTCACAGAGTATGTTGGTGAAATTTTGACCAGTGAGGATGCCGAAGAAAGAGGGCAAACTTACGACCAGATGGGTCAGACCTATCTATTTGATTTAGACTACAATGATGGTGACTGCGTGTACACTATTGATGCATTTCGTTTTGGCAATGTAGCTCACTTCATTAATCACTCGGTAATAAAGTTTTTGTCTTACTTAACAGGATCATCAAAGTACAGTTGATGTATATGTTTTATATATTTCTAGTGTGATCCAAACTTAATTGTGTATGGAGTGTGGATTGACAATGTTGATCCTCAATTACCCCATATTGCTCTGTTTGCAACTCGTGATATTCAACAAGGCGAAGAACTAACATTTGATTACTTAATGACAGCTACTAACCAAAGTCCTACAAAATCCAAGAAGCACACAAGATGCCATTGCAAATCTGCAAATTGCCGTAAATGGCTCTTTTGAAATCCGTTTTTTTCCTTGTATGTTTGTTTGAATGTATGTATGTTTGTAAATAATTTAGGAATTGTTAACTTGCTGTTCGCCAATCTTTCAACTCGGTCCATATAGAGTTTTTCAACAATTTATTTATTGGAATACAATTTTCGAATTTTACCTTACAGAATGATCTGCCATCTTTAAAATTATAGGCAAATTTTACCATGCAACATCAAAATGGTCATGCATGCTTCTAAATGAAATTGCGTTAGATAATTTTCATTTTTATTGACAAACAAACCATTGGATAATACAAACTAATATTTGTCACACAATGTACAAAATACACTTGCCATTGTTAATTAAACATTAACTAGACAGCATTTGGGCACAAAGTCTTCATCTGTTGAGATTCTTCATATAGGCAACATGAATTTTTTCCATGAAATCAGAGTCATTCTGACAAGAAAAATGACCAACAAATCCCTTCTGTATTATGATATGTATAAATATTATATTAAACTGGATAACTTACCTCTAAGAGAGAAATTAGAACTCCTTGAAGTTGGTCTTTGCTAAGCACTGGCATATTTGCATTTGTCTCTTTCACTTGTTGAGATTGAGCTTTGCTTGTTTTAAAAGCCATTGGAGACAGCAGGGGTGGTGTGCCAAGATCATTGTTTGATCTTGTCTTCACAGAATCTGGTATGTTTGGGGAAACTTTAGTGGTAAATGGTGAAACTGATGGCAATGGAACTTTCTCACCAGGAAAATGATTTGATGACGACGACTCATATTGAGCAAACAACTAGTGAAAATACAAACCAATCAACACATTTTAAACAGCAAAGACTTCAAAACAAAAAGGATACAATGTCATTTGATGGGTAGAACACAGTACCTCTCTTTGTGTAGTTGTTTTGAAATGAATTGGGAGTGATTGGGAAAGAACGCTTGAAGATGTTCGTAATGGTGAACTTTTTACAATACACGGATCATGGAGGGCTTCTCCATCCTCGTTCTCCACAGCAGCAGGTAGAGAAAATGTTGGTGATGTTTTGGGTAGCGATGTGGTTTTCTGTTTGTAACTTTTAGCACATGATGACGAACTTTCACAGATGCCATTTTGAAGCTAATGTTGATTAAAAATGGTGAACACCAAGGGAGTGATCAATTGACATTTAATGACTTAACCCTTAACTGTGTAATTGACTCACTTTGCTATTTTCATCAAACTTTTTTTGCGCATTAACAAAAAGATCCATTATGCTCGAGCCACGTTTATCATTTTCAATGACTGAAAGTGGGGATTTATATAAACTACATGTAAAACAAGAGAGATTTCAGTTTCATGCATTATAAAAAATGACTTATGACAAAGACGATGTCTGAACAACACACTTTGTTATGGCTTGCCCAATTTTTGTGCATTCTTCAGCATTGTTGAACCAAATTCCCAAAATATCCACTACAAGTGAAAAAACATCAACACTTAGTCAAATATTTTGGACTTAGTCGAATATCTTGGTCATGTGGTGTAATTATAAATTATATATGTTGACAAATACGGAGAATTTTTTAAATCATACTTGAGGAGTTTTTGTACAACAAGAATGGCTGTTGAACTTTGAAATCCATTTCTTTGCATACATATTCATTAAAATTCTCTCGGCTCAATCTGTTCATGATCATCAAAGCAAACTTTGGAGTTGTTGACCTAATGTAAAAATGTTGTACATAGACTTAAATTCTTGCATCAAACACAATCATGGTAAAGTTGGTACAAGTAACCTTTGATACAGGAAAAAAATGCCTTCAACTTCTGTCTTTTTCTGTTGTACATAATGGGATAAAACATTGAGATGAGAACAATTATTATGGCAGTATAGTATTTCCTAACCATGTGACTGCGGAGGGGCTTTTGGCTATTAGCTAGGTACTGCGAATTAAACTAAATATTCGTTCTCCTGTACGAGAGTATTTGGTCGTCATAAAATTAACGTCGTTAACTCATTCAAACTTCAACATTAGTGAATCCTTACCCATTCCTGACCAACAGGATCAAATTTGTACAAAGCAACTTGTGCCGAGGTCTCCAAAATGTCAACGATAAACTCATCGCTTTTTCTTAATGCAGCAAGGTTGATTTTAAACTCCTGCGCCATTTACTTCTACCAAAAAAACCCAGCTCAACCGATCAACTTGTGAAGATAAAAATTAAAAATCCCGCACATTCATTCAAAAATAGAAAATTTGTTAAACTATTAATCATTTCGACAATGTTTTGAAATTTCAAATATAGCGTAAGCTCCGCTGCTGACAAGTAGCAACACAGTACAGAAAGGAGTATGAGGGATATCTAGGGATCAGCCAATTACGTTATGATGAGCAATTAGGGGTACCTATGAAGCTTACATATATTTAATTTTATTAATATCAATGTTACAAAAATCTTCTAATTAAGAATGTTTGCATTTAATAGTTGCATACTAAATAAATAATTGTATAGTTAAAATATTAAATAACTCTATTATTCAAGCTGATTGAATTAAACATTAAATTGAGTACACATTGGAATGGCAATTTACATTATTAGAGAGTAGTATTCATAGAAAATTTTAGGTAAGTAAGCAGTTAGCGAGCAATTTGCAATTGCTTTGTTTACGATTACACAACCGTTATTCCAAGCCTATCCACGTGGTCGGTAAGCAGTATACCGTCTTTACATTCATCAAAATGTGTTGGATTGAACCGTAAATATTCGATAAGTTTAGCAAAGGTGCCAAAACCAATCGCTTCTTCGTTCGTTCCCAGTATTGCGACAAAATCGTTCTTGTAACGGTCCACTTCGATATGACGTACCTTTGGCAGGTCTTGAGGCATGCGCACACTAATGTAGAACTCAGTCTTCAATCTTCCCGAGCGGACGATAAAGTTCCCAGCAGGTACGTTGTCAAGGACTTTCTCCGCTCCTTCGCACGAAAACTTACCATAATACCAAGGGGCATCCTCAATCTAAAAAACAAAAAAATTGTCCATCATCCATTCGTCGAATTGGGAATTTGAACCGTTTTATGAGAAAAAATATCCTACCTCCTTCATGAAATCCTCTTGGTGTTTAGCAAATTGTCGATTATCAACCATGAACCAGTCTTTTGCTGGAGTATCCACATGTGTACCAATCCCATCTGTTTCATCACCGTATGCAGTGTTCGTCACGCCGCGGACCTCCGCCTCAACTAATTCCCTCACTACCGATTCCTTCTTCATCGTCTTCGTCGGTGACCGTTGTATCATCGTGAGAAAATTAAAATTTTGAGAGCTCGAATACTTTCCCTTCCTGAAAAAAGACGATTCTTTAAAAACAGATTTGAATTTAAGTCGAGAGTAAACGATGAATAAAACCTTCCTTCCAAAAAAGAAAAAGATTTAGACGCAAGAAAAACTTACCAAAATATTTGTAATTCTCACCTTTAGAAGATTTGGTATTTTAGTTTCGTAAGTTAAAATGGCAATGGTAAGATTTGTTTATTCATAGTTTGCAAACCTTTAATCGTCCGCGTATAAAACTATTTTACATTTCGATGACGCTCAGATGAGTTAAAAAGTTTATAGTGAGAATTTAAAGGTTACGAAATATATTTTACAGTTCAAGATGAATGTAGTAGACTAAGAGATGAGTTTGAAAGTTTAAGGTTTATGGTTTAGATGGTGCAATTTATTTTACAATTGTGAACTGTTTATCCTGCATGCAATAAATGAACAAAACAGAGAGTTCGCTGAATATGTAACAATGCATATCTTATGTACATTTAGATGAATGCAAATACATCATTCAGTCATGAATGGCAATCAATGTGAGGGACCTTTTGCTTTTAAACAATAAAACAATAATCCATTAAAACAATATGGCTTAGATCCTTAGGATATCAACTGAAATGCTCCTTGATGGTCGATATTGCGCCAAACGAATCCACTGATATTTTGCAAGAGAAAACCAGGCAACAATACAATCATCGTGTACTTAAAAGGGGGATGATGATGTACAACATGCATGACCTGGGGATCGTATACATTGCCAGCGAAAATATACCGTCCTAATCTTTGTGATCGTCAATTTTTACAAAATCTTTGAGCAAAAGATACGTTCCATCATCATCAAAACGGATAGGCGTACTACGTAGATAATCAAGAAGTTCATAAAACGTCGAAAATCTCATTGCCTCTGCATTTGGCCCACAAATAGCAACGAAACTGTTGTCAAGACGATTGACAGCGACATGACGTATTTTCCGACCTCCATAAACGCTGACGTAGAACTCGCCCTTTTCCAGTCCCGCGCGAACAAGGAAAGATCCAAGTGTTTTCTTGCTATTCAGTATATCTTCAGCTTTACTGCGTGCTATCATACCATGAAACCAAGGAGCAGATTTGATCTGAAGAACAAGCATCTATCAATAAATTCTACTTCCCCACAAATAGCAGTGTAACCTGACCAAGTACAGATGTGTAAATATAAATTCATCATTATTCATTTGAAGGTTTTTTTATATTGGTGTAAACAAAGTTTAAAGGTAGCATGCAAGCTTCGTGGAAGATACATAAAATTATGATCTCACCTCTTTCATGTATTCCTGTTGTTGCGTAACATTCAACTTCGAAATGGTTTTTGGAATATCCACCATGAATGAGCCACCATATTCCACGTCCGACTCGCGTCTATCCGTTGCGTTTACACCATCAAATAATTTATTGCGGACTCCACGAATTTCTGCATGTTTAATTTCGTTCATGTAAATTTGCCTTCGTGTGAGACGAGTGCTTTCGTTGCCTCTTGTCGTAACTACAACAGACTTACCTCTCACACTGATCTCTTTTTGCTTAAATCGCCTGGATAGAAATACGAGTGTTGTTTATGGCATCCCGCCCGTCCCCCTTCCATCTGGTGGAAGGATGGCTACGTCACAACACGATGGTCGTCGTGGGGGGTGATTGTAATTGTGATTGGTAAATGATCAATGTTTGATTAATTTTTAATTGGTTATTGATTAATTAAGAAATATTTCTGGAATCAATGATGAATTTCAATAAATCATTAAGTATTTATGTCAACAGACAATATGATTAATTGATTTTATTTGATTTAAACGAAGATCGCAATTTTTTGTATTGAATTCTAACAATGATTTGTCATTGTTGGAATAATCATTCGTCGAATTTCACAAACTAGTAAATAATTATCAGATAATCGACGGAAGAGTTATTTCAAAATCATCGAGGGAAACAACACAAAGTTGATTGCATGATAAAACCTACCTCGTTTTCATGAGCAAAAACAACATCATAAAAATAACTAAAAGAACAATGAGACTGCCAACAACAATGCCAACGATAGCGGCAACAGACAGACCACTTGAATCTGACAGAAATAAAACAATCTTATTTAAAATGAAAAGCCAAAATGGACTTTTTGCCACAAAATAGTATACACAACGTGACAAGTCTAAGTTTCGCAGAACAAACAGTCATTAGCAGAAAGAGAATGAATGAAATCTGCAAGTCGTTAAACCAATGTGAAGTAATAAATATTGTTTTAAACATCTAAGCAATAACCAGCAAAAATGTTCGCCTAAATCGTAAAATGATAGCAAAAATATTGTTACAGATAAGCTTCGACAAATTGTTCTATTTCAGTTCGCTATTGCAATTTTCTTGTATCGCGAAATTTTCTTTTAAGCTGCGAGTCAGCAAGTGCACTTAAATTGCTTAACTATTTGGTAGAATAATTTCGACATACAAGTTGACGATACTAACCTTGTTTTGCCTTACTGGGGAGAAGCGAGCTGTAAAATAAACAAAGATATCATCATTGACTTTCACATTATCTCGACAGGTCTCTTTGGAAAAGTCCAACAATAAGACATGTCTTACCTCTAATGTCTGTAACTTCCATGCCATCTTTATTAAGTTTCTCAAAAACTTTCATCTCCATCAGAGCACTGACGGTATCATCAGCTTGTACATCTCCGTTGCTCGAGTCGCGAACAATAAATGCAAAACTCAACCTAAAGATTTCAAAAAACGTCTACATATCTACAAAAGCATGTCCATAAAACATGTCCATTTGAAGAATATCTTACGGTAGTGATGGAAGATCAGGTTCTTTGGTTGTATTCGGTCGCACAAAATCCGTTCCATTATTTCCCTTACACGACTGAATTTTTCCATCACCACTCATGGCTCTGCAGACGAAGGAACTGTCAGGTGAATTCTTACAAACCAATACTACTTCCAAGGACAAAACTTTATCGTCAACTTTGAAATCATTCTGAATGCGTACTGAGCATGCGCCATAGTCGATCGTCCGAGAGGACGCTTGACGTCGTTGTCGAGAAACTATAAACGCAAAAAGCAGATAAACATGACATTTTTTACGCTGTCCACAACAATAATGACGGAATAATACAAATGGAGCGAAAGTCGTTAAAAACATTGCTCGCACTACATCCAACAGTTTGAACAGTTAAGATATGGCTTTAAAATGAGCCCCCAAAACAGCTTTAAAATTAGCCAATAAGAAATAGCTTTAAAATGAGCCAATAAGAAATAGCTTTAGAATGAGCCAATAAGAAATAGCTTTAGAATGAGCCAATAAGAAATAGCTTTAGAATAAGCAAATAGCTTTAAAACGAGCCAATAAGAAATAGCTTTAAAATGAGCCAATAAGAAATAGCTTTAGAATGAGCCAATAAGAAATAGCTTTAGAATAAGCAAATAAAAAATAGCTTCGTACCTTGATTGTTCGATGAAATCTAAACAACAAAACAGAAATTTACTTGAAACTAATTTCTTACTCGATTCTAATTATGAAATTTGTCAAATATTCATACGTCGACACAATCTCCAAAAAAGAAGACATTTCGAGGGCAAAGAATACTTAAGAATACTTACCCTCTGAACATCATTTGAAAATATGACATTTTCAATGCTTTGCGCTATATCGTATATCATCCAGTTTTGGAAAGGTAACTGATGGCTTTCTAATTCATACACTACAGAGACCTTCAATGCATTTTCGAGACATTCGTAGCCTTGTTCATTCTCTTTTGGATAGCATGTTTCATTAGCGACACATTTTCCATTGCAAACCTTGTGGTCAAACTGACACAATTTACCAGTTTCGTTACCATGACATTCGCACGAAAAGCTTCCATTTCTGTTCACACAGGTGCCATTGTTTTGACACAAGTCTAAAATAATATAAATGAAATGTAAAATGTGTCATGCATTATGATAAAGAAGGAGATAAATTTATGATGATAAACTGTACAGCGATTTATAGTGACGTTCTACGCTTCTCTCTTTCACCTTCTCCCTTCTTCCTTCCTCTCTTTCACCTTCTTCCTTCTCCTTCCTCTTTTCCCTCTCCTTCTCCTTTTCTTCCCTCCTTCCTCCTTCCTCCTTCATCTCCTCTCCCCTTCTCACCTTCCCTTCTTCTTCCCTCTCCTCTCTTTCTTATCCCTCCCTCTCATTGGACATCTTTGACAAGAGTAAGTGTGGTCTTCTCTACATCATTGAAACACGACTATTTGTTCCATATCTCCCTCATGTATACCAGGCTTACACTAAGTATTTCACACAAGTCAAAAACCTGCAAATGGAGTACACCAATGGTGATGCAACTTTTTTCAGTTTCATAAAACAAAAGTAGGAAAACCAGATCTTCCTATCCTGTTGCTAGGAAATCCTTAGATTCTGGCAAAATTCCTTAAACCACCGCTTGTTGCACACACACAAACACTGGAAACTAGTGTAAAAATTGATAGAATTTCACATGACGCACCTAATTCACATTCGTTGTTATCTTTTTCGCAATTCTTGCCACTCCAGCCAGGTTGACATCGACAGGAATAGCCAGAACCTTGAACACTACACTGACCTCGATTTTGACATGGATTTGATAAACACGCGGTGACATTACACATTGTTGATGGTTTCTTGAATTCCACGACATTAACAGATCCAACGACCAATTCGTCAAGAGTTTCCTGCATTGGGAAAAGCAATAATGTACATCACAAATAAAATCGGAATTGGGAAAGCGTTTATCAAATACAACAAAATCATCAATTGCCACAGCATTGTTGTATAGTATCATTGCTGCCTGTGTTTTCATCTCGTCCATTGGCTGGCGCCTGGAGGGCTTTTAGGGAGGGGAGTTTGGTGGCAAAACGCCCCAAAACACTTACATTTTTTATTGTATAAATAAAGACAATAGTTTTGAAAATATTATTAAGGGTAAAGAGATCCCTTCCCTTGCAGTGGTCTATGGTCTGTTCACAATAATTGCTATCACGATGAAACATATCGTTTGTGATTGTAAATTCCTTGAAAATATCAATCTACATTCATACGTGTATTTTCTTAAAGATTCCACGACACTCGTTGTACTTGATAAACACCTTCATTTGTACGCTTTCTGACACAACAAAATAATGATGGCGTACCTTTATGGCTGTCATGTTGATGAAATGACAATTTTCCGCTCGTCGGTAATTGTTTACTTCAATAGAAATGTCAACGATAGCTGATCGGCCTGAAATAATATTTAGTATAATAATCAAAACATGGCTGTACACAATACATTGTTACCGTTAAGGCACGAAGCACATGATCAATTATAGGAAGAGATTTAGTAGTAAGCGGTAATGGATTTAGGGGAAGGGTGAGCGTCCTTCGTATCTTTGACTAGATGGTTGCACGAGGGGTGTCAATTTAAATACAAAATACTGATATACCAAATGATTTAACAAAAGTAATTCTGATTAATGTTTAACTGGCCAACCCACAGCCCTCAACACACACAAACCATTGCGTATTTCTCCCTGTCCGTAAGAGAATATGTCCAAATGATTCACTGACTTTATGGAAGTCAATCATTAACATTTGTAGTTACACTTCTCTTGGTTTCTTCCCAGCTACATTTCTACTTCTACAAATTATATATCCCACGTTAATTGTTTTAGCTAATTGAACTTCTCCTTCCTGCATGACCAACTCCTTCAGCAGAAACAACACAAGATATGTTTTCGAGAAGTTTCCATAAAGCATTGCACTATTTCACTTACTGTAAACATTAAGCATTGCACTTTTAGAAATATCAGATCCATGCTGATTTTGGACGCGGCAATGAAACATCCCTTCATCTGCCTTTATGGTTTGAAAGTAGATCACTTCGCCTTTGTTGAAAGTCAAGTGAGAATTCAATAAGACCAAGGTACCACCTTTATACCAAGTATATGTGATGGTCTCGTCCCCACTTGCCAAGCAACGTAGTCTGGCTCTCTGTCCCTCTTCGACCCACGTGTTTTGTGGCGGGACTCTGATCTTTGCAGGGGCTATAGACACAAATTTATTTTGTATAACATCACAAACTATAACATTTGTGTTACAAGAACTCGACAATGTAAAAAATAGCTCAAGTTGATCAAATGAACATTGTTGTGTAAATGATGTCCATCGTTATGTTAAATGATGACAATGGTTGTGTTAAACGATGACTCTGGTTGTGTAAATGACGTCCATCGTTATGTTAAACGATGACAATGGTTGTGTTAAATGATGACAATGGTTGTGTTAAACGATGACTCTGGTTGTGTAAATGACGTCCATCGTTGTGTTAAACGATGACAATGGTTGTGTTAAACGATGACAATGGTTGTGTTAAATGATGACAATGGTTGTGTTAAACGATGACAATGGTTATGTTAAATGATGACAATGGTTGTGTTAAATGATGACAATGGTTGTGTTAAATGATGACAATGGTTGTGTTAAACGATGACTCTGGTTGTGTAAATGACGTCCATCGTTGTGTTAAACGATGACAATGGTTGTGCTAAACGATGACAATGGTTGTGTTAAACGATGACAATGGCTGTGTTAAACGATGACTCTGGTTGTGTAAATGACGTCCATCGTTGTGTTAAACGATGACAATGGTTGTGTTAAACGATGACAATGGTTGTGTTAAACGATGACAATGGTTGTGTTAAACGATGACAAAGGTTGTGTTAAACGATGACCATGGTTATGTAAATGATGACCCTGGTTGTGTAAATGATGTCCATCGTTGTGTTAAACGATGACAAAGGTTGTGTTAAACGATGACCATGGTTATGTAAATGATGACCCTGGTTGTGTAAATGATGTCCATCGTTGTGTTAAATGATGATAAAGGTTGTGTTAAACGATGACCATGGTTATGTAAATGATGACCCTGGTTGTGTAAATGATGTCCATCGTTGTGTTAAACGATGACAAAGGTTGTGTTAAACGATGACCATGGTTATGTAAATGATGACCCTGGTTGTGTAAATGATGTCCATCGTTGTGTTAAATGATGACAATGGTTTTATAAATGCACACTTTTGTTCTGCTTACCGTAGGCATTTAGATTGAGGGTATTTGAGATAATATTTCCGACTTCACTGAATGCTATACACGAGTACAAGCCAGCGTCGGTTTTTCGTAAAGAATCGATCACGAAAACACCAGAATAATTCAACGCACTCACGTAAATACCATCTTTCAACCATCTGTACTGAGGTACGGTATTTCCAACTGCACTGCATTCAAACTTAAACATAAATTATCAAACGTCAAAATTTCAATAAACAATAAACAGGAAACTTTAACAGAAAATCAAAAACGTCTTTTTTCATGTTCCTTTCACAAGTCATACCGGCCTTAAATACCAAAATACATTTGTAAAAGTTTGTTAAATATGAATTTGTTTTTCACTACTTGGAATGCTCAACAAACAAAAGGGATACATGTTTGTTGATATTGATTGTCCAGTTAAGTACAGTCCTAAGAAGGAACGATGATGTTAAAGTTGACTATGCTACAGCTTAAGGTTATCAAAACATCAGTCAACACAAAACTGTCCTTTTCCTGGAGGATCCACATCTACAAACATGTAGCGATACTCCCAGATTTAAGTCATTCACTCTGAAGAAATGAGATGCTTGAAAATGAACTATTTTTGCTTCACTGAGACTTCTCGGAGCTTAAATTTAATCCACACCACTACCATGCATGATATATATACCTACCTTGATGGTATTGCCAATTAACTCCATACCAGTCTTCACTAACTTGTCAAAACTACACAATGTCTTGACAGTAACGTTGCCTTGAGGTGACACAGCCAATCTCAACGTACCACAATTCACACTATGAGAAAAGAAACATTGAAACAATTCTATCACCCATACATTACAATCATCTTCCTCAACCCCCTCCCCCTTATTTGATTCGCGTCAATGAAAAACGCCATTTAGCTGATGAAAATTCGTGAGAAAGGAAAGAGCATGCTTACGCATTAACTTCAACGGCTGCATAAGACTTCATTTGCGGAACACCTTTATCCGTTGCAGTCACGTTCAAAGTATGTTTCCAACCATTCTGCAAACAGAAAACAGCCATGAGCAAATTTAGTACTTAGTCCTCTCACAGTGGAATTGAATGGGGGCGTCGGTCAATCAAAAGGAAGAGAAATTTCTACTAAAAAAACTAATGAAATTGTTACCGTTCCACAACAAGTATTATAACAAAAGAAATTATCCCTCACTTACCCTAGTTACTCCTCCATATCCAAAATCAAACTCGGCATTGATGCCCTCGTCAGGATCCCTTGCAGTCACAGTCAACACGTAGGAAACATTGACGTCCTTCAGTTCATAATTGTAAGAGCTTGTTTGGAAAACTGGAGCGTTATCATTGAGATCAGTGAGAAAAATGTTTACGCTAGCGATGGAATTCGACAGTGTATCCTCGCTTGTTTCAGCTGAAATACAAAGATGAAAAGTACATGCAAACGAACAACGCATGAAACAGAAACACATCTTTTTAACATGACTGAATACTCTATAAAATACTGATAACGCAAAGAGCAGGGTCACTTAGTAAAGGAAAGACTTACCTAACCAGTATAAAAGTAATAAAACCTTACTTTAGAAGAAAAAAAGCCCATAACGAGGGCATAAGACAAAACATAAGTACGTATTCGAGAGTTTCTTAGATCGTTAACAAATCCTTTTTGTTTTATCAATTGCAATTACTGGAGAGGATTTTTAGCGAAAGACGTGAATTTTTATGCATAAACTTACGAAGACCCAATGTGGCGTTTGCTCCACAGAACTGATCACCAGCGCCAACAATCATGTTGAATTCCTTTGCCGTTTCACGATCAGCAGGAATTCTAGATTTCAAAATACCTAGAGGAATCACATAGAAAGTAAAACTATTTTTTGACAATAAACGGACTTCGAGATTACACGAAGCTGAAAATCTGCAATTGAAAACGGCATTATTTTCCTTCGACAATCTAAAATCAAAATAATTTTTTCATAATACTACTTCAAAATATTTTCGTGTTTCGCATCATTTACCTGTTCCTATTTCAAATTTGAACGTACTGTCGACATTCCCCGACCGGATATTATAGATAAGATCCCCACTGTTCGTATCAACGTCGGTAGCATAGACTGTTACGATAGTTTCATTCAATGGCCTACTTTCAGTTATCGTCACATTATATTCTTTTGGATCGAAGACTGGACAGTTATCATCAATGTCGATGATGGCAACGAACAGTTTGGCAGTCGTGGATCTGGAAGGATTACCTTGAAAGCGAAGTAATTATTTTAACAGAAGTTTGATGGATACTAATATTTACTTCGTCTCGAGTAAGGATCGAATATTTACGATCCAAAAAAAATTATATTCGCGAAATGATTTTGTTTACGAACCTTTATCGCTGGCGATAACATTAAACGTATAGTTTCTTTTCATTTCAAAATCGAAAGGCCCACGAGTGGTGACATTCCCAGTCAGCGGATGCACATGTAAGAACGTCTGAGCAAACGAGTCTAGGCTGTACACAATTTCAGCATTCAGGCCAATATCGGAGTCTGTTGCCACAAGTCGTGTCACAAACTCTCCCCCCTTTCGCTCTTCGGTGACATTACCATGAAGAGAGTTGGGATCAAATATAGGGGGGTTATCGTTTATGTCCGAAACATTCACAATCAGGGGGGTTGTGGCGTTCAGTGACGGTGTTCCAAGATCTTTAGCAATAACCAGAAGTGTGTATGACGATGTTTTTTCACGATCTAACGGAATCAATGTTGTAATCACGCCTAGATGAAAGATGAACACAATATTTTGTGTAAATTGAGCATACTTTATGAATCAGGCGTTCACAGCACGAAAATTTGTTGAAAATGAAGGGTAAACAGCAGGTACGTATGATCAAAGGAAAGATTCTTTATTAAAATAAATATTTGTGGTTTTTTTAAACAAAAAGAAACATTTACCAAGGATGAATGTCGTGATGGAAAAAACGAATAAACAAACCTGTCTCGTTACGGATATGAAAATACTGCGTCCCATTTACAAGACCATAAACTATCTTGGCATTCAAACCCAAATCATCATCCTTAGCTTGCACCTCGACAACAAACTGACCAACCGAAGTGCTTTCGGGAATATTGCGATGGTAACCATTCTGCAGGAAGCGTGGAGGGTTGTCGTTTGTATCAATTACAGTTATCTCTAGGATCTGATTGGGAGATGACTGCATAGGAGTCGTACCCATGTCTCTCGCGACGATTTCCAATCTATGACAAAAGAAGTCAGTTTGTGGAGAAAGAAAAGCAGTAACAGAGTGAAGACGCTTAAAAGTCTTAAAAATAACTCAATTTCAAGCCGTGTTACGTAAAATCTTCAATAAGAACAATGACAGGAAACAAACCTACCTGAAACTTGGTTCGCTTTCGCGATCTATACTCCCGTTTACTGTTAAAACTCCAGAAATATTTTCTAACTTGAACAAACCATCGGCATTGCCATTGATAATTTCGTACGATACACGACCATTGGGGCCAATATCAATATCCCTAGCTACCGCCTGATGTACCCGTGTACCCAATGGAGCGTTCTCTGTTACAGAAACCTGTACGCGGGTTCTGTCAAACCTCGGTGCGTTGTCGTTAACGTCCGTAATACGAATGGCAACCAGAGCAGTGTCAAAACGTTCAGGGGAACCGCTGTCTGTAACGCGCACGGTAAGATTGTATGAATCGGAGAGCTCTCGGTCTAACTCGCCGGCTACTCGTAGCTTGCCGTTACCAGGATTGAGAGCAAATCGACTGTTGGTATTACCATCCAGGATAGTATAGGTCAGTCCACCAAACTCATCTTTATCAGTCGCATTTAGCTGCAACAATTCGTCTTTTCCGCTGTCCTCCGATACACTAACATAGTATTGTGGAGGATTGAAAATAGGATCGTTGTCGTTCACATCAATCAGACGGATGGAAACGTCTGTGTGGTTGCCGTAAGATTTATCTTCGACTTTAACTCGTAATGTGTACGACGGAGTGGTCTCAAAGTCGAGCAATGCGTTTGTATAAATGTTACCAGTGTCGGAGTCGATTTTAAAATGATCGAGTTCATTTCCAGATGTTATTGTGAAGTTGAGACGGCCATTCTCGCCGCTATCCGCGTCAGACGCGGTGATTTTAATCACAAAGGTAGAAATATTGACGTCTTCACGCACAGAGCCTTTAACAGAAATGTACACAACATTAATAACAAAATCTTTTATAGCAAAAGATAAAAACGGTCAAGAAAAACTCTCATCTCACCTCTGTAAGGTTCATCAGTAAACACTGGGAAGTTATCGTTGACATCAACCAAATTAACAATAAAATCTTTTTCAGAATACAGCCTTGGGCTACCTTTATCCGAGGCGCGAATCTTTAAAGTGTACAATGGACGAGTTTCGTAGTCCAAATCTCCTTTGACGGACACGATACCGCTGCTCGTATTTATTGCAAACGCATCATCAATATTTCCATCTACTATTTCATACTGTCGTGGTAAATAAAACATGATTAATGACAACGTTTAGTAAAGGTCGCTTGTGTTTGGTAATTGGGGAGGGAGGAAGGTTTGTACGTGTGAAGGTGGTAAGCGGTGGGGGAAGAGGTGACCTCGAATTACGAATTTAGAAAGTATAAAAGATGTCATGTGGTTAGGTTCCAGACCAAGGGTAAGTGGAACCAAATAGGTGGTGGTGGTGGTAGTTATAGCGGTGGTGGTGGTGATAGCAGTAGTGGTGGTTATAGTATTGGTGGTGAGATAGTGGTGGTGGTGGATAGTGGTGGTGGAAAGGTGGTGGTGGTGTAGTGGTGGTGGTGATAGTGGTGGTGGTGGTAGTGGTGGTTAGTAGTGGTGGTGGGATAGTTGGTGGTGGTGGTGGAGTAGTGGTGGTGGTGATAGTGGTGGTAATAGTAGTGGTGGTGCATGGTGGGTGGTGGTTATAGTATTGGTGGTGTAGATAGTAGTGGTGGGTAGTGGTGGTGGATAGTAGTGGTGGTGATAGTAGTGGTGGTAGTGGTGGTTATAGTGGTGGTGGTTATAGTATTGGTGGTGGTGATAGTAGTGGTGGTAGTGGATTGGTGGTGGTGTAGGTGGTAATGGTGGGTGGTGAGTGGTGGTGGGAGTGGTATGATAGTAATGGTGGTGGATAGTGGTGGTGGTAAGTAGTGGTGGTAAGTAATAGTGGTGGTGGTAGTAGGTGGTGGATAGTGGTGGTGGTGGTAATAAGTGGTGGTGTAGATAGTGGTGGTGGTGGGTAGTGGTGGTGGTAATAATAGTGGTGGTAGTGGTGGTGGTGGTGATAATAGTGGTGGTGTAGATAGTAGTGGTGGTGGTGATAATAGTGGTGGTGGTAATAATAGTGGTGGTGGTAGTAGTGGTGGTGGTGATAGTAGTGGTGGTGGTAATAATAGTGGTGTGGTGATAGCAGTGTAGTTATAGTATTGGTGGTGTAGATAGCGAAGTGTTAACAACGTTTGTAATGTTTGCATTTTAAAACAATATAACAAACCTAACCTATGTAATGATGATAACCTGCTCAACATTTTATTTGAAAAATACATCAAATATTTCGTATTTTCCATATCTTCCAACACGTCCATTCAACATACCTCAATTTCACTATTCATTCCGATGTCTTTATCGACAGCATCCACGTCAATTACAAACGTATTTTTCGGAGAATTCTCTTCAATATATACATTACTTTGATTTGTCGTGATGTTGGGAGCGTTATCGTTGAGATCATCAATTGTTATAAAAACCTTTGATGTACTCTTGGTTGAAGGTACCGAGGGATCAAGTGGAACTTTATTGCTAGCTGTGATGATAAGGGTGAATGATGGATTTCGTTCTCGATCTATTGTTCGATTCACTTCAATTTCACCATCAGATTTGCCCACTGAAAAAAACCTAAAAAGACGCAAAAATATCCACGATAAAACCGCCATCGTTTTGTTACAGAATAAGTATATGTTGAGCTCACATACCCTTCATCGTTCCCACTGCTAATACTATATTCAATCTCTCCGTTTAGGCCTGAATCCAGGTCGTTTGCGCTGACTCTCACCACGATACCCTCGGTATTCTCACGAAATGACGCAGAGTAGTCATGTGTGAAGCTAGGAGGATTGTCGTTGAGATCTTTTACTGTAACCATAACTGTCGCGCTGGACGATTGCACCGGTAGCCCAGAGTCCCTTGCGGTCACGATGATTCTGTAACTAGATCTTTCTTCGTGGTCCAAAGGTGATTTGGTAGAAATATCGCCAGTCGAAGAATGGACGGAGAATTTTTCAGTTGATATTGAATCGAGAGAATACACAATCTTTGCATTATCTCCTTCATCGCTATCTGTTGCTGACACTCTAACGATGACGTCTGAAAACAATTGAATTATGCAATAAGTACTAAGTTTGCTGAGCAGAGACTAAATTTTCCCATCATTTTTAAAGCAACACAGCGAAAATAGACGAACATCTGAAAAACTAACAAAAAAATTATAGCGCCAAAGTCATTAATTTCAATTGGACGTAAGCAAATTTCTTTGTTTGAATGTTCAACATTGCAAATAACTGCATTAAAACTTCTTCATTTAACAGAAATGAAATATTCCGTTAGCAAATATTGTAAAATGTAAAAATAAAGCCTAGCATGTTTTGTGTGCTATTTAACGCGTGAAAAAAGAACTAATACTTTTCCACAACACGTTAATACTATCTCAAAACGTTGTAATGTTCTTAAAAACGTGCTAGGGGTCTTAAAGAACGCTTTTCCACGCGTTAAGCTGGCATTTTCACATTACAACACAACATCATTTTATTTCCATACGTGAAAGTGACATTTTCACATTACAACACAACATCATTTTATTTCTATACGTGAAAGTGACATTTTCACATTACAACACAACATCATTTTATTTCTATACGTCAAGCAGGCATTTTCACATTACAACACAACATCATTTTATTTACCTGCTGGTGCGTTCTCGGTCACATTGACAGCATATGTCGATGGATCGAATATCGGTCCATTGTCGTTCACATCTGTCACAATGACACTGACATTACGCGATGAGCTGTGATCTCCATTGTCTGTCACTTTGATGGTGATGTTATAGACCGGCACAGTCTCCCTATCCAAGGTCGTGTTTGTAATCAATACACCAGTGCTACCATTTATACTGAACGCATAGTCGGTGTTTCCAGATGTTAACATGAAAGTTAAAGGGCTTCCATCTACATCGGTCGCATTAAATTTCACAACATTCGTTCCAATGGCAACTGACTCGCTAACATATAGAACAGGTGAACCAGGTTCAAAGATAGGAGCGTTGTCGTTTGCATTTTCCACCGTAATGTTGACCAGAGCTGTATCATTCAGTGATGGATTACCACCGTCACTCGCTGCAATAAAAAAATGATTGAGACGTGTTGTTTCACTACACCCCTGGAAGATAAGCAGCCAAGTTAGGAATTATGAGAATTTACATGAAACTCTGGGGGGGACTCAATCTGAACACAGAATGATGGACGAATGTCTTTCGGCAATAAAACTCTGGGAGGGGAGAGTCAATCATTAACTTCATGCCAACTGCACACAGAATGATGGATGAATGTCTTTCGGCAGCTACAATGATGGATAGACTGGAATTTATTAAAAATTTAAATCTAAAAGCACTACCTTTAATAGTAAGTAGATAATGTTTTTGGGATTCATAGTCAATCTTGCTGGCGGTAACGATAAAACCATTATCTTTATCGATATTAAAATGATCACTATTGTCTCCTCCTGTAATACTGTACTCAATTTGACGATTGATTCCTTCATCTCTGTCTGTCGCCATAACCTAATGGAAAGGCAAAACCAACATCAATATATGATATAATCAAGATGGCGTTTTAACCATGGGAAAAAGATTTTTATGTAATATCACACCGATCATTTTCATTTTTTTATGTTTTTAATCACGTTCCAGTCCATCTTTTTTAAAATGAAAGCATGACTGTAAAGACCATGGTTGTATTCCAACCATAAGACCTCTACATCTACCTGAACAACAAACGAGCCAATGGAAACATCTTCAGCAATCACTCCTTGATATGGATCGTTGGTGAACATCGGTTTATTGTCGTTAACGTCCGTCACTTTTATGGTGACGTCAATGCTTGACGACTGACTCGGCGTTCCACGATCGCTGGCTCTCACAGTAACACGGTAGCTGGCGACGGCCTCCCGATCTAGCGACGAGTTCACCGCAATAACACCAGTCGAAGGATGGATGGAAAATCTTGAAAATTAAGTAAAGTGTTAAAGTAAATTTCGTAGTTACATATGTAAATCATGTGGAGGCACGCGAAAATGGCACGTTAACACTTACACATTGATATTTGTGATAGTACAGATGATTTCCCTATTTAAATACAAACACTTACGTATTGATATTTGTGATGGTAAAGATGATTTCACCATTCAATCCTTCATCTTTATCATTGGCAAAAACTCGCCCAACCATCGTAGTCAAGGAAGCATCCTCACTGACATCAAAACTGAAGGAGGACTGATTAAATCTTGGTTCATTATCGTTTAGATCATTTACAATTACGTTAACGATAACATTGGAGCTTTTACTAGGTGATCCCCCGTCTTTTGCGATGATCTCAAGCACGTAGCTGGATGTTTCTTCCCTGTCCAGACTTACCAAGGCCTTTATTTCGCCGTTGTCCTAAAATGAAGGAAAACATTGTCGTTGAAAGAAAGTTTAAGCAAAAAAAAACACAATCTAATGGCCATTTTTCGTATGCTGGAAACAACCAAATTCTGATGCCTGTCGACACAAATAAAGCCTTGAGTTAAATTGGCGCGATGTTTGATGATCCTAAGTTCTTAACACATGTTGAAGTGGTCGTATCACTCTTTCTGTACAATTAATACCGACACAAATAAAGACGATCATTCACTACAGCCATGAACAAATTATCAAAGAATTTTGAAAAAGCTGAAAAGTGCTAGGCACTAGCTTTGATTCTAGGCTTTACAAAAATATACCAATCATTACATAAGTGTAATTGGTTCGATAAGATGTTTGCGCGACTGCGTTAAGTAACTGAGTGAAAATTTTTCTTCATATGACATTTTGGCTCAAAATACCATTTCAGAAAATGATCATAATCAGCTTTAACATTGAAAAATAATCTGGAAATATACACAGTCACGATGATAGCAAGATAAAGACAGACAAATGTTCATCAGCCAAAATTAATTTTCGACATGACAAAACGAGAGACGAAAACATTCCTTTACCTTATCGACGCTAAATCTAGAGTTTTGCCTGGCTAACTCATACGAAATAGAAGCATTTTCGCCAAAGTCGTCATCCAAAGCGCGTACGCTACAAACTCGAGAATTAATGGCGGAATTTTCATCAATAGTACAGTTGTATGGATTCTCGAGGAACTTCGGTGCGTTATCGTTTTCATCCAAGATAATTACTTCAACAGTGGTAAAGGAGGATAACATGGGATCGCCTCGATCAGTTGCCGTCACTTCTAGAGAATAACTGCTGACACTCTCCCGGTCTAAAACCTTCTTAGCTTTGAGAATTCCAGTAGAATCATACTCAAAGTTATCAAACAGGTCACCATTGGTGATTGTGTAAAAAATTTCTCCATTTCGTCCATCATCCTCGTCAACAGCCGGACCAAAACGACCAATCTCCACACCAGGATCATTATTCTCCCTTATTGTAAAAGAATATCGCGACTTATCAAACGTTGGAGCGTTGTCATTTTCATCTAAGACAATAATATTCATTTGCGTTGTGTTGACCAAAGGAGGAGATCCACCATCTTGAGCCTGAATCGTTAGATTGTAGTAACTAAGGGTCTCGCGATCCAGTCTTACTATAGCGATCACCTCACCTAAAAACGAAATTACATGAATGAGAAATGGAGTATATTGTCTAAAGATTTTTTATTGATTCGGCATGAAAGAACACACGATAAAATACAAGATCTTTTTAGTTTAGGTCAGTTTTACTGATGAATGCTGTGATCATATAACCTAGAGAGCAAATAGTTATTCACTCTCGTAAGACAACCTTAATAACAATGAAAAAAGAGACCTTTTTAAAATCTCTCCTTTGAGTCCCATGCACCAATCAACTCATTCACGATGTCATCATTAATAAAGGAACCTACCATTAGCGTTGATCGTAAATGCGTTACCAACATTTCCTCCTACGATAGAATATGTCAAGGACTGAAATTGACCCGAGTCTGCATCATGTGCTATGACCGTGCCAACCACGTGGTTAGAGTCAAGATTCTCGCTGACGGACCCATTGTATGGATTGCGATCGAATTTGGGAGCGTTATCATTGACATCTGTGACGCTAATCGAGACATTTGTGGAGGTCTTTAACCCACCTCCGTCAGTTGCTACCACCGTAAGAGTGTAAGAAGTAACTTTTTCGTAATCCAATGGAGTTGAACTGCGAATACTACCTGAAGTAGAAAAAAAGATATAAATTACAAATAGCAACGGACCATAAAGATGCCGTCATCAAAGCATGGCCGTAAGAAGATCGATAATTGGGAGGAGGGGGGAGGGGAGGGAGCTAATATTCACATATGCACGATATGCTGTGTTAAGTTCCTATGAAGTCAATGGTTTTCTACGAATCACAATTTAAATAAATGAATGTGAGCCCCCACAAATCATCGATTTTCCTACACCCATACATGAAAGTACTGGAGGTTTTGTTGTGGAAAACTTTTCATGGGTCAGGTCAAAGGAACTTTCTGTACTTAATTAGAGTATAAATTCATGTAGTATTTCTTAGTTCAGACGATTTAAACAATCATGTAATGACTGCTTGTGTTTCAAACTTCCCTCAAAAAGGTAATGTAAATGTCTTCCGTAGCAAAGCCCACACATGAAAAGGTAAGATTTTTACAAGAAGCATTTGTTCAGTTTTAATATAAGATAATCACAAGAGTATTTTGTAATAAGTTGTGAATAATCCAGGCTTTGTGTTGTACATTTTCTTGATATCGTACAGATAGAAACAATACTTTACCATTTGCATCTACAGAAAATGTTTCATCCAAAGGAGCATTGATGCTATAGGTTATACTACCAAACACGCCATTATCTTCATCTGTAGCAGATACCTATGTCACAAAAGAAAACTGTTTTCAACAGGCTCTTGAATGGGAAAAAATTCAACATCGCGGGTTATGGATTTTATAAAATAACAACAATAGCCGCTGGTCTATAGCTGAGTTTCTACTGGCCCGGCGAACACAGGAAACATCTTTTATTTCTTAAATCTCAAAATATAAGATAAAAACAGTGGATTGAAAATAGCAAATGATAAGTGGAGAATCATGTGACCGAACAAAAGAATGAAAAAGCAGATAGTTAATTCAAGCGCTACAATTAGTACATGTATAAGGACACGTGATCGTAAAATGGATGATGATCGGTTACCGTAATCAAAGGATTTTTGATATCAGAATTCTCGGGAACAGAGACCGAATACGGTGTGCCTTGAAAGACTGGAGAATGGTCATTGACATCGCCAACGTTAATCTTCACTGTTGTCACAGTACTGAGTGATGGCGAACCAGAATCCTTAGCTTGCACAACCAACGAATACGAAGATCTAAAATTGACGTGAAATGTAATGTAACATGATGACTGACAAAAAGGACCATGTGTATTGTCACTATCATAAATCTCAAGCAATCGCATCAGTCCTAACAAGCCACATAATAGCTCATGAAAATGATCAAAACCTACTTTGTTTCCCTGTCCAATGTCGAGGCAACTGTTATAACACCAGTATCAGTGTGAATTTGAAAAGCACCATCACTATTTCCTGAGCTTACGGAGTACTTTACTTCGCCATTGACACCTAAATATACACATTATGACTTTTTACGGTGGAGCTGTAATTTCTCACGAACAATTTTCAACATTCACTTGAACTCTTTGTTCGGTATACTTTTTGGTCGATTGACTTTCATTTCCTTTTCAAATTGTTGCAAATTTGCAGCCGCTTCGATTAAAAGGTTAAAAGTATTCTTCACAAAAAAATCTTCGGTTCAAATTTACTCATCAGCATGACGCTTTTTAAAACTTTGAAGTTTTTCGAATAAATAAAAATATTGACCGTTATTTGGCTTCAAACAAACCAATCCAGGCTTTACATAAAGGTTTAAAACTAACACTGGGGTTACATTAGGTAACTAATGATCACTTTGAAAGAAGAAGAAGGATTTTGGTTGAAATACATCAAACTGTTGGACACTGTTCCTCAAACATAAAAATTATGCATGCAATCATATAATTTAACGAGTTTAACGATTTGACTCTAGTTTTCATACCAGAATCCTTATCCGTAGCGTTCACATTTATAACGAATGTGCCAATGCTAGATTTTTCCAACACTTGCACGACATATGGCGTTCCTTGGAACACAGGTTTGTTGTCGTTCACGTCTGTTACATTCACAATGACCATTTCAGAAGCATTATTGTTCCCAGGTCCTTGGTCGCGCACAATGGCAGTTAAAACGTAACTCTTCTTCACTTCGTAGTCCAGTGTACCAGTTATTGTTATAGTCCCGGTGTCTTCGTTGATACTAAATTTGCTTGAATCCACTCCAGTTAAAGAAAACTTGAGCTCAGCATTAACACCTTCGTCATCGTCTGCAGGTGAAACAAAGATTTGCATGAATATAGGAAAGCACTCTGAAAGCCTCTCGGCCAAGTAAATATTGTAAATCCACACTCTTAATAATTTACTTTTTAAAATAACATTTCAAACATTAGGATAAATTCGTTTCATACACAAATTAGTCAGTCGATGAGAAATGAAAGTGAAGAACAGATATTTTATACCTGAAGCTTGAACCTGTAAGATAGGGGTGCCAGATGCTTCACTTTCAGGTACATTAACCTTATAAGGACCGGAAAACTTTGGGCTGTTATCGTTCACGTCACTAACTGTAATGAGCACACGAATACTATCAGTCAGCGGTGGCAACCCGCAATCTTTGACAGTGATGTAAAACATATATTGTGCCTGTGTCTCGCGATCAAGCGCAGCCTTGGTTAGCAAATCTCCATTGCTGTCAATGCTGAACTTTTCTGCTTCTACTAATGGAACATTGTACCGAAAGGTACAGTTTGCATATTTATCTGGATCATTGACGATTAACTTGCCGACGTTCGTACCATTTCTAGAATCTAAAATAACAAAATATGTTTTGATGTTTGGCATATTTTTTAGCGGGAGCAAACTTAAATTTTAACATATGACGCTCCAGTGCCCTAAATTCCCAGGGTGTCGGAAGGCATGGACCAAAAACGCGATTTTTCTGGTTTCAAAATTTTTCTTTTGTTTACAAGTGTTTTTATTATAAAATAAACTGTACTATCAAAGAATACAGCAAAGTTTCAAACGTCTTCTCTGTCTTTTATACTTAAAATTTAAGACAACCTTAAACATTTTTCATTGGTTTAGACCTTTCACAATTCAACACTCTCATTGGCTGCTTCATACATTATGAGCAAACTGTCCTTGGGCTTCAAGGCAAACAAAGATAATCTGCTTGTTTAGGATTATAATGAATACAATGATAACATTTAAAAAGCCAAGCCCGACTTGTATAGTCAACGAGAACTCAACTTTCGATCCTTATGTTATGACATTTTCTTTCATTTTGGATAAAAAACCGATTTAAATAAATTTATTGAACTGTTAGCTCATCAAGTGCTCACTCGAAGCAAAACTCATGATAAAGAGAAACATCAAAATTATCATGAAGTAAATTATAAGTTCTCTTAGTCAATCTACCAAAAAGTGTAGCTGCATTTCTTTCATTTCAATTGGAGAGTGTAATTTTTAATTTCGAGGCTTTTACTCGATAATTTTTGACATCTGAGAGCGTGGCGTATGCATGGAAAACAAATATTTTCAAATACATCCAAAATGTCGGACTCCTGACACTGAAAAAGTTAACGTACTCTGACATGCATCGTTCTTATACTCATCGTTCTACAGTACTGCAAAGTTGCCTGGCAGTCTTTCACAAAAAATATCAGAGTTGACAAAAAAAATCCAAATTAAATTAAGGGTTCGAAGAAAACATTTGAAAACAACACCGCAAAGCAGTAAAAATAAATTATAACAATTTATGATCATTCAGAAATTTATAACGATGCACGAGAAAAAAGGACTAAGTACTAACGATGCAGGACAAAAAGGACAAAGCACTAGTCATACCTTCTGATACCGTATAAATACAGTTGGCACTACAACTCAGCTTCGGTGCTTCATTAACATTTGTGACATGTACAACCAACTGGACAGAGCTGGAACGACGATTTGGTTGACCGTTATCCTCTGCCTTGATGATCAACGTGTATTTACGCGTCGATTCAAAGTCCAAAGAACCATGCACAGTGACATCACCATCAGCGTCGATTTTAAACAAACCATTTTGACTGCCTGATGTAATGGTATATGTAATACGTCCATTATCGCCAGAATCTGCATCTGTGGCAGACACCTGAACACCATTCAATAAAAAAAAATTTATAAAATTATTCTTGTAATAAGTAACCATACCTACGATACGATTTACGAAAACAAAAACTCAACATTTCTACGCAATTGATCATCATTTAACTTCTTATGTGTTCTGACGATTAAAAAAAGGAGGCGAACAATCGTTACATGTTTGTAGATGCAGATCGTCAAGGTTAGTAGAGTCCTCGGAAGGACTGTTAGTGTTGACGTTGACTGATGTTTGGACAATAATTTCGGTAGTAATCTACAGAGTCCAATGAAAAGCAAATGTCCGGTTCCCCGTGTTTTTTTGCACAAAAGTCATCAAAACGGCACTAATCTAAATGATCAACATCGACAAACACGCAAATAAAAAAGCTAACATCACCTTTATAACATGAGTTCCAGCCCTCGAGTTCTCAGGAACACTGGCAGTGTAACTATTCTTGTCAAATTTTGGACTGTTGTCATTAATGTCAATGACATTGACAATAACGAGTGCACGGCTCTTATGACAAGGATTCAACGTATCAATTGCAACAACGACAACGGTGTGTTTTTTCGCCGTTTCATAATCCAATGCTTTCATCGTTGATAAATTGGGTGCCGATGAAGTAACGGAGAAAATGGACTTGTTTCCGTCGGATATTTGGAAAGTCAAACTAAAATAAAAATAAAAACGTAGCAATGACAAGAGAAAAAAACATCATTGAAAAAAAAGTGCTTACAAACGTTAAGTCAAGGATCGTATACAACAGACATATCTATCAGTTGACACATCACCCATGCTTGCTAAAGTCGTGTGATCAATCTCACACTCTCCCACCCAAAACATTCTCTCCAAAACTCATATACACCAACTCTTATTCTCACCAAACTGTACCTTAAGCAACTCTTATTCTCGCAAACACTTCAATTTATCAACCATTATACCCTCACGATTCTTTATACGTTCCTCAACCCTCACAACCCCACCAACCGTTACCCTCATCAACCCTTATACCCTCATCAACCCTTATACTCTCATCAACCCTTATACCCTAATCAACCCTTATACCCTAATCAGCCCTTATACCTAATCAACCCTTATACCCTGATCAATCCTTATACCGTAATCAACCTTATACCCTCATCAACCCTTATACCCTCATTAACCCTTATACCCTCATTAACCATTATACACTCGCCAACCCTTACCCTCATCAAACACAAGTTACTTACTTGTAAAGGTTTGGTACCATACTCAATTTTAGTATTTCACCAGCATTTCCACCTTCAGTCACATTCACTTGAAATTTTCCACTATTTGCAAACAAGTTATCCCAAAAGGAAAGAGTAAACTCGTTTACGGCAGCTTGTCCTTGTACGGCAACATATACCGTCTACACGAAGAAACAAGTCAAATAAATATATAAAGACGCCAAGTCTCTTAAATACCAAGAAATTGTGTACATATAAGAGAACTCGCTTATCTTCACCATCAACAAGAAAATATTTTTTAAATACATCAAAGGCAATTATATTTACCTTAGTGGTGTTGTCAACAACAACGGACACAGCTTTAGGCGAGGTATTCTCTTCATTTTTAACGCTAGCTGTATCCAAAGGTCCGGGATTCTTACTCTCGGAAGATGCGTACAAATGGCTCACACCTATTAAAGAGAAAATAATGATCATAATATAAAGAAATAGACAAGGTTTTTGACGAAATCAATTAAAAGAATAAAAACCCACGATGCACATATGAAAACTTGTACAGTCCAATCAATAAAATTTATATGAAACGTTTTTGAAACAACCACATAATGACTGTTGAGAAATGAAAAATACCCGATAAACAGTGTATATCTCCCTTCATAACCTAAACACACCACTAAAATCATTAATGTACAATCCACACCCCCAGTAATACCTTTCAAATCCCTGATTTCAATGCTGACCTCGGAGCTCGTCACGACGACAAACGTTGTACGAAAATATTTAAAAGAACCGCTATCGACTGACGTTTTTGCCACTTTGCACGAATCGATCGAAGAACCCTCTGTCAAGACAACGTTGATTAGATTGCAATGACATTAAAAAAGAGAAGTTAGGAATCTTAAAAATTTGGATTTCGTGTCTTCTTTAGATGTAAAATTTAAAAATATTACTTAAGTATACAAAGAAGAAAACTATAAATAATTTTTGCAGTAGTTTTTAGTGATGTTTGTAATTTGACTAAGTCCCCTTCTATAGTTCCAATAAATGTTTTCCTACGCTTCAGTGATAATTTCCTGACAAAATCGCTCATAAAAAGATACATATAGTACTCCTTACCACCACAGGAAACGGAGCTGACGCGATCCACGAAACTCGCAAGTTCATTGAAATTACTCAGAGTAAAAACATAATCTTCGTCAGGATCAGAGGAAATCTCTCGTAGTTCTGTTTGTGATATGGAATCACCAACGCCAATACAAAAGATACTTACGCCGGCCGTTCGTAACTTAGTGGCTGGTATGATTGGTTTAACGTTGCCGTTCGAGTGACCGTCGGTCAAAAGAATTAAAATCTTTGGAATACCTATAAAGGGAAAAAATGCGTGAACAAACTGCTAAAAATTCATGTGATGTATCAAAACATAAAATTGGCTTATTTATTGGCTGAAATTTGATTGGTTAAGTATTTCTGGTTGAAAGCGAATCAGCTTCGAGGATGAAGCATAGTATCCACTATGATTGGCAGACTTCTCAGTAGCTTTCGTCTGTTGCAAAAACATGACCGCGAAACAATGAAATTAAAGTAAAATGAAGATATTTTTAGCAAATCAACACTCGTCCAATCGAAAATTACTATCATCGACACTCAACCAATCACATCTCACCATCGTAAAAAATTCACCAATCACAACTTACCATCATCAACACGCATTCCAGCCTCCTTTGTCAACACACGCTGGCGTACTGCATTCAAAGCTTCACCAGTGTAAGTAAGAAAACCGCGATACTCGATATCATCCACCGCATTCCTAAGCTGGGTTTTTTTAAAATACTGACGAAGTTTGAAGGCAATATTTACATGACTATCATATGTGACGACTGAAACATGTGTACCGTTGACTCCAATGTTAAAAAAATTGATTACGTGCTTCACAAACTCCTTCACTTTTTCGAAATTATCTTTTTTGACACTACCGGAGTTGTCCAGGAGAAAAACAATGTCAATGGACGTCTGACAAACTAAAAAATAACAAAAAACAATCGAATTGAATAAAGTCCCAATGAAACTGAGTTACTGTTGAGATAATTTACCCGGGGAAATTAAAATATAAAATGATTTCACACAATTCGCACACAAGTTACGTTTTGAGCAAGGGAGTAACGTTACATGTTTGTAGATGTAGATCGTCCAGATTAGTATAGCCCTGGGAAGAAAAGGTTTAGTGTTGACTGTTGTTATGACATCCTTATTAGAAGTCATCTTAAATATCAAGACTTCTCAGGACAGCACAAACCTTGCCGATAAACATTTAGATCACAAGTTATGCTCAAATTACAATAACGCTATAGGATGGCTGCAACGGGGCAATACAAACACTAACCATCCGGGATAACAGATGCCCGTATGTAATTCGGATGATCAAACGTGACCCAATCAAAACCAGCTTCAATGGCAAGGCCAGCCAGCCGCCCGAGGTTACGCTTTCCGCCTGTAGTCGTAAGTTTTAGAGAACGACCTGAAGGAAGAAAAGCATGTACAGAGTTAGCATGTTTAGAACATATCTATAGTGAGTCAGTTAGGTCTGTTTCAAACGTTGAAATTTACATGCACCGAACGCATTAAAGACAAAAGAAAATGAGATGAACATCCTCATTATCTTTTGTTCTAAATGCGTTTGGTTCATGTGCCTTCCACGTGATACGTGAATGAATCGATGTTAATGTCCTGGTATCCCCCGTTATTCTGTGGGTGAGTGTAAGCGCATCAGACAAATGTAGTAAAAAATTGCATGTATGGTTACACTGCTTCAGTTGTCTTTAAAATGAGGCGATGCAAGAGATCAATAGACGCCAATAATATTTCTATATATCAGCATGTAAACAAGGTGGCCGTATTAACATGCATGTAACTTGTCACATCATGTTTTATGATATTAATGATGATGCTCGATCTCATTTGATATTAGGAAAGATTTCATCGAAAGATTACGAAGAAAACAGATAAAAAACTTCAAAGAACATTGAGTTAACTCTAAGATAAGAACAAAATGCTTTTTGCTATATTGTCTTTTGAAACGCGAGCCAAAGAAGGTTTTGTCGCCTACGATCATAAATATTTTTTCGTATATTGGTCTCATCGAGTTTCACAAATGCAAACTTGTATTCAAATCACCTAAATCCAAACTATGTTCATATCATAAAACTTAAAAAATACGGTAAAGATATCACGTCAAAGCGGAAATTGACACGAGTGGTGCCATGACGACCCTTGTTATCTCTTTTATCTAATGAAGTAAATGGTTTTTTATTTAATGTCAACTTTTTTTAATCCTTTTTTGCGAGATAAGCTAAAGAGATGAAAATAAACTTCACGTGTTAAACACTTCACGAAAATGACTGCAGTATTGAAAATTGAAACGAAGTTCAATATTTTAATCGTGTGAATATTTTAGTTCATGCAAGTAAAACCGGCAATTGACAGATGTCAATAGTGAAATGAAGACAAATTTAAAAGGGGAAAAAGAAACGCAATGAAGTGTATTCTACGATAACTTATAGTTACATGTCTCTGCAAGTTGTATGTATGTTAATCATTCATATTTTTCTCAAATAAGGTGATTAAGATCAAGTGGCACTTGGTGTATGTAAATAAATTCCAAACGTAAATATTCACAATTTCGAGTGGAATTTCTTACAAATGTAATGTTCATATGGGGGAAAGTAGAGAAAAATTCATCAACTACTCCGACAGTCCGACAGGAATTTTCAAACACATTAAAACCTTTCAAAAATGTTTCGATGTCATCGAAGTCTTAATTGGATAAGTAGGAAATCTTGCCAAGTACTCAAGATGTTCTTGACAGGAATACTTGAACACCGGAAAATACTTTGTGCACTTGTTCATACGCGCCTCGATCCAAAAAAGGCCAACAACAAAAAATTGGCAATCACGCTACTATACGCAAGCTCAAGTAAGAGTTTCATTACGAGTAATTTTATGAAGTTTTTTATTCGACAGGCATTACAATATTTTGCTCGTTGCAACGGAAATTAGTTTTCCTATCGTTAAGACAAGAGACAACGCAACAACGACGATAGCAGTGTCAATATTTATAATCCGGAGGTCATAAAACACTAACTGCTTGGACGACACCATTACTCAATCACAAAATACATCAGTATGGCAACAAGAAAAACTGAAATTCGCAAGTTTTTTTTTATCAAAAATGGACAACCACGATATTGACGTTGCATCGCGAAAAATGATTGTAAAGTGTAAAACCTTCATATCTTGTGTAAACAATACAGTTTTAAAGCTATTAACGCTGGGACTTATTGGTGGTAAATCTAAATGTAGCATTGTGCTTGAAAATGCACGAATGAAAATGAGCTATAAGAACAAAGATTCCAATTAACATTCCAAAATCTTGAGTAACGTATATCTTCCTGGCCACTTCCAAACATTACAAAAGTCGAAAAAGTCTTCTTCAGAAACAATGAAATTGTTTCTGTCGAGTCATGCATCCTAGCGATCAGTTTTAGGATTTTTGCTTAGGACCTAGTTGTAGTTTTTGAATACACAACGAATTTTGTCGAATTCAATAATGAAGATATAGATATACATATGAGAGACCATATAAAATCCTAGAGAAATTCAAGTCAACAACTCAGGTTTTCTAAAATGGAGTTTCTTAAAAAACAAGAAGAGTTCATTTGGGTCCGTCACTTTCGTTAAAATGAATGCAAAAAAATAAGAAAAAAACGAAACTGAATTACAATTTCCAATTCGGAAAAAAATCGGTCCGATTGTTTTGTGGCCGATTGCCTTTCAATACATTAGTATAAATAGCAGTCGCATGAGGCAATAGCTGAAATATAGTTTAATACAAACAATAAATCAAAACAACATACCTTCATAATGCAATGAAATAGGATCATCTGTACGAACTTGATCTGTCCACGCTTGAATCACGCGCACCTTCTCTCTTTTCAATACATTGTTTACAAGAGATGCGAGGACATCCAGTTTGCTTTTTGCACGAGACGTCATAAAACGAGCGTCTTCGTTTTCATACTCTACTTCATTATTAGTGTTTCGTATCAAAATCCTGAAGAAGCGTCCTGAATTGCGAAGGATAACATCGCGGATGGTACCACAAACATCTAGCTCATCTCTGTTGGGAAATCTTTCGTTTCGAGACAAGGTTTTAGGTGGCTTGGTAAGAACTGCTACGATGAACCATAAAACGCCATAAATAACTACGAACTGACGAGAGCGATACGACATTGCAATACGCCTCTACTCCACGGCGTCCAAAACACGGTGAGTTTGATACAATCAATAAAGTATACACGTATTTTATCTGGCTGAAAAACGATCAGGTTGTCTTTTCAACTTTTCACACACGTCATTGAAAAGAGTTCCACAGTGAATCTGTCAAAAATTCAATATGATGGTGAGAATATATGGGGACAGGAAGTGACGTGTTCTTTGTTATTAGTATATGCTCGTTATGCTAATATACTTCGAGATGATTCGCAAGCGCACCGGAGTGTTTTAGCACTTACAGAAATTTCACATATAAACTAGACAACAAATTCCCAATTTTTAGACATTGTACATCTACGTACATTGTCATATATCGATGTACATGAAACCAAACGACCCCAAACGTCCCAAGGAAAGGATTTCCCGAAGGAAGGGCGATAAATGTAGTAAAGTGTATATATTTGCACCTGGCCAATTGTGCAACTATAAATATATGAGAAATGTCATTTTTACTAAAAAGGTATGACTGATATAATGCCAAAAACCATTTAAAGACAAACTCTTCTGCATGAAACAAGTTTTATATTTGACAAAGAATGGGCGTAAAATTTAAAGACGTAAACTTTAAGAGTCCTTTCCATGGTTCACAAAGAGATTGCAATGTTTTAAAAAGATGAAGTGAACGCTATGCGTCAGTTTCCTATGACGAAATCAACGTGAGTACAAAATTGCATGCTTTTCATACCAGCACCACACAGTATGTATACATTAAGTTAAAACTTAATGAGTGAGTTTTATTTGACCGCATATCAGTGCTTAAACGGTGTCGGAACATCTCTGTTGACGTAAAGATTTTACAAAGGGGAAGTGCTTCGTGTTCATGTTTGTGAGACGTCTGTACTTGCTGAATCACAACTAGCTCTCACGCAGACAAATCGCATTTTCAAGGCAACAGACTTGCTTGATTTCTTAATTTTAGAAGAATAGCTGTAATGAAATTTGAAAATTGCACATATACAAAATAGAGTAATGTAGTCAGCTAGAACAGGTACTACCAGGCGCTAGAATACCTACACATGTGATTGTGCCTAGTTGAAATTTAATGACAGCGGAAATCAAAAGTATGCTTAACCCCTTAACATCCAATAAAACAATCATTCATCACTGTCCTCAGTTTGTGTGATTAAATGATTACAAGATCTTACAAGACATCACACGAAGGCGCTAAAATCAATAGAATCCGCGCACCCGAGTGTGACCATCTGGGAAGTTTGTAATACATAATGTAAAAAAAACATTATGGTCGCGATGAATGTATGACGGCGCTATAAAACTATAGAATGCCTGCACATTGCTTCCTGGTTTCATGAGTCAGCTAGTATCAGTCGAACTGTGATAATTGTAGTAAAAAGAACTAATTGCAGTCTGTAACTGCAATTAACACCAACATGCTTCCTGTGTACGCTGCCTATACAGAACTAACACTGCCCGGACATGTGAAGTTAACATATGTTTCTAAATATTAAATAAACACAATAATATCCATGTATGTCATCGTGTTATTTGCTGTAGTTTTAAATAGTGCGGTTCCCTTTAGAGATAATCTGACGCTGATATAGAACGTTATATTCATCGAGATCGCTACGCACTTCTAATGAAGAAGTTTATGAGTTTCAAATGTAGTATGAAGGAAATGTTTCTAAATGTGAAGATTAGCTTATTCTACTTACTCCAACATCACTAAACAGCCTTCAAACATTAATAAGAATGTGAGTTTGCCACATCGTAAATAATCACACAAATAATACTAAGCTCAAGCAGTTTACAGTTTATTGAAGGTTAAAGGACGAGCTCGCGAATTTCATACATGAAAAATTCTTGAGAAAATATCAATCAAAAACTGCAATTGTCGACAATGGTCCTTCCACATTTGAAAATACCGGAAAATAAAAGATCTTACAAAAATAGACACAGCAACATATTCTCACGGTGAATCCTACAAAAGATCTTTTAAAAGGCGCCAAATGCAAAATTGCCAAAGAAACTCTTTAATTATAGTTAATAAACAGAAACTAGCTCGAGCACAATGGAAACAAAGGTTTAACAAATTCATTATAGGGCAACACAAAAGTAAACGATTATTTTTCAAAGCATAGACAAATAGAATTCGAACAAAAAACCTAATGACAGAGAAATAGTTAAACAAGAAGACCCAATGGTAATCAAGGGTGTAAAAAAATGTTCTTCAAATCAAATGGAAATTCCTACTCTTTCTAACGACACGTTTCCAAGTTATTGAAAATCGAAGAAGCTTTAGTGGAACAAAAAAAGAAATTATGCAAAATACAGAACCATCAAAATATATATCACTTGCGGTTTGAAATTGCAACGAAAACCAAAAATTCGCAGCCTTCTACGGTGTTTTTGGGGAGCGTCATATGTAAATGACCACACGTCAATTGCACATGAGATCGCGTCATCCTTTCAAGTGCATCAATATATTTTATTATACTGAGATCTCTTAAAATATCGCCCAATTTTCGTCTTTGTTACATCATTTGTTTCATAGCAGTTTATGTCGCTTCCTCTCATTTCCCCTTCATTTACGTACTATGGTAACTTTGCTTTCGTTGTCAACAAAAAACCTTGCTCTATCGTGTCGGCTTTTTAAAGAATGCGTGGTTACAATAAAAGTTTACTTCAAACGCTTATACAACGATTAGATAAAAAAAAATAATATTGGACTATTGTTTATAAAGACTGAGCGCATTTATAAAGCAAACTGCTATGGGCTAGAACATAGAACATAGAACAAACACCCCTAAAAAAAATAACATTTTAAACTTACAAATAACGGCGTCTCGACCAGAAAGGAATGTAGCTTAATACGAGAAATTACAGATATTCAATGGGAGCGTCGCCTTTTTCATAACTAAATATAGAAAACATAAAACATGGAAATAAAGCGATCATTTTGATATTACAATTATTTTCATCAATCATTGATGTTAGAAGGTTGCTCAATACAAGAGTAGAGCCAATATTTATTCAAAATTTGAAAATTCTCGTCATTGTTACAACTCAAAGCTTCATGCTCAAGGTAATCTTTCGTCCTTCAGGTAGCTACATTATAAATGTGGTATAGATTAAATTTTGAATATAAACTTGCGTGAAAAGAATACAGCAACATTTTTTAACAAAAATGTATGCACACATACATTGAAACAAGTCAAACCGCGAGTTATTTAAAGTGCATGGCTTGAAGGCGTGAGTATTGTTACATGTTTGTAGATGTAAATCGTCCAGTTAGTGGAGTACTATGGAATGTTGGAGCAAGTGTTGACGAAGTTATGACAACACCTTGGTAGAAGTCATCTTCAAAGTCAAGCTAATCACATATAATCCCAAGTGCTGTGTATGAAATACCTTCTGCATTGATGAATAGAGCAGTTAGCGCCTAATTTTTGTCCATAAATACCTCGTTTACTGTGAACGACAATACCATAAGTACATAAATTATTTCCGCGAAGCTCTTAATGTAGCAAAATACTCACGAACTCTGAAAAACATTTCGAAAAGAGGATCACGATTATGGAATGCAAAAATATACGAAGAAAAACTTTAATTTGAACATATAACAATAGGTTCTTGCCTTGTGAAAGTAAGATCACTTTGACACTAGGAAAGACATCAAAGTTCAATTATAGAAAATCGACAATCGAGCGCTGCCCGAAACTGAAAGAAGAACTCCTCTGCTATCTTTATATAATATCTTGAAAAAGAAAAAATATATGGAAAAGCAAACAAGAAAAATACATAACACTAGGCAACTCATATCGAAAGGAAATTACGAAACGGAATGTTTTAATTAGATATTGCAATAGAAAGTGCTCATCGGTTTAGTAACATAACGAAGGTTTGGAAAGATTTTTTCAATAAGAAAATAACACACTAGCTTGTAAATCTCTTTTAACTTTCATCCTATGGCTATACATATTTTAAGAGGAAGTAAAAAAAACAGACGAAAAGACTAATGTCCCACGTTTTGAAAGACTGGAAAGCATTATCGAGTAAAATATAAATGGGGTGCAGCTTTAGTTCTTTCAAACGTCTTTCGGTATTTCAGAGTTCTGTTTAAAGTGCACCGCGGGTATTGTGAAGTTCCCTCATTGTTCCAGACAATTAGCCTTATACATAACAACACGGAAAGAGTGTGAAATTAGGCCAGTGTGAACATGACCTTTAGGTCTTGAAAGCATTCTTTCTGCTTTCAAAATTCAAATGATAACACAAGTGGTTTCTCTACAGTAAATCTACAACTGTCGATCACAAATGTCATGGTGATGTTGCATGAAGACAAAGTCTTGGTTGTTATACAATAAACGAACAAAATTCTAAAAATTTTCTTGTGCTCGTAGGAATTATTTTGATTCATCTTCGATAACAACTGAGATGGGTCGAAATGAAGAGCTACATAAGAGCTTACACTGCAAGTACATTTTCTATCAATTCTAGACAATTGTCCACAAATTATGTCGAAAAATCCTGCCTTCCGGTTACAATCAATCTCACGAACGTAAATCGTTTATAAAATCACCCTTTTGCAAGTAACAGTGCTTTTCTTGCAAAGGCGCAACATGTAATTCGGAGAATATTAAAAGACATGCAAAGTTCGATTGTCATAGTCAAACATAATTTGTGGAGATTCTTCAACTCCACCTAGTCGCAGGCTAATCACTTTCTGAAGCAGCGTCCTCTTCCTGTTCAACGACCTCCTTTAGTTTTGCAGTCCATGCATCAACTTCGTTGCCGTATATCTGACAGAAAAAAACGCAGACGAGTTAACGAGAAATAAATGATCACAGATCGGTAGATTAAAATTGAGCAAACGACATTGATCAGCCAATAAATGGCTATCTTTCAATTTGAGAAATTAGGGGCATAAACACCTTGTGTGTTTGGGATGGGAAGAGAGAGAGAGTAATGTTAGCTACCTCAATAGCTATGTCGTCAATAAATATACAATTACAATTAATACGTGTATTGATCAAATCGACCCGTAAATAAACCACATTGACTGTTAAAGATACATAGAAAATTTCATCATTGCACGTTGAGTCTTTACTAAATGAACAAATGCATCTTTTGACTAAATGGAAAGTATTACAACTGGCCTTGGTAAATGTAGCTACATTGGTTAAGAAAGAGACGCCTCTGTCAGACAATGCTAATGATTGAAATTGGTCACAATGCTCTTTCTTTTTCTGCAAAGCGGTCACAAACAATTAGAAAAAATACGCAGTTCTTTCAACTATGTGCAATCTGTGTGAACCATTGAACTTAAATGAAACAATTGTTTAAGGCTCATAGTCATGGCAATGGCCAACTGAATCTATGTGTACAACTTTCAGACTAAATATCTGGCTTAGTCACCAATAATTAGATAAATCATCTAAGCGCATGCGCAGTCAGTTCAAGCATGCGCAGTCCACTTGACAAAATTTCAACTCCATGGTCAAGGCAACGACCAACTGCACCTACTAGCCTCAATTTTGAAGTAAATAGCATGCTTAGTAACAATTTAAAAGAGAAATCATCTGCACATGCGCTTAAGCATGCGCACTTCACTTGACTAATTCTTTATAGTCATGGTAACGACCACCTATATGTACTTGCACTACATTTGTGGCAATTAGCTCACTCAGTTGCAAATTATAAAAGAAATAATCTGGGCATGAATATAGAAATAATACCACAACTTTCGAAAGCCTTTAAATTTTGGTATATATATATAAAGCTAAAACTTCATATAGTAGATGTCAACTAGCAGTGGAAGCTGGGTGCGATATAGTATGCAGTGGCTTAGGGGCCCAGACTGCGGTCGCGACCGCACTCTCCCTGCATACCCCGAGCAAAGCCTATCGCAGGTGATCTCGGGGTCTGATGGGCGGAAGCTTGCTATTGCATCTACCAAGTAGGATAGCGTGGAGAGACCGAAACGTTAACATGTGGCGTTCTAGTGCCTTAAGATTAACAAGGTATGGCCCGAAAACTGGGTTTTTTGCTTTCGAATTTTATCGTTTTGTTTACAAGATTTCTCCTCATAAAACAAAACAAGCAATGTTTCAATATACGTCTTCTGACACTGTGCCTTTTTCTGACAGTTATAATTTAAGAATAATTTGATAAAATTTATATTGGTTTATATCTTCCTGATTTAACTCTCTCATTTACTGTTTGTCATGTATCACGAGCAAACCATCCATGGGGCTTCATGGCAAACAAGGATTATCTGGTTCCCTTAATTACCATGCGACGCTCTAGTGCTCAACTATCTCGGGGTATCGGGAGGCATGGATCGAAAACGGGATCTATTGTTCACAAGAGTTATTCGCATAAAATAAACTAGAATATTCAACATGTAGCTCGTTCGTCTACTGTTTCAAGTATCATGGGTAAGGCATGCACGATCTTCGTAGTAACGATTACAATCACATTACAATTCTCCTAATTAAGGGCTCGAACCGGTGAACGCAAGTCGCGACGATACTCTCTCTGCGTACCCCGAGTGCCTTAGGGCGTCTCGAAGGTCAGATGGGCTGAACATTGCTATTGCCATCCCCCCAAAAAAACGAAACCAAAAGAAAAACAAAATTTCTGAAACCACATGGCCCAACTTCATAAGTTGTTAAGTATCTCATACCTGAGAAACAAACTGAAGAACTTCTCTTTTTGTGATCTCGTGTTGTGCTCGAACACCCCATCTGTACTCGTATATCACAGTATCACCCGTGACGATCTTCTTACGATCCAAATACCTGAAAATTTACAAATATTTTCAGCTTAATGCTTTTTTACAAGATCATTTATAAAGTGAATGGTTTGAACCAGGGAGTATCGTCGGATCTTTGTAGATGTAGATCGTCCAAACTAGTAGAGACCTTAAAAGGACTGTAAGTGTTGATGTTGACTGATGTTTCGACATCTTTAGCGGTAGTCATCTTCCAAGTCAAGAACACTTGACTCCGGTTTTCATAGAGTTCGAAGATGACACTACCGCTAAGGTTATCAAAACGTCCGTCAACAACAACACCAACAGTCCTTCTTGGGACTCCATTAACCTCGACGATCTACATGTAGAAAAATGCAAAAAATCTTTATAAAAGTATAGTTGGGATTAAATTTTAAGGTTGAGGTAAATTCTCTAACATTTCCAAATTCATCATCATTGTAAAGTATTATCTGATCTTGTACTAAGAAAAGGGTTTTCAAAATATATTTCTCACGTTTGTCTGACAAATTCAAATATAAGTTTCTCCGCGTCACCAAACGTTTCATGAACGTTCCTAGATAAAAATAATACAATCACGTTGTTGTTTTATTCAAACGGAGCATGTCATTGACAAAAAAAGTTATAGTCTATTAACTTTTGGTTGATTCCAAGTTTCTTCAACGTATCCCAAAGCACTCCTAAACAAAATGGATTTCAAAATAATTATCTTTAACGGAGTAAAAGATAGTAATGTAGGGCATACCGTCAGTAATGACATTGTCTTTCATGAATATTGTCGCCAATATTACCATCAATAAGCCAAGTTTAGGTAAATCATCAGGTCTGTTACGGACAACTTGAGACGCTTCTTCTTGCATCTCGTTAACAAGCATGTAAACTTTCAGTTTGTTCAATTCAGCCTCAATAAGCTTGTAGCCAAATAACTACAGAAAAAAATCTTTTTACCATACTAATCCACCAATCCTTGCTATTGTAAAGAGGTTATTCAGTTGGACCAAAATAAACCAATTTACCCTATTTGATCGGCCACAACACAACCTAGTCCTATCCACTCTCATCCCCACTTCACCCTATCACTTCTGTAGCAAGAGCATGCCGAAATTCCATCTTTGATCCTAAACGGTTTCCCTTAAACGCCTTGGGTACCATTGGGTACATAGAGTACCATTGGTACATCATAAAATCCTTTACTAGACCATTTTCATGCACAGTGTGAATATTTAAAACAAAAATTTAAACATGTTTTACAATAGAGAGACGAACCTTTCTCAATTTCTTTTTAGCTCCATCAAACACGGCCTTGAAGTATTTTGTGTGTTCTTTCATGACATTTTTATTTAGCTCTAGTATTTTCACAGAAAAATGCAGAAAATGTTCAGTCTGTTTTCAAGCATCTAACAATAAGTAACCTTTATAGATGAAGCCTCTGACCAAAGTATTAGTACCTGGATGCATTACTACAGTTTGTATTTAGCCATCGGCAATATTCATATATTGAGTTTTCTAGCTCAGGTATAAGGTATTACCTGCACGACGTACTGGAGTCTTTTTTGAATCCATAAAAATCATATATCTCACAAAATCTGTCACCTATTTGGAAATTGAAAGTGAAATTTTATTTACAAAACCTTTTGGTAGTTGGTGGGTATAACAAAAAACTGTATTAACGCTAGTTCAAAACCTTCTTCTCCATTTCTGCTTTACTAAGTTCATTGCTTGCTTGAGAGGATTGCGTGCTTTCCTGAGTATCTTCATTGTTGTGTCGCCTTTTTCTTCCTCTACCTTCTTCCTAGGATGACAACCCCTACCATTAACACATTGCTTTGACATAAACAAAAAGTTTTATGCATGCTTGAATATCGAAAACTAAAAATATGCAAACCTCGGGTTGACTTGATGTTTTGGCTCTCCTTTGAGATAGATTTGGCATGTTTTTGACGCTTCTTCACGCGAAATTCTCACTTTTATCTTTAACTTTAAAAAGATGTATTTCTAGTTTTTCGGTTTCGCGCTTAAATTGCGCCAACAATTTAAGAAATTACCGCTCAAGTCAGCGGCTTTGCTATGATACTACTACTTCATTTAATTATTAAAAAAAATTTCAAATACCAGCATAAAATAAGAGTTTTTTCAAATACTAGCATAAATAAGAGTTTTAACAGCTGATGCCTACAAATTTTGATAGTAATATATTTTTTCGGAGTCATAATATCAACTATATAAAAATCAAAATACGCAGGCAGAAACCAAGAGGGAGTTGCCTGAAACTGGGCAAATTCAAATCGACTTCCAGGAAATAGAAACAAAAGCTCCTGTCCAAAAAAATCTTAGACTAATTCATGCGCCAATATTTTTATTAGATACTTTGTGCATCATTATGTCGTTACTTGAGAAGAGAGAATCGTCTGCAAAACTTGATGATACTATCCCCTTGTATTGTTATATTGAAGGTCATGAAAAAAAGGAAACTTTTGTGGTATGTATTCTTTCTACTTAGCGCAGAATCTATTTACTTTTGTTTGACTGTACGCTTGTTAAACATTAAGTACTCGATGTAGCGCTTTTTTCGTTTTTTGTGTATTTTTTGTGTACTTTTGAGTGGTAAGTAATCTTTATCTTTGATTGCCTTTGTGAAAGTTATTTAATGTTGTTTTCAGGAATATCGTATTAGGGTGCAGCGAGGACCAAATCCAGAAAATCAATGGATGGTAAAAATTACCGACTTAAATAACAACAATTTACTTAACAAGTGCTACATCCTTTCCCTTTTTATTCAAGGTCTTACATCGCTATAATGATTTTGATGTTATGAATAAAGTTCTAGAGGTACATATTTAGGTTGCCAACCATTTTTATATACCGTTGTTACACTTGCTACCAACTGCTTTTTCATGCTTTTTTTTGTCAGACATCTGGTGCAACCTTACCATTGCCTCCAAAGAAGATGTTCGGAAACATGGATAATGCTTTCATAGCGGAGAGACTTACAGGACTACAACAATATCTTCAGAGAGTCATGGAAGAGCCTATGTTTGTCAGACATGAATGCTTTAAACAATTTATGGACCCAAAAAACTATCCACTCAAAATGCAAGGTGAGATGCATTTATAAATTTCCTAATAAAATCAGAAATAATTCATTTTAACGTTTCTTTAACTTTACAGATGAAGCGGCAGAGCAGGTTGCAATGTTTTATAGATCAGAACCTTCATGGGAGCTTGTTGAAACTCTTCCAGATATCGGTAGTTCTCACGGCAAAATGCTTGTTTAATCTGTTCACATCAATGATAATGTTATACATTGTCTGTTATTTGTTGCTGCCTGTTGTAGGATGGAGAATAAGGAAACATTATTTTTTGACAAAATATACAGCAGCCACTCAGAAAAATGACCGTCAAATCTTAGCTTGGGTATTTTGATTTAATTTACTGACTCACTCTTGTTGCACGACTCTTTCCTTATTGGTACTGCTTTCCACTTTCCCATGAAGACTACAGACATAAAATGAGTGTTGTGTCCAATTATACTAGGTTGAGTATGGTCCAGACATGATTTTATCCAAAGAAAAGGATCTACCTGCAGCAATGAAGTTGCTTACTAATATAATGGTATTACAAAATTACACAAACTTTTGCTTCGATGTTTAGTATTTTTACACATTTAAATCTTTTGTTTAGCATCCATATATATATCCAGTACGCATTGCTACTGTGCATGAGAAAGGTGCGGCAATTGTGCGTGATTTTAGACAGTCTGGAACACTTAAGGATTTTATATGCAAGGTATGAGAAAGAAATCAGTCCGTTTGTATGGTAGTTCATAGTTTTTGCTTTAAAAAATAAGGCTACGTAAATGTCTGGATTTTTTTATGTTCAAGGCAAGACCAAAAACGAGTCATCTAAAAAAATACTGCTATCCCAAGATGACTGTTTCCATGCAACTTGAGGATATTAGACGTTGTGGAAGACAGATTTTAGAAGCACTGAAAATTTTACAAGATAAAGGGTTTCCATATGGTAAGGTTTTAGGAAATGTGATGTACGTGGTTTTGGCGTATTCTGCACGATAAATATTCCAAATCGTGCTTAAAAATATCAAGAGTACTTTTTTAAGAAAAACTCTGTGCTCTGCCTTTAGGTCAACTGCACACTGGCAATATAATAATGGATGGCAACGTTGTCAGGTAAAAATGAAGGAGATATTGTTTGATGGATGAAATCCTTTCCATTGCGTAATTACTGTAAACTTACAATTTTTTCCCCATGAATTTAGTGTATTTTTTGTCTGAAGGTTATTGGACATTGAGAACAGTATACTCGGAGTGCCTTCGATATATCGTCATTATTTGCTTGAACTGAAACAAATCAAGGTGTCTGATTGAATCAACTTATCCAAATATATCTTTGGCCAGTCGATGTTCATTCATTTTTTATCGCTCAGGATTTACATCAACAAGATGTATATTCATTTGGACATGTTCTGTACGAGATGACGTTTGGCAAAGAGCTCCGCGCTGGAGCAACTGACGAAATTCCTGCAAATTGTCCCCCATTGATTGGCAAGTTACAACTATTCAGTTTTTGATTTGCAATTTCACATACATGCATGGCATTTACTTCTAAGATATGAGTTTTGATCCTCAACTCGTCGAATCTTCAAAAGTTCTTTCGTTTGATAATTTAGAACCTATACTTTCTTCAATTTTAACAAGTGAAGCACTTAAACAAGGCAATCTACCTACAATAAAAGAACTTTTACAGTTACCGTGAGTGTTTATCCCGTGGAAGTTTGCGCTAAACATTTTCAGCGTTTTCTCTCGACTTGTTCAAATTTCTTAGATTTTTTGCCGAAGTACAGTTGGGTCCTGAGGAGAAGATGTCTTTAAAGGTATTCGCGCACAATTTATGCCGTCATTCGAACTCTTGTTCCTGAAATTTGACTTTGTTTTTCTCAGATCCCATCGAAACTTAAAGAAGCTTTAAAACAAGTCAAAGAGGAAATCGAAAAGCGGTTAAAAGAAGATCGGAAAGTGGTTTGTATTTTCATCATAAAAGTGCGCGATTAACAGCCAAGCTGTCGTTGAACATCATTGCCTCGTCATCTTAATGTATATCTAGTTGAGTCAGTTCAGAAGATATTCAAAAGCACAAGCCAAGGCAACTTCGAAAGAGGAAAAAGATAAGAGACGACAACAACGAAAGGTTAATCTTGTTCTTAGGGTTTTCACCATCACATCATTCCTGATGAAGACACTAGACTGGAGTATACAACAACACAAAATTTAACATCAGATTACTCTTGATGAAGACACTAGAATGCAGTCTATAAGGACTCAAGATTTAACATCAAATCATTCTTGATGAAGACACTAGAATGGAGTATATAAGAACTCAAGGTTCAACATCAGATCACTCTTGATGAAGACACTAGAATGCAGTCTATAAGGACTCAAGATTTAACATCAAATCATTCTTGATGAAGACACTAGACTGGAGTATATAAGAACTCACGTTTCAACATCAAATCATTCCTGATGAAGACACTAGACTGGAGTAAATAAGAACTCAAGGTTCAACATCAGATCACTCTTGATGAAGACGGTACAATTTACATCACTAGTAATTTAATCTCAAAATTTTTCCACTCTTACAAACAAGCAGCAAATGAAAAAACAAGAATCACTGGCGGAAAATTCTACTTCAGATCGTACTAAAACATCAATAAGTAAGTGAACATCAACTGTAGTTCATGACTCGTCGACAAGACTGAATAATTTCACGCCACTAATATAAGTAATTATGCAATGATAAACTAACTGCACAGCACATCGAGAGTAGACTATATCAGAGTATTTCCACCATAGTTTAAGATGCAATCAGAAAATGCATATCCATAGTAGAACAGTGTCGTCAGGTTTGTTTTTTAATGTTAATGGTAATCAAGAGTTAGAACACTATATTAACCAATTAACACAACAGTTAGAGCACTATATTAATCAATTAACACAACCGTTAGAGCTCTGTATTAGCCAATTAACACAACAGTTAAAGCTCTGTATTAACCAATTAACACAACAGTTAAAGCATTGTATTAACCAACTAACAGACAAGTATTGAAATGAAGATTCACTAACGTCACATTCTCTCAACAGTTGATTTTTAATCATATGCGATCGTGTGCATGCATGGTGCTGTAAGAACTAATGCCAAGCACGAATTTTCAAAATGCAACAAACAAGGAAGCCACTTGGCGACCTAATGACACACAATGGCTGTATGGATTTCTCATACAAGACGATGAATAAAAAACAAAATTCTGTGAAATTAATAGAGTATACTTGTTTCGATATTCCTTCAGGAAATAGTCTGTACGAAGTCTTTTAAGATGACTTAAAGATGAGAAAATTTCTTTTCAACTGAGTCGTTTTTTACAACCATAAAATCACTATAAACCTTGCCTATATTTTTGCAGGAAAGGCTCAGTCGGTTGATTCTAGCAGAACCTCAAACTTCCCCTCTGTACCACCACCACCTCCTTTAGTCCCTTCACCTCCTCCAGCCGCGAGTACTAATGGTCCTACGGGTGCCCCGACGAAGAACAAAGGCAGGGGAGCTCTCCTTAGCTCGATCACGTCGTTTAGGAAAAACAATTTGAAGACGACAAAAACGAACGATAGAAGTGCCCCAAAAGTATAGAATGCAAATCCGATCGCTTCTGAAGTGAAGGAATTTTTTAAATGTAGCTAATATAGTCTATTAACTTGACATTTATCATGAATCCGAACCATTTTATGTTCTGAGAACAATGCTATAATCGTAAACTATGCATATAAATAATCAATAAGCTTTGTATTCTGAGTTAATGCAATCTCTTCGAATAAGTCTTATCGAGTTGAACTGCATCGAATTTCAATGTACTGAAAACATTCAAACGACTCCACATAAGGCAAGCTTTAAACTTTAATCCATTTTCCAAATATATACATATAATGTGATAGCTACCCATGAAATCACGAATAATACTTTAATATCTTAATAAATAAAAGTTGGCGTTTCGCACTCATAATATTAATACCATATTTACTTAATACATCTAAATATTTATCATATAATATATTCTACGTTACTGAAGTAAAATGCGCTGTCGTTTTAGGCTGTTATCGTGTATAACAAGATCAAACCTAAAGATGTTAAAATTTTACCACGATAAGCAAACTTAATAAGTTAAAATCAGAACAGAAACTCTCGATAAGAATACAAGCCATAGGTTAACGCAGAATGGTCAGCTCTTCTAAAGATGATTTACCCTCTCTATATAGAATTAAAAGTTTACCAAATGCGTCTACCAATGACTATACACCGCTGTATATGCGCGTTATTATCAAATCAAGGTAGGATGCTTAACCTAATAACACGAAGCTATGTGTCAGTCTGAGCCCTTTCATAGGTCAGCGACTAAAATGTTTTTAAAACCATTACCGCACATCTATTTACAATATTATGTGCTCTAATATGAATAAGTTAACCGCTAAATACTTTCCGTCATAAATATCAAATGATCAGAACTTCAAATAACGTTCACGACATGAAAACGAGTTCTTTTTTAACGACAAAAGTTTTCGCCCTAACTATATTTTTACATCTTCCTCGCGTAAATCATTTTCGAATTTATAGCCCTTCGATCGGACAGTGGGGGCCTTAAACCATTAAAACCAACAATTTCATTTAAGTGATCGGTAAGATTCCTTCTGGTTTTTCGTCGTTTGGTCGCGAATTATCAAACGACGTGGCATTTTGAAAAATTGAAAAATGCCAAGGTATAAGAATACTAATCTTAACGACACACATTTAGATAAAGGGTTTTTGAGACCAAGTTTTGTTTCTTTCAAGTTCTTGACAATTACCGTGCGCGCAATGCATCTTGGACCATCGCTACGACTCGTATGCAATGATTGTGGTACGGTATCAGTAATTATTCTCTGAGCCCTCAGTAAGAAGGAGACTCCACAAAAGATACGGAATACTTTATGTGTTCATCACTAAACGTATTTTCCATAGCATCGGGATTTAATACTTCAGCAATGGTAGAGCCAGTTTTCGCGCCCTCTACACGATCATCTTCTAAAGCAGGTAGCAAAGCCTCGTACTGATTTTGGAGGAATTCTCTCGTCGGGGATTCATACGTGTCCCCATCTTTTCCTATAGCTTCGACCATAGTCTCATTAAATCCCCCGTGATCCGGCTTTACGTCTCGTTTTCGTCCTTTCTTCGGTGTGCCTTTGTGATCGAGTTTTCCTTTCATGTGAGATTTCTTGTGCTTGTTGAAGTTGGAAGGATCGCTGAACGCTTTAAAGCAAACTTTACATTTTAAGGGTTTGTCACCGGAGTGTATTCGACGGTGTATCTTCAAATTACTTGATGTAAAGAAAGCTTTAGGGCATTGGTCGCATTTGTACTTCTTCTCGCCCGAATGTTTTAAAATATGAGCCTGTAACGAGTCTTCGTTCTTATAATGAGCATTACACATCGGACATTTGTGTGGGTTCGTGAGCTTTCCACGCGAAGAACGCGAAGAACTGTAGGCCCTCGAGTGATCTGCATCAGCTGCTTGTGTCTTCACGTATTGTTCAGCCATTTTAACAGCAGCTTCGGGCTCCAATTCAGCACCGCCACTTTTCGTGGTTTCCATGGGAGCCGAGGAAACAGCGGTGATACTGTCTGAACATAAGTGAGCCAGCAGTTCGTCCGGCTCAGTAAACGTTTGATTGCACTTCGAGCAAATGTGGTGTGAGCCCACAGGTTTCTCAGCGGTATCCCCCTCCTCAGTGGATACGACGGCACCGTTATTCATAGAAACCATTGAAGTACCATCGCCCGTGGGTAGTCTGCCATTTTCTACATGGCCTCTCATATGTGCCTTATAGCGATCAATGCGCATGAAACGTTTGTCACATGGTCGACAATGATACCACGTGACCTCTGCGTGACGCAACATGTGACGTTTTAGGTCACCCTGTTGCTGAAAGCGCCGGTGACATTGATCACACTCGAATGGCTTCTCGCCGCTGTGCACTAATTGATGCCGGCGCAGATTGGCCCGCTGATTGAAATCGCGGTCGCATTTGTCACATTTGAAGCGACGTTTTTCCCCAGTTTTCTGGCTTACTTCCGGATTCTCGATTGCAGGATATGAAACAAGAATAGGCTCCGGGTGTAAGACCTTTTCCGTGAAATGAACTGCTTCTTGACTGGGTGGCAAACTGGGCAGGTGATTATGTACAGCAAAAGGCGCGGGATAGCGAGGATTAGGAGGGGAGTTAAGGGATGAATGATGAAAGATAGGAAGAACGTGACCATTTAACATTTCACGAGGACGACCTGATTCGTTAAGAGAAAAATGTGATCGTACTTAAGAAGTTCTTGTGCAAGTTTTAATCTCGGTTCAACTAACTTCTACTTACTTGTCGCCACGCCATTCTCGTCAATGTGGACTTCTTTTATGCTGGAGTTTTTAGTGTGCTCCATAAGAGAATATATGTCATTGTTAGGCATTGTGGGATGTTGATATACGGTCCTGTAATTACTAATGGAAGCGAGTGTCGGACTATTGTTGTAGTTTGGTGTAATCATTTCAGAAACGCCGTTCATATTGACGCGGGATGGCTCCGTGTTGTTCACACCGTTTGGTACTGCTTCTCGACGTGAAAAACTTGTCCTTTTTCGCGCCACACCTTTCCTATCGTGTTTCCTAGAAGAGGTAACGAGACACATCCACAAATGTTTGCTATCTGAAGGATTATATCGAGACACAATATATGAAATTTAAATTGAACACATATTAATATTGTGTTCAATATTAATTGTTAATCCATACACATATTCCTAGACACTACATATAGACATTCCTAATCATTATTTCACGTTCCCCTCTATTCCCATGTATCCCCTTCTATCGGTAAAAACGTTTGTGTGAAAGCTTCTAAAGACAAACTGAGTACAGTATTCAACCTTCTGCTAGCCAATTCCATCATCTCTGTGTTGTCATTGTCAGCCATAGAGCCACTACTGCCTGTTGCCTCCATCTAAAAAAACACATTTTCCAAATGCATTACTGCTATTTCTTTAACATTGCAACTCTTATTACCCAGCTCTCACCTGCACAATCTCGGGTGCCTGTCGAGGGCTTCCACCTCGTCACTCATAATATCAATGGAGTCTGCATGTCTCTTTCGACACGACTTATTGGCACGATGTTGTAAGTACTTCTCCAGCATACTAAACATCCGTTTACATTTACCACATTGATGAAGATCGGGTTCACAATCATCGCTTTCACCTTCTGGATCTAAAGAGATATATAGGAATAAGCAGTGTGTTTTGTGGCATGACTCAATGATTGGCTTAGAAATGTGTTGGTATAAATACAAAAATCTCAACGAACCGCCGGGAAATGACAAATTCTCTATGTTCACGCCAGATATCTAAAAAAATTCATAAAAGAAAGATTTGAACATCGCTATAATCAAGTTTACATAAATTTATTTCACATGTAGCTTCTTTTGAAATTCCTTTTTTTAAAAAGTATCTTCAAATTCATACCATTAAACATGCGTCAATTACTACTGTGGTGAGGGGGGGGGGAGGGTCAAACGAAGCAATGCCTTATCTTACAAAACACCCTTACTAATAACGAGGGGAGGCCAAATGAAGCAATCCATTTTCCCGTGAAATATCTGACTTATTAATGAAGGCGTGAAACAAAGCAATCTTATAAATACGTGACTGATTACTAAGGGATGCGGGGGGGGGGCAAGTGATACAAAAAAAATGCTACCCTATAAAAAAACCTTCCTAATTACTAGGAGGATGTTAAATATAGCAATGCTTTCACTTCTAAAACACCAGACTTCGTTATCGCTAAAGTGCGCGTACTCAAGAAAGATGACCTTTAAATATCACAAGACAAATGAGCACATACGATGAAAACCAATTAAAACCAAGTTAATATTAAAATGATCTATGACTTTTATCAACATCAACACATACATTCTTCATTTTCCAATGTACTATGGGATGATTCATTCAAACTTATTCACCTATCTAAGTACTCAATCAGACATTATTGACTGTGTGAGAAACAGAGCACATTTTGTGAGTATGAGTCGCATTGTTATTCAAATAAGGCATGCTGATATAATATTAATCTTCCAGTCAATACGCCCATGCTGACAACAAATATCGTAAAAAATCATCAAAAATCATTAACACAACCTTAGAATGTGTACAGGAAAATGCCAGAAAAAAACAATTAAATTAAACCAAATGCCAAAAGCAAAAGTTATAAACAGATATAATAAAAGTAATATCAACAAACACATGATGACCAAAATCAAGAAGTTTTTGAACGCATAAATTAAAACCAGATGTTTTTGCAATATATTGTACCCACAAATGCAACTGACAACATTCAAGAACCATCACCAAACACAAGTTGAATAAATATGATTTCCCTTGCTAGTAGGAGAAATTTCAATACAACTCTTTCTAGACATACATCGAACATTGAGAACAAAGTAACATGGTTTATAGTACACATAAGCTCATGAAGACAATATAGAATATATCAGAATGATTATTTGTTTCTTCGCTTAAAATATGAAATGCGCAGTGGACATATTTCAATTGAAAGATGACATTCTCAAAAAAAAACAAAATCTAGCATACATTAATGTAATGAAAACAGCTCCTGAACATGTTGAATAAAGGTCATGAATTAAATAAAAATTGTTTTAAAAAAACTAACTCAATGAAGCCAAGAAAATAAATACTGCTTTAGTAGTTGTCAATTTTGACACAGAGAGAATAAAACTTTGAAACATCATTCTTAAGCTACTTAAAATGTGAAATAAATACTTTGAAAGGTTTATAACATTCTGTATCAATGGCTTTTAATGACTGTATTACTTGACTAAACAACAAGAGTTTAGTTGTGGTGTGCCAAAATATCGCTTACAATGCACAAATTTTGGGTAAGAAAAACACAAGATGTGCTAACATGCTCCCATAATTTCCTTTTTAATAAGCTTTAGAAGACTGACATGTACAAAATTTACATCAGTAAGTTGTGTTTCTCCGTGAATAAATTACAATGTTAATAATCACTTTGACAGAAACATCTGCTTCATTCAAGATATTCATCAATAACAAAGATGAGTGGATGAAAATGCTATTGCACTAAGTCCACATTTCCCACACACCAAAACCTGTCACATTTCTACCAAAATATTTGCACAGACTTTCCCAGTAGAAAAACCATGTAGCGTCTTTGTTCGCGAAACAAAATGGTATGCAAATAGTTGGAAGAGTTTTTGTTCTGCGATCGACCAGCGTGCCTGACACGTTTTCACATTCATGTTTTTGTTTTGAAATTTTCAAAAGAAATTTTCGAATGACTTTAAAATCGTCCGCTCGGCAACAGGCCACGCTTTGAAAGGAATCAAACTGAAGTTTTATGTACTTCTATCGAAATCCACGATAAACCATCGCAAGTCTTTAAAATAACGGGAAATTTTGACCACCAGTAAATACATAATATATGAAAACACAATATCATTTGAAGATCTGTAACATTATTTACACTCCCAAATGCAGACCGACGCCAAAAGATCACTTTAGTTTAACACTAAGACTATCACGAAACGCTCTTATCGAATAAAAACAAGAAATTTTAGTTCTGTGAACCCTGGTCACATTTATATAGCATGTTTAGTTCGAAACTTACCAATATTATGTTACCATTTGTCGGCTTTTCTTTCGCCAACTTGGACACTATCATTTCCAAATTTTGTCTACATGAAAGGGGATAACATACTTTAGTATTCCGAAAGTCTAGCAACAAGAAAGCACCAATTCGAAGCATCAGAATCGATGGTATGTCACTAAAATCGATGAACCGTCACCCGGCTAACCGAAGGTGGCCATCAAAAATGTCACAGAATAGACCAAGGAACGATAGTTTCTCCGTTCAGACATTGTACTTACCCCTTTTTCGGTTCATCTTCGTCGGCCATAATCGAGACGCGACCCTAGAGCACATCAACTTGTGTACAATGTACTTTCCTTTGGTAAGGACAATGCAAAACACAACAACAACAAGTTGACGCCATGTTGGTCGATGATGGTTATTGATTGAGCCTCGCTTTCACGTCACACCTGTAACGCCATGAAAGTAATTACCGCAGAAAGCCACCTGCACGGACACAATGCGTCCACAATTCGACCACGGGGGCACCATTTAAATGAAGATTTCATTCAGAAATCCAACACGTTTCATGATACGAGTAAAGTTTCAGTAAACCTACCAGTTTGGTTTGCATGTCAGGCCGAAAAACGCGCTCAACGGCTCGCCACCTTTGTTGCACTAATTATATGCGTGTTGTCAGTCGAGTGCGGTTTATTCTTTGGTGTTGGCAACACTGTTAATGAACGTTTTTCCTATTCATTTATTCATGCATTTATTTTTCTCTCATAAATCATGTTTAATATATAATTTTAAAGATTTCGTGGCTTCGTAGTCTCCGGTGGTACGGGGATTGAGAACAATAGCTAAGTAACGAGGTTTCTCAATTCGATGCAGCGGTTGAAAGTACATAACAAAGCAAATATGAGCCAAGCCTTGGTCACTGAAATGGACGTGATATTCGACAATCTCGAATCTTCTTGATAAGGCAAAATCCAACCTACAAATTTACCTAATACGGGGCGTTAAATGCAAATAAGCCATATGGACACATTTCCAACCCACGTTCATAATTTCTGAAAATTTTCGTCACCATGTTATTTCGACTTGGCATTCCCTTTTACTTCGCTTAGAATCAAAAACTTAAGGGCCAGCTCATGAAAAGTGAAGCTTGCTAAGTATTTTGACAAAAGGAAAATTCGGACCGATTCAAGCATTAACTCGAGGTCCATTATTTCACAGGTAGTTTGGAACCATAAAATTCGGGCGGTAACGTAGTCTCTTTTAGCAAAAATACTATTTCCTGACACACTTGGAGTATTCACACAAGAGAAGGTATACTGGATTTGCATCATTTAAACATTATGGGACGCTTTATAATCGACTGTTGTATAATTTTGAGTTGTATTCATATGTTAGACAAGTAATTTCCATACATGACAAAACATCTGCTACACCTAGCGTCTTTTCAAAACATTGGTTATATGCGCATGTATTTCGAGTGCTAATATAGGTAAAGTTGAAATGATTGAGCTGTCGTGAACAAATATCAAAAATCTTAAAGACACAGTTAAGCCGCTTTAATCATCTATCCATTCTCGATGGAGTAGAAGTTCTTCGTTTCTTGCTTTGAAACGGAAGAAAAATTTTTCTGTCGTATCGAAGACAACGGATCGCAGCACCTATTCAAGTAGCTAAATTCTCATTTTAAAATACAGAGAACAATATTTCGCACAGTATCCGATTCAATATTTCTAGCAAATTCTATCGTCTTTTACATTAGAAATGATAACAAAGACTTATCGTACTCTTAGTATCAATCTTCGGTTTGCTTTAGTTAGCGTGACACCATTCACCGTTATACATCTTTTTCGCATACATATATATGTTTATTTACGTCTTCACACCGCATAACTGGCTGACATTGTGTATTCTATAACTCTGAAAAGGATAATTTTGTTCCGTATAAGTGTATTGGTAGCTTATGTATTACTCATACGTCGATATCACATAATCGCATAAACACATTGGTACACGTATATTAGAGGTGAGAAAAAACTATTTCTCTATAATTTTATCAGACATCAAACTTATTCAAACATACATGAAATGAAAACCATTAGTTTGAAGTTGCATGGCTAGTATGTCAATGTTTTAGTAATCAGTATGGATTAGCTTTCAACTTGATCAGAATGAGATTACAGTGGACGCAAAAGAGAAAAAAAGACATCACTTTACTAAATTATCCTTCATCTCAACAACTTCTATCCACAAGGGAAGGTTGCATTAGAATTACAAATTCATAAATACAGCAAGAAGCATGTGAATTACAAAGTGGAAACCTTAATATGAACGATGAGTCATACAGACAAAGATGATGAAAGAAAGACTTATGTGGTAAAAATGTTTTTCAGAACTGTCGCAAAGCAAAAATCCAGGCTATCACTTTAGACAAAGACAATGCGTTTTCACAAGTGTTAAAGGTGATCTTTGATCGTTTACACATTGATTACAAATTTAATGCAAACAAGCTGGACGTTTTTAATGCTATTTTGAGAAATCAGAACACGAATAGATACACGATGTTTGTTCAAATAATTGCATTGTTTAATTCCTCGCAATCATCTCAATAATTGAATAATCAGCCTCTCAAATAGTCAAAACTCAAAAACACCATAAACATAGTTGTTTTCTTCCTGCCATCCAAGGCAAACTTTTAATAATCACGTAAAACTACACGAGCACGTTCGTCAAACCTCCATTTGATAATCCCTAATACGGTAAACTGCTATGTATTACATAGTTGCTCCAAGTCGTTCAATGTTTTTGAGATTCCAAGCCAAGTACGATCACTTCATGAATAGATTACATTCGAAGGCAAACTTTACTCTTTCGAGCTTATGGAAGCATTGTATAGAGCTCATGTTTATAATCATTGAATAATGTGGATTGAAAAAGAGGAGAATGTTTCTTGAGGTTTTAGCGCAAGATACAAAGACAAACGTAAATTGATTATTTATGTTCATAAGTCATTTATCTATTGTAAAGCTCGTTTCGTTTACCCTAAAAAGATGTACATCTGTATTTCTCGAAAGTGGCATTCAAAAAACACAAGTTTTTCTCCATCAAAACGTTTTGCAATAGAAGTTTAATTATATCAGTGACTACTTTTTTAACATGAGAGCATAATAATTTAACTAAATTTATCACTCAACCTAGTTGTTTATTTTTTCAAATTGTTTCAATTATGCACTAGGAGTAATCAGATTAGGTTTTATGCACGTCAACACAAGAAATACAGTGATTCTTTAACTGAAACGGTCGTCGTTATCAGTTTTAAAATCGATCAATGTTTTTCAAGCGGCGTCAGAACTGCACGATATCTTTCCTTCGAGACAACAACAACCAGTCGGACTAGTTTTGTTGGTAGGAAATAACCAGATTGTCAGGTTTTGCTAACTGGAAATGCCCAGTTTTATTCAATGGTTGAAAATATTCGAAAAGTGATCACAAAATAATGAATTTCAACAAAATATCATACTGTTCATTCATTTGCAACCGTTTTGAATACTTTGATTTTAATAGAAGATTTTGTCCTCTTTCCGAATAGCTTTCATGTTCATCATCCAAAGACTTGAGATCGTCCACAACGTGAGTACTAGACGTTTCCGCGGAAATTTGAATGCTTCCAAGGCCACGTTGCTCCAACTGTAAGGCCAAATTCACCGCTCTGTTTATCGCAGCGCCTAAACCGTAGATGAAAATTTCATTGTAGCCGGAATCAAGTAGTTTTTGAGCCCTCTCTAGTTGATATTTGAAATCACTCTTTCTGTTCACGTAAAATTCGTTTTTCTGCTTCGGAAAATGATATGGCGGTGCTCTTTTCTGGCGAACAAAGTGAGAATCTTCTCTTTGTTTCTTGCCCTTACTTTCTGCCTTGTCCGCCATATTGTTAGTTAAAATAGTTATGAAAGACAAATACTTCGTGTAATACAACACAAATTAATTATACAAGAAAAAAACAGGTGCGATCAATAGATGAAATGAGGATAGCAAGTAAAATCAGATTTTTCTCGGAGTTTTTACCTGGACAATAGCAAGAAAACTGCAGAATAGTTTTGTAGTCATGAAGATACTTGAGTCGCCTATCTTTTCTACTGCTGAAAAGGCTCGACAAATTGACCACTTTATTGCTTTAAGATTCAAATAAGATGTATTTCAATAATTTGGACAACGTACACTTTCTTCAGTCTTACTTGCAGCGGCGCATACTATTGCTTTCATCCATGATTTCAAAACATCCATCATTTTCAATTTTATGCACCAAACATACTAAATTCAACAGCAGATTTAACCAACCTTCACTCATATATATTTACACATTCTTCTCTGACGACAAGGTAAAGTTAAAGCTTGATGTTCACAGTCTACCTAAGCCTGTGAATGTCAAAGTGTCGCCACCTTAATTGACAACACAATGGTCCAACCAAAACGGCAGTCGATATCATCAGAAATCTATGTCTTGTAATGAATGAGCGCCATCCCTCCGTCGTCTCCCCGAGAGTTTTGTCATCTCTCCGAGAAATCATCAACTTTTGGTTGATAGTCGATAGAATGTTAAGACAGGATGTACATTTAACAGTAAAAGAACATGCTATAGACTTAAAATGATTGGACAAAAATACGTCATTGATGATTTTAACTAATTTTCTCTAGATTTGATTCCGAGCATTTATCGTGCAGAATATGTTTCGAAACTAAATCCATTACATGACGATTATTACGATAAGCCAATCAAGAGAAACAATAGGAAAACTAGATAACTGTTCGTCCAATACAACATATAGATTTTTCATTGGCTAACAATATCAAAAAGCTCTTAGTAGCACGAGATCATTAAAAAGAGCATAAGGGATAAGACAGCTGCAGTTTAACGAAACCGGCTGTCTCTGCTGCATCAAATCATAAATAACGGCTCGAGAAGACAGGTTGAACGTTCAGTCGACTATATCTCTTGAAATTAACAGCAGAACACGTAGGTGCAGAAGGAATCTAAGAGGTAAATAGGGGATCGACTTTTTATACTTAAAACAAATAATGTTTGATGAGAAAAGACGTGGGATCGCTATCAATCGTAGACGGAACGAAATAATTTTTGTGTTCCTAACAACGGCCACACAAAATGAATAAATTTAAATTCACTACAAACATGGTTAGGGGCTATACACGATTCTACGATGATGAATTTTATGATTGTCAATACTGCAAATCATGAATATCACCGACGAGCTAAGGGGACGACTAAATAATGACAGTTAAATTGAGAAATCCAACATGCTGTGTCGAATAAGATAATGAAGTCCCCACGCTGAATAATTATAATAATATAGGTTACACAAAGTATGCATTACACATCACACCACTGACAACTAAAAAGTAACTCTTCAAGCTTGTAAAAATCATGGTTTAATTATTTTGAGACAATATTGTCGACGGAACTTTGTAATTTTTGTGTTCCATTTATTGTATAATTTCTTGACATATCAAAAAAATCGCTATCCACTTAAGCAACCGGTCAGTGAACTTCACGTTTTCATAGGTCGCAAAAAGCTCAAAATTATATTGCATATTTGTTTTTCACCAGATAAAGAAATGAATCTTTCTCACGAAACAGACAAGAAAATAAAACAGTTGGAGCTTCTCGAAAGAGAAGTTCAAAACCTCAACAGAATGCTCTTGATAAAACGTCGAAACATTAGCGACTGCGCACAAGAATTGATCAGTTACTGTCTAGACAACGAAAAAAACGATGCTTTTCTCAACAAGATACCATCGTCAAAAAATCCATTTCGAGACACGGGAGGTCTGGGTAGTTTTAAGAATTGTCAATTATTATAGTGTAGAACTTTGACGGAATAAGCTATACGTAAAAAGTTAAGTCATTGTAGAGATCACTGTATTGGTTGTACTTAAAATAATGATTGTATATGGTCCATATTAGTAAAATTTCTTCATCGTATTGTTACTCTTCAAAATCTTTCAGCCTGCAACAAAATAAGTGAATACATAATCAGGATGATTCAAATATACTGGGAATTATTAAGTTGTTTCCAGTCCTTACCATTCCTCGGACTCAAGAAGAGAAATGAACTTCTGTACTCTTAGCGAGGCCTGTGTCTGTTAAAAAAATCATAGACAGACATTCAATACATGCGAAAGATATGAGATCTCCATCGCCTTTAATTCATTGACAAAAAATGGAGCTGCTTGAGCGTAGTAATAAAGTTCATAAATAAGATAAATAAAATCGTAGAAATACTAGCACACAGAAGGTCTACTCAAATGATCTTGTTGCATTTGCTTTCTGTACACGCTGAGAGGCAAATTAATGACGTATACAAGTAATACAAGTCACGATTGCGTCATCCAAGAGAAAAAAAAGCAGTGAAGTGACGTCATTATTTATATCTCACCCGAACAGAAAGTTGAGCTAGAATGATTAAATTCTTTACACTGATCCACAATCTACACGAATGAAGAACAAAGTAACAGATCATACAACACATAGGAAATGCAGTCATCTAAAATAAAGTTCTTTAAAATTTTCAACCAACTTTCGTTTGCCAATTTCATGACGAATGGTTTCTAATTCGGTTGTATCAAACAATTCCCTCGTCTAAAAATCATCACAAGGACATCATAATCATAATGATACCATGATCAAAATGATACCATGATCACAATGATCACAATACCATAATCACAATGCTACAAATGATCACAAAGACGCTCACCTTCAGAACTGTGATGAGCTGTTCTGCTGACGACAAACCAGGAACGTGAAGAACTCTTTTGAATACTTTAACAAGACCCATATCATCAAGTGCTTGCTTACAACTTGTCGTGCCAATAATAAGCAACCTCTTTCCCTGAGTTAAAGAGGCAAAGGGAAAACGACACTAATGTGACTTTTTCACGACAATTTTTTGTCAGTATTAAGAGTATTACCTCCCGTAGTTTCACTTTAAGTAAGGACAATAGAGCCTGTAGAGTGATGTTTGAAAATCTCGGACCAATTGGAACATAGTCTGTGTATTATATGAGCAGTGTCTTAGATCTTCATTAAGTTAGTTCACATAATCCCCCATAATCACCATTAATACACATCACATACCCAATAAACTCTCGATATCATCTAAGATCACGCAGCTAAGTTCAGACTTATCCGCATCATCAAAAACCTTCAAATCCCAAGACAAATTTTGATGTAATTATTGATATATATCAGAAATCACGTTAGCAATACACAACACGACAAAAGCACCTTCTTAATAGCGTTGCATTTCGCTTGCTCTGAAAAACCAATCATGCTCCTTGGATTGCACATTTTAATCAGAGGAAATTCGGAAGACAATGCCATGTTTACTGCGAGGGCGGTCTTTCCTGAGCCAACAGGACCTGAAAAAAACACTACAGGATTACAGTAAAACATTCGCGAAGAAGCAAGGAACACACAGAGGTGAGAAAACCACGAAGAAACTTTAAAAGTGAGCTTGTGCAAAGATTATAATACAAACAAACATATTATACACCTGAGAATAACACACTAAGTGGTCCCATGGAGCCATCATGTGACCTTGTTTGTTCAATTAACAGTTTGCCGTCCGAGATAATCTGCTCAATCTTCGGACACCAGTGAATTATATCTGTAAAGATATAACGATATTATTAAAAAGTGAAGACACATAAAGCATGAGAAGTGAACTAACCGTTTGCCACAAAATATTCCAAATCTTCATCGCTCGCTCCAAAAGCCTAAAGAAACAAAAAAATAACTAGACCAAAATTTTACTATACACAACCATGGTTAAAAAGATCCAAATTTGATAATTACCGGCTTAATATCGTATTGAAGCGCGTAGTTAAAATCCCCTTGTTTGACCATAATTTTAGAGGTGGCGTCTGGAGCAACCTCGAGCGTCGTGCCCATCTAATTACGTCATCAAAATATGACGTAAGACAGTGGGAAATTCAATGTACATTTTAATGAAATTAAACGTGTTCAAACTAATGAAAAAGACAGCTTAACCTTCACAGTTTTTGTGGTATGTAAACTGTTGCATAGAATTATTTTTTTGTTCTGATCAGATGTTTTAAAAATTTTTTCATTTCAAAAAAAGACACCAACAAGATATGTGTCTTAAAAACTGACCATATTTCAGCAATATGTACGTCCATAAATGGCGAGCATTACCTTGATAAATCTGTTCATTGCGTTTGATTGAGCAGCTCGTACCAGGCCCTCGATCTCAGCACCACTGAAATTCTTGGTTTGAGCGGCGAGCTCTTTGAGATCAACATCGTCGCCGAGAAGTTTGTTTTCGCGCAAAGATCGCGTGTGAATCTGAAGGATCTGAAGACGACCAGCTTCGTCAGGCAAAGCTTGGAAGAAGGATGGAAAAAACATTACGGTGGATGGAAAAGAGGAATATAACAAATAAAAGTTGGAAATATATTGATAATTAAAACCAATAGAGCCCACTCCTACTCCTGCACAGTTTTCCCTGCCCCAACCCCCACACTTCCCACCTGATCCCACAGTTCCCCATTCTCCACCCAGAGTGTCTGTAAGTTCCCCTAAAGGTTCAAAAACATCGTACATATTTCAAGTTGAACTTCCATTCTCCCAGGACGCAACAAAGCATCGTCGATCAAGTCCTTTCTGTTAGTCATTCCTTTGCAGAAAAAAAAAGAAGACAAATTCAGAAAACGGGTCAAACGTGAGAAAAAAGCAATTGAAAAATTCCAACCCATTGATTTCAAGAAAAGGAGAGCTCAAAATAAAAAAAATTGAAGATAACAAAACGAAAATCACCAATAAGAAGAACGTTGTTTAACTGTTCAACACCGTCGATCTAGGGAAAATTTCAAAATCGAAAATATTTCAAATGATAACACCATAGTCCTTATTTTCTCAAAACTACAACAAATTATACTCACTATAAACAAGACAAAAATAAACTAACCTTCGCTAATAACTGATTTACTACAGAATCCTGGACACCGGTTCCTCCAGACTGAAAACAAATGAAAAAAAAAGACTTTAAACAGGATAGCAACAAAGATTGAAATGGAAAAAGTCAAAGACAGTTTCAAATCAGAGAGTCGGCAAAACTATTTCAGCGTTTCAAAAAAAAATCATGTTGAAATTTAACTACGAAGTGTTTTCATAGAAAGAAGAGACATTTAAAATTATAACTAACACCATAACTGTATCGGGATTTGCAAACAGCATCGAATTCATCGAAAATAATGAGATGAAGACCACTGTTTATGCCATGCTGCAGGAAGAAAAAAGAAAAAATACTTCAGCAACCACACACGGTTAGGAGCCGTGATGGTTCATTACTTTTTTCTGTTCGTCTTCGGCTTCAGCAAATAGCTTCCTATAATTGAAGATGAAAAGTCGAATGCACAAGGACTGTATAGATATTTTATCATCAAACTAAGAAAGAGTGCAGGTTTCGTAAGAGTTAAGAAACCTCTTATAAGGTTAGAGATCACGTCCAAATTAAAATTGATCAGAGAGGAGAAAAGAACTAACCTTATATTTGCCTCTGATTCACCAACATACTTGTTAAGAACCTCTATGAATTGACGAAGAGAAGAGTGTTTGAGTGGAATCTCTATATAAGTTTGATGCTTTGCACACTAATTAATAGCATGAAAAATATAGATAAACGCGTGGAAGCCACATAATTTATCAGAACGTTCACGGAAAATTACAGAGTCCCTTTGCAGCATCAAGAAGAAAAAGATGCATTTAAGCTAGGGATACAAGAAGACTGCAAAGTTTAAAAAAAAACACTGCCTTTTGACTCGTAATTTAAATCATTTTGAACATATTAGTTCAACGCTGTTATCTTGGTAAAATGTAGTTCCATGTTGTACTTCTAAGTTTACTCTAAGCTAACTTTTACTCGACAATTTTATCTAACATAACTATTCAATAACTAACTTTAGTTTCATTAACCCCGACATCATGTATATAAACAACTTGCTACTAATGTACGCACTATAGAGAGCCCGCAATAAATGCTTATTTAGGAACAAAGTCATTTCATAAAACAAGCAATTGACCATTCATCCGTGGATCGTGTTTGTTTTTCAGCGTCTCAATAACAAACGTTCAACCTGTTTCTGCAACTGAAAAGTTTATAGACTTCCAACAGACATTTTTCGAATTCCGCAAGTTCACATAAACACATAGACTATCTACACTTACAAATACGTAAAAAAAGGCAAATAACTACCTGGCCCACTAATAATCTTTGGTTCGCGGCAATTCAACATTTTTCCAATCTGTCTTGCCATTAATGTTTTACCAGTTCCTAGTAGAAAATAGTAAAAAGACAAACTCCTCCATTTTATAATTCTTCATAGAGGAATAACATGAAACTAGCAATCTCACCTGGAGGGCCATACAATAAAATACCTTTGACATGTTTTACACCTGTAACAGACAGATGATCATCAACAAAGGAGCATAGGGGAGATTCAAAGACAATGTGCTATAATCCCTATCTGTCCTTAAATTACTCTTCATGATTGCTCCTACCCATATTCTCCGCTAAATCCAGGGAAAAGCCGTGAGGCAAATGCTCTTCGAAGGATGGTGGAAAATTCCTAAATATGTCAATAACAGTTCATATATGGTACACAACAGTACACACAAGGATATGGCAGGACATTATACAGAAATAACATGAATATTCAGAAAACCTTATCAAGACCACCAATCCCTAACTTTGTGAAATCCCATTCTTTGCTGATGATAGATTGCATTGCTGATGAGCTGCAAATATGCAACAAGCAATATTGATTGATGTAATTTTCAAAGAACATTCAAACGCTGTACTCAAATGCATTACATTCATTCATCTAACCCTTTTGATTTTCCAACCAAGTTTAAAGCTGAACCCTATTGCAAAAAACATAGAAAAAATGTTTAATTTTACATGCAGGCCAACAAACAATCACAAAAATAAAATCATGAAAGCTGAATGCTAACCTCTGCTTTTTCGAAGATGATTTTTGTATTGCCTGATACTAAACCCTTTTCAACCTGCAGAGAGAAATTAAAAGTTGTACCTATACTATGCAAAGGTAACATTTTCATCTGAATCAATGCAAAAACACTCACATTTTTCAATTCAATATTAGAATCTGATCCAAGAGCTTTCTTTGCATCTAAGACTTTGTGAAAAAATTAATACATTCAAATTTCATACACAAATAGACAACTCATAATATTTTATTCATTTACATTTGCTTTACTAAGATAATTTAAGTTCCAACAAAGACTTTGCTATTTATATAACTACTCACCATCCATCTTAGTTGTCCTTAATTGCAGATACTTCTTGCCTTCATATGTAAAGACCAACTAAATTCAATAAAATACAACCACAATCTTTAACATGTATGTTTAAAGAGGTTTTTATATACAAGGCTATTGATGCCAGCAATTTGATATAATAAACATCAATTGAATTAGGTTAAAAAACCTATTTGGAATTATCAAGTTAAAGATTGTCTTCATCAACTAAAGGCAAATATAAATGCTAAATAGCAATCATCATGTTACTATTCATGCTATGTTACTATTCATGCTATGTATGATTTTCAAAAGACTAACATGTATCAAGCAACAGCTTGGTACACTTTGAACTGTATAATTTCATCATTTCTGTTTGTTGTTATCTATGACTACTTTAGCATGATGTCAACTGGTGGCTGTCAGCGAATAAAAAGCATAGAGCTGCAAAAAATGCTACAACTTACTGGCTCGTTTTCACAAAAGGCACGATTACAGAACAGATCAACAAATGCATCAGACATCTTATCTGTATCATAGGGTTCTGGTATTGATCTATATAACAAAATAAAAGAAATTAATTATGTTTTTGTGTGTGTTTTGGAGTTGTTGTGATTACTGTTTCTTTTGTAGAAAGTCTGCTACAAATGTAATGCTGTTGAGATTAGAGCCATGAGGAAACTTGTATGGTTTAACTGCAAAGGAAAAATATGTTGTAAGCTCAGATTAACAGCATCAACACTCTGTTTTACTGAATAGAAATTTGGAGCAAACTCAACAAACAGAATGTGGATATAGCAATGGACTAAATGGGCAATGTTTGCCAAGATGTAATGGATTTTTACCCACCTTCCACATCATTATTTAAGGCTATTTCTGTCCATTTTCTCTAGATATTTGGTAAAAACTCAAATGAGTTTCATAATACATAGAATACCTCACAAGTCGACTAATTAGTACCTGAATCAAAGTGACACCGATCGTTCCTGATTTAACGTCAGTTGTTTTGATGAGAGAATAAATAATGCCTTTTTTATAACCAGGACTTATCAACTCTACATGCCTATTGTATAGAAGATCCACGTCAACTTTTATGGCCATGTTCATACAACTTACAATTTACAAAATATTTAGAGTGAACAAAATATTTCGTACTGTGTCTCTTCTTGGGGAAAGTCTTTCGGGTTGACAATGAAACAGTTTGTTAAAGAGAGCTGGTCTGAAGGTGACTTGATTGCCTTTAAGCGTACAGCCATAAAAAAAACTCAGTTTAAAGTATTAAACAAAATAATGAAATGATGAATGATTTAAATAAATAAGATTGTTCAGTCAATGCGAATACTTCATGTACACTATATATAAGTACTCCTTTTATTTTACACATATAGTATCGGCCAAAAGACGGGGGGAGCATGTGGGAGACAGTTTCGTGGGAGAAGATTGGAAACGAAAACAAATAGAGCGAAAATGTTGGTTGTATGTATAAAAATTAAAAGATGATGGGGCTGATTTGAAGCTGTTTGGATCTTAGGTAATATAATAAGTTTTGATATTCATGTATATTGACGTATTGGAATGGTTTTCGTGTTCATAATCATTTATTTAATTTCTTGATACAAGAATAAACGAGGGAAAATCAATGGCGGCGGAACACTGATAAATTGGGGGGGGGCTATATTCATACATTCATATGTTATAATCCGTTAACACAATTGATTTCCATAGAAACTAATAAAGTAAAACATGCATATATGAATAATAGCCCCCACAAATATCGATGTTCCGCCGCCCTTGGGGGAGATACCATTTTACTACATGACGTCACCTAAAACTCACGCATGACTGTTGAACACACATTGGTTGAAAGATCACTGAATATAAAGTGAGAACCCATGGCATGACATGATCTCATAGAATTCATCATTCACATTGACAATTCGACAAAACAATCAGAGAGTAAGCGAAGCCACGAAAATTTTTTTGTTCAATACAACACACTATGATTGCACAGAGATACAATTTTAAAACGAGAAAACGAACTTTACAAAAGTTCTATTTTACTTTTATCTTTTTTTCTGAATGTTCGTCTGACTTTCCACACTTTCTTAATCTTGAACTTCTTGTTGCTCTCCGAAGGAACGGTTTGTACAGAAATGGTGTCAAAAGGCGACTCTTCAGGACGCGCCGGCGGCTCCAAGGATGGAAGCTCAGGAAGAAACTGTGAATTATCCTCTAAAGCCATACTTTCAACTGCATTAATTTCATTATTTCTGTACACTTCACCGTAATCGTTACTTCTGTACACTTCACCGTAATCGTTACGTCTCTTAACTTCACCATAATTCCCATATGTTTGATAATAGGTACTATATTGTTCATAGACGTACTCCCCAATCTCATCAGAATCATTAGGGACGCATGTCTGAGAATACTCAAGTTGAACACCTGAAATATGAAAAATCGTCAACAAAAAACAAACAAAGAAGCATCTAAAAATTTACGAGCTAACCAATCACGTACCAGTCCCGTAATTATGCAATTTCGTCTCATCTCGTGAGCCCACGATACAAAACATCACATTTTCCTGCGTGTGCATTACAGCGTAGTCATTTCCAATTTCAAGCATGAAACTGTCGTCGTGACTCATTCCAATATCCTGATACACTGCGGTAGCTCCATCTTCGCATGAACCGTAGAATCGTAACCACTTTGCCATGGAATCCAACTTTTCCGGTTGCATCTTTAGAAAGGGGATTTTAAGTCGCAGTTCAGCTTCGCTTTCCGCCAAGTTTCCAACGATCACAAAAGGAGAAAGAACAACTTCGTCAGCGTTCAAAGTGGAAGCACCAGGTAAGTCATAACTGATGAGCAAGCTTACAGCCTGCTTTTTGCGATGACTTCTTGAAACGTTGACTTCGAAACCTGACATAACATGAGACACCATTATCATACATTGCAAGGGAAACACGTCCATATATTTAATTGCAAATATTTGTTACTCTAAACTCTTTTCATTCATGAAATAAGATGGGCGATTGGCTGATTGTTATCGTTAAGATCAGAGGCATAGCCAGTAGGCAAATATAATCATGCTATGCATTTTTCTTTGTTCAACCACAGCAAAAACAATTGATTTTTAAAGAAACGAACAATAACGACGTTCTGATATTTAAATAGCACGATCAAAGCATGCGGGCTGGCTTAGTTACTACATAGGATTGCTTTATATTAAAGTAAAAAGAAATGAATTCAAAAAATATTAACGAATGTATCAACATATGTAGTTAAATGAGAAGTCGAATTTAAACTGTGTACTTATGTAATACTAATTTACAATATTTCATCTGAACTCAAATGATATGTCTTAAGTTAAAGACGAAACGACATCAAAAAAACAATCTTTTGCTTCAACTTTTGTAATGGCTGTATCAAAAATTCTGTTTTGGGATGTCATTTTAAGATAAAAAATTCGCTTTCCGGCAGGCAAATCTCATGCCACGATTTTGTGCATGAAGGATCAGATTTAGCGACCAGGACGAATAAGTAAAGTTAATTGAATCCAAAAGGTGAAATTATCACACAAACCTTTACACGATACTTTTCCGCCATGTTTACCAAATTCCACATCAATGGAGAAATTTGATTCAATTTGATTTGTCGGCACTTGAGCGTTCTTCTGGTAATTTCTATCGGGAAAATGTTGGTATTGGTAATGATATTCGTCTTCTTGTAGTTGTTGTTGTCGATTTCATATTATAAGTTAAGTACACCTAGGTTTCAGATATTTCACTGAGCAAACTTGAAGTAGCCAATCAACCCATTTCAATAAAAACACGTGAGCAAATTGAATATGTCACGTGTACTTATCAAAACCACCGCCAGTAGCTAAGTAGTCGAATTTAATCAACCAATTCAATAGGAGCACGTGAGCAACTAGAGGATGTCACGTGAACTTATAAAAGCCACCGTGAACAAGAAGCCGTATTTTGGCTAATCCACGTTGAGTTGTTCTCAATCTCGAGACTACTTTGTGTTACGCATCTTTCCTACTTACTCGTCAGATCTTTTTAGCTGTAACCAGACCTGTTGAGTTACATTGACTGCAGCCAAGAGGTAGGCGAGCAAGCTCGCTTTGTGATCCGTTTTTAAAATGATATCGAACTTGCTCGTTTTTATAACCAAGAAATCCTTCGCAGTACCACTGAAAATAAGAAAATTTATCAGTTTAAGGATTTCGTTTGATAGAAAGTGCATATATATTTGTTGAAAACATGATTAATTTTTATAACACAAAACCCCACATCTTATGTCGTACTATCGCACAGTGATAGTCACAGTCAGGACCTGAGTGTAGCGAAATATTACGAACTCGTGGATCAAAGATAGAACTAGTTGACAAAGGATTGTGGGACATGAAAATAGAATCTAATTGACAAAGGATTGTGGGACATGAAAATAGAATCTAGTTGACAAAGGATTGTGGGACATGAAAATAGAATCTAGTTGACAAAGGATTGTGGGACATGGTAATACAATGGCAGCAAATGAAATGGCGACGAGATCGGAGTAGTCTTGCCAAGTGATGTAATCAAAAGTACATCTCATACCTTATGGATAAAGCTCGAATTTGTTGATAATCTATCTTATGAAGTGTAGAATACACGTTCCCTGCCTGAAAACCAAAATCAATTATCATCAGTTTCACATACTTTATGTAAAACTAACATTGTACATTCTTACCTCTGGTATTATGCAAAGATTATGTAAAGACAATAATATTATATGAAACTCCATCTGAAAATATAAAAGACATCTCAACATATATAGTTTCCAACTTTATTCAGGATAAGTAAAACGCTTTTTTAAAATACCTTGCGTTCTCTGTTCAACATTTCTCCATAACAACTAAACAAGATACTTCGTTCTCCTGAAAAATTTTTAGACTTTCTAAATGTAGTTCAATTTTCATCAAAGCTTTCACTCTGATAAAGCTATGACAAAAGCTCGTTAGTGGTTATTCCATCAACTCATCATTCATTAAAAAAATTGAAAGATTTTTGGTTGAAAATAAAAAAATGAACATTTTTACCAATTGCTCTCTCTAAATTGGGGTTGAAATAGAAACCAACGAAGTCAGTCGTTTGCTTATGACTAAAGTTCAACGATGCAGTCGTTTTGGTGTCTCCCTTTTCATCAGGAATCTCATTTTCTCGTTCAGCATCCGATTTCCGCAACTGTTCTTCTTCCAGTGCAAGATAGTTCATCGCATCTAAAAATAAAGAAACTCAAACTCTGAACAGAGTTTACAAGAGCGTAAATATTACGTAAATCACGTACCCTTTAAACTTTGTTGAACAGAAACCCGAAAATTAAGTCTTTTTGTCTCGACATATCGCCTAATGGCTTTCGTTATCGTCTTTGTAGCTAAAGAAGATGTAGGTAGAAAAAATAGGTGTTTTTTCTAAGAACATAAATGAATTTAGAGAGAGACAGCCAAAAATCACCTTTCATTAACCTCGCAACATATCGCCGAGCAAGAAATCCACGAATTAAAGCTTGTATTTTTGCTGCAAACATAAACAAAGCCTCGCTCCGCCACTCCTCTAGTTTCGTCAACTATAAAATGTAAAAATTTCGAACTAATGCACCAAAAATTCCCTTATGAAGCTTTGAAATTACAATCGGGTTGAAAAAAGTGCCACGCTCTTTGTGAGCCAAGAGACTGGAACGACAAACCAACACTTTTGTTTTATATATATATAAATTATACTCCAAAGGGAGCCTTCATAGGTGAGAGTGTGAACTGTGAAGTATAAGAAGCTGACCGTGTAAGATAAAAACCTTCTACAATATAGTGCAAATTTTGTGAAAGTTATATAACAAGTCTCTAGTCATCCACACTTTAAGGTAAATTGCAAGCAAACAAGGCATGAAACGAAACGAAGTCACTTCATCTGTATTTTGTTGCAAAAAAGCCGCGTGTTTAAAGGCCTCAATAAATAAGTGCAATGCAGTAAAATCTGTTACCACATCAGAATCTTTTATGAAAACTTTTGTTTTTCCAATTCGCCATTTCTCAATCGAAAATTGAGCTTTCTCCATAATAGTTCGACAAATGCCAGCTTTGTCCCTATCCCTGCCTGTGCGACCTCTTTGGGCAAAATTACAGCATATCTAAATAATGAATAAATATTTTCTGTACTGCAACAAATTCAATGTCTAGTAAAACATGTTAAATATACTATGAAGTTAATTAACCTTTCGATAAGTTTGTCGAACACACGACGAAATGCGAAGCCAGCACGGCGCACTTCGATGTTCTCACGAAGACCGAGATAAGAAATTTGAGGCATAATTCTGCAACGAGAAACGGGGTGGGGTGTATTTAATGAAAGGATTACAAATTAGATATGGATGTAGTCTTTGGATGTTTGTGAATGTGCGTCGATTACCATTTCATAGATTAAAAATATTGTGTTGATTGGTAAATTGCACTATTGAGCCGGAATCGAAAGTCAATGATCTATTTTTACCAACCTTTGATCATTCCAATCTAAAGGTTGTTTTGTCTCACATGGCTTAAGACAGCGAACGTAGTGTGGCGTACATGACATAATGCGATCAATCATCGCTTGACACTGAGACTAAATGTATGGAATATTTTTATCAACAAGTGAAAATCATTTTAGAACTTCATATGCACACAAATTGGAAATTTGAAGTCATCCTGTTTTAACTTTGTGGACGATTTCATTGATGTCTGAGAATGTAGTTTAACAGTACAAACAAACCTATCCTAAATCAATCCTAAATCAATCCTAAATCAATCTTAAATCAATCATAAATCAACCATAAATCAATCCTAAATCTCTGTGTTGATAATCAAGTACGTCAATTCCCTACTCACACAGATGACCAACCTTAATCTTACTGCTGCCCGTAGAACCGCGCCCGCGTTTTCCAGAGGACACAGTCATGTCACCAAACAAAATCTTAATGAACTCACTAAATTGGAAAAAATATTTGTAAGAATACTTTTCAATCGTCAGCTGTAATTATTCTGTACTATAGTCTTTCTGAAGTCAAGCACACACTATTTTCATAACGATAAATCCAGATAAATATTTTACTTTTCGCTTGACTGCATGAGTTGTATGATGTCGTCAAACAACAAATCCTTATTTCTCTCACAAAAATGCGTTGCTTCGTAATTAACCTACAGGTGTACATGGATACAAGATAGTATATTCATGGATAATATAGATAAACAAATACAAACAGGGATCATTCTTCAAACCTTTCCGGCATAATGGTGTATCTCGAAATGAGTAGCAAGACCTCTAAAGTATTTGGTATATGTATTTTCGGATCCAACAACAGCTTTGAGTTTCTGAGAACGAAATGTAATTTTATCAATATATTAATACGCATAGCTTATCCTATTGTGTACATTTATTTTCTAGCAGTGTACCTCCATCAGCGTCCTGTCCGAACCCTCCGATGCATGTACTGTAAAACAAACGTCGTCAAGAATGCTCATTATTCCAGGAGGATTCTAAAGTGAATGGAGGATTCTGATGAGGAAATTTTGGCATCAACTCAATAAATTAAACCAAAAGAATAATTCGGTAATACAGAAACGAAACTGCGAGTCGTAAATTTATGACAAAATGACACGAGGAACCTTGCTTTCGATAAGATCGCAGACGAGTTTGTTATTGAAAAATTTCACCGGAATCCATTCAATGCCTTCTTCTGCATATTCTTCCTTGAAAGATAATGGATACAAGGCAATGTACAACAAATGTAAACAACACAACAATTTCTTTCAATATTGCATTCGGTAGCTAATGGACCAAAGATGGCCTGCTTTCTTTATGAATACCTGTTCAGTCTTCAACGTCAATTCCACGAAAATTTGTTGAAGTTTCTCGTTGACGTAGTTAATACAAAACTGCTCAAAACCATTTGTCTAAAAAACACACACACACAAACCTAGAGTGAAGTCACAGAAAAATGTTGAGCACGAAAACATTTCGATGAATAATCATTGAGAGAAGTTTCATTGATAAAGGTTTAATGGATTATGTCACTGAGCCAATTCAAAAGTGGATGTAATACTACCAGAATAGCATAAATGCTTTCCCATGGAAAAAGTGGAGGATCTATGCGCCCTCTTACTCCCAGACCCGTGGTTGCTGTAATCCCTACTTCCACATCATGTAAATATATCCAACTCACCTCAAATATTTCAAATCCATAAATATCCAAGACTCCGATACACAATCCAATCTTTTCTTTTCGCATCGCCGTGTTAATAACCTGGAAGACAAGGAACGTTGTTCACAAACTGCATCAGGAATCTTTTTAAAACCAATCACGAACGTACCGTCACGAGATAGTCAAAAAGTTGAGCATACAAAGCTTTTGCCAAAGCATCCCTTGAGACATTCGCCTAAATGAAAAGAAAATATACCTTTGATTGAAAATCGAACATACGCCACCGATACAGAGCAAAATAACCCGAGTATTTTCATCGCCATACTTGTTCCTTATTGAGAGTCATCATCATAATGTCGACCTTTCCTCCCCATCGTGCCTCCATCAAACGACTACAGCAATTGGATTACAATACCAAAATTAAGTAGTTAACCTATCTCATTCCCGCAGTTTGTCATCTCTCATTCCCAGTTCTCCACCGCTCGACTACACATTCATGAATCATTGCATACCTCACTAGTTTCTCTTTCAAAGCATCTTTATCGACGCCAAGTAGTTGGGCTGGTGTATCTAAGCCTACAATAGCACACACAAAAACTTTCACTGCTGGCTAGATACAATTCAGATATGAATATAATAACGGGAAAAGTCATTTGCCTCTTCAGATACGTCTGACATTCTGACAACTTCACTACGTATGCGGTCACTAGAATGAAGATTTAAGGACTTACCTTCAGGATTTTCTACATCAGAAACATTATTATCTTCCACAAATCGGATGTTACCAAGGTGAAGAATAGCTGAAATAATTTCGAGGACATTTTGTTGCTTCTCTACCGACATTCCTACAACGTTCATGGCATTCTGAACGGGCACGCAAAGAAAGTATTTCAAGACACCGCGATTTAACATGTTGTAAATGATTTTAAAAATAATTTTGTCATCCCCAAGGATTTTTGGTACTCGTTCGACAATACCTACTTTCGTGGCAACAAAGTCTTCGGTGTCATTTGTATCAGGCACAGTATAAACTCCCCCGGTTCGATTCAAGTAATAAAACTGCGAAGGGTCGGGAATTTGCAGTCCAAGTATTTCTATAAAGCCATAAAGAAGATATGTGTTTTAACATTTTTATAACTTAAGTGACGTTACAACAGGAAGGCAGTCTTTCATTGCAATAACAAAAGTATTATGTGGATCCAGTATGACTTCTCGATATTTCCTGTGTTTCCACGAAACCAAAATACCTTTTTTATCATCCTCGCATCCTTTTAGCAGCTGATAGAACACGTGATAATTACGTTCGCCAGGATTCTGGGAAACAACACGTGACTAGAGAAGAAAGGATGTGGGATGACGGCGATTAGAAAGAAATAATAAAAATATTAAAAAATAGAACAGAGCATTTAAAGAATTCTATGACGAGAGGTAAACAAAAAGTGTAAACCACCATCTATGTAATACACGTGCATTTGCAAATACTGAATTGTTAGCCCTCAGTATATTAGTGAGATATACATTAATTTAAAAATAAATTCATTAGTTCGTGATAGCTAAAAGCTGAAGCACTTCAAAATATCCTTGCATCACAAAATACGACGTCTGTATCAGCGTTGAAGCGACACTTGCACATAAAGCCGAATTTTTACACTAATTTTACCTTCTCAAGTAAGAAACTCGATATTTTCCCACCGTCAGGCTGCCCCGACATGTTGAATAAAATCTCGACAAACTTTCCCTGAAACAAATAAAAAATATATAATAACTCAACTGTCCGGACTTTCCACTTGTGTGATGTACAAAATCCACGTTGGTACACTTACAAAACGACTTGAATTGTTATTTCGTAACGTTTTTGCATTTCCAAAAGCCTCCAGCAGTGGATTCGACTGAATTATTACATGCTTTATCTCCTGTATAAAGTTAAGGCGTCATAAAGTGTATATTTTTGTTCATAAAAGAGGAAAGACAACGTCACCTCTATTTTCTCATTACCAGCACCGGCAATCTCAGATAAGTATGACATGATGTACTTCGCAGACACGGTTTTGCCTGCTCCACTTTCTCCGCTATGTATACCGACGTAGAAATGCGATAGATTAAAGACAATGCACAAAAAAATATACGTTACTCAGAAAGCATGGTCTCTCTGTGATGACCATAGGATGCACAAACAATTTTGCGTAAGAGAACATCCTTACCTTATGATAACACATTGACTTTCCCTCTCCATCATCATATTCCTGTACATATGATCTGTCAACGAGTATATATGAGGGGGAAGATCCACACCTGAATCCTAAAATTATAGAAAGATATTGTTTGTTAATTTTGAGCGGATGTCATCTTTCAGAGGAGACAGCATCCTACTTGATTGTCGTCTCCATTCGACTGATTCATCATATTAGGAAATTGAGCTGTAGAACACTTTAAAACATCGCTGCTTTTTAACTTATTTTTGTCATTTTTCTTTGCTCGTTTTCCCCCAAGGAAATTATGATAAGCTAGCACATAACTAGCAAAAAAAAGATAAACAAAGCAAATTTACAAATGCTCGAATGGACTTGGAATGGAAGGACTAGTTGTAACGTAGAGAATTACTCTTTATTGTAAATGTCAAGTTTCATGAACGGATTAACGGCAATCAGAACTCGACCGATACACGTCTATAAAAGATAATCATGCACATCATTACACAGCAATCCATGTTTTGCAATTCAGAATTATGGAATGTTACGTGGAACAGGTAAGTGAGGAGCTTTGAAAAAGGACTTACGTAAATTTGTTGATTCATCAACCGTATGTGTAAATTATCGGCGATTGAACGATCATTAACTTTTTCCAATTCAGTCATGTCATCCAATCCGACTTTTTCACGTGATAAAATTGCCCTGCACGTGTCCTGCCACGCGTCCACCCCAAAGTCCAAATCTTCCGCCATATGAGCGACAAGTTAGCCTTTCCAGTAGAGAGCACGCTCTATTTTTGAGTGTAAGGATTTCATCCCTACTTGAATAAACACATAATGGCCACGCAGCGCTTTCAAATTATGAAGATGTCATGTAATTAATAAAAGTTCTATTCATGACGTCTATGATGTCAAGTATTACGTCACACTTCAATGACGTAACTGTTTAATTACGTAAATTTCACAACGGATGAAACATTAATGTTTATTTTAGAACATTACTAATAAATGATTTCATGTATAAAGTTGAATTACAGTATCATACTATAATGTTTCTACAATAAGCAGGAACATTAGTGAAAAGCAAAGTCATCGATACTCTCATAAGATAGGGCATCGTGCAATATTCTAACCGCAAATCTACAGGGTAGAAAAGACAATCGTCATATGTTGCTAGGATATATTGGTCTTTTCAACCTTACATTTGAGATGTTTGCCTACTAACTGTTTAAAACTATTTATAACGAAATTCAGAAAAGATCAGTTAAAGTCAAATCACAAATTGCATCATATTTTTCATTTTCTCTACAAACGGATTTTATCTAAAATACAAGATATAGCAGAATGGAAAGGATAGAGTAAAATGAAAATCATTGTTTCCCGCCGCCATCAGAAGGATTTTTTGACTCTTCATTATTTTCATTGGTCACAGGAAGAGTGCTAATGTTCTTCTTCATTTCATCGTGTCGTACCTTGGAGTACATACCAGATCCACCAATGACCAGACCATTGCTAAGCCACCATAACGATGTCTTAACCTCTTGGTGGACGAACACTGCCAATATGGTTTGAGCACATGCCTTGGCAGTGCCACTGATGTTGTGTGTCAGCGGACTTGTTACCTTGATTTGCAAGCCGGTGACGTAACCAATCGCGATTCCGAAGATCCCGGATAGCGTCATAACACCCCAAAAATACCCACTGGTTATCATTGGAAAGTTATAAATCACAGAAAACTCCCCCATTATAGCCATCAACGGAAGGAAAAGGAAGATAGCATTAAAATTGTTGTACAATTGAAGACGCCAGATGTTGTTGTCGACAATATCCAACTTTCGTTTTGTATAAATCGCATTTAACGAAACACAGAGGCTTGCAAAGACACCAAAAACTACACCAGAATAAGACAGTTCCCCAGAACTACCTTCTTGGTTAACACCAAGTACAAAACCGCTGATAATGACCGCACAGCATGCAATTGCTTTGCACGAGGTTTTCACACCAAGAACAAGAAATGTGAAAAGCTATATAATATAAAATAACATCAACTTCTTGCTGTTCATCTAACCTCTCAAAACATCTCAAACAGTTTCATAAAATTGACATGCTCAGACTTTGAATCAAGTATTTAAGAAATTTTCAAGTATCTAAATAGGCAAAGGACAAAAGAGCACATTTCTTAAATATGTCAACTGCCAAACAGTATAAGTCACATGATTGTATATCAACAAATTCCTTTTGTTGCTGTTGTCGTTACTTGGAAAAATTTTAATCAAATCCCAACTTACAACATTGAATACGGTTGTCAACGAGCGGCCAACATTGTAAAAGGACACGCCAAGATGTTTGAGACAGAGATTGTTAAATGTGATCATTCCAACAAACACAACAGACAAAGCCAGAATCTAAGCACAAAAACAGAAAAAAACCAGAAGAAAATAAAGGGATTAACATCTCATCTAATAACTTTGATTGCCAAAAATAATGACTGACCTGCCTGGATATTTTAAGGTCTATGGAAAATGCAGGAAACTTTCCAATCCTCGGATATTTATCACCAAGAAAACTCAAGAAATATATACAAATGACGGTCACAACACATTGATACCAAGTGACAAATAGCGGTGCATCGAGCTGTCATCAAAAAAATCTTCATCAATATATTATTATTTTAATTATTAGTGCAAGTCATGTTTTTATAAATGTTATTTTCCCGATCACAGCTCCTGTGGAGAACAGTTCTAAAGATCAATAAAATATTTATATCTATTACAACCAAAATGTATCATTATTTTGCTCTCTCCGCCTTCAAAAAGCAGTTATGACAATTCTTATTTCAAGTTTTCTTTCATAACTAAGAATTTTAGAGCCACCTATAAAAAATCCTACATTCGTTAAATTCCTCAAACAATTTCCCATATTGAATAATATTGACCACATAATTTCAAAATGTAATTTTTCAAATTCCAAGGTCGTTATGCATAACTGATGGCGAAAGTAGACAAAATATTTTAAAACAGACAAGATGCCAGTCATCAAAACAGCTGTCAATATTTCTAAAACGAAATGTTTGAGCGTCGAAACAACGGTCAATGGTTCTCTAGAAATGAACCTCATGTCTATTTTTACCTTTAAATCGGGACTGCTCAGTAGGTATTTGTTCAAAAATACCATCGAGATTGATATCACCCTAGTATAAAAACAACAACAGTGCTGCAAGATGAGGTCTTCAACAGTTGAATCGTTCATAAAATAAAAATGACTCACCAATAAGCTGTGACAACAGATGCTATTTTCACAGTTTTGCTAAACAACGATTCAGCCATCGTTAATCGAAAATAATGCCGGCTATCACGATTATTAAAACAAACTACGCGATGCAGATTATGATCAAAGAATATTGTTTTAATTTATGTACACGAGTCGCCGGACATAATTTTATCGACACGATTCACCGCCGCCATGTTCATAGATATTTATAATGTCCCTCACCCCCCTGATAAATTGCATGAGAGAGTAAGACAATGATGGGTTTGTTCAAAGGCGAGATCTCGTTACCTCAATAAAACCCAAACAAAAAGAATTTAAAAATAAAGATTAAAGATTTAAGTCAGATGCAAATGTGTCTCATCCATTGAAAGATTAAAGTTAGCAGTACTGTAGGGCACAATTAAGTATATTCGAGAGAAAGTGTTTTAGGTGCAGTCAATTTTTCGGAAATTCAAGCGTAAAACGATAATAATCGCAAAATTTTCGACAATACTTAATGCGATGACATACAAATCACATCCCGCTCTTTAGGGGATATTACGTCACGATCTTTTGTTTGGACTGGATAACTTTAGAGATTGAAAATCACCAATTGTTAATATGATTAGACACATCGGAAGTAACTTACCTTTGGGAGGAGTGAAATATTTCACTGAGTTTTGATAATTTTGAGAAGAAAAGGTAGCATGTTGAAGTTTCACAAAAATTTTAGGATGTCATCGGAAGGAATGATTCGCCTCTGTTTAAAATTACTTCGTCTAGCAATATTCAACTTACACAATATCCGCAATGCTCGTTAACTTTCAACATAGAAATACTTTGCATTTCAAATTGATTTCGTTCAGAAAAAAATTCAGAAAGTGCCCACATAATACGAATGTGCTTTCCAATTGAGAATTGGGATAATTTATACCATGTAGCCATGAACAATAGCTCTTGTTCTTTATATTGATCGTTTCTATAGCTTTTGTTTTTCATTAAAATTTGAACCAATCATATTCTCTGATGATGCAGATGAATAGCGATGAAATATATTTGAACAAGTTGCTTGTCTTAATTTGGTTGATATTTGTCGAGAGAGAACGTCTAGATGCAGAAGGCAGTAGTTTTGCCGTGTTACTGGAAAGTTTGAGAAAGTTTTTGATAGTTAAGATAAGGCAAATGATACAGACGCAGTGTATTTAGACGAGATTGACTCGAAGATATCGCTGATTTTTGTATGAAGCTCAAAATAAGGTGGATATTGATGATTACTTGTAGTTTGCTTGGGATCGTCGATACAAGACAGTCAGTATAAAACTTTCATTCACGATTATGAAGAAGCTGTGGTAAGGTTTGCTTTGTAGTTAAATATGAGAACCAAAATACATTTAACAAAAGTGGGTATTTCTACATAGTAATTAAAAATGTAATGCCTAACAGTTTTTACTAAAACACTGTGATCATCACTTCAAATATTATTCCTTTTTACATGATAAACGATCTGCGGTTGTCTGCAAAGCAACATTAAGTTTCATTTCGTGGTTTGACAACTGTAATGCTTTAATTTGATGAACGTATTTCAGGTGTGAGAAACCTTAAGTTTTTTCTTCTCGTGAGAATAAAAAAGACAAAGAAATCAAAATGCCAAAATATTCTTTTGTTCATCGTTCATTCCTTTGTGCTCATTTTAATTCAAGAGTACCATGCTTCGTTTATTGTCTGTTGTTTATGAACTATCGTTACCTTTGCTGGTGCTTAATACTTCACTTTGTGTGGCATTATCATGCACTAGTATTAGCAAGACGGGTCGAGACAAAGGACATCGCCATCTTCTTGTCTAACTTTGGCATTGGAAGTTTCTACGCACATATTTTAAGAGACTATATCAACTTAATAGCTGACGCGTATTCTATATTTCTAGACAACAAAGTGGTCGTCAAGATGTTGCTAATGGAAGAAATAGATTTTCCTTAGACACAGAACATCCTTCTTCATCATACATATCAATCATTGAACTGACCAACGGAGAACTGTACTTGTGAAAGCAATGCTTTCATTTTGTATATCTAAATCAATTTGTCTATCCTGTTATCATTTTTGTACATGTAGTTCAATAGTTATTTTTGCTTATTGCGTATTTCTAACATGCAGGCGATGTTAGAAAAAATTGGGAGATTTAAGGTCAAAGAGATGAGTTGTTGTAGCTGTGTATTTTCATGTTAACTGACTGGAACTTCTATACCATTGAGAAATGTTATAGAAGTCAACCCATATCTGTTACCATACTTATTAACTTGTTGATATGTTGGTGCTTTTTGCGTTCAGATCTTTCATGTAACATTGAAATGATGTCTAATTTACCATAGTCTAATTTAAAAAGAAATTGCAATACGCTGGCAGAGTATTGCAAAATCTTTAAATTAAACGTTTTCGAGGTAATTTCTACAAGCTATCAACGTTAAATATTTAACCACTTTATTTTACCTGTCAATGGCACTTTTATAACATTGAGGGATGTTATAATAGTGTGTAAATAACAGTTAAAATAATTTATGTCTTTAGCAAATTATCGAAATTTACGAGTTTCAATTAAAAATTTAAAAGATCTTCTGCAAACACTGGCTTTACAAAGTATATTTGCTCTAAAGGTGTATCATGATTGAATTTAAACAATTGTTTTTACAGTCAAACAGGAACAGATGCAGATTTTGACTGCGGTATGTGTCAGTTTGTTTGTTTTCCTGTTTTTTTATTTTGACACAACCCTAACTTGTTATTCAGCATTTTTTCAGGCGCAGAGGACGCGAAGATCAAGAAGAAGACATGGGTATATGTTTGTTTGTTTTTTTTTCATGCATCTAACTTGTTCTTTAGGCTTTCGTTTCAGATGTAGAGTGGACGAAAAGTAAAAGAAAAGGATGCTACGGCTGTAAGTAGGTTTCTGTTTCTGTCTGTCATCAACTTTTTCAATATTTGTTTGTGTCTCTTTTAGAACGAGGTGGCGTCTCAGTGGGTGGCCTGCAATGGTCGTTAACGTTTCAGTCGTACGGTAAGTTTAGTAAATTATTTCACGTGTTTTTGGACTAAGTAGCTTTAGTTAAAGAAATGATTTTTAAACGACAAAATCCTTGACTTCGATTCTTCGGTGTTTGCAGATGATCAATAAAAATACTTTGATCGATTATGAAAAGTGTAAATGTCATTAACGAAAGGCATAAAGGATTTCCAACATTCTAACTTAATTAGAGAGTTCCCTCGCTCTTTAATTAAGGAAAGAACTATTGGAAAAAATTGATGTAGCTTTTCCAAAATAGTCTTCTGCCACCTATTTTGGAATATTTTCGCATCCACGCAGCGTGTACTTTGTAACCTTCTCCTTTTTTTTGTAATTAAAATAAAAAAAACTGTAATAATAGGTTTTATAAAGTATGTTTTTAGTAAGGTTAAAATACTCAAATTAAATTATTTTTTTGTGATTGACGTTGTTAGGGGCTGTTCGCATGAGCCCAGTAACCGGTCACGAAAAGTCATTGAAAGGAATAAAAACTTTAAGTGCAAAACTTTCTAGAGCGTCAAAAGAGTTGTAATTTTGAAATCAGGCTAAGCTATTTGTTTTCATTTAAAAGTTTTCTGAATTTGCAAAGTAAGAGCATAGAGAAATTGCTCAAAGAATTTTTTTCTTGTGAAGTATTTAATCTTTTCCGTTTGCCAAAATGATTCAACGCTTTGCTGAATCCTGGCTACAGGGCCCACGTGAACAGCCTTTAGTCTGTGTTCAGTGGAGAATTGAGTTTTTTTAAACTTAGCCGTAAAACATTACTTTCAAAATCGTATGCTAAGAAATGTGATTTTGTTATTATTATTATACAAAAATAATCAGCGACGCCATTTTGTCGGGCAAGTTTTACACCTAACTCCCCCCGGGATACGTGCCTGAGGAATATGTGAACACTAATTTTATGTAAATATTTTGTAAATAAATGCTATCATTTTAAATTACAACTAATGGTACAAAACAAAAGAAAATTTGTACGAATGGAAGTGAACTTATTTTACGGTGAATTACTGAATTTATGACTTGTGATTTGCACACGCGTTAATTACATGCAAATTATTTAAATGAAGAAAAATTACGATTGTGATACGCTATGCAACTGCGCATGCGTGTCTTTAGCTGCAAGGAAATTAAAATACGAAAAGATGGAAGGAATCTCATTTTTTATCAAACAAAGCCCTCTTAAAGAAATTTCAAAATCCGAGAGGACGTTCAATAAAGCGTGATAAATGTTGATTCACGAGCATTTTGTGGTTTTTGATGGAGAGAAGCTCGGAATCGGAAAGTTTTTCGAAATTTGAATTGAAGGTACAAGCAGATAAGTATTATTCGCGTTAATTTACGTGGCTTTGTGTTCTGCATTGAAGAACGTTTATTAAAACCCTATTCCTATTTCGTAAAAGTATAAAATAACCCTGACAGAAAACGGGGCAAAAATGGTTCTCCTTGATAGCTTTTAAGTAGATTTCTACTGAGTCCTCCATTTTGAAATTATTTAGCCGGGGGGGGGAGAGTGTTGGCACAAATAACGGAAAGAAAACATCCTGCATGTATATCAGGAAAGTTTTCGGAAATATAGAGTGGGTTTTTTAAAATAATGGTGTATGAAAACAAATTTCCGTAGGAAATATTTATTTTCGAAATGTGCTTACAGGATGTGAAACGTTTTATCCAGGTGTGTACAAAGATTTATTTCATATATATATATATGTTTAAAGATTGGTAATTCAGGCATTATGTTGTTTAAAAATAAAAGTTTCTCCGGATTTTGTAAATAATTTTATTGAGCTTTCGACTCGTTACTTCGAGCCTTCATCAGAATGAGGAAATTATCTATTTACACTTGCTTTTAGCTTGTAGACGCTTAGAGCGTCTAATTGGATTAGGAAGTGAAGCTGTTCCAATGTCGATGACTCTTAGCGTGCGAATAATTCCCATTTTCTCATTTTTTACTTATATATATATATATATACATAAAATGAAATAAAATTGACAAGTTTTACTGTCGCTACTCGGAGTTTCACGCTTTAGGGCGATCTTCAGGCAACTGACAGATTATTTAATATTCGCTGAGTATATACATTGATTAGAAGGTGTTAGGTTACATGACGGCATGCACTAAAGATATCGGAACGTTTATTTAAAATGTTCTTTTTACGTCCTTTCAGGATAAGTAGTCTTTCTTCAAGGCAAAGACGGCAGGGTTTTGGTTTTGTTCGGAGGTGGAAGTTGTTTGATGAAGTCCCACTTAATGTTGTTGTTGTAGTTTCGTTTGTATTCTTTTAGTGTCCACGTGTGATAGTAAGTACTGTCTCGTTGCGGTTTTTATTGTTCGTAATTGATTTAATGTGGTTTCGGTATTGTGTCTTAAAAGCGTATGCATATAAATATATATACATAGATAACTTCCTCATTCTGAAGAAGGCTCGAAGAACCGAGTCGAAAGCTCAATAAAAATCATTTAAAAATCGGAAGAAACTTTTATTTATCAACATTTATGCCTGGACTACCAATTTTCAAACTTATATATATACATATATAGGAAGTTTATATGTGATGATTCTCCGCATAAAACCGTGCTCAATGCCCGAGTGCAGACCGTCAGTATATGTAGTGATGTTGAAAAAAATCACGAAAACTGCAGATTCATCCCGACAAGCCTGTTTCGTGATTGCTCACTCTTCAGGGGATTTAATATATATATGTATATTGTTCACGTATTTTGATTCATACACGCTCATTATAACATGAAGTTACTGATTAGCAATATTTCGCTTTTTAGTAAAAATTTCTTTTAAAGTGTTTCAAGCGAAGTTAAAAGATTCGATGGCTATTGTGTTGTATTAAACCAAGTAATGATTAGTTTTTCTGTGCAACTGACCGATAGTTTCATAACTGGATGATAATAACTAGGAAGGACTATTGTTGTTGATGTTGACTGGCGCTAAGGTTGTCGAAACGTCAGTCAACAACAACAAAAACAGTCCTTCTCAGGACTATACCAACCTGGACGATCTACATCCACAAACATGTAACGATACTCCCGGGTTCAAACCATTTACATTCTTCAGAATAGTTTCTTTATCTACAAGCAATACATATTTTACTACACTAAGTGTACGGGAGTTGACGATATTGATGGACAAACTCATTTCCCCATCCATAGCATTTCCGAAGATTTGACATTTTTGTCTGCCATAACAGCAAAAGGGGTTTTCTGACCCACAGTTAATGAAAACTGTGGGTCAGAAAAACTTGTTTGTGTTGCTAGAAAAAATGGTCTTGTCGAGGTTTACTATTGTGTGAAGCTAAACATTCCACAAACTGCAAAATTGCTAAGTTTCCCAACAACGAACTGTAAAATTGTCCTGTGTAAGAGAATTATTACAACAACAGTAGTTTCCTAAAACAATTGCCTTTAAAATAACATATTTTGCAGCTTTATCTCTAAAACAACATTTTCTTACCACAGTGATGCTTTTAAACAAATAGTATCTCGCGAGTCACAAGTGTAAACACTACAAACAATTGCACGTATGATTAATTAACCTGAATGGTCGATGTTTGCTACAACATACGTTATTGCTTTACCTGCTTTAAAGTGTGCTACTTTTTTAAAAGAATTTTATAAATTAGGGCTACGTAGAACAAACGCTCATTTCTAGAATGAAATCATGGATTTTCAAAACGCTTGTAGCATATACCATATTTCAGAATTGACAACAAAGTTTGTACATGTTATAGCCCATCTACTACCCATTAAATGAATGGACAGTAGGATCACTTTGCTGTTTTGCCTTGTTATGTTGTGACCATATGGTCGTGACAGTATGAGGAAAGACAGAACGACCACTCGCCCACTCTATTGAAATTTTAATAATCGTATTAAATATACAGCACGGCAAAGTGTTCCTGGAGGTTTCAACCCTCGACCTTTCGAATGACAGATCGAAGATGACAAAAAGATAACGAAAACATGCCCATTTTGGTAAGAATGTGTTGATGTTGATAAGCAGCGTCCTTTGTTTCTGTATTTCATCGAGTAAATAGTGTTATCACAAAGCTTTATGATTGCTTTTAGCTGTTTCGACAAATGCTGTTTTAAACTGAGCAATGCTTCTTATTTTATCATCAAACAACACAATATAAAATTTACTCCGGTGCCGTCTGTTGTCGAATTTTTCAAAGCGTTTTACTTTCGCCAAAAGTAATTCTAACCATAAGTTTTCAAATATTATGTTTGCCCAATATGGAGTGTCATTTGTCAATAGTGTCATTTGTCAATAAAGAGTGTCATTTGTAGTTTCACATTGCAAGTTTTTTTTCTGTTAAATAATCGATGTTGATAATAGGCGACAAAAACGTGTTCTGCGTATCTTATATCACAACAGAACCACTTTTCTTGTCCTGTGAAAATTCGAGATTGTATTATGGATTATATTATGCTTGTGTCTGTTGTGTGTTAAGAACCCCTTAGGATCAAAACTACCATGGGATATAGTGTGCATTTTTTTATTAAAATTCGGGTCTAAAAGCATGCATTCTTGCGACAATCCAGGGTGATAAAGTTCACAAGCAATTAGCTTATCATTCATTGGAAAGCAGACGAACTCTAAATTTGACTGGATTTGGGTTTTAATTGATGGTCGAGGACTAAAGGACAAGGATCGATTGAGAGTGTCGATGTTCAAAAGCTATGAACTATTGTCTGCATTATAAGGTGTAAAATTGACACTACTACATTCTTCAAGATGTAAAATTTACCTGTAGTGTAAAATCGACAACACTTATTCTAATAAAGTGAATGGTTTGAACCCGGGAGTATCTTTCCATGTTTGTGGATGTAGATCGTCCAGGTTGGTATAGTCCCGAGAAGGACTGTTTTGTGATTGTTGACTGACGTTTCGACAACCTTAACGGTAGTCATCTTCAGAGTCAAGAACTCTGAAGATGACTCTGAAGATGACTATCGCTAAGGTTGTCGAAACGTCAGTCAACAACAACAAAAACAGTCCTTCTCAGGACTATACTAACCTGGACGATCTACATCTACAAACATGTAAAGACTTATTCTTTATGTTCTGCTATAAAACTGACCGGGCATAAAATTGCTTATGATTTGAAGACGCCTTAGAAAGAAATTGAATGGATTTCTGGAGCGTTTTTAACAGAACTACCTTGAAAAACATTAAAATTCGCTAAAATGGTAAAATCCTACTAAGGAATTTTCGCGGAAGGAGTTTCAGAGTTTTATATTGTAATTGTCAGTTCATGCAAACCGAAAATTTCATTTTCGTATTTCTTCAAAGGTGATTACCGCTAAGGATATCGAAACGTCAGTGATCACTTAACACCACACTGCCTTTCTAGGGACTACATTATACACTGCACGATCAACATCGACAAATATGCAACAATACACTCGAGTTAAATTCACATTAGTACTTCCATGTCACCAACAAATTATTATACATGCGCGTCTCAGAAGGCTTGATATATATGTGTGTGTTAAAGTAATAAAGATTATCCCAAATTTTTTTTTACATTGAATGCGCAGTCGTGTGATTCGATTCCTGCCAAGAGGGCGGTAATGGTAACTGCATGTTTAATGTGAGTGATCAGTATTGGAAATTCTTCCACATCTCGCCCTCTGCACCAGTCGTGATCGAATAAGTTAATTGAAAACGTTTGGACGAAAGATTATCAAATTCTTCCGATTTTGTCGTTGAAATTGTACACCAAGCCACCTACCCTTTGCACTTTCAATGCGAAATTAGAACGTCATTTTGTAATCTTATTATCTCTCCTGAGTCACTCCCTTTAAGTCGGTTTATTGAAACTACCCCTTCCGCAAAAAAATGATCCATCAGCAAAAATTTAGGAGAGCCAGACTCTTACTTTGCATTGCTTCAATTGGCTTGACTTGTTGAATCGATGACAAAATTTGTATTTAGTATATTGTATCGAATGCTCTTTACAAATATTTCACAAATATGATACTCTTTGTTAGCTTCTCTGCCATGCTAGTGTTAAGGGGAAGACTTGGAGCATGATAAAATCGGTCAGTTTTATGACAAAATGTGCGATTGGTTTTGTTGCGTTGGTGTGCAATTGACAAGTCAACGCCTATATTGCTGTTGCTTCCGTACGTAGCACAACATGTGACAGAGTCAGAGAGCCTATATAAGGAGAGATGTTTCTTATAGTTGGTCACAAACCACACAGTGCAAATTAAGTGCAACACCAAAGCTACAGTATGAAGAAACTTCATATTTCGATCCTGTTTTCGTTCCTTACAGGACTAGTTATCTGTCAACAGAAACCATCTATTCTTCGTCGTAATCAAAGATATCCCAACGATGATGAAAGTAACATATGCAGTCGCATACGAGACGTCATTCCACGCAATTCGGGACGTTTTCGCAAAATCCTTATCCGAAATACAAAGAACGATGTCATTTTTGTTAATGAAGATTGCCGGCGAATGACCGCTCGTTGCAAAAGCAAATTGGATGCTGTCATATCTCTAGCTAAACGTGAATGGTCAGCGCTGAAAATTCGAGTATTAAAAGCTTGGACGGACCGGGTTGACATAAACGACCCAATATCACTGCACTATGAAGGTCAGCTGATTGTGCAATCATTTTGTTGTTTTTTTTTGAGCAAGCTCATGTTTTCATCAATTCAATCTTTTGTTAGCTAATCTCATTAACATATGGTATGTGTCAGTTATATGTGTTTCAACGCTCACTTTAGTGCGCGATGATCTGTTTTAAAGTGCCTATGACAAAAAATTTATGGAAGTGTTGAAGTTTTTGCGATATTACATGAATTTATTGTCAAAACTGCTTTTATGGTTTTTCTAAAATTGACGAGAATAAACGTTAATAACAAATTAACAATTACATTGATTCGAAAACGACCGACCGCAAATTAAATAATTTATACTTCTAAAAACTTCCAATAGTTAAAAAATTAAACATTGGTATATTTTTTGCATTGCACAGTACTTGATACTATTTTCAAGACAAATTCTTCAGTTTTTTACGCTGCTGCTTTGATTAGTCGTTGTGGATGTCTTATTTTTGACAGTGAACATAATATTGATGACAAGAAGAAACAAGAAAGCATGCTTCCGTGCTTTTCTTTTCGATTCTTTTTTATTAAAACCGCTACGAACACGCAAATGCCGTGCTTTTGCATGCATAGCGTCCCTTTTAAAAGGAGATTTTTGCATGAAATATTTGTGAATGAAATGCGATCGTTTCTGCACCTTATTTTTCATTGAATAACAAGCTAATCCTTTTCACATTGTCATTGTTGTTTTCAACATAGGAAGTGCGCCAACGCATTCATAAATAGAGAAAATCTTGAGTATGATATTTATTTTTTAATCCACACGGAATTTGACCTCCGCAAATTAAGAGGGTTGGCTTACGACATTTTCTCCGCTTAATGTACAAACGATGATGGATATTTGTGGATATTTGAGGATGATAATTTTCGGTTATCCAACAATGCACTCGACAATACATATCGTGTCTATTAACAAAAGCCCTTTTAATACGACATAAACTTGCCCGGGTTTATCCCAGGTTCATTTTTTGCATGCAAACACCACTAACCCAGGTTTGAACTAGCTTAAACGCAACCTACCGCTGTTTTGTTTTACTACACCACATGAATAACTGCGTACCTGAAAGATAAACCATTGCAAACACTTACTCTTCGGTCAAATGTCATTTAACATAAAAACCAAATATGATTCCTGGCTCTTTCATACCGCCTGCAGGCGTATTAACTGTGGCACGTACGTAAACAGTTGTGAAATATGACGGTAATTGACGTAAAAAAAAACAAGTCTCTTCATCTAGTTAATTTATTGTTTATTGATTGGGATGACCAATCATATTATAAAAAAACATTTACTCAAACACATAATGCGATAAAACACGTCTAATGAAACTGACCTGTCGTTTACACTTGAGATATTATATTATCATAAGTTTATTGTCAGCCAATCCTAGACAAGTTTCTGCTTTGTATTTACGCCAGTTCATACGTGCCATGACATATCCAACGCAATTGCTAAACCCCCCCTGCAATAAAATGACGTATAAACTCGCGTATTTTCTTATTATTTTTTTACATCTGTTTGGTCACATCTCATTGTCCATTTGACAGGTCGTTCCTTGCGTCTTCAAACATCAGACAGGGACCCTAACAAACTGAGACGACTGGCAGGCATTGCGCTCGAAGCAGGTTTTGATTGGGTGAAATACTCTAGTAACGGCTACATCCGAGCCTCTGTAATCCCTGATGGTATGTATTGAAATACAGTCAGTTTCAAGATTAAAACTGTAGAAATCTTCAGTAATGAAAGTAGAAAGTAGAAATTGTTTTATTACAAATGTTTATAAAGAAGAACACATGAGAAACAAGACTGTTTTCATGTCATAAATTTCACAAAAATACGACTGAAATTATTACACTCGCAACACGCGAACGGATGAAGAGAAAAATAACAAAACGTCTTGTCCTTTCTTTGTCATAGTCTGCCAGACATCTGTTGATCTCGTCTTTCTACTGGATGGATCAGGTAGCGTCAGACGGAAAAACTTTCTCAAAGTAAAAGATTTTGTGAAGAAAGTGTTGGATTTCTTTAATATTGGTGTAACGGGAACCCATGTTGCTGTCGTGAAGTACTCGACGAACATAAAAACAGAATTTCCTCTCAATCGTTATTACACTAAGTCCGATATGAAACGGGCTGTGGACAGAATATCCTATGAACGCGGCTTAACCTTCACAGGCGAAGCTTTGAACCATCTACGTCATCACATATTTACCAAGTCAGCAGGCATGCGTGCTGATGTTGGTATACCAAAAGTCCTGGTGCTTTTAACGGACGGTTACTCAAATGGTATTTCGGTTGGTCCTCCTGCTCAAAAGTTAAAGAATTTAGGCATAAGTATATTTAGTATAGGTGTTGGCCACCGTTTTAGCTTGTCTGAACTAAAGGAAATCTCATCTGATCCTGATTCCGACTACGTTTTTAAGAGAACTTTCGACAATCTCATAGCGAGTTGGGTGGATCAGCTCAGTTCAGTCTCTTGCAGTGGTACGTCGTTTTGTGTGTGGTGAAACTATGTATTAAAATATGGATCGTCGATACTTTTGATCTTCAGTAGCATAAATAAACTTACAGAAGTGTAAGGGAGGGGAGGGGGGGCTCTTTAAAAAGTCTGAGATGAACTATGCACATTTCTTTGATTTTGACTACTTTGAATTTTGCTACTCCCCTTCGCCAACCATCTTGTAACTCCCCCTATGCTCCCATTTTCTCCACGATGGCCTGAACAATGATTTCCTTCGTAAAAGATAAACTTCTGGTACAAACCAAGAGGAGGGGGGGGGGCATGACTAGTCGACTGCTCATGTTACCATCGAATTACGAAAACTCTCACCTGATCGCTAGAAACAAGGGAAATCACTGTTGTAGGACTTGGTACATTTGAAAGTTTTTACTAGAAAGCATGCGTCCAGACTCCCATGATTAGCCTCACGCCTCTGGCCGTTTGATAATCTGCCTCTTTCAACTCCAAGTCAAGGTCCAGCAAAGTCACTGCTAACTTTAAGCTTTCGCGAGTTCAAGTGAAGCTTTTGCTGACACTACAGACACATTTGATGTGTCAATAAGAAAAGCATATGTACATACTTACTTTATGAGACTTTTTTTATCTTTTAGAGGCATCATTGATCGACTCGTGCAAGAATTCAGAAACGTCTGTTGAAAGCGGTTCATTCAAATATTTTCGCACGCAGTTTCATTATGTAACAGGAAGCACAATAAGCGTCGAATTACGTGATGTTGTAGGTATGTACATAAAGAAACAATTGACATCAACTTCAAATTATTTCAACATATTTGTGATAAGATTTATTTTTCATGGAAAGATTCTTCATGAAACGATTTTAAAGGTTACAATGGGCAAAACTAGAGCTCTATTTTTTTTTTGCGGAGAGGAGGTGGGAGGAAGATAAATATTCATTTATTCAGATCTTGCCTTGGTTTCAAACGAAATCAGTCGTGCAGAGCTGTCCCACCCCCAACTAGGCTCCCAGTTTGTTGTTTGCACTTTTTCGTATGGAACTGTAGCCAGTGACGTAGCAAGCCCGCAAATTAGGTCGTGCTATGTAAATTTCAGATTATTATCATTATTCATTTCTTTAGAATTCTATCGTTTTTTTTACAGTGAGTTAACACAGAAAAATATACATAACACGACCAAACATAGGGGGCTGTCTACGCTACTGACTGTAACAGCGCTTGTGTACAGAATTATATGTTTCTAAAACAAAAAAGTCAATTTATTATTTACAACCATTCACCCAAGCAGAAATTTCCGTTAAGCTTAAAACGAACACATGTAAATCAGTTTTTGTGCTTTTCTATTGAACTTGTGCTGATTTTCCTCCTCCAGGTGTGAGTCATTTGTATGCTTCAAAATCAAGCAAGAATCCGGGACCTTTGGATCCTGCTAGCATAAAGAATGAAGACAAAAAATCGCCCAGAGCTGTTTCTGTCAGTGTGGACAGCTCAAAAGTAATTAGTTTTCATTTTTACCTGTATTTCATATTTTTCGCTTTGAATTTCATTCCATTACCTGTTTGAATAGTTATGCCATTACAAACCAGAAGACTTCATTTCAATATACTCTTTACATTGTTTACGAGTATTACTGTATTGTTTGTTAATTACATTGCATCTATAGTAACACGGAATTTTGCATTAGGGGAGTAAAAATTCTACTGCCCATCTTTCATTGAATTTATCTAGCGCTTACCAAAATAGTTCTTTATTTCTCTGATAGCGTGAATCGGACGTTCGTATTTTCATTTGCTCATTTTTAGACTGTGTTTGTTGCCGTGCAAGGTCAACGAAATAAAAATACATTTACGCTCTCGTTTTGGGACAATCTCTTCAAGGAAGTCACGTACAATGTAAAGATTGCGGAAAATGAGCCAGCAAAAATGATTTCTTCTCTTGGATTATCCACGTCGAGATACAAGTGAGGGATTACGAATTCGAATATCTTTGATTATTTTCATAATGATGTGCATTCGAGTTGATGAATGCTGCATGACATAGCTTTGTGAATGAGTTTTTGCGTTTTGCAAACAATAGCCAAAATGGTGTGATTTTAAATTTGATTTAGATTAAAGTTCAAAATATCAGATGGAAACACTGGAAATGCATTTAGAATCGACTCAAACGTGCCTAAATTGTACACAACAAAAGCTTTGGACAGAGAAAGCATTTCTATGTACTCTTTGATTGTTGTTGCTGAAAACGAGAGAAACAAATGTCATAAAAGTCGTACAAATATCATTGTTAATGTACTAGACAAAAACGACCATGCGCCAAAATTTACTCGTAGTTTATATACACTGTCAGTTTTGGAAAACACCGCTGTAAATACGGTGTTGACAACTGTCCAGGCAACCGACAAAGACTCGGGACAGAATGGTCAAATCACTTATACTATTACGTCACAAGATTCCCTGAATAAATTTCGTATCAATAAGCGAGGAGAAGTTGTTCTCAAAGGGCAGTTGGATTATGAGAGCACTCAAAGATATACGATACATCTCGAAGCACGAGATGGCAAAGGACTTAAGGATAGTTCTAGACTAGTGGTGACTGTTCTAAACGTCAACGAAGCACCAACTTTACGTTGCAACAATGTAAACTGTGAATATACAGTCAACGAAAACGTTCCCTTGGGTACCAAATTTGCTGCACAGATGCTGGGCTCAGACCCGGACTCAAGAACGTCATGTAAACTAAAATACAGTGTTCAATCTACCGTAAAGAACAAATTCAATATTCAATCAGATGGTGTACTAAAGACCAACGGTCCTCTAGACCGCGAGTTACAGCCGATCTATCGCTTTTATGTAACTGTAACGGATTGTGGAGGATTAACAGATAGTGTCCACGTGACAGTCACGTTGACGGATGTGAACGATAACGCTCCATATTTCTCCGGAAATTACTTGGTCAATATACTTGAAAGCGAACAACCCGGTAGCAACGTGTTGCAAGTCACAGCAAAAGGTAGGAAGGTCAAATATTTCCACAAGGGGGGAGGGGTGGGTTGGTAAGTTTCACGAACCCCTGTTAGGGTGGGCCCAAAAATAAAAAGTTAACAATTGGAATAAACTGAGCCGAAGGAAATGCTTGCCAAGGTATAATTACTTCTCATTAAAATGTGCGTGTAAGGCCATGATCAAACGACTTAATATGACAGTCAATTGTGAATTGCTTTCAATGCTATTGTAATGGCGATGTGTTTGACAACAATGACGTCATTAATGACGTCACGTGTTTCCTAGACGCGGATGAGGGAGCTAATGCAAGAATAATGTATAGTTTATCCGGTCCAGAATCCACAGCGTTTTTAATTAGCTCGAGCGATGGTAAAATAACAACAAGATCATCTTTGGATTTTGAAAAGAAGCAATCGTATCAGTTTCGAGTCATAGCATCGGATGGAGGACAAAATGTTCAACGAGGTACATCTAGGGTCACTGTGAACGTCGTTGATGTAAATGATAACGAACCGGTCTTTGGTGGACCGTATACTGTACATGTTTCTGAAGATGTTGCACGTGGCAAGAACGTGATCACTGTGAAGGCAACTGATAAAGATTCGGGTTTGTTGACTTTTTCATGTCTTCTTGTTGTGCATTCATTTGTGTTATGCATTAATGGACAATTGATCAGCCAATCAGAAAGTCAGTAATGTGTTGATCAGCCAATCAGAAAGTCAGTAATGTGTTGATCAGCCAATCAGAAAGTCAGTAATGTGTTGATCAGCCAATCAGATAGTCAGTAATGTGTTGATTAGCCAGTTAGAAAGTCAGTAATGTGTTGATCAGCCAATCAGAAAGTCAGTAATGTGTTGATCAGCCAATCAGAAAGTCAGTAATGTGTTGATTAGCCAATCAGAAAGTCAGTAATGTGTTGATTAGCCAGTTAGAAAGTCATTACTAATCTATTAGCCAACCGAATGCTCTTACGGTAAAATACAGCGGTTTTATTGCTGTAATTTCAGGGAAACGTGGTAAAGTTCATTATTCCATTATTGATGGAAATAAGGACAGCGCATTTGCCATCGACTCCATTTCTGGTTCAATAAGCGTCAGTTCCGTCCTTGACAGGGAAACCAAGTAATTTTGTTTTCGTTTTTCTGAAGCTTTCCATTTGGGCGGCTGCAATAAGTTAACCATCAATCCTCATACATTATAGAGCATTGTATAAACTCGTTATTCAAGCATCAGATCAAGGCTCGCCATCTCTCAATTCTCGAGTGAATGTCGTCATAACAATCGATGACGTCAATGATAACAGACCCGTGTTTCAGGGTGAACCTTTTAAGCGATCTGTACCAGAAAATTATTCTCTGACAAACGTTCTTCTACAGGTACGAGTCTCGACTGTCTCGTAAGGTCTTTTTGTACTTTGAACGTTTTAATTGTACGTGGTGAAATTTCTTGTCAGGTTATTGCAGTGGATGCTGACGCTGGATACAATGGGACAGTTGTGTATAGTATTAAGTCTTCAACGGCAGCGAATACTTTTAGTATTGATGGAAATAACGGTGAGACTTTTGCATCTCCTATTCAGGGTACTTTTGGTTCGAAACTACGATTCGTAACCCTTCACTTCCTTTCACAATATCAAAGCATTGAAAGATACAAATAGTTTTAGTGTTTTTAAATGTTGAGCTTAGCTTGTTTTAACTGTTTTGCATTTTAGGCATTTTTTGCTTTAGAATTTTTCAACGAGTTCATTTTCGAAAATCATATGTTGTATGGAAACTTGTCCTCGATAAACGTTCATTGTCATTCTTATCTTGAAACTAGATTGCAGTAGTTTTTCTTATTGTCGGTCATTAAAGCTTTATATCTTAGCTATAAATCCTGCATCCATTCCGCGTTGTGGCGGTCTATTTCTAGATTTTTTGCACAGGCTACATTTCAATAACTTTAATAATTATCTATATTTTCTGATGGGATTTTCAAGGCGAGATAAAGCTGAAGAAATCCCTTGACTACGAAGTAACAAAAGATTACAGCTTTACCGTCACTGTAACAGATGGTGGAGGACGAAAAACGGAAACAAACATTCAAATAACCGTCGAAGATGTAAATGATAACAAACCAATATTTCAAAATGCTCCTTACAATGCTAGTGTCTTAGAAAACGCAAATATAGGTCACGTAATTGGTACCGTCATTGCCACAGACCTAGATACAGGACCGCGCGGTCGTGTGTCTTATTCAATTGCAAGTGGAAATACTGGTAACGCATTCCGAATCAGTGCAGTTGGTAAGTGCATGTATATTGTTGCTTGGTTTGTGTCTGTCACAGTCTCATGTACTCTGTAGAAAAGGACTAGACATACCTCTGAAAGGTGTCAAAGAAACTCAGTTTATTCTTTTTCATTACTTTTCACCTTGGTGTGACGAACGTGTCGTGGAAGTGTTGCAAATGTCGTGGAGATCCATTCGATTCTATCGTCTATCACGACATTCACGACACTCTGTCACTACACAATAACGACTATACGGAAACCACGCTAAAGTTTCTCCCTACCTGATCCTTAATCCGATCTCTAACCAATACGTCAATCCCACCTAATACTATAAGATTAAAAATAAAGCTTCGGGTTAGAGATAAATTTCATGTATTTGTAGCACATGAAATTATCATCTTAAAGCAAGGCAACTGGGAGCATCATGCATTGCGCGCATCAACTGCCAGACTTTATAATGTACATGGCATATTTTCAATACCTCTAGGAAATGTGGTGGTCGCTTCAAATCTAGACTATGAAACAAAAAGTATTTATGTGATCACAATAAAAGCTCAAGACGACGGTAAAGATCCTAAGTCAAGTACGACACAATTCAAGATAGACGTTACTGATATCAACGATAACGCACCAAGATTTCAACAAAATCTTTTTTCGTTTAAAATCGCCGAAAACAACATTGTAAATACCGTAGTTGGTACTATAGATGAAGCAAAGGATGCTGACTCCGGTAGTAATGGTGAGATTGACTACTTCATCGTAAGTGGAAACACCGATAGGACTTTTGTATTAAGAAATCGTGATCTTTTTGCTAACAAGAGTTTGGATCGAGAACAGAAAGACTTTTATTCGTTGATAATCGAAGCGAAAGATCGGGGTCAACCATCTCTATCAACAAGAGTTTCGGTCGAAGTTCTTATCCTAGATACAAACGACAATGCTCCAATATTTACTCGCGACAATTACAGTTGTGTTATCGATGAAAATGCCGCCGAAGGCTTGCGTGTTTGCGCTGTTCGAGCGACTGATGACGACATTGGAAACAATGGGACGATCGCGTATGAACTGGTAACAAGTTCAGATGAATTCGCATTATCGCAGGTTTGCATTTATTTCAAAGCGTTTTATTATTTTACCACATTAGATGTCTGTTCGGATCAAAATTACTAATAATAACTCAGGTATTTTTACACTTCAAAATACGTAAGTTATTTTAGATTGGCTTGAGTTTATATTTTTTAGACATTTGTAATAAATTGCGTTAACGTATTTCAGGGAATTTGGTTTGAAAATTGACTGCTTCTTTAGTTCATGCATGCTCTGCTCAAGATGGATCAGCTATTGGATCAACAAGATGCCTTTCTCGAAAAATAGTATCAAATGTAGATTTCGGTTATAAAACTAATGTATGCTTAGCTTTATCATCTCCGCCGTTGATTGAAACATCACATTTTCCTTCTTCATTTTCCAGGAAAGCGGGGAAATCAAAAGTGAAATTTCATTTGACCGAGAGAGAAACCTCATACATGTTGCAAGTGCATGCTAAAGATCTTGGCAATCCCCAAATGTCCTCAACTGCCATGGTGACCATTAAAATTACAGATGTGAACGACAACGCGCCGAAATTTGACAAAGACTACATGTTTGCGGTATCAGAAGATGCGTCAAGGAACGAGAAAGTTGGTAAAATCAACGCGAGTGATGTAGACGAGGGACAAAGTGGTTCAGTTGCGTACACTATTATTCAAGGAAATATCAATTCTTCGTACGTACACGAGCAAGATCTCCTTGGTCGCTTCACGTAGAGTTGTTATGTTTATGTTGTGTTCATGAACTGCAGTTATACTTTAACAAGCTATTTTTTTCTTATCTTTATTACATCGTATAGCTTTGCGATTGATAAAATACAGGAGAACTAACTGTGCAGTCGTCATTAGATCGTGAAATGTTGAGCAGTTTCAAGCTTACCGTTTCTGCATCAGATCAAGGAAATCCAACTCTTTCTTCGAGAAAAGTTATTCCTGTGAAGATCTTGGACGTCAACGATAATTCTCCCAAGTTTACACTTACTACGTATGTGGGAAGTATTGCAGAGGACGCTGCCAACCAATCACGTGTTGTCCAGGTATTTTATAGAAAAATAACCATAGACATCATCCAGACACGTAGCCACAACGATAACTTGGGGGGGGGCATATTTATATATTCATTTTATATTCCGTAAAAAACAATGGATTTCAAAAGAAACCAATACGGCATGTCATGCATGTATGAATATGCCCCTCCCCAATTATTGTTGAGGCTACGTGCCTGACATTATCCTTTTGGTTACCGATCTTCAAAGTCTACATAATACTCCAGTCTTTGTCTGTTGGTGTTATTAAGACATGAATTCATAAATTTTCATTTAATTTTCTTTAGGTGAAAGCAAATGATGCAGACGATGGCATGAACGGTCAAATCAAATACGCTATATCTTCTGGGATAAAAAAGGAACATTTTGCCATCGATAGTGACTCTGGTTTGATAACATCTGCAAGTAAATTGGATTATGAAACGAAAAAATCATACAACCTTACTGTCACAGGTAATGATCAGATCAAAGCAAGACTAGAACACCTGGAACTACCAGCGATATCAAAGCAGAAAAAAGTCAAAATTATTATTTTGTCAAAAAATAGCCCACAACGTTTAATTATAACTACACGAATGCAACTGTAATAATTTACAATCAAACAAATTTCTTTGTTAAGTCTAAAAAATTTCTCTTCCTCTGCGATTATCCAATATTCAAAAAATTAACATTTACATTTTTTCTTTTGTCTATAGCAACAGACCAAGGAACTCCATCAAGATTTACGACATGTTTTGTCAATATTGAAGTCATAAACACCAATGACAACGCACCAACCTTCGTCCCAGGCTCTCCAGTGGCATACGTCAACGAAGGTGTTTCCATCGGAACTGAAGTGGTAAAGTTCAACGCGACTGACAAAGATGGCAATCGCCTAGCATTTTCTATCACACTAGGCAACATCGCGGGCGCATTTTTAATCAATAACGATACGGGACTTCTTACAACACATTTAAAATTAGACAGAGAGAAGATTGACCGTTACAACCTAACGGTTACCGTTACCGAATCTTCTTCTGTACAAGGCTCGGCCCAGTCAAGCTCTCAAAATCTCAGCGTTATCATTACTGATACAAATGATAATCCTCCCGTGTTTCAACCTTCACATTATTCAAGAAATATCACAGAGAATTCACCAAAAGGTACGTTTCTTAAATGACGTAAAGTATAATTGAGCTTCTCCAGGTGTATATGGAGATTGCCTGGTAGGTTTTTGAAAGCGGTCGGATGCTGAATTTAATTTGATATTTTCCACAAATCAAAAGCATTCAAACGAGTTTTAGAAATCCTTTTTTGCTTAAATTCAATTTAAATAAGATTGGGATACTGAAAACTTAGTCTATACTCCCAAGAAATTCAACAGTCATAGCATCCAAAGTCGTTCAGCGGCTTCTCATGAAACACACAACCTTTATGATCGATAACTCTTTAATATAACCTATACTCGCCTTAAAGGAGAGCATTAAAATCTGTAATATACACAACCACCGATGTTAATGTCAAATTTATCATGCAATAATTAAAGATTAAGGATTAAACATTAAAGATTTGATTTGTTTGTAGGAGTCTTATTAACCGTTAAAGCAACAGACAAAGATCTTGGAGATAACGCTAAAATCATATTCACTTTGGACTCCATCTCACAACAGTGGTTCAGCGTCGATTCTAGCACAGGAAAAATTTCAAGTATTGTTTCCTTAGATCACGAAGATCGAGCAACTCACGCGGTCACAGTGACCGCAAGGGATTCCGGTACACCCGCTTTGCAGGCTACAACGTTGGTAAAAGTGACGGTTAATGACATGAATGATAATCGTCCGCGATTTGCAAAAGACTACTCCACGGCACTCTTAGAAAACACAGCTATCAACAGCACCGTTTTACATGTCCACGCTTTTGATCCCGACTCCGGTATAAATGGGAAGATTTTTTATAAGATTGCATCTGGTAATGATTTGGGATACTTTAAAATTGATAAAAGTAGCGGGATCATTGCGGTTGCCAAGTTACCTGATAGAGAACAATATTCTATGTTTACACTAAACGTCAGCGCAGGTAATCAACCCAAATATGCTCTCTCTACACCACCTTCAAGATCAAATTGCATGGTGAGCATTGTAATATTAGATGCAAACGATAATGTGCCCACTATCACAAACAACGTTTCTGACGCTCAAATCGAGGAAAACTCCGAAAAAGAGAAGTTTGTACTTCGTGTTGTTGGTAATGATAATGATATCGGTGTCAATGGAGAGATCCGATACGATATTGTCGCCGGAAATATTAAAAATGCGTTTAAAATTGATCGTTATACTGGCGTCATTACCACGCGTTTTTCACTAGATCGTGAGATCATCGCTAGGTACGTTTTGTCTGTGAGAGTAATGGATAAAGGTAACCCAAGACTTTCGTCTACTAAAGACTTCGTTGTGAACGTCTCGGATGTGGATGATAATGCTCCGGTGTTTAAAGAGGATGTTTACTATGGTATGTTATATTGATGTGAATGATTTGAACCTGGGAGTATCGTTACATGTTTGTAGATAAAGCTTGTCGAGACTAGTGGAGTCCTGCGAATGACTGTTGGTGTTGTTGGTGACTTGACTCTGAAGAAAACTACCGCTGAGAAGTTGAAACATCAGTCAACACCAACAGTCCCTTTCAAGACACCACTAATCTGAACGATCTAAATTTACCAACATAATATGTTGTATGTTGTGATTTTTTTCCCACGTCAGCGACCTAATTTATGTTAAGGCAAGGCGTACACCCATTTGTCCAAGGTTAGGAAGAGTGAACACCCCTTTGCACCCTCCTGCACCCCATTTGTCCAAGGTTAAGAAGAGTGAACACCCTTTGCACCCTTCCTGCACTCCATTTGTCCAAGGTTAAGAAGAGTGAACATCCCTTCCTCTCCAAGGTTAAGAAGAGTGAACATCCTCTCCTCTTCTAAATGCATCCCTGGTTTTTCTGCTTTAACTCCACCTTATTCTATAGCATCAGTACTGAGTCTGCAAGTGTGAACACGTCAATACAGCATCTTCAAGCGACAGACAAGGATTATGGAATAAATTCCGAGATAAGCTATTCAATCGTGTCGGGAAATGAAAAGCGTCACTTAAGAATCGATCCAAAGTCTGGCGAGATATTCACGCAATCTCAATTGGATTACGAAACATTAAATACGTACAATCTAACCGTGGAGGCCCGGGATACAAAACACGTGACGAGTGTTAGCATCGTGGTTCGTGTCATAAATGTTAACGACAACAGACCAGTATTCAACCCAGCATCGTACTCAATAAACATTCCTGAAAATTATACCGTGGATAAAACAATATTTGGTGTTTCAGCAACGGACAAGGACTCATTTGGGGGTCTCACATACAGCTTAGATAATCATCACGACATATTTACAATAGATCCGTCAAACGGACACATTAGTGCAATATCCAAGCTTGACCGCGAGACTGTTGATTATTATAATATCACAATTCGAGCCACTGATGGTGGAACTCCATCGCTGACCGACACTGCTGTTGTAGAGCTTCGGATAACGGATGTCAACGATAACTCGCCGATTCTTAATGCAACTCAAAATAAAGTATATATTGCTGAGAATTCAGAGGTTGGATCTGTGTTGTTGATAATTACAGCGACTGATAAAGATATTGGTGTGAACGCTGAACTACGTTACAGTATCGAAAACGGTAATGAAGCGGGTAAATTTCAAATGGATGCATTGACTGGTGTCCTCAGCGTCAAAGGTGATATTGATAGAGAAAAAGTTGACCAGTTCAGGTATAAATATGTTCATTTATCAAAAAGTTTAGACTTGATAGAATTTCGTGTTGTGTTAATAAACCAATCGCATATGTTTGTGTAGTTTGAAAATAATGGTACGTGATCTTGGCACTCCTTCCCAGGCCTCCACTCCATTGATGATCTCCGTGAAAGTACTGGATGTCAACGATAACCGACCGTTATTTGTCAAGAACACATATGAGCAAAATATTACCGAAAATTTGTCTTCGGGAGTTTTCGTGCAGCAAGTTGAGGCAGTTGATGCCGATCTTGGATTGAATAGTCGTGTTACCTATGCAATAGTGAGTGGTGCGCAAGGATACTTTGCTATAAATAATGAATCTGGTAGGTCTATTTATTTTATTACAGTTTCTTATTCGGAGAGATTAGATTTTTCTGGGTTTTTTCTAAATGTGTTCAGAATTTTAGTTAAGAACCATAAGTACAGTATAAGCTTTTTCCTGTAGGTTTGAATGGAATATTTAACTTGAACCCTTTTGAATAAAATCACGGTCTCATCAATAAAGTTTATTCATTCAGGCATCATTGAGACCAGCGGTCCATTGGATCGTGAACATATTGCCAAGTTCGTTATCGTGATTGAAGCTAAAGATTGCGGAAATCCTAGCCTTAATTCTACTATATCATTGCTGGTGAACGTGTTAGACGCCAATGATAACTCCCCGCAACTTGAAACCATTGTGGCGAATGTAACCGAAGAGAAACCGAAAGGGAGTTCGTCGTCCGAGTGTCAGCGACTGATTTGGACCTCGGAAAGAGCGGGAAAATCGAATACAGTTTAAGCATCCAAGCAAACCAATATTTGAGCATCGATAATGAAACTGGAGTGGTTAGGACTAAAGTTAAATTTGACTACGAACAACAAAAGAATCATACTTTCAAAATCATTGCAACCGATAAAGGTTTGTTATCAACGGTTTTAACAACGTGTCAATAGTTGGATTTGTGGCTTGTGAACAATAGAATAGGTGGGATTTCATCGGGGTGGATTTGTTAACAATGAGATGGGCGATGGTTCGTGGGGTGTACTAGGACGGCTAATGTAGTCATTAATTTTATGTTGATTGTTCTCCTGTCCCTTTTATAAAAGTATTTAAAAAAACCTTACAATGAAATCCAACTTTTGTTAATATTGAAGTTTGAGAAATTTTTAGGCAAGTTGACAAGTCAAAGGTTGAAACATGTTTTCTTACTCTACCAGGCAAACCTCCATTATCAACTATGGCAGATTTTATTATCAAAGTGATCGATATCGATGACAATTGTCCTGTATTTAACCCTAAAGAATATAATGTCACCATTCCGGAGAACCTACCAGACCGTACTTACATTCTGCAAGTGTTTGCTACAGACCTCGACACAGTGGGAAGAAGATTGAAGTACACAATCCGTAGTGGAAACATTCAAACGACGTTCAGAATGAATGCAAGTGATGGTTAGTGTCTTATAATGAAAGATTTTTCCTTACAATATATGTTGTCATTGATTTCACTGTTGCCGTTTGAAATGTTGCGTGCCATATTTTTTGAGCAAATCTAGGTTTTATCAACGTTCTTGATGTAGCTTGTTTTCTTGTCAGTAAAGCTAGTATGTGTCTCTTGTTAGTCAAGTTATGTACCTCTTGTTAGTCAAGCTGTTTGCCTCTTGTTGGTCAAGCTGTGTGTTTCTTGTTAGTAAGTTATGTAACTGTTGTTAGTCAAGCTATTTGTTTCTTGTTAGTCAAGTTATGTAACTGTTGTTAATCATGTTATTTGCTTCATTTGATTTGCAAATCTGTTTCATCCTCTTTTACAGGTGTTCTTCAATCCAGTCACAATGTCGACCGCGAAATTGCCGCCGAGTACAATCTTGTCGTACAAGCTGGAAAAGATTTTTGTGGTGTTAAAGCCTCTGAGGATTTAGGTAAATTTTATTTTGTGAATCTACGAGCAACCTGTCCTTAGTACCTATTGTTTCATTGTGTTTTGTTCTGGCCGCTTGTGACTTGAAAAATGTTTAAGGAATGGTGTACTTCATGTAACATTGATGTTATCCATCTAGCCGAAAGCGACTATTTTGAATATTCAAAGTCCATCGCTAAAGTGAATATCATTCTCACTGATCTCAACGATAACGCTCCAATTTTCCATCAAAGTTTTTATCAATACGAATTGGAGGACGTCAGTGCTTCCACTTTGTTAAATGTGACAGCAAGTGATCCAGACGAAGGAATCAATGCTGACTTTGATTTTGGATATGGAGGTGTTACGAGGGTAAGCGAGGGATATGATGGTAAAGTAAAATTGATGTCGTTATAAAGAAAGCCTTTTCCTGTCTCTTTTATAGAATGGCTCAAGTCGAACATTAACTGTGACAGCAACTGATAAAGGAACTCCACCAATGACATCAAGTGCAGCAGTAAAAATCATCGGGTTAGTATGTTCGATTCACAGTTCAGGAATCAAGCATTAGATCAGTTTAAATGATAGTTTTTCGTTTCAGACGTGAGTGTGAGGCGATGCAATTTTCCGTGTCGCCGCGTGGCCTCGTTACTGCCAAAACATTGTGTTATTTTGATCAGATCGTGGTGCCCAAAAAAGCTATTGTCGGTGAATCAGCTGTTGTAAGTCTTTAGGATTGATAAATTCCCGATATTTGCCACAATAGGAACTTTGGCTGGAATTATTTATATATATTTAGTATAAAGGTCAATTTAAGACAGGAGAAAATAGGGTTTTAAGAGATGTTTAGGGGGTAAACGGGACTTTTTCTTCATAGTTCAATTGCACTGCGAAAGGTAACTCGGTTCCAGAGTATCGATGGTATAGGCAAGGTGTTCCTATTACTGATTGGTCAAAGAGTGGCGAATATAGGATAAAATTTTTGACGATAAATGACGACGGTGAATATTCGTGTGTTGCGTCAAGCGAAGCGGGTAATCTTATATCAACTTCGCAACGGTTTGTCGTACGAGGTAAAAATATATTTTTATCAAGTTTTGATTGCTTTGGCTTTGAGTTAAGGGAAAAGTCAAGGGTAGATTTAAGGATATCTTTTACATGTTTGTAAATGTAGATCATCGAGGTTGGTATAGTCCTGAGAAGGACTGTTTTTGTTGTTGTTGACTAGTGAAACAAATAACTTTTGTTGCTGTTGACTAGTCAACAACAACAAAAACAGTCCTTCTCAGGACTATACCAACCTGGACGATCTACATTTACAAACATGTAACGATACTCCCGGGTTCAAACCATTTACTTTATTAGTATATCTTTTGTTAACTAATGCTCATTTTCAGAGCCAGCAAGGATCGATGTTCATCCTATAGATGTTTGGGTGGAAGATGGTAAGCGGGCAAAGATGAGTTGCCATGCTGTAGGACATCCACCAATTTACTACAAATGGTACAAGAAGGGTAATCTCATCTTGAGTTCATCTGACGTCATTGCCGATAACGCTGATCTCATATTTGGTAAAGTCACCCCACAGGATGCGGATTCGTATCGTTGTGAAGTATCAAACCAAGATACAAAGCCTGAGATGTCAAAGCCCGCACGTATTTATGTATTCAGTAAGCATTGAGATCAGTTGATTTTCTTCAACTTGCCATCGTCTCCATGCTTCCTAAGAGTTGTTAATTTGAAACTAACTTTGTCTGAAAAAAGTTCTTCAAAAGCTCATTTTCACTCGTGTTTTTCAAGTATAAATACATGGGACGTGACTTTAAGTATATTTTCATGTCAATTACTCCTACATTGTATTTATTTGTTCAAGTTTTCCTGAAAATGCATGAATTCTTACAGATTTATAACTTCTGGAAGAATAAAATGTTAAACTACATATTTATAGGCAATAAGAACAAACTAGATCTACTGAGACATGTTAACTTCCTAAAATACGATTAAAAATGATCTTTCTCACATCTTCTTCTTTCAATTCTTTTTTTCATGACTATCGCTCGTTTTTTAGCGCCAGATACTGTCGTAGAAATGGATTTGACTGTCGACAAGCCTTATGGGAAAGGCAAAGATTCATGTCAATATTTCAATATGTCAACAGTAGAGGTATGTACATACAGCTAGCCTATCACGTTAAGAAAAACCAAATGTTGACGTATATATTTAAAGAATTTATCAGTTTGCAGTTGACTTTGTAACTGTCAAGTTCTCCTCCGTTGAATATATCATATTTGCTTTTAGGAAACAGTTGAAAAAATGATTGTAGGAAAATGGCTGTCGTTGAGTTTGATAGATCCCCACAGTTATGTAATCTAACGGTGTGCTCATCCGATCCTTGCTCGAACAACGGCCGATGTGAAGTACAGGGATCAACGTTTGTATGTCACTGTCCGCGCGAGTGGACAGGGAGACGGTGCGAGATTGATGTAGATGAATGTAGAATAGGTCAGTACCGAAGGTCTCTGTTTTCTTTTTTGTGTATTTCTTGTTTATTAAATTTTGTGCGGGTCTCACAGCCACGTGCACAAATAATGGACGGTGTGTCAACAGAGAAGGAAGTTTTTCGTGCGAATGTCCCGAAGGAACTAATGGAAAATTGTGTCAATTCAATGAAACAATTTGTGAACCTAACCCTTGTGGTGATAAAGATTGTTATCCTAAAGAAACAACAAAGAAATACGAGTGCCTAACAAATGCCAGTTTTGTATCAATGGAGTTCAAACTAAATCACGACAGAATACCGTTTGATGATTGGATGTTAAATGACGTTACCAAGGAGATAGAAAACGCCATCAATGATGCAGCAATTTCACAGAATGCAGACGGTAGAGTAAATAAGCCAAATTTGTTTTTGAGTATGTATTCGGATTTTCATAGTTTACTTGTTTTCTTAGATTAAATTTCATGAAACACTGTTACAACCTTTCCAGTTATTTTTTATTTAATGCATCCTAGCTACGAGAAACAAAATAGAAAAAGTGTCTAAGTTGATTTTATTTGGAAATCTATCGAAAATTCCTTTCTTGTTTCCATGTTTCCAATATTTAATTCTTTTCAGATGACCGAGTCATCAGACGTAGCGTCGCGTCGACTCGGGACTATAGTGATTGTTCTGTTCGTGTTGCAAAACATCAAGTATTTGGTGACAAACTCAGTCTTAAGATCGTCTTTGTGTGCGCGCGGGCTCCACGGCAATCGTACGTCTGTGACGCAATGTTTAAATCACGGCTAGTGACGTCATGCGTTGATGAGACTGGCCAGCGATGGCCACGACCGACGTCAAAACCAACAACTATAAATCCAGTAAGGTCAGTGGTATGACATTTTGTCAACTTGAATATGTTCTTTTTAACTCCCCAGCTAACCGTGAGACCACTTCATTATTGTTTATGGTGAATATTCAGAAGGGGAGGTTTTAGAGCGGTATTCATTTTGATTTAGGCCCTTTCTAAAATTAAAGCTCTCTTTTTAAGATATTGCACTTCTGCATTGAAAGGATCTTTCTTTATTTAGAATCAATTTTGCATTTGTTGTGCGTAATGTCGACGACGGATACGTGAGTGCTTCTGCAATAGTTGAAAATTGGCAAGTTGATCGTATCGAAGACGAGTTGAACAAATACAGTATGAATGACGTCACTGTACGAGGTGAGAAATGACGTAATGTTTCCTCGTCGACTTTTTCCTGATCTTTTATTCTTTATCGTTTCAGCGCGTGTTGATCTGGTTCATGGTAAGATAAGTTTTCATTTACTGCTGTATGCTATATGGATAGGCTCTTAAATCGCACCAGTTACTTGAAGAATGCTTTTGAAATCATTGTATATTTTTTGTTTTCAGGTAGGCGAAAAGATAGCTTATCTCCAAGTGCAATAACTGGTGTGTCTTTAGCTGTAGTGGCCATCATCACTGTGAGCGTTGTTGCAGTATTTCTAATTGTTCGTTCCAGGTATGAAATATGCACTATCCATTATGGTTTTAGTAAGTTCTATAACTTATGGTCCTTCTCGAAGAAACTTAATGTTACATGTTTGTAAATGTAGATCGTCCAGGTTGGTATAGTCCTGAGAAGGACTGTTTTTGTTGTTGTTGACTGACGTTTCGACAATCTTAGCGGTAGTCAACTTCAGAGTCATCTTCAGAGTTCTTGACTCCGAAGATGACTACCGCTAAGGTTGTCGAAACGTCAGTCAACAACAACAAAAACAGTCCTTCTCAGGACTATACCAACCTGGACGATCTACATTTACAAACATGTAACGATACTCCCGGGTTCAAACTATTTACTTTAAACTTAATGTACTGCAATGTTCTATAATATACCACAATAAGAATTGAATCCCGAAGATAAAGTCAATTGTATCTCAAATAATGAGTTCAAAATTGATAGTTTTTTGTGGTTTGTTTCTAAGTCGTCAATGATATTACTACCAGAGTTATATTAACTCAAGATTATCTTTATTTTACGACAACACAAAAACGCATGTAGAAGCTTGGAAAGTCTAAATATTTTCAACACAAACACGTGAACCTTCCATTTACATTATTTTAAACAGAAAGTTCACTCAAAAGCAATTCAGAATGGCCAGAAGAGCGTTTTTGTCTCGCAGTCAAAGTGCAGACGTCATTATATCGCGCGAAATCAACTTGAGAGAGCTGGAAAACGCCGAAACAAGAGAAATGAGGAATAAGAGTATCTCTGAAATGTTTGAAACAAATGACGTGAGCACAATGAGTCCAAAGGATGGATTATTTATGATCAGAAATGAAGGGCTGGTATCAAAAAGACATCACCAATCTTCCATAACCAAGGTAAGTTGTACTCATGTTGAGTTCTCAACCGAAGCAAATGGCCCGCATTCTATAAAATACAAGTTGTTAAGTCGTAGAACTAAATGCAAACCTATTTAATACGGACAATTTGTGAAGTCACAAATTCACAATGGACACCACTTGTAAGCGTAGATTAGTTGCTTCCCCGATGGTGTTTGCTTCGAGGTCAATGTTTTTTCTCTATTCATTTTATTCGGCTTCCTGATTGTGACACATTTGTCACACGGCGTATTAGAGGGTTTAATACAGGTTTGACTGTATTAAAATGTTGAACATTCGTTAGCTGCAATGTGAAGAAGAAAAGCTACATACGTACAGCAATCTTCATTGTTTAAGGCCTTTGTCAACTTCATATTTTTCCACTTCTTTAGCTCGATTCATTCGACTGGTTCCATGGCAACATATCTCGTGCAAAGGCAGAGGATCTCCTGGAGGCTTCAGATACTGAAGGAATTTTCTTAGTGCGCGCAGGATTCGATGATAGTGAGCTCTATATAAGTGTGTACATGCCAGATGCCGAACCGAAGTTTCGACACATTACCGTGAAACAACAAGAAGACAGTTTCGTTATGGTGTGCAACTCTGATACAAGAAACTTTACGACATTTCAGGAGCTTATCAAGCATCTACGCGAAAACCCGACAAAAATGGACGGGTTCGATGATTTCATTACGTTAAAGGATCATATTGATAAACTTTTGTAAAATAAAGTCGCTGTAAGATGCCCATAAGAAACAGACCAATCTCCAAATCTTTTATGAACTAAATTATCACACATCACAGTTAAAATGTCTTCGCATTTTATACGAGCAACTATGAAATTGTAATTGTAAGTCACATGATTGACTTAATTCAATACTTAACTAACACTTGTTATAATTGTACAGAAAAAAGAACTCGACTATATTAGTGTAGCAGTTTTCCATTTTGGTGGATCTCGGACTTAAGATTATCCACTAACAAATTAGCCAATGACAATAATCTTTCCAGTTCAACGCGTACATTTACTTCAAAAAAAAACAAAACTACTTTTGCGAGTGTATTGCCGTAAAAAACTGTAGATAACCAGAGAGTATTTCTGGTCATCTAATTAAAAAATAAGGACATTATGACTGTCATGGGGGAAATGTCAAGATTGATTTGAAGGTTTAGGTGGTTCTTCTATTTCAACGTTATCAAAAAACTGGCGTTTTCTCCAAGTTATACACCAAGAACATCGCGATAGCAAGAACATAAAGAACGAGTACAATTACGAACAAAATCCATTGCCACGTTGTGGAGGTCTTTCGTTTAGATGCCGTTTCCCTGTCCTTCACTTTCGCACCTGTTTTAGCAGAAACATTCTTTGGTGCAGGCTGTCCCTGTTTTCTCCCTCTTCTTGTGGGTGTTGAAATGGATTGGGGAGTGACACGTTCCCCTTTGGTAGGAGTGGCCAGTGTTTGGCTCTTGAACGGACTGAAGTGATATAGAAAAAATTATAAACAAGTTTGAATTCACTGCATTACCACGTTTGTTCAAAGTAACCTTAAGCAAAAGCATTTGGCAATCCACTTGTCAACTGCACGAGAGGAGGATCAATGCTCATTTGACTGGGGGCAGCGCAGACTTTCCTAAGGAGGAGAATTGTTTTCCTAGCTAAAGTTGCCAGGGCCTCAGGCTATTATAGATTTATAGGCTTATAGATGAATGAACCTTGCGTGATGAACGTGTTAATAGCTTTTTAAGAATTTCTTATAAAGTTGAGTAAGTTGTGTAGCTGTACAGTACTACCTTAAATAATCAACAAAATGAAACACAAAAACAACAGTTGCTTTAAAGGGAAAAAGGAAGTATGGCACATGAAAAAGATACGGGTTGCTTTGCATTCAGTCATTTATTTCATTCTTAATGTTTTAACGAAAACGCGCACGGAAGAAACTCAATTGCAAATGGTGGTAGTATAACATATGTAATTGCCTTTGAGATAGTAAGTTCCGCTTTTTGTTCAGTCTTACCACACCATTTTTGAATTTTTTGTTACAAAGGGGGAAATGTGCGATGTGAGACACATGAATTACAAGGAAATACAGAAGTTCCCTCAAGTGCAAAACTCTGTGAACTTTCAGATAGAAAAGTAATTAATAAATCAAAATTTAAACTGAAATAGACATATCAACCTATTATAAAAAGTAGTTTCGAACATTTATCATGCCGGCTTTAATTCAGAGAAATGGCTAAAGTGGGCCAAAGTTTTGTATCCTTAGTTGTTACAGTAACAGCAAATAATACTGTAACTTGAATGAAAGAAAGTAATGTATTATGAAGTACTTTATAATCTTCATACTATTCAAGCTAAATTTTTCCACCACAAACAACAAAATTGTGGTACAAGCTACACCAGGATCACCACAACATTAATAAGAAGGTTGTTTTCTTGTTATCTTATCTGGTTTCTTTGTAGCTTGGCATCAGGTAACTTTAGTTTGCTAATGCAGTAAAAATTTGTGAGGATATATTTAAGTCAGTGATGTAGACATGTTGCTATTGATAATTCTGGATTGCAGCTATGTTTAAATAAGCATGTTTGTCATTAAAATTAGATGTCTTGAATGTTGAATAAAATGTTCGCTATGATTATGTTTTAACAGCATAAAAGTACAAAATATACGTTTACTTTTACTATCAAAAATGCTGAAAAATTGCATCAACCTTGTTGCTGCAATCAAGGTTAGTCAATAACCTAAATTGGCTTTTGCCACGTACAAGTTTGGGCAACCTGACCACAACACTCTAAATAATAAATACATACCTTGAAGCTGTCAATGCATTTTGCAAATGTGATGGTAATCCTTCAGGCAATTGAAGTGATGTGTCATCATCTTCATTGTTAGTTGCAGTGGACCAACTCTCTTCTTCAAACTTATCCCCTTTCTTTGTACGAACCTTATTAGTTGTCTTGCGATCAAAGGTTGAGCTACGTTCAACATTGTGTGAAGAAGAAGCAGAGAAATCGCGGGTCATTTCCTTTTTCGAGGACTTATTTTGGAAATTTTTGGTAAAAGTTTCACCATAATTCTTTTCACCATTTTTTTCATCAGTAGGAAAAAAGAATTCTAGAAAAAACAAAATATTGCTTTGTTAATCAGTTTTACCACTCAATTTAATCAATGATCGAGTCTTACCATCTGGCGGTGTCTCATCTCCAACATTCTCATCAACATCGTCATCTGAAAACTCAGATCTCATGGTAAAATTTGTCATTTTTCCACTATTCTGTTTAATGCCACGAACCTGGCTATTGAATGAATATAACAATAGAATTTCTCGTTAACTTTCGTGGAATATGTTAGGCAAACCAATGTCTGAGAATTTGTTTAGCTGAGGATAATATATATTTTTTTCACCAAGACTATTCATACCAAGTTTTCGTTCGTAAAGTTGCCTTGTGCTTGGCATGATAGGGCCAACTGGTGACCCAAGGGTTCGTAATTCCACTCTGAGTTCTTCATCCGTCATTGACAATATATCAGAACTAACAACATCCTTAGGAGCTATCTGTCTAACGCTCCGACCTTCACGACGTACGATTTGCTAAAGCAAACGAAAAATTCTTTATTGTAAAAAATAATACACAAATGAACATTAAATACATTAATCCACAATTCATTGTACCCTATTTTGAGGCGATTCCCCAAAATCCATATCATCGTCTGAGCTAAACTCGCCATTAGCAGAGGTAAGTCCACCTTCAGGAGACAAATGCTCTCGATATAGTTGAACATAAATTTCTTTTTTGTGTTCGCCTCGTGGAAGTTGAATACCATTACTCTCCAGTTCCTTTTTCAAACGCTCTTTCGTCAGCAGGCTGGGGTTACTAAATTTCTTCGACATAATAGCAAAAATCTTTATTTGATTTTGTTACGACCAGTAATTACAACAAACGACTAAAAACGCTACCACTCTCGTGTAAACTTGTCACTGCGCATGCTCCAGTTACGCCATTGCGGTCCGCGTGTAGTGAATCATATCATCTAAACAAACATATCATTACTTCTTTGTTGGTGTCATGCAGAAGCGAAATACTAGACGTCTTTAGTTTTTTATACTACAAACTTAGCTCATTTTTAAAAGCCAATGGCATATCTAGTTAATGTCATGAGCATCCTAGCAGCTTACTTTCGGTTCTACGTCATTTTGGATTGGAATTGGAAATTTGGAATGGTCGAGAAAAAGGTGCTCTTCTTCGAATTCTTATTCTAGTGGATGGAAAGTAGTTAGATGGCAACAGTGGAATCAATATGGCGGCAAATGGGCTCATTTAAATTTTTTGCTAGAATAATACAATTTTTTCCATATAGACGATGCTACCAGCAGCTGAAAATGGAGAGAAAAGCATAGTATTAAGGAAACTATGTGGTACATGAATTACAAAACAGAAGCTATCAATTTTATATTTTCCACTTTTTTACTTTTCTTTTAACTATTGTCTATTACTCTTGTTGAATGCCTTTCTAGCTCCTTGTCTTCAAAACTATGAGTCAGTTGGTAGGTGGTTTGAGTCATACGTCTCTCGAAGCCAAACAAGCGCACATCTGCCAATCTCAGATCTCGACGAACAATCTGAAGACAATGAGGATATCTTAGAAAAGGAAAGAACTCCGAGTGAGAGCAGCTCATCAAGTTCTGACAGCGAAGATGAAAAATATCTACTCACATTGGATTCTAAAGAGTGGAAAGTACAAATTTTTAAAGTTTGAAACTTATGAATTCAACATTGTTAGCATGAATTCTTTGGCAATGAGGATTTAACTTGATGTAGAAGAAACAGTATATTATTAATATTACCCCCAGCACTAAGATAAATAGTACAGTTTTATGCTGTTTTTGCCCCAATATTACATTTGCCTTTTGATGTGCATTGTAGGATCAAGACCACTATAAAATCTTAGGGCTAAAGAGTAGACGTTACAGAGCAACAGATGATGAAATAAAACGCGCATGTAAGACTATATAGGCCAGCAGTAGTAATCGCTGGTTTCAGTAACACTACGACTCGAATTCAAACCAACATATTCTTGCATGTTAAAGATAGGAAAATGGTACTGAAACACCATCCGGACAAGAATAAATCGAAGAAGACCGAGTCACAACTAAACGCTGTCCAAGAATGCTTCACGTGCATAACAACAGCTGGTGACATCTTGATGAATAAGGCAAAAAGACGAGCATATGATAGCATTGATCCTACTTTTGATAATTATGTTCCACCAGTTAATGCTAACTCCAAGATCAATTTTTATCAAGTGTTTACTCCTGTCTTCCAATCAAATGCCAGGTGAACTTTTGACACTTGAAAACTACCTAAATTTTGCTTCATAGACACAGGAGTCAACATTTTAACCTTCATTTTTATTATTACATCATAATAGATGGTCCAGTAGGCAGCCTGTCCCAGACCTCGGAAATGAGGAGTCGACATTCGAAGAAGTTGACGACTTCTATAAATTCTGGTGTGTAGTGAAAAAAAGGCTTTGGATTATAAGAGAGACAATTTTTGTAGATGTTGTTATTTGTCCAAGTTTGTGTAGTCCTTAAAAGTGCTATTAGTGTTGGTGTTGGCTGACTATATGATATTCTTAGTGGTATTTATTTAATATGTTGTGATACTGCCAGGGTCAAACAATTCACTTTATAAGATAGCGTTTATCATTCGAAGTGTGCGTAAGTTTGCTTTAAGCTTTACAAAATGGTCATCAAAATTTAGGGAATGAGACTTTTATAAAAGCGTTGACAGGTTTATTATTTGAACGGAAAATATTTTATTTTTAGGTACGATTTTGAATCTTGGCGCGAGTTCTCCTACTTGGACGAAGAAGAAAAAGAAAAAGGCGAAAGGCTAGTTTTTCACGTCTATATTAGTTTTTTTATTGTTGATTTTCTATCGGAACTTTTTGCTTTTTCACTTTAGTCGAGAGGAACGAAGATGGATGGAGAAGCAGAACAGGGCTATGAGACAAAAGCGAAAGAAAGAAGAAACGACGAGAGTGAGAACTTTAGTTGGTCAGTCGTCAAGGAACTAAACATCTTCATAACCTTCTTTGCAAGCAATCCATATTTTCTTTGTAGACAATTGTTATGCATGCGATCCGCGATTGAAGAAATTTCGCCTTGAGGAAAAGGAAAGAAAACTGGCTGAGAAGAAAGCGAAGGAGGATGCTGCAAGATTGGCAGCAGAAGAGCAAGAAAAGGTGAAATTTATTCTGATTAAAGGCTCGGTTGTTTTTAGTGCGCGCGAAGTTGCTCAACAGTCTCTCTGGCGCGTTCCTGATCTGAAACTGCTGTTGTTTATTTCGAGTACAAACATGTTTTAAGGTTTGCTTAAATTCTAAGTCTATTCTAATTCTATTCCGATACCCCGAGATAGTTGAGCACTAGAGCGTCACATGGTAATGAAGGGAACCAGATAATCCTGTCTGCCATGAACCCCATGGATGGTTTGCTCGTGATACATGAGAAACAGTAAATGAGAGAGTCAAATCAGGAAGATATAAACCAATATAAATTTTATCAAATTATGTCTTAAATTATAAGTGTCAGAAAAAGGCACAGTGTCAGAACACGATTATTGAAACATTGCTTGTTTTGTTTTATGAGGAGAAATCTTGTAAACAAAAAGATAAAATTCGAAAGCAAAAAACCCAGTTTTCGGTCCATGCTTCCCGATACCTTCTTAAGCGTAAGGCACTAGAACGCCGCATGTTAACGTTTCTGTAGGAGATATCGGCCCCTCCACGCTGTCCTACTTGGGAGATGCCAATAGCAAGCTTCCGCCCATCAGACCCCGAGATCACCTGCGATAGGCTTTGCTCGGGGTACGCAGGGAGAGTACGGTGGCCACCGAAGTGTGGGCCCCTAAGCCACTGCATACTATATCGCACCCAGCTTCCACTGCTCGTTGACATCTACTATATGAAGTTTTAGCTTTATATATATATATATATATATACAAAAATTTAAAGGCTTACGAAAGTTGTGGTATTATTAAAGTCACTAGTGCGCATGCTCAAGGGGACTGCGCATGCGCAGACAATTTCCTTGATAATTTTTGATCTAGCGAGATATTTACTGCAAAATCAGTGCAGGTAGATAATAGTTTGTAACCGAGTGAGCTAGTTCCTCCGAAAGCAGTGCAAGGAGATCCATTTCATTGGTGTGAATCCATTAGTTTGTTGGTTAAGTGTACTGTACAAGTATTATGTCTTCTTCAGCTTCTTTCAAAAAGCGCATTTTCAAAACTTAGCAAATGTGTAAATAGGGACAATGATGTTACACATGACATAATGTTTGACTTGAATTTTGTTGTTGCGTAGAGAAGACAAGAGGCTGCTGAAGCCGAGAGAATTTTACGTCAAAAAGAGGAGGAAGAAGCTAAAGAGAAAGTAAGGAATGTTCTCTTGTCATTCAATGTCTTGATCAGGGGGGGTGTTCAAAGCTTAATTAACACCATCATTCAATATCTTGACCAAGGGGGTTGTTCAAAGCACAATTAACACCATCATGCAATATCTTGACCAGGGGTGTTCAAAGCACAATTAACGCCATCATTCCATATCTTGACCAGGGGGGTGTTCAAAGCACAATTAACACCATCATTCAATATCTTGACCAGGGGTGTTCAAAGCACAATTAACGCCATCATTCAATATCTTGACCAAGGGGTTGTTCAAAGCACAATTAACACCATCATTCAATATCTTGACCAGGGGGGTGTTCAAAGCACAATTAACACCATCATTCAATATCTTGACCAGGGGTGTGTTCAAAGCACAATTAACGCCATCATTCAATATTTTTGATGTCTTTGTATATATGTACGGGTTGTCTTGTCTTGAAACTAAATATTATTATCATTATTTGACGTGAAAAGGCGCAGGCAGTAAAAAAGGAAAAAGACAAACTGAAGAATGCTCTGAAAAAAGAAAAGAAATCAATTCGAAATATGTGCAAGGTGCGTTGTTGAGAAAGCCACTGACCGCGGTTTGACGTGGAACGTTGGTTTTAAGTTTAAAATACACAAGAACTAAGGAAATTTGCTGGCGTTTTGACATCTTTTCTGTTTGATATGATCCTTCACACAAAGGAGCATAACTTTTTTTCGAAAGATGAAAACGATTTAGTCGAGAAAATGCAACTGATGGAAAAACTACTGGAAAGCCTTTCCTTGGACGAGTAAGTAATGGAGTTGAACCATTTTTCTTCATGTCTTCGATCATCATTCCTATCCTACATTATCCCTAGGTTACAGATTATCAGGCAGACATTTGCACAGAATGACAAAGATACAAAGGAACGTGTATTTGTGGACGAAGTTAGTTGATGATTGAGTTTGTGCTTCGTAGATAAAACGTCATACATTTTTATCATCTTAATACAAAATAAAACAAATTCCGAAGAGGGACATCTCGTTTTCTTGATATTCAAGATAGTACAAGATAGTTAAACTATAAGTCTGATGATGTCTTTGGAATAAAGACGAAATATTACACCATCTTTTGTTTCAAACTCTTGTACTATCTTGAATATCAAGAAAACGAGATGTCCCTCTTCGGAATTTGTTTTATTTTGTATTACTTGAAATTTTTTATCATCTTGGTTCTTGTCTTGGTTTTCAGAACTCTTAGCAATCGAGACAATCTTTAGGTCATGCTGTTCGTTCGTTTTAGATCACGAAGTTGAAAGAAAAATTAGCGCTTGAAGATGAAAAAGCCGTACAAGCAGGTTTGTGTCTGTGATATCGATGTATTTATGGTTTAAAAAATGGCGACCGCGTCTCTGGGTACACGGACCTTCGAGAGTGCTTGTTGAACAAATTTACTTTCAATGAGGAATTCGAGGATTCAATTCTCAGAGTTGAAAATTGAATCCTCAAAAAAACTCGACTGTAGCAACTTTGTAGCGATGAATGAATGAATGAATGAATGAATGAATGAATGAATGATTAATTAATTTTATTTCAACACGCTAACCAGTATCAACAAGTGAGTTGTTTTCCACATAAGCGTGCGCAAACTTTACAGAAACGAATTTAACACGAATACTAAATTAACAAAGTACAGTCCCTTATACATTAAATTACGTTCTATAGAGTACAAAGTTAGCTAAGTACTTACATTTGACTATCACGAAATTATTTGGGAAAGTGAACAGCAATTTTGCTTTGAAAAGTCTTTAGAGAGCAGGATTCTAACCGAAATAACATAAAAAATATAGATTTAGATTCCATGTTCTTGAATTAACACCTTAGCTCAAGAAAAGAAGACACCCAAAGAGAATGGAAACAATAACAGTACCAGTTCCATGTGGAGTGACGATGAGCGCGAGCTGTTAATCAAAGCAGTGAAAGTGTTTCCAGCGGGTACAAGTTCAAGGTGATTACATGACAATCTAAGAAACTTGAATTTCTACGGAATCATTCTTTATTGTGACATAAGACATCTCTGCGTGACGTTTTCCTTTGTAAGATGGGAAGTTATCGCGGAATATATCAATAATCATTCCAAAGGAAATGTTGTGAAGACTGCTAAACACGTAATTAAGAAAGTGAAAGAGCTACAAAAATTTGGTAATTGAATGAACTAAACTGTCACCTACTTGTGGCTTCGATGAAGTTCATTAATTTGACGATTTTTCATTATTCAGATGTAACACAAATCGAAAACACGAACAAGAACGCTTTTGCGAAATTTGACAAGACTGTTGGCTCATCGTCGCCTTCAGCTCAAGCAACTTTGAGTCCGACTAAAAGAGATAAGCCTGGTGAAGGTAGTTTTTGACGATTGTATGAAATTTTCTAACTTTTAAAGTATTATATCGTGGTACATCTCTTCAAAAGGTGCATCGACATACCAGCCTGTTGTACCCGTTGATAAACCTTGGATAAGCGAAGAACAGAAGGTGGAAAATTTTTATTTTTAACTTTACAGATTAGGATTTTAATTCTTCGATTTGCAAGAAAGGTTTAGTTTGGTTTAGAGTTACTAGAATGCTCTTCTAAATGCAAAGAAAGAGATTCGAGCATCGAGAATACTTCTAAACCTGAGATTGTAGTATGAGTATATTTTGCAATGATTTCTCTCATCAGCTCTTGGAAAATGCTCTTCGAAAATATCCGTCAAGTACTCCTGAAAGATGGGAAAAGATCGCGGCGGAGGTACCGGGACGAACTAAAAAGGAATGTATGAGAAGATACAAGGTTGGTTTAGTCTCTGCCCTATCGCTACACATTTGTATGAATTTGAATGTTGGGGACCGAAGAGGGAGGTTGAATGTTGGGGTTTGAATGTTAGCGGATGTGTTTGAATGTTGTGTGTGTGTGGGGGTTGGATGTTGGAGGATGTGTTTGAATGTTATGGGATATGTTTGAATGTTAAGGGATATGTTTGAATGTTGCGGTATGTATTTGAAAGTTGAGATGTACGTTTTAATTTTAGCGAATGTGTTTGAATGTTGTGTGTGGGGGGGTAGGTTGGATGTTGGAGGATGTGTTTGAATGTTAAGGGATATGTTTGAATGTTGCGGTATGTATTTGAAAGTTGAGAAGTACGTTTTAATTTTAGGGGTCCTATTTGAATGTTGAGAGATGTGTTTCTATCTTGTAGGATCTTGTTGAAATGGTTAAAGCTAAGAAATCTGTTGCTGCTAAATCAAGTAAACCATCCTAGAGTTCTGAGTTTATGTCTATTCTATGGTAAACATGGCAAAAACTAGCGATGACATATCACTTTCTTCCTCATATCGTGGTACATCGTCACCATAACAACCACACTACCGTGACGTCATCTGCAGAAATTTGAAAATAAAATATGAATTTTGTGATTGACGAAATGTCATCCTCAAATCTCTTCCGAAGATTTGCAAAATATTGTGTCGTTTAAGCATAAGTATGATGGGGGAAGCATTCTTTGAACTATTTGTCGTGTTTTGGTGGAGAATTATACTTGAAACAACGTAAAGAAGTCCTTTTTAGAATTTGGACGTTTGGTATTTTTTTTGTGGGTACTTGGTACCTGTCCATTTGTATGTTTTTCCATTTTGTAAACGTTGATATTTTTGTGATGCTTACGGAAATAAGACGTGCACTAAAATAAAATTGTCCAATAAAACACACGAAGATCTCGGTTTCTTTCCTGAGTAAGTTTAAGCTCACGTACAATGAGCGAAGTCAATGCACAATCTGTAGGCAACGAATCAACTCAATTTAATGAACCTTCATCAAACTCCTATCTACATATACCGTATGGCTTTCAATTTAAAGCTAACTACAAGCCTAAAACATGGGGCAAAGATATTACTGAAGGTAAAAGCTAGTAGATTATTTTGTCTTTATCTTATTTAAAGATGCATTATGACCACGTTCTTTTAAAGTACAACATAGGGTCTTGACGCCATTGTCAACATTTGATTATTACTGAATCTCTTTTGAATTTCTTTTCAGTAACATATAATTCAAAAAGCAAACAGTTTATCATATTAGATTCAAAAGGCATAACTGCATGGTCTCCCAACAGTGTTATAAATTCAGGTATGCCATAATGCCTATTAGTCAAATGAAATACATTGATTTTGTGAAGTGTCTATGTTTAGTCCCTTTACACACTTGGCTTATGAATGAGTCATTTCGAACATCTATTTTCTTCTAGTTTTGCGTGTTTTGGACTATCCCTCTTATCATTTTAATGTGATTCGTTTGCTGTTGCATTGCAAAAAGTTCAATGTATATTTTGGTCTTTCAAAGGATTATGCACTTAAGGTAACATAGATTTTTTCACAACCTATCACTTACTGCATTGTATATGTTTTTATTGTATCCCACAGGTGTTTAATACAAATTTCCATGAAGTTTTCTCGGTTGTGTCAGACATGAACTCCGTGTTATGTATGGTATTTAACTCAGTTACAGATGAATTGATTACCGGTGGAACCGGAGGTATAAGGGTAGGTTGTGTGGAAGTTTTATCTGATTTTTCAATTTTCATTTGACATGATGTTTTTTGTGTGATTCAACTGATTTAGTTTTGGTCATTTGGTGAGGTGCAATCTGATGATCATGGTTTTTTAAGAAATTCACGTCCTATGGCAAATTATGGATTGATTTTAAGGTATTCTTTTCATCAAAGAAAAATGTTTGTTAACGTGGATTTAAAGGTTGAAAAATATGCCAGCAGAATGAATTTAGTTTATTTCACATAACCTTTCTAGACGTCAGTATCTTACTCAGAACAGTTCCATGGTAAAAGACATTATTATAGACGAGAAAAATCAGGTAAAAATTATATTTTCCGTTCTTCATCTGTGAATTTCATACATTTAAACTCTTCCTTGGTTTTATATCAGAGACTGTACTGTTTATCAGAAAGAAATGTCATTGCTCAAGACATGAAAGGCAACATTCTGTTTGAATTAAAAAAGTACGAAGTAATATTATTAAAAAAATTAATGGTGGATAACTGTACACTTATTGGATCTACCGTGCTTTAGTTAATTTCTCCTTTTTTGTTTCTAGTGGTCATCAAGGTCACGTGACTGGCTGCATTCACTCAAATTTTTCAAACTTAGTTGTGACATCTGGTTCTGATTGTACAGGTATCAGTTCATGACTTTTGTCAGATAAAGCTCATAGACTTTGGAATTATATTTATATTCAAACATTTGGTATTTTACGGCATTTGACAGTCAATGTTTGGAGCACAAATGGTGGAAAAGTACATTCATTTCATTCCCATTCAAAGGTAATGCTGCTGCTACATAAACCCATATAGGTACATACATGAGGTTATCTATCACTGCATTTACATGAAGTCTTTAGCATGCTGTTGATATTTATGCTTGCCAGATGATAACGAACCTCCACCTCCACCCTGAAGCACCCTCATTGGTCATTACGTCATCACTTGATGGTACTATTAAGATATTCTCATTGGACATTATGGAAGAGATATACAGGTACAACTATGGATTTCAATGTACATCTTTAGTCAATTTCACATTACCAGTAACTTTACCAGTTCTCCTCGTAAGTTACGATGTTCAAAAGTATAAGAGCTCTTTGCGAAGTTCGTATATCTCTATTATCCAATCAGATTGCCAAATTTGGATTAAAGCTCGTTTTGATTGGATGACAAACGGACATTTCATCAAGAAATTTGAAAAAAACTTTACGACAATAAGCGGGAAAAAACGTGAAATTGACGTTATGGACCTTAAAAGATACATATGTCTGTCTTCCCTTTCTTTGCCTTCAGTAAAACTGTTCTCCCCGAGGGTGTTATGTGGATTAATTTCTTATCCCATGAAGTACTTTAATGTGCTTATCTTCCCCTTTTTTGTCTGTAGTAAAGCCTTGCTCCCTGAGGGTGTTTTATGGATTAATTTAATGTCCCATGAAGTTTTCTACTGCGCTTATCTTCACTTTTTTGTCTTGCCTTTAGTAAAGCTGTGCTCCCTGAGGGTGTTATATGGATTAATTTCTTATCCCATGAAGTACTCTACTGCGCTTATCTTCCCTTTCTTTGTCTGTAGTAAAGCTGTGCTTCCTGAGGGTGTTATGTGGATGAATTTAATATCCCATGAAGTACTCTACTGCGCCTCAAACAAAACTTTACAAGTCTTTCATATTAACCATGTCGTGAACTTTTGGTTAACTGTCCGCTGCCCATTGAAATCACTTACCGCGGACACGTGTGCGCCTAAAATTCTGGCGATATCTGAAGATTATTGGTAAAAGTTATTTTCAAATGATTTTTCATAAAATAAATGAAATATTGATAAATTATTTTCACTTTATTAGTGCAAGGTTTGTCACCAAAGATGGTTGTCTCCTCTCGATGGTTCTTCCACCTCCTCCTGCTGTTACTACTGGTCAGCAGTTTTCTTCATATTCTAATTATGCATATTGTCCACCCTACAGCTTGGTGTACTTGTTAGTCAGTTGCGAAGAGATCTGGGTCTATTATGCAAAGTATGCTAGAATTTGTCATGTGAAGTTCGAATTTAATATAATGAGTTTCTTTTCGAACTTTTTTGATAAAGAGTTTCTTTTCGAATCTTTGCCGATTCAGGTCAAATCCTGCAAATCGCGTCGAGGTCTGGAAACTACGTGACATTCAGGATATTTCAGATAACCATCACTCAAAATATCGTACCAATAGCAAGTCGTGTATGTCGTCATCCGTCAGTGTTCCGAATTTACCCACAAATAGGCCTGGTGGGAAATGCGTGGATTTTAACGTAAAGTGTCTTTCCTTGCTCTATCTTCAATCCAAAGTTGCTCTGAAAACGACGAGTGGAGAGAACTTAGCAGATTTGTCTTGTTTTCTTGTCCTTGGTCTTCAGGTATGTCCTTACAAAGCGGTCAGTTTTTGTCGATAGATGTTCTTGAAAAAGACCTTAAGTTCAAATAATGCTAGTCACCAATCCCATCGCACCTTTTTTCCACGTGCCGCATGGAAGCTATATATGTGAAATAATGTTCTACTTTCTCATTTTCAGGATGGCCAGTTGCTCTTTACCAGTCCCTACTCGGCTCTTACACTTTACTACAAGTTAACAGCAAGCAGAGGAGCTGTAAGTTTGTCGCGTATTTTATTCACGTTCAAACATTTTGCGGCCTTTCAATACATTTGGTAGGAGAGTATGCCCTACCAAGGTATCTATCCGACCGACGATCTCCGGGGCATGCCGAGATCAATGCGACAGATAATACACCGTAAAACTTATTTGGAAAATAAACACGTCGTTTTCTTTATATTCAAGATAAAAAACATACTCTGTCTCTTTTATTCTTCGTCATTTTGTATTTTCTGGACTTGTTGGCTTGTATTGGTTGTAATTCACCTCTGGATTTTGTTTTTTATTCAATCTTGTGCAGATTGTTTTCTCTGAACTTACCAACCGTTTCTTTCAGATTTTGTGTATGAAACATGACGCAAAGGAAGGCTTGCTCCTTCTGCATACATTATCACTCGACAAACATGCTATACGAATCCTCGGCCTACCCGAAATGCAGAGTAAACATGTCATCGAAGCCGGGGTAGGACTAACTTGTTTTGTGAAAATGGTAAGCTCTCGTTAAATTCTGGGACGCTCTATGTGTTATAAAAGTATAAGTCGTTGTGAAAAGTAAGACATACCTTCTTTTATCAACGAGCGTGTTTTATGGTTTCATTACGACTTGTCTTTCTAGAATGATGTCTTACTCACGGGATATGAAAGTGGTCAGCTGAACCTGTATTACTTAACAAAGGAGCAAGGTTTGATAAAAGTTAAAAATTATTGCCCGTGTGCTCAGTGTGTGTAGTCAGAAATCATTGTCCTGTCTTAACTTGTATGTTGTGTTGCTCTGTAAAAACCATTGACTAGTCACTTATCTTCCCTGGTAGGAATTGCTCAGCAGACAACGACCCAAGATAATCGAAAAAGTTCCAAAGATCATATGGATAGTGTTATCGCATTGGACGTGAACTTTAAAATGAAGCTTTTCTGTAGTTCCAGGTTTTGATGCACTGAAATGCCACCACTATTTCGTAATGATGTTGTAAGTGAAAGTGCTAATCTTCCGAAAAATATTTTCAGCAAAGATTCCAGTGTGAAAGTGTGGAGTGAAAACAAAGTTTTGCTCCGTGAGATTGTTCTCGATAACACATTGAATGCTGTTTGTTTTTTAAACTCGCGTGGTATGTAATACATTTTGGACAACTTGGATATGGGATAGTTTTGTTTTTAAACTTGCGTGGTATGTAATATATTGTGGACAACTTGGATATAGGTTAAGTTATATTTTATGAAGTATTTCCCTACAGCAGGTCTTCAAAAGCTTTGAGCAACCTAAGAAACATTGCAAAGCTTTTGTGATGTTTTCCTCGTTGCTTTGCCTCCCAGTGTAGACGCTGTTTAATTCCTGTCAATTTGAGAACTTCTTGCCCGAGCAAGTAGTTCAGCAATATTTTTTAGTTTGTATTAGGAAAGAGGTTCGTGTAAAATTTCTGCTTTGTTTACGGGAAAGGTTGAAGCTTTCACTTGCAAGCGAAGTTTATGTTAACTTACATGTTTTGCTTTTCGTGTTGTTAAGTTCTGATTTTCATGTCGGTGGTTTAGGTGATCTCCTTGTCGGCTTCAAGAATCACATTTTTCTCATCAGTTACGAAAAAGGTAACAAAACGCGATGGATAATCTGACCGTATTTCATCATCACCATTCACGTATTCATTAATTTACAGCTCAGCTCTCCACCTTCGGCAACAAAATGGTCGCCACATGCAGCGAAAGTGATGGTGATGAAACCGCCTCCGACGTTTATGAAGATCCAAGAATTCGCAAAGAATTTAAGAAATCTCTGCCGCCCGAGCCTGTCAGAATGGAAACATACCTAGTGAGTGATATGTTAGTGTCAATGACTTCAATGTTAATGCATCATGTTTGTGCGTAAAAAATTCCTTCATTGCAATTCATTCATCGATCCGGCATCAATTTTCAACGGTCTTTCGCTCATCTTACGAACCCTGTATGTACCTTATACAAAGTCATTGCCACCAAAACCTATCCTATGAAAACCCTGTGGTTCGCTGTACAGCGTTATTGTTTACACATGCTTACATCCTAAGAAATCGTTCTAGGCACCCCATACAAAACTATTGTTTTCACATGCTTACATCCTCTAAAATCCTTCTAGGCACCTCATACAAAACTATTGTTTTCACATGCTTACATCCTCTAAAATCCTTCTAGGCACCCCATACAAAACTATTGTTTTCACATGGTTACATCCTCTAAAATCGTTCTAGGCACCCCATACAAAACTATTGTTTTCACATGCTTACATCCTCTAAAATCCTTCTAGGCACCCCATACAAAACTATTGTTTTCACATGCTTACATCCTCTGAAATCCTTCTAGGTACCTCATACAAAACTATTGTTTTCACATGCTTACATCCTCTGAAATCCTTCTAGGTACCTCATACAAACATCAGTATCGATTTAACTCGTTTGCTATTTGGTCATGGCAAGTCCAATGCAACTAGTCATGTGAGCACCAATGATGAAGATGAAAATGTAAAAAATACAGTGTTTGTTACATTTTGATTTTTCAACCATGTCAGTTGCGAAACTCTTTGTTCTTAGTCTGCCAGTGAGATTTCTGATGCAGTCACTGCAGCTCCTACCGAAATTTACCAATCACAGAGTAGTACTCCACTGTCTAGATCAAGATCATCCTCGTTTGTTGGTTCTTGGAATTTACCCAAAGTAGGCTCGTCACCAGTCTCTTCTCCCCCTCGGACTCCACCTCCTGTAATGAACCACCCAGTGTTAACAAAGGTTTGGATGAAATTTCAAATCTACGTGTTGGTATTGTGATTTTTGATGTCTGAAGAAAAAGTGACAAAAAATTCACATCAGTCCTACATCAATGTTTGTTTGAAACTTTGCACTTTTTGTTTTATATTTTCGAACATTTTAATCGTTTAGGAGAAGGACGATGTCAGTTTACCATCATCAGGTATTTCGTTTTTTCTTCTAAATCTTCTGACGTGTTTGTTTTAATGCGGGCTCTCTAATGAAGTTGTCTGTTTCCCTCCAACATTTGAGCATACGTTCGAGCTCGGCCCATGTCCCTGTTACTTTACTCATTCTCGTGCTCGGCCCATGTCCCTGTTACTTTACGCATTCTTTGATTGCAATGTAGATGATAAAGTCGAAGACTTAGTTGAGAAGAGAGAAATCGTTTTGAGCATTGTTGCAAAACCTCCCGAAGAAAAACCTAAAGACAAACCAATCTTCTCTCGGTCGAGAAGAACAGGACTTTCGGAAATAAAAATAGATTCACGGTCTTTACAATCGAAAGTCTCGATCAGGAATGACTTAACCCAAAATAAACCCGGGACAGTCGCACAAATTGTTTCTACGAAGGAATCACAGTTGCAAGTTAGTGGATCTCATTCTCAGTAAAGAAAAACTAGGTATCATAAAAACTGTCAATAAAAATATTAATTTCAATTTTCTAGACGACAACTCGTCCTGTTCGTAAGATAATAAAGAAGACAAAAATAGTTAGGAAAAAGACACATAAAAATACTCCCGAACCTCGACGCGAGCTTTCTGTAGAGGGAACTTACTGTGCAGGCCAAGATTTGCCGGGTAAAAAAGATAACATTTTTCAAAAGCAGACGGAGGAAATAGTCGGGAGTTCTTCGGTCGTTGATAACAGAAATAGCACTTCAGAAACTGCAGTAAACGAAGGTTATTCTGTTGAAAGACTTTCTGTCACTTCTCCATCAGTGGTAGTGAAAGAAAAAGATGATGGATCTCTTATCAAGAGTGAAAATGATTGTCCTTTAATTATGAATAAAAGTCCGGCACGTATGGATGAATGTCGTAGAGAACATTCTGTTTTTGAAAACTTTGTATCGAATCATTCAGAACCATTAAAGAATAATGCTGACATGAACGAGGAAACAAGAAATAAAGCCTTTCGAAGTAAATCTTGTTTGTCCAAGACGAAACAATTGAAAGATAACGACGATTTTACCGTTCATATCGTAAGTGGAGAATTTTGTGATGTTAAAGTGTGGTGTTCTCATTAAGATAGTTTATATGTTTTTCACTCTAGGCTGGCGAACTCTCAATAAGAGAACGCGATCAAACTGAGGAGCATTTTCATGAAAGCGATGTAAATTCTGATGACTTTATTGATGTGGATGATGGCGATTCAGGTTTTCAATTTAATTTCTTTTTCTTTTTGTTTTGCTATGTATAAAATTCAGGAACGGCGCCAATTTGATAATCAGAGAGGGGAGTGGGGAAGGGTTCATATTCATATTATAATATGTTATAAACAGAAATCACGATTGATTTCAATAGAACCTTATGGAGCAGAACATTAGTCCCCAGTCCCCACCCTCAAATATCAATCGACCGCCATTCTTGAAATTGCTGTCAAATTTTCTAAGTTAAATCACGAGAAATATTTTGATTTTTCAGAACGTACGAACGTAAAACGCGCAAATATTTCACCATTTAAAAAAAATGCTGCAAATGATTCACTTGTGCAATGTATGAAGGATCTCGGACTTAAAAAACGACAATCGTACGATGACCGCGCTGAGCATTGCTTAGATCTGGATTGTGAAATAGTGTCCACAAATGAAGTCAATGATACCCATTTGAAACATGGTCCAGTAAATTCAGAGAATGTTGACAGCAAGGAAGATGAAGATGGCATCATTGAAGTGTCGTCGATGAGAAAACCCTCAAGAAAGAGCGTTTCATTTTTTGTCAGCCGACCACCTGAGGATAAATTGTCTTTGAGAATAGAGCCCATGCAATGTGCACCTGGAGGAAAAATATCCGGTCGGCGTTCCGTCTCCCCTTCGGCATTAACCGAAAAGGTCGTCCCTGTGCTAGATGTTAAAACATCCGAGTATGCTGCCGAAAGTCAATGGTCATACCCGACATCTTCGTTGAAAATTTATGCTTTAGCAAAAACACGTCAGCAAGCTGTCAGGGGTCGCCCTCTGGTTTCCAGACCTCGCGACAAACCACGCAGTTGTGTAAAACACGTCACGAGTGAAATGTCGATCGCCAGAGCTCGTCGTACAAAAATAAATCCGACCAAGATTAATGAGGTTGTTGTGAATGAACCTCCTGATAATTCAGTTGATATTTTGTCCAAAAGAAATGAAAATACGAAGAAAAAGGATTTGATGAGTTGGTGTGTGAAAGCACTGACGGAGAAACATAAGTATCCTGTTTTAAATCCTAAACCTAGATTGAGATCACGAAAATCGATGCTTCACGAACAAGGTTAGTGTAGTAAAGATCATAGTAATATCGTCTTTCTTGTAACAGTGGTACGGTTTTGGGTATAGCGGTTCACCGAGGGATATATTGGATGGAGGAAGGGCTCGTCGACTTAGAGGTCCTTCATCTTACCTTAATATTGCATAGATAAAATTTTTGTTTACTGTTTAAATTATGTCCAGGCAATTTTTACATGATGTATTATATTGTGGAATGCAGATGTTCTGTGGACTTGAAGTTGTGTTAAAGTTTCGAAAGGGGACATTCTGGCAAAGTTCAACTTTATTTTAGTATTTCTCCCCTTGCTGAGATAAATATTGCTGTCTCCTTTGTTAGAATTTTGGCAATACATCTCTGGGTTCGCGCTATAAAACCTTTATTCGAAACATATTGGTGATTCTGTTTGGTATTTTGCAGGAAAACAAATTGTTGACACCAAGGAATGTGTTATTAACGAGCGTCCTGCGTCTGAACCTCTTCGAAACACCAATATTGCAAAACTCGATAGGTCTTGTCACAAACCAAATGATGATGACGTAGTTGCTGATGGAGATGATATCATCCCTCAAAATGTGTTCAAGGTTATGTTTGTGTCAAGACATGCTGCTGAGGATACTAAAACTTTAGATTATAGCGAAGGATGGCAAATGAAGTTTTTGGAAAGATTGAACGAGATGAAAGCTAAACACTGTGAGAGAAGCGAAAATGCTTTACACCATCACTTTAATAAAAAACAGATGTCGCAAGAGAAGAAATCCATGATGCATTTGTATGGATCAAGCAGGACAGTGTCGGATACAAACAATAAAATGGAAGGGGTAAACATGACGAAGATCGACAGCAAAGTATGTGGAGGGATTCAATCTAAAGAAGACATAAATCGCGGAAAATCGCAGTACGAAATGTTAAAGAACAAACCAGTTATCACTCATCCTTATCGTTTGGAAAAACCTCATACTTCTAAGAGTGATGTAGCTCTACTTAAAGAAGTTGCTGCTAATTGTGATTACACAGAATTGCCGACCCAACTGTGGCATCTCATTCCCAGACCAAAGTCGGCACCTTCAATACCAAGCAAATGTCGAAAGTTCGTTCTTGTTTCGAATGAATCGCAAAGTGATTGCGATAAACGACCGGAACCAACAGCAATTGAAAAAATTCTCATGCTGCAAAGATTTCCTAACACTACCCTACAATGTTCTAGATCTCGTAGTTGCTCGCCCGTTATAAGAAAGTCTCGTCCTATAAGGTCTCTTTATGAAGTACAAAATGTTAATACAACATGCATTAAATAGTTTTTAATTTTCATCGTTTTCATGTATAGTCGTGAGTTTTATTGATATTTTGTTGTTTGAATCATCCTGAAGCCAGCAGCGGTTATCAAGCGGGGCTAAGTGTTCTTAGGTCTACAGGCTCGGGGTTTCAAGAGGCCCCTGGTATCTAGGGATAACAACGGTTTTATTTTTTGCTATTTCTGACTAGCTAAATGTGCTTAATTTAGACCATGTTGAAGACCGTACAAGCGATCGAATATTGAGGAAAAGTGACTTTCGTTGAACTCGTGAAGTAGTGGCTTTTCCGATTTTCCCTGACCATGTCAACGATTTTCGAAATTTCGTTTGAACTTTAAAATTTTTTACGGTTGTTTACTCTGACACAAGTCAGGAAATACAAAAGCAAAGAAACCTAAGGAACGCGAACATCGGTCAAGGAACTGAACTTAGTGGAAGGAAAACATATTGCTAAAAGGCCTACAATTTTGTCTCAGACCGTAACTAGTAATCCGCCCGTGTAACGTAGCGTTGATTAGTAACAGTCAGAAATTGTGAGAATCGAACCATTTTACAATATACGTTTAGTTCTTTCTGCGTACCTATTTTTAAAGCACATCAATTTTAGTTGTTGCGTGTTACACCAAGTATAACAAAATTTACTTGAAGAATGCTTCAAAATGGCCGACAATAGTTCAGCACGTGTTAAATTGGTTTTAGACTTATTTCAAATCGGTGCATTGAAATTTGGCAATTTCACGCTGAAAAGCGGTATTGAATCTCCGGTTTACTTCGATCTCCGCATTATCGTCTCGTATCCGGCGATTATGCAACAAGTTGCTGATGAAATGTGGAAATCGTCAGATGGTTTAAAATTTGATCAGCTTTGTGGTGTTCCTTACACAGCTCTTCCCATATCTACGTGTATGTCGACGAAATATGGCGTTCCTATGATGATAAAGAGAAAAGAAGCAAAATCATACGGTACCAAGAAGTTAATCGAAGGAAAGTTTGAGAAAGGCGTCATATGTCTGGTAATTGAAGATGTTGTCACCACGGGCTCCAGCGTTATGGAGACTGCACGTGACTTGGCAAGTGTTGATGTTGTTGTACACGACGCCATCGTGTTGCTGGATCGTTGTCAAGGAGGCAGGGAAAGTCTGGCTGCAAAAGGGATAAAACTGCATAGCGTTTTTACCATGAAGGAGGTGTTATCTGTTTTAGAAAAATTTGGGAAGCTAGAACAAGATGTGGTGAGAAAGGTGAATGTCTTTATTGAACAAAACAGTAAAGTAGTGCCAGTTTCCTCAGCCGTAACTCCTAATTCATTGACCTACGAGAAACGTGCGACAACTGTAACTAACTCAATTGCAAAGAAGTTATTCTCAATTATGGTCAAAAAGGAATCAAATTTATGCTTGTCAGCTGACCTGACATCATCTCAAGCTATCCTTGATTTGATCAGAAAAATTGGTGATCACATTTGCATGGTAAAGCTACATGTGGACATAATTGAAGATTTTAGCATGGAGTTTATCGTAGATTTACAAAGGCTTTCATTAGAACAGGATTTTGTTATTTTTGAAGATAGAAAATTTGCTGATATCGGAAATACGGTAAAGTATCAGTACGGATCTGGGCTATATAGGATCGCAGATTGGGCCGACATAGTTAATGCTCATGGAATTCCAGGGGAAGGTGTTGTCAAGGGATTAAAAGAAGTCGGATCTCAAAAGGGCAGGGCTTGTCTCCTGATTGCTCAAATGAGCTCTGATGGTAATCTGGCCACTGGTTCATACACAGATGAAATTGTCAAGATGGCCGAGCAATATAAAGATTTTGTTATTGGATTTATATGCACTTCACGAGTTTCAAATAACCCTACATTCATCCACATGACCCCAGGAGTGAAGTTGGAATGTGGAACTGATAGGTTAGGTCAACAATATTTAACTCCACACGAAGTAATCACTAAGAGAGGATGTGATCTGATCATAGTGGGTCGTGGTATATATGCCGCACATGATCCCAATGAAGCTGCCATAGCCTATAAGAACGCTGGCTTTAATGCTTACAAAGCTAGAATATGATCACATGTGTGAATAATTGAATAAATCTATTTTTTCCTCATAAATGTTTATCTACAACACAACATTTTTCATTTTCTACTTCTTCATCCACATAAAATAATTACATCTAGCATCTTCGTTTGAACTATGGCCTTGAGGTCGAGCACAGCAATAGAATTTTTTTCCATGATTTGGGCCATTTTTTTTTACCGTCCTAAGTACACTTGGCTCTTTATGTCCAGTGCAAAGTGGGGGTGGTGGAAGACCTTTCAGAATATTCCTCCATCTTAATACATCACTTTGATTATGAGTATCTTTATGATTCACTAAGGAGGGCTTGTCTTCACATTCAAAGTGTTCCTGTGAACAAGTAGGTGTACTTTCATAACTTTTACATTCCTTAATATCAACTTCCTCCAACTGATTCTTTTGGTGTTGATGATTTTCATCACATTTTGAATCAAATGCTTTCTGTTCATTGGTCAACTTGTCAGCTAGTTTAGGTTTGGTGCATTTCTTTTGAAAGAAACTAGATATGTTTCCTAAGTTTTTAGAACCACTCTTACTAGTCTTCAGCCATTTAGCTTGAACAAATGAAGATGAATCTGGATAACGTTTTTCTTGAAGATTTTTTGACATCATCTTAACACATGATTGATCATAGTTTCCATTGCTTGTAGAAATTTGTTGCACTTTAGCGTCTTCCTTTATTTTGCCACAGGGTTTGAAGAAATGCTTGAGTTTTTGCTGCTTTCCAGCAAACTCAGGCATGTATTTAGTGCACAATAATGGAGGCTTCAAGGAACTTATAAATTCATGTCTTAATGTTGCAATGACTGGACAATGGTCAGAGCCATTAATATCAGGACGAATTACACAGTCTATGAACTCATTTTTAAATATACGAAAACTGGCAAATATGTAATCGATACGTGTACCATAATTAGTTTTTCTTGCTCCTGTAAGAGTAGACCAACAGGTGAAAGATGATTCTTGCATAGGATGAAAGTAACGGAATGCATCGATAAACTTCACAGTGCCCTTCTTTGATTGGTTAGTTTCTTGAAGGGTTAACACATCTTCACTATCAGTGACTGGATCCCAGATAAAAGTGCTGGCCCATTTACGGCTTGGATTTGAGTCAAATATTTCCTAAAACCAACATGTCAAACTTAAATTGAACACAGATGACGACAAAGAGAAATGATTATTTGATTATTACAGGATCATCTGGGTCACAGTGATCAATTAGTTTGTGCGAGACATTAAAGTCGCCAACTACAATCACTTCTCTAAAAATAAAACATATGAAAAATAAAATGTGTAAAATTTCAGAATGAATGAAAAAAAACAATATGTAAAAGCCAACTTCTGTTGTTCAAGTAAGCTTCGACACTTTTTTTCAATAAGCGAATAAAATTTGAGCTTGAATTCGGTTCGTTCCTTGTTTTGAAGATCAGCTCTAGGACAATATAGATTGATGACAACAAGACTCCTTCCTTGCTTGTAAACATGCTCTGTTAGAACAGAACGTCCTTCTGCATTAAGGTCTTTGATCTCATCTAAATGGTGACGAGACTCGATCAGACTAAACATGAGTAACTAGGAAATAGTTTTGCAGCAAAAATAAATCACCTATTGACAGTTCCTCATGGTAAGAAGAAGGCAAAAAGATTTGATCTTCAGCTGCTGAAGGTGTAACATTATCTTTACAATATGTTGCAACACCTGAATAGCCACTTCGAACTTTTGAAAAACTGTAATAAGCGTTATAGCCTTCCACAATAGCCAAATCCTCCTCCAACATGTCTCCTAGGAAATGACAGATAAGTTATTCCTGGGAAACGACAGATAAGTTATTCCTAGGAAACGACAGATAAGTTATTCCAGGGAAATGACAGATAAGTTATTCCTAGGAAACGAAAGATAAGTTATTCCAGGGAAACACGATCATTAACTAGAGAGATCCGAGATTTGAATCGTCAACCCATAAGTAATATTACTTTGTACAACTATTTAAGCTACGTTAACCCTTTAACTAACAAGCAAAAGCATTCCTACATAGCTATGATTTACAAATAACTGGCAAGTATAAAAATACAACGGCTTGAATTACTCGTAATTTTGGTTTCTTGAAGGCAAATGATATCCGCATTTAACGAATCAAATAATTCTTTCAAGGTCTGGTCTTTTTTTACAGATCTGATTCCGTTTATGTTCCATGTTAACAGCTTCATTTTTTTGGCTCTTTGCGTTACTTTTTCTTAGAAAATACAAATATAACAACAAGATCATGACATCATGATAATGAAGGAAGAAATTAGTTGCATACAAAAACGTCATGTAATAAAAATTATACGTACAAAATTAAAAATTCATGATCATGTAAAGACCTTGGATTTCTGTGTATTTCAATTTTTTCTATGTTCTACTTAAAAATTTCCTAAAGAGCATTAAATTATTCAACCTAATTTAGAAAACGGCAAAAATATAGGTGCACAAAAACGGCAAATATACAAAAATTGTTTACATAAATTCTTTCAACTTAGAATATTCAGAGCAGCTCGGCCATGAAGCGATTCAAGCCCTCTATCCACGCGCGATCCACGCGTGCTCAACGCATGATAAACCACGAGATAAAGGTCGGCCATCACTTGGATAAGTGCATTACGTCTTGAAAAACGAGATTTTTTTCTTTTAAAATTAATAAAATCTGACGTTTTATGCATCACAATTGCTAAACGTGGGCACTTCAGCTACGGCTTTAGTATAAATTCGTTGTCTTACTCTTGGAAGCATTATTATTTTTTGTGACGACGTGGTATGATTAGCGCTTCATGTACATTTATGGCTGAAAAGTGATAGAATTTTGACCGTTTAGACTGTTTGAGTTTTGTTATGGCAATTGAATTGTAAAAAAATATGAAAATAGATCGGAGCAAGTTAAGAAAGCCTCAGTCGGAGCTGGTAAGAGCGCTCATGCATCGTTGAAAAATTTATAAGTCAATTTTGAAAGTGCCATGTGTTCATTGTGTTTTCACCCTTTGGTATGGCCGGAATCGTCTGCTGTTTCAAGCTTTTTATGGTCATATTTACTATTGTTTTGCTTTTTTTCTTTTAGCCAGCGAATTGCCATCAACTTATCTATAAACTTAAAGAGGCGAACGATGAGGAAACAGCGGAGATTTTGCGAGGAATACAAACATGGCAATATGGCAAGGTTATTTATTTTATGTATTCATACATTAACATTTTCAAGTTTGCAACAGGAGTGAGGTTTGTTTTTTACTTTTGCTTTTAAAAAGCAATGTTTTTATTCTACTTTATATGAGAATGCTGCCTAAGTAAAACTGTTGAAGTTTTTGAAATTTTTCATTGTTTAAAACTTGATGAGTCATTATACCAGTGAAGACAATGCTTTTAGATGAGGGTGGATTCATAGGAAACCTCATGTTTAGGAAATCCCACTCCATGCATCACTTTTTGTTTGAAAATATGCAAATTCTGTGGCAAAATCTGTTGTATAACATTTACTATCTAAAATGAAAAGGGTTTGTTTGTAATGATATTGCTTTTATTTAGTGTGAATTGTTTCACTGGATCGATGTGCTTGATAAATTTGATACAATCCTTGGAAATGTATCAAAAAATGCTGAAGGAAGTGAATGGATATTAGAGTACGATCAGCTACTTAATAAGGATAAGGAACAGGTATCATTATATAGTTTTGAATGCAAGTATTAAAATTTCATGGTTTATTCATAAAGTTATCTCTATTGAATTCATCATACATTTCAAAAGTTTCACGAACTATGCTGTTCTATGAATTTACAATATTTTTAGCCGCTAAATGTTTTCAGTTTGGGAAGATTAAAAATTTCACCTGTTCAATGATTAGATAACTTTGCAGTCTGACTGTCAGCCCGCTTTCATTAATTTTGCTTACCTTCTAAACAGGCAAAGATCCATAAAGAACTTATATCAAGTGTCTTGAAGTTCACCGGACTCCTTGTTGAGCACTCCTATGCACGACACATATATAGCTCAGTTGAGGTATGTCTTATGCTATGATGGTCCCAAAAACTGCCATTTACTCAGTAAAATTTACTACATTTCTCATTTTTATGAATAAATAGCACTTGATTACTTTGTTATCGGCAAGTGATATGGAGGTTGTCCTTTGTGTGCTAAATGTCCTTCACATCTTCAGGTAAAATCTTATAATATTAATAACTTATGATACTTCGAAGAATCAATTACTGAATTAAACTCTTTTCATATTGCAGTAAGCGATCAAACTTTATTTCTCGTCTTCCATTGGAACAACGAAAAGCACTTCATCAGAGACTGTATTGTTTAGCTGAGGTTCATTTGTTTATTGTTGTGTTGCTGTTTGTTTAACACCATTTCGCTGTAGTCATTTCTTGACATCAATTTTGTTTGATTGTAGAGTTGGGGCGGAGGTGCAAATGGTTTTGGCTTAGCTCATTGCTCAAAAGATTTGGGAATGGATGTGAGATGATGCTAGAATTTGTTTGCTGGCGTTTCAATGTAAAACAGATTGATAATGATTTTTTTAAAAACCTCGTAGCAATATCCTGAAAGTGCAAGCAATGTCCACTTTGAATTTTACATGGACACAAAAAAAGACCAAGAAAAGAGCAATCGAGGAGATATTTTGGTGAGCTAGGATTGTATATAATGTGCTAGAATTATCATTCTTTTTGTTGTTAAACCTTTTATCAATAGACTCGCACAGTTGTCACCTACCTCATTTCATGGATATTTAATTTTTTTGTTTATATTTTTAGTTAAATGACGGCTCTACATCCTCTCATGTTGTTGTGCATTTAGAAGATGTTCATAAGGTGAATATGCCCCATCATTTAAAGTTATTTCCTAAAAAATTGTTGTTTTTGTGTCTTCCCATGATACATTGGGAACTGTCTAGTTATATTGTTGGTTACGAGCTTTGTTGAATCACTTTAGCTGTCCGAGAGTCCTGGAGAAATTATGGAAAAAGTCTTGAAGAAGTATAAAATTCCTGAGGAAAAACAGGTCGATACTGAGAAAATACAACATTCTTTGTGTATGTGTATAGACACATGGCTCACAAGTTATTGACAAGTATATTTATTGTTTGTTTAGATCAAACTTTTCTCAAGTATACGACTTGCGAGACATTTCCATGTTTATTTAAAGAGAATCAAGTGCCTTCAAGCTCGATTGCAAGCCATTTCAATTCTTGGTACATAATGATTTAACCACAGCATGTGCAGTTGTTAGCAATTATTAACGACATTTAAAGTTCACAACTATTTGTATTTTAGTGTATTCGACTAGCAATCAAGAGAATACCATAAATCAACTATTATATCCTGGATTTATCGAAGAAATTGTTGATGCGATACGTTTGAATGATGCCAGCTCAAAATATACAGTATGCTTTACTTAACTTTTTCTCTTGTATAAATTTTGTATAAATATTGATTTTTGTATAATGTAAATATCAATCTTAGGAGATAAGCTCAGCTTCATTAAGAACATTGACGGCAATCATACATTTAGAAAGAAACACAAGGTAAGATCATAGCTATACATCTGGCAGAGACCACAGACCATTTCTGATTATCATTTTTTTTACTTGTTTGACTATTTATTTAATGCAAATTTATAAACAGTATACATTCAATCAACATAAACACAAATTACTTTAGTGTGCAAGCAATAGTAACATTCAATTTTCTAACTGTCCTGAGAGGTCAGTTGGCAGGGTATTGTTTCGAGATTGACTTCAGTGAGTTAGTTTCTACTGTCAAATGTTGAATATTACAATGTATTTATGTTTACCTTGGAGCAACGTTATTCAACAGACATTCATTGACATGTATGTACATAAGAAACTAATGATGGTTGAGTTATCTACACAAGCTGGTACAGCTATACCACTTTTACGCCAAAATTCACTTTTACGGCAAAATTCACTTCGACGGCAAAATTCACTTCTACGACGAAATTCACTTCGACGACGAAATTCACTTCTACGACAAAGTTCACTTCTACGACAAAGTTCACTTCTACGACAAAGTTCACTTCTTCACCTTGCTTTTGACAAGTGTACGTACCTACCCACATGCCATAAACAACATCAAGCAACCGGTAGTAGTATATACACACACAATGGTACAATGAGCTGTACATGTGTAGTACTCTTATGTTGCAACGCAATGATAATTTTTCATAATTTTTGTCTTTGAAGATTTAGTACGATTATTGAAGCGACAGGCGCTAATTCCTATCATGGTTTCCTGCCAACTCTTGTTAGAAATTGTATTACAGCGATGACTGGTATCTCAACTTGTGTATTTTGCTTGTAAACTCGCATTGATGTCTCACGGCGAATGCGTCCGTCTCTTTGTTGTTCTAGATCCGACGTTGACATCATATTCTCATGTTTTTGCGACGGCGCTTTTTTCCTTCCTTTACCATTTAGCCAGCTATGAATCAGGTACACTTTAGAGGCTGTCTTTGCTTTGTTGTGCATGAAATGCCCACGTACACTTTAGCCGTATCAGTTTTTACTGTTGCTTCCGTTAAAACCAGGTGGCGAGGCTCTCGTATCTTGTGGCCTCATGGAGTCTCTGTTAAAGGTTATTGAATGGCCTGGCCAGGAAGACAGCATCACCGTGAGTTTGTCGTTTTCAGTATTGACTTTATGTCGATTTTATATTTCATTGTTTTTAAAGTTGTTTATGCTGCGCGATCGTCTTTCAACTTCATTCTTAAAGTGTTTCTGCAGTGAAATTTTCATATACTTTTTTATAGCCTCGATGAAATATTCAGATGTTTGCAAGCAATTTAATATGTTTACGTTCATTTTACGTTCAGTGGAAGTTGACTAATTTCAACTCCAAAAGTTCTCCTCTTGTGCGAATGCTGTTGACCGCCATGTTTCCTTATGTGACGTCATAAGTTGTACGGAAGTCGCCAAACTAATAGTAATTTCTATTGCCATGTTGAAAATATGTACTACTTTTTACGTCAATTCAGCAAACATGGCAGTCAAAAAAAGTGCGCACGAAAAGAACCAACCACCAACCACCGTCACTTTTGACGTCTATAAAATCAATCTGAAAAGACAAAAAAACAAAGTACTTTTGAACGAGCAAATAAAACAATATATGAAAATTTCTCTGCCTACGCCCTTTAATGTTACAATTGTTTCGTTAGTGATGTATTGATTTTCTAGTTTGTGACACGTGCCGTCCGCGTGGTCGATCTCATCACCAATCTAGACATGGTTGGATTTCAAAATCACGGAGGGCTTGCGATTATCCTGAACAGACTTGAGGTGAGTTTAGAAAGTACTGGTGAAGATGCTCAGAAGCGGGAAAACGTTGAAAATGTGCTGGGGGAAAAAACAACGCTTGTCGTTTTCTTTATGTCTGATACTCTGCACTTGATGATTTATTGATAGTTTAATGAGGTCATCTTCATACATACACGTTTTAACCATCTCAGTCTACTTTTATGTACATATTATAGTAGCACAAGGTTCGCGTTACTCGTTGAACTCCTTAAAAGCCCTTAAATCAAAATCTCCATTCTCCAAGTGCACTTAAAAAAACCTTAAACTATATGAAAGATGCCAAAACCTCTTGACTGTTTCATTGTATTTTGTACCATTTCATATGAAATTTTTAATATCTATTAGTTAATTTGAGGAATTGCTGAGCGTGTTCCTCGCTTTCACGTAGCTTTATGGCGAGCTTATTGTGAAAGTAATTTCAGAATTGTTGTCTTTTGTACGCTCTTACCTAGCTTTCAGTGATAACAAGAGTTACTTGATAACGCGTGCTAGATATCACAATGGAAAACTGTCTCGAATTTTACTCTTGGAAAATCTTTGAAGATTTTATTACTTCTGTGCTTGAAAAGTTCTTGTAAAGTTTTTCATTGAAAGTTTTACCCAAAAAGTCGCGCGAAATTAAGTTGACACTAGTTGTTTCATTGGAAAACAGCTGAAAATTAAATCGAATTTTAATCGTATCTTGCATATAGCGTGAGATTAAGGTGTGTAAACCACATCATGGATCTATACTAGTAAGTGAATCTGTGGTCAATAGTCCAGCGGAAACTAGTGGAAGTTCAGAATCAATGGAAACCAGTCCTCCACCTTCCACGTCTACGTCATTGCCACGTGATTCGAGTCAGAACAGCAGCGAGTCCACACTTATGGATACTGATAATAGCGCAGGTATATTTCATGCAATAAAAAATAATCTCAAATTCTCAATCAAAACACGAAAGAGCAAATGATTTAAATTATTTCGAAAACTGAAATGACACTTGTTGATCATTAGGACGGGATGATGCTTTTTATTGTTAAATATTCGAAATTTGTCATTATGTATCGTATATTGATAGTGCATCTTATTCTTTTGTGGTTAAGAAAGTGGAAACACGTCCAATGAGCCTCAGCCTGGTGCAGCAATGGACGTTGATGAATCTAAGGGTACCCCGGAGGATAAATCTTCTAGATCCTCCAGCACTAATGAATTTACGAAACACGGCAAAACTCAGATTATACCTCAACGCGCTGCTCTTTTGAAGTCCATATTGAACTTCTTCAAGAAAGCCATCTTGGATTCCTCATTCAGTGAAAGTGTACGAACAAGTAAGAACGTCAAATGTATGGTTTGTTTCACTTTCGCAAAGAAGAGTATTTATCGAGTTTTCTCTGTTTTTTTAAGTGATGGATGGTTCTCTTCCGACCTCATTGAAGTTTATCATTAGTAACGTAGAGTATTATGGACCAGCACTGTACCTTTTGGGTAAGAACTACTGCAGTTTTATATTATCGCAGCTCTAAATTATCGTGCAGAAGATCTTTCATCCTCTTTGTTTCCATAGCAACGGATGTTGTCACCGTTTACGTGTTTCACGAGCCATCGTTGCTTTCGTCATTGCAAGATAAAGATCTAACCGGAGTCGTTCTCAGGTCCCTTATTTCCAAGGATGTAAGCCGCGATCTTGATTGTATGCCGAGAATTACCTATCTAGATTTGATGGTCTGACTTTTCTTCATTTGTCACTTTTTTTGTATAGATTCCCGCCACGCGTGAAGTTTTGGCATTTCTACCGAATATATTGAGTGCGTTGTGTTTGAATAACCGTGGTTTACAGGCATTCATTGCGTGTCAGCCATTCGATAAACTCTTAAAAGTACTACTTTCACCTGACTACCTTCCAGCGATGAGAAATAGGAGAAGCTCGGACCCTCTAGGTCAGTGTTTAAATCATTTGAAACGAGGCACGTCTTTGTTAAATATGAGTTTGTTTTAAGATTGCTTTTATGAGAGTCAACAATACGTTTAGAATTTTTAGGTCTTCAACATTATGATATTTTTTAATGGCAGTTTTTGACTGAAATAGCTGTATTTCTCTGTCGTATTTTATTCACGTCACAACATTTCCTGTGGTTGGCAATAATCACGTATGAAACGCGAAAATTGTTGATGTTCTGTAGGGGACACTGCGTATAGTTTGGGAACGGCAATGGATGAACTGATGCGTCATCAACCGATGTTGAAAAGTAATGTGATAAAAGCTATTGTGAAGGTATATTTTATCGTCAGATATTCCATATCTTTATAATTTTTCTTCTTTGCTTGATCAGCTGATAATTTATCCGTAATAGTATTCAATGTTACCCCCTGTTGTCCATTAAAGTTGCTTGAGGAAGTATGTCGCATTGGATCTTATCCATAATAGTATTCAATGTTACCCCCTTGTTGTCCATTAAAGTTGCTTGAGGAAGTATGTCGCATTGGATCTTATCCATAATAGTATTCAATGTTATCCCCTGTTGTCCATTAAAGTTGCTTGAGGAAGTATGTCGCATTGGATCTTATCCATAATAGTATTCAATGTTATCCCCTGTTGTCCATTAAAGTTGCTTGAGGAAGTATGTCGCATTGAATCTTATCCCAATAATAGTATGTCATTGGATCTTATGTAGTATTCAATGTTATCCCCTGTTGTCCATTAAAGTTGCTTGAGGAAGTATGTCGCATTGGATCTGACCCTAACGTCACATGTGTAAAAGCAGTAAAAAGTGAATCGAGTCCTGCTAACGAAGATGATCCGGTGTCTGATGAGGAAGATTACGATGAAGATAGGTTGCCTGTACCGAAAGCTGATCCCAATGGAAAGATGGATCAAGAATGTACAAGGTTAGGCTGGTCATCAAGAATCACAGACTGATAAATGAAGTGCTCTTTGCTTAACATCATATTGAACTGTTTGTGTCTTTGGTGTGTGCACAATTGACTCTTCCTATTTCTCTTGCAGTGAGAAAAAGAAATACGTTCCTTTGACAGATTATATACTTAATGTGGTAATGTCATTTCACGTTAACACGAGTATTTCCGAGACTTTATTTTAGCATATTTCTTTACGTATATTTTAGGTGAAGTTTGTCGATGCAATTTTGAGCAACAACTCAACGGACGATCACATCCGAGAGTTTGTTCAACACAATGGTCTGGAACCTTTGATCAAGATTCTATCTTTACCTAACTTACCCCTTGATTTTCCCTCTTCATCTGCATGTCAATCCATTGGCATCATTTCTCGTTCAATACTCTTCCTGTGTCAGGAACATCAGCTTTACAAAAAGGTCTAGATCATCTTGCCTCCACGCTGGATTTACTCAAACCTTTAAACAATTGTCTGACGAAGACGGGGCAGTCTGTATTGCTCCAAGAAATCATCAAAAATCCCAAACCTTTTCAGGCTATCAATTCCTTTCACCAAACTCCATTGCTGCATGGAATGTGTGCGACGCAATCTTTCGTAAATATGTTTACATATATCGCTAAGTCGATACAAAACGATGTTCGCACGATATGCATTAACCATTGGGGAGAAAAGATCAAGACTCTACAACAATTGTGTCAGCTCTACACATCGTTAGTTTGGGAAAGTTCAGTTCTATTGAGTCTTTGCACGAAGGATGTATTGCCAGAAGAATGCATTGAACTGAAGCAAGATCTTCAAAGGCTCCAGGAACTTGTGGAGAACGATGCTGAACCGACATCTTCCGAGGACGTTTCTCATCGTTTATCGGATGATGTTCAACAATCCAACAACGACAGAGAATCGTCGTCTGAGAAATCTCAAAATGGAGAAGATATAACCGCTACATCGTCCGGTTCATGTTCAAAATCGAAATCGAAATCATCATCGAAACTGAGAATACTAAAGCAATTGCTTGCTGCAGCCTCGAGGCTTGGCCGAAGTCTTGCCGAGTTCTTCTCGCTACTTGCTCGGCTTGCAGTCGGATCGGGACAACGTCAGCGAAGACCACCTCAACTTTACGCCCCTCCTGGAAAACCAACTTTACCTGGAAAACTTATTGCTGCTACATTGGCTAAACTTCTTTCTGTTGGACTCTCTTGGAAAGAACCGGAGGATTGCCACATGCCGCATGTCAGTTTGACATATTACATCTGTTCTCTAAGCTTCGTTCATCCGATGCTATTTGACGATCGTAAAGATCCATACCACCTTATGTTACAACAGTTTGTCGCCTCGAAAGGCTTGAAGTCGCTTTACGATCGCTTTTATTGGGTGATTACACGACAGGTAGCCCCCGATTCCAGCACTTCTGTTGATATCGCAGACTTATCCGCACTTCCCGAAGGCTCTGAGGAATTTGTGAATGCTTGGCTGGCGCTTGTTGAGCGTTTGGTAAACCCCAGACTTATCTTGGATTCATCTCATACCATTCCAAAGCCGCTTGCATCCGAAAGTTCGTCCAGTAAGAATGCGTTTCTGCCAAAACAGTTTTTGGGTCGCTGTCAGAAGGTACGCTAGCGACGTTTTAGAGTTTTTTTATTCGTTGCGTGTAGCCGTCATAAATTGCGTGTATGTCGTACATATTTATTGTCCACAATCTTTTCAAGTGGTTTTAAAAATGGTAGTTTGGAAATGGGGATGTTTTGAGTAGGCCTTTTAGCTACCATTTTGCTCAGGAACGATTTCTACAAATTCTCTTTCCGATCTAGAACGCGCTTTTAGCCGTGAGGATGTTGTGGGAGTACAAACCCCGTAAGACCTATGGTGTACTCATAAAACAATCAATGCTCTCCATTCTTGGTCACATCATCTACGGTGAAAGATTATTGAAGACCGTCGAGAAACCGAACACGGACGACGATGTGGATTACGAACGAATCAGTCAAGCTCCTGATTCCCCGCGGGTGAATGAGGATCATTTACGGCAACTCATGGATATGGGGTTTTCTCAGGAACATGCTAGAAGGGCACTCGTGAATACACGCAACATAGAGCAAGCAACGGAATATCTTCTGACAACTCGACCTCCAGCTGCTTTGCAGACAGAAAGTCAAGTATGTTGCATTATATTCAATCATGTGGGGATATGGTTAGAGATCAGTGGTGTAATAATGCATTAAAGTGTTTTGTTATGAATGATGTATTGTCATGATTCAATGTATGATCCATTATGATTGTTTCTTCTTATCTACACCTTTTTCTTTACAAGGTTGATGGTCATAATCTCTTATCTTCACTTTAGTTCATCTTGGGTATCTTGAGTCTCAAACCATCTTTTCATCTCTTTAACTGTCGTCTCATACTCCCCCTCTCCACCCCACTTTTTGGGTTCTTCCCATGCCAGTCGCACAAATTCTTGCTTATTCTTTTTAATAAATGTCCATACGACCTTATTAGTTTACTTTGATATGCAATTGTTCCTTTGCTAGTTGTTATCGTTGTCTTTGTTCTAACTTCTTCATTCTGTAACCTGTCTTTTAAAGATATATCAAATGTCATTCTTAACATTTTCATCTCTGTTGCGTCCATCTTTCTTTCGTCTTTTTGTGCACTCCATTTTAAATATTTTTTCCTTTCAATAAAACTTTTGCTTGCCATTCAGTATACTTAAAACTTCATTATGTTTTATGATGTATAGTGTATTCAATTATGTGTTATGTTTTTGTTTTGTTGATGCAGCAGCTTGCGATGACCTTGACAATTTCTGAAGAAGATCAGATGATTCAAGCCATTGCATTGTCGCTTGGGGAAAACCTACCCATGACAGTCGATCAGGTATAATAATCGTTGATCAGATAAATTGATTGTGAAGTATAATAAGGATTGATCAGGTACAATAGTTGTTGATAAGGTGTAACAGTGGTTGATTAGGTATAATAGTTGTTAAGGTGTAACGGTGGTCGATCAGGTACAATACTGGTTGTTAACGTACAATAGTGGTTGTTTAGTTGTGGCAGTGGTTGATCAGGTACAATACTGGCTGTTAAGGTACAATAGTGGTTGTTAAGTTGTGGCAGTGGTTGATCAGGTACAATACTGGTTGTTAAGGTACAATAGTGGTTGTTAAGTTGTGGCAGTGGTTGATCAGGTACAATACTGGTTGTTAAGGTATAATAGTGGTTGTTAAGGTGTGACAGTGGTTGATCAGGTACAATACTGGTTGTTAAGGTGTGACAGTGGTCGATTATCGTATCTAAATTGAATATCGAAATTGAAAATTTGAATATGAGCGAAGAATTTCTTGGAGATATTTGTGAATATTTTGTAAACTTAATCTTTGCATTGATGGTATCTTCAGCTCTAGTTTTTTATGATACTAGTACTGATCGTAAAACAATGCTAAAGTGAAATACAATCTTTAGTATCGTTAGTTGATGCATGTGTTAAAAATCATGTATACAACTTGGTGACTACAGATACAGGTGTCTTTATATCATATTCTGCATTTTAACTTTCTGTCATTGCCTGGTTACTAAAATTCATTGATTTCATTGTCATTTAAGCCTTCCTCTGGCTCCTCCGCTTCCCCAAAAGGAAAGGAAAAGAAACCAAAAATTGAAACCAGTCGGAAGGATGAAGATGAAACAGAGATTCTACAAAGCTCAGATATCGATGATTTCTCTGCGAATATGCTTACTGGTTGCGTGGCGTCTGTCATCGACACACCGGAGACTGTGTACAAGTCATGTGATCTGATTGTCGCACTTTCAAAACGGAATGGCTCGGAGTGGAGGAATTTGGCCTTGAATCGATTGTTGAGCACGGTAAGTTGTAATGGCTAACAGCAGGAAGTTGCACACGAAGAGGATCTACTGTATAATCCCCATACTGTGGTATAACCTCTACTTGTACTCTTTTATCGTTATGTTTTAAAGACTTCAACTGTTTACTTAGTACCCAATGAAACTTTCACTGTGTTTTGTTGTTCTTTTGTATTGTTAAACTTGACGGCAGCGTTTAAAAAGGCAAACGCTTTTATACCGCTTAACCAATCTCCTTTTTACATGCTTTAAAATAAATACTCAAGTGTTTATGCAGTATGCTTTTCATCGAAGAATATCTTGATTAAACTAAATTTTAACATTTCCCAATGATAGATTGTCGAGGAAGCTTCGTATCTTAGTGAGCTCTATGAAAACATGGATTTTGAAAGCGGAAAAGCGCTGGAGCTAGCGGAACAGTACTGTACGAAATCGCAAGCAAATCTCCTCAAGTCTATGTTGCATTTGTTGAGTCTTATTCTCGAGGTACATCTGACAAAGTGTGTTCGGTTTTTTCTCTTACTTTTGTTGTGTTTGAAGCGTCAATGTTATGACCCATGATGAAATATTTTGTTGATTGATCACTGAAGGACTGTAATATTTTGTGGAAAGTAGGACGGAATGACGTCATTTCAACAATACCTGATGACGTGTACAGTACATAAACAATATTCTCCATCACCGCTAGACTTTTTACTTACATATCAGCAATCTTCTCTAGGCATTGCGAACGCCTTGTGCGGTTCTGATCGTTGAATCTGGTAGTCAGGATGTACTTATAAGGTTATTGAGGAACTTTCATCAATGTCTTGTCCATTTCAAGAGTTATGGTGAAAAACCGACTACACCCAGGTAGGTAGCTTTTTGTAATATGTTTGATATTAAATTTACATTTTAAATTCTAATTGTAATTGTTTAACTTTCTTGATCCCTATTGATCCATTATTAGTAGTTGCTTAACACCTCTCTTGATCCCTGTTGATCCATTATTAGTAGTTGCTTAACTCCTCTCTTGATCCCTATTGATTCATTTTTAGTTGGTTAACTCCCCTCTTGATCCTTATTGATCTGTACGAGAAGAGCGTCCAAGCGCATTATCGAAAGATTGAACACGACAAAGCAAGTATTTTGCTGAAACTTACCTCCGCAATATTTAATTGTTTTTTTTCTTCGTTGCTGTCACTTACTGTTCTGTACACTTATTGGCTATTGCAAACTTTGTATTGTTGCGTTTTCTAACGATTGATTATTTTTAGTTGGTTTCAATTTTTCAGTGGACCAATTCTTGATGGTTTATGATCGAGTCAGATGTACAGTAATGGATTGATGAGGCATATCGTCAAGGAGAGACATCTATAAGGTTAAAGTCATGTTATCACACTACTAAATTTAGGGGTCTTATTTTTGCTGGGTCGAAAAATTTTGAATTTCTATATGTCTGTTTTTTTTCTATTAGAAAAATTTAGATGAAATGCATCTATGATAAAAGTTAATAACTGTTCAACATCACTCAATTTTTGCCCCATTTTATTGCATCATCTATCTTCATATTACCCTATAAGGGACAAAAATATCTTAATTTGACACCATGTTATTGCATCAGCCATTGGCGAGTTTTGTGAACTTGCTTGATTGACAATATTAGTGAATACATAGACTTTATCAGTGTTGTATATAGTATGCATAGAGACCATAAATAAGTCTAAAATCAGGTAGAAAAACGAATTTTTTCGGCTCATGTAGGTGTGGAAATTTTGGACCCAAATAACACCAATTGGTGGGTATGTCTATGTAGGGGTGGGTTCCAACCCCTCTAGAAACTATGTTATGTTAAGATTATGAATCCAAGAACATTAAAATTACGTATATTGCTTCGGATGAAGTTATTTAAGTTAAGTTCTAACATCTTATCACCCCTGATGAACACATTAGACTGAATTATATAAGAATTATTTTACAATCACAGCTCAAAAAGAGCAACGCTCATGGTTGGTGAGGCATCAGACTGCTGAGCATTTACGTCTTTTCACGAGAGCTTTATACAGGGTGTATAAAAACAAGTTTGACTATCTAAAAATGGCGAGAAAACTATCATTTTATCAAAGTTTCGCCAAAAATGTATCAGCCTCTGTGTATTTTGGCATTGTTTAGTTTATCTAAGAGTAAAACGATCAGAAAAATTAATCTCGTAAACCTGGAAAGCAGTTTGTAAAAGCCTCAATTTCAACAGCTTGCACAAAGAAATGAAAGGTTTATAAATTGTAGTTTAGTTTGATGAGGTGAAAGTTTGAACTCTGTTGTGCCTTGTACCAAAGTATTAGAAAATTTGATAAACGTTAAGTTCACCACGCAACGTGCCAAAATAGGATGTTTGTATCCTTTTCATCTACCTTTTTCTTGTTTAAGACTTGTTACATTCATAAGTGATTGTTTCAATGATGTAACTAACAATACAAAGTTAAATTTGAACAAACAACAAGTTTGACATTTTAAATTGTCTAACTTTTTCGATACACCCTGTATAACAGTCTGTGAACTTTCTCCATAGATTCTCAGCTGGTAGAAGACGCTACATTGTGCATTTTGACACCATGGTTCAAGTAAGTCATTAATGAAAAACTGTTTTTAACTCGTCAAAAAATGATAAATTTTCCATCCGCTCGCGTTCCTAGGAAAATGAAGACTCCGGAAATCGCAGACCAGTTATGCTCGAAGTGAAATCAAAGAACGCAGTCTCTACACTCGTGAAAGACGGGGAATACCCATTTAAGGAAAAACCGCCGTTGCCTTATGATCCAGGTGTGTATATGCAAGAGCTTACTGAATATTTAGGGGAATACCCATTTAAAGTGAAATCAAAGAACGCAGTTTCTACACTCGTGAAAGACGGGGAATACCCATTTAAGGAAAAACCGCCTTTACCTTATGATCCAGGTGTGTAAGTGCAAGAGCTTACTGAATATTTAGGTGGTGATGAGGAGTTGTGTCTATGTTATCCAAAGTTATCGAAGTCTGAGGACTTCATGAACTGTTTCATTTTTGTTGACTTAAATACAGAACCAAACGCAGTTGTGGAAGAAGGCATCAAACTTGAATCATTATTACTTGAACAAAAGGAATGTCTTGTGAGGTAAAAATTTTTAAAATGATATATCCTCAGTAAAGCTCAGTGGTGGACTTTCATAGGGTGAGGGGGGTGTGCATCGAGGGGTACCAATTGCAAAAAATATAATTAAAGTCCATCCTATTTTTGACAGTAGCCTTTATTGACGATATCATTAAAGTTTATTGATTGTCGATTATGTTTATTTTGATTTAAAGCCTTCAGTGATGTTTATTTTGTTGACCAAAACGGAACAAGTATCCATTTTAAATAATAAGTAGGTGAATAAATAATTGGTTTCCAACCGCTGAACTTTAACTTAAGCCAAGCACCCACCCTCTACCCCACCCCCCCTCCGGTAAAAAATCCTCGCTAGATCCACCTTCGTCTTCAAGCTTAGTCTTCCCTGTTTTTCTTTTACAATTGTGTTTGTCTAGTACTTAGCTATCGCTGATGGTTTTTATAAAATGAACACTATAAAACGCGTGCACTGATTTGTCTATCGCTATGTCTGCATTAGCCTGTGTCAAAACAGATCTGTGCTCAACCAGTCAACTCGATCAAAGACAATTTGCCAATCAATCATGAATACATTTGTTTTAAATTTGTCTTTCTCTTTGAGAGAACTCGAGAGCAAGTGCGACCATCGACCTTCGGTCTCGGGCTTTCACTGATCTGCTCTCGAGTTCTCTCAAAGCTTTCCTCGGTTTGCATATATATCTGTGCAAACACAGTAAACATCTTTTTGATTCTTTAATAATTGCCTTTATAATAACTCAATCTTTACTTTATACTTTATTTACGTGAAGGACTTGCGTATCGTTGATGTCCATACCAGTGGAGAACAGTGCCTTGAATGCTGTGGTAAGGCTCTGTGTCCGTTTAACTCGTAACCACCATCTTGCCATGGTATTTGTCGAGGCCGGCGGTCCGCATCATGTCCTGAACTTAGACCAATCATCGAAATTTGACGGTTTTAATATTCTATTAACGTTACTATTACGTCATGTGTTGGAAGACCACGATACGTTAATGCACACCATGGAGAAGGTCCTGCGGTCAGCATCGGTCAGCGGTATTGGTAACAGCTCCAGCGGCGTCGGCTCCAATTCCCTCGGAACAAAAGAGTTTCATTACCTCATGCGCATTTTGAGTCCTCTTGCAACTCGCAACTCCGAAGTTTTTCAGGATCTTCTTTTGAAATACATGAGATTTTCTGTACCCAGTCACATAAAACGCACCGGGACGCATGCTGGTGAGATTTTGATTCCTCCTAATCAAGCGCTGCTTGTTAACATTCTTCCACCCAGTAAAGCTGCGAGTAAAATTCCGAAGGTTTCCGAAAGTACCCGAGGTGTCGTTTATGAACTTCTGAACGCATTGTGTCGGGATTATGATGGCGAGAAATATGATGACGTTTTTGCTACGGCAACAGATGACTTATCAAGCGAAAGCCAAAGCCAAAGCTCTGGAGGACCCAGTCAAAGTCAAGTTGGTCGTACATTAGGGCAGTTAGGTGATCTTCTTGATGGTCGACCAACGCCGTCTCTTGTTAGACATCTTACGGGAGAATCTTTGCCTAGCGAGGATATCGAGGACATGATCGTTGGTATGTAATGGTACACTCTTGGCTTCAATGGGATGTATTAATGAACACTTAAGTACATATTAGTACAATTATTGTTTACTTTATTGATTACCCGGGTGTGTGGATATGTGATAAATATACAGTTTGTGAGGATTATTCTTTTTTTACGAGTACAGTACATGGAAGTAGTTAAATTTTGTAAAGTGGTGTGTAAAATATGTGAAATTTCTATGTTTAGATAGCGATGCCTCTTCCCAAAGTTCTACTTCAAGAAAACACAAGAAAAGTAAAGAAACCAAAGAGACCAAAGAAACCAAAGAAGATGGTACGGTTATCGATAGCAAACCATTGCTAAACAGGAATGCCATCTTGGGAGTTCTAAGTGAACTAACGAAGTCGTATTCTGGCGTGGCTTTAATCGTTGCCGAACATGAAATACAGAAACCTGGTAAACAAGGCAATTCCATGGTTAGTAACGCGGTGTTTGAGTTGTCACTATTTACCATGTTTTTCATTACAATGGGCCGAGGAAAATGTCAATAATTGCATTGAGTTTGCTGAATTTTCGTATAAACGTAAATACACGTTTCAAATTCGTTAACTTTGTTGATTTACTGCAATCAGTTCTTCATTCTGTAGCGTAGATAACCTGTTGTTCACTGTGTATCAACACTTACCCATAGATAACCTGTTGTTCACTGTGTATCAACACTTACCCATAGATAACCTGTTGTTCACTCTGTATCAACACTTACCCATAGATAACCAATTCTTCATTCTGTATCATTACTTACCCACAAGCAACCAGTTGTTCACTGTGTGTCATTACTTACCCACAAACAACCAGTTGTTCACTGTGTGTCATTACTTACCCACAAACAACCAGTTGTTCACTGTGTCATTACTTACCCACAAACAACCAGTTGTTCACTGTGTGTCATTACTTACCCACAAACAACCAGTTGTTCACTGTGTATCATTACTTGTTGTTCACTGTGTATCATTACCCACAAACAACCAGTTGTTCACTGTGCACAAACAACCAGTTGTTCACTGTGTTGTTCACTGTGCGCAGTTGTTCATGTATCATTAACCCAGATGTTTGTGTCATTTTCAGTTGTTCACTGTGTGTCATTACTTACCCACAAACAACCAGTTGTTCACTGTGTATCATGTTTTACGTACAAACAGTCGCGTATTTCTTAATGATGTTTTCTTTTCGTTGTTGTCATTTCAGATACCGATACTTGCGTTTATCTTGGACTACATACTTCCCTCAGAATGTGGTAAAACGCAGCCAGATCATCACAACCATCGAGCCAGGCTCTTGCTTACCGTCTTGGCAGCCTGTAATCATACTCCAGAAGCACAAGTGATCTTTGTTAACGAACTGAAGGACTCTCTTGCCCGCGCGTTGTCTCTGTCCGAATCTCAAGTGAAACACGCGAGATTACAGGCGTTGTTCCAACTCATTCTTTCTATAATCGATTCCAGTCCCCGGCAGTATCGCGCTGCCGAACAAAATGGAATCGTTAAATTGTTTATTAAGAAAGGACTTCTCGCTGATTTAGCGCGTGTTCCTCAAAGTCTTGATCTTTCAAGTCCCTCTGTCGTCTCCACCGTAAACGGTCTTCTCAAACCGTTGGAAAAGCTTTCAAATGTTATTAATCTTCCTGGTAAACAAACCACCGATCCTAGTGGCAAGAACAAAGAACCGCTCTTAGTGGATACTACATCACGTAGCGATGATGTCGCTGAACACATGTTTCGTATTACGGAAAGGGACGTGGATCGCGTGGAGAGTGACGAGAGTCGCGTGACGAGCCAAGAATTTGGTGATTTAGGTGAGTAAAAGAACGGCTTACTCGGAATCATTGTTCAGTTCAAGTTATATGTTCATAATTCATGTGTGTCAATAGACTCCCGTGGTCTTCACGTGCAAGGTCATGCTGTCGTTTCAAATGCTGATCAAGTTTATGCAATTGGCTCTGAAGGTAAATGGAAACTTTCGGCTTTCATAGACAAAAGATGGCACTCAATATCCACTTGGTAATCGTATTTCTCAAGATTAAACATAGTGTTCAAAAGTCGACATTCAATGTTTTAGTAAATTTCACTTTAACTCTTGTACTATGGATTTTGTATGTTGCCTGTTGAGCTACCCCAATGGTCATCGTGTACAATGATGTACATTGGTGTGCAATGATGTATATATATATATGTATGTGTATATTTTCAGGAGAGACAGATCCACAGAATGACACAACTGTAGCATCACAACAGACAGAAGATCTTATTCCAGAGAGCGATGATGATTTTTCATCCCAAGCTTTGGGTAATTTTACATTATTTCTCTTGAATATGAGTACAGAACAGTCATTATTCATTCAGACTGTGTACATGTACATTATAATGTAGCTCGTGAATATGAACACAGAACAGTCATTATTCATTCAGACTGTATACATGTACATTATAATGTAGCTCGTGAATATTTTATTCATTCAGACTGTGTACATGTACATTATAATGTAGCTCGTGAATATGAGTACAGAACAGTCATTATTCATTCAGACTGTATACATGTACATTATAATGTAGCTCGTGAATATGAACACAAAACAGTCATTATTCATTCAGACTGTACATGTACATTATAATGTAGCTCGTGAATATGAGTGAACAGTCATTATTCGTTTGTACATTATAATGTAGCTCGTGAATATGAGTACAGAACAGTCATTATTCGTTCAGACTGTGTACATGTACATTATAATGTAGCTCGTGAATATGAGTACAGAACAGTCATTATTCATTCAGACACATTAACGTGAATATGAGTACAGAACAGTCATTATTCATTCAGACTGTGTGCATGTACATTATAATGTAGCTCGTGAATATGAGTACTGAACAGTCATCATTCATTCAGACTGTGTGCATGTACATTATAATGTAGCTCGTGAATATGAACACAGAACAGTCATCATTCATTCAGACTGTGTGCATGTACATTATAATGTAGCTCGTGAATATGAACACAGAACAGTCATTATTCATTCAGACTGTATACATGTACATTATAATGTAGCTCGTGAATATGAGTACTGAACAGTCATTATTCATTCAGACTGTGTGCATGTACATTATAATGTAGCTCGTGAATTTGAGTACTGAACTTATTTCATCATAAATACAGAACAGCCATAAATCACTGGAACTACGTCTATCAGGAAGTTTCAGATAACCGCCATAACACTGAAGTATGGTATAACTGTTTCTCTATTCATAGATGCGCTTGTCATAGAGATACATCGTGAGGCCGGCAACGACAATCAAGAAGGTAATGATGATAACAGTAGGATAGGTGAGGATAATGACGATGAAGATGACGAAGATGATGACGATGACGATGATGACGAAGATGATGACGATGACGAAGGGGATCACAGATCCGATGGTATGCCCAAGAATTTGAAGTTGTTGAGAAGTGAAAGTGAATTATTTTCCTTTGATGTTTTTAGGTGAAGATGAAGAAATCGAAGTGGAGGAAGAAGACGAGGTGGGAAATAACGACGAAGGAGGTGATAATGCTGTTGTTGGTTATAATGGAGTCATCATGTTAGAAGATGAAGAGGAAGATGAACATCAGGATGATGATGATGATGAAGACGAAGATGACGAAGGTAATGAATTCATGTTTCTTTGAAATAAATGAACGTCCTCTCTATCTTTGCACTGCCTTATGCAAACGGAGTAGACCTTAGGGAAACCTCGAGAGAAGATCAGTGCAAGTCATGGTGCAAGCCCGATACCGAGGACTTACACCTGCTCGCGGGCTCTCACAAACGTATCCAAGGTTTGCATAAGCCAGTGCAAACACGCGAAACATCATTTATTTCTTTTATACAACTACAGTAATGCGAAACAGATAGATTTAAAATAAAGATTTTGATATTTCTCTAATCTAATCTATATTTCCAAATTCTCTTTCACTCGTGTTATTGGTTGAGCTCAGATTGGTTTACACAAGCCAATGCAAACTCATCTACAGACTAATCAGCGCATGATTGAGCTCAGATTGGTTTACACAAGCCAATGCAAATTGATCTACAGACTAATCAGCGCATGATTGAGCTCAGATTAGTTTACACAAGCCAATGCAAATTGATCTACAGACTAATCAGCGCAAACGATTTATTGTTATTACTTTATGATTTTAGACGAAGAGGACGACGATGATGAAGAAAACAGTGAAATTGAGGGAAATGAAACATCAGAGTTTGCAGAACAAATACCAAGTGTTCATGGTGCTTCAGGAATTGTCAACGATTTTCTCTTTCTTCCATTAGACGAGCCTAGACAAGGTATGCATTCGTTATGTTTTATTGATGGCGTGTTTGCTTTTTGGATGTGAGACTGGATTAACTTTTTTGGGGTCGGGTGCATAGGTATGCTTTCAGGTTTTAATCGTCTGCGTATTGAGCATTTTATGATGTATATTTTATGTAATCTAGCTTTGTTATTGTCTTGTTTCCTTCAGACATGTTTGACAAAATCATTGAGTTGCCTCGACAAAGTGTTTAAACTAGTAAACTTGAAAATTCTACTCTCAAATGAAAATGAAAATGAAAGTGAATTGGCCGCCACAAATTGCTAGATTTAATTTCACGATAGTTATGACGCTTTTCTCTGCAATTATATACATTGCAAGTGTGCAGTTGATAAGCTAATAGTTTAATAAATTTATGTCAGTTTTCTATCCAAAACAAAATATATAATTTCAAAACATAAGGGTTGAAAAAAGGGTTCATTATAGACGATACGAATGGCTTGGCTTTTTTAAATGTTATCATTGTGAAAATTTAAAGTCTTGGACTCGATTATTTATTTGAACACGATACAAGGAAAGCAGATAATCCTTGTTTGCCATGAAGCCCATGGATGGTTTGCTCGTGATACACGAGAAACAGTCAATGAAAGTGTTCTATTGTGAAAGATATTGAACTACTTCAAAATATATAAAACTTGTTTAAGGTTGGCTTAAGTCAAAAAGGCAAAAGTCGTGTGAAATTTTGCAGTACACTGCCCTTGTAGTGTTATAGTTGACTTCTAAGCCACTTGGCAAGACTATGACGAGTTGACCGCGCAGTTACAAGAACAATTTTCTCTGCTATTATTCTTTCTTGAGATTAACTTATTGCCTTTATTGTTTTTATAGGGTCAATAAGTCGTTTTGTACGAGAACACACACGTCCCGGCATTTTTTCGGCGCCTGGTTTTCGTAGTGGTCTTTTTGCGGGACTTCGTTCTGGCATTTCGTCCAATAGCATACCTTCGTCATCTGACGTCACTATGGAACATCCTTTATTGAGGCGGCAACAATCAAGAGAGCGACCTAGCAGCAGTCAGGCGGGAAGCTCGCGTTTACCACGTGTTCACGTAGTTCGTGGTGATCGCAGTCGACATAGTCACATGACTCGTGTCCATGTTCATTATGCGCACCCGCAAGGTAGGTGTAGTTCTAAATGTTTCAGTATACGACTTATAATGACATACATCAATTGTCGAAAGGTTTAGAAGAAAAATTTAAAAATAGTGATTATTCACGAAGTTTCTCTTGTTCTGTGTTTCATTATAATATTCTCTCTATCAAGTGTTCATTTGTATTGAGAGTAAAGTGGGTGTTTATTCGTCTAATCTTCAGATATTTCGCGTTTTAATCGCCATCTTCTTGATGATGATATTCGTTTGATAACAAGAGCAGGACATAGGAACTTGGATGATGAAGATCTCGCTAGCATCTTTGATTTGGCTGATGGTACGTAGGAATTACTATCGTTAGATTTTGTTTTCTCTGTGGTAACTCCTTCTTTGGATAAAGTAAGGATTTGAAGTGATCATTGAGGGGGTGATAGAAGTATGGATATGGATATGGGAGGATATTTTGATTTCTCGGCTACAAACATTGTCCATGATAGAAGTATTAGTATGGATATGGGAGGATATTTTGATTTCTCGGCTACAAACGTTGTCCATGATAGAAGTATTAGTATGGATATGGGAGGATATTTTGATTTCTCGCTACAAACATTGTCCATGATAGAAGTATTAGTATGGATATGGGAGGATATTTTGATTTCTCGGCTACAAACATTGTCCATGATAGAAGTATTAGTATGGATGTGGGAGGATATTTTGATTTCTCGCCTACAAACATTGTCCATGATAGAAGTATTAGTATGGATATGGGAGGATATTTTGATTTCTCGGCTACAAACATTGTCCATGATAGAAGTATTAGTATGGATATGGAAGGATATTTTGAGTTCTCAGTTATAAACATTTACTATACTCGCAGGTTATTAAAATTTTTATTGTGATATATGAGGTGAATTTGACAATGAATGTGACAAATTTTTATTTGATTCTGTCAGACTTTTTTGAAATAAGTTTTATTTATCATTTTTGTTTAGGTCTAACAACGACGAATACTTTATCGGATGTTTCGTCCCCCTTAAACCTTTGGCTACAGGAAAGTCAGATACTGGATGGTGGGAGTGTGTTTCACTGTGTTGCCGGTGTGAAAAAGAAAGTTTTGCCAACACTCGAGCGAGATTTAGACGCTCAAATAAACACCGTTCGTGAAGCTGAAAGAAAGAAGAAAAAAGAGGAAGAGACGAAGAAACAAGCGGAAGAAGAAGCGAAAAAAGAAAAATCGAAAGGTTAGCGTTTAGTTTGGTCTTCATCTTTATTTCCAACTGTAAATCTCTTCTCATTTAGTTAACTTTGACGTTTGGTCTTCATCTTTATTTCCAACTGTAAATCTCTTCTCGTTTAGTTAACTTTGACGTTTGGTCTTCATCTTTATTTCAAACTGTATATCTCTTCTCGTTTAGTTAACTTTGACGTTTGGTCTTCATCTTTTATTTCAAACTGTAAATCTCTTCTCGTTTAGTTAACTTTGACGTTTGGTCTTCATCTTTATTTCAAACTGTAAATCTCTTCTCATTTAGTTAACTTTGACGTTTGGTCTTCATCTTTATTTATAACTGTAAATCTCTTCTCATTTAGTTAACTTTGACGTTTGGTCTTCATCTTTATTTCAAACTGTAAATCTCTTCTCATTTAGTTAACTTTGAGGTTTGGTCTTCATTTTTATTTCAAACTGTAAATCTTTTCTCATTTAGTAATCTTTGACGTTTGGTCTTCATCTTTATTTCAAACTGTAAATCTCTTCTCATTCTTTGCATTCTTAAGATGAAAATGCACCGAAGGAGGCAGTGCCTGAGCCTTCAGACACGTCAGCCCCATCTACTTCAAGTAGTAGTGAACCAATGCAGGTCGAGCAACATCATCTGAACCTGGTACATCTGTATCAGGCCGCGAAGAGGAAGGTCATGTATATACAGAAGCTTCAGGTTTGTGTATCTTAATAAGGATTAAATAAGGATTAATAAGGAATAAATAAGGATTATAATATTAGTGCTGAGTGCCACTCGCTTATTTCGATTATTCTGTGTCAATAATTATTTCGATATGTATCTTTATGAATGTGTTGTCACTGATGAATGTTTTTATTTTTTCTATGTACGTTTGTGTTGCTCTATTTTATTGAATTATATGGCGAATTGTGAAGCTTTTTTATGCTTAATTTTACTTGTTTGTCAGAAGATCTCCTCGTACTGAAATATATTTTGCATTAATTTAGAGAGCGTATCGACAGAATCAAACCTTGAAAATGCTGTCTCCAGTGATACCCAGGCCATTCCATTGACTGTGACAACTGATGTCGATAACTCTGAGTCAGAAACGAATATTGAACGCGTGATTATCACTCCACCTCTTGAGCAGTCATCGGAAATGAGCATTGAAGTTAGTAATAATGCTTCATCCGCATCGAGCAGTGTGCCGTCGTTTGAGCCTTCCCAAAGTGTCACCAACATTAATACTCCTGCGAATCCCGAAGTTCAAATGGAAGCAGGTGCGAATCCTGAAGTTCAAATGGAAGCAGGAGCAAATCCTGAAGTGCTAATGGAAGCACGAGCAGATCCTGAAGTGCTAATGGAAGCACGAGCAGATCCTGAAGTGCAAATGGAAGCACGAGCACATCCTGAAGTGCAAATGGAAGCACGGGCAGAAGATAATGTGACACTTGATGCAAACCTCTTCATTAATCCTCCTGAAGTCACATCTAACATTTCATCTACTGCGACGATATTTGTTACTCCTCAGATCGAAACTCCCGTTCAAGAATGTCCTGGTGCCCCTGAACGTCCCTTGACGGAAACACCCGATCTTTCTGATCCGAATCTAGCCCCAACACCAAGATCTCCGAATGAGGATCAGCTCATGGATACGACTGGTGATGACGCGTCACGAACAGGTAAATAATTGTGTCTGACTGTATATTTTAAAAAGCCAAGATCTCTCATAAAGTATTTTAAAACTGTAATGAAAAACAAGTAAAAAAAACTTGTTCTTTATAGAGTAAAAAGTAAGAGTAAAAAGATAGTTCATGAAACGCATGCAAAAATCTTTTCTTTTTCTTTTAGCATTTCCAAACGACAATATGTCGACATCAGAAAGTCAACCTACTGACCGGGTCATGAATTGACAGAAAATCTTACTCTCTTCAATACAAGGACACAAGAACATAACAACAGCGACGGTAGTAATAATGCAAGCACTTCAACTAATCCTCCTTCTATGATTGATGGAGTACAAATACCTGAAGGTGTGGATCCTTCATTTCTTGAAGCTCTTCCTGAGGCCATACGCCGTGAGGTGTTAGCTGAACAGCTCGCTTTACGACGCAATACGAGCACCACTGCGTCATCAAGTGGACCCTCTACCTCTGATGGAGGAGAGAATAGCTCTACTTTTAATGTCAGCCCAGAGTTTCTTGCTGCTCTTCCACCTGAAGTACAAGATGAGGTAAGCAGAAAAGAATATTTCTTATTTTGGATTATTGATCGTCACCAAAGTTTACTTAAATCCTGATCCTCGAGTTCATTATTTAATTATTGTCTGTGCATTCTTTGTCGCAGGTTCTTCAACAACAGCGTTTAGAGCGAGAACGACAGCGCGTGCGCAGTACGCCACCGGAAGAACCTCTTGATCCAGGTACCTTCTTACGTAATCTCCCTCAAGCATTACGTCAACAGATCCTCGCAGACATGGATGACTCACAACTTGGTGTTTTGCCCGAAGATCTTTCCACGCAGGCGCAGTCATTGCGTAGGGAGTTTGAATCACGTCAAGCCCGCCTTATGCAGGAAAGGTTTGCTTTCGGCTCGGACAACGAGGCTGCTTCTGCAATATCAGCTTTATTTCGTCGCTCGCGTATTCCACGTCGTGTTGGTCGTGTCGGTCGTGGCGGTAGTTTCCAGTTTTCCCGTTTCATTCCTCCGTCTAGTGCATGGGGACGCTGTCCCGGTTTTTCAAACACGGCTAATCAGAACAAGGAGAAGAAAAACGCCATAACTGGACGACAGGTTCTTGATAGCGATGCTCTAGTATGTTTGTTGATCTTACTTTTTATTGAAGAACCTCGCATCAATAGCAATCGCTTATTGAAAGTGTTGAGAAACATTTGTTATCACGAAGATACTAGACTTTGGGTTATACAATCACTTATTTCCGTGTTACGAAGGACTAGTGGACAAAATCCCGATGGGAGTTGTGCCCCAGTTACAGCATCCATTGCTCGGGGCAAAGGTACTGGGAAAAAACCCGATACTCATTCTAAAGCGCTTGATGATCAACTAGGCAAGTCATCACGAGTGGCATCCGATACGATTCCGAACACATCTTCGTGGCTGAATATGAGCGTTGACGCCGCTTTGGGATGCAGAGCGCGTGTTTTTAACGTTCAAAAAACGGGAAAATCTGCATGTAGTGTTAGCATAAACGAACAAGCTTCCTTATTTGTTTGTAAACATGTTCTCGATGCTTTGACTGCATTGGCAAAACACTTTCCCGCCAGTTTTGCTCCACGGCAAGTCACGAGTTGTTCCGAAGCTGATACGAAAGATGAGCGTCCTACAACGAGTGGATATAATGAATCCGAATTTTGGAATGCCTTATTACGACTCGACGGTAATTATGGCGGGAAAAAGGGTAAAATGTTGACAAGAACCATTTCATCTGGAGGAAATATTGCGAAAGGTGATTCCAATGCGTCACCTCTTGCTTATCTTATGAACTTACTTTCTCACCCTGTCATACGAAAGAACGTTAATTTAATGGATGTATTGTTGCGGCTGCTTTCTATTGTATCTGCTTCGTTACCTGATGGATCTGACCATGCGAGGTCGTTGCGAAGCAACGCTGTTGGCGTTTCCTCGCAAACTAACCAATCAGCGGGTAGAAATATTTTAGTTCGACTTCCGGAGTCTGGAGCTACCACAATTCTCGAGACATATCCTCCTCCTCCTATTGATTCTGGTATAGGTGACTGCAGTGGTTCTTCAAGTCTTTTGGTAGCAGAGGAGATTGGGAGTGAACCTATGGATGTCGAAGTCCACTCATTGACGTCATCAGCGTCTAATAACACGGAGTCGGCTGCCATAACTACAACACAGTTGAGGTTAGCTGTTGATGTGCTCACCACTGGTTCGTGTTCCGATGAAGGATTGGACGACGTTACAACTGTTCTTCTTCAGGTGAGATTGAGTTGTTAAACAGCTTTACCTAACATGGAAAATTAAGGATATAGAAATTTTTTTCGGAAACGTCAATGTTCTAGATTGGAGTAGGTGTGCATCGGTGCATGGTGGGTCCTTATTGAATATCTTATGTCAGACTTTTTTGGGTGTATGGGGTGTGCTTAGTGGGTATCTTGAGTCAGACTTGTTGGTGTATGTGGTGGATCCTTAGTGGGTGCCATGTGTCATACTAGGTTTTATCGTGGTGTGATGTATGGTTTATCTTTATTGGGTATCTTGTGTCAGACTTGTGTGTCTATGTTGTGTCGTTAGTGGGTATCTTGGGTCAGATTTGTTGGTGTATGAGGTGGGTCCTTACTGGGTATCTTGGGTCAGATTTGTTGGTGTATGTTGTGGGTCCTTAGTGGGGTATCTTGTGTCAGATTTCTTGGTGTATGTTGTTGGTCCTTAGTGGGGTATCTTGTGTCAGATTTGTTGGTGTATGTTATTGGTCCTTAGTGGGGTATCTTGTGTCAGATTTCTTGGTGTATGTTGTGGGTCCTTAGTGGGGTATCTTGTGTCAGATTTCTTGGTGTATGTTGTGGGTCCTTAGTGGGGTATCTATTGTTGGACTTGTGGATGTCTGAATGTCATTCGTTGGGAATTGAATGATACGGCCACAATTGTTGTTATTTAATTACTTACTACATAGATACTTTCCAATGAAATTCGAACATTCCCTTCTGCATTCTCCATAGTCAAGGCTTGGAATTTTGTGCGCAGTTCATCCCACTTCTCCTCACACTTGTAAATTACTCTCTATTTTTAAATGCACGTCTTTGCAGCATAACTCATTTCTTCAAGTCAAGATACACTGATGTAGTTTCAGTGGGACTGTTGTTCAGGTCGACATTAAACCTGTGCTTACATCACGTTTTCAGGTATCTAGGTTGGACGACATAACACGTGTCACTGTTCTCTCCTTGTTATTGTATGGTGTTACTGAACTTGGTAATTTGTTACAAGGCAATATTTCTACGTTATTGGATGAATTGCGCGAATATAACGCGACGCACGATACAGTTGTACCAAATGAAAGAACGAATAAAGAACCACTGGAACAGATGTTGGCTTTTCAACGAATGAATAGATCAAACAACGCCTACTTTCCTGCCGCTGTTCGAATGTACACCAATGAAACGAGGTGGCATGGTGTCTGGTTTGAGAGGAAATCGACGACGTAATCAAGGTCAAGGGCAACAACGTCACATCCGGTCACTTACATACGATCTTCATCTGCCCTCCATGGCTTTGTTCACGGATAAGACGTGCAGTCAAAATCTCTTCCTTCGAGCTCTTCGTGTTGTTTTGCAGTTGCGCGTTGCAGCTAGAAAAGCAGCCATTGCCGCCAAGAAAGAAGAAGAGAAAAAGAAAAAAGTTAAAGGTCTTGTTACTATGTTGTATATGTTTTGTTCTTGTTAAAATTGAAGCGGTCTGACATGGCTGAAGATTGGATACGTGATTAGAATAAGCGGACAAACTATTCATTGCATTGTGTTGAATTTTCTTAATTTTTTCCATGTAGACGATAAAGAATCGAGCAAGTCAAATGTTTCAGCAAACAACGAGACTCGTGAAAGTGAAAAAGATCATGCAGGATCATCTAAAGGTATTTCCACGTCTATTCTCAAGCTATTTTCTGCGTTTTTATGTATCTAGACTGGGGTAGTTTTTTTTCAACTCTGTGTTGGAATCTTAGTTTGTAAAGTCAATTTCTCGCGAGTGTTTTTTTTTAACAAAATGCTCACATCTCAATTTTGTTATGTTAGAGTGCAGTGTCGACGAGTTAATACCACGGTTAAGTGGTCAACTGTCTCTTGGGGAACTATGGCAAACATTGAGTGACTGCTTGACTGAATTGGCTCGAACCTCAGATCGCAATGCCGTTTTGGTGCTTCAACCGGCAGTCGAGGCTTTTTTCCTTGTCCACGGTACCGAGAAGGAAGGCAAACAATCAAATAACACGCAGCAATCACGTGGCCTACCAAACGAAGTGGCACGGTTGGCACCTATACGAAGTATTGACGATATGCCAGCATCACCTGGACCCAATTCTCCGGGTGGTTCACTAAATCCCGTAGTACAGTCGTCCATCCCTGCGGATCTGCCCGAGGATCAACAGATGTTCTTGCGATTTGCAGGTAAAGACTTTGGACGATGTTGATAATAACTTTTGAAGAACCCAAGAACCAAGAAAAGCATTTTTCTCCTACTCAATAAAGATTTCAATAATCTTTATATATGTTAAAATTAATTTCAGAAATGCACCAGACAGTTCTCAATCATATATTACGACAGTCGACAACCCATTTGGCTGATGGTCCTTTTGCCGTGCTTGTTAATCACACGAGATTTCTTGATTTTGACGTGAAACGCCGTTACTTCCGACACGAACTTGAACGGTTAAACGAAGGCGCCTCAATGCGACGCGATGATTTGTCAATCCATGTTCGACGAGAGCACGTGTTTGAAGACTCTTATCGCGAACTGCACCGAAGATCTCCCGAAGAACTGAAGTCGAGATTGTACGTTGTATTTGAAGGGGAAGAAGGACAAGATGCTGGTGGTTTACTTCGAGAATGGTACATGATTATGTCACGTGAGATGTTTAATCCTAACTACGCATTGTTTCGAATCTCTCCTGGTGATCGTGTTACGTACCTACCGAATCCCAGTTCGCATTGTAACTCAAACCATTTAAGTTATTTCAAGTTTGTTGGTAAGTGTATCTTGATTGTTTTTCCACTGACTTTTGCTCCTAATTGACGACGTTTTACATTTCAGTGTGCAGTGTTTCTTCCCCTTAAAAAAACTTGCTTTGTGATGATTTTGCTAAGAATTCAGTAAATGGTTTATTTATTTTGGTGTCGTGTCTATATCTTGTACACTAGCTTCATAGAAATTTTCTTTTTGGTTTTAAAGTAGCGTCCGGTTTCGTTACTTTGCCAAAAGTGTTTGATTTTAATATGAATATTCTTTGTTTCGTAGGTCGTGTTGTAGCAAAGGCAATTTATGATAACAAATTGCTCGATGCATATTTCACTCGCTCTTTCTACAAACACATCTTGGGCATTCCTGTCAAGGTCTCCGATATGGAAGCTGAAGATTACAGTTTTTATCAAGGCTTGGTGTATCTCCTTGAGCACGACATTGATGAGATTGGAGTTGAATTGACGTTCAGCACTGACGTAAATACACATTTATTTTCACCCATTTCGCTCAATCATAAACATCGCTCCATTACTGTTCCGCTTTCCTTCCTAGAAGCCATATGCTATATATTTTTACATTTTGTCACTGTTTGTTCTCGCCGCTATGACCTCTTACTGTGATCTAAAACTGAACAGACAATAACAAAATGTAATCTTTTTCTTTAAAAATGTACCCTCAATACAGTTAACTCGTGTGACGTCATTCTGTGGTTTTGTACTTTTATACATCATGGCTCTGGTCCAATCAAGTTGCCTCGTTTTCAATACAATAAATCCATATTCATTTTTCTACATTTTTTTTTCTGCAGATCGAGGAATTTGGTGTGTCCGAAGTACGTGATCTTAAAGCAAATGGTCGTAATATTCCTGTTAACGAGGACAACAAGAAGGAGTATGTTAAACTTATCTGTCAAGAAAGAATGACCGGCTCCATACGCAAACAGATCGAGAGCTTCCTGGAAGGATTTTACGAAATCATTCCCAAAAGATTGATCTCAATATTTGATGAGCAAGAACTGGAGTTACTTATATCAGGGCTACCTACGATAGATCTCGATGATCTGAAGGCGAACACTGAATATCATAAATATAACGAGAATTCACTACAAGTAAGTCAATATTTCTTTGAAGCTTATCCTAGCTAGAAAATTTCTCCACATTTCAACAACTCCATCACTTCCTAACAAAAGTATCTATGACCTTCACTTGAATATTTGCCTGCCCTCAATCACCTTCTCTTTTTCTATCGTCTATTGTTTTTTCTTCATGAAGAAGCTCTCCTGTCTTCCTGTAACTTATTTATGTCTCTGTTATTTGATGCATATCTTGTGTCTCAAAGTCAGTAAAAAAGTTCTATGAACCAGTGCTCATCTTACACTTAGCTTTGCGACGTATATTTTTTTAGATTCAATGGCTTTGGCGTGCTTTACGATCATTCGATCAAGCAGAAAGGGCGAAATTCCTTCAGTTTGTGACAGGAACATCTAAAGTTCCTCTACAAGGTTTTGCTGCGCTTGAAGGAATGAATGGCCTTCAGAAGTTTCAGATTCACCGAGATGATCGCTCTACAGACAGGCTTCCTGCTGCTCATACATGGTACGTTTCGACAAACACGCTTGAGATTGATTGTCCGTTTTTCCCCATTACTGCATACTCGTTACATACATTTAAATTTGTATTGTGTTTAACGTGAAGTATCCTTTCTCTCTTCGTTGCGTGAAGGTTTCATATTTCACATGAATTTATCGACTTTATGTGAGATTCCTTCAAAGTTCACTCTACGTTTAGCTGAAGTCGTACTTTGATTTTCTTTTTATTATCGTTTAGCTTCAATCAATTGGATTTACCACCTTACGAAACATACGACAAACTGCGTGCTGTTCTGCTGAAGACAATCCACGAATGCCCGGAAGGATTCGGATTGGCTTGAAACTTAAAGGAAGCAATGAGGATCGTGGTATTTCACAATTACAAAATTTGTTTACAAATTAGGTGATGTTACTCTGCTGTTTGAAATATTTTTCGAAATCTCTCCTAAAATATTTGTAAAAAATTGAACTACTTCCGATTTCATCCTTATTCGCCTAATACATTTTTTTTTGAAACTCTTTTGTAAGAAATACTAGGCGTCGTAAGTTCTAACGTTGTACTTGTCTCCGTGGCCCTAGTCACTCCATTATGTAATAGTATGATTTGTCGTTATGAAATTTTGCAAATATATATGTTATCATTTTTTAATGCAACCCATCGTCATTAATCTAACTTTTTCCTTTCCAAAATATCAGTTATCTCATTATAATTTACGGATCAGTGAAGAATGTTTTCAAAAAACTGCCGCAAGTCTTCAGCAGAAAGACCTGCAAAGCACCTGTTGTGAAAAATTGCTATACAGTGTCTTTTAAATTAAAACACTAACACCTGCATGATTTTCAGCGAATCATAAAATATAATCAGCATTCTAAAACTGTCTTACATCATAATGTTTAACAATTTGATAGGAAATATTATATTTTGTTATAATATTTTGTGTTTGTTATGTTATCATATTTTATCCTTTGAGCAATCTGACCCATGAAGTACGATGATGTCAACCATGAGTCTGAAGTCTTGTCATAACTTTCATTTCTTACGTGTTCGCATTTATATCTATATCGAAACTTGGAAATCCATTGCCTATTATCTGCTTCCCTATTCGTCACTGATTGTATGCTTTCTTTCCTGACCAAATTCAAACCATGCTTGTTCGTGACTTTAGCGTTCTCGTCTGAAGACTCTACAGCTTTTTTCTCAGTCAGTTCTATCCTTTTTTGTATTCTTCTCAATAAGTCTTTGGGTGATTTCATTTTATGTGTTGGACACACATCTTTTAGTTTGTACGGCGTCTCAAGAATTTGCGACCTTTTCATGTCCCTAGTTTATTGTGAAAAATACTCTCTTTTACATTGATTTTCGTACAATTTCAATTTGTGATATTGTTTCTATGCCAAGATACCCATCTCTTCATCGCTTCTCTTACTCAATTATTTTCGTAATGACCTTCATGTTATTGTTTTTATTTCTTGTTGTTGATCGCAGCTTACCAAGAAATACAAATTCTTTGTGGAAACGTGTTTTCAAGTTCTTAGCAACAAAGCCCAGTTAATGAAAAACGAAAATACCTTTCATTGCAGATAACTCCTGGTGTGAATCATAATCGTCCTTAATCCTTCTGATCATGCAAGAACGCGATTGTTTTCATGTAAATTCGATTCCTTTCGATGATTATAATTACAAATTTTGGCATGAAAAAATTGATCACTTAAGTCTGTTCAAACAATTCGTTGACAAGTTTTTCCCGTTTGTGTAAACAGAAGGCTAGTTCCATGGCATTATAGCTTTGTGCAAATTGCTTCTAATCCTTGTGCATTTTTTCAATACATCCCAAAATTGATCCGCAAATTAATCCCACAATTAATAAGTAAAAAATCGTTATTTCGATTTAAGAGGACAACACAGAGTGCGGGCTAAAGACAAAGGTGTATGTCCGTAGATTGGTTCCTTCATGTTCGTTCATTGATGATCGAATTGATGCTTTTGGGGAGGAGGAGTAGAAAGAGGTGAGGACTTGGGAAGAGGTGTAGGAGGTAAGGGGTAGGGAGGACGAGTAGAAAGAGATGAGGGCTTAGGAGGAGTAGAAGGAGGTTAGGACTTAGGAGGAGGAGTAGAAAGAGATGAGGACTTGGGAGGTGGAGTAGAAAGGGGTGAGGAATTGGGAGGAGGATTAAAAGGAGGTTAGGACTAAATTTAGACGTCATTTGAAATAGTCCTGATTTTGTAGGTGGCGTCTTCAACGTTTTTTGTCTACTTTTTGTGCCCACCTTGGTCGCTATCTCTATGTCTACGTGTATGTCTACTTTTATGTCTACCATTATGTCTACCTCTATGTCTACCTTTATGTCTATCACTATGTCTACCTTTATCTCTACCTTTTTTCCCTTTCATAGCAGTGCATTCAAAAAGTCGTCAATTGATAAGAGACTAAGTTGAAACTAGTCATTCTGCCAGAATTCGAAGAGGTTGTTTTACAAAGGCTTATGCACGGTTTCAACTTTTTTGAAGGGGAGTTGCAACATCATAAAATTTGAAAATTTTTGATCCTCTAGACAACTGGACTCGGGATGGTCTTAATTAGAGATGAATGAGTTGGAGAAATGTATAATCCAAGATGGCCGCCCGTGTGTTTTCTGTTTGTAAACGTATAGTAAGGTGCTCTTTATTTCGTGAGAGAGACGCTCGCTTGATCTTTAATAAAGTGCGAAGTTTGTCTTCGAGTGAAGAGGAATACAATTTCCAAACGCTCACTGGCGATTTAGAAGGTTTGTGAATAAAAAATGTGATTGTGTTTCGGAGTTCGGACTCGTCGTGTTTTCGATGACAGAACTTTTGATTGATATTCTTTAGGTATTGCCGTATTTTCTATGAACAAAGCGAGCAGCAGGAATGCCATAAGCAGAGATTTCTTAATTCAGGTCAGAATATCTAATGTTAATCGATTTCCAATATTTTGTGACGGTCTTCAACCATGAGTGTGTATTGTAGTCAATAATAATATTGTTTTTGTTAGCTTCAAAATGCCATGGATGCAGTGAAGTATGACAAAAGTCTTCGAGTATTTATTGTAAAAAGTGATGTGCCAGGTGCGTTTAAACCACCCTGCTGGTAATGAAATTGAATGTGTGATCCCTTAAGCACAACTAACTCCCCTCAATTTTCAGGAACATTTTGTGCTGGTGCTGATCTTAAAGAGAGAGCAAAAATGAAAATGGAAGATGTTGGTCGATTTGTTACCATGGCAAGAAATTTGGTGACAGAGTTGTATCATTTACCAGTGCCAACCATTGCAGCAATTGATGGTGTTGCACTTGGTGGTGGGCTTGAGTTTGCTTTGGCTTGTGATTTGAGAATTGCAGGTTGTTCATCAAAATTGGGTCTGGTTGAAACAAGACTGGCTATCATTCCCGGTGCTGGTAAGTCGTCATCAATGTTAACCACATGTTATCTGCTAAATTCCTAAGTTATACAATTTATACCAGGTGGGACTCAACATCTTCCGAGACTTGTCGGAATGTCCAAGGCTAAAGAGTTAATATTTACTGCTAAAATTCTAAATGGGGAAGAATCAGAAAAGATTGGATTGGTAAACTACGTAGTGGAAGACAATAAAGTTTATGACAAAGCTGTGGAAATTGCATCGACAATATTACCCCAAGGTCCTATTGCCTTAACAATGGCGAAGAATGCAATGAACAGAGGAACGGAGGTGAAAGTTTGGTTTCATCATTTCAATGACTCTTTTAAATTCAAGTACAAGCATTATTTCACAATTTAGGTTGACCTTACATCTGGATTACAATTTGAAGAAGCATTGTATGCTCAGGTATGAAGTTTAGTGATTTTATTTTAGGTTTCTTACAATGAAATCTAAGCTTCATGTATATTTCATTGCTCACAATTAAAAGGTTATTCCAACAAAAGATAGACTCGAAGGATTGCAAGCTTTCAAGGAAAAAAGAAAACCTGTTTACAAAGGGGAATGAACAAACAAAGGTTAGAGATGCAGTTACACTTGGACGAACACCTACCTACCAGGGATGCATTTTAAAAACTAGAAACATCTCCTCCCCCTTTCTTGTCAAGGATCTTGAATATAAACTGAACAACATGACTAAGGGCATAAATTATAATTTCTAAATAACTATTCACAACTTAAGTGTTTTGAGTAGGTTCGTTGAATATCAACAACAGCATTGCATAAAAGTAGAATTCCATATTAAACATATGTCGTTATTTAGCTACATTGTTGGACCACGTGATCGCTGTTGCTTGCTGAAAGATCTTTCACACAGCTTACTGCGTTTTGACCAGCGTGTTGCAGTTTGTCATGTTCTTCTTGATCTTCTAACGCGTAATCTCTGGAATTCCCTCCAACTTTCACTTTTCGGTGACGAGGCTAGAATATTTTCTATCTTACGAACAATTTCTCCTAAAATACGTTGAAAACACCCAATGTTAGGAACTTTAGGTGACATTAATGTAACAAGCAGATATAACTGACTCAGGAAACTTACCTCCAACATCATAATTACATTCAAACTCGTAGTTTTTAAAATCCCGATTCTCATTTGAGTAGATAATTCGAAAGGTACAACGATTCCCATTCCTCCGTGTTATCTCGCAGTGTACTACATTATCCATCTCTATGTTCATCTACACGGGGAGGGTCGTAAGTTACGGTGTTGCAAAAGTCCTGGAAACTAGTGTTGAGTACTTACAGCGCGCGGTGATCTATTCCAGAAAGGTCGCTGACTGGATTGCGTTGTCTGAGTAATTTCAATATTTCTTGAATCAATACCTAGGACAAAAATTATTTATGCTTATATTATCTACAGCTTAGATATGCAAAGCATGGAAGATTGCTTATTTACCTAATTGAACTTCGCTTTTTGCATGCAGAAATCCTTGAAGCATCGTTACTTTGAAAGCCTACGAAAGAAACGTTGGACACAAGGAAGATGAAAGACCATTGAACTCTGAGGTAAAATGTTAATTACACATCGTCTGCTTTACTTGAATTAATAATTTCTAATTGAAAGACAACTGTTGCGATGAAGCTTGAAATAAAAAACCTTGGAATTTTAAGAGTACGCGCAGTTGTACAAACAAGATATTTATTTATCAAGAGCAAACTTAAGCAGGAGGCATATTTCTGGTTGTTGCAAAAATAAACAAATTTAAATGAAGTACCACGATTCAATAACGGCAAGACTTCAATCACCTTGTATTGTTGTAAAGTGAAATACTCCGCTTCGTCATGCGTTAATTTTCCATTTTTATCACCTGAATTCTTCCTCATTTCTGTGTAGAAATTCGTAAAGTTCAAAACCGTGATAATTAAAAGGACCTTTTGCTCCTTCTAGCAAACACAAACATACGCATTGATGTCTTTTTAATCATAATGAACTCGAGTGTTTCCATATTTTCCAAAGTATCTTCCAAATCAATAATGTTCAAAGGATCGTGACTTCTAACCAAAACATATTCATGACCTGCATTGGAATATATACGTAAAGTGACCACTATAATTTCCTTAAATTTCCCAATGAAATAAATTTCTCAGATACCCGTTCTTTTGATCCCGCGTTTCTTCAGCATTTTTTCAAGAACAACTTTCATCTTCGTATCCCACGAATTAACTGAAAATTTCGACGATCCCCTCCTTTCTTCGCAGCTAAATAAAATTTAAAAATTGTCTTAAAAATAGCAAACACCATGGTGAATGCTCAAAATAATATCGTAGTAGTTCATAAAAGAACTGTTTAAAAGCAGAACACTAACCCAATAGTTCTACAAGAACTGTTTTAAGGTTAATAACAAAATAAAATTTCATTTGAGTCGGAGATATTTATGTTGGAAAATGCGTGATGATTAAAAAGGAAACAAACTTTTTTGAACAGAATAAACTTAACGATATTTTTTGGCGGTCATTTTCATAGAAGATTTTACAGCCAGGGTATAATTTCTCTTACGTACACATAAACAATGATTTCAGAGCGAGCTGGCGTTTTAGGAACGGGTGGTTTTTCTTCTTGCTATATAAAAAAAATGCATTTCGCTACATTTTAATGGAAGACATTTAGGTTTTGATAAACCAGAGACTATAGGCGTATTTATGTTAACAGTTCTTCAAAGGCCATCGCCCATTGGGAAAAAAATTTCAGAAACCTTCTTTTCGGAAAAACAAATATTTTTGTCCTTGATTTGCTCTAATTTGTAAAAGTTTCGTAAACTTTTCCCAGTGGATACAGCGTTTGTATTAAAATTTTACATTGTTATAGAGACCTCGATATACGACAGCGCCAACGCTTTGAAATCAAATTTACTTATCATTTCCTTCTTATCCAACGCTAAATAAATAAATAAAGAAGTAAAAAAAAAACAGATCACATTTAAAAACGGATGGTAGTATTCCAAAAAAATCCAGTTTCTCTTTGTTTGGAACTATCAATGAAATTTAGAATAAACGAAGTAAAAAACAATGTTGCCTTTTACAGAACAATGTGAAACATGATAGTCGTTTGTTCTGTCAATAACGAGAGCATTGATCCATATTGAAAATGGCGAATTTCACATTTAGCTGATGACAAAACTAGATATTACCACAATGAATCAAAATAAGTATTGTTTAGTCTTGAAGTGCAGATGTTTGTGTGTGGGAATTGTCAGCATACTAAAGTCTTGTGAAGATGAATTTTTGATAACCAGAAGTTGACTACCACAGTCGTATATATAATATTGTTATCAGATCTTGAAGGATACCTGGTAGATCAAAATCAACTTCACCATCCACTTCATCAGCAATTAACAAACAGTAAGCATTCACATCATTCTGCAAATATAACAAATTTCATCATCAAGACTAGAGAACTTCATGGTCTTGGTATCATTGTAGTACATTGCAGGATTTATTGGGGATTAAAACTCAAAACTCCCTTTTTTGGTGTTCAACATCTATTTGAAACGGTCTGACAATTTGCTGAAACAAATTCAAAAATGCTTCAAGTTTTTTATCTATCTAAAGTCATTTTTGTTTTCATGTATTTGTTAAAACTTCAACATGGTTGTCAAATGTTATGGACCTCAACTGCCGTTGTTGCATTTCCACTTTTTTAGTTCTCAACCTAGAACTGCTTGCTTCCATAAACCAATTCTCACACACAACTGGACCTGCTGCAACCAATCTGCTGCAGCAACCCCTTTGCACCTTAGAGTAGCCTAAACTAAACAGTCTTGAACACAAAATTTATCTACAGTGATCTATCTGGGTGGGTAGGGCTCTTTTCAAGCTGTGCAGATGTAACAACAAAATGTGCTTGGTTTAACCTACACCACCTGCCACACTTGGACTCACAATTGGGCTCTCAGGAATGTGTAAAAAAACATTTTTTGCTCATTTTGTTCCTCAGTCAACAGAAAATAATACATTTTCACCTCTATAATTGATAACTTAAATACTCCCTATGGTGAAGAGATCAAAAAATTTTGGATGCAATGCTTTTAAACATTTTGTAATACGTTCTTTGCTTAATCTCATAAAAACAAGAAAAACCTTCAATTCTGGTACTCTTTTTTTTTCTGTGTACTTGAACATGATCAAACCAATCAAATCTTGCACACAGGCATTCTCAACTGCAAAGAAAGATTTGAATACTAACATAAAACTTTGGAAGGCATTTTTAAGCATTGTTACCAATAAGATAGATGTTCATTTCTGGTGGCTGCTCTTCATTTGATGACGATGCCTGTAACAACAAAGTTTATTTCTGAAAAAACTGCCCTTCAAAGGCTTATATGAAAGTTTGGAACAGATAATTTGTTCATACCAATGGAAAGAAAATTTTAAACAGCCGTACTTTATTTGTTCTTGAGTAAACCTGCAATTGAGTTCATGCTTTAATAATTGTCTTGTCGACACATTGTTGAATTTTTGTCATCAACATGTACAGATGTGTATTGTCACCTCGCCATCAAATTTGCTGTAGTTTTCAAAAGGATTCCATGGTTGGTTATGACAATTCTTCACCAAAAATGACAATTTGGAAACTGATTTACCATCAGTTCTTGTTTGGCCGCCATCACTTACTTTCTTTTTAGGAAAAAGGCGAAACAGATCTTCATCTACATACAACAGAGATAAAAGGTTCTGGTTTGCATCAACTAGCGTAAAAATTATTGAACAAAAAAGCCCTCTCACTTGGCAATACTTCAGGGTCTTTCCATGGAACCATAATCACTCTTTCCTCTTCGATTCTAATAAACATATGCAATGAAATTATAAACACTTTGATCGCCATGTATGAGTGAGAAACGTTTGCTGTACTTTGCAGTCTTTACTTCTAAAGGTTTTTTTGTCGAACTTTCTTGGCCTGATCCAATTGGGCTGACATCAATATCAAATGAATTTGGAAATTCGCTTAGATCTCTGTAAAATACAAGTGACTATTTTTTAAACAATGTGGAAATCTTCAGAGTGCTTTTTCAAAGTAAGGATAGTGCTATGAATGTGAACAATCATTTCAAAGGGTAAAATTCTGAAATTCAAACTACATAATCCATAAAATAAAACGCAAATTCAAAAATAACAAAGGCTTTTCCGAAGAAAGTAAAATCATGTTTTGTATATATTTATCAAAAGGGCAACAAAATCTGAGCTTCATACATTTTCCTTTGATTCAAACAACTCTATTATACAACTAGCAAATTTTGTTTCACATAATATCTTTAAATTTTTTATCACATAATAATGAAACTTTATAGATAAAAAAGAAACAACTACTTGAGTCTTGAAATAGACGAGATATGACTACTTGAAATTTCAACAAATGATAACTGATAAGCAAGCGAGACTAACCGAATTTTCTGTCGATGTAGGACCTTTTCGTTCTCAGTTTCTTCATTCACAATGACAATTTCACTCATTCCTTCAAAAAAGGGAAAATACAGCGTAAGAGTAAAGCAGTTTTGCATTATAGTTGTGAACTAAATGGATATTAAGGATTTATGTAATTAGCAAAACATATCAGTATCAATCCAATCATTCATACAGCAAAAGTATATTCCTTTAATTATTTGTTGGAAGACTTAACAGCTTGATTATTGATTCTTTTGTACCTCAAATAACAATAATCTATTATAAATGTGCTGCAGACGGAAAGTCGTCAAGTTTGACAGATAAGATTAGATCCTTTTTTTGTTTGCATTTATTTCAAGAGTTAGAAAAACACTCGTGTTGATAACACGTATTTTCAAACTTGCAGTGCAATAATTTACCGGTGTCATCGCTAGTCACACACGAATGTCGGATTTGTGATATGACAAATTGAGCATCATCCATAAAAGCCATTCCAAAATTGTCATTCAAGAAGTACGCTTTTTGTACAACTTCGGTATTTCGCAATATTCTCTGTCAAAAACTACAGACGTCCGACTTGCGCAATTCGTCATAATTCCAACAGCGTGTTGATCATCACAAATCAAAAAACCTCATCGTGATGTAAAGGCTCAAGAATGGCCTCAAGTCTATCGCGGTTATCCATCGACCGTTTAGTAAATACGAGAAATTTGCATTTTTATCTTCGGCGAAATGTTTTGTAATATTGTAATTCTTTCCTAGTTCCAGACCTCTTGTCTTCTCGCGCAACATATCACTGAAGACGACTGAGGACGGTCAGAGAGGAGTGGAGTACTCAACTTTTACTTTTTTTTATTTGTCTACTTTTGGGATGATTTAAATTATAGCTTGCAGACGTTTTTAACGATTTTCTTTTTTTAGGATTGCAAAAATGTTTTGATGGCCAGAATCATAGGGGTGAACTAGGTTAGTCTTATGTAAATGAGAATTTGCTTATTCAGCAATTGACAAGGGTGTGAAAAAGCAACAATTTTATTTGAATCTTACTAAGTAATAATAAATATATATTTTTCTCGTTAAATTTATTCGAAACTATTGATGTCATTATACATAGTTGAATATGGTAACATCCGTTTTACTTTGCTAACTTTCACAGTTTCAATATAATTTAGATCGAAACTGATCAAATTCATTTGTCATTATTATGGTCATTGAGTCAAAGTTGCCATGGTCAAACATCGATTTTCACTATAAAATGTCATTTTATGAAAGTCACGCGCTGTCACGCGTGGATAAGGCGTGGGGCGTAGTGCGTGGGCTTCACTTCATATGTTCAATTTCGTATTATCTTTTCAAATTCCGTCTTAATCATTACTTCATCTTCTTATTTTATACTTAGGTTATTTAAAGGCTAACCGGTGTGTAATTACAACTGCTCACTATCAGTCCTATCTCAATTATTAATGCGGAAGATGTCGTAGATCAATGCTTTGCACTTCTTCGTAGTTTTTTAAAACATTTTAAAGCATGGGTTTTATTCGTGTGAAACTTATCGACGTACAGCAAGCTGAAGAATGGAAAAAGAATTCGAACGGCAAATTCGAGCCGTATTGCGCGATACATATCAAAGAGGCAGTGCAAACGCCTGGTCAAGGTGTCCAATTAGTTCAAAAGAAGAGAACAGTATACCCAGAATGGAATAAATGCTTTGACACGCATCTTTATCCTGGCCGAGTGATTTCCGTCGTCGTCATGGAAAAACCGAACGTATTTCGTGGTGAAACAACAATTGGTGTACAATTTTTGGTCGATCAATGCAAGAAAGATTGCTTTTCCAGTTTGTGGGTAAGTTACCTGTCAATACCTGTATCTTCGCGCGAATTAGTGAACTGAAAGCAGCGGAAGTGAATATTTCTGGCATATATTACAAATAAAGACGCGATTTGTGGGATTTATTATACCCTGAACATAATAGATTATAACTATTATTTTCATTTCTTGAATAGTTTACTGCCTAACCGTTTGAAACTCTGGAGTTTTAAGTAGAACCGTATTTCTTGGAAAGGAAAACGATGTGGTCATTTGAATTTACCGTCAAAATTTGCTTGTTTGTGTTCATTTATAGTTTTAAAACGAAGCTGTTCAAAATTTTTAGGCATTCAGAAAGATGCTCAAATTATTAAACGTTGCAATTACGATAATTTCTATTCAAAAGTATTTATTTCCTGTTATATTATACTCTTGATATTTGTTCGTGATAGTATATGTTATTAAATTGGACATGTTTCCTTGTAAAGTGAAAGTAGTTTATGTTTTTGTCATTTAACAGTTGGATCTCACTCCCTATGGCGACTTCTTGTTCAAGTTAGACACTTTGACGAAGCTGCAGGTACTGCAATGGAAGTTTAATCACTTTTTGTCAATTTTTATTATATGATGCAACTTTATCTTGGATTTAAGTAGAAATGAAGAATGAATAATTAGGTAATAAAACTTAATGAACATAGGCAGCAAATACAACATAGGATTGGACACTTCAACTTTGGAGTATATGGGTAAACATAGGATAAACATGGTTAACATGAAATAAACATAGCTCAACACGAGATAATCATTGTTAAACATGGGATAAACTTAGTTCCAAATTGGATGATCATTCTTAATCACAAGATAAACTTAGTTCAACATGGGATAAACATAGTTCAACATGGGATAAACATGGATAAACATAGTTCATCATGTCATCATGGGATAAACATGGATAAACATAGTTCAACATGGGATAAACATGGATAAACATAGTTCATCATGTCATATGGGATAAACATGGATAAACATAGTTCAACATGGGATAAACATGGATAAACATAGTTCATCATGGGATAAACATGGATAAACATAGTTCAACATGGGATAAACATGGAATAAACATAGTTCAACATGGGATAAGCATAGTTCAACATTTGATAATTTTGGTTAAACATGGGATAAACATGGATAAACATAGTTCAACATGGGATAAACATGGGATAAACATAGTTTAACAATGGCTATGAAAATAGTAGTTCCACAGTGATCTTGTTGCTAACAATCTGTAATATGGATGCATAAAGAACATTCAAATATATTTTCCCTATTCAATGATGAACAATATCCATGCTTATACTGAGCTATAATGCTGACTGTTTTTGTTCTGAGAACTTTACGTAACTATGTATCCTTGCATGTCAATGTATGTTCACATTTGTACCTATGGGTCCTCACAGTGTTTGTGTAATCTCATATGTGACTGTGTATCCTCAATTGTTTAGTGTGTGTTTTTATGTTGCCATGTATCCCCAGCGATCCCCATCCATTGATGTGTTGTTTGCATGTTACCGTGTGTGCTTTTATATCTACAATCTATCTTCATTTGTTGCCATAACCCCATGTGTAAATGTGTATCCTCGTGTGTCCTTTAATCCTCATGTGTAACTATATCATGATATGTTAGAAATTTCCATGTGTTTTCTTTTGTTCCTTTATCCTTTTGTGTTACAATGTTACTGTTTACACAAAAATAAACATATTCTTTTGCCACATTATTCAGATGATCAAAACAAAAGCTATGATGAGCCAGCCAATAAAAGCGGTCTTACTGGCAGACGCGGTGCCATTCGGAAACAGAAAGTTCATGAAGTTCGTGGGCACAAATTTGTGGCTAGATTTTTTCGACAGTTTGTGTTCTGTTCTGTTTGTCGTGATTTTTTATGGTGAGTCATTAAAACTTGTCTTAAGTTTGTCACCAAGAGGTATTATGTTCCACTAACTGAGGAAAAAATGCCAAAATGTTTTCTCACACTCTTCTGAGAGCCCTATTGTGAATGAGTGTGGTGTAGGTTATATGAAGCACATTTTATTGTTGCATCTGCACAGCTTGAGAAGAGTCATCCCCAGCCTGCGTGGATGAGTCACTCTAGGCCAGTGTGCGAATTAGTTGAGAAAAAACGATGTGTGCACATTGCACACCCTTAATTCACACACTGCTCTAGGCATATGTAAATTGGTTGGTTTAGGCTACTCCAGGTAGCAAGGCCTTTTAGGCGATGTAATAGTAGCTCTGTTTGTTGTTTTGCTAAGTGTAATAAATGTCAAACTTGTGGCAGATTGGCTGCAGTAGCTCCTAGTTGTATGTGAGAAATATGAAATTTTTTTACTTAGCTGTGTATTCTTGTCTGATTGTTTGTTTGTTTGTTTGTTTGCAGGGGATTAAACAAACAAGGTTATCAATGCCAAGGTGAATAAATGACATTAGGGAAGATTGTTAGTAGATTGTGTAGACCCTAATTCAACTTCAGAAAAACTCCTTTTTTAGTGTGTACAATGGTTGTGCACAAGCGATGTCACAATCAGATCTTAAGCACATGTCCTGGTGCAACAGACAATAATGAAACAATGGTGAGTGATTTTTTAGTGATTCTATTTACCCACTGGCCTGTGTGTAACTAATCTATTTACACACTGGAAACAGTGTAACTAGTCTATTTACACATTGACCTATGTGTAATAAATCTATTTATACACTGACTAAGCATTGATATTTTGTAATTAATCTATTTACACACTGACTTGTTTAACTATTGTATTAACACACTGGCCTGAGTGTAACTAATCTATTTACACACTGACTTGTTTAACTATTGTATTAACACACTGGCCTGAGTGTAACTAATCTATTTACACACTGACTTGTTTAAGTAATGTATTAACACACTGGCCTGAGTGTAACTAATCTATTTACACACTGACTTGTTTAAGTAATGTATTAACACACTGGCCTGAGTGTAACTAATCTATTTACACACTGACCTGTTTAACTAATGTATTAACACACTGGCCTGAGTGTAACTAATCTATTTACACACTGACTTGTTTAACTAATGTATTAACACACTGGCCTGAGTGTAACTAATCTACTTACACACTGACTTGTTTAACTAATGTATTAACACACTAGCCTGAGTGTAACTAATCTACACATATTAACACACTGGCCTGAGTGTAACTAATCTATTTACACACTGACTTGTTTAATTAATGTATTAACACACTGGCCTGAGTGTAATTAATCTATTTACACACTGACTTGTTTAACTAATGTTTCAAAATCTATTTAAGCATTGATCTGTGTGTAACTAGTCTACTTACATGTTGACTTTGTAATTAATCTTTTACGCAATGTCCTGTGTCCAATTAATCCATTCAGTAATTGATTTTTACAGTTTAAAATATCCCAATTACTAATAGTTCAACTGAACAATTGACTGTGAAAATTTTTAGAAACTAAAGGAACGGTTCAAAATTGACATTCCACACAGATTTAAAGTGACTACGTATCTAAGTCCAACATTTTGTGATCACTGTGGCTCCATGTTGTACGGTCTCTTTAGACAAGGCTTGAAATGTGAAGGTAACAGATTAAATAAATTCTTGCATTCATGGTTTAAAATCTCATCTCAGATTATTATATTTTTTGTTCTAGCGTGTGGAATGAATATTCATCATAAATGTCAGAAACATGTTGCAAATCTTTGTGGAATCAATCAGAAAGCATTTGCTGAAGCGCTTGACCTAGCTAACGTAGGTGCAGTAGACTTGTGGCACTTTTTCCTCTTGACCTAGCTAACGTAGGTGCAGTAGACTTGTGGCAATTTTTCCTCTTGACCAAGCTAACGTAGGTGCAGTAGACTTGTGGCAATTTTTCCACTTGACCTAGCTAACGTAGGTGCAGTAGACTTGTGGCAATTTTTCCACTTGACCTAGCTAACGTAGGTGCAGTAGACTTGTGGCAATTTTTCCTCTTGACCTGGCTAACGTAGGTGCAGTAGACTTGTGGCAATTTTTCCTCTTGACCTGGCTAACGTAGGTGCAGTAGACTTGTGGCAATTTTTCCACTTGACCTGGCTAACGTAGGTGCAGTAGACTTGTGGCAATTTTTCCACTTGACCTGGCTAACGTAGGTGCAGTAGACTTGTGGCAATTTTTCCTCTTGACCCTAGCTAACGTACGGTGCAGTAGACTTGTGGCAATTTTTCCACTTGACCTAGCTAACGTAGGTGCAGTAGACTTGTGGCAATTTTTCCACTTGACCTAGCTAACGTAGGTGCAGTAGACTTGTGGCAATTTTTCCACTTGACCTAGCTAACGTAGGTGCAGTAGACTTGTGGCAATTTTTCCTCTTGACCTGGCTAACGTAGGTGCAGTAGACTTGTGGCAATTTTTCCTCTTGACCTGGCTAACGTAGGTGCAGTAGACTTGTGGCAATTCTTTTACGATGATTTTGTCATGCTTGTTGGATTGTTCGGTTTTCATCAGTTTTTTCCAGGAGAGTTCGAAGGAACTTAGTTTCTTTAGCTCTAAGTGAGTTAATGAAGAAACATTTTTGTATGGCAAGTGCAAGGAATTTTTTTGTACATTTTCATAGGCAGATAAAGCGCGGAGACTAAGCCAACTTCCAAAATTACCAAGTAATGAGTCATTAGCACCGACTATGGCTAGTTTTAATGATGAAAAATTAGAAGAAAAATATGGTCGTATTGCCGATGAGTATGAAGTGATGTGGAAAGCTGATGAACCCAAACCTCCACCGCGCACAGTCAGTATCAATAAGCCTATCAAGAAATACACCATGCAAGATTTTACGTTTCTCAAAGTCCTCGGAAAAGGGAGTTTTGGAAAGGTATTTAAAGCCTGCTTTATTATACTTCCATAAGAGATGATCTTTTGGTGTCTCCTCAAAGCCTCCTCAGTACTCCTTAGGGGAAGCAAATGAATAGACATGATCACATATAAAAAAAATGACGAGATTTTTATTCATAAGACATTTTGCCTGAAATTCTGCTCTGGTTATGCCATTGTTACGAAGGTTGAAACGTCTGTCGATACAAAAATCACAAAAAATCCTTTTTCGCCTTAGCTAACCAGGATGGTGTCTGTTAATGATTTATTTACTTTGTGTTAGTTTGGCTGACGAGTCTTGCCTTGGAAATCTATTGTTGGTGTGTTCATAAGGAGTAATTTGATGTTGAAACGTGTGCCTATTCTACTTAAGTTTTGTGTTTTCATCAGGGCGAGTGATAAGTTTATTGAAACTTTAGTTCTTGTGTGCTCCCGTCTTGTGTCTTTCTGAAGAGTGATCTCAGGCTAAAATTGACTTCATTACGTTTATACATTATTCGTGTCACTCATTTTCATTGTAATGTAAAGTTTAAACTTAAGTTCTTATACACTTCAGTTTTTTGTCTTTATGAGGAGTCGCCTCATGCTGAAACTTAAAATCTTACGTACATACTCCGGTCTAATGTCTTTGTCAATAGTGATATGATGTTGAATATAGACTCTTGTGATGTGATTACTTGTAAGTCTGTTTATTCTGTTTGCACGAGGCCAGGATAATGGTGTTAACTGGATGGCGAGTTTTCGTGTATATTAAAAATGTGGTTATGTATTTTTCTAGGAAATGATTTATCTTATTGATTATCCAGTTTAAATCGTAGCTTTTGCGTTCAAGCTATTTTAAGACAGCCAAGAAAAGTCACATCCTATGAACGGCGCTATCAAAGCTTGATGTGCAACCTTTCACTGTATTTTGAACATATTCTAAACTTAGGTCAAATATATTTGATAACAACGCAAAAATTTCTGGCTGTTTAGGTTCTGTTATCAGAGATGAAGAGTAATGGTCAGGTTTATGCCATAAAAGCATTAAAGAAAGACGTTGTGTTAGAAGATGATGATGTTGAATGTACAATGATCGAAAGACGAGTTCTGAGCATTGCTAGTCGACATCCATTTCTCACTTCTATTATTTGTTCATTTCAATCCAAGGTAAGATCAAAGACTACTGACACATGCAGTATACTCGCATACATGCACCTTCATTGATTTTGGGCCGTTGCTTCTGTTTTTTGAATTGGTTGAATTTCAATAAGGCCTGACACAAAGATTACTGGAGATGATTTTTTACATGTCAGTTGTTTTGTCTGAAGATAGCCATAATAAAACTCGAGATGAGCTTTTTAGCAAAATGAGCATGCTCTGTACTGTACTGTTATTTCGGTATTTTTGACTATGTGATTTTCAAATATTTTTCATGATCAAAGCCCTTGCCGTCGTATCGTGTGGTCGTTTTGTTAGATATTTTGCCGTTGGGCATCCGCACATCTTTCAAATGTTTTACGTGTTTTTGTAAGCGGAATTGATTGTTTACATTCTTTATTTCATTTCAAAGAAAATATCGTGAATCAGTTGTGTTATTTCAAAACACTTGCCAAATTTTCTGCAGAAAGTTTTCCATTCCATGCAAGGATAGATACTGTTTTAATCTGAGCAGGGATATTCACATAGAATGGAAAAGTTTTTTTTTTACTTTTTAATCCTTGATATTCTTTTATCCAACTCGAAATCATTCAACAGTATCCTTGAAAATATCCGCCATCTTTCTGTTGTAAACAATTATAATTTAATATTCCCCCTCTATCTCTTTTCTCAGGAGCATTTGTTTTTTGTCATGGAATATGTGAACGGTGGTGATTTGATGTTTCATATTCAGTCTGCTGGCAAATTTAATGATTATCGCTCTTGGTGCGTATTGGGACCAACTGTTAGCATATACGAGAGGAAGTTGATTATTTAATGTTTTTGTGTTGTTTTAGTTTCTACACAGCCGAAATCGTTTGTGGTCTGGAATTCCTGCACAGTTTAGGAATAATATATAGGTATTTGTTCTTTATTTATTTTTGTCTTAATTGTTTCCACTTCTTGTGTCGTCGATTCGTTAAATTTAACTTTTTTCCCGCGCTTTGAAGAGATTTAAAGTTGGATAACGTCCTCATGGATGCTATGGGTCATATAAAGATTGCTGATTTTGGCATGTGTAAGGAGAAAATATTGGATGGTAACAAGACCTCCACTTTCTGTGGTACACCTGATTATATAGCGCCTGAGGTATGAATCTACCCCCTCCCCCCCCCTCCTTACTACTCCACCATCCCCCTAGAACGACGTCATCTTTTGATAGATGTTATTTAAGCATCTGTAAGCAAAGCAATAGGTCCGTGTTTATCTTTCCATCCATTCTTTAAATTATATGTTTGTAAATGATGATCGTCCAGGTTGGTATAGTCCTGAGACGGACTGTTTTTGTTGTTGTTGACTGACGTTTCGACAACCTTAGCGGTAGTCATCTTCAGAGTCAAAATTTCATTCTTTAAATTGTTAAAGACTTTACGATGATCTGCAGAATGATGAAACTTTAAGAATTACTTCATGTAGATCGAAACCGATAGTAATCTTAAGACTCAAAAAATCTGTTCATAGTTCGACATTATTCCAGAATCATCGTGAAACTTATTGCAAAAGCCCTACGGATTGAAAAACGGAGCGTAATTTTTGTGTCTTCTTTTTAAACCATCTTAGATGTTGACCAGAGAAAATGTATAATAAGTATGTTTCTTTTTATGGCGTATAAAATTGTCTGCGTGAAGATAATTTTCATGTAGCGTTGTTTTCTCATGCAAAACCTCAGATTGTCGTCAACATGATCAATACTAAAGATAAACTGATGTCTTTAACCCAAAAGTTACTCTACATTTTTGTATATGAAGCCTGAGAAGGACTGTTGGTGTCGGCGTTGGTTTTGCTCGACTCCGAAGATGACAACCGTTATGGATGTGGAACTGTCCCTCAACACCAATGACCAACACAAACAATCCTACAGGATTTCACTAAACTGAAGGATATACTAGAAATATGTAACTGACTCTCTCGGGTTCAAACCTTTCACTTTGAAAGTTACGCTCTTACCACTCTAGGTAGATGTTCATTATGTTTCACATGCAAAAAATATTGTTTCAGATCCTTAAGGGACTGAAATACGATTCCTCAGTAGATTGGTGGTCTCTTGGTGTATTATTGTATGAAATGTTGATTGGACAGGTTTGTTAGCCCCTTGTTTCTTTTAAAAACTAGTTAAAATTTGCTTTTCTCGCGTTTTAGTCATTGTGTAAAAATGTTCACCATCTGTCCCATCACCATCCTTATGGTTGCCAATGCCTTCATTGTGCAAAAATGGTCACCATCTGTCCCATCACCATTGTAATGGTTGCCAATGCCTACATTGTGCAAAAATGGTCACCATTTGTCCCATCACCATCCTAATGGTTGCTAATGCCTTCATTGTGCAAAAATGGTCACCATTTGTCCCATCACCATCCTAATGGTTGCCAATGCCTTCATTGTGCAAAAATGGTCACCATCTGTCCCATCACCATTGTAATGGTTGCCAATGCCTACATTGTGTAAAAATGTTCACCATTTGTCCCATCACCATCCTGATGGTTGCCAATGCCTTCATTTTGTAAAAATGGTCACCATCTGTCCCATCACCATTGTAATGGTTGCCAATGCCTACATTGTGCAAAAATGGTCACCATTTGTCCCATCACCATCGTAATGGTTGCTAATGCCTTCATTGTGTAAAACTTTTCATTATTTGTCCCATCACAATCCTAATGGTTGCCAATGCCTATATTGTGCAAAATGGTCACCATCTGTCCCATCACCATCCTAATTGTTGCTAATGCTTTCATTGAAAACACATATTTTTATTCTGTGGGCACCAGGTTTGTTTTACCGTCACGTTTGCTAGTATACCACGTGACGAAACTTATTACAGCCCATTTTCACATTGATTTTTGCTTGACATGTTTAGTCTCCTTTCACCGGTGAAGATGAAGAGGATCTTTTTGATTCAATTTGTCGCGATAAAGTTCACTACCCTAAATGGGTATCGCAAAACGCTGTCTCGTGTATGGTACAGGTACGTTAGGGGATAATGTGGGATGTGCTTGATATTTAAATTTCGTGCGCACCTTCTAACGCAATTTGGTCCAAAATTGTTTTAGCTATTGGAGCGAAATGTGAACGAGAGACTTGGATATAAAGGTGGTAAAAATGGCATCATAAGAAAACATGAATTTTTCTCCAAATTAAGCTGGCGACAACTGGAAACAAGGCGAATAGAACCACCTTTCAAACCGAAAATTGTAAGTCTACACTGCCATTAAAATTCTTCCATAATCCTATTGGATGTTTTTCTGTGCATGTGAAAAAAAAGTCATTAAACGTGAGCTAAATGAATTTTTTTGTCCAGCGTTCACCAAGAGATGCTGAATATTTCGATTCAGATTTCACAACTGAAGCTCCCAAACTCACGCCGACCGACAAAGCTTTGCTTGCATCGATAGATCAAGGTCAATTCAAAGGATTCTCTTTCGTAAATCATAATTTTAATCGCGACTCACTTTAGCCCGCACCTTTGAAAAAATGATTTTGGAAATATTGTACGTAGCAAATGATTCTCTATGCGCTGTTTTGCCGTTTTATGATGCTGCAATACTCTTAATTAGCGATTTATGATAACTGTGTTAAACCAAGCTTAAAGTTTTGAAATAAGTTAATATTTTTTTGGCTACAGCCTAGTTTTTTGGTGAAGAATTATTTTGGTATTTTAATGCGGAAAAACAGCGCTGTGCATAAAAGCCGAACATCTTTAGTACATATAGGATGTAATTATTTTTTTAAAAATACCGCTTTTAGTTAACTATGATAATTGTAAAGTTTCTAACATGTAAACTATGTTTATGAAAAAACATTTGTAACTATATCTCAAATTTCTTTTGATTACGTTGCTTAAAATTCAAATTCAGACACAATTAATAATACAGAAGAATGGAACGTAGCCTTGTGGAAAGTGTGAAAAATTTTAGCAATATAAAGTAAAATCTAAATATTAAATTTTTAATTTACAAATGACTGAGTCCAATCGAGGAATTTCAGGCAATTAGCAATTCATTGATTTTCACTCAATACGCTTTTCACACGTTCGTTCAAGAACGCACTTGTTCCTGTCGATGAAGTTTTTTTTTAGTTTTGAAGAAGTGTTCAGGCATTCTGGGTTGGTTGTTTTTTGTTAAGGTGTATACAGGAAAACTAAGATTGTTGAAATTTTTGTCAGGGTGTAAAACATCTTATCGGAAACAATCAATTGTTTCCTGTTTTTAAAATAGACTGACGGAATTTTAATTAACGGTAACAATATAATACTTGGTGGTTGCACTTTTTGGTATTGATTGCTTATTTTTATGCCTTTATTGATTGTTTTTGGTGGAGAAGATGGTGTTGGTCTTTAAATGGCAGTAGGGAAAAATGTAAACAACATTGAATTTCGACAAACTATGGTGCATTTTACTGTGATATGTTTTCCCTTTTTGCTACGTACGGTCAAATATCCATTTCAAACCGAAACAAACTTTTTTTCAAATTGATATTAGTCACGTTGTCAGCTTTTTTAAATAAAAGACCATGAGCAAAGGTGTTGTTATAACGACAAACCTTCACTTGTTCAATTTGAAATTTTAGCGATTTTAATCCAAATCTGAACTTTTGAAACTGGTGAAATATGAAAAAATCTCATGACAAGCAGTAGATATGCTGATTAATTGATCAATGAAAATTAAAATACTAAAAGATCTCTGCTTGTTCACATATTATTCACAACAAATCATGTCTGTGCAGGAAAAGTGGCAAAGTGCTCACACAGTCACACTTGTTGCCGAATCACACTTCGCACCGCCGAATTGCTTTGTGTGTGGTTGGCGACATGTCATAATGAGGAGATATATATGTTTTACCTGGTTGCATTTTGTAATTTAAAACTCCTGCTGACACACGTGAATTGAAATGTAAACCCATTTTGAAAACAAAGATATGGCACACGCCTGATTGGTTGTTAGCAAGAATACGTCGTTCCCATTGGTCCAATGCTAATGTAGTACAGGCTTTATTTGCCGCCGGGAAAAGTCGTGATGTGCTGACTCTGAAATCATGACACCACAAGCGGATTAATCAGAGTGAAACATACCTTTCAACTTTATTCATCTCCTCAAAAACTGGCTGTGTGCTTGGGGAATTGGGCAAACACTATCGTTTTCTTTTTGTCATTTTCATACTGGTACGTATACTTAAACCTTTTACATAAGACCTCTTTTCTGGTGGCGCAAATCTTGCACTGTGGAAGTTGACATTGCATATCGCATGTCAAGGTTGGATTTGGCAAAATTCTTCGAATATCGGACGAGTTCCTGCGCGTATTTTCTTTGCCAGTCGCTAAACGAATCTGTTTACAATATCTTTGGTTTCCACAATCCATAATTCATTTTCCCACTTGGAATAATTACACTAAAAGTTATGAATATTCTGAAATAAACGCACTGAAATGAGTCGAAGCTTTGCCAACTGCTGTGGCCAGAATTATCCGAAGATGAAAACCATCTTGTCAAGAAATATTTCGTCGAAATAAACTTCAATACGTGTCAGGTACATTTCCTACATTTCTTTTTAGAAATCTTACGTTTTCTATGTTGTCCAAGCTCAATATTTTCCAAAAAAACTTCAGTGTAAATATAAGTCAATTTTACCCGTAACGCGGATGATCCCGTAGCAGGAATAGTTTTACATTTACTCCTTCTGTTATTTCTTTTTGTTGAGTAAACTCTGTTTGTCTTAAAAATTGCTTTGTTTAGCCGTGGTTAACTTCACAGCGCAGTTGTAAAAGCGATCTCTTTTATACAAAGGTTTCAACCATATCCTTTCCGTAGGCGTTTTGTGTCCACTTAGTACAGTTCATGACAATTTTAACGCAGAAGTGTGGGTTTTTATTTTGCAAACATTGTCGAAATATTTCATGACTGATTGCTTTCGGTTAAAAAGAAAACGTAATTCCCTTGCTGTTGTGAAATTATCTTTACTTGAAATAGAATGAGATGTTATTGCAAGGTATATTGTATAATCGGCTACTTATTTATAGTATGCATTCGTTTGCTTTATATTCCGTGCTTTAAACAACCGTTTGTGAAAGAACTTATACAAGTTTAGTTTGTATAACATATTTGAATCTCAATTCCAGGTAGTCAGGCCTCAGGCTTTTTCCAAATGCAGCCCATAAGACGAAAATATTTTGTTTTACGAGTACAAAATTTAAAAGTCTCGTTAGACTTTTAAATTTTGTGAATATATTTGTGCTTTCCTTTGTTTCATGAACTTATTTATTTTTTATGTAAACAGCAACTTTACTTGTACTTTCAATGCTATATACAAAATTTGCATAATCATGAAAGCTAATGGAATATTAAAGACGTTTAAACTACATGTAATTTATAATACCACCAGCCTTTGTTGATTCAAACACTTGACCAGAGTTTAATGGCAAAGGAACTCTGATTTATGAACCTTTTTAAACTTTTTAAGTGGTCAAATGATAAATTAGATACATAATTGATTTTGTAGACTGAACATTGGAGCTGTGAAAGGTTTTTCATGCACCCTTCTTGTCGGTTAAACTTGTTGATCATTTGATATCATAGGGTCTGTTTTAATTTCTATTTGACAATTTTTTGTGATATTCTTTCCTAGAAAACTAGCCCAAAATATCAAGATACAATGATGATACATGTCTACAATGATAGTTTTTGTACTTTTCAGGTAAATTTGTGCTGTCACCTTTCAATGGCACCGTCTTGTAAGAAGAGAAAGTTTTTCGAAGAGGAAAAAAGATGCCAACGTTACTGTACTCGATCTTATGTCAAGCAATTGCACTTTTCTATGCCTGTGGATCAAATGGGTCCCTTGTTTGGATCATTACCAACAGAAATGCTGACGTATGTCCTGTCATATCTTGATGCTCCTTCTTTAGCATGTTTTGGTGCTACTTGTAAAACATTGTATGGTTATTGTGAAGAAATGTGGAGACCTCTATGTAATAGACTCAACCTTGAACAACAACCTACCGTCCTCTGTGTTCAAAAACCTTTGAAAATTAATTCTATATACAACTATGATCGTGCGGTGGAACTTTGCATCAGTAAAAAGCGTTATAAAATATCCGCTATCAGAAATTGGTTGTTCTCAAGGTGGAGATGTGTTATATGTTATCGTACTGGTTCACAACGTATTGATATCCATGTTGATGTAACACTTTGTGAAACGTGTCATCTGATCTTTTATCGTCGTAAATGTCATGCCAAGGTGAGCTTGTGATCTTATTTTTTATTGTCATTCCGTTTATGAAACAATAAGGTATGACTGGGGCAGAGCTGTCGGGAGAGCTGTATTTGAGAAAGGCATGAAAACAAGCCAAGCTCCTTTAAAAATATTGGGTCAGTGTAAGGAGCCATTTGTAGTTTGTGTATTTTTGAAAAGTTTGCATGGCACTTTTAGTGCTTGGAAAAAAGTTTGTCCCGGACCTCGAAGTTTCCCTTGGTTGCCATCTATTCATGACTATTGGAATTAGTTCACAAGCACAACACAAGCCAATGTGCATCTTTCAGATTTTTTCTCCAAGCACTCATATTCGTATCTAATAAATTATAGGAACAATTTAGTTTAACCGAGAAGGATCTAAGGATCATTGACAGCGAATCATATGAATTCCTTGTTTCTGACCTTATCACAATTGCCCGAGCAAAGTATGGAGGCAGCCACGGTCTTAAGCAAAGACTTGATAGTCGAAAGCAGCAGAAAGAAGAGCGGGAATCTGACAAACAGTGCTCCTTGATTACCAGAGAAAATCTTGTTGTCTCTGCTCTCTGTCATCAAGGTAGTTCATATGAAGAAATCTCTGTGGTGGACTTTCGTTGCATGCCTTTTGTTGGTAGTCCACCAAGCTATCCAGGTTTGGAACAGCAGGCCGAGGATGCTGCCAAATGGTTGATCTCGTGCAAGAACAGACAGGAAACAAGGTACAAAACCCTTGTGGACGAGATAAAAGTGAGATCAGGTCGATGCAAAGGCTGCCAGGCTAGGGTGGACTTCAGGTACATAAATTATAAATTTTAATGTTTCGTTAGACTCAAATCTTATGTATTTTGTTTATAATGATCTTTTGATTTGCATTCTTATGCTGCTGCCATTATTCCATTTTTTCAATATTTTGTTATTTTAACAACCTTTACTTTGTGTTTTGCCAGGTTGGCGCCTCACAACGCTGTGTGTTTACACGTGACGTCCACAGAAGGCCAAACTAAAATGAAATCGATTTTGTCAAAGTTTAAGGAAGATATTGCACATTACAGCAAGCATGGCTTACTACATTTGGAGTCGGGTCCTTACGATATTGAAGAAAAATCAGCCCTGGAACTTATGAATAGACACGATCGCATGTGTAAACTTCAAAAAGAGTTAGATGAAAGAAAGGATTCTTGGCCAGATATACTTAAAGGTAATTATTCATTAACGGTGATTGTCATTTCATGTTAACTCGTCCACTTAGTAATTCTCGTCAGTCGGATGGTTGAATCGTTATGTGTGAGTGCCTTTTCTTATGAAAAATTTATTGAGTAAAGTTTCATGAGTTGATCTTTTATAATAGTAGACATAGTAATGCTTTGTTTACAATATTTATTCACTATAGTATAGGCAGCGACGGATTACCCATAACGTTGCCTGTGGTCTAAGATAAAGTTGTTGGACTTTGAGTCGGACATCCATTTCTCCCACTGAGTTTAGTCTCTTCATGACATTTGCGTTCCTTACGCTCTTTGCCTTTGCATTTTCCAGCTTGTTTTTGTAACTCATGGTATCAACAATAAGGGATGAAACGGGGACAATCCACTAAATCATTATTTCCGAGCATCGTGCATTTGAACAGTAGATTGTACAGCTTTTGACAGCATAAATGGTCTAAAATAAGAACATTTAACTAGTCCACAGGGGCAAAAAGAAAAAACTAGTTATATCTAGGTACAACGGGCCTCTCAAAAGCCCGGGCCTGTTGGCTTCAGCCTATTTAGCCAACAGAGTAATCCGCCCCAGAGTATAGGCATTTACTACCAAGAGCATTAACTTGATTACGTATGTCAAGAAATTGGGTGTTGGAAGTTGTGTTTTTGCGTTTTCATCAAAGCACGATCTTCGACAGTTATTATAGTGTTTGGACCTCATTTTAGAATGCGCTTTGTCGATATCAACTGTACGGTTCATTATTGCAGCGATACTGTCTAAAGAGGTTGCTCTAGCCCAAAAATGTTTGGTGCTGCATGATAAGGCAGAGGTTTAAAACATTTAATCATCTCTCTAATTCGTGAACGTTTCTCTTTTCAAGAAGACAAAAACCCCATGTTCAGCCAGCTTGCCCAGGATTACATTTACAAAGGTGTCTCCCATCTCGAGAACAAAGGTTCGAGATTTCAGTTGAGAAAAGCCATGGACGTCGCTCGAGTCATCATTACAACAGCTAATGGATGGGACGCGAGAAAGAAAGAAATGGAAAACAGTCTTGCGGAGAAAGGCGTTCCTTCACCAACAAAAATTCTGAAACTGGAGAGTCAAATGTTGATTGACGATTTCATCGACAATTCTGTTGTGGTAGGTTCTCCAAATCCTCCATTGCTCGAAAAATAAAGTTCGACTAGTAAGTTGTTTGAAAAAGCGAAGTGTAAGCGATCAGTTTAATTTATCGCTTTTGAATACATTTCAACACATTACGATCGTTGCGAAAGGGATCCTTTATTAATGACGGCAGATTTTTATGAAAAGTAACAGTCCATCTTCTCTCGCTTTTTAACCATTCTCGTTTAATTTAATTTTAGGTTCGTGGTGAACATATTCTTGCGTGTTCTGCTGCAGAAGTTGCCGAAAAAGTTTCGGTGATCGAGGGCCACGAGAAGGAACAACCTTCGTCTGTCGCTCGACGATGTGCGAGAATTTATGCTGAATGTAATCCAAAACCAGGTACAGTTTTGCGTTGCTTTCGTTGAAGAGCGATTAACTATTTAATGAGACTGCGGAGATTTTTTATACTTTACGATTCTACTTCTTGTCGTTTTTTGTAAAATTTTAATGTGTTACAACAAAACAAATCAACTTATGCCTTGCTGTGTATGTGTGACACTTTCACAAAGTTTTTTCAACAAAGGAGGAGCTTTTGATGTTGGTTGGATATACCAAACTCACACTCGTCCATCAACATGTTCTGTGGGTCGTTTATATTATGTTTTGTACCGGGGTTATCTCACCCAAGGTTTGATGGTCCTGGATACTAGGTTTATCCCCCACCATCACGTTTTATCAGGTCTTGGGTACCATGTTTACTAAACCACCATCACGTTTTATCTGGTCTTGGGTACCATGTTCATCCCACCACCATCACGTTTTATCTGGTCTTGGGTACCATATTTACTAAACCACCATCACGTTTTATCTGGTCTTGGGTACCATGTTTATCCCACCACCATCACGTTTTATCTGGTCTTGGGTACCATGTTTACTCCACCACCATCACGTTTTATCTGGTCTTGGGTACCATATTCATCCCACCACCATCACGTTTTATCTGGTCTTGGGTACCATGTTTATCCACCACCATCACGTTTTATCTGGTCTTGGGTACCATGTTTACTCCACCACCATCACGTTTTATCTGGTCTTGGGTACCATATTCATCACACCACCATCACGTTTTATCTGGTCTTGGGTACCATATTCATCCCACCACCATCACGTTTTATCTGGTCTTGGGTACCATGTTTATCCCACCACCATCACGTTTTATCTGGTCTTGGGTACCATGTTTACTCCACCACCATCACGTTTTATCTGGTCTTGGGTACCATATTCATCCCACCACCATCACGTTTTATCTGGTCTTGGGTACCATGTTTACTGAACCACTATCACGTTTTTGTGTGAGACTGCCTCAATGAGTCCCATGCCAAATGACTTACGTTATTTTCCGAACTTGTTGTAGATTTTAAACAGTTGCAATTACAAAGAAAAAAGGATTTGCTGAGGAGTCTAAGCAGTATAATGCCTATCACCTCTTACGAAGATCTCGAAAACTCTTCCTGTCTTCGCACTGCGAATGATTTTATTAATTGGTAAGTTGGTTTGTTAAGATATCAATGTTGTCTGGCTAATGAGTAATACTTGTTTATGTTTGCATGTGACTATATACACTTGTTCAAGCAAATTGTGTTTTTTTGTTTTTTTTTGTCAAACTCAGAAGATCACTTGAAAAGATTATTGGCGCTAGCAGCAACTGTAAATGGTGGATAAAATGTGAACTTTGCGATCAAAAATTTACCATGTTTTCATTAATTTTTCAGTGGCACTACGACATCTTTGTTTGGTTACAAGATGAACACGCCAAACTCCGTCGCTTCCCTTATAAAATTGAAACAAGAGATTTACATGAACCAAGGGAAACGAACAAATGCCGCGGAGACATAGTACGTAAGTTGATTGAAATAAGTTGAAATCATTCCCAATGTTGACCACTTGTATCGTATTAATATTCTCAAATTGCTTCGTTTTAAAACGGGATAAGCTTTAGAGTAGGATTAAAAATGGATTCAGGATTTATTAAGAGAAAAAAATTTGCGATTCACATACCAATGACAATGAACCATAATAACGAAATTAGTATAGCGATTTTAGCTTGATGTAATATATTTCAAACGTACATTTCAAATTAATAATGTCGATTTGTATTGATTTGTTTGCTTTGCGATAATTAATTTTTAAATTTTAAAGAAAACTACCATTATCTATTTATAAAAATTTATCTATCTACATTGTACATGTGTAAAGCAAGGCTAGATACGGACGTATGGCGTAAGTAGATTCGACGTGTAGCACCGTCAAAGATCATCGTGGTCCTAGAGTTAGTTCTATTACCTTCTAAATGTCAAAGGTAGAAGCCAAAAAGAATAAATATACAGTAGATACGCACATTTTCATATTCAAGCGTATCTTATTACATTTGTGATTACCATGATAGTAGCCAGTAAATTGTATTTTCCTACCATAGGAACACTGAGATGTGCGAGACTAACCACAGCAAGTAATTTAATTAATAAAGCTGCCAAATTCCCCCAGCGAATTGCTTTTTCTGTATATTCCTTATTCTGTGCTAAAAGCCTAACACACTTTGGTTCATCATGGAGATTGAAGACGGTCTAGTTGCTATTTGTTGGTAAAATTACGCACTATAAACATAATAGTTGATCCTGTAGGATCCCATGCAACCCATTACGCACTATAAACATAATAGTTGATCCAGTAGGATCCCCTGCAACCCACGACGAATTTTCAAGTTTTCAGCAGTTGCTAAAACGAATTTAAGAACCTATTGTACGTTAACATAAAGTTTTCTGGATCTTCGAGTTGTGGATAATGACCAATATGCGCATCCAAAACGGTTATACCATGTTGTGGAACTATTTTCCTAAAATATACATAAAACGTTGTTTTCCAAAGATATACTAGTAAAGATTACTGACCACCTGGTAAAGATAGAGCGTTTTACGAGATGTCGGTGTTCTTGTAATAGTTCAAAGATTGATAATTAGAGGGGTGGACTCATGTTCATCTATTCGTATGCCATAACCCGTAATCAATTGATTTCAACAGAAACTATAATAAATGGGAACATGCAAATACGAAATTTAGGTGCTAAAATTTAGCCACTTCCAATTATTGATGATCCACAGCCCGTCATCTGTACTACATTGAACTGCGTGTGCAACAATCAACTTCAACGCACAAAAAAACTCGGATTTGTTTTCCACGTTGTGAGCAAATCAGTATGTGCACGTGTCGCTTTTTACCGCTGACCGTTAAACTAATTTGAGCCCACACAGCTATTTGTGAAGATGACATGGAGAAAAGAGAACATGGCAAAGTGGACAGTTGGGGGTGGTGATTCGCTATTTTGTGAATTATGATACGTACTTGAATGTGGTAACAAATATGGGAGGGTTAACAGGATCTGCAGGACCATAAATGAAATGAACTAAAGAAAGCAAGTTTAAGTAGTTTTTTGAGAATAAAGTTTACTAAGGAATTAAAAACATCGATAATGTAGCAAAATAGATTGTTTTCTATTGAATAATATGTACACACTTGGTAGGAAAGTTTTCTGTAGGCTTCCGACCCATCTCTCCTTGTACACCTGTCGCTCACGAATATACCCAAGAATACTAATCAAACGTAAAATATACGCACATTAACACACAATATCACATCAAAGTAAGCTTTTGACAAGTAATGTTCTAAGAAAAATTTTTTCTTACTTTGGATGTAAAAGGTTACCATCTGCATATCTGATGCCGATAAAATGGTCGTTTAACTCCTCTTGTTGTGGTTGAGTTTTTGGACCAAATACTTCCGAAAAACTAATAAATATACAATTGTATTTCTAGGGAAAAATCCAGATAAAGTTCTTCCTTGCATTTCTAGGAAAGGAGAGAAAGTTCCAAATGTTTCCCTGACCTTTTTGCGAAAATAAATCGATTCCCTACACGAGTAACAAGAGGCCCAATCCATGGTAATAACAATAACTATGAGAAAGATGATGAAAAATTACTGAATGTTCACTTATTTTAATAACAGAACAGGTGTTCTGTGAGGCACACCTGTTGAATAGGTCTTGGAAAATAATTTTGAGGGAATAATCCTGAAATTATAGGAATTATTAACAGCCATATGATCAATTGAAGTCTTAAAATGTCTGATTGAACAACAATCAAAAGACTTCTCCCCATATCTACCTCCATTTGTTAAACAGATGCTCAAGATATCAACACCTTCCTGTGTTGATTTTTTCTTCCTTCTGTCCTCGTATCTGTGAAATATAATATTGGGAATTAAATAGGGCATCGTGAAAAACACCTCCTAAAATTTCAAATACCATTCTTTTTCAAAAAAATTATAAGTGTTACCAAAATTTGATGATTATTTTGAAACATGCATCACATCAGATACACGAAACTTGCCTTGCTAGCAGCTCTAGTGCCACAGTAAGTCCAAGGTCATGAGCAATAATGTTCACCTCTTTCACATCATTGGATTTAAGAAAGTTTTCAAACATGTCAGCTTGCAAATTAACAGTGTAGTTGATGTCTTTCTAAAACAGCATGAATTTCCTTGTTAAAAGTTCATAATAGAGATTACCAGGGCTGCCTTCAATTATTACCAAGACTGTAATAACTTAGAGACGGCAATAGTAAAATAAGAATAGAAATATAAAGCAAAGGGCTTAGAAATATAAAGCAAAGAACATTACGTCCTGAATTTATTAAGAACATTAAAATCAACACAAGAAACACTTACTGGTTTATCACTGAATCCAAAACCTGCCATATCTGCAGTTAACACACGACCAAATTTTTCACGCAAAGGTTCCCATACCTTAATGATTTAACATATATATATATTTATTTAACTTTGCAACAGCTTGCACCTATTATAGCGTTCCCTACAAATATCATGCAATATTTCTATTCCAAATGAAAATCACATAATTACCAAAAAAAACCCTAAGCTTTATACCTTATTCCAATCAAAGCTACTGGTTGGAAAACCATGTATGAGAAGAAGTATTTTGTTTTTATGTCCATAGCCTGAGACATCTATAGCAGAAGAGAAATATTTCCAAAAACCATAGACGACTAGTCTAGTTAACATTTTGCTGTCAGGCAAATATGTTCAAGTGGTTTTGGATAAGACTAGCAACAATGGTCAGCTTCTCTTGAGATTAATTTGCCTGCCAACAAAACGTAAACAAGGCATGTCATCTACATAACAAAAAAGTGTCATTGACCGTAGCGTTTATACACAAACACTGTGTTATCATTTTACTCCAAAACCATCGTCAAAGAACCATCGTATTATGATTATCATTTTACTGTCCACAATTTTATTGCGGCATGGCTTTGTTGTCAACTACGGTTTTACATAAAGGAAAACGCGACATTGCAGAAACTTGATACGACCTTTATAAAATATTTTGACAGCTTTTCCATTTACAGCGTGCAAGAAAAACTGGCCACTTTGCATCCAAAGTCGAAGATTATGTGACATATTTGGTGGTGGAAAATTTAAATATACACCAATAAAGACAGCACTTCCAACCAAAAAAATTCTTTTAAAGATAGCAAAAAGTAATGCCATTTTATGAAATTTGCTCGACGAGAAAATTAATTGTGTTTACAAACTAAGTGCCGTACCATGCTCGTCGACCACTCGAGTATATCCGGAAGTAGTCGGCATAAAACCGTAGATGAGGGGAATACCCTTACATTTTGCTTTAGTCTACTTCTAGATTCATTTAGGCTTTCATTCCTTGCGATGCCACAAAACTTTCCATTCAAACGTCTTATATATTTGCTTCTAAAAATAAATTACTTGTCTATTCGATCAAAAATCCGTTGTTCGCTGTAAAATAAAATAATCAAAGATAATTTTAAGAGATAATGCTCCAGTTAACGCGATAAGCTCAGTGTTATTTCCATGGCACAGCTTGGTAACCGCTCAAACAAAAATCTGTTGCAAATAAATTCAAAATGTCGATGACAAGGAGAGCGCCGAAGAAGAAAGATGATGTACATTTGTTTTCTACTTCTTTTCTTTATTATCAATTGTAAATTGTCGTCTTAAATTGTTTCATTTAGATATTCAGCAAGAAAGTTCCCGAAAATCCCAAATATAAACACATTAAACGCATTGTGGACACAGGTAGGTACTCTCGTACCTAAGAGTTCAAACTTGACTGTTTTTATTTGAGACCCGAAACTTATTTTTTCACGTCGACTCAAAGACCTGCATTATTGCATTTCGTAGTGTTGGATTTTATTATCATTAAAATTCTCCTTTCATTTAGCTCATGATCGTTAAATTATTTTCATAATACGAAGGCCTTCATAATTGCCGTTTAATTATAGATGTTAAATCATAACGCTACTTTTACAATTTAAGGTTCTAGCATCACAAAACATATGGAAAAATGGGAAGAAATAAAGAAAAGTATGGGAATGAATTTCAAATCCGACATTTCTGCTATCTGCTACATTTTATTTTTCTTCCTTCGTCGACGCATTTTAGATTACAAGTACAAGAAAGATGAAATCTTCAAACGAATGAAAGTCAATACGTTTGCACAATTGGTGCGCTCTTTTACCACAATGGTTCAATTAAGTCTGGTTGTACTCTAACAATGTCAAAAGAGTGGTTTTTCTATCTTAGGTGCTTCAAGTTGCTGATGTAATTTACATGGAAAATGAGAGAGATGATCTTTCGACTTGTGGAGGTATAGAGTAAAAATTATACCCTAATTTATATAAAAAATGCTATAATATGTATTTGGTTTTTTAAATCTTGATAATTTCTTAAGGATTTTTGATGAACTTGCTATATCACTTGCTTATTGCTTTTCAGGGAAGTTGAATAAAAATCAAGATGATAGCGAGACGGTTGCTGATGAGGAAAAAATGAATAACAATGTACCACCTCTGAACTTACCTCCTGACGAGACAGCAAGACAGAAAAGTTGTAGCGGTATGGATACTGGACGTTCGACATTGCAAGAGTAAGCAATTCATACTTTTTTTACGTGACTGAAATATGTACCTACTGAAGGAAAGTTTAATATCCAAGCTACTTCTGCAGCCCAAATTTATCCCCTTTACAACCACTCCATCAGCCATTGTTCTCAATCCAACTATCATTACCAAATATTTAGACCAGATGATCAAGTCGACTGTACATGCTCATGTTATTTTTTTCAATAATTTATAACTAAGCAAGGTAGTCGCTTTCAGAGTCGTACAAGGAGATCCATTTGATTGGTACAAACTCATTTGTTGGTTGAGTAGACTGCGCAAGTATTCAGTCATACGTTGTTGGTATATTGTTTGTCTTCTTTGGATTGTGTCAACAAATGCATTTTCCGACTCGTTACCTTAATGACTACTATCGGCTTGGCGTGCTCCCATCAGGCGTCAAAGCAAATTAAAGTAGCCCATACATAGACATTACACCTTTAACTATAAGAAAATCGCTCACAAGTTGATCTTCGTTAACAAAACCACAAGTGGTTATTTAGACTATAGCTTATCATAGTTTTTTAAAGAACTTTCTTTTCCATGAAGTCAAGTCTCATTTTATGTTTGATGCACGAGTCAAACAACCCTATCCTTGTATTCGTAGTTTGAAAAATATAATTGGGGATTAATTTTTCAACAGCTTGATTCGTGGTGTAGGTGAAGTAGATCTAAAAGATCAAGAGGAACAAAATCATGATAATCACGTGGATCAACTCACGTCTCGCTCGACCCAGTCCACTATTTTGGCTCCTGACGTCAAATCTTTACCGTATTTGTTGTTGGATGTGCGGAAATCGGACGAATTTGAACAATGTCATATAATTGGAGGTGAAAATGAGTTTAACCTAGATAAGAGATCATTAACAATGTCAAGCAACGAATGGCATTTTTACATGTTTGTAGATGTAGATCGTCCAGTTTAGTAGAGACCAGAGAAGGACCAGGTTAGTGTTGATGTTGACTGACGTTTCGACAACCTTAGCGATAGTTAACATTAGTCAACATCAACACCGACAGTCCTTCTCAGGATTCTACTAACCTGGACGATCTACATCTACAAACATGTAGCGATACTCCCGGGTTGAACCATTTACTTTATTGAATGGTATTTTCTTGTTTTTTTAGCAATCAATTACGATCGCGCAAATTTATCGAAAACAATGAGTTGGTGTTCTCAAGAACTTTCTATTTTTGTATCCTTTGCCAGTTTGCTGTTGTTTTTTTTTGCAATTTCATTCTGTACTTTAAAATGTTTTTGGCACTATGAGTTTCTGAACGCGAGATTAGAAAAATCAACAAGGAAAAATTATCATTTGCTACGACGAAGACGAACGGTATGCGCCAGCAGTGGCCACGACACTGGTACAGCGGGGTTTTGATAACATATTTATGCTATCAGGAGGTAAGGCGAAACATCCTAAGTCCATCCAGATCTATCAAGGTTTGTATCGACCTCTTGTTTATTAAGGTATGAAAGTTATATACAAGCGGTTTTGTGAGGGTTTTATTACTGGTAAACTACCACAGTCCTGTATGCTATCACCGCAATCAGCAAGACGTGCTGGAAAAAAAGGACCGCTGACATATCTAGCGCCCGACGGCTCACATTGGGAGTTTTTCTCAAGAACTCGTATCCTATATAAAACTGATTTTGAATGATGCAAGTTTTGGCAATATTTTAGTTTGAAGTGGAGAAAAAATCGACTCATTTTTAATAACTAAGATGTCCTTGTCGATTACGTTGAGTTGAAACACGTTGTTAAGTTGTAAGCGCTATGTCAGTTTACAGTGCTTAGTCTTAAAGATGGATTTCAAAATAGCAAATACCATGGTGAATTGTGATAATAACAATGTAATATGTTTGTAAATGATGATCGTCCAGGTTAATAAAGTCCTGAGAAGGACTGTTTTTGTTGTTGTTGACTGACGTTTCGACAACCTTAGCGGTAGTCATCTTCAGAGTCAAATGAGGAGTAAACGTCAGGTTAGCCGTATTTGTTGTCTGGTTCTTACGTCATTGTATTGTGTGTACATACATTTCCTGTACACACAATACAATGACGTAAGAACCAGACAACAAATACGGCTAACCTGACGTTTACTCCTCATTTGACTCTGAAGATGACTACCGCTAAGGTTGTCGAAACGTCAGTCAAAAACAACAAAAACAGTCCTTCTCAGGACTTTATTAACCTGGACGATCATCATTTACAAACATATAACGATACTCCCGGGTTCAAACCATTTACTTTATAACAATGTAATAGTTCTTAAAAGAACTGTTTTAACCAGAACACTAACCCAACAATTCAAAGGAACCGTTATTTACAGCTAGAATAACGGTTATTTTCTAGCTGTAAATAACGGTTCCTTTGAATTGTTTGGTTAGTGTTTTGGTTAAAACAGTTCTTTTAAGAACTATTACATTGTTATTATCACCATTCACCATGGTATTTGCTATTTTGAAATCCATCTTTAAGTTTGTCACCACGACAAAATCTCTGTTTCATTATTTAAGTGTTTAGTCTGTGTAACCTTCTTCAACTGTTTATTTTCCCTGACAAAAAAATACGTAGACTTAGAACTAATACAAGAACGACTCAATGAAGAATTATTGAAGCAAGAAAACAACAGTAAGTTATATAACTTTGATATCTGCCGCTAGAAAATGTGTTTTTGTTGGATGTTGGATTATACAACCATGCTTGGAGTGGGGGGGAGGGGTTGGTGTGATGGCTTTCAAGTTTGTGGAGGGGAGGGTGTTTGGACTGATAGCTTTTAAGTCTTGCATTGGAGGGTAATGTGCTATGGCTTTCAAGTTTGTGGGGGGAGGGTGGTTGGACTGATAGCTTGCAGTGGAGGGTAATGTGTTATGGCTTGATGAGATGATTGGAAAAGATATTGTTGTTCCTCAAAAATAATTGATTGGCGAGTGTCTCTTGTAGGATAGGAAATTTAATATACAACAACAGGTGAAGCTCAAAAATAAGTATATTGTTGTTGGTTTTGCTATCGAGAATAACAGAACATTCGAACTGGGCAATCCATGTGAAAAATGGGCCTTTCCAACTTTATGTTATGAGCATAGTCTGTTGTAACTGCAATTAAAGTAAATGGTTTGAACCCGGGAGTATCGTTCCATGTTTGTAGTTTTTAATCGTTCAGGTTAGTTGTGTTAGTATTGATGGTGACTGTCGTTTCAGTCTACTTATAGTGACTCTGAACATGACTACAGCTAAGGTTGTCAAAACGTCAGTCAACATCAACACTTACAGTCCTTCTCAGGACTCTGCTAACCCGGACGATCCATACATCGACAAACATGTAACTGCAATCATGAGAAAGGACCTCAGATCATACTGATCTGCTGGAAAGAATCATTGATGCATTTCATAAAGATAGAAGAAGAAAAAAGGATCAACGTGTAAAGAACAGATTGCTTACAGAGTTTTGTATCCAAACATCTTAAAAGGAAGTCGGCCAGAAGGGCATAATGTGACCGAAAGGCACGGTGTTGTTGGAAACAATTTACAATCATTTAAGATGATGGAAGTCTAGAGGAGATTGCCGAAGAGAACAGATTTAAGACCTCAAGTCAACGTCGCACAAAATAGTACAATATATTGGTGTTACAGCAACCATGCAGAGCAACATCGCAAAGACTCGTAAATGCAAATGGATAACTGTCGGTTTCCTTGTAGCAACTAAACGGTTTGTTAAGCAGAAACAACGTCAGTAACGTCTTAGTCGGGCCAAGGGATGAAAGAACTGGACAATTTTCGGATTGAGAGCGTTTATTTTTTAGACTAGAATAAGTTCACCCTTTCATTACAAAACCAAAGGTTTGAAGTTTGGAGATAATTATGTTCGAGCACATCAACCATATTCAAGTCATCACTAAAGTATCCGCCATCAGCCAAAATCCATTGGAAGCGTATTGTATCTTCTGCTGGTGTTCAGTTAGTCTTAACTGCCTCATGAAGGCAAAGGTTAATGCTCTAGTGTATGAGGATTTAATCCTTTCAACAGTAGACTAGCTCCTTGCCGTCATTTCTTTTCCAGTAAGATTTATAACCAGCTCATAGTGCTAAAACGACAATGCGTTTGTTGATTATTGGTCTACTCATCATGTTTCAATTCTTCCTGAACCTTTGAGCAGTTATAAACAAAACGGTAAAATAGTGCGTTTCAAAAAATATTCATGCTTGAGTTTAATACAGCAGTAAGGGGATAATTGGGATGTAATCTTCAATCAGATTGTTTTTAATTTCTATGTTGCTATTCGATTTCTAGGCAACAAATTTTTCTCGTTTTTGAGCCGCTCTTGAATTTCACTGCTATGTTGACGTGTACGCATTTGAAGTAATGGATGGAACTTCTGCTTTTTTTAACAGGTCGAATGAGCTCTAGGGTTTCCAGTAGTCGTTCATCTGTGGCCAGTAATCGCAGTCGTTTATCAACTAGTTCAACGACATCCAGCAAAAAGCCTTGGAAATAGATAGTGATGATAGCTCAATTTATAATCGAAAGTGAAATTTCTATTGTGTTTAATTATATCCTTAGGGGTCGCAGTTTTTTCTCGACAATTTGCCATCAGGTAACGCTTCAATTGACTTAAAGTCATTATTTGAATGCTGTGCATGTGTGGCGAAAATCAATTGTGGCGATGATTTTGCCCATGTGCATCGTGTGCAAGTTTTTTTACATTATTGTAAATATACACTTACTTTGTCAAATTTCATGGTTAAACTTTTTCATGTGCCAAAATTGCAAAAGAAAGTAAAATATAAAGGAATTTATACGATAGACTATACCGAGGTATTTTTTTTGCGGTGAAATCGGAAACACGTCATCGAAAGTTTATTGAAGAATGTTATAAATAGTTGCTTCCTCGACGGAGATAGTCTAGTCGCATTTTCCGCTCGTGCAGTTTGGTCTTGGTTGCTTCTTGTTTCGAACATTATGCGATGAACCTAGAAGAGGACATTGTGCAGAAAGATCTTAGCGATCTTCTCTTGCATTTCTCCAAGCAGACGTATTCCGCGAGCAGCTCCGACGAAAAAGTTTGTTGTGGTTTCATTGCTTCAACAACTCTGACAGGAAATAGTTTGACAATTGTTGTTTCTTTGATTCCTCCTAGGCTGCTAGAATATTAGATCGATGTGTTGATCTGTTCATGAAAGATTACGAGATTTCCGTGAGTAAACGCGTAGTTGACACGTTGTCCTTAGCAGTCATTTTTATTAGACAACAAATTTCACCGTGAATGTTGTAGATTTTCAATCGTTTTATTATCGTTTCAAGTATTTCTATGAATTTCCTGAAGCAATTAGTGTAATTTCTTGTAATCCGTTTTTTATGTGGAGTTATGGTGAATTTTTAACAGGAATGGAGTGAATGAACTAGCTAATGTTGAACTATGTATTGAAAACAAGTTAACTGTACACCTGTCGTCATGTTTACAGAGTGCTAATATATGTTTGAAAATACCTCAAACATTAATAAGTTCTTCATCAATGCTTTTGATAGAGTAGGGAAAAGTGAATATTCATCTTATTTGATTGGCACTTATTGATTGTATATAAGGTTTTGATGAATGATAATGGAGAATTGTGTGGTCACTATCCACAGAAAATCATAATCATTGAGTCAGAAATATGTCATGAAGATTCTTCTTCTTCAAGAAAAAGGTACAAGCATTAATATAAGTTCAAATTCTTCTACTATGTTGATCGTGTCTTTTCTCTCATAGCGAGAAAATGAATAATGTGAGCCAACTAAGACCTCTTAGTGTCAGAGCTCGACTAGCAAGATGTCGATCTCGATTTGTAGTTCCTGTGATATCCTTTGATGGAAAGGTATGCAATGTTATTTTTATAATAATGCCTCTCTCACCACTTATGCTTATCTCTTGATCTGATCATTTCTTGATTAAGTTATCAATATTTATCCTCATCTAGAACATTTGCCGTTCAGCAACAATATCGAGTTTAGCTGAAATATATGGACGTTCAGGATTAAATTTTTTATTTTCCTGTATGTATTGTGGTAATGCACAGTGATGTATTGTTCTAGTTCTAGTTCATTTATGTTTGGTTTTTTTTCATAGCACCAATATTACCTGAAGATGATGATACAGCTGCTCTTGAAGAAGAAAGGTTGGTACATAGTGTGAATTTTTAAGGTTTTTGCCCTACAGTATGTATCAATATTACATCTCCTAAGCAAGTTGCTGACCCCTCTTAAAACATTTTGATCAGCCCGTTCGGCTTTTGCCCAATCAAATAGTTCACAATGTTATGCATAGTTTTTCCACGCGTCACACTCTCTTGAGTGATTATTCAAATGCCCTTAGAAACCGAAAATTTTCTTTGTTTGGTATTGTTTTATGATTTGTGAATTCCTCACTGGATCACTTCCACTTGGAAAAAAATTAATGATGCACCCCTTCTAAAATATGAAAATCTATTTATGGGTAATGCAGTGTTATGTTGCCATCTTGAATATGATTACTATAATTCTTGTGGGCTTTCAAACAATTGAAAAAATCAGATGCTTTTTCCTTGACATTAGCGAATGGGATTTGCTACACAGATCTCGAATTCAGGACATTCAACTTCTTAAAACGTTGCGTGTAAAGTATATTTTTGACTTGATGCTTGAAAACAAGAAGGTGAAATATGGCATGAGGTAAGATTGTCTCTTTTTGTAACAATTTGTATTTAGCATGTGTTGAGTTATAACTTAACTCAAAGAAAGTTGTTAATCACTACCTGAAAATTTTAAAAATCCAACCTTTGAAGACTGTTGGTCGCACTGTTATCATAACTTCCATTTTATTATTTGAATTCTGTACTTTTCTTCTACAACTTTGATCTTCTTTGCCTGTTAATTCATCACTTCGTTTAAAAAAAAGTCATTTGTTTTTCTAGAGTAACATCATCAGAAAAAGTTGATAAGGAAAACCGTTATGAAGACTTTTGCCTTTGTTGCATACCTTACCCAGGTGTGATATACATGTCTTTATTGAAACAGGTTTAAGAAACAGGTTGTTCCGTTCAGATGCAACCCTGAATTCCTATTACGCGAATGATTCAATTCAAATGAAATTTCATCTAATGAAAATCTTGTTCACTCGAATCTTTTAAACTACAAATTTTGTAGGTTGTGAATTCTTCAAGGTGTTAAAAACGAAAGATTATATCTCTGAGCAAGCGCATTTTGATTGGGATCAAGATTACGTTGACGCGGATTTAAATCTACCGCGTGAGATTGAATCACTTGTAGATTGCGAATGGGAGCAGTATCAGGTAAGCCGTTGGATGGACCAATCTCCTGAATCATAATCCATCACATTGATCAGGAGCTGTTTGCAGTTTATCGGTAAATCTCAAATCTCATTAGTCATGTGATTAACGAGTACTCGGTACCAGTATTACTAGTGAGCGCGGTATTGGCGTCAATTATTGACCTTGCATCATTCAACGCTTCTACACCATTTAAATATTCTTCGGAAAAACGTTCATCTTGAACTCAAAATATAACTATTTGAAAATTGTATCGTTTTTGTTTCCTTGAATAACAAGTTCAAGAATGAGCTTTTCTTCCTCTGAGTATATTTTTTTATGTCATAGATTATGTGATATTAATAACTTAAGACTGTACCTAACAAAATGGTGTTAATATCGTTTAGTATTATTAATATTTTTTGCGCATTTAATTAGCCTTGAATTGATTTATTTTGTGCTCTAGAGATGGGACCTCGCGACTTTGACTCAAAACTATTTTCTCCTTCTAATAAAAACGATATTAGAGAGTAAGTTGGTGATAAATTCATCTAAATTATTGTCGTTTATTTTCAATTACTTTCGAGTGAATGTTCAAAGCAGGTTTCTTAAAGATGATGCATGAATGCTGCACCTCCAAATTAAATCACTTGAATACAACCACCATGTACTATCACCACCACTTGTGAAACATTTAAATCACTTGAACAGAACCATGTACTATCACCACCACTTGTGAAACATTTAGACCTTCTTGAAAAGAACCATGTACTATCACCACCACTTGTGAACCATTTAGACCTTCTTGAAAAGAACCATGTACTATCACCACCACTTGTGAACCATTTAAATCACTTGAAAAGAACCATGTACTATCACCACCACTTGTGAACCATGTACTATCACCACCACTTGTGAACCATTTAGACCTTCTTGAAAAGAACCATGTACTATCACCACCACTTGTGAAACATTTAAATCACTTGAAAAGAACCATGTACTATCACCACCACTTGTGAACCATTTAGACCTTCTTGAAAAGAACCATGTACTATCACCACCACTTGTGAACCATTTAGACCTTCTTGAAAAGAACCATGTACTATCACCACCACTTGTGAACCATTTAGACCTTCTTGAAAAGAACCATGTACTATCACCACCACTTGTGAACCATTTAGACCTTCCTGAAAAGAACCATGTACTATCACCACCACTTGTGAACCATTTAAATCACTTGAAAAGAACCATGTACTATCACCACCACTTGTGAACCATTTAGACCTTCTTGAAAAGAACCATGTACTATCACCACCACTTGTGAACCATTTACACCTTCCTGAAAAGAACTATCTACGTGTGCAGTTGAAATAGTTTTCAATACGTATTTTAAACAACTTTAGACAACGATGGCATTTTAGTTCATTGTATTTCTGGATGGGATAGGACGCCTTTATTCATTGCATTATTGAGATTGTCCCTTTGGGCGGTAAGTTTGAATAACTCTAAGATCATTTGTCGTGCATCGTCTTCGTTGGTCTGTATAAATTTGTCCTCTTTGTTTTAGGATGGTGTAATCCACAAGTCTTTAAATGCGTTAGAGATTTTGTACTTGACGATTGCTTACGATTGGCTTTTGTTCGGGTTTGTGTTTTCTTAAATAATAAAAATATTTATTAGTGGAGAAAATGACGAGAAACATTTCATTGTATTTAGTCATGATTTGAGCGACAGGATGCAAAGGGATGAAGAGGTACTTATTGAAGTATCTTGTTGTTGTAAAAGTATTGCCAATCAATACACCTGCAATTTTGCATAAGCTTTTAAACAGTAGCGTTTCTAGTTGTTGGGTTTACCATTTAGAACAACAAATATTTTGCCATTGTCCATTATTGTTTACGATATGTTGGTGCTGTGATGTATCTTTGGTTTCTTGTTAAACTGAAAGTAATGTCACATTTCGTAAAAAGTTGCTGTAAATTTATAAATATCCTTTAAAGTTCCCTGACAACTTTTGAATGAAATACCTATGCGGAATTTTATGCCAAAAACAATTTATAGCGACAGAAACTCTGTCTGGTTCATGTGACATAGCTATAAGCAAATATTCTTAATAATATTACGTAATGCAATGTGGATTTTCAAATCGAACATCACAAAACTTGAACGAAGAGAGATATGGCTTAACTGTTTTAAAAAGTCCACTGTCATTTTAAGTATTCCCTTCAATGGAAGAATAATCAAACTAACAGAACTTTAGTTTTACTGGCAACAGAAATCTGTGTCATACCTATCTATGTCTAGATTCAACTGTCAAAAGTTTAAAAAAGGATTTGAACTGTTCAGTACTCCAGTAAATGCCCTACTTTGTTTCAAAGTATTCTTAATGACAAATTCATAAAAAGATTCATGTTTTTAACCGAAATCAAATGATCTCAAATCGTAAACATCATCTTCTGAATTTAATAGCCGGTAAAGCTGTTATTTTGTTCATATATTGACACCTCTTTATTTTAAATTATCCTTCAATAACTATGTTTAACGAGTCCATTTTCAATTTCAGGTGTTCTTTTTCTGTTTTCATTTTCTACACTACATCACGGACGACCTATATTCATACGCTAAATTCGAAAGGTAAAATTTCATCTTTTTTACCTTGCTCCCCTTTCGCTAATCAAAAATGTATTGACATTTTAAATTTTCTTCTCTCGTTTTGTAGGTTTTCCAATGAATGTGAAATGTTCAGTTCGCGAAAAGAAAGCGAAAGATTTGACACTGCATCATCTACTGGTCAGCGTTCATATTCTACTACGTACTCGAGTTTTAACGAAATTTAAACTAACATATTCTTCATGTGAAAGTTACGTAATGGCCGTCATTTTGGTTAATTTTTTTATTTACAATGAAAATGTCATTGAACATATTTACACACCGTTTATATTATTCTCCGCGATAGTTAACAGGTGGAATTTTTTTATAAAAGCCATCAAAATACAATTCACCCAGTGAGTTCATCTTTGCAATCAACAGTCAATGCTAATCTTTAACCATGTGATGAAATACTGTATGAGATTTTGGCTTATTTCTTCGTGTAGATTACGCTAACGGCGATTGCAATAGCGAGGCGCGTATCTCTCCTGATGAAGATGAACACGTTTGTGTTGTTAACGAGAATTTTGATGAAACTAGTTCAAGGTATTTTACTGTGTCTTCTTCAGTCAAAGTTCTTCCTTACACTCCGTTCTTTTATAGCTCAGATACCTTAACAGCTTGTCATAATCCAGACGTGGAGTCTCATCATCAAAATGGTTCAACACCATTGCCTGTTCCAACTGGTAATAATTCTTTAAGAAATAATGTAAGTGTTTCGTTGTGTTAGCTAATAAGTGCATTGAATTTCTTGTTTAATGAAAATCATGCAGTCATCTAAAACAAGAATAAGTGCAGATGTTTTGAACTGAAACACAGATTCCTCCTACATTAGTCTCGTGTTGAGTCTGCATTTGTTTGCAGAAGAAAGTAAATAGTTCAACATTATGTATCGCGAGACGTGAACCTAGTAATGAAATGCACGTCGTGATGATTTTTCTGAGACATTTTTTCATTCCCGCTTGTCTTTAGGTGCAGCGTTCGAACTCCTTAAATGCGGGCAGCTGGCAGATTGTTTCTGACTCGGGAAGTTGCTGCAGTACAAATGGTAGTTATGGCGGTCCTTCGAATGTCGATAAACATGACCATACTAGCAGTCTCAGTTCGTAAGTTACTAAAATTTTTAAGTGTTTTCTATATTTTACTTGTTTTTACTCCATAATTATGGTTCTCCTCCACAAATGTAAACCAAGGCTTTTTTTGATGAGATTAATATTACCATACGTTTTTTAAAGAACAGAAATATGCTGCGGTTTGTATTCGTGCATGACCAGCTAGTGCTAAACTAAATACCCTTTACGTCAACATTATTCAATTTACATGTTTGTGGATGTATGGATGTCCAAGTTATTAGAGTCATGAGAAGGAATGTTGTTGATGTTGACTACCGCTAGGGTTGTCGAATCGTCAATCAACATCAACATCAACACCAACAGTCCTTCTCAGGACTTAACTAACCTGGACCATCTACATCTAGAAACATGTAACGATACTTCCGGGCTAAAACCATTTACTTTATTATTCATTTTACTCGCGTATTCTCTGTTGTTTTAGTTGTGAAGAAGTGAACGAGGAGTCAATAAGGAAGACGAAGCTCGAATGTGTTCGTGGCATGTTTCTTAAACTCTACGACGACGTTTTTCGTGACAGCCAGAACCCAAATAACGCTACCTTAACGAAGATATTTAATCACGTCACAGATAAGTTTAAAACCCCTTGGGGAAGGTGACGTCATGGATCAAATGTAACCCGACCCCCTCCTGGCCTAGTGCGATTTTATCACGTGACTCAATGCGACCGACATGCAACATCTACGCTTAGGTTCTCCATCTTTGCGTTTGTGCATATCCTCACAATTTTTGCCGCATCCTTCGTGAATGAAACACGCTCAAAAATGATGTAGTTTTTAACACAAAGAAGAAACAAGAAAACGATTAAAACTTAGTTCTTAAATAACTTATTATTTGACTGGAATCAACTGAAAAGCTATAGTACTCGAAATTTCTTATATTTAAAACCAACTTTTTATACATATATAAATAAAGTTATCTGCACGAAAAGGACAATTCTGTTTTATGCGAGTAATTTTACACATTTTGAAGATTTTAACATGCTGTACAAAATCAAACTGTTGATTATAGGAAGTTTCCGCTATCGAACTCTTGCTATTTGACCCGTGTTCTCGTTTACTGTTTTATTAAAAAATTGCTTAACTATTCAAGCGACAAATGTGTCGGTGACAATCATCAGAATGGTTAAAGATAAAATTTTAACCAGGTCGAAATGCTTCAAACAAAATTGAAAGCCAATGCCCCCTGCAGATGAAGGAAGTTATGGAAAAGAAAATGATGTTACCAAAACACGTTTTCTGATTCTTAATTCATTCTATTTCTACATAAATATCTGTGTTAGTTTCAATGCGGCAAAATTCCCATTTAACAAACAAACGAAAACAAGAATTGTTCCATGAATTTCATACAATTTTGGCTTGGTTCAAATGTTGTGTCGTCACGCTCCAATGAAATCATCGCTTTTCTTCCTGTCGATACATTCTTGTTGCCGTGTGCGCAAAATGAAAATGTAAATTTCCCTGTTTGTATTTAAATATACGATAATATTTTACATCATAAGGTATGTCCGAACAAAAATGAATGAGATTTTATTAGTTTCAGGGTTCCAATCTCTGATACCTAGAATCGCCGCTTGGTTGTTTCAAACCGTATTTCAAACGCATTTCTTCGTTTCTGGCTTGCCTCTCCGCTTTACGGCTGTCTTGTAAATGGCGACGTTCATTTCTTTCCTTCCTCAGTTTCTTGTCTTCCTTGTCAAACATCCCTTGCTTCTTCTTTCCACAACACTTTCGACAGCAACAACAATAGATGGTACAGCCAATAATCAAAAGGAGCCCACCAACGACACAAGGAATTATAATGATCAAAAGATTGCCAGAAACGTAGCACTGTTTGTAGTAAGCTTTCGATGAAGGACAGTCTTTCTGACTGCTGCCTTTCTTCGGATCGTACACCGCGCATTTGCGAGTTGTTGAGCACCAAAAACAGTTGTCTTTTAAGCCGACACATTCACTACAAGAGGAATTGCTCTTTTCAGGGCAACTTGCTTCCGCTGTGCCGAAACTATCCAAGGCAAATATGAGCATCACGAAGACGAAAATACTCCCAAAATGACTAGGATTCATGGTCACTGAGTACTCGATCAATTGTTTTGATGGTTGTGGATCAATAGCCGTTAATGTCGTTAAAGACAGTTATCTTTCAGCTTGTTAAGTCTGACAGTTGTTCGCACTATGATATGTGATCTTCTCCAAATCGATTAGTCGAACTGTGTACGTCAATCACTTTGCTTTCAGTTTCAGCGTTTTTTCGTGTCTTCTTGAAATTAGAAATATGAATATTTTCGATACAGAATTCTACATGGAGTTCATGCAATCAGTTACTAAAAAACAAAACGATGTATATCTTTGTTTCGAGCGAAAGTATTGTTGATAAACGCGACGTAAATTTAAATTTTAAATTAATCGAGGTGCGAAAGCTATCTATGACGTCATAACTGAATTTAAGCCTCAATGAAGATGCTTTTATTTAAATAATTAAATGTGTTCTTCATACATAATTGGAGGGCTTCTTCAATTACAGTAAAATAAAGGCCCCAACAATTTATATTGATTGTTCCAAATTGTTCACACTTCCATTTCTTCCATTTTTTCAAATATTTCTTGTCAGTACACATTCTATCTTGGGTAGTGTTTACACTGACTTCACTTGCCGAGCTCGTCTTCAATATCCATATGATTTACACGAACAGTTCTTGAATAAAGAAACTTGGAACTTGAAACCATCAATGCTTGAAACTTTCAACACTGGTTACAATATATGTGCGTGCACCCCCCAGGAAAGTCCTAAATTTAAATGTTTTCCCCCTGGAGTTTTGAGTTTGACCAATCAAATTGAAGCTTCGTTCACAAGCTTAATAATAATAATATTAACGAACCATCTACCAACAACGATGATAGAAAACGTCAAATGTGTTTGTGTACAAATATTATCGTTACCTTGGCTTGCCTGACAGTGGGAGGAAGTGTACGCGAAAAAGAAACACTTTTCATCGTTTCCGACATGGACAACGTTTGTTCATCGACTTTGAAACCTTAATACCTCACGCGAAGGCAGACAAAGGTGTTTGAATTTGAAAAAAATGGATTTGACCTGCGTTCGACGTGGAGTAAAACAAGGAACTTGTGTACTGTTAGTAGTGTATTGTCTTATTTTATTTACAACTTTTGCCGACACGCTATCTATAATTGGTAAGTTATGTTTGATTCGCGCCGTTATTTTTAAATGTGTTTCATCCAAAGTGTTCTCCAGTCCTGAACTCACTTTCGCCTTTCCTTTGGAAGGCTATTGCAGCAGGAAGCAAACATCATTGTTTAGAGTTACTAGAAACTTTTTTATTCTGGGAACCAGAATTGACATGATGTCGAAATAAAATAATTGCAATTATTATGTTAACAAAACTTTGATTACAAGTCAATGCATTAGGAATTCTTGAATCGATGATTGTATTTTGGTTTTGAGATTTCCCCATTTCCATAATAATATAACAATTACTTTTCAAATTTTAATGATAAAGTGACTTCCCCTTCAATTAACTGCTTTTGTTGAAACTTTCTCGCAGAAATCTTTGATTGTTTCATTCTCGTTACATAGAAAATTTTATTTGCAATTTTTTTGCAATTCAATTTTACTTTCATTTTAAATAAGAATTTCATACGTTGTGATTAATTTATGTAGTATTCGAGGAGCTCCTACGGTAAGAAATAAAAAAGTTTCGAACCTGTCTGTATCATGACTTGTTTGTAGATGTATATCGGCCAGGTCAGTCCAGACCTTAGAAGGACTGTTGGTGTTGATTATTGCAGAGGTTTTCAAGTTAAACATCAGCCAAAACCAACAGTCTTTCCCAGAACTGGACTAAACTTGATAATTGTTAAGTGTGTAAAGGTAAAATACTAACCAAGATGCTGATCTTCAACCTTTAAGTTGACGATATTGAACTTCTATTCATCTCCTTCAATTTCTATCTTCATCTAGTACGTACAGATCCTAGTAATGAAACAAGTTTTTCCAGTTCAAAATCTTTATTGTTGCCATCACCAACATTAGGAAATTCATCAATAGAAAAAACCATCCCTCTATCAATTGGCAGCAATCTATCAGCTTTGTCAAGTACAGCATCTATATTGATGTCATCACATACCACGCCAAGAGGTTTATCAGTGAAAGAAAGCGCATCTCTATCTAGAAGTTTAAGTCTGTCAAGTTTGACAAGTACAACATCTGCCACGACACCATCAATTGTTATGAAAACTAATTATACGATAGTTTATGTCCTAGTCTCCGTGGCAGCCTTGGCTGTTTTATTTGCCGTGATCTTTTGCTCTTTGTATTTAAGGTACTACAATTAACCAATGAAGATAATACATTAAATCTGCACATTTTCTTACGAAACTTTCTTTTCATTTTAATGTTCAGGTCGTCTCGCTTCTGCTCAAAATGTTTGAATTTTTCCGATTCGTTATCACCGGTATTTCAATTTGATAACATGCACACTTCAAACATCTTTTCCAATCAGGGCAAGGCTGTCAAGTATCAGACGGCAAGGTATGGCTGTTGCTGTGCTTGTGTGTTATTCATCAAACGTGAAAATTTGTTTTCCTTCATTTGGTCAAACAAGTAGGGGAAGAATGTGAGAATTTTTATTTCTAATTATAAAGAGAATTGCAGACTGACTAAATGAACAAAATGTCAATCTTGCATCATTTCAGCTATTTTTGACTTGAATTGTTGCCAACTTTTCTCGGATTGATGAAGTTATCATTCCAGATTTGTAAATAGTTCAGTGATGATTTCATTTAATTCATTTTTTCATCATTAGTTATTTGCAAAGCTGATCCGATAACACTGTTGGACTTTGAAGGTCATGTAAAACGCCTCCATGCCGACTCAGACTACCAGTTTTCTTTGGAATTCGAGGTAATCATCAAACCAAGAGAAATATATTTTGGTGATTCTAACGATTACAATAATAGCAACTTTTACAAATACAGTTGTACTTTCAATTTCTCCTCATTAAGGTTTCTGCAGGAATGCAAAGATAGAATTGTATTTAGTGGGATAAACTTAGTTATATACAGCATTATTCTAGAGTAGGACCATTGACTTGGTTATAAGAATCGTCGTTTTTGTTATAGCGGATATTTTCGGGTACAAATTTTCATGGCATTGCGAAAAGTCAAGGGCAGATAATCAAACTGATGCTTGATAATTTTTTATTGTGTGAAAACTAAATTTAATAATTATTAAACATTAAAGAATGAATGTATGATGTGTTGTAATGATGTAATAGTTAGCACAACAAAGTTATACATCATGTTATGTCGTGACTCTTCGATCATGATTTTTCTCATAACTATATCAATTCAAAGTGCGCATTGGGAATCTCTGACATTCAAAGAACTTCTGCCATTGTCATATACTGGCAAAGTTCACAAAATTGCCTATGATTATCTTAGTGTAGAGTTCAACAAACTGTCAAACTTATAGCGACACTTAGCTACGGCCATACTAAACACTGCCCGGGAGAGTAAGGACTGCTCGAGATAAGAAAATGATTGCCCGTTAATAAATAATGCGATAAAATCGTTCTTTTCTTTGTGTGAAGACGTAATATGGATACAAAATGTGTCCAATTATAAAATATGAAAAATTCTGTGGTTTTTTTTATATTTTATATTTTTTATACAGTCATTTTCTTTTTCCGGGCAGTGTTTACTCTCCTCCTGGGCAGTGTTGAGTCTTCGCGCTGAATTATATATAAAATAAACTGCAGAATTGTTCGTCTTTTATGTTTAGACACATTTCGTATCCATATTACGGTTTCATACAAAGAAAAGAACGATTTTATCTTATTATTTATCAACGGCCAATCATTTTCTTTTCCTGAGCAGTGTTTACTCTCCTCCTGGGTAGTCTCGGGCATTGTTTAGTACGACTCCCTTCGCTATGCATATTGATGCAGTTCAGGAAGGGTCTGATGAAGTAACTATTTCCAACCATGATATATTCTTGTGTTTTTTCTTTCTGTATAGTCTGTTGGAAATAAGAAATTTTTAAATGAGACAGACAAGCAACAAGAGCTAACTACCAACGAAGGCAGTAAAAGTATAAATGCAAAGAAAAACCGTTATCCTGATATTTTACCATGTGAGTTTCTTTTGAAGCTTGAATCTTCCATTGCAAATCAATAAACTAAACTGTGTAATTAAAATAATGTATACCAATCAATCTCTTAAGAGTCTCTTACATCGCTTGATAAGTATATTGCCCTGTAATTTCTTATTAGAGGTGTAATTTCTTATTAGAGGTGTAATTTCTTATTAGGTCTTGTTGTATATCTGTGTAAAGCATCTCAGTTGTTCAAATCATATTTTCTTTCGTTTCAGTTGACCATACTTTAGTGAAACTTAGTGAAGTGGACAATGAACCTGAGTCAGTATACGTTAACGCCAGTTATGTGGACGTAAGTCTTTTACTTGTGTAATATCACTTGGTCCTATTAAACACCGACTGTCCGAGACTTCCTTTGAAATTAAAATGACTCCCCTGGATAAAGAAGGCGTTATCCATTTTCATTATACTTACGTTTTTAAATTAACGTTGGTTGACTTTCGTCAACGAAAATGGCAAGAACTACAAATTTCGCTGTTGGAAATTTGGAAAGCCGCGTATATGAAAGCTGAATGACGTTTCAGTGGAAGTGTTTATGACGTCGTTGTTTGTAGTATGATGTTGTAAAGATATTTCAATGTTTGAGGCAATTTTGTTTTATTATTTTCTTATCAATTCATTTTATTTTCCCGCGGCAGTATTTCTTCTCTTCCCGAGCAGTGTTTAAAGTGGTGTTTAGTAGGACCCGCGCCACTTCACAGAATTAACTTACATATTCAATTGCTATGTTCGGCAAGTTTAACAGTTGATGGTGAAGTTTTTGGCTGTTCTTCTTATGGAGAACTCGAGCATGTTTTCATTGCATTTATTTAATATATATTCGTGGACCTTGACAGCATGAAACGTGTTTCACTTTCGTGTATTTGTATTTTCTCTAGAGTTATCGATCTCCGCGTGGCTATATTGCTGCACAAGGTATGTCTCCGTTATGTTTCTCAGGAAATTCAATCGCCATTGTTATATCTGAGCTTTTCTGAAACCTTTGGTTGAATATGTTGATTGAGAATTTCCCAACGAAAATCGCACTTGCAATTTGAATTTACTGGAGAATAATGTGATTGGGAGACTGGGGATTGTTTTGGTCTAGCATTTTGGGAAATTGGTGCGGAAAAGGAATGTTTAATTTCATCATTTTTGCTAGACTGGGGTAGAAAAAGAATATTGGGCATACCTTTTCACAGTAAAAACTCTCCGACTTCTTTTCACTTTTAGGTCCGCTCCCTGAGACTGTGACGGATTTCTGGCGTATGGTGTATGAGAATAATTCGTATGTTATTGTCATGGTGACCAGCTTATTTGAACGAATGAAGGTAAATAGATAAACAGGGACGAAAACTGATTAATCATGGATGATGGGGGCATTGCATGTTCTACTTCATTAGTTTCTATTGAAATCAATCGCGATCACGGATTGTAACATTTGAATATGGGCTCCCCAATTATGCTATTTTGGTGTTTTGGTACAGTAATGCGTATATGTTCTGTTGTTCAGATGAAATGTTCGCAGTATTGGCCAGATAAAGCATCTTCAAAATACGGCTGCTTTGTAGTGACGATAATAGAAGAAAAGATTTTTGCCAATTATGTTGTTCGTAAACTTCGTCTTTCTGTTGCGTCGAAGAAGGTATTTTGACAATTGTAAGAAAATTATAACAGAAGATATAGGATGTATACTATTAGATTATCCAAAAAAAAACAAAAAAAATGTTGCCATTAATGACAAGGCAATGTAAGTGTTTTAAGTCGTTTATGTGCAGCGCTGCTCACAGGAAATATTTTTGTATCATGCAAATTTTTTTTCCTAAGCATTGATTAAACTGCTTTGCCCGTCGTGTGCAGATGGCTTCCTTCTTAAAAGAATATAATTTTATTTTTTATCCATTAGTGTGTGTTTTCGACAAATTTTCACGGATTTCCATTTTTGAAATTTGATTCCCGGGAGTTAAATACTTCATCCGGGCCTTCATCTTTAACTCGAGAACAGACCAATCTTTTTCATAACTTCATGTTTAGTTGGGTAAAGAAGACAAAGCTCGAGAGATCCAACAATTCCATTTCACAGAGTGGCCTGATCATGATGTCCCCGTTCATCCTATGTCTTTACTTCCTTTTATACGTCATTCAAAACTGGCTAATCCCCCGGATGCTGGGCCTCTTGTCGTTCACTGCAGGTAGAACAAACCGAACTGAAGTCTTTGACCCAAATTCAGATTTCCTGACAATCATCAAATTTTATTTGTTATTTTACAGTGCTGGCGTGGGACGCACGGGGGTATATATGGTCATTGATAGCATGATGGAGAGGATAAATGACGATAAAACAGTTGATGTTTTCAATTATCTCGTACACATACGTTCTCAAAGAATGTCTTTAGTTCAAGAAGAGGTTTGAAAACACTTTTTTATTGAAATTTGTTTTCTTGTCTTTCTCGTCTTCTGTCTGACAAGATATTTCTGAAGTGGTGGCAGGTTAGGCAAGGTTAGATGGGATCAGAGATGATACGATGGAAGGGATGGCAAGGGGTTAGGTAAGGTTAGATGGGATCAGAGATGATATGATGGAAGGGATGGCAGGGGTTAGGTAAGGTTAGATGGGATCAGAGATGATATGATGGAAGGGATGGCAGGGGTAAGTTTAGACGTGACATGAAATGATATGGTGAAGCGGGTGGCCTGGGGTAGGGTTAGATATGGTAATAAAGGGGTGATATAGTGGAATGATGTGGGTTAGATGTAGTAGGGGTTGCAGAGGCATAGGGTTGGATTCGGGAGATATAGTGTAAGGGGTAGCAGTAGATAGATGTGGTAACTAAGAAGAGATACAGTGGAAGGCGTGACCATTTTCAAGTTCTATTTGCGTTCAATTACCTGTTCACTTATTGAATTTTTTTTCATAAATTTTCCCAGCGTCAGTACATATTTATCCATGATTGTCTGCTGGAGTATATAAAATTTGGAGACACAAGTATTCCTATTAAAGAATTTCACACTCGTCTTGCGACGCTGCGAGCTGTTGGCCCTGGCCACAAGAAAAGCCTTTTGAGGAGGGAGTTCGAGGTGAGAATTATGTAGCTTTTCCTTAGCAGTTACTCTCAAGTTTCTGTTGGAACAAAACGTTCTTAAAACAAGTCACGAAGGTATATCTTGCATCGTATTGTAGGATATTGATCATACAAAGAATTTAGAAAAACACAAATGGGCTGGAAGGAAACATTACAATCTTTTAAAGAATCGACGAAAGGATATTTTACCCGGTGAGCGCTTTCTTTTGTGTAATGACAACGAATTATCAAGGTAGCTTTTTAAAAAGAGAGCGATGGTAGTTAAGTATTAATTAATTTTATGTTAACATGTTTTGTTGTTTTTTTTTGTTTGTTGTTGCTACAGTTGAAAGAACTCGTGTTAAACTTCCTCTTCTTCTTGGTGTTGATGGAGCAGATTACATAAACGCAAGTTACATTGACGTTAGTTAAACAAAAATCAATATCGTATATGTACACCATAATACATACACTTACATAACAACATTTCCTTTGATATTTTAAGGGTTTCATAAAGAAGCGAGAGTTCATTGCGACTCAAGCTCCCATGGTAGAAACCGCTGAATGTTTTTACCGCATGGTCTCTGCTGTGAAGAGTTCACATATTGTCATGTTACTTGATGACGAACAATGGAAGAAGGTATCTTTATCGTACATAAGTATCTTTATCGTACATAGCTATCTTTATAAAACGTAGGTATCGTTATTAGGCAATGGGTAACTTTGTCGTAGATGGTGTATTTATCGCACATGGTATCTCTGTCGTACCTCGTATCTTTATCGGACATAGACATCTTAGCATACTTAGTATCTTAACCGTATATAGGTGTCTTTATCGCACATAGGTATCCGTTAAACGTATTTAATTATCCTTAAGCCATAGAGCAAGTCTTCTTCATGTAAGAGCAAAATGCACGTGAATGTATTTTCGTAGGATGATTACGCTGATTTGCCTACCGAAGACGAGCCTGTGATGTGTGGAAGATTTGAAATCAATTTGGAATCAAAGGAAATCCATGAGAAATTTACAGTGAGAAAGTTGAGGCTGTTTTCGTCTGTGAGTATTAACTTAAGCCATGTAATCCTTAGTAATCCTCCTCCCCCCTTTCCCTAATCATTTGCGATACCATTTCACCTCTTCTATCCCCATTGCACCTCTGTCGTCACCCTTCATACATACCCAAAAACCTTCCCTTTACCTTCTTATATTGCCGATAATTATTTAAAACTTTAATGTGTTTATTATTGCTGATGACGTCAGATGTTGATTATCATGTTGACTGTTAAAATCTCTGACAACTATTTTAGGAAACTAGCGATGGCCATATTGTAACACATTATCACTATCATGACTGGCCTTCTGGTTGTATACCAAAGGACAAAACAGCATTGATTAACTTTATTGAACATGTGAGAGAAAGCAGAACGGCTGAGAACTCCGATAAACCTTTAATTGTTATATGCGAGTAAGTTAAAGATTTACCTAGCTATCAAATGCATTGCCCTCCGTCAGAAGATAGCCATGCTGATAGGACGTTATGATTATTATGAAATGGTATTAATGTAATAGTTAGTAGTTTCTGCTTGGTGTTTCATCTTCAAATATAATCTGCTTTCTCATATTTAATGAATCATCGTCTTGTTGAAGTACTTTTTTCTACATGTTCGCTATTAGTCAACGAATATCTTTCTTACCTAGTTACGGAGTCGGTCCTGCTGGTGTGTTTTGTCTCGTTAGCTCGCTGTACGATCAAATTGAACATGAACAAAATGTGGACGTGTTTTTGGCGGCAAAACTCTTTCGTACTCAACGACCAAAGCTTATTGAGACCGAGGTACCGCTGACTAAGCAAAGGGAATATTTTGTTTTTGCAGTGAACCAAGCTTCTGTTGTTTATATAGGAGTTGTATTCATTTTGTTATGACGTCATGGATCAAGTGATCACGAGAAAGCTTATCTCTACGACAACAGAATCACACAGTACTTGCCGGAGTGAAAATATCTCCGATGAGAAAAATGGAAGCCAGTTACCAAGTTTGAACGATGTTGCTTTTGATATGAACGTTTAGGATAGGAAGTGTGATCATGGTAAAACAAAACCAGAGTTCCGTTGGAGAGTAAAATATTTTTGCAATTGCAATCCTGTCATGATTGAGAATAGAAAGGAGGATGCGTCATCAAGCCGAGATGCATTGATTCCTTCTCGAGTCGCATCTTCCTAGTTGACGATACAAATAACGTTGAGTTTTCTTGCTGGAAAGACGTTAATGAAAGGCTTTCTCCTACACTGCAACTGCATTGGCGTTTTATATGACGTACTTGAAGAAGATGCGAGAGCTGAGGAAGTGTTTTGTGTCTTTACCTAAACTTTACATTCCCAATTGTTCCGAAGAAGTGAGTTAATAATCAAGAATGTTGATATGAAGAACTATTTTTAAAATTTGAACTTTTTTTGTACTTTTACAATAGGAAAATAAGAGATTGGACAATAATATTTTATGTATGAGAGATTTTGTCAATATGAGACTGCGAGCATTGTGCCCAGCTAACCATGTATGACGTCACTCAAAATACCTCAATGCTGAAATAAATATTTCATGTAAATTACTATACTTCCATGTAGTTCAAAACTAAACGCAAAGAAATTGCACCATTCTACTGATCAGACCTTTCAGTATTAAACTGTTTATTAGATTTGCAGATAAAGATGTACTTTATATGGTGATTTTGAATTTGCCATTTTGAATGATTGAAAATAGTCTCACGTGATATAATGAAAGTAAATTTTATCTTGTTGTTTTGTTATGGTGTACATATTTTCGTACTGCAATGTTTGTGTAAAAATACGTAGAATTTGAAGCGAAATGTCAAATGATTGGCTCAATCTTTTTGTCCACCAAGGCAAAGAGTTTCTAGACAGCGTTTCAAAGCCTCGTGTTTCACAAGGAAGTGAATCAATGTCATCCACAAATTCTACAATGCATCAAAATGATGGAGATAACGTTAGTGCTAGTGCACTCTCATTACAGTCTTTACTGGCTACGAATGATGGAGGAACCTCTATTGCCGATGGCAGAAAGATAGAGAAGAGTAGTAGCGAAATAAAACCCGTAGACTCTGCTTCAGTAGGAGCAATTTCAAGCGAAGGTGGGAATGTTGGTAAAGTACCATTAAGCCAAGGTGAAAAGGAAATTTACGAGACTCAGTTGGAACAGCTTCAAGAACAATTGGTTGATGTCATGATAAAAAATCAGGAAATGGGTAGGTTTAAAGAACATTTAGAGCAACAGGTTGTACAGATACATGGTGAGAACCTTCAACTGGGCACCCAAAGGTATTATAGGTGTATGGATTCCTTGAACACTCTAGCAGATACATCAGTTTGACCATGTGACTTAATAAGGGGCTGTTGACCAATAGTTTTTGTCTGGTGATGTCGGACTTGTACAGTGATTATACAGTTTCCTATCCTTCAATGCAGACCACTTGATTTTCAGTCTCCAAAAATGTTGCAATGCTTGCTTCATGTGCAATTGTTTTATCAATTGCTTAATTGTTTTAAAGTTTTTTGTTTTATCTTGGGGTTTTGGGGGGTTTTTTCAATTTTTTTATTTCATACGAGGAGTATAGAATTCGTGTGTTATAACACTAAAAGTCTCTTAAGTCAGCCTTTGTCCTAATTTTTGTTTTTCATCATGGACTAATGACTTCTCCCCACCCCCCTCGCAGTGCATGTCCATGATTAACGGACAAAATCTATTTCTTGATATTCCCTAATAGGGGGATTTCTTGGAAACTCTAAGTTGCATTTGGCTTCACATCTTTTTAATTTGTGTTAATTTTATGTTGGAAATCTCAACTTTTGCTTCATTATATGTAATTCTTAGGTGATGAACTGTCAGTTCTGCGAGCAAGTGATGTTTTCAAGGTTAGAAAGGAGTTAGAGAGAGAACAAATAAAATGTCAACAACTCAAGCTCAAATTGAAGAAATTTAAAGAACAAGAGAATGACTTCCTTCCAAAGCTCAAGTATAATTAAACAATTTACTGCTGTAAACCTTTTACGACATTCTTCAAAAGAACTCTTCATTTACTCTGCTGTATATTCATTTATATTTTCAGAAAAAGGAGAAAACCTTTGCTCAAAGAGGATGAATCATCCGGTATTGATGATAAAAAAACATCTCCGGAAGTTAAAGATAATGTTGATGAGACATATTCCAATGAAGATTTGCCAGGTACAAATGCTTTATAAGATACACTAATTGTTAATTCAGGGTGCGAATTAAAATGTCGCGATTCGCGAAACGCGATGCACTAATCGCGCTGAAACGCGATGCACAAAAGCTAGTTAAATTTACTTTCTAAATATTTTTTTAAAATCTTATTATCGCGCTATAATTGTAAGATCATTATTCATCCTGGTTAGATCTACTTTCAGTGGGAAATGTGAGAGGTTGTGGGATTATCCAATGGATAGGAAAATTTTCAAACTTGTAAAAAATGTTTATATTTTTCTACGACAAAGAAATTTATAATCCTCGAAACAACGTTTTATTTCAGTGACTGCACAGTTCAAATCGTATCTTTTCTCTTATAAGAGATTTTTTACTCGTTCAGAAAAATTTGCTGTCCAGTGGATAGCGCTGTTCGACCTTCGTGCAACCAGCCCCTGGAATACTTGTTTACGCGTTTTTTGCTGGAAAAAATTTCGCTGTTCTAGCGTCTAGTTGTTTTTGTTGTTATAAAATGCGTTTATAGATTTATTAGTAGTTTGCATATTCACTAGAATCATACCAGCACCCAGCACTTGCGAAGGATCATTGTATAATTATATTCATACGAGATAAATCTTGAAAAACCTTCTATAGCACTGAATATGGAAGTTTTTTGTTGAACTAGGTACGTAATATATATTTCAGTGGCATGATAAGCATTCTACTTCGTCAATTCTTTGATTTTATATATAGATATATATATACATAGGAAGTTTTTTTTTTTATTTGATTTTCCGTAATTACAGTGCTAGATGCGTTAGAGCAGAGCATAATTATTGATAAGAAGAAGAAAATACACAAAAACTACAATTTCATATTATCCCCTGAAGAGTGAGAAATCACAAAACAGGCTTGTCGGGATGAAATTTTAGTTTTTGTGTATTTTCTTCTTATCGATAGTTATATACAGTTACATCAGTTTTTATTTTGCGACGGGAATGAAACGAAAAAAAATATTATTTTTATTTTGAGGGGGGGGGGTTAAACATTTTGCTACGAAAATCGCGATGCACTTTTCCACCTTAATTCGCACCCTTTAATTATGTAATATTATGGTATGTTGATAACCCTGGGAAAATTATATCAATATTTAATCATCTCCATAGCAATTAGGACTCGTACTTCAAGATTTAGACACTGTTTATATACATTGTACTTGTCAGTGACGCAGAAACTAACCTTGACTGTAAGTATGAGAAAGTAAGACTTTGGTAATTTCTATACGTACTTGTTTCTTTTTTCTGTAAAAGCTCAACCAAGCATAAACTTCTTTTTTCCTTTCATTTGTAAACTGTTTTTGATCTATCTAGTATCAGTTTTCTTCATTATTGAATTAGTTGGTTCCTAATTATGTCTAGTTTTGGAATATTGTCTCTGATTTATCTAATGATGACACTTCAGTTGAAAGATCCGTTGAAGAAGATGGTCCTCCATTGGCTATTAAAACGTAACACGCATCCAGTACCTTTTTGACCTCGTTTATGTTGTGTGTTGTCTATATTCAATATGAAGTTTATTTTTGTTTACAGGTTAAAGGATAACATCAGCAGATTTTGTAAGTCTGTGTGATTATATTTCCCGGATATTGAGTTTGGATTATTTCAGCGAAGGTTTTGTCACAAATTTATTTATAATAGCAAAGGGCCTGAAGCCTATTCAAGAATTCTCTGATAAAGTCAACTGGGTCTTGTCATGGAAGAATCCAGCTGCAACTTTGTTGATACTTTTGGTTTGTTTACGTACGTCTGGCTACTTTTGACTTGATTGAATCTGTGCTATGAACTGTCTCATGTACATATAGGTGTATTGGTTTTCATTTTGGCATGGATTGACGGTTTCTATCATTTTGTTTTTTCTTATTGTTCAACTTTCTGCCAACTTTATCCACCACAGGTAAAAAAAGATGTGTACTCAGTCTGCTTAGAATACTTGTATTTAGTGATTTTATTTCCTTGGATTGTTTCAGGTTTGGAACAATTTCTGAAAAGAAAAACAGAGGTACGTGATCTTACATGATTTTACGTGATTTTACGTGATCTTACATGATTTTACGTGATCTTACATGATTTTACGTGATCTTACATGATCGCACGTGATCTTACATGATCGTACGTGATCTTACATGATCGCACATGATCTAACATGATCGCACGTGATCTTACATGATCGCACGTGATCTTACATGATCTTACATGATCGCACGTGATCTTACATGATCGTACGTGATCTTACATGATCGCGCGTGATCTTACATGATCGCACGCGTCCTTACAAGATCGTACGTGATCTAACATGATCGCACGTGATCTTACATGATCGTACGTGATCTTACATGATCGCACATGATCTAACATGATCGCACGTGATCTTACATGATGACACGTGATCTTACATGATTTTACGTGATCTTACGTTATTTTACGTGGTCGTACATGATTTTACGTGGTCTTACATGATTTTACGTGATCTTACGTGATTTTACGTGAACTTACATGATTTTACGTGATCTTACATGATTTTACGTGATCTTACATGATTTTAAGTGATCTTACACGATTTTACGTGATCATGCATGATCGCACGTGATCTAACATGATCGCACGTGATCAGATTGAACCTAAACTGTACAATATAACTGAATCTGTATTGGTTAGACATAACGTAACCTACCATGTACCTATAAATGGCTACATTTTACAGCGAGATTATTCCTTAAAACTCATCATTCCCTTCTCCAAGAAGACTCGTTGCTGTTTTTTTGATTTATTCGCGTGATTTTTGCCGCAGGTAGAAGATGAACATCAATCATGGAGCGACAAATTTCAAATTGTTCTACATGTGGCAAGAAAAGTTCAGGTCAATAAACAGAAAGAGCGAAAGAATATCTATCGTCAGCCGACAATTTTTTACTGTTTGTAAATGTAGATCGTCCAGGTTGGTAAAGTCCTGAGAAGGACTGTTTTTGTTGTTGTTGACTGACGTTTCGACAACCTTAGCGGTAGTCATCTTCAGAGTCAAATGATGACTATACCAACCTGGACGATCTACATTTACAAACATGTAACGATACTCCGGGTTCAAACCATTACTTTCATTTTTATTGTATATTGAAAAATGGCAAAATGAGCGATACCCTTCTCCTTTCTAATTTTGGTTAACTTTCCTAGGAATTATTTTCATTTAATTATAGCAACGAGAAGGGGGGGGCAAATAATCGGGCAATATTCATATATGCATGTTATAATCTGCAGAAAATAATTGTTTCAAAGGAGCTTAATATGGCGGACCATGAACAAATGAATAACCCCGCGTGCCAATCAATTATCGATAGGGCTACGCAACTGTTATCGTTACTTCGTGATTGGATGATTAACTTGTGTTAAGATTCGCTAAAATTTGTTAAAATATTTTCTTTCAGAATGTGTTGGGCGACTTGTCTGATTACTTGGAAAAATTTAAAAAGTACGCACTGCGTTTTCTTTATCAATAAAACTGCGGTGCTGACGCATTAGTTTCTTAGTTAATTTATCTTAATAATTGCTAAATTTAACTAGTCGTCATGAATTTAACTAGTTGTGTGGTGTATTTGAAGACTTATCGATTTTTTCCATAATTTTTTAGCCTTGTGATGTGGGAAGTACCCAGTATTACTCTAAAGCTGTATATCGTTTTATGGTTCATCTTTTTACTGTCAATACTGCTCAGTGGACCACAGCTCTTCATGATTATTGGTATGGGTCCTGCTTGCTCTTTGCAACTATCTTAAGTTTACTTTTTTCTTTCGTGGTTACTTCAATTTTAATTGCATAAACAAACGCTTGCGATTGCAAGGTCATAACATACTTGATTGCTGGAACTGCATAGCCGAAGACTTTTTATTTTGATTTTATTTTTATATTCGACATAAATTATATACTTCCATTCCTGTTTTCACGTTATCTTTCTTCCTTTTCAGGCATGTTCCTCGGTTGGAAGTTATTCATAGTCAATCCACTTTATGCACGATTTCCAAAGGCACGTAAAAATATTCTATTTCAACTTATCTTTTGGAATTGCAAAACGTATATAGATACAGTGAAACCTCTACTTTCGTTCACCTCTTGTAAGCGGACACTGCCTCTGGGCTGTCGCCAATGCGATATAACCTTTCATAATTTCCAATAAGCGAACACCTCCAGTATGCAGACACTAGGTTGTGGTCGCAAATTTGGCCCAAAGGTGCCTGCTTACGTGAGGTGCGACTGCTTGCCAAGTTTATTTGTGTTTTGGAAATTTTTTTAGCTCAAGAAACGATACGATACGACTCATCGCTTGTGGCTACAGTTACCTGTAGATAATAAACTAAACAATGACGTTTATCGAAATGCGCTTCTTGAATTTGAGGTTGTCAGTCTTCTATGGTTGTATAAAGGGCTTACTATTGTGATCAGCTCAGTCATGAAATAATCTCGTCCTTTTCTTTTTTCATACAGATTGTTGAAGGTGAACAAGTCTCCGATGTGCCTTTTATTTCAGAGACTTTTTCTCTTAATTCCAAACTGTTTTGTGAACGATATAAAATAGCGAGCGACGAAATTCTCGTTAAAGGTTATAAACATATTTATTAAAATAAAGTATTTAGCTCTTTCAAGGACACCTGTCAAGACTATCTGTCAAGTTATACAAATTGTTTGTTATCCAACGGAGAGATGAAATACTCTTTACGTTTAGTTGTCTGACAATTCGAATATCCTGAAAATTTTTTTGTTTTTTTTTCAGGTTGGGAAGAAGGGTGGCGAGCAAGTTTAATGGATAAACAAAAGCCGCTGGTCAATATGAAACATGGACATCTTTACCTTACCCAAAAGTAAGAATTTACTATATTATTCCTTACAGTTTGGTGTACACATCACTTTCGTTGATTACAATATATAAGACTCTAAGAATGACAATTGCTAAGGTTGTCGAAGCATCAGTCAACACCAACACCAACAGTCCTTTTCAGAACACCATTAACCTGGACCACAGGATAGGCAACTAACAGAAGGCCCACTCGGCTAAAATCGTGGCGTATTTTTCACTACGCATGCGTGACTTCCCAGCAAGAAACTTTCACAAAATCAATATGGAATAGTATTGCACGAGAATGCTATTTTACTAATAGTTCAAGTTCAAAGCAAAAGTTTGCCGAAATTTTTACAAAGAGTTATCATCTTGCGAAGAAGATAAGGTTCCAAGCTTTTGTAGTGCAAAACGCTATATTTGTAAAAACATCTATATTTTCTACTGCGATCTAGCGGAAGTATCTTGCTGGAAGGCGTGTCTGCTTAGAATTTGCTTCAGAAAAGTGGGGGGACGAACATCAAAAGTTCGGACACGAGTGGACCTTCTGTCAAGATATCTACTCTGTGCCTGGACGATCCAAATCGACAAATATGTAACGATATATGATTGTTTATGACATCATAACGACATAATTAACCAAAAATATGTTAGAAATATAGTCTTATATTTCTATTATAATATAAAACAAATTCCGAAGAAACAAGACATCTTGAGATTGCAAAATATGAATCAAAACAAGACGAGAAGTAAACTGTAAATTTTCGACTTTATTTCAAAGTCATTCTCAGACAGAATGTCTGACTTCAGACTATGTCTCATTCTGTCTGAGGATGACTTTGAAATAAAGTCGAAAATTTACAGTTTACTTCTCGTCTTGTTTTGATTCATATTTTGCAATCTCAAGATGTCTTGTTTCTTCGGAATTTGTTTTATATTATACTTTTTTAAATTGTCGGCTGGTCATGGTTTTATATTTCTATTGTTCTCTACAATGTATTTCAGAATCCAGAGCTCTTCTTTTCTTTTCGTCTAGTTATCTTTGTTTTGAACGCTCGCGAACAAACATAACGAAAAATATCCTCATGAAGCTTTCGGATATAAAACGTCTAAACAAGGTATATTTATCTTGGGTATATTTATCGTCGTTTTGCTTGGTACATTTGAAGAACGGGAGATTTGTGTGAATTTCTTGCAGTATAAACCTTTGTTCCTCTTGCCTGGTAGTGGTATGTCTATTGAAGTTGTTGTTAAGGACAAGGATGAGGTATTGTGTCGAAATATTTAATTTTAGCCTTAATACCAACTGAATCTTTGATCTTAGCCAAAAATACTTGCTTCATCTTTGGTCCCAGTTATATTACTAGCTTAATGTTTGATTACCACTCGCTTTAATCCTTCATCCTAGCCGTAATACTAGCTTAATGTTTGATTACCACTCGCTTTAATCCTTCATCCTAGCCGTATTACTAGCTTAATGTTTGATTACCACTCGCTTTAATCCTTCATCCTAGCCGTAATACTAGCTTAATGTTTGATTACCACTCGCTTTAATCCTTCATCCTAGCCGTAATACTAGCTTAATGTTTGATTACCACTCGCTTTAATCCTTCATCCTAGCCGTATTACTAGCTTAATGTTTGATTACCACTCGCTTTAATCCTTCATCCTAGCCGTAATACTAGCTTAATGTTTGATTGCCACTCGCTTTAATCCTTCATCCTAGCCGTAATACTAGCTTAATGTTTGATCACCACTCGCTTTAATCCTTCATTCTAGCCGTAATACTAGCTTAATGTTTGATTACCACTCGCTTTAATCCTTCATCCTAGCCGTAATACTAGCTTAATGTTTGATTACCACTCGCTTTAATCCTTCATCCTAGCCGTAATACTAGCTTAATGTTTGATTACCACTCGCTTTAACATTACTAGCTTAATGTTTGATTACCACTCGCTTTAATCCTTCATCCTAGCCGTAATACTAGCTTAATGTTTGATTGCCACTCGCTTTAATCCTTCATCCTAGCCGTAATACTAGCTTAATGTTTGATCACCACTCGCTTTAATCCTTCATTCTAGCCGTAATACTAGCTTAATGTTTGATTACCACTCGCTTTAATCCTTCATCCTAGCCGTAATACTAGCTTAATGTTTGATTACCACTCGCTTTAATCCTTCATCCTAGCCGTAATACTAGCTTAATGTTTGATTACCACTCGCTTTAATCCTTCATCCTAGCCGTAATACTAGCTTAATGTTTGATTACCACTCGCTTTAATCCTTCATCCTAGCCGTAATACTAGCTTAAATCTAGGATCCTAGCCGCACAACTACCTTTTATCTGCGATATTAGCCGTAGTACTACTTTCATCTCTAAATTTGTTTGAAGATTACATTTTACTTTTCAAGCAAGTGTTCAGTGCAATTTAAATTATATTTTCACACATGGGTGTCAATCGAACGTTAATTGAGGGGTACCCGTATTCATAAATTCTTTTATATGAGGCTGGTTTCTTATGAAAGTAAAAATTGTTTCTCCATTCGATGTTATACTGTTCAATGTTTTTCGTGTGAAAATCAACTCTACCTTTCTTGTTCGCCATATTGTAAGCTGACTCCACGTTTTTTATAAAACATTTGCAATTTTGTTGCTGCTTATCAAGTTTCTTTTTTTGGAAATGAGACCTCGATTTCTGTTTTGTTTTTAGCCGTATATTTTTGGTGCCTTGATTGGTCGTGATGAAGCGTACAATAATATTATACAAATGGGAAAATTAGCTGGATTATCTTGGGCATTAACTCTCAACTAATGGATCACATTTGACATGATAAATCTATATCCGATTAATCCTATGCGAAATCATTACTTTATGTAAGTCTGTAAACTGAATGGTTTTTTCTATGCTCACGGCTCGCCATTTCCAATATTTTCACCACAACAGCTTTGCAGCGCTTTTATAAAACTGATGTAGAGATACAATAATTACGTCATCACAAAAACAGCGCAGACCGTGAAAGAAACATGATCTCATGTATGTGCCTGTGCGCATTTAGTTTTGCATACAGTGTAAATGTTCACACAACAGAATGTGCTCGTAAATTGAAATTATCTCGACTGTGTATAACATAATAACACTGGATTTGCGACTGAGTTAGATAGCTGGAGTCTCGCTCATGAGAAGGTATTTTTTCTGTTCCTGTGCAATTGGAAATTTGGTATTACACCGGAAATTTGTCTCGTCGGAACAGAGTTGTATCAACAATAGTGACCTATCAAACAAATTATATCATTTTCGGTTTCAAATTTTAACCGTCGATGTGTTAAATCACGTTAATTTCTGTTGACTAAAGATTTACCGTTTTTGTGTCACATTGTATTCCACTGGCTTTGAATATTCTTTTTATCACTATTGTTTACATTTACCGCAAAATTTTCTGCCGTAACGTTGCTGATGAAATGTCGTTCGTAGTCGTTGCTTTTATTTATGTTGTTTTAAACTTGGTGTTGTCGTCAGATGGTCTGTCGTTTCAAGTCACTCGCGGAGACAACGACATGTTTAAAAATCCCAAAACGAAAGTTTGCGATTGGTCACAGGGGAGTAAAGAGTTTTGCAAAAATGCCAATGCTCGCTGCCATCTAAATTGTTGTCAATGTATTTGTAACTATGCGAGCTCTACCTTCGACAGGAAACTCGTGCAATGTCGACCGAACGAGAATGTTCGCAGTGGTAAGTTAGTTTGCATTTTGTTTTAACATAACAATATGATTATGGTTTGGGTTCATGTTAAGGACTTATGTCAGGGTGACCTCGTAGCGATTGGCGTTATGGTTTATAATAAGGATATGGTTAAGATTATAGTTGTCATTAAAGACATTGTCTGGGTAATGGTTGTTGCTATATACATGATTATGTTTAGAATATAGTTTATGTTAAGGATAATGGTATTGTAACTAGCAAGTCGTTATGTGTTAACAAGTATTGTTAGTTTTGTTTAATAAATATTATTGCAACTTAAAAAATTTACAACAAAGATACGTTCGTCGTTTTTGTGATAGCGTTTTCATCTTAAAAGTTGTTATTTCATCGTGTGCAGGAAATTAAATTTCATCATAGCCATTATTGTAAACATTTTTATCTGTTCACGCTGCACTGTGAAGCGCGTTTCATGAAATTCACTAAACTGATCGAGACATTTTGGAAAAGGAAAGCATTTTAAATGGCTAATTTCATATGTTTTCGTGTGAAAAGGTCCAATAAATAATGTTTTATTGAATACATATCGTTCTTGGCTATGACTGAATCTCCAACTTCTCTTTAAATCTTTAAGGTTGTAGAATCAAATTTGAGAAAAAGTATAGGGGAAGTCGGATACAATTACTTGATATGTCGAAAATGGCAACGATTTCGTTTACTGGAAGAATCTCAAGAGAGGATATTTTGTCGATCAGTTTCGCATTAAAAGTATTTCTTACTTAAATGGCATTGGAAAAGTCGGTCACTCAATTATTTTCACAAAAGGTAGAACTACACGAAGCGGAGACAGAACGAAAGTCGCCGTTAAGGTAATTGTGAAAGGGGAAATCAATCATGCCCTTTTTAAATTATCACACACGGCCATGAAAATACTATTACATTATTGACTGATTTTGATTCTAAGTTCAATTTCATTGATTTTATTTCGTAAAAATAGACCTTTATTATATGTTATACGTAAATATATTTTTAGTGAGTGAGGAATATGGTGTGTACACTAAACTGGAGGGCAATTTCATGTTTTATTTTCTTCAATTGCTTTCTAGTGGAACGAGGTTCCTGATCAGTATCATGGACAGTTGTTTCTGGTGAATGTTACTTACACTTTAAAACGACTTTCAAATTCTTCCATCCTGGAGAACGATTGTTTTGTTTTTAAGTCAGCAGGAAAAATAACTGGTATAACATGTGACTCGTCAAAATTTGTATGTCAGTTGTTGAAGATTACTACAGGGAAATTTATCGCTTATTTCAGTGACAGTTCCTAGTACAAGCTCAATGTTAACCAAAGTATCTAATAGAAAGCCTAGCTCTAACCTTTCTCCCATCACTCTCACATCAACCACTACAAAAGTAAAGCCGACGAAGAAGAAAACGACAGTCACTCACTCATTGATATCGAAATTTTTACCAAACACAAACTCTTCCAGTTCAACTATTTGGTCCACTAATCAACTGCCAACCAAACATTCCGCCAATGAAGACAAGTCGTTAACCCAGACAAATATATGGACTTATTACGTAAGTTCTGCATGTGTATTTACGTTTAACTCACGAGATTAAACTGAAAGTTGGTGAGGATGATTAAAATGAAATCTTTCTAATTAGACGGCAGGGTATTGCCTTCGTAAGCAACACTATAGGTATGTGAAAAAGTGATATTTTTCACTTGCATCTGTTCAGCAATCAATCCTATGCAATCCTATTCTAACCCTCAACCCTTTTCTTTGTGGGAGGATATAGAAATAGGTATAGAACGTCGACCATCTCCTCCGACATCTTGTGGATGAGATGAGATGCGCTTTTATATTTCAATGGCTTGCACTAGGTGAATTTTTAGTTTCTGGTTTATTTCTACATCATTTTTTTGCATTTTTCTCAAGACTACGAAAGAAGCTGGTTTGCCTTCTGCGTCGACGAGTGGTGCATCCATTCATAACGCCAAGAAGATGGCCACTGGCAGTGGGGACGATCTGATAATCATCTCTTTGGCTAGCGCAGGATGTATTGTCTTATTCTTGGCTGTAGTAGTAATAGCGTTAATCTGTGTCAGACGTCGCAGGATTGCATCTAAAGTCAATCATGGTTTGTATTCTCGTTGTCAACCGTCTCAACCTTATTTTTATCATAATGGCGTTTTTGTGTTTCTTACAGAGGTAGTTGCGAAAAACGTCGTAGGCAATGTAAGTGTCAAGTGGCTTAATCCAGCGGTCTAATCAAACTATATTTCGTGTTATGGTCGACTTTTAAATGTTTAAAACGGAAACCACAAACTTTACTGAAGTACCGGACTGTTTTCCCTTGTATTACCTAGTTATTGAGCTAAATTAGAAATTCAAAATTTTAATGTCGTGTTTCTGATATCATCAGTACACTACTATAGCTTCTACAATTTTTATTTAATAATTCAACGTGCAATTGTCATGATTTTTGCATTGACAATCCTTTCATTAATCCCGCGATGTCATTTCTTTAGAATCACGTTTCAACTCCGGAGGCAATCTATTCTGAGGCTTATGATCTTCCAACATATCCTGGGATTGAAGGTATGTTTATGTACGAATATGTTTGTTTATAATGAATTTAGAATAACAAAACTTTCAACTTCCTTCAGCGCAGTGTGACTATATATTCAAACTATTTTTACCCGATTCGTTGAATGAGCTTAAACACCACCCCCTGTTCTGAACTGTGCAACTATATAAATCAGCTCAAGGGAAAATTTACAAGGGGGGTGCTGAATAATTATCGTTATAACTAACTATTACGCAAAAGCAATTGTGATTTGTGTTTAGTGCTGATAAAAATGTCTGACATGGTACGTCTACAGCCTCAAAAATCTAACAAAATAGAATCCGAACTAGAACCACACACCTTTACAAATTTAAGAATTCCAAAGCAACGTTTTTCCATACGCTGCGAGCTAAAGTTTGCGTACATAAGTAATGGCATTTAAATTGTAGCCATAATTTTCTTTTTTTCGTTGCAGATACATCAGACGTTGACAACTATACTAGTTTAGATAGAACCAAAATGTTGAACGAAGCCTATGTATGAATCTTTGAGGAGAAATTCATGTAACCTGGTGAGTTGGAACTATTTTTTGTTGAGCTCGTTTTCAATAAAGAAAATGATTTACTTAAGTTTTCCGTTTTTCACAGTATGAGCAGATTCCAGCCAAAACTAATATCGAAATATTTTCGGAGGAAGATCCTCCCGGTAAGTTGTATTTCATTCTTGAGTTGAATGCTTTCTTCAAGGCAGTTGAGTAATCGGAATCTTGGAATGACCTATTTAGAAAGTTTCAATGTTTTATTAAGATTTCTCCTACATATATTTGCTCTTGTTTAGAGCCGATTTAGAAAGTTTCAATGTTTTATTAAGATTTTTCCTACATATATTTGCTCTTGTTTAGAGCCGGTTTATAAAGTTCCAATGTTTTATTAAGATTTTTCCTACATGTATTTGCTCTTGTTTAGAGCCGGTTTATAATACTTTATACGAATCATCTACGTCCTTTGTCAATGGCGAAAGTACATGTCGTGATGGCGAGGAACATGCACAAAGAACCTATAGTACATTAGAAGAAGAAATAAATTACAAAGGGGAAAAAGACGAAGATGGCGGTGACCACAATCCAGAACGAGTGTATAGTGTCATCGAAGACGACAGTCTTCATTATTTGACGATTTTGCCTGATGAATCTCCGTGATAAACGTTTTTATTTCGTGTAAAGTTTTCATGCAGTAGCACAAAATAATGATTATACAAAAGGGTCAATCAGGGGTGCGAAGCGTTCCACGCGCTCCTCGAGTTTCTCGCGTTACTCGCGCCCGCCATTACTCCAGCTACTCGAGTTGCGGTCTTCTCTCGTTTCCAAGTTTCCAACCGCTAAAATGACATGACTCCTTTTCTGCATGTAGTCTATTGGAAACCGAGAATGTTTAGACGCCATGCGATTGTAACCGTTGGAAATTATTGGGGAGAATTCAATGGATATAAAATGATAGCCAATGTGCGTTTTATGTAAGGTATTATCAAAGGTTCCTTCCGTATACTCCTTATTCTGTAACACTGATATTGTAGGGTCGTTCACGAGTGAAGTACTTCATGTAGCGTGAATTTTTCTTTAGTACGTCTCAAGGTGTATTTTAACCGTTTCTCCACAAAACACAAACTCAGAATTAGCTTGCAAAGCCATGCACGTCTCAAATCAAATGCTTTATTGTCGCAGTTTGTCTTATTGAATAAACATTGAGTATATTACTGTTTGTGTTTGGGCGGAAAATTTCTTCATCTAATTGATTAAAGAGTAAACATTTTGATAGCGTGGCAAGCTGTGGACGTCGTTCATATCTTTCATATGTCCTTAGTGAAATGCAATCAATTGATTTAATGGATCTCAAATAAATTATTGCATAACTTGTCTTGTGACATATTGCTTGACTTTAAGATGTCTTTTGTTTTTATTCGCCAAAATTAACTCGACTGCAGAGTCGGGGATTACCGTAATTAACTTACCTAAACGCAAACTCGAAGTTTTCGCAAAATCGAAGTTTTCTTGAAACTTCAAGTAAAAGAGTATTGAAACAAACTCGAAGTTTTCGCAAAATATTGACCATTGGCCACATTGCTTATTCCTTTAACATCTGTCCTTTTATAGTGAATAATTTGGTCTCAAATTTCAAATGCCGATGGTTTCTTGACATATCTTCTTTCTTCTCGCTGTGTATGTTATATCTATGCCACTTATAATATGATTAGTCACTACAGCTCACTATATAGATCAGTAATTATTCCTACTAAATGCTGATGCAGCAAAAATAACTAAGTCCAATATATGTAAGACGACATTAAAAGAGCAATTACAACTTAAAGGGCATCTTTTGTATTCGCTTATTGACTGCCGGTATGCTAACTGTTAGGCAATACGAATTAAGCTTTGTTCTTTTTGTTTTGAGTCTCATAAACTAAAGTGTTAGGTGAAAGATGATTTTCAAACTGCAGTTGTCAAAAAACGTTCATATCTTGTGGATATATTTGATCGTGATTTATTGTCGTGTAAATTGTTTTCTGGTGAACGTGACGAGGAACAGACAAGATGTATTTTCTTATCCTAGTTTGTCTATAGGCTGTCATAAAATTTGTGAAGAACGAAATTCGAGGTCGACTGTGAAAAATCTTCACATATGTAGATGTAAATGTGAACGAAATCACAGCACATTTGTCATTTCAAAGCTGAAATGCGTTGCGGATTCCATGCTTCGCAATACAGGTAATTATGGTTAATATACAGCAAAGCCTTTTATTGTTTCCTAGTTCAATGGTTGTTTAAATGTACAATTTCCGGCTATTGTTAGTTATTAATTTCAAAAACGAAGTCTTTTGTCCTTCATTAGCTCGGGCTTTTAGCATTCCTAGAAGTTTTTTGTTCATAGATACGTTGTCAGAATACTATCTATGTCTCGGGGTTCTGTCATGGTAATTTACTCTTAGTTTACTTGGATTGTGCGGAATTCGGCCTACAGGCTTTTTTTCTTTTTTTCATGATAGGAGAGTGAAGACTTAAGTGTATTGAAAATATATTAATACATAAGTAAACAAATTTAACGTTGATGTTGCAATGCTGTTTCAATATGATCCACTCTCCTAAATATTGATTATCAATAGATGTGCCCCATATACGCATGTATTGACCATATATTGACTGCAGAATTTGCTGAGGTAGTGCTTTCATTTTATATTTTTTGGCGCAGCATACAGCTGCATATCTTTTTTAAAATTTTAAAGTATGATTGAATGTTTGAGAATGATAGATTAATTTATCCATCGAATGACCTATTTTTGTAAAAGTTATAATGATACCTTAAAACATTTTGTAATATTTTATGGTTTTTTGATAGCATATATTGATGAAAACATCGTGAACTTTTTTTCATGCTAGGACATAATTCTTTTTCACATTGTTTGTAGGACACGGAGATATGTTTTTTCAACTAAGCGAGACAGAATATGGTAATGAACGGTTGAAAGTCATCAGCATTAACCCAGGCAAAACATTGATTCCTTTTAAAGTGAAACTGGAAAGTAAGAAAAAGTGTGTCTTGAACAAAATTGAGACATTAAGTCACCGTTCATTAAAACTTTGGAAATCCGCTAAGAAAGGTTTGAAATGGAAGATAATTGAACTGGATGATGATGACATCGAGGAAACTTATAATTGGTTACCTTTAAAATACGAAGGTTGGATGTTGCTTAGTTTACAGGTGATTAATATTTAAAACAACATCAGAATAGCTTGCAATACAATGCTTGGGCTTACCGTTAAAATGAACCGCGTTATTCAACAATGTTTTCCTAGATATTACGGAGTAAACGTGTTTTGCAATTTTGAAAGTTACTTTACTTTTTCAGAACGCACGAAATAGTGTTAGTATATAAACACTGAAAGTTGGGCTGTTGGAGTATACAAAATCTGTTAATTTTACTCCTGTACTGCAAGCAATTAAATGCAACGCAGAAAACTTCATTCGCCCCTCCACAAATACAAAAACTGACCTTGCTATTGGGATTGCACAGCTGCACCGTTTGCAAAAACTTCGTGTAAACATTTTCATTTCTTTTCTTATTCAGTGGAGAAATAAAAGAAGAAAATACAAAGGACATATTATGCGGTTGAATATCTCGTGTATAAGAGAAAAAATAACACTGTCGGGATTTTTGATTTTCAAAGTGAACGGAACAATTACAGGTAATGTTTTATTTGATTTGATATACGTAGATAGCATTACTGAATTATTGATGCTAGCAGATTCATTTGCCTGTCGCCATTACCAAGAACTTGGACAGTTGGTCAAGTGAACTGCTTATGACGATTTCCTAATTATTAACTCCCAAAATGGTGCAAGTACATCCACAGTAGGCTGTTGCCAAGAATGTTGATCGTTTTTCTAAAAGTTTCTGATAAAGACAAGCTTGTTACTCCCTAAGCAATGCGAGGGGATCCATTCCTTTAGTATGAACTCCATTAGTTGATCTAGTGGACTGCATAAGTTTCCAGTCATAAATACTGTTAAGATGTTGTATGTATTTTTAACTTGTTTTAAAAAATGCATTTTCAAACTCGTACCTCGATGACCGTTGTCGGCTTGGCGTACTGTCATCCGCAGGTTGCGTAAATGCAAAGTAGTCAGTACACAACCATAGACATTACAACTTGAACTCAACAAAAAAGTTTCTTAAAACCACGGACAACAAGCGGTTGTTTAAACTTTGGCTTGTTATAGGTTATTTTAAAAAAAAATTTATTGCCATGATAAGTCGAACGATGTTTGTTTGATAAATGATGAGAAATGAAAATGAAACATTTTATGATTGATTCAAAGTCGAGTAAAAAGCTCGTCCTTAGATCTATGTTTTTGGGGAGTTTTTTTCACATTTTATGCGTCCAACTGTAAATATCGTTATGTAATTCATTTATTGTGGACTTTTTTCTTCTGATAATTTTTCGATAATTTCAGTTTCAGTAAACGAAACGTTGTCTTTGGCTTTATCGCACTCCATCGACCCTTCCAATACAAGCTTGGTTTCGTCCATGTCAGTATTTTCTTCAAAACCTGAAGATTCCCTCCAGTTTTTGCCTTCATCGTTGATACCATCGTCATCCTCCATGATACCATTATCATCCCAAATATCACCACTGGCACCTTCAATGAATATTTTGCCGCCTCTAGTAACCACGCCGTTGTCACGTCATAATGTGACGTCATCAAAATTGATGACATCACACCCGTTACAACATCGAAATGCTACGATGAACTCGTCATCATCAGTCGTTGTTTTTAGTCGATAATGTATGGCATTCAATTTCATATAGTTGTGTTAATAATAACAACATTGAGTATATTACTGTTTGTGTTTGGGCGGAAAATTTCCTCATCTAATTGATAATAGAGTAAACATTTTGATAGCGTGGCAAGCTGTGGACGTCGTTCATATCTTGTGACTTTCATATGTCCCTTAGTGAAATGCAATCAATTGATTTAATGGATCTCAAATAAATTATTGCATAACTTGTCTTGTGACATATTGATTGACTTTAAGATGTCTTTTGTTTTTATTCGCAAAAAATTAACTCGACAGCAGAGTCGGGGGTTACCGCAATTAACTTGCCTAAACGCAAACTCGAAGTTTTCGCAAAATATTGACCATTGGCCACATTGCCGTAGACACGTCATACGTCTCCGTCGGCTACAACAACGTCACCTACGCGCAATCCTCCGCATTTCCTATCAACAAAGAGTAACGAATGACGAAGTTCTGACGAGAGCCAACTCCATGGACATTGAGATTACCTTCGCCAAAATGCAGCTAAGGTGGCCTGGTCATGTTGCTCGCATGGCAAACAATCCATTACCTAAACAGCTACTCTTTGGAGAGATCGCTGAAGGAAAGGGACGTACTGGTCGTCCGCTCCTGCGTTGGAAAGACTCTCTCAAATACACTTTGAAAACATGTCAAATTTCAATAGATAATTGGCAGCTCGAAGCGACGGATCGATGCGACTGGAGAGACAAGTCACGTAACGGTCTGAACAAGATGGGTGATTTGAGACGGCGGAGCAACGCTGTTAAACGATCAAGACGTCACGCTGCCAGGAACGCCTCCACTGTCGCAGACTCGGGAGAATTTCGTTGCCAACACTGCAACAGGACCTGCGCAAGCCGCATTGGCATGTAAAGTCACGAGCGCGCTTGTGGAAGTCAGTGAACTAGATGGACAGTTGCAGGCAGCCATCGTCGATTCGACGGGCAGTATCTCTTTTATAGTGAATAATTTGGTCTCAAATTTGAAATGCCGATGGTTTCTTGACAGATCTTCTTCCTTCTCGCTGCGTATATTATATGTATGCCACTGAAAAATATGATTAGTCACTACAGCTCACTATATAGATCAGTAATTATTCCTACTAAATGCTGATGCAGCAAAAATAACTAAGTCCAATATATGTAAGACGACATTGAAAGAGCAATTACAACTTAAAGGGCATCTTTAGTATTCGCTTATTGACTGGCGGTATGCTTACTGTTAGGCAATACGAATTAAGCTTTGTTCTTTTTGTTTTGAGTCTCATAAACTAAAGTGTTCGGTGAAAGATGATTTTCAAACTGCCGTTGTCAATAAACGTTCATATCTTGTGGATATATTTGATCGTGATTTATTGTCGTGTGAATTGTTTTCTGGTGAACGTGACGAGGAACAGACAAGATGTATTTTCTTATCCTAGTTTGTCTATAGGCTGTCATAAAATCTGTGAAGAACGAAATTCGAGGTCGACTGTGAAAAATCTTCACATATGTAGATGTAAATGTGAACAAAATCACAGCACATTTGTCATTTCAAAGCTGAAATGCGTTGCGGATTCCATGCTTCGCAATACAGGTAATTATGGTTAATATACAGCAAAGCCTTTTATTGTTTCCTAGTTCAATGGTTGTTTAAATGTACAATTTCCGGCTATTGTTAGTTATTAATTTCAAAAACGAAGTCTTTTGTCCCCCATTAGCTCGGGCTTTTAGCATTCCTAGAAGTTTTTTGATGGTAGATACGTTGTCAGAATACTATCTATGTCTCGGGGTTCTGTCATGGTAATTTACTCTTAGTTTACTTGGATTGTGCGGAGTTCGGCCTACGGGCTTTTTTTCCTTTTTTTCATCATAGGAGAGTGAAGACTTAAGTGTATTAAAAAATATTCTGCTTGTTTATTATTGAAAGCTTTTGTAGTTTCAACATTCATTTTGTTTTGGATACATAAGTAAACAAATTTAACGTTGGTGTTGCAATGCTATTTCAATATGATTCACTCTCCTAAATATTGATTATCAATAGATGTGCCCCATATACGCATGTATTGACCATATATTGACTGCAGTATTTGCTGAGGTAGTGCTTTCGTTTTATATTTTTTGGCGCAGCATACAGCTGCATATCTTTTTTAAAATTTTGAAGTGTGATTGAATGTTTGAGAACGATAGATTAATTTATCCATCGAATGACCTATTTTTGTAAAAGTTATAATGATACCTTGAAACATTTTGTAATATTTTATGGTTTTTTTTTGATAGCATATATTGATGAAAACATCGTGAACTTTTTTTCATGCTAGGACATAATTCTTTTTCACATTGTTTGTAGGACACGGAGACATGTTTTTTCAACTAAGCGAGACAGAGTATGGTAATGAACGGTTGAAAGTCATCAGCATTAACCCAGGCAAAACATTCATTCCTTTTAACGTGAAACTGGAAAGTAAGAAAAAGTGTGTCTTGAACAAAATTGAGACATTAAGTCACCGTTCATTAAAACTTTGGAAATCCGCTAAGAAAGGTTTGAAATGGAAGATAATTGAACTGGATGATGATGACATCGAGCAAACTTATACATGGTTACCTTTAAAATACGAAGGTTGGATGTTGCTTAGTTTACAGGTGATTAATATTTAAAACAACATCAGAATAGCTTGCAATACAATGCTTGGGCTTACCGTTAAAATGAACCGCGTTATTCAACAGTGTTTTCCTAGATATTACGGAGTAAACGTGTTTTGCAATTTTGAAAGTTACTTTACTTTTTCAGAACGCACGAAATAGTGTTAGTGTATAAACACTGAAAGTTGGGCTGTTGGAGTATACAAAATCTGTTAATTTTACTCCTGTAGTGCAAGCAATTAAATGCAATGCAGAAAACTTCATTCGCCCCTCCACAAATACGAAAACTGACCTTGCTCTTGGGATTGCACAGCTGCACCGTTTGCAAAAACTTGGTGTAAATATTTTCGTTTCTTTTCTTATTAAGTGGAGAAATAAAAGAAGAAAATACAAAGGACATATTATGCGGTTGAATATCTCGTGTAAAAGTAAAAAAATAACACTGTCGGGATTTTTGATTTTCAAAGTGAACGGAACAATTACAGGTAATGTTTTATTTGATTTGATATACGTAGATAGCATTACTGAATTATTGGTGCTAGCAGATTCATTTGCCTGTCGCCATTACCATGAACTTGGACAGTTGGTCAAGTGAACTGCTTATGACGAATTCCTAATTATTAACTCCCAAAATGGTGCAAGTACATCCACAGTAGGTTGTTGCCAAGAATGTTTTTCTAAACGTTTCTGATAAAGACAAGCTTGTTACTCCCTAAGCAATGCGAGGGGATCCAGTCCTTTAGTATGAACTCCATTAGTTGATCTAGTGGACTGCATAAGTTTCCAGTCATAAATATTGTTAAGATGTTGTATATATTTTTAACTTGTTTTAAAAAATGCATTTTCAAACTCGTACCTCGATGACCGTTGTCGGCTTGGCGTACTGTCATCCGCAGGTTGCGTAAAGGCAAAGTAGTCAGTACACAACCATAGACATTACAACTTGAACTCAAAAAAAAGTTTCTTAAAACCACGGACAACAAGCGGTTGTTTAAACTTTGGCTTGTTATAGGTTATTTTAAAAAAGAAAATTTATTGCCATGATAAGTCAAACGATGTTTGTTTGATGAATGATGAGAAATGAAAATGAAACATTTTATGATTGATTCAAAGTACGAGTCAAAAGCTCGTCCTTAGATCTATGTTTTTTGTTTGTTTTTTTTCCACATTTTATGCATCCAACTGTAAATATTGTTAAGTAATTCATTTATTATGGACTTTTTTCTTCTGATAATTTTTCGATAATTTCAGTTTCAGTAAACGAAACGTTGTCTTTGGCTTTATCGCACTCCATCAACCCTTCCAATACAAGCTTGGTTTCGTCCATGTCAGTATTTTCTTCCAAACCTGAAGATCCCCTCCAGTTTTCGCCTTCATCGTTGATACCATCGTCATCCTCCATGATACCATTATCATCCCAAATACCACCACTGGCACCTTCAATGAATATTTTGCCGCCTCTAGTAACCACGCCGTTGTCACGTCATAATGTGACGTCATCAAAATTGATGACATCACACCCGTTACAACATCGAAATGCTACGATGACTAATTTATTGATGAACTCGTCATCATCAGTCGTTGTTTTTAGTGCAGCCAAGAACTCATCTTACTCCATCAGTAATGCAGTCATAGGCATGATTGTTGTTGCTTGCATAATTGCTCTGGCTGTTATCCTTTTCCTTTTGTATCTCCTTAAAAGATGGAAGTTGACTTTTCTAAGGTAAGTAAATTTCTGCTATATTTTTAAGAGAGACCATTTTTTGCACAAATCTTCAATTCTTGTTTACTTTTGACTAAAAGTTTCCTTGTTTTACAGACGTACACGCTCGGTTCTCGGTAAGTTGCGGTTTCATTTGAACACGTTGTGCTACAAAGTTTATTTCAATTGAATTAAATGCTGTTTTTTTTCCAACAGGACGGATAAATCCAAGTTATCCAAGTTTATCTAGCGTGGTAAGCATTCGAATGATCGTCCAATTTTTTGATTTCTTTTCACAAAAAAAAAGTCAACCATTAAAACTATGATCAAAATTGACAGAATTTTGCTACACTTTGACCTATCCAGAAGTTTAAAACAACACGATTCTTTTATTTGTCTGCTTTTAATCATGAATGTCATGTCAAATTGAAATAGTTTAAACTGCAATCTTTTTTTCGTATAGCATATTCCTGCATTAAACAATCCTCTGCACGATGATGTATATGAAAATCCTGATGTTTTAGATGACGAAAAACGTCGTTGTAAAGCGACTACTTTTGGTGGGTGAGCGATCTTTCTAGCGATCGTTTTTATCAAAAATTTAATTTCTTTGTTGCACTAAAGACACTGGTAGACCTTTTTGTGTTTTCCTTTTTACTAAGGATCTTCAACTTTTCGTCAATAATTCTCTCTCTTTTAATAGTGTATCTTTACTTGGTTGCTCAAAAGAATCTTTGATACTGTTTTGTCTTTCGGTGACAACTATATTTGATCAATTAATTGCAGTGTAAAAGATAAAGCAACTGCTTTTAATAAATCTGATTCTTTAATTATAAATCAACACGTCAACCTGTGAAAAATCCTCCTGCACACGCTACAAAAGTCTTTTTTTCAACCTTATACAGGAAGCAAGAATCCTAACAACGCATACTATACTTGTTCTTGTGAAAGACAAATCAGTTTTGGTTAAATATTTTACCAAGAACAATGTGTTAACCAATTGCATGCATATATATATAAGTTTGAAAATTTGTAATCCAGGCATTTACTGCATAAAAGATAAAAGTTTCTCCGGATTTTAAATGACTTTTTTATTGAGCTTTCGACTCGTTGCTTCGAACCTTCATCAGAATGAGGAGCCTTCACAATACACCAAAACCCATGGCAACGCATTTCATCCCCTCCAACCACATTAATCTACCCGCTAATCCAATTAGACGCTCTAAGCGTCTACAAGCTAAAAGCACGTGTAAATAAATAATATCCTCATTCTGATGAAGGCTCGAAGCAACGAGTCGAAAGCTCAATAAAAAAGTCATTTAAAATCCGGAGAAACTTTTATCTTTTATATACATATACATATATATGGGAGACTTTGAGATCATTAATGGACAACTAAGCGTAATCGAGGCTTAACCCCGAATTTATTTGATACTTAGATTCCGCTGCCTACGGTGCGTATTTAATGGTGGATAATCCATCGGATCAAGTGAATAAATCTCGGGAGGTAAAGAGTTTTTACGATAATATACCAAGTGGATTTGAAGACACGTATAAAGCGCTAGATCCAGCGAAGAGAGAACCTTCTGCAAAAGACCAGAGCTTTTTAAAGAGGGATAACGAGGTATTTAAAGAGGGATAACAAGGTATTTTAATAACGGCATCAAATTGCATGAAGTCAATTGACCGTTTGAGTGAGCACAGCTTTACAACATGAAGTAGCGGAGTATATATATAATGACGTAAGCACATGCACCCGATGGATCCGAACGTTGTAACCAATAACTTTTTTTGCTATCAATAAATTATTGGAATTGTTAATAGACAGCTAAGGTGTTGGGGATTGGGGGGTTGGGTCGAGTACATTATGTATTCAAAAAGCAACAATCTTTAACTATTGGGAATTATCAAGCATTGTGTACAATAACTTTATTGGTTTACAACATTTGGATCGGCTGTAAGTACAGTATAAGGAATAATCATTGGATCCACTTTACTTGCTGGCTGCAGTTTGCCTTTTAAGCGTCTCCAATGGTAGTAAAATACAATATAAAGTAAAAGGTTCGAACTCGGGAGTATCGTTACATGTTTATCGTCCAGGTTGGTAGAGTACCGGGAAGGACTGTTTTTGTTGATGTTGACTGACGTTTTAACAAACGTCATCTTCTACTCTGAAGATGACTACCGCTGAGGTTGTCGAAACGTCAGTCAACATCAACAACAACAGTCCTTCTCAGGACTCTACTAACCTGGACGATCTACATCTACAAACATGTAAAGATGCAATTTACTCTATAATTTTAATGGAGTTACTCAACTGTTTGTTTTCTTTACTGTGGTGTAAGCCCAGATGTCCAAACCTTTCAACGACATACTTTATCATTTGCATTTCATTTCTGCTCATACATATTTATCTTTATTATAGTATTCGTTGGTTTCCGATAGCATCTCAGGTTATCCTGCTCAAGGTAAGAAATATTGCTTTCTTTTAGTTACGAGCTTATCGTCTTGCTTGCCTAATGAAAGTAATTTCAGTTGAGTTTCAATGCAGATAAATTAGTTTAATTTGCAAGAACGCATCAAGCAAGTTTGTTAACTGATTTAGAGCCACTCTATGATGAGGTGAATATGCAACATAGTGACTTGAATGTTGCTCCCACGCCCCCTCCTCTCACATTCAGAAAGACGTCCTCTGTCACATCACAGCCATTATACAATGGACTAGAGAACAGTCAAGCAGTCAAGAAGAGTGGCGACGATGTCCAACCATCTTTTCCTGAAACTGAGCCTATCTACAATATAGTTGATAACAACAAGTTGTTGCAAAATGACGAAACTGAATCCCCAATTGCTTCGAGAAAAGCTTCCAAAGGTTCTGCTGCAGAACTAGGCAACAATGATCTTGGAAACGACAACGTGGTCTCTATAGAAAATGAAGGTGTGATGGTTTCTTTACCAAGTCTTGGCGAGCTCAAGAAGCGTGATATGAAAAATGAGTCATTGGAAAAAATTGAAAAAAATGTAAAAATCGATGAAAATAATTCCCTGTCCCGTGACACGCCGATGACTTTCAGTCAGAACGCTGAGCTAACTCCCGAAGGATTGGAAACAGCTGATGAAGTAAGAATACATTTTGAAAAAAACGAGGATGATGATAACATATCCCAAACTCTCCCTAAAGCCACTGATGATGACAACATACCCCACGCTGTCCCTAAAGCTACTGATGATGATAACACATCTCACACTGTCCCTAAAGCTACTGGTGACGATGATAACTTATCCCACGCTGTCCCTAAAGCTACTGGTGACGATGATAACATATCCCACACTGTCCCTAAAGCTACTGGTGACGATGATAACTTATCCTACACTGTTCCTAAAGCTACTGATGACGATGATAACATATCCCACACTGTCCCTAAAGCTACCGGTGACGATGATAACATATCCCACACTGTCCCTAAAGCTACTGGTGACGATGATAACTTATCCCACACTGTCCCTAAAGCTACTGATGACGATGAGAACATAACCCACATTGTCCCTAAAGCTACTGCTGACGATGATAACATATCCTACACTGTCCCTAAAGCTACCGGTGACGATGATAACATATCCCACACTGTCCCTAAAGCTACTGGTGACGATGATAACTTATCCTACACTGTTCCTAAAGCTACTGGTGACGATGATAACATATCCCACACTGTCCCTAAAGCTACTGGTGACGATGATAACTTATCCTACACTGTCCCTAAAGCTACTGGTGACGATGAGAACATAACCCACATTGTCCCTAAAGCTACTGGTGACGATGATAACATATCCTACACTGTTCCTAAAGCTACTGGTGACGATGATAACTTATCCTACACTGTCCCTAAAGCTACTGGTGACGATGATAACATATCCCACACTATCCCTAAAGCTACCGGTGACGATGATAACATATCCCACACTGTCCCTAAAGCTACTGGTGACGATGATAACTTATCCTACACTGTTCCTAAAGCTACTGGTGACGATGATAACTTATCCTACACTGTCCCTAAAGCTACTGGTGACGATGATAACATATCCCACACTATCCCTAAAGCTACCGGTGACGATGATAACATATCCCACACTATCCCTAAAGCTACCGGTGACGATGATAACATATCCTACACTGTTCCTAAAGCTACTGGTGACGATAACATATCCCACACTATCCCTAAAGCTACTGGTGACGATGATAACATATCCTACACTGTCCCTAAAGCTACTGGTGACGATGATAACATATCCCACACTGTCCCTAAAGCTACCGGTGACAATGATAACATATCCCACACTGCCATCATCATCATTTACAAACAAATATCCTCCACAGTCCCTAAAGCTACTGGTGACGATGATAACTTATCCTACTCTGTTCCTAAAGCTACTGGTGATGATAACATATCCCACACTGTCCCTAAAGCTACCGGTGACGATGATAACATAACCCACGCTGTCCCTAAAGCTACCGGTGACGATGATAACATATCCCACACTGTCCCTAAAGCTACTGGTGAGGATGATAACATATCTCACACTGTTCCTAAAGCTACTGATTACGACAACATACCCCTTACAGTCCCTAAAGCTACTGATGATGATGATGACTTATCCTCCGTTGTCCCCAAAGCCACTGTTGTAAACAATGATACTGATGTTGATTCCTATTCGAAGAAACCTTAACTCGTCCCGAATCTGCATCTTCTACTGATGATTTTGCTGATAGAATATTGAAATCTAATGATCACCATATCTTTGACGATTTCTTGGAAAATGAAGAGTCGTGCAGAGAAAATACAGATGATGGAGAAAATTGATGGAGAAAATAGACGAGGAAGTCAAATTGCTGAACACAGCGAATGACGTTATCACAGAATCTCGTGAATTGGAAGAAGAATCGATGAATGAATCGGAGTGTTCTACGCTCCAAAATATTTGATTTAAAATCTGTAGTATGATCTGGTCGTTCATTCATATATAAATAGAAAATTAAATACAAATTTTTCATCAAATGGAAACCACATGCTTCTTTACACAATACTTTTATAAATAATCGAAGTTATTTCGTGACCCTGAAATTCTAAGAATATTCAAAGTTTTTATAACCCTTGAATTTTTAAATTTTTCTTAAATTATCAATGAGTTTTTGATGTCCTTTCGTTTTGCGTAACAAAGTCACCACTTACACTAACTTGCGCGTCGCATTTCGTATCATCTTCCAACTGCTTGCACAATTCTTCTGTGATACAAACGACGTACATTCCACAGTCGTATGCTGTTAAAGATATTATTATCGAGGTCGTTAACATGTCGTTCCTTTCATTTATTTAATTAATGACATCCACGCACGAAGCGTTTACACAAGCAAGGAAGATTAATTTCACAAATCAACCTTTGTTATTCATTCTTGGTCTTAGTCAAATACCGAAGCAACTAAAGCTACCAAAATCAAGGGCTGACCATGGGAAGCGACAAAGGACAACAAATTATGGGATATAACAAGTATTTCGAAGAAACCAATACTTTGTTTTCAGTTGATGATATCGTCATTGCAGCGAATTGATTACAAATTTTTAATCGTTTTCCAAGCGTGTATAAGCTGCAGAAAAGTACTATTTCGATTATGAAAGTTTTCCTATCGCATTAACGTATTGCTTTCTCCTTACTGTTTAGTTGTTGCGGACAGCGTTCGTCAGTAAAATCAATTTTCGTTTTGGCTAGAAAACAAACATTTGAGAAAAATAGCGTTACTTGTGTTCGAATGTTTTTATCTGAACAAGATCATGCAAAGAAGTCAGGATGATACCTTTAGAAAAGGTTCAAGAGCGCGGCTAATCTGACGAGCGTCATCGAGATTGCTTGTTGCTAAGGAGTCGTAATGTTTGAAAGCGTTTTTATCTGCATCATAAACCAACAGACTCCTGTTTAAGATAAGAAATGTTTCTCACGGTTACGATTGATTATAAACTTTGAGCGAAAAAACTTAGACAAACCAATGATCGCCTCCAATGGCATCAGGAACGGTATTACTATTCACCGGAAGAAATATTATCTTCTTTTTGTCGAGGCTTAATGGCTCAAGGAAAGATGCCAATCCTCCTTCTACAGTAATAGGAAGAATTTACTATGAGGTGGTGTGGAGGAAATGAATAAGTCAAGTATCCTGTATTCACTCGTCAAAATGTCTTTGATTTTACCTTACCTTCGCATAATTTAATATACTGAGCTACGTCTGGATTAATAAAAATAGCATTCTCAAGTTTTTCGAACTGGACATACTCGAAATATCTGCGAAACAAAAGAGAGTTTGAAGACGCTGACTGACAAAGTCGCAAATGTATGGATGATAAACAAATTGGATCATATTGTATGGATGTTCTTTTATATCATTTGAAAGCAGCGTGAATCTATGGGTTGTAAACAGCCTCCTTACTCAAACATGAAGCCTATGATTTTATCATTTAACCATTGCCTTTCATCGAGCAACTTAACGTCAGATCTTCGTAACAAACTATCGCGAAAATTTAAAACAATTTCGTCGGCCATATTGAAACGCTAGACCGGGATATTTGTTATGACGATACCGCTGACTTTAAGCACCGCTTTTCTCTACGTTGTAAATAAAAATTATACCAAACGCGTCTTTGAATGTGGTGAAGAATTTCGGTCAAATATCTGTAGTAAATTGTTTACTGACTAACAATTGTCGTTTGTAAAAAGTTTCTTGTTGTAACCTCTTCTCTATAGAATGGAATTGTTACACACTTATTGGCTAATTCTCAAATTATTCCTGAAAATGGTCAAACATTTTTAAATTTTCCAGACGAGACAAACGGCGTCTGCCGAGAGCTTCGCGGTGCGTGACGAGGAACTCCGCTCACACATCGTAACATCTTCGGAGTTCGTTCAAAGCAAAGCCGAATTTGAGATGAAGGGGTAGAACTATGGACAAAAGTTACTGTCAGTTTATAAACTCTGGTGGTTCATGGCTTTCGTTTCCTGAACCAGAGGAAGACAGTGAATCTGAAGGTATTTTTAATGCAGAATTTTCATGTCATCCCTTTGTCCGTATCAAAGTTCATTTCGTTTTTTGACACTTACTGTTATTTTTAGGGGAGCATAACAATGACTTAGACTCGCGACAGGCAACTTTGTTGCCAAAAAATGGTAAATATGATGAAATTAACTTCCTTGATATAAAATTCCATCTATGCATCGTAAATTGTGTTGGCGTTTGGCTATTTGGTGTAAGGTCTTGAAAACTCCAATTGAATAGTAAATTGCTGTGTTGGTTGTTAATTGTAATTCTTAGCGTATTCTTATTTAGAATGTCAACCATTCCTTTTACTTTAAAAGCTTGCAAGGCTATCATAATTTCATATATTTTATTCACATATGTTAAACCTTGTCATAATGAGCTCTACATCAATATTTGCACCATGTCAGATAATGACAGTCAAAGTGTTATGTGTTTATATATCACCAAGATGGTTATCAAGTGATGGTAATTAGATATTTATGCAGAGCTCAGAGATTGTACTTGTGTTTTAGAAATGCATCTTTACGGTCAGTGTCCAGCAAACGATAGTTGTGGATTGGTCACTTGTGATGACTGTGGAAAGATCATCAAAATGCCTCTTTTTAAATGGCATCGTGGTAAGCAAAGTTTGATTTTCTCTTAACATCAGACAGCTCAAATTTACTGTAATTTGTTCTAGTGTGATACTTGGCGATGTTATTTTTTACCATGTGCAAATAATTCTTGATAGATTTTGAATGCTTTTAACAGATGGAGAATCAATGTTACAATTATCTTTGTAGAACTTTGCCATGAACATCTTCTCACCTCTAACTCGGAGAAAACATTCCTGGATATAAAACGTAAAAACATTTGAAAGTTTATCAACGAAGGTTGTTATCAAAAATATGAAAATGTGAACGCTGATGCAATGGATGTTGACACAGTGGAAGTGAAAATTGAGGAAATTCCGCTGATTATACCTAAAGACATTTCAAATGCGGAACAAACAACCGAAATTCACTCACTAAATCATGTTGTGAAGAAAATTACATCAACGAAAAAAGAGGTTAAGGACTCAACGAAGAAGTTTGTTTTAACCAAAGGTAAATTATTTTCGTCTTGTGATGGATTTTGGTCATTCAATATTTAGATGGCATTTGTAGAAATTTAGTCATGATAATATTGTGTATGATCTCTTCTTATGTCCTCATGTAAGATTGAGAAAATTGCTGGTTTACAATTGTATTACAATAATTAATTTTTGTATTTTGTTAACGCTCACTTATCTCCGAGTTATTTCATCAAAAGAGATGTTAGTACTAAAGCTGATATAAAACCGTTCTTCAAAATGAAAACGCAGTTCTAAACCATGATTGTTATGTGGAAAATTTTTTTGATTTCAAATGTTATTATGATAGATCGAGAATATGATCCCAACAGACATTGCGGTGTTTGGTTAGAGGATCAACAGAAAAACTGTACAAGGTCTTTAACATGCAAGGTAGGTAATGTTTAAGTGTTTGTGTAAGTGTTTTTGCTGAATTAGCGAGCAGTAAACATTTACTTTTTGTGTATGTGCGTGGAAGATGTGCTGCCATTTAGTTTATAAACAATAGAAATTTGTGAGCTTCAGCACTATTTATGAGAAATAAGTAATTGCTAGTATATCTTAACAGACTCATGCTTTATCATTACGGAGAGCGGTTCCTGGTCAGATTAAGAAATTCGATGTTTTATTGCTGGAACATGAGAGAGTGAATATCAAAAAGAACAACAGTTGTTAAATAAAACTAAAACTCTTCTGTCATGTCAAGTTCATCTGGAAACAGGTATGTCTTTTTCACACTTCCTAAAATTTTGGAACTATTTAGAAGAATTAATGAATTGTAAAGTAAGCGAACTATGAAGTAGTTGAACTATAAAGTGGTTGAACTATAGAGTAGTTGAACTATGGAGTGGTTGAACTATGGAGTAGTTGAACTATAGAGTAGTTGAACTATAGAGTAGTTGAACTATGGAGTGGTTGAACTATAGAGTGGTTGAACTATGGAGTAGTTGAACTATGGAGTGGTTGAACTATAGAGTAGTTGAACTATGGAGTAGTTGAACTATGGAGTAGTTGAACTATGGAGTAGTTGAACTATAAAGTGGTTGAACTATAGAGTAGTTGAACTATGGAGTGGTTGAACTATGGAGTAGTTGAACTATAAAGTGGTTGAACTATAGAGTAGTTGAACTATGGAGTGGTTGAACTATGGAGTGGTTGAACTATAGAGTAGTTGAACTATAGAGTGGTTGAACTATGGAGTGGTTGAACTATAGAGTAGTTGAACTATAGAGTAGTTGAACTATGGAGTAGTTGAACTTTAGAGTAGTTGAACTATGGAGTAGTTGAACTATGGAGTAGTTGAACTTTAGAGTAGTTGAACTATGGAGTGGTTGAACTATGGAGTGGTTGAACTATGGAGTGGTTGAACTATGGAGTAGTTGAACTATGGAGTGGTTGAACTATGGAGTAGTTGAACTATGGAGTGGTTGAACTATGGAGTGGTTGCACTATAGAGTGGTTGAACTATGGAGCAGTTGAACTATAGAGTAGTTGAACTATGGAGTGGTTGAACTATAAAGTAGTTGAACTATAGAGTAGTTGAACTATGGAGTAGTTGAACTATGGAGTGGTTGAACTATAGAGTGGTTGAACTATGGAGTGGTTGAACTATGGAGTAGTTGAACTATGGAGTGGTTGAACTATGGAGTAGTTGAACTATAGAGTAGTTGAACTATGGAGTTGTTGAACTATGGAGTGGTTGAACTTTAGAGTAGTTGAACTATAGAGTAGTTGAACTATGGAGTGGTTGAACTATAAAGTAGTTGAACTATGGAGTAGTTGAACTATGGAGTGGTTGAACTATGGAGTGGTTGAACTATAGAGTAGTTGAACTATGGAGTGGTTGAACTTTAGAGTAGTTGAACTATGAAGTGGTTGAACTATAGAGTAGTTGAACTATGGAGTAGTTGAACTATGGAGTAGTTGAACTATAGAGTAGTTGAACTATGGAGTGGTTGAACTATAGAGTAGTTGAACTATGGAGTAGTTGAACTATAGAGTAGTTGAACTATAGAGTAGTTGAACTATGGAGTAGTTGAACAATGGAGTGGTTGAACTATAAAGTAGTTGAACTATAGAGTGGTTGAACTATGGAGTGGTTGAACTATGGAGTGGTTGAACTATAAAGTAGTTGAACTATAGAGTAGTTGAACTATAGAGTAGTTGAACTATGGAGTGGTTGAACTATAAGTAGTTGAACTATGGAGTAGTTGAACTATGGAGTGGTTGAACTATGGAGTGGTTGAACTATAGAGTAGTTGAACTATGGAGTGGTTGAACTATAGAGTAGTTGAACTATAGAGTAGTTGAACTATGGAGTAGTTGAACTATGGAGTGGTTGAACTATAAAGTAGTTGAACTATAGAGTAGTTGAACTATGGAGTAGTTGAACTATGGAGTAGTTGAACTTTAGAGTAGTTGAACTTTAGAGTAGTTGAACTATGGAGTGGTTGAACTTTAGAGTAGTTGAACTATGGAGTGGTTGAACTTTAGAGTAGTTGAACTATGGAGTAGTTGAACTATAGAGTAGTTGAACTATGGAGTGGTTGAACTATGGAGTGGTTGAACTTTAGAGTAGTTGAACTATAGAGTAGTTGAACTATGGAGTGGTTGAACTATAGAGTAGTTGAACTATAGAGTAGTTGAACTATGGAGTGGTTGAACTTTAGAGTAGTTGAACTATGGAGTAGTTGAACTATAGAGTGGTTGAACTATAGAGTGGTTGAACTATAGAGTGGTTGAACTATGGAGTGGTTGAACTATGGAGTAGTGGAGTTTGCAGTATTGAAAGTTATTGATCAATGAATTTTGAGGAAATGGAAGTATGGGGAAATAGTATGGAGAAGAAATGAGGATTAATGTGTTATATCTCTTCAATTTTGCAGAAAGAATATTTCAAATCAAAGTTTTGGTAGTGCAGGTTTTGACATTATTCTTTTGGTTCTATTCATTTATCACACATTATTTTTTATACTAATACATAGGCATTAATGTATTTTTTTTGTATGGATATAGGTGGTCAATTAAGTAAGGGCGCTTCTTCAAGTTTATCTTACAAGTCTCAACATTCAAGTTCTGATGCAGATCAATCTGATTTACAGTATCTAAATGCTCATCCTAAACCATTAGCTGTAAGTACTGATATACTTAGTTCATAATTTTTTATCGCCATATCTTCTTATTCCCCATTCTTTTCTCTTTTATTCATTTTGCATATCCCAGCATATCCTTTCATACCTTATACCGCGTTACATCCCGATTTATCCATTTATACCCCATTTTCCTTGTACCTCCTCTTGTTGCTCTTTCAACTAGCGTTTACTTGAAGTATCGTACTTTTCACGTTTTTTATGCTTGGAGTCAATTTTTTGTGCAATAATTTCTTTAGTGCTGCAACTTTGGAGCGCGAAGAGCTGGTCCGGGACATTTTGTTTTTAATCGAAAGTCTGATCATTTGAGGACTGCAGTGTTATCTATGGTTGAACAATTAATTCATCCTTCTCAGTCAAGGTAATGTAAAGTTTTCAAACTAATTTCCCGCCAGTTTCTAACACCGCTGTGTAAAATATGTCAAACCGTTGACTTCGGTTGCTGTTAAGTTGTTTTACTGGCTGTGAGTTGCGGCGTTTGTGTTTATAATCATGTATAAGTTAAACTTTTTTAACGAATTTAACTCTTTATAATTTACAGGCGAACGGTTGCCAAACATTCCGTTTACAGAAGATATAATACAAAGACTGCTGGACAGTCTTCAAATCAAGGTACCAAATAATTTTTAACGAGAGAAGAACAGGTGTCAAAATCTTGTTTTGACTTAAAATGTCAAGAAAGTGATTATTACATTTTGAGGAAGAGAAATACATTTATTGTACCTTAGATTTTTACTATAGTCCTTTTGGATTAGATGATGAAACAATATCATGGTTTGTTCATGCTTCTGATTATTTTTCTAAGGTTCAATTAGATTGACGGACTCATTTATGCGAAGCCGTGGATCGCCTTTTAGTCAAGCTCATGGTGGCAGTACGGTGTTTCGAAATTCCAATAAATTAAAGGCATCTAGGACGAATAGTACGGAGCTGATCTCGCACTCCAATAAGATTTCTAGATTAAATCACGTGACACCGACAACCTCTCACGTGACGAACACCACGTCCCGCGTTGGGCTGCAATCATCATCTAAAACTTTATCAAATGTTAAAAAAAATACGGTAACGCAATCACACAACACGAACACGTCTCAAATCGTTCAAACATCGTCTTTGAATGCTTCTGGTGTCATCAACACTACGGTACTAGCATCAAGCTCAACATTATGTCCCGGTGTCAACACCACAGGACCGGGATCGAATTCAACGCTGTGTTCCGCAGCCAACACCACTGGACTGGGTACAAGTCCAACGCTGTGTTCCGGGGTGAACACCACAGGACTGGGATCGAGTTCAACCTTTGGTGGCGGAATCAACAATGTAGAAATGGGATCAAATCTATTAATTGGGAATGACGTCATCAATAATGATCCAATTGCAGTCTCCGTTGCTTTTAATGGACAAATAGGAGTTGAGAACGTGCCAAGCATTCACAGAGGCTCTAGTAAGAGTTGTTCTCCCGTGCCTTCGCCCCTTGGCTCTTGCGTCATTCCTACGTCACCATCGCCACCTGCTTCCGGTGTGTATAAAAATAGCAAGCAGGTGAGTTAACGTTTACATTTGTGTTAATTTAATGATGAATTACGGCGTAAATGAAATTTTTCATTCATCACTATTGCTTGTTTTTGCAGGCTCTCACTCAAACAGATGCGTCATTAGGTAATTATAAAAGTTTCAAATTTTTATCACCTTGCACACAGAGCTCTCGTTCATGTCACCACTCTGTGCCCATTTTGTATAGTTTTTTTTTGTTATTGTTGTTAATTTTGTGTGGTTGTGCGTAAACATTTTTGTGGATATGGCCTTGTTTATGCGTCATCATTGACAACGATCGCTAACACGAGCGTAGCTCTGTGTTCTACCTTCTGCAGTCAAGTGATCTATTGAATTTCGACGCATTTTGAGTTTTTTTTACCAATCCCTTATGTTTTTTCCAGCGTCGTGTGCAAGTATGTCACCCCCTACAGTGTATCAAAGACAGGTAATATTTTTACTTATGAAAAAGATATTTAAGATAAGAAATAGGCAGTGTACGTATGCTTTGACATTTCGTTATGCAGTATCGTTCGTTATGTGGGACGGGGTGGGTGGCTGAATGGTTAATTGCGTGAGCTGTAAGCCAGACGGCGCGGGCTCAATCCCGGCTCGTGGCACATTTGGCAATGTGTCTGTAAACCTAGCCCGGGTTGACCAAAGCCCTGTGAGGGAAATTTGGTAGAGGAAACTATGTCCTCGGATGGACTGTATCTGCATCTGCAATGTTGCAGCCTTGTCACACTGTGTCACGCTGATATCAGCGTTGTGGTTGCGTGAAGGGTACGAGTGATTGTAGTCTGGTCAGCTGCCTTCACTATAAGTGACCAGGATGTTCCACTTTGTAGAACCCTCATACGTCGAAATCGACGGAGTCCATTATTATGCAGTATCTATGACGTACATGAGAGTTTTTGTGCGTGTAGAAAAGGTCTGTCAGGAGTGAAAAGTAGCCATTCAATATACTCCTTTCTCCAAACTAATATTATAACAGGAATGGACTTACTGGGGGCATTGCGCGAGGGAGGGGGTAGTTCGCGTACTCCTAAAGCATCTTCTCCCCTATGAAATTTTCCTCTTCAAATACTACAACGCACAGGGCTTAGCAATTTAAGAAACACTTAGGATCACAATCCATCAAGTTCATCACTTGTTATTGATGAAAAATCATAAATAAACCACGTTTTGAAACATGAAATGCGAACTGATTTCTTGAATTTTTTCTCATTTCAGTCGTCCGGTGGACAGGCCATGAGTCCGCTGCTCAATGGTACTGCATCTTCGCCTTCTGCTGTATCTAAGGGTTATACTTGCGTAAACTATGCGCCAAAGTCGCCAAATTTCAACAACAGAGGAGTGACAAAACCCTCGAATGTGGTTAATGCTGTTTCTAACGTCTCTCAAGGACAGAACGTTGTTTTTGGAAACACTTGTCAGTCACATGCAGGCACTTCTTCAAATTCGTCGCAAATGACAAATCAAATGACGCAAGGTACATATTGGATACATTTTTACATACTGAGGGTATTTGTGGGGACACTGAGGATTTATGTGTACATTTCATTTTACATTATAAGGATATACTTGAACTGGTCTGGATAGTGTACACTTCATTTTACACACTGAAGATGTATGTTTACACTTCATTTTACACACTCAAGATGTATATTTACACTTCAGAGAACGTTGATATGGGTGTTCTTGTTTGTTTGCTCTTCATTTACTCAACAAATTTCGATTTGAAAGTTAATCAAATAATCATGCCGAAGAATTGGTCAATTGTTCTTGATTAAAGATCAATCAAATTGTCTCAGCCGAACTGAGCACATCCACCATTGAGTACCACTGAGAATTTAGTTGTAAAATTTTCGAAGATATGGCAAAGTATGGCAAAGCAAATTATATTTTTTTGTGTATTTTAGATAAGAATCATGGACAAAATAATTTATTTCAAAGACCATTACCTTCACCTGGGCGATCACCTTGTCAACCTTTATCGCCCCAAATTCCATCTCCTGGTTGTCAATCACCTCAGAGATCCCCTGGTAGTGCTGCCTCGCCAAAATACCAACATTCTATGTACCTCAATCACCAGCACGGTCCCGTCTCCAGTCAGGCTCCAATCGCGCAACTGAAACAACAAGTTGAGAACCAAGGACAACAGTTGCAACAAATCAAATTTCATCAGTTAAAACAACAGCAACAGGTACCTAACCCGGCACAATCTCAGCAACATAAACAGCAATCACAATTTCGCGCGCAACAGCGTATAACCCCGGCAACAATGCAATCTTCTCAACAGACAACATACCTACTGCAACAATCGCCGCCCAATCATGCCCCACCTGTACGACCTGCAAACGTGCAGGTCTTTAAAACATCTAATGCAGTATATCTAACGAACGATAATCCACCACGGGAAATGCAGTTCTCTTTAAATCGGAACGCTACGAATCCGGTCGGATAGCTTTCGTTGGTGAATAGTTAATATAAATTGTGCTCAAATGAAGTGAATGTTCTCCGTAACAATCACACGATGTACACGTATGTAAATAGATATTTGTATAGGTTTTTATTCGCTATAGGTGTGACGAATGTGCACTTTAGTATAGGTAAGACTTGCTCTTCGTAGAGAAGTTTTGATGCATGAACCTCACACTATTGACATTAGCCACATCATAAGGTGTTCTCGTGCGGTACAGTGAGGTTTCATTTCTTGGCTTTTGGTTCCAGTCTCCTTGTAATAATCATCGTTCGGTAGCAGTTTTCAAACGTAATCTGTTTTTAATCACAATCTACATGCAAGTCATCACCGTTGTTTAAAATGCCGTATGTTCCATCCCATGTTATTTGATCTTTGTACTTTTAAGATAGAGAAAGTGCAAAGTGCTGGAATGAAATGTTCGGAATTTTTTGCATAGCATTGTTTGATGCAAAAAGACCAGACCAATAGACTTTCAGATAACCGCCCGTCTTGTGTTGCTCCCCGTTTGTACTGTGACAAAGTATACCATATTTTGTTATTTATAGACCAGACATAGGCCAAAATAGTTTCCAGGTCGCCATACGTTTTCTCCATCACCCAACCTCAAATGGTTAATTCTGCAAATATTTTTGTATTTCTCGGCAATGTCCGAGTAAACAAATAACACACCCACGAAAAACATCAATAGCAAACATGAGAATATTTTGAAAAAATAGCGCGTTCGCTATATAATTTATACATATATTTGGTAGCAATGTACAAATTGAACAAAATACACAGCGTGTATTGTAAAGTCTTAAAATATTTATATTGTCAATAATATGAATAGTTAATAAAATTATTTGAATATCGATGACGTCGTTGTTTTTCTCGAGTTCCGGTGTACATATCGCCACCGGAATTTCTTCACCGGGTAAAGTTTCAATTTTAAAACAGTGCGGGGCGGGAAAAGGACACGAAATTTCAAGACGAAGTTTGATTTGCGAACAGAATTTCGCAGAGGTTTCCCTTTGTCGTTTGGTTGAAGTTTTTCAACAAGCACAGACCAAATGTAAAGGTCAGTTTTCTTTAATTCCTTTTAATTTCTTTTAAAAACTTTACAAATTTTTTTTATGGCAAAAATAGGCAGCTAAGAATATCAAAAACTATGTAAAATTTTCTCATTGCTTCGAAAAATGAAACTAACATGGAAATGTATGATTGTGAATGTGATGTAATGTGAATGTAATTTCTACCCACTTCTCACTTTTGTAGGTTCAAATTCTACAATACTGGACGAAAATCAGCTGCCACAACACAATCTCTTGTTTTCTTCAGGTTCGGTCTCAGGTAAAACAAGAGCACCATCTTTGTTTTCGAGATGGCCTTCGCCAGCTGGTAACATAAGTTCTTGTATCATAAATCTGGCAAAAGTAACAGGGAGTGTTAAAAACCCCTCGGTTGATACTCTCGACCTCAAATTGTTTGTGAAAAATATTTTACAATGACATGTTTCATTATTAAAGCTAACATTCCAAGTTTGAAAAGCAAAGCAGATGAAACCTACATGTAAGACTAATTGCAATAATGCGCTCTGAATAAACTTTGCAACAGACTTCACAGCTTTAAAATATTTGTTCCCACTGCCAAGTGGAATGCATTTTCCATGAAATTTTCAAAATCAAGAGTAAAATTTTAGCTAAAGCCATGAAATAAACAAACTTACTCCATAGTCTCAGTAACATGTTTGTCATCTTTTACGGACATTTCGGTCCATCCTAGAAAATGATGTTGCTTACAAAAATTATTTATATCGTTCTTCTCGACTTTTGATGGCAAATCAGTCTGAAACAAAAGTTGTTGATAGGTTGAAACATGAACATTACTCAGATTTTATAAAAAAGGCTAATTAATGACTCACTTTATTTGCAATCAAAATACATGGTATGTTCTTGCCATATGTATCAAAGCATTTTAAATCTAAATCTTTCTTCCATTTAGCAGCATTGTAAAATGAATTAGGATTTGTTAAATCAAACATAATGAAGCATGCTGAAGCACGTCTATAGTAGACTCTGGTCATCGTAGTAAATCTCTCCTGACCTAGGGCAGAGATGGACAGAAATCAAAAAGCACACATGAGAGATGCCATGAAAATGTAAGTGAATTATCAATGTTGTAGTTTACCTGCTATGTCCCAGAGCTATCCATTGATTGTACATGTAATAGAAAATTACATTAGAAAATAAAAGACAATTACCAGATTAAATGATTTGGGCTATAGTCACAACTATAGTTAATTGTAATTCATTTTTCAAATAAAATTGCCACCTGAAGTCGAACTGTTTCGGTTTCAGACCATTCGATCACTTTAACTGAGAAATCCACTACGAAACAAGAAAAAAACAGCCTTAGAAAAGCACCACATGGTACGGAGCTTCGAAACTCATAACTTAAAAAAAATTCGCCCAAAGTGTCACATGTATTTTTGAAATGATTCGCGGCACTACTATTTCATCAGACGCAACACCAAGTTAAAAAAAGTTCACTGACTTCAAACACTAACCGCCAACTGTAACCTTGTAGTTTTTCTCGAACGAATGATTTATATATCGTCGCACGAAGGAGGTTTTGCCAACTTCTGCGTCTCCCACAATCAAAATTTTAAAAATTATTTCTCTATGGTTCATAATGTTCTCCACTTCGGTCCGCATTGACCATTTTCTTGTCTCGTGATGAAATGGTTGCAATTAAATTATATTTTGTGATTTATAACCGGAAATGAGTGTTAAATTGTGTATCTATGACGACACGCAAGATCCTTTCACATTCCTAGAATCTCCTAGAAGAACGAGATGTTAATTAACTAGAGTTTGTGGTCAGCTTCTTTGATGTGAGAAATGTCAAATAGCTTTGTATGGAAATGTGCAGAAAATGTGTTATGGCCGATTGTTTTCCGATTGTCATGCAATGATCGGCCGATTACAGATTATTTTAAAACTGGCCTATTAATCATCTTTGGCGATTATTCACCGGTCAATCGGCACATCCCCAGAATATAGGCTTTCATTTGCATGAAATCTACAGCAGAGAAATTAGTAAAAGCACATTGTTGCTAGAATTTTGCTTTGAAATTCATCGTTGATAGCTTATGCATTCATTGCTTTAAAGATTTCTGCTTTGTTTCTTCCTTTTTTTTAAGAAACTGGCATTTTGCCTTCCTTGTTTTAAAGATTATGCCATTTTGCGTAGGTTTTGGGCATCGTCATACAGTTTAGTATTGCTGTTGGCTTTCCTCAACTCGCTGTTTTTGTCATAATTGATTTCCACTTTTAGTTTTATTGGCTTTATGCTATTTATTAACGAGTTTACCTTCTTTTCCCAAAAGTTGTCGTATTGCTTTCTCATGATCCTTTGGTACAACCATTGAAGAATAACTTACTTGCAAGTTTTTTTTGATGCTTTTTTGTCCAGTGTCGTGTCCTTTCTTTCCACATTTTAGATATATTTTTGTGGGGCAAGATAACTCGTTTTCTTTTCGTGGTTTTCTGGCAAATAAAGAAATGTCACCATTCTTAAAGCTTTCGAATCCTGCACTGGAGTTTTGGTTTTTGTTGCTGGTTTTGGTTGGTTTTTTCCAATACAACACTTATATAGAACGCTTTGAAAAAGACTTCCTTCCTTTTGGGCTGCTATAGTGTATACATTCTGCACTTTGCATGGTTTCACGCTAAGAACATGGTTATATAGATGGTTTGTTTAGATACAGAGGAAGGATAACAAGTAAGTAGGAAGGATGCTGAGCTTAGATCTGCTATGTAAGTGGTTTGAAAGGAGAGTCTGCAGTAGATAAAAATTTAGGCAGAAATGAGTATGGATTTATGATGTAAATAAAGAAGCATTTTTGAATTGTTAGATTCACTAGCATTTTAAGGGAAAGGCAAGGGTATAGACTCTCAGATCTTCTGACAATCTGAAATAAAGTCAGCAAGCCCGTAAGAAAAACTTCATCAATATTTGAACAAGAGGCCAGATCATGTGTTTTTAATTACATTCCTGTAGGCCAATAAGTGAGAGAAATCATAGCGGTTTTTGAGGTAAAATAAATAAAGGTTCTTTTGATCTAACACATGAAAAATGCTTCTACAGAATGAAACTCGTAATATAGATAATGACGCTCAAACAATTGAAAAATATTGTTCTGTAGGTTTGATTTTCTTGTATTGTAAAGTTGCTGTGGCATTCTTTTGGGGGGAAGCTCTAAGCAGAAAAAAGAAATATGAAATATTGCCTGCTGGGTTTCCAAACTTGTCTTTTTTGACAGAAGTGTAAACCTCTTAAGAAATAGAAATGCGCTGAAGACAAAGATCTTGCTTTAAAATGACAGTTCGCTGCAGTATGTCACTTTTGATTATCTGATTAACATCAGAAAACTTCCTATGAAGCTTCCATACTGTAAACTAGCTGTGTAACGATTTTATTTCAACACATGTTCAATGTGGAAAAGTGATTGAAACACTATAACCAGAAAGGTTCCCATGACAAAACTATGAGATAAAGCAGGTTTCTTTAAAGTCCTAATGAAAAAAATTGACTGTGAAAACTTTAGTTCAATGTCTGTTTTTCTCTTTTTCGTCATCTTCACAGGACCATCCTGATGTTTTACCCACTAAAGGTGAACTTAATTTAAGGCATAGTGCTTTGTACCCGGGGAAAGGATCCCGATATTTCAATACCACTCCGCGATCCCCGAGGTCATTATAATCCATGAAATCGCCAACTCTGTACCGTGAACGCTCGAGATGTGAATTCAAATCATCGTTTATCGCCCATTTGTATCGTATTCCATTCTTTTGCCAATCATACCATATTTTATCAATAAACGCGTGGTGTAAAAGAAATTCTGGCGTGTTACTTGCTTTTTCCAACTCCATTGTGCCCCGAATACAACAGTGTAATTCATTGTGATATGTATCCTGCACAATATCTTCGAACCTCTTGAACTGTGTAGGCTTTAGGAGCAAGGTTCTTTGTACATGCCTGCAATTAGGCATTCGACCTGTCAATGTTGGGGACACATGTTATTTTAGTTGAAAATACACCATATCCACTGGTTATTTTGAAAAAATACCTGAAGGGAAGAACTATTCTCCACATTATACTAACCTTTAAAATTCCGTTTGAGACATCCTCCACCCGAATGGCGGGCAAGTCGCCATTTGTACACGCTGAACGGGCCATCTTTCACACAGTGAAATAAACCCTTTCCATTCCCTCCCAGTCCCCAAGATTTCTTGCTCCATATTGATCCAGTATCCGTTGCCCAAATCCTTTCACCAGCAATGCTCCAATCCCAATAAGGAAGAGTCACGTCTTTATGAATGTAACGAAATAGGTTTTCAAATTGAAGTAAATACCAACGATGCCACGGAAAGAAATGTTTCTGTGAGTGAACCTGTAATAACACAAAGACACTGAAATATTTACAAGAGAAAATATTGTATTTCAAGTGCTGTTTGATCAAATGTCATTCCTGTTATATGGTAGCATTTATTGAAGGAAAAATTTGCATGTGGAAAAGTGTGAAAAAACACAGATGTAGTTTTGAATCTGTGATGTTGAATAATTATATTCTATGTTTTAAAGTTCCGCATTCATATTTAAAATGTCATTTCTTCCTTCATTGAACTCTGGCGTTTTCTCATGGGAACTGAGATTTTTGGTTGATAATAAACTTAGCTATACATGCTAGCACTGTCATATTTTTCTCGGATAAAATACCTCCTATTTTGAAAACAAACTTTCCTTCTTAGTTGTCACTTGACACTCTTGAGTAAACTGACATCTTTATCATATTTTATGACTATTAGCATCAATTACCACAAGGACTTGCTATATGGCATTGAAAACAGACGGCTTTAAAACATAGTTTTCATTACCTTTTAAATAACGTTTGATGAAGTCTTACAAGGTAATCGTAGCGTCTTTTGAACGGTTGTTGTGTCGAAGCTATCTTGTACGCATCGACAAATTTTCGTCTTTCATGATAAGACATAGAGGTGAATTCTTTTCGTATACGTAGGTCGCTGCGATATCTTTTAGCATATGCTGTGCAAAAAAATCAAAGTTGCGTAAAAATTTAACATCACAAAGAGTCGGTAGCTATATCAACGACTGCACACTGTTCATTGTAGTTGTCAAGGCATGTATGATAGTAAACACTCTCAAAAAATGTTTTGTCTTCCTCTCAAAAAATGTTCTTGTTTTGAAGGTAGGAATCATTCAGTTAAGGATACTGTTTTGTGTTGGATTTGGTTATCGTCTTACAGTTTAGTACTGTCTATTTACTTCAGTTCTTTCATGAAAGTTATTCATCACGAATTAACTGCAACATAGCCACTGATGAGTAACAAGACTGTTTAAACACAGTCTTACCATTGACTAGAAGATGTTGAGCACTCAAGACCGACACTATCAGTAAATATAGAAACGATCTTTTTGTAGACATATTACAGTGAATCTCTTCACAGCCTTTTGAACCTCTCCATCATTTCCTGAAACGCTTTGTCGCTAATTTACACTAAGACGCCCCCTCGCTAAAACAAACATTTTTTGTTGCAAAATTATCAACAATTAACTCTTGGGCGACGGCGATTATTTATGCAAAATTTTTTAATAAGTTATATATTTCCGGAAGTGATTGTTTCATCCAAAATATCTCATTAAATCCTTTTGTAAAACAAATCACGCCATTAGATAGCCTGAAATAAATGCCTTCCGTTGATATAAATTTTATTACTTGTGTAAGTTTTAGAACGATTAAATCGCTGTTTCTCTGCCATCAACAAAATGCATAAATTACAATGCAATGAAACACTTCAACAAGCTTGTCGGAATTATAGAGTTTTGTGTTGTAGATATGCCAAAACAGACAAGACCATAGTAAAATTCACTCAATTTTCTAAATGAGATGAAATTTCAGCTTTTCACAATCAAAATTAGTGCGGTTTTGTCAATGGAGTAATATTTCCTTCTCGAATTTTATTTTTAAGCCGAACGTCTGTTACCATGGCGATATGTTAAGACCACGGTTATACTTGATCTTAGGAAAACAAATGATGCTGAGTCGATTCCCGGGGCAATTAAACCGCACTGTTTGAGTTCAAAGATGGATTTTCTTATATGATCGATTAGCAAACATTGTATCTGCGTGGCTACCATACCTGGTCAGAAAATTTTCTTCAGTATCGTCGGGCTGTCGTGTAGCAAGAGGTTCAAACTATATGGTCTTTCTCCGCTAAATTTCGGACACGAGGCATAACTGAAACATGCTGAAAAAATTCACAGAATTTATTGCTTCCATCTTCTTCCCATTCAATTGGATCTTGCCGGGATGATTTTCATGAGCAACTTCAAATTTGCCCAGCCAGCTGTCCGGCTGTATATGCTCCGGGTTTTGGAAACTTTGCCAAGTTTCTTTACTGGAATTGGGAAAATTTCGTCAAATCGAGATGTAATACTCACTCGAAGTTCTTGACATTGTGTGATAAAATTTGAATGCACTCATTATCTTTTCGAGCATCTATACATACGTTGCCTTTCCCCTCCTTTTTCTACCTTTGTAGTTACGTCAACAACCAACCAGCCTTGTATAAAAGGTACATCCTTAAAGATAGCGACGATAAACTGCATAAATTTAACACGAATGTAATATCACGGAACGACGACCCTTAAGATGGCAAAATTGACGAAAAAAGTCTTATTGAAGTAATGTACTCAATGTTACCTGAAATGTTCCAGCTTTGACGTTCACATCGGCATCATCGTCGTCGTCCACATAGTTATTTGATGTCAATTCTTCCCAGTGATCTGAGAGTTTGGCAAGCAACTTTTCAGTTTGAATTGCAATGATCTAGCTACTACATTCATTAAATTATCTTCGATCTTCTTAACCGTGTCCATTACCCTGTAAAACAATGAGACAATTTTCCACGGTAAAAGATTTACAGCTTGTGTTTTTATGATAAACAATATCATTGGTGGAAAGCCTGTTAGGTTTTGTGATGCGCCATCTACCTCCTTTAGTATATGTTTACTTACAACAACAAATAGAGATATCACAGATAACTGTTATGATCACATTTAATGTTCAACGTCAATGTCTATGGTCTACGATCTATCTTACAATGGTTAAACTGCTTCAATTTATAAAAGATATTACGTATGGATATATTTGTTTCTTTACCAAATATTGCTAATTTACAATCAACGGAAAGCTATTGGGAACTATAAAAAATATTGTGATTATTGCACATAAGTATCTCTTAAAATAATCATTTAGTTAGTTACACTTGACTTACTGGTTTACTAATTACAGGAAGAATACGAGAGCATATCTTAACAAACCTCGCATCTCATGTGCAGGTCCACCTACCTTCATTTTTCACGCTTGTATTCCAGCATCAACCAACTCTGTATTCACAGCCATATTCCGTGTCTTTCATTGCATGCCGTGTTTCCCTAAAATGCAATCTTGAGTCTTGACCTCCACTTCGAGTAGGAACTGCACCCAAAGTGTTCTATTTTTGAAACTGAACCATTCCTGCTCGCGTACTCCATCGAATTTTTCATTTTCTCTTTGTCATATATCAGTTCATTGCCGCCATGAACTATTGTTATTTTGTCTAATTATATAGTTGAATGTCAAAAGTACTAATTTCATTATAAAATTAGAACCATCTGATGTTTCTCGTTAACCTAAATAATTAGGTGTATCGGTTGCAAGCACGTGACAATAATCTTTCAGTTACAGACTGTTCATGATTTGAAAAACAATTATTCTTACTTTGGATCGAACTTACATCTTTTTCTGTGGTTGTAAATCAGTAAAAATTTTTTGCACGTTTTACACATAACTTTTGCAGCTAGCCTCGATGATATTCATGTTGAACGCTGGATGATCTTTTTCAAAAAGATTAGAAGCACTTGTAAGTGTTGTCACATCACTGTGAACACCAGTTTTATTTGCAAGCGAGGGTTTTTTCTGTGCATGTTTAGAGCAAGACATAAAAAGGATGCATTTTTTTTGTAAAATGAATTGCATTTTCTCCATATTAGTAAGCTGTGGCTTGTCCTCCATAACTATAAAACTGCCACAGAATCTCGGAACAGTTCTGCTGGATATAATTTACAAAACATTACATTTTTCTAAGATTGTTTTTACATTTGCTTTCGGTAAGGATACAGTTGATCATAGAACTGGAATAGTAGCATCAAGAGATTTTCTATTGGCCTTCGCTTTTTTTGTCATATTTGAGGCCCGCTTCAAACGTCGCATTTTAGATGCGCTGAATGCATTTAATACAAAAGAAATTGAGAACAAATTCCTCATTATCTTTTGTTTTAAATACATTCGACTCATGTATAATGCGACGTTTGAAACAAGCCTCGTTTGCAGTTTTTAGTTTTATTGGCTTTATGCTTTTTATTAACGAGTTTACCTTCTTTTCTCTTAAGTTGTCGTATCGCTTTCTCGTGATCCTTTGGTACAACCATTGAAGAATATCTTACTTGCAAGTTTTTTTTGGATGCTTTTTTGTCCGGTGTCGTTTCTTGTAACAATTTCTACTTGGAATAATATTTTTTTTCACATTTAGACATATATTTGTAGGGAAAACAACTCGTTTTCTTTTCGTGGTTTTTTGTTCGATGAAGAAATGTTACCATTGCTAAACCTTTCAAATCCTGCACTGGGTTTTGGTTTTTGTTGCTGGTTTTGGTTGGTTTTTTCCAATACAACATTTATATAGAACGCTTTGAAAGACTTCCTTCCTTTTGGGCTGCTATATTATATACATTCTGCACTTTGCATGGTTTCACTCTAAGAACATGCTTACATAGATGGTTTGTTTAGGTACAGAGGAAGAATAACAAGTATATAGGTAGGATGCTGATTTTAGAACTGCTATGTAGCTAAGATGCCGAGAGAGAAACCAAAAAGGAGATACACGAATTTATTGATAAGGACGACGTAACGTTTAGTGGTTTGAAAGAAGAGATGAGTACTGATTTATAATGAAAACAAAGACGCATTTTTTGAATTGTTAGATTCAGTAGGATTTAAAATTTTTAATGGAAAGGCAAGGGTATAGACTCTCAGATCTTCTGACAATCTGAGATAAAGTCTGCAAGCCCGTGGAAAAACTTCATCAATATTTGAACAAGAGGCCAGATCATGTGTTTTCAATTACATTCCTGTAGGCCAATGAGTGAGAGAAATCATAGCGGCTTTTGAGTTAGAATAAATAAAGGTTCTTTTGATCTAACACATGAAAAACGCTTCTACAGAATGAAACTCGTAATATAGATAATGACACTCAAACAATTGAAAAATATTGTTCTGTAGGTTTAATTTTGCTTGTATTGTAAAGTTTCCTGTATTGTAAAGTTGCTGGGGCGTTCTTTTTGGGGGAAGCACTAAGCAGACAAAAGAAAAACGAAATACTACCTTTGCGGTTCGTAAACTCTTCTTTTTAACACAAGAGTAAAGTTCTTAACCAATAAAAATGCGGTGAAGTCAATGATCTAGTTTTGTAATGACAGCGGTTTGCTGCAGTATGTCCCTTTCGACTACGGCCTTAGAAGTATAGAAGCTTTTTATGAAACCTCTACCTTAGAAACCTATTAAGAAATAAAAATGTGGTAAAGACAAAGATCTTGCTTTAAAATGACAGTTCGCTGCAGCATGTCACTTATCTGATTAGCATCAGAGCACTTCTTATGAAGCTTCTATACTGTAAACTAGCTGTGTAACGATTTCATTTCAACACATGTTTAATCTGGAAAAGTGATGGAAACACTACAACCAGAAAAATTCCCATGACAAAACTATGAGATAAAGCAGGTTTCTGTAAAGTCCTAATGAAGAAAATTGACTGTTAAAATTTTAGTTCAATGTCTGTTTTTTTTTTTTTCGTCATCTTCACAGCACCATCCTGATGTTTTCCCCACTAAAGGTGAACTTAATTTAAGGCATAGTGCTTTGTACCCGGGGAAAGGATCCCGATATTTCAATACCACTCCGCGATCCCCGAGGTCATTATAATCCATGAAATCGCCAACTCTGTACCGTGAACGCTCGAGATGTGAATTCAAATCATCGTTTATCGCCCATTTGTATCGTATTCCATTCTTTTGCCAATCATACCATATTTTATCAATAAACGCGTGGTGTAAAAGAAATTCTGGCGTGTTACTTGCTTTTCCAACTCCATTGTGCCCCGAATACAACAGTGTAATTCATTGTGATATGTATCCTGCACAATATCTTCGAACCTCTTGAACTGTGTAGGCTTTAGGAGCAAGGTTCTTTGTACATGCCTGCAATTAGGCATTCGACCTGTCAATGTTGGGGACACATGTTATTTTAGTTGAAAATACACCATATCCACTGGTTATTTTGAGAAAATACCTGAAGGAAAGAACTATTCTCCACATTATACTAACCTTTAAAATTCCGTTTGAGACATCCTCCACCCGAATGGTAGGCAAGTCGCCATTTGTACACGCTGAACGGGCCATCCTTCACACAGTGAAATAAACCCTTTCCATTCCCTCCCAGTCCCCAAGATTTCTTGCTCCATATTGATTCACTATCCGTTGCCCAAATCCTTTCACCAGCAATGCTCCAATCCCAATAAGGAAGAGTCACGTCTTTATGAATGTAACGAAATAGGTTTTCAAATTGAAGTAAATACCAACGATGCCACGGAAAGAAATGTTTCTGTGAGTGAACCTGTAATAACACAAAGACACTGAAATATTTACAAGAGAAAATATTGTATTTCAAGTGCTGTTTGATCAAATGTCATTCCTGTTATATGGTAGCATTTATCGAAGGAAAAATTTGCATGTGGAAAAGTGTGAAAAAACACAGATGTAGTTTTGAATCTGTGATGTCGAATAATTCTACCTCACCATTGCTACGTCACTACGGGATTACATGAGATTGCGCCAGCGATCACAACTTCAATGTAAAGGTGAACACAACGAGATAGGACGCTTTTGTATTTGCCATTGTAATATTAATATATTTTGGGCAATCGTTTTGCATCGGGGAATTTACAGCAAGCAATCTTGCTGTTTCCCACTCTTACTACGATACAGGTCGACGTAATCGTCAATTTAAACTATTTTTCTGCTCATTTTGTTGTTTTTTCTTCGCAATCGACCGAAAACGCATGGCGGCGGAAGGTGAAACCGGCCATGAAGTCTTAGACTCGTCTGGCTCGGAAAATGAACGAGATGAAAGTCGTAATAACCGACGGATTAAAACATCATCTGATATACCATCGACAAGTGATGACGGTAGGGATATGGGACGAGATATAATTGCAATGCAACAAGTCCTAACTGATGGTCTTCAGCGAGGTTTTTCTAAGCTTACGGAGGCTATTGCTTCGCAGTTAAGCAACGCTACCAAACAGGGGCGCACTAGGACTCGCTCAGCATCAGAGTCATCGGACTCCGTGGCATCAGTAGCATCGGAAACGCGAAAAGCTACTAAAAGAGCGCGTCGTGAGTCAACAGGTGATGTTGACGTGGAAGTTGACGAATTGTTAGCAGGGAATGATCCCAACACTACATCGAATGTTGCCTCTGCTCAAAATGAGGAGGATGTTCTAGGCTCAATAGCTGAAGAATACAACCTTGACGAACAATGTGCTGAAGAGGTTAATCCTAAACTAGCAAGCATTGTTAACAAAATGGTGCGTAACAGATTAACCGATGAAAAACTTAAAGAAAAATTGACACAGAGTACTCGGCCCACAAACTGCGAGAACATTGTAGGCACTAAAATCAACCCTGAAATTTGGCCGAAATTGAAGTCAAGCACTCGGAGTCGAGATATTAAATTACAAAGGGTGCAAAATATGTTACTGAAGGCTAGCATTCCGGTGGTTAAAGTTATCCACAAACTCATGCAGGCTGATTCATCTCAACTTGAGGATAATAAATCAATGATAAGGAGTCTAATGGACTCTATGGCCATTCTGGGACATACTAATTATGAGTTCGTGCAAAGACGTAGAGAACTGATACGACCAGACCTTAATGATAAATATCAGCAACTTTGTGGTGAACATATTGAGTTCACAAACTGGCTATTTGGGGATGATTTACCCAAACAAGTGCAGGATATTAGTGCCACCAATCGAGTAAGCCAACAGCTGGCTAGTTCCGACAATATGATCGGCAGAATGGAACGGGCTCCTACTCCAGGCACTCACATCGCCCAAGGGACCATTATGGTCAGAATTTTCGGCAGGGCCCTCGATGGCACAAACCCCCCATACCGGGGAAAGAAAAGGCACCAAAAAGACTGCCAGAAACAGCAATGACATCTACCCAATATAAGTTGGTAAGTCAAAATTCAGCCTCTAGTTTTATAGCGGGGCGACTTCAATGTTTTTATAATAAGTGGGAAAACTTAACAACTGACTCATTCATTTTGAATATTGTGAAAGGTTGTAAAATTGATTTACTTCAACAACCTTCCCAAATGCATGTTTCTAAACAGAAACAGTTTTCAGCAAAAGAAGCCTCCTTCATTGAAGCTGAAATCTCTAAGTTGTTAGCAAAGCAGGTTATTATACCTAGTCATCATGAGAAAGGGGAATATATTTCTACTATTTTCTTGACCCCCAAGAAAGATGGGTCATTTCGTCTGATACTAAATTTAAAGAGATTTAACAAATTTGTACGCTACCAACATTTTAAGATGGAATCACTTAAGCAGGTTATTCAAATGATAAAACCGGATTGTTTCATGGCTTCACTGGATATCAGGGATGCGTATTATTCTGTAGCTATTCATGAGTCCCACCAAAAGTATCTTAAATTTCACTTTAAGGGACAGTTATACCAATTTACTTGTATGCCCAATGGTCTTGCATGTGCCCCACGGTTGTTTACCAAGCTACTAAAACCAGTTTATGGTCATTTGCGAGCACAGGGCTTATTATCAGTGGGATATATTGATGATTCCTATTTACAAGGGTATAGCTATGACGATTGTCGTCATAATGTTTCTACCACCTCCACGTTTTATCTGAACTGGGTTTTGCGTTCATGAAGAGAAGTCAAATTTCATCCCATCGCAAGAAATAGAATTCTTGGGATTTTTATTAAATTCTAAACTAATGATTGTTAGTTTGGCCAACAAGTCGCGGTTAAAGCAAGCTTGTGAAAAACTCATGACACAAACTCAACCTTCCATAAGGGAAGTATCTGAAGTTATAGGAATCTTAGTGGCCAGTTTTCCAGGAGTAGAAATGGGCCCTTTATTTTACAGACAACTGGAGAATGATAAAATTTCAGCACTTAAGGCCTGCAGGGGCCATTATGATGAGGTTATGACACCTTCCAAAACCAGTCTGGCTGATTTGCGATGGTGGGCGGATAATATAGAAACCACTTATAAGACAATTTCAAAGCCTAAGCCTGAGTACACACTGTTTACTGATGCCTCATTGCTTGGCTGGGGAGCAAATTTCCAGGGAAAGTCTGCAGGAGGGCAGTGGTTACCCACTGAAGCTGTGCAACACATTAACTATCTGGAAATGTCTGCAGTCCTTTTGGGTTTACAAACCTTTTGTTCTAGTTTGTCCAATACACATATTTGCCTAAAAACCGACAACACAACTGCAGTGTCATATATAAATAATATGGGGGGAAGTCAATCATTTCAATGCAATGCCAAAGCTAGGGAAATATGGATTTGGTGCATTCAAAACAGCATTTGGCTTACTGCAGTACACTTACCAGGCAAGTTTAATGGGGAAGCAGATAAAGCTTCTCGAGTTTTCATGACCAAACAGAATGGCAGTTGAATCCTAGCATGTATCAGTATATTGTTCAGTTTTTCGCATTTCAACCGGATATTGATTTATTTGCTTCAAGGCTCAATTATCAGATACAACCTTATATTTCATGGAATCCTGACCCAGGAGCCTTTGCAATTGACGCATTTACGTTTGACTGGACTAATCGTCGATTTTATGCTTTCCACCTTTCTCTTTATTGGGCAGGGTGCTACAGAAAATAGAACAAGATCAAGCTACAGGAATATTAATTGTCCCAGATTGGAACACACAACCATGGTATCCCATTCTCCGGAAGATGCTACTCCAAGAACCGCTGTTGTTGCCTTACCAGAAGGACATTCTAATATTGCCCTACAAACCAGGGTTCAACATCCTCTGTCACAGAGATTACGACTGATGGCCTGCAGTTTATCCGGCAATCAATCGAAAGTACAGGAATCTCACCAGAGGCCACTGAAATATTAATGTGTTCTTGGCGTAAGTCAACCCGGCAGCAGTACAAGGGATACTTGGAACGATGGACACGATTTTGTTTAAAAAATGGGTTTCAACCATGTGCCCCACAGATCAATGAGGTAATTGATTATTTATTATCCTTGTTCAAGTCCGGTTTGGGATATAGTGGCATAAATACAGCACGTAGTGCCCTTTCATCGGTTCTCTCATTGCACGACGGCGTTTCTCTTGGATCTCACCCTTTGGTCATCAGATTTATGAAAGGGGTATTTGAACAAAGACCAAGTTTGCCAAGATACACAGCTACTTGGGACGTCAATATTGTGCTTAGCTATTTTAAGGCGCTACCTTTGGCTGAACACCTGTCACTAAAGGAACTTACATTAAAGTTGGCAAGCTTGCTGGTGATATTGTCTGGGCAGCGACTGCAAACAATTCATCTGTTGCATATTGATCACATGATATTGCAGGAAAACAAAGTTATTTTCCAAGTCAAAGGGCTGGTGAAGCAGTCAAAACCCGGCAGGCACATAAAGGATTTAGAGTTTGAGGTATACACACCGGATGAGAGATTATGTGTTGTCCTATGCCTTAAAGAATATCTTAAGCGGACTTCCGTCATTCGAGGACAACAAAAACAGCTATTGTTGAGTTTTGTTAAACCCCATTCTGCGGTATCCAAGGACACTTTGAGTCGGTGGATCAAAACAATAATGGAAAAGGCTGGGGTAGATATGAACATTTTAAAACACATAGCACACGTTCAGCTTCTACGTCTGCAGCATCACTATTGGGAGTGAATATTCAAACTATAATGAATACGGCTGGCTGGACTAATGCACGAACTTTTGCAAAATTTTATCATAAACCAATTGAGGGTTTAGCTAATTTTAGTCAGGCATTACTGCACAATGTTATTTAAAAATTTATTTTTTTGTTTTGTTAGAGTATAAAATTAGTTATGACTGGTACTGGTTTGGTTCATTCAGTTGTCTCATATCATTGGTACTTTAAAGTCTCATGTAATCCCGTAGTGACGTAGCAATGGTGAGGTAGAATTAAAAATTAAACGAGCTTACCTGTAAGTGAAGTTTGATTGGGATTCTACCGATCCATTGCGAGGAACGAAGGGACATGCCCTATATTGGATTTACTCTTTGTTATGTAATAGATATTAGTACTGTGTAGATTATTGCCGATTGTAAATGGCTGCTAACCCCGACCCAAGGTTATAATGATATTCGACAAGCGTTAAATATTGAAGTTGTGATCGCTGGCGCAATCTCATGTAATCCCTTCGTTCCTCGCAATGGATCGGTAGAATCCCAATCAAACTTCACTTACAGGTAAGCTCGTTTAATTTTTAATTATATTCTATGTTTTTAAAGTTCCGCATTCATATTTAAAATGTCATTTCTTCCTTCATTGAACTCTGGCGTTTTTCTCATGGGAACTGAGATTTTTGGTTGATAATAAACTTAGCTATACATGCTAGCACTGTCATATTTTTTCTCGGATAAAAATACCTCCTATTTTGAAAACAAACTTTCCCTTCTTAGTTGTCACTTGACACTCTTGAGTAAACTGACATCTTTATCATATTTTATGACTATTAGCATCAATTACCACAAGGACTTGCTATATGGCATTGAAAATAGACGGCTTTAAAACATAGTTTTTCATTACCTTTTTAAATAACGTTTGATGAAGTCTTACAAGGTAATCGTAGCGTCTTTTGAACGGCTGTTGTGTCGAAGCTATCTTGTACGCATCGACAAATTTTCGTCTTTCGTGATAAGACATAGAGGTGAATTCTTTTCGTATACGTAGGTCGCTGCGATATCTTTTAGCATATGCTGTGCAAAAAAATCAAAGTTGCGTAAAAATTTAACATCACAAAGAGTCGGTAGCTATATCAACGACTGCACACTGTTCATTGTAGTTGTCAAGGCATGTATGATAGTAAATACTCTGAAAAAATGTTTTGTCTTCCTCTCAAAAAATGTTCTTGTTTTGAAGGTAGGAATCATTCAGTTAAGGATACTGTTTTGTGTTGGATTTGGTTATCGTCTTACAATTTAGTACTGTCTATTAACTTCAGTTCTTTCATGAAAGTTATTCATCCCGAATTAATTGCAACATTGCCACTGATGAGTAACAAGACTATTCTTACTATTGACTAGAAGATGTTGAGCACTCAAGACCGACACTATCAGTAAATATAGAAAGGATCTTTTTGTAGACATATTACAGTGAATCTCTTTACAGCCTTTTAAACCTCTCCATCATTTCCTGAAACGCTTTGTCGCTAATTTACACTAAGACGCCCCCTCGCTAAAACAAACATTTTTTGTTGCAAAATTATCAACAATTAACTCTTGGGCGACGGCGATTATTTATGCAAAAATTTTTAATAAGTTATATATTTCCGGAAGTGATTGTTTCATCCAAAATATCTCATTAAATACTTTTGTAAAACAAATCACGCCATTAGATAGCCTGAAATAAATGCCTTCCGTTGATATAAATTTTATTACTTGCATAAGTTTTAGAACGATTAAATCGCTGTTTCTCTGCCATCAACAAAATGCATAAATTACAATGCAATGAAACACTTCAACAAGCTTGTCGGAATTATAGAGTTTTGTGTTGTAGATATGCCAAAACAGACAAGACCATAGTAAAATTCACTCAATTTTCTAAATGAGATGAAATTTCAGCTTTTCACAATCAAAATTAGTTCGGTTTTGTCAATGGAGTATTATTTCCTTCTCGAATTTTATTTTTAAGCCGAACGTCTGTTACCATGGCGATATGTTAAGACCACGGTTATACTTGATCTTAGGAAAACAAATGATGCTGAGTCAATTCCCGGGGCAATTAAACCGCACTGTTTGAATTCAAAGATGGATTTTCTTATATGATCGATTAGCAAACATTGTATCTGCGTGGCTACCATACCTGGTCAGAAAATTTTCTTCAAGGTCATTTTGAACCTCTTCAGTATCGTCGGGCTGTCGTGTAGCAAGAGGTTCAAACTATATAATCTTTCTCCGCTAAATTTCGGACACGAGGCATAACTGAAACATGCTGAAAAAATTCACAGAATTAATTGCTTCCATCTTCTTCCCATTCAATTGGATCTTGCCGGGATGATTTTCACGAGCAACTTCAAATTTGCACAGCCAGCTGTCCGGCTGTATATGCTCCAGGTTTCGAAAACTTTGCCAAGTTTCTTTACTGGAATTGGGAAAATTTCGTCAAATCGAGATGTAATACTCACTCGAAGTTCTTGACATTGTGTGATAAAATTTGAATGCAATCATTATCTTTTCGAGCATCTATACATACGTTGCCTTTCCCCTCCTTTTTCTACCTTTGTAGTTACGTCAACAACCAACCAGCCTTGTATAAAAGGTACATCCTTAAAGATAGCGACGATAAACTGCTTAAATTTAACACGAATGTAATATCACGGAACGACGACCCTTAAGATGGCAAATTGACGAAAAAAGTTTTATTGAAGTAATGCACTCAATGTTACCTGAAATGTTCCAGCTTTGACGTTCACATCGGCATCATCGTCGTCGTCTACATAGTTATTTGATGTCAATTCTTCCCAGTGATCTGAGAGTTTGGCAAGCATTTTTTCAGTTTGCATTGCAATGATCTAGCTACTACATTCTTTAAATTATCTTCGATCTTCTTAACCGTTTCCATTACCCTGTAAAACAATGAGACAATTTTCTACGGTGAAAGATTTACAGCTTGTGTTTTTATTATCAACAATATCATTGGTGGAAAGCCTGTTAGGTTTTGTGATGCGCCATCTACCTTCTTTAGTATATGTTTACTTACAACAACAAATAGAGATATCACAGATAACTATTATGATCACATTTAATGTTCAACGTCAATGTCTGTTGTCTACGATCTATCTTACAATGGTTAAACTACTTCTATTTATAAAAGATATTACGTATGGATATATTTGTTTCTTTGCCAAATATTGCTAATTTACAATCAACGGAAAGCTATTAGGAACTATAAAAAATATTGTGATTAATGCACATAAGTATCTCTTAAAATAATCATTTAGTTAGTTACACTTGACTTACTGGTTTACTAATTACAGGAAGAATATGGGAGCATATCTTAACAAACCTCGCCGCATCTCATGTGCAGGTCCACCTACCTTCATTTTTCACGCTTTTATTCCAGCATCTGTATAAACCAACTCTGTATTCACAGCCATATTCCGTGTCTTGAACTTTGCATCTTTCATTGCATGCCGTGTCGCCCTAAAATGCAATCTTGAGTCTTGACCTCCACTTCGAGTAGGAACTGCACCCAAAGTGTTCTATTTTTGAAACTGTGAACCATTCCTGCTCGCGTACTCCATCGAATTTTTCATTTTCTCTTTTTCATATATCAGTTCATTGCCCCCGTGTACTATTGTTATTTTGTCTAATTATATAGTTGAATGTCAAAAGTACTATTTTCATTATAAAATTAGAACCATCTGATGTTTCTCGTTAACCTAAATAATTAGGTGTATCGGTTGCAAGCACGTGACAAATATCTTTCAGTTACATACTGTTCATGATTTGCACAACAATTATTCTTACTTTGGGTCGAACTTACATTTTTCTCTTTGGTTGTAAATCAGTAGAATTTTTGCACGTTTTAATCATATCTTTTGCAGCCAGCCTCGATGTAATTCATGTTGAACTCTGGATGATCTATTTCAAAAAGATTAGAAGCACTTGTAAGTGTTGTCACATTACTGTGAACACCAGTTTTATTTGCAAGCGAGGGTTTTTTCTGTGCATGTTTAGAGCAAAACATAAAAAGGATGCATTTTTTTGTAAAATGAATTGCATTTTTCTAAGATTGTTTTTACATTTGCTTTCGGTAAGGATACAGTAGATCATAGAACTGGAATAGTAGCATCAAGAGATTTGCTATTGGCCTTCGCTTTTTTTTGTCATATTTGAGGCCCGTTTCAAACGTCGCATTTTAGATGCGCTGAATACATTTAATACAAAAGCAATTGAGAACAAATTCCTCATTATCTTTTGTTTTAGATACTTTCGACTCATGTATAATGCTACGTTTGAAACAAGCCTGATTTGCAGTTTTTAGTTTTATTGGCTTTATGCTTTTTATTAACGTGTTTACCTTCTTTTCTCCTAAGTTGTAGTATCGCTTTCTCGTGATCCTTTGGTACAATCATTGAAGAATAACTTACTTGCAAGTTGTTTTTTTATTTTTTTTTTGTCCAGTGTCGTTTCTTGTAACAATCTCTACCTGGAATAATATTTTACTTCCACATTTAGACATATATTTGTAGGGAAAACAACTCGTTTTCTTTTCGTGTTTTTTTGGTAGATAAAGAAATGTTACCATTGCTAAACCTTTCAAATCCTGCACTGGGTTTTGGTTTTGTTGCTGGTTTGGTGGGTTTTTCCAATACAACATTTATATAGAACGCTTTGAAAAACTTCCTTCCTTTGGGCTGCTATATTATATACATTCTGCACTTTGCATGGTTTCACTCTAAGAACATGCTTACATAGATGGTTTGTTTAGGTACAGAGGAAGAATAACAAGTATATAGGTAGGATGCTGATTTTAGAACTGCTATGTAGTGTAGCTAAGATGCCGAGAGAGAAACCAAAAAGGAGATACATGAATGTATTGATAAGGACGACATAACGTTTAGTGGTTTGAAAGAAGAGATGAGTACTGATTTATGATGAAAATAAAGACGCATTTTTTGAATTGTTAGATTCAGTAGCATTTAAAAATTTTAATGGAAAGGCAAGGGTATAGACTCTCAGATCTTCTGACAATCTGAGATAAAGTCTGCAAGCCCGTGGAAAAACTTCATCAATATTTGAACAAGAGGCCAGATCATGTGTTTTCAATTACATTCCTGTAGGCCAATGAGTGAGAGAAATCATAGCGGCTTTTGAGTTAGAATAAATAAAGGTTCTTTTGATCTAACACATGAAAAACGCTTCAACAGAATGAAACTCGTAATATAGATAATGACACTCAAACAATTGAAAAATATTGTTCTGTAGGTTTAATTTTGCTTGTATTGTAAAGTTTCCTGTATTGTAAAGTTGCTGAGGCGTTCTTTTTGGGGGAAGCACTATGCAGACAAAAGAAAAACGAAATACTACCTTGTGGTTTCTAAACTCTTCTTTTTAACACAAGAGTAAAGTTCTTAACCAATAAAAATGCGGTGAAGTCAATGATCTAGTTTTGTAATGACAGCGGTTTGCTGCAGTATGTCCCTTTCGACTATGGCCTTAGAAGTATAGAAGCTTCTTATGAAACCTCTACCTTAGAAACCTCTTAAGAAATAAAAATGTGGTAAAGACAAAGATCTTGCTTTAAAATGACAGTTCGCTGCAGTATGTCACTTATCTGATTAGCATCAGAGCACTTCTTATGAAGCATCTATACTGTAAACTGCTGTGTAACGATTTCATTTCAACACATGTTTAATCTGGAAAAGTGATGGAAACACTATAACCAGAAAGGTTCCCACGACAAAAATATTGAGCTAAAGCAGGTTTCTTTAAAGTCCTAATGAAGAAAATTGACTGTGAAAACTTTAGTTCAATGTCTGTTTTTCTCTTTTTCGTCATCTTCACAGCACCATCCTGATGTTTTCCCCACTAAAGGTGAACTTAATTTAAGGCATAGTGCTTTGTACCCGGGGAAAGGATCCCGATATTTCAATACCACTCCGCGATCCCCGAGGTCATTATAATCCATGAAATCGCCAACTCTGTACCGTGAACGCTCGAGATGTGAATTCAAATCATCGTTTATCGCCCATTTGTATCGTATTCCATTCTTTTGCCAATCATACCATATTTTATCAATAAACGCGTGGTGTAAAAGAAATTCTGGCGTGTTACTTGCTTTTCCAACTCCATTGTGCCCCGAATACAACAGTGTAATTCATTGTGATATGTATCCTGCACAATATCTTCGAACCTCTTGAACTGTGTAGGCTTTAGGAGCAAGGTTCTTTGTACATGCCTGCAATTAGGCATTCGACCTGTCAATGTTGGGGACACATGTTATTTTAGTTGAAAATACACCATATCCACTGGTTATTTTGAAAAATACCTGAAGGAAGAACTATTCTCCACATTATACTGACCTTTAAAATTCCGTTTGAGACATCCTCCACCCGAATGGCGGGCAAGTCGCCATTTGTACACGCTGAACGGGCCATCTTTCACACAGTGAAATAAACCCTTTCCATTCCCTCCCAGTCCCCAAGATTTCTTGCTCCATATTGATCCAGTATCCGTTGCCCAAATCCTTTCACCAGCAATGCTCCAATCCCAATAAGGAAGAGTCACATCTTTATGAATGTAACGAAATAGGTTTTCAAATTGAAGTAAATACCAACGATGCCACGGAAAGAAATGTTTCTGTGAGTGAACCTGTAATAACACAAAGACACTGAAATATTTACAAGAGAAAATATTGTATTTCAAGTGCTGTTTGATCAAATGTCATTCCTGTTATATGGTAGCATTTATTGAAGGAAAAATTTGCATGTGGAAAAGTGTGAAAAAAACACAGATGTAGTTTTGAATCTGTGATGTTGAATAATTATATTCTATGTTTTTAAAGTTCCGCATTCATATTTAAAATGTCATTTCTTCCTTCATTGAACTCTGGCGTTTTTCTCATGGGAACTGAGATTTTTGGTTGATATTAAACTTAGCTATACATGCTAGCACTGTCATATTTTTTCTCGGATAAAAACACCTCCTATTTTGAAAACAAACTTTCCCTTCTTAGTTGTCACTTGACACTCTTGAGTAAACTGACATCTTTATCATATTTTATGACTATTAGCATCAATTACCACAAGGACTTGCTATATGGCATTGAAAACAGACGGCTTTAAAACATAGTTTTTCATTACCTTTTTAAATAACGTTTGATGAAGTCTTACAAGGTAATCGTAGCGTCTTTTGAATGGTTGTTGTGTCGAGGCTATCTTGTACGCATCGACAAATTTTCGTCTTTCATGATAAGACATAGAGGTGAATTCTTTTCGTATACGTAGGTCGCTGCGATATCTTTTAGCATATGCTGTGCAAAAAAATCAAAGTTGCGTAAAAATTTAACATCACAAAGAGTCGGTAGCTATATCAACGACTGCACACTGTTCATTGTAGTTGTCAAGGCATGTATGACAGTAAACTCTCAAAAAATGATTTGTCTTTCTTTCAAAAAATGTTCTTGTTTTGAAGGTAGGAATCATTCAGTTAAGGATACTGTTTTGTGTTGGATTTGGTTATCGTCTTACAATTTAGTACTGTCTATTAACTTCAGTTCTTTCATGAAAGTTATTCATCCCGAATTAATTGCAACATTGCCACTGATGAGTAACAAGACTATTCAAACACAGTCTTACCATTGACTAGAAGATGTTGAGCACTCAAGACCGACACTATCAGTAAATATAGAAACGATCTTTTTGTAGACATATTACAGTGAATCTCTTCACAGCCTTTTGAACCTCTCCATCATTTCCTGAAACGCTTTGTCGCTAATTTACACTAAGACGCCCTCTCGCTAAAACAAACATTTTTTGTTGCAAAATTATCAACAATTAACTCTTGGGCGACGGCGATTATTTATGCAAAAATTTTTAATAAGTTATATATTTCCGGAAGTGATTGTTTCATCCAAAATGTCTCATTAAATACTTTTGTAAAACAAATCACGCCATTAGATAGCCTGAAATAAATGCCTTCCGTTGATATAAATTTTATTACTTGGACATGTTTCAGAACGATTAAATCGCTGTTTCTCTGCCATCAACAAAATGCATAAATTACAATGCAATGAAACACTTCAACAAGCTTTTCGGAATTATAGAGTTTTGTGTTGTAGATATGCCAAAACAGACAAGACCATAGTAAAATTCACTCAATTTTCTAAATGAGATGAAATTTCAGCTTTTCACAATCAAAATTAGTTCGGTTTTGTCAATGGAGTAATATTTCCTTCTCGAATTTTATTTTTAAGCCGAACGTCTGTTGCCATGGCGATATGTTAAGACCACGGCAATACCATTGAGTTCTATATACCTGGAGCGGCTAACTTTACTGGGGCGAGGACGCCAAAAAAATGGCGGCCAAAGGACGTATTTCCGCTGAAATGATCGCTTTGCAGAAAAATAATATTCTCGACCTCCCCCTGGTGTCTATAGTAAATTATAAAGAATTTTTCAAAAACACGATATCACAGAATATGGATATCGTTAGTTCCATATTCTGTGACGATATCTTTTTTGGCATTTCTTTTATAATGCCAACACTTCAATCGTTCAATTGTTGGATGTCGTAGTTTCCACAAAAAGGAACGTATCGCTTCTCACAGGTGAGGTAGTTGTTTGTTTTGTTAGTCCGTCAACGATTGAAAAGCAATTATACATGCACTTGAAAAGCCATAAAATACATATTAAAGATCGTATTTTTTATGACTGACTTGAACGCCAAATATACTGATGTTTTCCTGTTTTTGTTTATAAAATTCTGCATACTTTTCTGTCATTTGCTAATGCATGAAATCGTAAATTTACCCATTTATTTGCTAAATAGTTTCCCTAAAGCAAAAAAGACCCTGCACACATTTCGCTCTGTGAGTAAGTATCAAAAAGAAATGATCAGCCCAAACGGTACCCATGATTTGGAGCAGAGCTTGTTATGTTCTATTTGCTGACAACATGCAGGGAAGATCAAGGAGTAAAGATGACTGGAAGATGTTATTGACCAGGCAGAGTCTTAAAAAATGATAATGCTGTAAAGATAATTGATTTATTGTCTGCCCTATCCAGAGTTATTTAATTTGATCATGGTCAAATTCTATGGATGAAGATAATGGTTCACTAAGGATGCCTTGAATGCTTTGAAGTTAAAGTTCATGATCCAAAGAAAGATGGCAAGAAGGTTGTGTGTGTTTTGATGCTTAATGAAATGTCAATTCACAAACATGTAAAATGGAAGGCCATAAAGTTTGTGTCTATGTAAACATTTGTACTAAGATTGATGATGACTTGATGCAGATGTGAAGCTTCAAACTGTATAAGCCATTGGGTTTTATATAACTTAATGTTTAAATCATGTCATATCTTTATCAAAATATTTTAGTTGAGTGTTGTTTAAATGTTACTAATATCTAATGCACTATACTGAAGCATTAAAGATTCAGTGATGAAACCTTTAAAGTTATTGTACTGTATATTTCTTATATATTTCTTATATTTTTTAAGAAACAGTTTGAGCTTATTTACCTATTATAGTACAGAATGGAGATTTATCATATGCATTATTGCTGCTTTTTAAAGAAAAGTTTTCACTTTTCAAAGCTTTTCTACAAATTTTTTGCTTCTTATTTCTTGTCATGAGATTGATGATATAGAGGTAATATAATCCAATAACTTTCTAATTTCTAAAAAGCTTTTAAGCTTCTAGCATAAAAGCACACTATATAGGTATGTAATTCATTTGGTTTTATTGCCTTGCTATGACATATCTACTTGCACTTCATCATTCTTGTATGAACAAAACACCAGATGTGGATACTCAGAGAACAAAATGCACTACCAACTGCTTATGAAATTTATTATTGAGGTGAAAACTGTATTGATCATTCAAACTATAGTGCACTTTTATTGCAAATATAGGAAAAACAAAACAAAGTGAAAAAGAAAGGTAGAAGTATTAAAACTACAAATGAATTATAAACACCATTGGAAGCATAAGTGTTTTGATGATTATTTGCATTTTGCCCAATTCATATATCAATACAACAAAATCAAAATGTGCTACAACTTTACAAGTATTTGATGCAGTTGCACTTCAGAACATCACAAAAAGGTTACTTAAAGTAATTTCTATACAATATTGTTTGTTTTCATTTACTAAACCTATGCAGACTTGAGTCTTTTTGAAATTTCATATGAAACTCAATTACAGAAAATCCGTAAATATCCAGAGATTTAATATGTACTTTTTTAAAGAAACAAGTAAAAATCCTACAATTGTGGCGAAAAAAGCCATTGCCCATTGCATGAAAAGAAGCAAAATAGCAATGATAACAAATAAGCTAACTTCTCTCTCGTGAACCGTGGAGATGAACTATGATATACTTTTTTGTATAGACTAAAGAGTTTAATCGATCAAACAAGTTTGACGCTGGTAAGAAAACGACGCACATCTGCATTCATACATGTGTAGCCGACATATAGGTCTTTCGTCGATAGTTATAAATGCATCCTCGTAAGAGCAGATAACTGACAACCACAGTTGACTCGCTTTTATGAATTTAAGGTTTTTACCTTGATTTTCATCAAAAAATTGCTTGCCGAATCCCAAATACACACATAAATTTTCCTCACTCTTTCCTCAGGAGGGAGTGGGAAATTGTGAAATTTTCGGAAAAGCGGTCAATTTCGGTAAATCTCAGCGGCAAAGGACGAAATCCGCCATTTTTTTGGCGTCATCAGATATCTAAGGCCGCGCTTGAGATAGCCGCTCTAGTTATTATAGAACTCAATGGGCAATACTTGATCTTAGGAAAACAAATGATGCTGAGTCGATTCCCGGGGCAATTAAACCGCACTGTTTGAGTTCAAGGATGGATTTTCTTATATGATCGATTAGCAAACATTGTATCTGCGTGGCTACCATTCCTGGTCAGAAAATTTTCTTCAGTATCGTCGGGCTGTCGTGTAGCAAGAGGTTCAAACTATATGGTCTTTCTCCGCTAAATTTCGGACACGAGGCATAACTGAAACATGCTGAAAAAATTCACAGAATTTATTGCTTCCATCTTCTTCCCATTCAATTGGATCTTGCCAGGATGATTTTCATGAGCAACTTCAAATTTGCACAGCCAGCTGTCCGGCTGTATATGCTCCGGGTTTTGGAAACTTTGCCAAGTTTCTTTACTGGAATTGGGAAAATTTCGTCAAATCGAGATGTAATACTCACTCGAAGCTCTTGACATTGTGTGATAAAATTTGAATGCACTCATTATCTTTTCGAGCATCTATACATACGTTGCCTTTCCCCTCCTTTTTCTACCTTTGTAGTTACGTCAACAACCAACCAGCCTTGTATAAAAGGTACATCCTTAAAGATAGCGACGATAAACTGCTTAAATTTAACACGAATGTAATATCACAGAACGACGACCCTTAAGATGGCAAAATTGACATAAAAAGTCTTATTGAAGTAATGTACTCAATGTTACCTGAAATGTTCCAGCTTTGACGTTCACATCGGCATCATCGTCGTCGTCCACGTAGTTATTTGATGTCAATTCTTCCCAGTGATCTGAGAGTTTGGCAAGCATTTTTTCAGTTTGCATTGCAATGATCTAGCTACTACATTCTTTAAATTATCTTCGATCTTCTTAACCGTGTCCATTACCCTGTAAAACAATGAGACAATTTTCTACGGTAAAAGATTTACAGCTTGTGCTTTTATCATAAACAATATCATTGGTGGAAAGCCTGTTAGGTTTTGTGATGTAGCCATCTACCTTCTTTAGTATATGTTTACTTACAACAACAAATAGAGATATCAAAGATAACTATTATGATCACATTTAATGTTCAACGTCAATGTCTATGGTCTACGATCTATCTTACAATGGTTAAACTGCTTCTATTTATAAAAGATATTACGTATGGATATATTTGTTTCTTTACCAAATATTGCTAATTTACAATCAACGGAAAGCTATTAGGAACTATAAAAAATATTGTGATTATTGCACATAAGTATCTCTTAAAATAATCATTTAGTTAGTTACACTTGACTTACTGGTTTACTAATTATAGGAAGAATACGAGAGCATATCTTAACAAACCTCGCATCTCATGTGCAGGTCCACCTACCTTCATTTTTCACACTTGTATTCCAGCATCAACCAACTCTGTATTCACAGCCATATTCCGTGTCTTTCATTGCATGCCGTGTCTCCCTAAAATGCAATCTTGAGTCTTGACCTCCACTTGGAGTAGGAACTGCACCCAAAGTGTTCTATTTTTGAAACTGAACCATTCCTGCTCGCGTACTCCATCGAATTTTTCATTTTCTCTTTGTCATATATCAGTTCATTGCCTCCATGAACTATTGTTATTTTGTCTAATTATATAGTTGAATGTCAAAAGTACTAATTTCATTATAAAATTAGAACCATCTGATGTTTCTCGTTAACCTAAATAATTAGGTGTATCGGTTGCAAGCACGTGACAATAATCTTTCAGTTTCATACTGTTCATGATTTGCACAACAATTATTCTTACTTTGGGTCGAACTTACATTTTTCTCTTTGGTTGTAAATCAGTAAAATTTTTGCACGTTTTAATCATATCTTTTGCAGCCAGCCTCGATGTAATTCATGTTGAACTCTGGATGATCTATTTCAAAAAGATTAGAAGCACTTGTAAGTGTTGTCACATCACTGTGAACACCAGTTTTATTTGCAAGCGAGGGTTTTTTCTGTGCATGTTTAGAGCAAGACATAAAAAGGATGCATTTTTTTTGTAAAATGAATTGCATTTTCTCCATATTAGTAAGCTGTGGCTTGTCCTCCATAACTATAAAACTGCCACAGAATCTCGGAACAGTTCTGCTGGATATAATTTACAACACATTACATTCTTCTAAGATTGTTTTTACATTTGCTTTTGGTAAGGATACAGTAGATCATAGAAATGGAATAATAGCATCAAGGGTTTGCTATTGGCCTTCGCTTTTTTTTGTCATATTTGAGGCCCGTTTCAAACGTCGCATTTTAGATGCGCCGAATGCATTTAATACAAAAGAAATTGAAAACAAGACTTCCACAAGAATCGAGAACAAAACCAAATATAGAACGCTTTGAAAAAGACTTCATTCCTTTTGGGCTGCTATATTATATACATTCTGCACTTTGCATGGTTTCACTCTAGGAACATGCTTACATAGATGGTTTTTTTAGGTACAGAGGAAGAATAACAAGTATACAGGAAGGATGCTGATTTTAGAACTGCTATGTAGCTAAGATGCCGAGAGAAAAACCAAAAAGGAGATACATGAATTTATTGATAAGGACGACATGAAGTTTAGTGGTTTGAAAGAAGAGATGAGTACTGATTTATGATAAAAATAAAGACGCATTTTTTGAATAGTTAGATTCATTAGCATTTAAAAATTTTAAGGGAAAGGCAAGGGTATAGACTCTCAGATCTTCTTACAATCTGAAATAAAGTAAGCAAGCCCGTGGAAAAACTTCATCAATATTTGAACAAGAGGCCAGATCACGTGTTTTTAATTACATTCCTGCAGGCCAATGAGTGAGAGAAATCATAGCGGCTTTTGAGTTAAAATAAATAAAGGTTCTTTTGATCTAACACATGAAAAACGCTTCTACAGAATGAAACTCGTAATATTGATAATGACACTCAAACAATTGAAAAATATTGTTCTGTAGGTTTAATTTTGCTTGTATTGTAAAGTTTCCTGTATTGCAAAGTTGCTGAGGCGTTCTTTTTGGGGGAAGCTCTAAGCTGACAAAAGAAAAACGAAACACTTCCTTTGTGGTTTCTAAACTCTTCTTTTTAACAGAAGAGTGAAGTTCTTAACCAATAAAAATGCGATGAAGTCAATGATCTAGTTTTATAATGACAGCGGTTTGCTGCAGTATGTCCCTTTCGACTATGGCCTTAGAAGTATAGAAGCTTCTTATGAAACCTCTACCTTAGAAACCTCTTAAGAAATAAAAATGTGGTAAAGACAAAGATCTTGCTTTAAAATGACAGTTCGCTGCAGTATGTCACTTATCTGATTAGCATCAGAGCACTTCTTATGAAGCTTCTATACTGTAAACTAGCTGTGTAACGATTTTATTTCAACACATGTTTAATCTGGAAAATTGATGGAAACACTATAACCAGAAAGGTTCCCATGACAAAACTATGAGATAAAGCAGGTTTCTTTAAAGTCCTAATGAAGAAAATTGACTGTGAAAACTTTAGTTCAATGTCTGTTTTTCTCTTTTCGTCATCTTCACAGCACCATCCTGATGTTTTCCCACTAAAGGTGAACTTAATTTAAGGCATAGTGCTTTGTACCCGGGGAAAGGATCCCGATATTTCAATACCACTCCGCGATCCCCGAGGTTATTATAATCCATGAAATCGCCAACTCTGTACCGTGAACGCTCGAGATGTGAATTCAAATCATCGTTTATCGCCCATTTGTATCGTATTCCATTCTTTGCCAATCATACCATATTTTATCAATAAACGCGTGGTGTAAAAGAAATTCTGGCGTGTTACTTGCTTTTGGCAACTCCATAGTGCCCCGAATACAACAGTGTAATTCATTGTGATATGTATCCTGCACAATATCTTCGAACCTCTTGAACTGTGTAGGCTTTAGGAGCAAGGTTCTTTGTACATGCCTGCAATTAGGCATTCGACCTGTCAATGTTGGGGACAAATGTTATTTTAGTTGAAAATACACCATATCCACTGGTTATTTTGAAAAAATACCTGAAGGGAAGAACTATTCTCCACATTATACTAACCTTTAAAATTCCGTTTGAGACATCCTTCACCCGAATGGTAGGCAAGTCGCCATTTGTACACACTGAACGGGCCATCTTTCACACAGTGAAATAAACCCTTTCCATTCCCTCCCAGTCCCCAAGATTTCTTGCTCCATATTGATCCAGTATCCGTTGCCCAAATCCTTTCACCAGCAATGCTCCAATCCCAATAAGGAAGAGTCACGTCTTTATGAATGTAACGAAATAGGTTTTCAAATTGAAGTAAATACCAACGATGCCACGGAAAGAAATGTTTCTGTGAGTGAACCTGTAATAACACAAAGACACTGAAATATTTACAAGAGAAAATATTGTATTTCAAGTGCTGTTTGATCAAATGTCATTCCTGTTATATGGTAGCATTTATTGAAGGAAAAATTTGCATGTGGAAAAGTGTGAAAAAACACAGATGTAGTTTTGAATCTGTGATGTTGAATAATTATGTACTATGTTTTTAAAGTTCTGCATTCATATTTAAAATGTCATTTCTTCCTTCATTGAACTCTGGCGTTTTTCTCATGGGAACTGAGATTTTTGGTTGATATTAAACTTAGCTATACATGCTAGCACTGTCATATTTTTTCTCGGATAAAACACCTCCTATTTTGAAAACAAACTTTCCCTTCTTAGTTGTCACTTGACACTCTTGAGTAAACTGACATCTTTATCATATTTTATGACTATTAGCATCAATTACCACAAGGACTTGCTATATGGCATTGAAAACAGACGGCTTTAAAACATAGTTTTTCATTACCTTTTTAAATAACGTTTGATGAAGTCTTACAAGGTAATCGTAGCGTCTTTTGAATGGTTGTTGTGTCGAGGCTATCTTGTACGCATCGACAAATTTTCGTCTTTCATGATAAGACATAGAGGTGAATTCTTTTCGTATACGTAGGTCGCTGCGATATCTTTTAGCATATGCTGTGCAAAAAAATCAAAGTTGCGTAAAAATTTAACATCACAAAGAGTCGGTAGCTATATCAACGACTGCACACTGTTCATTGTAGTTGTCAAGGCATGTATGATAGTAAATACTCTGAAAAAATGTTTTGTCTTCCTCTCAAAAAATGTTCTTGTTTTGAAGGTAGGAATCATTCAGTTAAGGATACTGTTTTGTGTTGGATTTGGTTATCGTCTTACAATTTAGTACTGTCTATTAACTTCAGTTCTTTCATGAAAGTTATTCATCCCGAATTAATTGCAACATTGCCACTGATGAGTAACAAGACTATTCAAACACAGTCTTACCATTGACTAGAAGATGTTGAGCACTCAAGACCGACACTATCAGTAAATATAGAAAGGATCTTTTTGTAGACATATTACAGTGAATCTCTTTACAGCCTTTTAAACCTCTCCATCATTTCCTGAAACGCTTTGTCGCTAATTTACACTAAGACGCCCCCTCGCTAAAACAAACATTTTTTGTTGCAAAATTATCAACAATTAACTCTTGGGCGACGGCGATTATTTATGCAAAATTTTTTAATAAGTTATATATTTCCGGAAGTGATTGTTTCATCCAAAATATCTCATTAAATACTTTTGTAAAACAAATCACGCCATTAGATAGCCTGAAATAAATGCCTTCCGTTGATATAAATTTTATTACTTGTGCAAGTTTCAGAACGATTAAATCGCTGTTTCTCTGCCATCAACAAAATGCATAAATTACAATGCAATGAAACACTTCAACAAGCTTGTCGGAATTATAGAGTTTTGTGTTGTAGATATGCCAAAACAGACAAGACCATAGTAAAATTCACTCAATTTTCTAAATGAGATGAAATTTCAGCTTTTCACAATCAAAATTAGTGCGGTTTTGTCAATGGAGTAATATTTCCTTCTCGAATTTTATTTTTAAGCCGAACGTCTGTTGCCATGGCGATATGTTAAGACCACGGTTATACTTGATCTTAGGAAAACAAATGATGCTGAGCCGATTCCCGGGGCAATTAAACCGCACTGTTTGAGTTCAAAGATGGATTTTCTTGTATGATCGATTAGCAAACATTGTATCTGCGTGGCTACCATACCTGGTCAGAAAATTTTCTTCAGTATCGTCGGGCTGTCGTGTAGCAAGAGGTTCAAACTATATGATCTTTCTCCGCTAAATTTCGGACACGAGGCATAACTGAAACATGCTGAAAAAATTCGCATAATTAATTGCTTCCATCTTCCCATTCAATTGGATCTTGCCGGGATGATTTTCACGAGCAACTTCAAATTTGCACAGCCAGCTGTCCGGCTGTATATGCTCCGGGATTTGGAAACTTTGCCAAGTTTCTTTACTGGAATTGGGAAAATTTCGTCAAATCGAGATGTAATACTCACTCGAAGTTCTTGACATTGTGTGATAAAATTTGAATGCACTCATTATCTTTTCGAGCATCTATACATACGTTGCCTTCCTTTTTCTACCTTTGTAGTTACGTTAACAACCAACCAGCCTTGTATAAAAGGTACATCCTTAAAGATAGCGACGATAAACTGCTTAAATTTAACACGAATGTAATATCACGGAACGACGACCCTTAAGATGGCAAAATTGACGAAAAAAGTCTTATTGAAGTAATGTACTCAATGTTACCTGAAATGTTCCAGCTTTGACGTTCACATCGACATCATCGTCGTCGTCCACGTAGTTATTTGATGTCAATTCTTCCCAGTGATCTGAGAGTTTGGCAAGCAACTTTTCAGTTTGAATTGCAATGATTTAGCTACTACATTCATTAAATTATCTTCGATCTTCTTAACCGTTTCCATTACCCTGTAAAACAATGAGACAATTTTCTACGGTGAAAGATTTACAGCTTGTGTTTTTATTATCAACAATATCATTGGTGGAAAGCCTGTTAGGTTTTGTGATGTAGCCATCTACCGTCTTTAGTATATGTTGACTTAAAACAACAAATAGACATATCACAGATAACTGTTATGATCACATTTAATGTTCAACGTCAATGTCTGTGTTGTCTACGATCTATCTTACAATGGTTAAACTACTTCTATTTTTACAAGATATTACGTATGGATATATTTGTTTCTTTACCAAATATTGCTAATTTACAATCAACGGAAAGCTATTAGGAACTATAAAAAATATTGTGATTATTGCACATAAGTATCTCTTAAAATAATCATTTAGTTAGTTACACTTGACTTACTGGTTTACTAATTACAGGAAGAATATGGGAGCATATCTTAACAAACCTCGCCGCATCTCATGTGCAGGTCCACCTACCTTCATTTTTCACGCTTGTATTCCAGCATCTGTATCAACCAACTCTGTATTCACAGCCATATTCCGTGTCTTTCATTGCATGCCGTGTCGCCCTAAAATGCAATCTTGAGTCTTGACCTCCACTTCGAGTAGGAACTGCACCCAAAGTGTTCTATTTTTGAAACTGAACCATTCCTGCTCGCGTACTCCATCGAATTTTTCATTTTCTCTTTTTCATATATCAGTTAATTGCCCCCATGAACTATTGTTATTTTGTCTAATTATATAGTTGAATGTCAAAAGTACTAATTTCATTATAAAATTAGAACCATCTGATGTTTCTCGTTAACCTAAATAATTAGGTGTATCGGTTGCAAGCACGTGACAAATATCTTTCAGTTACATACTGTTCATGATTTGAACAACAATTTTTCTTACTTTGGGTCGAACTTACATCTTTTTCTTTGGTTGTAAATCAGTAAAATTTTTTGCACGTTCTACACATAACTTTTGCAGCTAGCTTCGATGATATTCATGTTGAACGCTGGATGATCTTTTTCAAAAAGATTAGAAGCACTTGTAAGTGTTGTCACATCACTGTGAACACCAGTTTTATTTGCAAGCGAGGGTTTTTCCTGTGCATGTTTAGAGCAAAACATAAAAAGGATGCATTTTTTTGTAAAATGAATTGCATTTTCTCCATATTAGTAAGCTGTGGCTTGTCCTCCATAACTATAAAACTGCCACAGAATCTCGGAACAGTTCTGCTGGATATAATTTACAAAACATTACATTTTTCTAAGATTGTTTTTACATTTGCTTTCGGTAAGGATACAGTTGATCATAGAACTGGAATAGTAGCATCAAGAGATTTTCTATTGGCCTTCGCTTTTTTTGTCATATTTGAGGCCCGCTTCAAACGTCGCATTTTAGATGCGCCGAATGCATTTAATACAAAAGAAATTGAGAACAAATTCCTCATTATCTTTTGTTTTAAATACATTCGACTCATGTATAATGCGACGTTTGAAACAAGCCTCATTTGCAGTTTTTAGTTTTATTGGCTTTATGATTTTTATTAACGAGTTTACCTTCTTTTCTCTTAAGTTGTCGTATCGCTTTCTCGTGATCCTTTGGTACAACCATTGAAGAATATCTTACTTGCAAGTTTTTTTTTGATGCTTTTTTGTCCAGTGTCGTTTCTTGTAACAATTTCTACTTGGAATAATATTTTTTTTCACATTTAGACATATATTTGTACGGAAAACAACTCGTTTTCTTTTCGTGGTTTTTTGGTAGATAAAGAAATGTTACCATTGCTAAACCTTTCAAATCCTGCACTGGGTTTTGGTTTTTGTTGCTGGTTTTGGTGGTTTTTTTCCAATACAACATTTATATAGAACGCTTTGAAAAACTTCCTTCCTTTTGGGCTGCTATATTATATACATTCTGCACTTTGCATGGTTTCACTCTAAGAACATGCTTACATAGATGGTTTGTTTAGGTACAGAGGAAGAATAACAAGTATATAGGTAGGATGCTGATTTCAGAACTGCTATGTAGTGTAGCTAAGATGCCGAGAGAGAAACCAAAAAGGAGATACATGAATGTATTGATAAGGACGACATAACGTTTAGTGGTTTGAAAGAAGAGATGAGTACTGATTTATGATGAAAATAAAGACGCATTTTTTGAATTGTTAGATTCAGTAGCATTTAAAAATTTTAATGGAAAGGCAAGGGTATAGACTCTCAGATCTTCTTACAATCTGAAATAAAGTAAGCAAGCCCGTGGAAAAACTTCATCAATATTTGAACAAGAGGCCAGATCACGTGTTTTTAATTACATTCCTGCAGGCCAATGAGTGAGAGAAATCATAGCGGCTTTTGAGTTAAAATAAATAAAGGTTCTTTTGATCTAACACATGAAAAATGCTTCTACAGATTGAAACTCGTAATATTGATAATGACACTCAAACAATTGAAAAATATTGTTCTGTAGGTTTAATTTTGCTTGTATTGTAAAGTTTCCTGTATTGCAAAGTTGCTGAGGCGTTCTTTTTCGGGGAAGCTCTAAGCTGACAAAAGAAAAACGAAACACTTCCTTTGTGGTTTCTAAACTCTTCTTTTTAACAGAAGAGTAAAGTTCTTAACCAATAAAAATGCGATGAAGTCAATGATCTAGTTTTATAATTACAGCGGTTTGCTGCAGTATGTCCCTTTCGACTATGGCCTTAGAAGTATAGAAGCTTCTTATGAAACCTCTACCTTAGAAACCTCTTAAGAAATAAAAATGTGGTAAAGACAAAGATCTTGCTTTAAAATGACAGTTCGCTGCAGTATGTCACTTATCTTATTAGCATCAGAGCACTTCTTATGAAGCTTCTATACTGTAAACTAGCTGTGTAACGATTTTATTTCAACACATGTTTAATCTGGAAAATTGATGGAAACACTATAACCAGAAAGGTTCCCATGACAAAACTATGAGATAAAGCAGGTTTCTTTAAAGTCCTAATGAAGAAAATTGACTGTGAAAACTTTAGTTCAATGTCTGTTTTTCTCTTTTTCGTCATCTTCACAGCACCATCCTGATGTTTTCCCCACTAAAGGTGAACTTAATTTAAGGCATAGTGCTTTGTACCCGGGGAAAGGATCCCGATATTTCAATACCACTCCGCGATCCCCGAGGTCATTATAATCCATGAAATCGCCAACTTTGTACCGTGAACGCTCGAGATGTGAATTCAAATCATCGTTTATCGCCCATTTGTATCGTATTCCATTCTTTTGCCAATCATACCATATTTTATCAATAAACGCGTGGTGTAAAAGAAATTCTGGCGTGTTACTTGCTTTTGGCAACTCCATAGTGCCCCGAATACAACAGTGTAATTCATTGTGATATGTATCCTGCACAATATCTTCGAACCTCTTGAACTGTGTAGGCTTTAGGAGCAAGGTTCTTTGTACATGCCTGCAATTAGGCATTCGACCTGTCAATGTTGGGGACACATGTTATTTTAGTTGAAAATACACCATATCCACTGGTTATTTTGAGAAAATACCTGAAGGAAAGAACTATTCTCCACATTATACTAACCTTTAAAATTCCGTTTGAGACATCCTCCACCCGAATGGCGGGCAAGTCGCCATTTGTACACGCTGAACGGGCCATCCTTCACACAGTGAAATAAACCCTTTCCATTCCCTCCCAGTCCCCAAGATTTCTTGCTCCATATTGATCCAGTATCCGTTGCCCAAATCCTTTCACCAGCAATGCTCCAATCCCAATAAGGAAGAGTCACGTCTTTATGAATGTAACGAAATAGGTTTTCAAATTGAAGTAAATACCAACGATGCCACGGAAAGAAATGTTTCTGTGAGTGAACCTGTAATAACACAAAGACACTGAAATATTTACAAGAGAAATATTGTATTTCAAGTGCTGTTTAATCAAGTGCTGTGATGTTGAATAATTATCTATTATGTTTTTAAAGTTCCGCATTTATATTCAAATGTCATTTCTTGCTTCATTTAACTCTGAAAATTTTCACTTGGAAAGTGAGATTTTTGGTTGATATTAAACTTAGCTATACATGCTAGCTTTGTCAAATTTTTTCTCAGATAAAAATACCTCCTATTTTGAAAACAAACTTTCCCTTCTTAGTTGTAAACTTTGACACTCTTGAGTAAACTGTCATCTTTATCATATTTTATGACTATTAGCATCAATTACCACGAAGACTTGCTATATGGCATTGAAAACAGACGGCTTTAAAACATAGTTTTTCATTACCTTTTTAAATAACGTTTGATGAAGTCTTACAAGGTAATCGTAGCGTCTTTTGAACGGTTGTTGTGTCGAAGCTATCTTGTACGCATTGACAAATTTTCGTCTTTCATGATAAGACATAGAGGTGAATTCTTTTCGTATACGTAGGTCGCTGCGATATCTTTTAGCATATACTGTACAAAAAATCAATGTTACATAAAAATTTAACTTCAAAAAAAGTCAGTTGCTATATCAGCGGTTTTCAGTGTAGTGGTCAAAGCATGTATGATAGTAAATACTCTGAAAAAATGTTTTGTCTTCCAGGTAGGAATCATTGAGTTAAGGATACTGTTTTGTGTTGGATTTGGTATCGTCATACAGTTTAGTATTGTCTATTCCATATGAAAGTTATTAATCACAAATTAATTGCCTAGGAAATTCAACATAGCCACTGATGAGGAACAAGACTATTTAAACACAGTCTTACCATTGACTAGAAGATGTTGAGCACTCAAGACCGACACTATCAGTAAAGGTAGAAACGATCTTTTTCTAGACATACTCCAGTGAATCTCTTTACAGCCTTTTAAGCTTCTCCATCATTTCCAGAAACGCTCCCTTTCGCAAATGTACGATAAGACGCTGTCCTTAAAATATAAAAGTCTTTGTCTTGCAAAATTATTAGCAACCAATATATCATCCAGTTATACGACTTCAACACCGGAAAACATTCTTTTACGTGTAGGTTTTGTTGCTAAAGACCTTTAAAAAGTCGCAAGAACCAAAGTACCTAACATTCAAAAGCAATCAACTGACACGTCAGGAAATGGCGAATGTGCTTGAAAAAATAATTGAAACTGATAACACACTGCGTAACCTTGCTTCGAATTTTTTAATTCACCTGCTAATACAAGCGATTTGTCACAGGAGCCACTACAACCTGGGCCGGATTAACTATATGGCAGAAGGGCGTCCGCCCACGGGCCCCGCGCTTTACTCAGCTCCAATATTTTTCGACACATTGGTGGACGAGGATGAACGAGACATCCTCTGATGAATCTGACGCAAAGATGACACAATGAAAGATGACAACGATGTCACAATTAACGTGGATTCATTGGAATTGTGCATGTACAGACTTCTTCTGGAGAACAATATAGAAACTGTATTTCCAAACACTGTACTTGCCCTACAAATCTATGTTAGGCCCAGTTCAAACGTCAAACTTTACATGAACCGAACGCATTTAAAACAAAAGATAATGAGGAAGTTTATCTCATTTTCTTTTGTTTTTAATGCGTTCGGTGCATGTAAAGTTCGACGTTTGAACGAGGCCTTAGTCTCAAGATCTCGAACTGTTCTGGAAAACGTTCCTTTTCTAAACTAAAGCTTATCAAGAATCACTTCCGATCATGTATGACACACAGACACAGAAGCTACTTAACAACAAAAATGATCTGCTTCGTAGCATTGACATGTCGTCCATAATTAACGAGTTTGTTGTAATGAAATCCCGCAAACACAACGTTTACAAAGCAAAATGCGATTTTAGTAAAAGAGATGTTATATTATTTACACGTACATTTTACATACATGTCGAGCAGGCATGCATCGTCACATCAGAGCATGTATACTGAATCTTATGAATGTTTAGTTGGTTGATTAGGTTTAATTTTTACTTTATAATCAAGTTTTCTATAATTGTCAATTAATGTTATGATTTAGGCTGGGTTGGAAATATGTGTAGGAGTCAACAACATAATATTGTACAGTTCCTTTAAACGATAAGACAAAGAAGAATTGTAAATGGCATTCCTTAGAATCTTTCGTTTTCCCCAATATTGTCTTGGTAACTTGGTAATATACACTACTAATGCTACTATGTCAAAGGAATGTGGATTTATTCGCTAATTTTTAACTAATTGATGACTTTTAAAGATAATTTTCGTTTGACTTTTTTCTTTTTTGTGTGTCTATTAAAGATAGCAGCTGAATTTACCGATGTGAAAGGTATTTGTCTGTCTATTGTAGTCATTTTCTTTGTTAATAATTTAATTGATGAATTCGCGTTTACGAATATGATGGTTTCGCATTAGTGTCATAGAATAAAGTAGAAAAAGAAGAAATAGTTTAATCACTAAGAAATCGCTTGTCTTATACTATACTAAGAGAATGATTTATCAAATCTTTTGTGTTGGAATTTCAAGACTATTTACACTAGATGGTGTATAAAAAAGAACCTTTTGAAATTAACCAGGGATTTCAATTTCAAAGCCAATGATAAAGATATGTGACAAAGATATGTAATATATGCACATAGTGACAACATTTTACGCATCCATAAGCTTGACAAAGTTGTGGCGCGTTGAAATTAGAACAGTTGGCTGATTTATAAAGCTGCGTTTACTTTACAGCAAATTCGCTTATCACGACATCTTCGTTTCCTTTAAGTTGTAACTGCTCGGACTAAATGCTTATTAATTTGATAGATTTAGTCTGAACGTTATCACTGCCTTGTAAAACAAAGAAAATTTCACCTGTTTTGATAACAATCTGGTAAAGTTTAAACGAGGCGTAAAGATCTCCTTTAATTAAGCTGTAAACATTAAAAAAAACATACATAATTTTCACGATATTATTAAACGACACATACGTATATATTAAAGTTAGCAATGTTTTTTGTTTTTCAAATAATTATATATTTATTTAATTGTTGTGCATGACAGGCCTTCTGTTGACTTATAAAGCCTTCTTTTTGATATTCTCCATTAGGCACTGTTGTTTTAAAACCAATGTTAATGTCACGTATTTTTGCTATCGCATTACTTCACATGTGAAAACTTGTCGCTGTGTGTTTACTTTGAACACGCGCAACCGTCTCATCATTTCTATTTGTCAGAAAATATATATGACTGCCAACATTATGGTAATCTCATGCGTAATGAGATGTAGGTGGCACAAAAAAAACTTTATTGTAAAGATGCTTTGTCTTTTCTTTATTGTGAATCTTTGATTACGTATTCCGAATGTCTAATTTTTTTGTTGTCGTGCATAAATTTCTTCATCCAAAGAGTGCAAGAATGCAAGAAATGAATTTACATCGATGTCGTTACGAGAGCGCATGCGTTTCGTGCAAACGTACAAAACGATTACCACGCGTGATCCTTATAAATCCCGTTATAATGAGCTGGTCTTTGATCATCCCAAGTTATCCAGTCATATCCACACGTTGGAGCAGTTCTTGCCCTGGCATCGTCACATGTTGAGGAACTTTGAAAAGTTAATGCAAGAGGTCTGAACTTTGGTAACAAGCTCTGCGATTTGTTGGTCGCAGTTTACGCTTTTACATTGTGAACTTCATCTAGAGTTGATTCCTTACTTGCAGGTTGATCCAGCGGTTACTCTACCTTACTGGGATTGGAGCCTCAATCATCTCTCACCATGGAGGACTTCTATCTTAGATATTTGGAGTGCGCAGCCTTGGGGTCTGGGAGGAAATGGTGATGACGTCACCAGATGCGTCACCAATGGACCGTTCTCCGTCAAACAATGGAGCATTGTAACAGCTGGTGGGGGTCATACATGTCTAAAGAGGAGGTTTAATGGTATGTTGCTGTTATACAGTGTATAATATCATATGATGAATCAAAAGTTGTTTTCTACTAGCTCTTCATTCATAGGTATTACTCCCGGGATTATGACCATCCATCGTGCTTTGCGGTTTGAGCCCGCAAACTTTACACAGTTCGAAGATTACGTGCGTAATTTTCTTCATGATGTTATACATTGGAGGATAGGAGGAACGATGGGGGATGAGTACGGTAGCCGAGCTCCAGAGTTCATGTTGCATCACGGATTTTTGGATAAAATTTGGTCTGATTACCAGCAACAAAGCGACGAACATAAATGGACTTTCTTCAAGAATTCCAATTATAATATATTCAAAACAAATATTTCTGTTCTTGATGTCGTGGATAATACAGATATATTAGGGGATAGCGTATGTTATAATGATCCTTTTGAGGATTATAAGGACATCCATAGAACCTTACGAAAATACAACCTGAATACAATAAGAGGTCTTATGTCAAGGGAAGCATTTACTGCGCCTTACTTTGAACATTATATAGAATATTAATATGATGTGTGACTTGAAAATATTAAAGTACAGGTTAATATTAATCAAACAATGCGCAGGGATTCAGAATGGAATCTTGTTTATAAAGTGAACGGTTTGAATATTCCCTCTTCATATGAGCTTGATCTTCTCAGGATGAGATTGACTTATGACTAAGGTTATCGAAGAAACATCGGTCATCACTCGTCACCAACATAACAAAAGTTCTTTTAGGACATATAAATGGACGATCTACATCTACAAACACGAAACAGTACTTCTAGGCTAAGGTTCTAATCAATAATTTTCTTGCGATCATGTGAACGACAACTTGCCAACAACTACATACAGCAATTTTTTTACTTGACTCTTGTCTAAGGTTGTCAGTCATCAAATCAAAACCATTAGTCTTTCTCAGGACCCCACTAACCTGGACAGTGTACATTTACAAAAATCTGTCTCGTTTATGGTGTTATAAGAAGTTGATACGTAGCTAGTAGGAGACTGGGAAAGATATCAGCCAAAATTTAACTCCCGCGTTGCAAATTATTGTGTAGAAAATTTGTTTCACCTGTTGTTTTTCAGTGACTTAACCCAATTTTATTTGCATAGCAAAGAGAAATGAAGAGTGTTCGTGCCATAACATTTTGTTATCAGCAGGCCCACCTGTTCTTCATCTGATGGAAAACTCATGTCTAAGAGAGATGTTAATTTAATGTTTTTAATTTCTTTTTTTCAGTCATGAAATGAATTTTCACTTTGATAAGGCAGAAACTTAAAACAGGGCTTAAAAGTTTAACCATATTTTTCGCCTAGTTTCTATTGAAACGGTAAATATGCTGTTGTTGAGTATCGACATTTGGGCAATATGTGTGATTTTAAACTATTTTATGTAAATATGAGCACCTGGTACCACCTGCCAGCGTTTAACCACAGTAAATAATGTAAAAAATGGCGGATTGAGTTGATGTTCTTTTCAAGAACAATCTCGTGGTTTTAATACCACGCAAATAATTTAATATGGATTTTTTTGTGAAGAAAGTAATGTGAAATTCAACATAGATAATCAGGATGACGGACGGTTATAAACTAGTGTCTGGTGGAGATGATATTAAATTATGGAAGTGGCCAGAACTGAAGCTTTTGTACAGTTTAAAACCACATTCGAACGCTGTCACTTCTCTTGCTTGGAGTCCCAATAGTATCCTTAGCCGTTCCAACTTTACTTTACCTAAATCAAAGTAACTATATCATCATACTTATCGTACGTTTGATGTAATTTTTGCCGTTTCAATTCTTTGAATTGTTTATTTATTTAGAAATATTGTCGATTTCGTCCGATATGGATTTCAACCTCTCTAAAATGGATAATATCTCAAATTTCATTTTCTTTAAATCCTATTGACTTGATATATAACATTAATTTTGTTATAATTGTTAGTTTTGAGCCTTGACATAAACGTGTTAGATAATTATTTGGCAAGTACAGCAGTGGACAATACAATTGTAGTCACATCATTCACAAAGTCAGCACCAGCATCAATTGAGCTTGAAGGCTGTGTAAGTTTGCTTTGTTTGTAATTTTGATAACATAACATGAGAACTGGTACTGAACAAAATCAATTCTATAGACATGTTATGTTGCTGGTCAGTATATATCATAACTTAGAGTTTTAGTAATACAGAGGTATTTCGCTTAAGAAGTATTTTCCCTAAATGTATATATATGTACATAAGCCTGATGCATTTTACAACATGGCATTCTAAGTTAATGTAAGTGAAATCACTGCAGCAAACACCATTTATTGACTGAGACTCAGGGAAATAGTTTGTTTTGTTTACCCAAGATCTCCATTGTTTTCTGAGGCAAACTGCTCGTAGAATCGCCGTAGATAATCTCACTCTCAAGGTGCTTGGTAGTAAACAGCTTAATTTCTTCACACGTATGTGAAAATACAATCAAATACAATATATGGGTACTAAAATATGATGTACCTCTTAAAGTTGTGTTATTTTAGGAGAATGACACATGTTTGGGCTTCAATGCCACATCTCGACATTTAGTGACTGCTGGAAGGGATAAAATTATAAATATTTGGGACCTAAAGACAAGGACAATCAAAAAGAAAATAAAGGTAGGAAACAATTATAGCTCATCTTAGAATTTTGATCATTTCACACTATAGTTGTTGATTTTTGATGCAGGGTCCATCAGATGCAATAAGTTGTGTGACATTTAATTGGAATGATACAAGTGTGGCTGTGGGAACCACTAAAGGAGATATTGTTTTAAATAGTCTGTCAACGTCACTTACCTCAATGCCAATGCGTTTATTAAATACACAGGTTTGTTCATATAAATAATTTAAATAATGTCTCTTTGTTTCATACATGCTACTTTTTCCACATAAGTCCCAACCTTCTTCACGTAAAATGCTTCTTTCTCCACATAAATCCCTATCGCCTCCACGTTTATCCCTACCTCATTCGCATACAATCCTTCTTTCTCCACTTCCATCCCATCGTCTCTACGTACATCCCATCTTCTCTACGTACACCCACCTTCTCTACGTACACCCATCTTTTCTACGTACATCCCATCTTCTCTACGTACACCCACCTTCTCTACGTACACCCATCTTTCTGCGTATTGTCCATCTTCTCCATTCCATCTTCCTTCTGATCTTTCCATTCCATCCATTCCACCATCCATCCATTCCTTCCATTCCATCCATCTTCTTCCATTCCATCCCATTGTCCATCTTCCATTCCATTCCATCTTCTTCCATCTTTTCCATTCATCCATCTTCCATTCATCTTCTGTCCATTCCACCCGTTACGTCCATCTTCCATCTTTCCATCACGTCATTCTTCTGCGTGCATCCAAATCTTCATTTCCATCCTTTTCATTACGTCCATCCCTATTTCCGTTGTCCATTCTCCATTCCATCCATCTTCTTCATCCATCTTCCATTATCCATCCATCTTTGTTCCCTTCCTTCCTCCATCCATCCATCTTCTTCCATCCATCCATCCATCCATCCATCCGTCCATCCATCCTTCATCTTCCATCCATCTTCATCCACATCCATCTTCCTCACCATCTTCTTTCTTTCATCCATCTTCCTCTTTCTTACATCCCATCTTCTCCGTCCATCTTCATTTTCCACGTCCATCCTGTCATTGCGTCCATCTTTCGCTGCGGTACGATCCATCTTCTTCCATTCATCCATCTTCTTCATCCATCCTTCCATCCATCCATCCTTCTTCCATCCATCTTCCATTCCATCCATCTTCATTCCATCTTCTTCCATTCCATCTTCCATCCATCCTTCTTCATTGTCCATCCATCCATTCCACCTTCTCCATTCCATCTTCTTCCATTCCATCCATCTTCTCACGTACATCCATCTTCTACGTTACATCCATCCTATTTCATTACGTCCATCTTCTTTCCGTCCCATCTTCTCTTGTACACCATCTTCTCTGCATCCATCTTCTTTGCGTACATCCATCTTCTCATCATCCACCACCCCTCGTACATCCATCTCCGTCCATCCCTCTTCTACGTACACTCCATAATTTATTGTTAACGTTTCTTGTGTATTACATAAATATACGTTTCTCCAATATTATATTCTCGAGTTTCCGTTCAAAGAACAAATACAAGAAAGACACTATTATTCTTCTTGAACATTGAGTGCGAGTTCAACACATCAGCATGTACGTTGATGTGTAATGTAATATGTCAACTGTGACCTAATGTTTGCGTTTGTTGCATTTACTAATCCAGAAGTAAAAATATCCTTATAGAAAATGCTTTGATTTGAAAACTCCAAGATTGAGTATTTACTGAAGATTAAGTATTTACTGAAGATTGGGTATTTACTGAAGATTGAGTATTTACTGAAGATTGAGTATTTACTGAAGATTGAGTATTTACTGAAGATTGAGTATTTACTGAAGATTGAGTATTTACTGAAGATTGAGTATTTACTGAAGATTGAGTATTTACTGAAGATTGAGTATTTACTGAAGATTGAGTATTTACTGAAGATTGAGTATTTACTGAAGATTGAGTATTTAAGATTGAGTATCTACTATCACTTTTTCAGACAGTTTACGCCATTCAATATTCACGATTCAAAAATCATTACTGGGTTCTGTCAGCGACGATGGCGCGTTGAACATCTGGGATACAAATACGAAGAAGATTTCCTGTTCTTTTCACGATGGACATGCGGCGCCTGCGATGGATTTAAGTTTTTCACCAATGAATGATATGTTATTGGCAACAGTTGGTCTTGACAAGAGGATTGTGTTTTATGATATATTGGGGAAAAAGTAAGAGTATGTTTGGGTATTTAGTATTTGTGGACAAAGGTCGACCAAAGGAAGGCTAGATGAGACAAAGGTTGACTAAAGGAAGTCTAGATGAGACAAAGGTTCACTAAAGGAAGGCCAGATGAAAAAAGGTTGGCTAAAAGAAGGCTAGATGAGACAAAGGTTGAATAAAGGAAGGCCAGATGAAAAAAGGTTGGCTAAAAGAAGGCTAGATGAGACAAAGGTTGAATAAAGGAAGGCTAGATGAGACAAAGGTTGACTAAAGGAAGGCTAGATGAGGCAGAGGTTGACTAAAGGAAGGCTAGATGAGACAAAGGTTGACTAAAGGAAGGCTAGATGAGACAAAGGTTGACTAAAGGAAGGCTAGATGAGACAAAGGTTGACTAAAGGAAGTCTAGATGAGACAAAGGTTCACTAAAGGAAGGCCAGATGAAAAAGGTTAAAAAGAAGGCTAGATGAGACAAAGGTTGAATAAAGGAAGGCTAGATGAGACAAAGGTTGACTAAAGGAAGGCTAGATGAGACAAAGGTTCACTAAAGGAAGGCTAGATGAGACAAAGGTTCACTAAAGGAAGGCTAGATGAGACAAAGGTTCACTAAAGGAAGGCTAGATGAGACAAAGGTTCACTAAAGGAAGGCTAGATGAGAAAAAGGTTGACCAAAGGAAGGCTAGATGAGACAAAGGTTCACTAAACTATAGGATATAGAAGAATTGTTTATAGAATTTAGGTTTGCATTGATACATGAGAGCTCAGCTTCAACAAAAAAGTCGTGGTGACGTCATGTCTTTAAATGCAATAGGATTTATTCAAGACATCCAGAAATATAGATGAAATGTCTCGCGACGTTTTGAGCCAAGGCCACATGGTATAGAGGAGGGTTAGTTAGGACAAAAATATTAAGACAAATGAAATGTCTCTCCAATTTCAAGCGAAGCTCTTTTTAATTGAACTAAAAATCGTTACAAGAAATGATTTTATATTTTGAACAATTTATTTCAATAGGATTATTAAGGAAATGCAAATCGAATCCCCACTGACCTCTATATCGTTTATGCACGACGGAGCAACATTTGCTGTTGGAACAACACGTGGTAAGGAGCCTTGCGTCTACATTTGTTGTCGTTATGCCGCCATTCACTTGTATTTATTGTCTCTTCAGGGAAAATTAGCTTGTACGACCTGCGATCAGGTAGCACTCCCCTTTCATCCACCATGGCTCATAAATCCTTGGTGCAGTGTGTCTCATTCCAGTTGCCACCAAAGGTTTGCATCACTCATTCTCCACTTTATGTTGTTCGAACTGCTTTATTATTGAGTATGTTATACACAGGCAGTTAAAAAGAACTGCTCGGGCTTTTTCTTGTGCAATGAAATAGCAACATTATCATTGGTCGATTTGGTCAACTTCATTGACAGCTTTTCGAACTGAGGGGCCGTTCACATGAGCCCGCGGTAACCGGGATTCAGCGGGGCGTGAAATGATTTTGAGTAATTGAAAAAAGTAAAAACTTTAAGCGCAAAACTTACAACCTTCTATTAAGCTTCATAAGTCATTTGAGTCGTAATTTTCAAATCAGGCTAAATTATTTGTTTTCATTATAAGCGTTCTCTGGACTTGCGAAGTCAGAGCACAGAGAAATAGCTCAAATAAGTTTTTTGTTGTGAAGTATTTAATCTTTTCCATTTGCCAATATGATTTAACGCTTCTCTGAATCCCGGCTACCGGGCTTCATGTGAACAGCGCCTAACTCAAAGCTGTGATTAAAGAATGAGGATTCAATACTTATTACTTATACTATTGTTTATTTTTGCATGACTTATACCTAATGTTTTGGCATTTTCTCCCAACGCTATCTCATTAAACTACTTTCATGCTTGTGAGCAGTTTCTGTTGACTGCCTGTGCGATTAAGTGATCGCTCTTCAAGTATTTTATTTCTCTCACAACACACCATCTGAAGATTTTATACTTTTTTCATGCTTCATTTGTTTTATTTATCTTTCGTTTCAGTCCAGTAGCTCATCTTCGTCGTCTGCTACGTTGGCGGCAAAATTGGTGAGTAGGTCAGCAACGAATGTTGGCGATAAGAAAGAGACAACTGCATCATTAGTCCAAAGTATAGCTGGCAAACCTAAAATTGTCCAATCATCTGCTCATAACGAAAACCAACATACTGAAGAAAATGATTTATTTTCTCCTCTCAGAGACGGTATGACCTTAAGATAATATTACGTAAACATTAATAAAAACTATTATCTATTATTTATTTATTTATTATCTTATTGTATCATCCATTAATGCTCTTGTATCCTTATTGTACCGTGCAGCATTCCTGTCGTATCCTTATTGTGCCGTACAGTAATTCTGTCGTATCCTTATTGTACTGTGCAATAATCCTGTCGTATCCTTATTGTACTGTGCAATAATCCTGTCGTATCCTTATTGTACTGTGCAATAATCCTGTCGTATCTTTATTGTACTGTGCAATAATCCTGTCGTATCCTTATTGTACTGTGCAATAATCCTGTCGTATCTTTATTGTACTGTGCAATAATCCTGTCGTATCTTTATTGTACTGTGCAATAATCCTGTCGTATCTTTATTGTACTGTGCAATAATCCTGTCGTATCTTTATTGTACTGTGCAATAATCCTGTCGTATCCTTATTGCACTGTGCAGGATCCCTCCCATATCCTTATTGTGCAATTTCCCTCTCCTACATAATCATATTTGTGCTATAAAGTACTTCTTCATGTCTTTGTTGTACACTGCATTTTATTTCGTCCTTGTCTTTGTTGTACACTGTAGTTTTTTTCCTGACACCCTATGCTATGGTCACTCGTCCATATTGTTTCATTCTGTAATCAATGCCATCGTTAAAACACCCGCTCATTCATTAACATCAACCAATGCTCACATGTTACATTGCAAATATTTTTTGAATGTCATAGGAACATATGCGAGCACTGTCAAACTTGTTGAGACAAACCGTGATGCAGATGAAAAAATGAACGCAAATATATCTGATTATAAGACAGGTAGCCGACAAACACAAATACATTTTGGCTTCTCAACTAAGTTGCTTTTAAAACCTTTGTGCTTTATAAAACCTTCCAAGTAAAATTGCTTTTATACAATTAAGACAAAAATAAAAATAAAAACGTTATGATTTCTTTTATGCCGCTTTTGTCTCAGCAGCTTAATAGTCAAGATATTTCAATCCATTTTTGTGATTTTCCTCGTTTTTAAGCTCTTTTTGTGTTGATAAGGCCTTTCATTCTTTTGTTTTTCTGTAGGTGCATCATCGTCTAAAATTTTCTCTCCAGTCAACAACGAAACAGACTCCTATCATTTGCCTCTTCAAAGATCCGACTCGACTCCAAATTTAAATGACGTCACCATTTCATCCACCAGTAAAGATATACCTTACGTTACCAGGCAACCATGGGCTGTTTCTAATATTGCTTCGAATTCCGGCGATCTGCCACCGGAAGCATCCAAAACAGAGAAAACACGACGAGGAGCTTTAAAACTGGGTAGAAATAGACCAAGCTTAGGAAGGAGAGCCGTATCCAGCACGGAACTGAAAGTTAGCAGACAGGCGAGTGAATTGGGGACGACACAAAAGATGGCCGATATTTCCTTGACGAGTGGTAAAGAAGGTATGTTAGTTCATTACTCATGATAGTTCTTCAATTCATTATTTGTGAAAATATCATCCTAATTATCATCTATCAGTAGCGTATCCGGGTTATGAACAATGCCGAGAGTATGGTGTTAAAAAAAATGAGCAGCTTTTGTTTCGATCTGTTATGTTGACTTCTGACTTGAACAGTATCCTCTATGTTACTGTGTTATCAATGTCAAAATGTTACCGTAAATATTTGTTTAAAAAAAACAAAAGTACTTCTGTATTCTGCTAAACAGCATAATTAATGTGATAGAAAGCGGTTTAATATAATAATTAGCGAATTAGCTATCACATAACGATTGATTAATAATACATCATAGGTTCATACGACTTTTCGTTTCGTTTGATATTATAAATGGCGTACATGCTGTTGACGAGCGATAAAAATGTACAAGTTTAATGATTTCAAAACACTTCGCTCGTCATGTTGGGTATTTTGAATTACGATGACCTAACCGCAATATTAAGTCTTTATCCCAAAAGATAGTGCTGCTTTTAAAATTAATATTTAAATTTCCTTAATATTAAAGTTCCATAAACTTAAACTTGGCTACTTTTCTTTTTGTCGATCTTTTTTATCGGATTCTACTGCTACTTAATCGTTTGAACAAATTTTTAGGCCCTTCCGTTGAAGTATAGTAACATAGTAATCGTTTACGAAGTTTAATGTAAAATAGAAACTTCATGAAAACAACAAATAGCTTTCTTTGCCTCTTATGAAATTATAAGTTGTCTTTGTGATGTTTTGTATTCGTTCAAAATTATTGGTCGTCTTTTGATATTTCATTTCCTGTTTCAATTTTGTCGTCTTTATATTTCGTTTCCTCTTTTAATTATTCTTCGTCTTTTTGATGCTCTGCTTTTTTTCTTTGCGGTTTTTTATGCAAAGTTTACAGTTGTCTTGTATTTTTTTCTCTTCAGTCTTGAATGGTCAAATCTCGCCTACACCAAAGAACAATGAAAAGCTTCCCGGCTTTCATGAATACCAAATAAAATTTGTCAAAAATCTCATCGAGGACTCCATGGACGAATTCAGGTACAAGCAGGGAACTCAGAGACACTCATTGTGTACACGGTACAATTTTTGAGGAATTGTAATTGGCTGGCATGATGTGCTATTGTTGTATGTTAATTGCAGGACACTTTGCGTGGACATAATCTTTTTTAAAGGCTGATTTACTTGGTTGAATAAGAAAAATATGAGTGAAAACAAATTGTTATAGTTGAGAAATAGTTTCGAGAATGTTCTTGTTAACTTTCCGGGCAAAAGGAGTGTTCCTTTGAAGTTACACTTCTTTGTGCTTTTAGAATTAGTGAGCTTCTCTTATCGTCCTTTGCATGTTCTGTACTTGTTTCGAAATCGGGAGGACGGGTGAAAAGACAATCTACTTACAGTTGTCAATGAATTTTTTTTTTGTGTTTAATTTGTGTGTTCTTCGCTTGTCTTGTCTATGTCGGAATGAAAACTGTTTCTACTATCAAACCTTCTCTTGAATCTAATTTTTTAATTGATTTCTTTTGAAAGTTCAAGCAGTGTCAGAAATTTCCATCTGAGTTGAATATAATCGAAAAAAAAGTCAGTCAGTGCAAAAATCCTCTCAGTTGGAAGTTCAGCATCGATCTTTACGTTCTCCGCTTTGAGAGTGAGAACAGTAATTGATAGTATTTGTTGCAGGAGAACTTTATATGTATCACATTACGCATTTTTATAAATTCTTTTCGTTAGGATGAACTTCCATCAAGACGTCGTGAATCTGCAGGTAGAAATGCTTCGACAGTTTCAAATCCAACAGGTAGAATATACAAATAACATTATAACTTGTGCAAGATGGACTCGTTGAAAAATAAAAGATGTTTACTGTGTTTGTTTATGCAAACCGAGGAGGTCTTTGGGAGAACTCGAGAGCAGATCAGTGCAAGCCCGAGACCGAAGGGCGAGAGTTTTCACAAACTTCTCCGAGGTTTTCCAAAGCCAGTGCAAACCAAAAGAGCATCTTTTATTTTTTTAATAAAGTAACAGTAATGCAAAACAGATGAATTTAAAACAATTTTTCTAATTTTCCTCGAACATATATATATTCACGATTGATTTGCAAATTCTCTTTGATTGCTTTAAATCGAGCGCTGAACGGTTTGCACAAACTTATGCAAACTTTGCTATAAAGCATTCAGCTCGCGCGTTTCATTGTTGCTATTTCATAATTGTTATGAACTTTGAAGCAATTTTGAATCGTCCAACACTTTTAGAACGAAATGAAAACGTTATTACAACAACATTCATCGAATGACGCTCTAGTGGCCGAGAATGAACGATTACGGGAAGAAATTAAACGTCTAAAATCTACACATTAAAATCGATCAGTTGTGTATTTTAATGGGTATGGATAGATCACTTTTGTATCTTTACGTACATTGTAGGTCATTAGTGTATCTTACGTTTATCATTAGTGTATGATGTATAAGACACGTCTCGTAGTGGAGATTACTATAAAGTGCTGCTGCTCAATTGGGACACCCGTTGAGACAAAGCAAATCTTGCTTAGCAGAGTTATATAATTTTTTGCTGTCTGTTGTACACAATCTTCCGTGTGAGAATCGACCATGATTTTATATATATTTATAAATGTGTCTTTTTAAAGCGCGGATATAAAGTTTCGCTTTCAAATTTCATAAGTACTTTCGCTTTCAGTAAGTTGGTTCTGGAGTTGTTATTGTCAACATGGGAAGAACTCTATGATATGTAAAACCAGCAGAGAGAATTATACTGGAGTAAAAAGAAAGAAAACTTTACCATAATATTATTTTTTAAAACTTTAGTACAAATCTTTAGGTAACGTTACATTAAAAAAAAATTACGTTGTGATTGGATAAAATTTGAAACTAGGAAAACATTTTAAATGGTGTAATAATGAAAAAAATATGAAGGGGCAAGCTCCTCTCTCCTTCCCTCCAATCCAGAGAATATTTTTGACACCCCCCTGGCTCTGGAGTCACTGATACATCCCAGGTTGGTTCCTTATGATTTTTATATGTTTACTATAAAATGAAGGACATGATTTTCATACATATTAGAAGGAATTGGGGATTGATTTGCCAAAGGAAAAGGTGTCAATTTCTTTGGTAATATCTTTCTATACAGAGTCAGGATACTTAAATTTGGATGCTTAAATTTTACAAGGATTTTTTTATATTTTTTTTTGCTATAATAAAAATTTCATTATAGATTGGAAATAATTTTTAGCCAGGTAATTGGGAAGTTCATCTTTTGATAACCACGTTGAATCATTTAGAAAATTTTCCAATTGTTTGTGGAAGTCGCCTCTTAGATCAGCCAGATAGAAGAACATCTACAACAAAGGAAAGCAATAGATTAGAGAAATACATCCTTCAAAAAATGATGAAGCTTTTTGTGAAGACCTTTGGGTTGGTTTTTGGCAGTCCATCTCTCTCAGGTTTCCTGTAAATCCCAGAAGGAGCATTACTGAAAAACTGAATTTCAAAATTCTCAGGTACATAATCACAAGCAACACGCTCTGCAGTCTGCGAAAAACAAAATGAACAAATTAAAATAACTTTTTTCAAAAAATAATTGTTTGAAAGCACTAAGTTCGCGCTGTTTGCTAATCAGATTCACACATAGATGAAAGAGTAATGAACCAAAGAAAGAAGGCAGAATGCGGACAAGATTAAGGATTAAGAGATTTTGCATGTGAAAATTGAAGCAAAATCTTCAAATCTTGACACTCACTTGTCTCAAGGTTTCTCCCACTTGAACAACACCGTGTGGCAATTGCATCTTGCTGGAGTTTACATCTTTGATCAGGAGATATAATGTTTGGTCTATTTTCCTATATGGTGTGTGTATATTCTCACATTCATCAGCTTCAGTTGTTCTTTTCCCCATGATAGGGTCTTTTATATGTTGCTGCTCAATATCATAAAGCTCCTGTCAACCACAATGACACAAAAATCATCATTTTTTTTATCAATTGCATATTAGTAAGAATTAACAAAGGTCAATTGACCTGATGTTTTGAATCAAGTTCCGCAGCTTCTTTCTTTAACGATTCGTTATCTTCATCATTTTTCAATTTCTCTTGCAAAGAATGAACATTGATCTCATTCACTTCATAATCAGATAAAGAGCTGTGCTCTAATTCCAGTTGTTCTTGCAACTCTTCATACTGCATTTCTAATTCTGTTTTCTCACGAGTTATTATAGGAAGCCTTTGAATGCATACAGCTACATGGATCTCAGGAAATTGGTTTTTTAACGATGTTGGAGTACTTGATTTTCTTGCCAGTGAGGTAAACGAACATGCATTGATAAAACCTATCATATATCGAAATAATTTGGCGCACACAGTCAAAATTAATCCATGTTATCTAAACATCAATTTCGAAATCGCTCATGTTAGAAAATTTTGCATGAACTAAAAAAGCTCACCTGCACCTGAGCTTTTTAAGTTTCTGTAAGTTTTGACTGATTGTATTCCACATTTTGTGCGACTAGCTTTTATCAAGTTGAAAAAGATATTTTCAAAAGAGTAAATTTTGCATCTCGGAGTCGCCATGATGTACTACGGGTAATTGTACCTGGGTAACATACCCCGTAGCTCATATCGTATACTCAATTTGCCTCAAGGTCCGCCAGAGAAGTTGATAGAACTTGACACCATCGCAAACCCTTCCGATTTCACCGAATTTAGTCTTGAAAAAGTTGAAGAATGACTTCAGTTGTCGTTTTTGGAGCTTCGGTGGGTTGTTCTTTGTATGCTTACTATGCAGTTTGCTCGAAAGTGCGCTAGTTCGGCATCGTTTTAACTTCATTGTTGTTGTCTGTTTTATTTAAGGGAGATCTAGCCAAGAAGAAAATATACCCAAGTTTATGGTGAGAACCGAGTTTTCGCTTCATTTACAGCTTTCATATTTCATTTGCAGGGGTTTTCAATAATTTTGTACATTCACAGGGAGCTTTTCCACGGAAATTTGCTTCCACCGAAGACAAAATTCATAGGCTATGCAAGATCGGATTTGACAGTTGCTCAATTACGATCGAGAGTAGAACCTTATATAAAAGTAAGTGTTGAAGACTCGTCTCCTAGGAATGATAAAGTATTCGCATGTAACGCATAGTAACGCATATTTTATTTTATAAGCATGATAAAGTCAATTTTTTTACCCAACCTTAAGTTATATAACTTCCCATTAGCAATATTAATAGCGTCCTGGCGCTTTAAACTAATTAGTATGCAATGTGTAGGTGTGTCTCTTTGTTGACTCTGATGTTTTAATTATTCTTATTTTAATTCATTGTTCATTCACGTAGATTGTGTACTGTATGCCAATTTAGGTCAAAGAAGAAGACAAAAAAACTGTGGAGGAATTTTTCTCCCTATGTTACTATGTCAAAGGATCTTATGATAAGAAGAAGGATTTTGAAAATCTTGGAAAAGAGCTGGACAAATTGAACTGTACCAGTGGAAATCGCATATTCTATTTGGCATTGCCTCCATCCGTCTTTAAAGAAACAACTACTCTTATCAAGGCATCTTGCATGTCTAAAAAGTATGTCAAAACTACATATTACAAAAAGGCTTTGAGGTTTAATTTTGGAATATTAGAGACGTTGTTTCTGTACTTGTATAAAAATGCTCATTTAGAGGGTGGACTCGTGTTGTAGTCGAGAAGCCCTTTGGAAAGGATTTTGAGAGCTCAGCCCAGCTGTCCAATCATATTGCAAGTGTTTTTTCGGAGGAACAAGTCTATCGAATCGATCATTATCTTGGAAAGGAAATGGTACAGAATCTCATGGTACTTAGGTAAGTTGCCTTGCACTATGGAAGGTGCTGCAAGTTTAAAATACTTTAATCCCTCTTGTACACAAAACAGCAAGAAGGTTGAAGGAAAATTGAACTTGTACAATTCCTTGAACTTGTATCATTCCTTGAATTGAAGATGGCATAACCATGCCGAAACATGTTTACTTTGAAGAAAATTGTTGTACACTTCAAATGCCTAACTTGTACAAAGTTGTTCCTTTTCAGATAGCGTCATGTCAAATTTACCTAGAAATAATTTCTTACTTTTTCCACTATGTTTATGTGATATCTCACATTTCAATTTCATGGATCATGCTCACATTGCAGGTTTGGTAACATGATTTTCAGTCCCATTTGGAATCGTAACCACATAGAAAATGTTACTATACAATTTAAAGAAAACATTGGCACAGGGGGCCGAGGTGGATATTATGATGAGTTTGGGGTTTTAAGGTTAGTTGCCCTAGTTGTACTTGATTGCCACCATTCAGAAGTTATGTACCCTAGTAAAAATCCTGTGTAGGATCCTGCTTGGGATCCTTATAGCAATTTATTTAGTCATAAAATTGATCTTATCCAGGATCTTGAAGGATCTTGTAGGATCTTGTAGGATCTTATCCAGAGATTTCCCAAAGGTATCTGCATCATCTTGACCATTGATTTTTAGGGACATTCTTCAGAATCACATGATTCAAACTCTTTGTCTGATTGCAATGGAAAAGCCTTGTTCAAAAAGTGCAGAAGATCTCAGGAATGAAAAGGTGAATATGTCAACATTGCCGATATTTTTAATAAGTAATATCATTATTTTTAGTCTGAACTAGAATGGAAATTAATGTGATGGGCATTTAAGCTTTTACTAGAACTGTGCACCATAGACATAAAAATCCAATACAGTGAGAAAAGCATTTAATACATATGCATAGAATTTAATTTTTTTGTAAAATGTTGTAAAATTACTGTGATGAGTAATTCGCTTAAGTGGCCATAAAAATCACCCTCTCATTTGGATTCCATTTTGAATAAATTCTACTAAGTAACTGTTCCTGCATGCAGCATCTTTACAATGTGTCTTTTTGACCAAATTGATAAAAATCTCATGTTCATCTTGAATAAAATGCTCATCTTCATTCGAAAATCACCATTTATCTTATTACGATATTTCTTTAAAGTCAAGGGCAGTAAAATAACTTCTTTTGATGGTCAAAATGTTAAATTGATTTGAAGAACATTTGCAGTATATTTAATTGACTCTTCAGGACTAGAAGTAAGTGACTGACTCTGCGCCGGAAGTGACGTAAATAAGACTTTGTAAGGTATAAACAACGTATAAAACTTTTGAATTTTATTGGAAAATAGCGTCCGAACAGTTCTACTTTTTAATGAACGTGTATTGTTTACTGTAAAAACCTGAATAATGAAAGCTATGTATCTTCAATGCATCTGTTCTCTAGTATATACGTCACTTCCTGTGTTACGTCATCTACTTCTAGTCCCGAAATACCCGCGAAGATAGTATTTTTCGTCCTATAAAATGTACTGCTAATGTTCTTAAAATCAATTTAAAATTCCAAAGAAGTTGTTTCCCTTACCCTGATATAGGCATTTTAATAGACTAAACTATTTTTTCGTCAGGTTAAAGTTCTACGTGCAATGCCACCAATCACGTTCGAGAATGTCGTCTTGGGTCAATATGTTGGTAATCCTAAAGGCCAAGGAGACGCCAAAACGGGATACCAGGATGACCCTACAGTCCCTAAGGGCTCCGTCACTCCAACATTTGCTGCTTGTATAGCTTATATAAACAACGAGCGTTGGGAGGGCGTCCCTTTTATACTAAAATGTGGAAAAGGTTTGTTTCCTGCTATTTTAAGTTATGTGCGTGAATGTTTCACGGATTACTTATACTTTACAACCTTCATTGTAGGCTACTTATGCTTTACAACCTTCATTGTAGGCTAAGTATGCTTTACAACCTTCATTGTAGGCTACTTATGCTTTACAACCTTCATTGTAGGCTACGTATGCTTTACAACCTTCATTGTAGCCTACGTATGCTTTACAACCTTCATTGTAGGCTACGTATGCTTTACAACCTTCATTGTAGGCTACTTATGCTTTACAACCTTCATTGTAGGCTACGTATGCTTTACAACCTTCATTGTAGCCTACGTTTGCTTTCCAACCTTCATTGTAGGCTACCTTTGCTCTACAACCTTCATTGTAGCCTACGTATGCTTTAAATATTGTACCTATGCTTTAAATATTGTACCTATGCTTTAATAAGTTCATTTGCAACTGAGCATGGTAAAAGCTCATCGAAACAATAACTTTAAAATCATCGATAGTTTCAGTAAATCCTTCTTGTGTATTCAATCTTGATTTTTACTCATGCCCTGTGCAGCTTTAAACGAGAAGAAAGCTGAGATTCGCGTCCAGTTTAAGGATGTTCCGGGCGATATTTTTGGTGGGAAATGCAGCAGAAATGAACTTGTTATAAGGTTACAACCAAAGGAGGTTTGTACCCTCAATTTTATCTTAGAACCATTCGTATCGGAGTTGCGGCACTAAATCCAGTTAATTTTCAGGCAATTTACATGAAGATGATGGTGAAAGAGGCGGGAATGTCTTTTGAACCCATCATAAGTGAAATGGATTTGACCTACCACTCAAGATATAAGGTGCGAAATTAATGTATTCCCCCAAAACTTTTGTTTCATTGTTTGTCGGGATTATAAAAGTTCATGTCAATTTACTGAAATTAGGAAGCAAAGTTACCGGATGCTTATGAAAGATTAATCTTGGACGTCTTTTCTGGCAGTCAATCTCATTTTGTGCGAAGGTAAACTAGCTTTGATTTCAGCAATATTTTATTGTGAATGTCATTAAAAGACGCGATACCTTGATGTAAAAAATACACTCCTTACAATCATTATCGGGGTCTCAGGCTGTTGGAGTTCTATGCAAAATTGATATTTTCTTCAAATATATTTGCTAAATTTCGGTGTTTATGTAACAAAACTTTACATAAATTGAAACATTGTCTGTCACTTTTAATGAATGAACCTATGAATGAACCCATGCATTTAAACTTTGCTTATGTGGTCGTGCTCCAGTAAAAGTTGAGAAGACAATATCCTTTTTCATCGGTAAAAAAGTAGTTTCCTTTTTCTAACAGAAATACCGTTTCTGTTCATTGGCGTAGCCAGGCATGAAGTTTTGAAGTCGTATAATATTTTTTTTGGGGGGGAGGGTGAATATATTTATTAATACCGTTTTCTGTTAATTGGCGTAACCAGGCACGAAGTTTTGAAGTCGTATAATGTTTTGGGGAGGGTGAATGTATTTATTAATACCGTTTTCTGTTCATTGGCGTAGCCAGGCATGAAGTTTTGAAGTCGTATAATATATTGGGGGGGGTGAATATATTTTTAAATATCGTTTTCTGTTCATTGGCGTAGCCAGGCATGAAGTTTTGAAGTCGTATAGTATTTGGGGGGGGAATATATTTTTTAACATCGTTTTCTGTTCATTGGTGTAGCCAGGCATGAAGTTTTGAAGATAATATTTTCGGGGGGGGTGAATATATTTTTTATACCTCGAGTCTTTCAATGAAGATATTTTGTTTCTATGAGGGTAAGATTACAGGTATACAACAACTTCTCGCACAACCCTTCTATTTTCTACCCGGATTTCATCTTTTCTTAGGGCAGCTCTTCAGCTTATTGGGGGACCATACCAATGTTTCTACAGTGTAGACATTGATTAGAAAACAGAAACTTCTCAATGTTCAGTGTAACATACCTCATCGAGTAAAGATTACCTTATATAGTCATCGGCTTTTTTATCTTCTACAGTGACGAGCTTTCTGAAGCCTGGAGAATCGTCACCCCGCTGCTTCATAAGATTGAGTCTGAGAAAATAAAACCAACTCCTTATGAATTTGGAACGTAAGTTGTTTTTCGATGCATCAGTTTGCTTAATTCTTCATTTAATGTATCTTTTGGTTTTCTCTAATGCCTAAAGTCGAGGTCCCGAGGAAGCAGATAAACTGGTAAAACAGGTTGGCTTTCAATACACAGGTCAATATACCTGGAAGGAGGCACAGTAAAGGATATGTATGTAGGACTGGTCAGCGGTAAATATGATTATAAAAGTGTGACAAATGAATAATGAAGCTTTCAATGAGAAACATTCCACTGGTTTGATAATAACTGCCACTGACTTATTGTGAATTTATGACCAAATTTTACGTAGATTTTTTGGCAAATATGAATGAATTTCCTCTTACAATAAATATGCACTAGTTAGAAATGGAATGTCGAAGAAATCCGAGATTTTAATCCCTTTCATCTGTGTACATTACATCCGTCGAGCTGGTATTTTTGGAATTTCTCAATAAATTCCTTTTAGTCTATTTATGGTACCCATGAATGTTTGACATGGGGAAAATTGTTTTTACAAAGATAGTTTAGCAGTTTTCATTATGGGAGCAAAAAAATCCGGAAAAGTGCAATGTCAAGCTGTTTTGTAATACCTTGAACTATGGTGGTTGGAAAAAGTAGAAAATGAGCTGTTAACCTTCAGAAAATCTTTCAGGGAAAAAATCCTCCAAGTATATGTTGAACTTGACGAATATCTAAGAGCAAAATTAGTTCATCTTTATTTAAGATAAGCAAGTATCAGCCACCATAGGGAGTAATTATCGACTTCAATTTCATGCTGGGAGCGCGTCGTGTTCTCATAGGTGTAAATTAAAGCTGATTTCCGCTCTATTATAGAAGGAACTTTGATTGGACAGACAAAACTACTTTATGGCGCCTTTAGGCAATGTGAATGTTGAATTGACTGGTGTTATTGTTGCATGACTTGTAATCAAAAGTAATTCGTTTTTAGTTTAATTAATAATTCACGCAAAGCATTCGTTAGCTCACGAAAGTATAATTTGAGCATTGAAGAAATTACACAAAAATTATTTAAATATTGAAATATTTCAGTTAGAGTTCCACTTAGAATTTGACGAGTCATTGCTCTTTTTTTCTGAATACAACAAATCGCACAAATATTGTGTTAAATCCGAGTTCTTTTTGTACGAAATTGAGTGGTATAAAGTGTTTATCATTGACAAGGCTTAAAGGGGTTTGGCTCATCCACATTTCATCATCTTTTGTATTTTAAATTAGCTTATTGCATTTATGAAAATTAGTTTGTATATATTTATCTCACACCATTTAAGGTAGTTTGAAAAAAAACCTTGCTTCAAAATTGCATTTTAACATTTGACAATTTTATAAGATTTTTTAAACGAGATGTTTCATGTTTTCTTTTAATTTCAAATTTCATTGATCAAATCATTATGTCTACCTTAATTGCTTTTGTCTGGAAAAAATATCGCTTTAATCTGTTGACGTACTCAATCAGGTTTTGTCAACGAATTTATAAAGGCATTATAACAAGCTACGATGAGAGAATGCTCGTTCCCTAGTATATTCTTAAAAGTGTTGAGCATGTTAACAGTTTGTCATTTATAGGTGTAATAATAAACGAGGAAATGTACGCAGGCTATGCAAATATTATTCGATACATGTTAATGAATACGCACACGCCTTGCAGTCGCCTACTGTGCGTAAACTTTTTAAATATAATGCGCGCAAATTCCTCGACTACTGTTGGGTGCGCTGTTTCTTTTAATCGCTTGCGTCCATTAGTGCAGATTCGTGTCTTAGATTGGAAGATCTTGCTGCCGATATGAAAGTCATGATTTCTTTCATTTTCACTTGTTTGATTGTCGGTTGCTTCACGGTGACTTCGTTGATGAGCCAAGATATACGAGTGCCTGGTAGCTTTGGTTTAGATTCCAATGAAGACGAACGCAATAACGTTTCTGAAGATATCGACATGTCTTACCTTCAATGCGATAGTGAGGTCTGTAAGGTAGTAAAAGCTTACATAAAGGAATTACCCGGAGCAGGACTTTGGGTTGTTGACAACGAACAGCAGAAACCGCGATTAAAACGTCGAATATTTTTTCCCGACAACCGATTGAGTGTTCGTGAGAAGAGCGTGAAAAGATTTCCGTTCAATAGCACTGTTGCAATACGTGTAGACGGTGTCGTTACGTGTAGTGGTGTTGCTCTACTCAAAGATAGATTCTTTCTAACCGCAGCTCACTGTGTTCAACCTCATGGCAAGAGAAAAGGTAGGGAACGCTAATGGATGTTGTGGTGAGGGTTAATGAACCTGGCCATATGCCATTTAAAATATGTCAGATTGTCTTACGTGATAACCGTGTAAAGTTGACTCCAATTTATTTTAATATTTGATGTGTTATAGAAATCGAGGTCGGCTCTCTACTCTCCTACCAACAAATGGAATGGGTCAAAGTTGACAAAATACGTGTACCGTCTATCTGGAAGAGAAGGGTATTGAAGAATACTGAGTTTTACTTAGTTTATTATAAAGCTTCAAATGTATCAATGAAATTATGGATAAAAAAATGGATAAGCAAATATTGTTTGCATTACTTAAGCTAAGTCAGTTATGGACTTGGGTATTACACAGCTTCATCGCAAGCTGGAATTTGCCGAAATTTAGTTGAAAGCCTTTGCACCAACATGTGTGGCGATCGATTACATGGTCTTTTGAAAAAAATTATCGTTAATTGAAACCTAATGTTCTGTCTGTTTTTATGTCTCCTGTTTAGGCTTCCATCAAAAAGCTCCGTTTTAAAGACTATGCTGTACTTGAGACCGAGGCACCTCTTCCCGTAACTCCGATGACCATTGGTTATGCGGGCGTCAGTGCTGATGGCAATGAAATGCTACAAGTGAATCAAACCTATGTTTACATCAACGCCTTTGACGACAAAAAGCGCTACGACGATTTGAATATGCGTTTCTGTAAAGTGAGAAGGGTGAAATCCTTTCAACTTTTTAGCCGCTGTGACACGGTTTCCAAGACTGCGGGCGCTGGTGTATATGTACGCATGCGTAATAAGGAAAGTGGCAAAGTTGATCGTAAGGTATTATAGAAAAGTCATGATTGAATGAATCTTTTCACTTCAACTTGCTCGCCATTTTTGCTCTTAAATAATGCTTGTTTTTATAGGTGATTGCCATAGCAACTGGGGATTTCGGTTTGAAGGAAAACCGAAAGTATTCGGTGGCTCTGAGAATCAACTCGAGGATGTTTCCACATATTTGCTATTTCGTTACGCGTTCCTTCAATGGCTGCAGTACTTGATTACTCGACGTGTGTTTATGTTTTTTATAGTTATGCGTGCAACGTATTTTCTAACTATAAAAACATCTGAAGAATATAATTTTAGTTAATATTACTTTTCTTTTTCTAGTTGTAGTTGTATGAATGATTATTTACAGCTATAGGTCTGTAGCAGCCTGTTAAACAAAAAATTCTGCTTTAATTATGTAGTGTATTATTCATCTCTATCCCATTTTGCGACTTTTGTTCTCAATGAACAAATAACACACATACCCTATTGTTTACACTCAAAACTGTTTACATATTAATGAATTATTGACATCATCGAGGACATGAGTCTGTCGATTGGAATGATTGAGATTATCGTCTAGAATCTTTACCTTTTTCAAATGGAAGTCCTCCCAAATCCCACTGAGTATCATCCACTAAAAGTAATATTAAACATGCACCAGTTTGAGGAAGACGCTTCGTAACGGGAAGAGTTACGTAAACGTAAACTTATTCAAAGAGTTTCTAACGTGGAATACAAGTGAAATAGCTCATTGCCGTAAATTGAAGCGTGTTCTATTTGCGTTTGTTAGCGAAGTCTTCGAAGCTCTTGACTACTTGAAAGAACATCACGCTGTAAAAAATAACATATTTCTTGGTTTGAATGTGGAATATGGACCAGTGGTTTGTGGTGGTTTGAACTTGAAACAACATTGTTTTCTGTTCATTAGCTGGTTGAAGAAATCTGGAGTGGAGACCTCGCTAGGTATGTTAGTTTTGGCTTCACTAATGAGCATTGCTCTTTGAAATTATGAAATAAAACAAAACAAAAAGAATTAAACTAGTCACTGAAATCTAATATCGCGCCTGTGGCGTTTGTATTTCATTTTTTATCGAAAGCATCATGAGAACTGACTTGTATAGTAATTAATTATTGGTAATTTAATAGAACGCAATGATCTTGAATCAGGGAGATTGCTATTCAAAAGTGCCATTCGCAAAATCAGGGACAATTCGTTTGAATGAATCAATGTCATAAATTTAGATGAATTAAAATTTCAAATCCAGGAGTTGGCAGTATTCACTTTGCATTATTCATTGATCTTATCAAATCCCGTCAATCAAGCATGAAACTAGCATCCATTCTTTTTCCAAAACTTCTTATTTCAAGGAGTGTTAGAAGGTCCAATAATCTCGTTTGTGTTCAATAAAAACGACAGAGTTATCGTACGCAAATTACGCCTCACTTAGATGCAATTTTGCTTGTATTTACTTGACTCTTTTTTTTTCGACGACTATGGAAATAATGTGTGAGATTTCAACAAGCAAATTTTCTTACCATCGCAGCCGTAGTACTCGACCCTTAAACATATGTCATTTTTCCAAGCTGTTGGATTTATTCTGATGTATTTTGCCACAATAGCTGGATGTATGTTATGGTCGACGACATCGAAAGAATTCTTGTTCCCTTTAAAGATCTTTAATAAAATAGCAAACATTTCACTATTGTCAACACTTTTTGAGAACTTGCCATAAAATTTGCAATTTTGTCGTTGTACTTTTACACGTCATTAAATAACTTGTTTTGTTTGTCGTTCATATTCGTGTCCACCTAAATCTTTCGTTTTATAATGTTGTGTCAAAACTATCTGAATGATTGTATGAACTAATTTTGTGGGGTTAGGCGCGTAAGGTCGAACACGTAAATCTTCCTCAATTTTCAGGGGTGGACAAAAAAGTATCCCTCCCTCCCCCCCTTATAATCATCGTTATAGTTGGTGTGCAATTTTTCCCCTGGGAGTGAGAGAACAATGGAATGTTCGCCATAATGGATGACATTTGCATTGAAAAAAGCATAAAAAGGAAAATCCTTAGTTAAAATCATTCAACATGGCGGCCATTACGTAGCTTGCACATCATGAATAGGCTTGTAACTCGTCATCCTTACAGGGGAATCTTTTAGAAACAAAGGCCTGCAGTTGAACAATAAATGAGACGAAAATCTAATGTTGACAGTCGTCTGCTATCTACTTTTATCACACAAGAAAAAGAAAATTTAAGAAATAGCAAGCATACTGTTGACGTCATGCTAATGTTTTTCTTCAAAGTTATCAATCACAGTTGGGCTGAACAAAAAGCCAGAATGAGTCATTGACTCTGAAGATGACTACCGCTAAGGTGGTCGAAACGTCAGTCAACAACAACAAAAACAGTCCTTCTCAGGACTATATACCAACCTGGACGATCTACATTTACAAGCATGAAAGTTTTATGTAATTTTTACATGGGCTATTTTGTGTCTACCATGTGTAGTGGGAGGATAATGAAAAACGCATACCATAAATGCCCTTAATAGTCCCTTCCCTCCCATTATTCCCATGAAATTTCAGGCAAATAAGTTAGTTTATCAACATAAATCCTGTTTACCCTCTGCCATCTTCGTGTGTCTTCGTGGTTGTAGGTTAACTATTAGCTGTACAGTACACTACGTTGCTCGTTGCTGCATTGGCAGCATTGAAAATGAAAAATCTTACTCGAAAACAAAATGAACCCATTAGTCTTTTTGTTTTAGGTCTGTTGGTTTATCTTATCCAACATGGAACTGCAGTTTTACACGTGACAAATTTGTGTTAAGTCCCGGATGGATGATGTCACAAACTAAATGCGACGAGTATTGTTGGTGAGTTGGATCAAAATATTTTGTTGAGTTTTTGCTCTCAATACACGAAATTTTAGCTTTTAGTGGGCTTATGTGTATAAAGCATTAGTAGTAGAGTAGCTTGCCCATTCGTGGGCTGGCTACGTCACTCGCAATTGCCCTGAACAGAAAAAGTACCAAGAGAGAGATAGCCTTTTTCGATTCAATTTGACACCATTCACTTTGATATTATCCTACCTTATCCACACCATCCCTCTTGTATACCCTCCAGTCGTGGCCATCCATACTATAATACAGTCTGTAGGACTTAACATGTCTGTCTAAATCTCCCAGTCTCCCTTGCGTGCTCACTTTGGTTATTTTTGTCTTGAGCCCCAAATTGAGTTGGAAATATTGCTTTCTGTTTATAATGGACGGGCACCAAGCATCTAGGACATCAAAATCTTTTCGTTTACTACTGACTTTGATGTCTTTGTCGTCTACGTCTCCTGATTGTAGACCAACGGCTTCGTTACATTCTACAGGTCAATTAAAACAAGAAATCTGTGTTGATGTCATACCTAGAATACGTGTAACTTATTCTGACATATTTTCGTTTGATTTTTATGATTCGAACCAAGAATATAATTCTTCAAATGATGAGTTAAGAGTTCAAATAAAGAGAAGTCTTTCGCAAGACTTATCCTTTCTGCATTGTCTTTTGTTGAGAACTGACAACCGCAGGTTTTCTTTTTGTCAGTTTTCTCGCGTGAAATGTTTACAGAGTATGTCCACTGTAACTGGTATAAGCTGTAGCAGTTTTCATTTGAATACAAACGTGCAATGTTATTTAGAATGTTCGTATACCTTTTTTACCTATCGCGCCTCCTAAAACGAACCCAACTTGCCAGATAATTGAACACAATGTAGCGAACACGACAAACTGGTTGCTGCTCACGGCAACCATATTGCGATAAATTACTGTCTTGAAGAAATAATATGGAAGATTTGTTGTTATAACTGGTTTACCTAACCGTTTATGTTAACTGAATTTTTATAAACAGCGTGGAGTGGAGAGCTTCAATTAGTACTTGTGTTAAATCTTTATGCAGAATATGATATGATTATTTTTGTGCTTATATACAAGGATATTTCAAGTGATATCATATATAATTCTTAACGCAATGTTTTAACTATAAACGTAATGTATAAAACAAAATCTATACAAACACCTGTCTTTTTATGAACAAAAGTAACTCGAAAAATCCCCAGGAAGATTCGTCTCGCAATTACTTCTTTTCTTTTATGAACAACATTGAATATTTGGGCGTATCATTTCTTACGTAAATTTGTTATAAAACAGATGATATCATTTCGTATATTTAGGCGAGTTTTGGCTCACTGACCAAGGTCATTAATAAATAACTAGTTTTCTTGTACATGTACTTCCCTTCATCGTTTACATAAACACTAAAAGTAAAGAACAATGCGACGTACAGGTTTTTTTCTGAAACTTAACCTGTTATTTTAAGCTTTTAACTGCATTGTAAATCTGCTCTTTTGTACATAATGACTAGATTAATTTCTGACTGTTATATCTGCTCTTTTATACTAAATATTTCCACAGCAGGTTTGATGTGAATTTGTGTAAACTATAGTGTAACTGGATGGGTTGCTAGAAAAGACTTTGTTTATATGCATTGAAAGATAGACGGTATACGAAAACTTTTTAATTGTCGACTTGAAAAGATAAGCTGCACGAATGCTCGAGAATATATTGTGTTGATTTTGGAAATTACCTGTGCATAACTGATAAACTTCACTGTGCAAATGGCCAGTTACGTCAGTACTACAATCCTCGAAAAGAATCGACTGACGCATATGACAACTGAGGAATTTGTTAAACGTTGTATTTCGCTACAAATGGTAAACGTAACGGAAGACAGACTGGACAAAAGGAGGTTAAAACGTGTAAGACGCTGATTGTTGGCAATGAAGGTTGCCATTGAATCGCAAGACAAGTAAAGAAAAAATTATGGACCGCTAAACCAATAGAAACAATAACAAACTAATGGAACTAAAGGAGACGTTGAAAAAGGAGGATCAAGACAAGAACTGCAGGTGATGGGCCATCTTCAATGCACAACTAGAAATAGTTATTTTTGGAGGTGAACATTGTCGTCAGATGGTATAAATACACCCAGCTAAAGCAGAAGCACCGACATATGCGACACTGATATGAGTAATTGAATGTAAGGACGTTTGGCGGAAAGTTACAATAAAAGGCAAGAGTTTTGGTAATAGGTTTGCTAGTGTTGCAAATTTTAATGACCACTTTGGGGTGGGTGGTGAATGTTGAAGATTAATTTCATCTAAATAAATAGGATTAATCCGCATTACATATGATAGGGCGGTACGGAAAAAAGAATTTTATAAAATAGTTGGTGGATAAAGGAGACCTAAAGAAGCTTCAGCAATTGTATATACGAGACAAGTAGCGCGGGCTTAAAGTCCTCGGATGTACAAAGCCGTATATACACCGAGTGAGAAACAAAAACGACGTAAAGTTTGCTGAAGCCTTTAGACGGGACTTGAGAAAACTTGAGCAGATTTGAGATTCAGCAAAACGCTTGGAGGATTAGCAAAGCTGAACGGGATACCATTAAAGTGAAATTTATCTATTAGCAAGTTATGATGGAAGTTTCGTTTGGCTGGGTCAGTGTGATGGGAATGACTTAATTTGATGATGCGGTTGTTGGATTACACTAGGGAGCCGATTACATGGAGCAATTTCAGCCTGGGCTGAAATTTTTTGTGATTATATGGTCAATTTCAGCCTGATGTTTAGACCGGGCTGAAATTTACGAAGCTCGTCCGAGGCATGATCGCCAGTTGTCGTGAATTTGTTGTCATCTTGTTGTCGTCATCATAAGCAACAGGCACGCAATTACGCATGCGTGAATATTTTCAGCTGTGGTTTCAGCCCGGGCTGAAACGAATACATGACAGATTTTTCAACCCGGGGTTAAATTTCAGCCTGGCCTAGAATTATTCTCATGTAATGGCGTACGCTATTTTGCTCGGATCTTATAACAAGCCCGGCCAACCAGGCTGAAATTCCTCCATGCAATCGGGCCCTAAATTAAACGGGAACGAATTGTTGAAAACGATTTAAGAAGATTCTATTCTCGTTTATACATACATACGATGATATTCTCAATACACATTTAATATACACGACAACTTTTTTGAAAATAAACATGTTTCGACATCTCATGATGCCATCTTCAGTATGAATGAAATAATAGGTGATACAGGGTTTATATAAAAGTAATATGATACATAAATTAGAACAATAAAAGGAAATAAGATAATGTTTATTTTCAAAAAGTTGTCGTGTACATTAAATGTGTATTGGCAATAGTGCTTTACGAAATTATGGATATTCTCAATGTTCGACATCTCCTTTGATATCATGTTTTGTAGCATTTTTATGAAAATGAATTTTTAATCTTTGTGATAATCAATGTTGATGCTTCATGACATATATATTTATGGCAAAATCTCGTCATTTTTAATAACCTTTTGTTTCGGCAATGATGGCAATCAACAGTGTATATTATTGATTGTACTGGAATAATGAAAAAAGTTATGAGAATTATAATGAGCAGATGCGCTCTCCAATAAAACTTGTGTGAATGAAAACGTCTGTGAATGAGAATGCACAGATGCGTGCTCCCATAAGACTGATCTTATCGACAATGGAAGTTGTCCATTGAACATCAATTGATTCTCAAAACACTTCTGGGGCCAAATGGTTCAAACGAGCAACTGTCACGTTCATTTAAATTATAAACTTGGCGTTTGTAAAGCAATTGTTAGAAAGCGAAAACGTCACGGGTGTTTGTTATTTTCATTTCACGATTGAGTTTTTCACTGCAAATTATGAACTAACATATTAAATCTCTTTCAGCAAAAATTTCATGAGAAGAAAATTCTCAACGTCAAAAAGCTTACACTAAGGAATTTACTTAAAATAATCTCTTCACTGCATGTTTCAATTGACTCGACAGGTGATTAACAATATGTTAGGGTTGATTCATCAAATTTTATTGTGGAGCTTAACAATACACGATATAATATGATTAGCTCTTCTCAATTAAAGTCAATGCTGATGTAACGGAGCAAGAATCAATTCCATTTGACGCTGTACTTTCAAGAAAATTTCCAAGAACAAAGTGCGTCGTGAAAATCTATATACTTCTATACTTTACAGTTAAACATCTACTCGAGGAAATTGCTTTCACGCACGCCTAGACAGAATCTCTTAAGGTAATCAATTAAAGTTTCAAATCATTTGATCAGACAAAAGATGGCTTCATCTGCGGATGTTTTTGGAATGGCTTGCTTAGCAATCTTGATCATTCTTACTTTGTTTGGAAACACGCTCATTTGTACGATTATACTAAGAAACAGACGACTGCGCATCAGCTCGAACATATTCGTTTTTAACATAGCTCTTGGTGATATATTGTGCTCTGTATCAACACTACCTTTGTCCATTCTGTTTCTAATGTCACAAGAAAAATGGCCGCTAGGGTCAGCTGGATACATATTTTTCGATGCAGCGTGGTTGTTTTTTCTCATTTTGTCATTCTTGAACATCGAAATCATCACTTTGGATCGATTTTTCGCGATCACCAAACCATATATGTACGAATCAATTGCAACCAACAAAAGGTCAGTCACTCTCTGTGTGTGCATTTGGACATACGTCGTTGTGCTTGTTTGTGGATTAATTCCTACATTTCGCTTGGCTGACAAACGCATATACGAATTTCATATACCAGGGAATGTCTACTATAGCGTCTTGATAATTCACGCAGGTTTAACTTGCATTAGCGTTCCAATACTATATGCTATCCTCCTTCACCTTGCCAAAAAACAAAAGAAGAAAATTATTGAACAAACAAATAATCGGACTTCACGACATTTTTTTCGCGAACTCAGAGCAACATGGACGATTGGCTTTGTCATCAGTCTATTTATGCTCGTTTGGTTGCCATTCCTGATAAACCAGTTTGTTGATTTTGATGATATTAACGATGGTAGATGGGACTATAAAAACCGCATTATGGCATATATAACGTACTGCAACGGTCCGGTAAATATTTTTCTGTATTCATTATGGAATCGTGAGATGAGAGGGATGATATTAAAGTTTTTTAGTTTTAAAAATGCCCAGGAAGCAACTAGGAGACCAAACGATAGAAATCAACGTATTACACTCGTGTAAATTTGTATAATCAAAAGGAAGTTGACCAGCGTCTCACCGTACGTGTCTACGAATGAAGGACTAAATGTCAGTTTCCATCGTTAAAAATTTGAAATAAGGTCGAAGATCATGTTGATCGGAATCGGAGCAGTCAAATGCATGGCTCAGAACAGATTGGAAAATAACTCTTGATTCCCGAAATGCTACAAGATTCTAACTTGACGTGAAATTTCTGGGAATTATGGTGGTCAGTTGATCAACACACATGCAGGAGTAAATTTATTCAGCACTAAAATCGTTGGCAGAAATGTAACATGTATAAAGGACGATGTTTACAATAAATTTATGTGTTATTTGAGCGATTGTATATTTGTCGTCAATCTTCATTGACTTTGCATTTACGCTAGTCGTACTTGAAAATTCAAAATTGAGTAAATACACTTAAAATTATATTTTGACAGCACCATAAACCGCATATATTGGTGTTGATGATAACTCATATTCTATATAATCATAATCATTTCCTGAGGCTGTAAAGATGGCTTGCAATAACATTTCGAAAACTGTTGACAACGAAACTAGTGATATGTTATTTGATACCAAAGTTTTATGAATATAACTGTTTATGTAATACACGAAATTGTGTCACGTTGCGAGAGAACACGGATTATAAGGTATCTGACGTGGGAAAAACCAATAAGGATGTCCTTTCACAAAAATTAGTACTTTTTTAATTTGTTTGAATCAAAACAAAACAGCCAGAAGTTCTTGCTATGTGACAAGATGCTCCGCGTAGGCGACATTGAAAATTTCACGAACAGATAAAATTACATTGTTGAACACAGGGGCGGATTGAAACTACGTCACATTCAGCACGCGACGTAGTTAAATTCTTCACAGCAGCGGAAAAAATTAATCAAATTTTAAATGCCTCTAGTTGAAAATAAAAACAATTTACCGAGTGTGGATCGAAGTCCGTTTTGTCGAAAGGACCAAGAGCATTTTTCTATTCGTCTTTTGCAGGTTCGAGTCTCGTCTCGGTATGGTGTAGTTTGTTTCGTTGTGTGAATAATGATCATGAATTCTTTATCCGAAAATTAATTAAATTTTTTTCTGTCCTCACAACGAAAGCATTAGAAAAATAAACATATTGTCAGGGTTAGGGATAGTATTATGAGAAAATTGTGCAACAACGTGCATTCACTGAGCAATGTTATTGTTTCCAAGACCTGGATTAAGATTGGGATTAAGGGATCAAGTGGCTAAAATAAATTATATTTCACTTGCGGGAGAAATACCCATAGCTAACCCGCACAGAGTCAGCACGCCTTAAATTGTGCTGAATTTGGAGACTAAAATCTGTCTCTTGATTGGTTTATTGCCGTTGTGCTGACTAACGAGCCGCCGTTTTTGCTGAAATGTTCAAGCGGTGTTGTGCGAAATTCAGCACAGATTGAGATTGTTGATAGCTGAGGTTTTATCTTTGAGCTTCAAAACCAACGATTTTAATGAGAAGCATGGCATCTTTCACTGATCGAGTCGAAGATGCTTTTACGAGGAAAGATGGGACTTTTATGGCTCAACTCTACGGAGAGATGTTGGATTGCCTGAAAGTCAACAGCATTGTTACCAACGATAATTTGTTGGATCGTCTCGGTGTTGATATTTTCCGAAATATCAATGCCGAATTACAACCGCAGAGTGCCAAGACAAAGAACACAAATTTGGTTGCCTTAAGGTTAGAAAACTTATGACATGTTATGCATGCATGCTTACACAAGAATATATAAGCAAATATAAATTGACTTGATGTGATGCCCGATGGATTTGTCATTTGTGGTTTATTTATGTGATTGAAAACAAAACAAATTTTCCAATTTCGATCATATTTAAAACGTTTCTATTGATTTATTTCTTGATGTGTTACTTAAGATAAGATATACAAAAATGAACTGAAGCATAATATTTGAAATTTACATAACATTATTTCAGATCTGCTACAAATGGCAACTGCCTCTATAGTTCATTGTCAATTCTGCTTGTTGGTGACAACTCTGTGGTGACTATTTTGAGGCTCATGACCTCTATAGAATTATTTTTATATGCTGATTATTATGCGAAACATCCATGTTTTTCAAATCTTTTTGAAACTCAGCATAACAAACACTTTGATTCCATCTCAAGCATGGTGGCCATGTCAGTCTCTTTTGAAGCTATTGATAGTGCTGGAAGTGGTTGTTCTGTTGCTGAACTGGTCAGGGCAGAAGCTGTGTTAAATGCAAAAGATATGGCATGGACTGGGTTTGTTTGTTTGTTGGCACTCTCTTCAGTTACATCCTGTAGCATTTTTTCTTACTATCCTGACATATACTCTAGTGCTTATAGGTGGAATTTATTATTTAACCAAAGAATTGAACCTCGAATTCGATCTAGAGCTTGTGCTTCCACTAGTAATTATTTGCGAGTTTTGTTTTGCTTTGAAGGTTCAGCTCCTCAAGCAACTGCATTCAAACACAATGCCTTTGATACTTGGTGGGAAGGGAACTAAAAGAAAGGGAAGTAGTCACTTGTCACAAGCTAAAAAGCCCAGTATACAAACAAAGTTGAGGTTTACACCTTCTGGTCCTACTAAGACAACCATGACAACTAAGGCTCATCCATATGGTATATCTCACAGTAGCGCTTTGGGTTCTTGTGATGCTTCTTCTTTTATTTCATCTTCTACCTTGCAATTACCAGATAATAAAACTGCAAATGCTGATTTGCCTAGAAATCCATATGATGTTGGTTTTTATAGAGAAAAGGTGAGAGGTATGGAAATTCATGAAATTGAAAAACTTGTGAAGAATGTATTCGTACGTGATGAATGCTATGAATTTCCTAAAACTGTTGATGCAAATGGTCGCAGTAGGTCTTTTCGACATGATTGGCTGAAGGATTATCTTTGGCTTTCGTATTCTCCAAGTCTTAATGGTGCTTTTTGCTTACCATGTGTTTTGTTTGGTGATAGGTTTCCCTCCAAAAACAGTCGAATTAAAATATTTTTTTCAGAGCCATTAACACATTGGCCTGATGCTAAAAGTGCAATAAAAAGGCATATAAGTACATCATCAGGTCTTCATGTTCACACTTCGGCTCTTCTTAAGGATATCTTGGATCAGAGTTCCGGTAAAAGCCAGCCAATAAATGTCATGATTGACAGTAACTTAAAGAAAAAGATTTCAGAGAATAGGAAAAAATTAGTTCCAGTAGTTGATACCATCATTCTTGCAGGTCGCCTTCAATTACCACTTAGAGGTCATCGGGATGATTCTCAGTATCATCCTGAAGTTGGTGAATATTCTGAAAAGCATGTTGGTAATTTTATTGAATTATTAAACTTCCGTGTTCGTGCAGGGGACACCATTTTGGAATCCCATCTTAAGCATCATGATAAAATGCCTCCTACATCTCTAAAACTACTCAGAATGAGTTAATTAGGTGTTGTGGTCAATTCATCACTGAACAGCTTCTAGTTGAAGTAAAAAAGAGCAAGTTTTATGCATTGATTGCAGACGAAACATGTGATATTTCTAATAAAGAACAGATGTCTTTGGTTTTGCGTTTTGTTGACGAGGAGTTCAACATAAGAGAAGAATTTGAACATTCAGGACTGTCGTGGGCAGGGGTATGATGGCGCAGGTGCTGTTGCTGGATGCATTAATGGTCTTGCTGCAAGGATTAAGAATTTGAATGAGAAAGCCATTTACACACATTGTTTCAGTCACAGATTAAATCTTAGTATTTGTGGGACTTGTGCTGTTCAGTATGTAAGAAATGTTTTGGAACATGTGAAGGAAGTGGCTAACTTTTTCAACTCTTCCCAATGCAGACAACTAATTTTGGAGAAATGCATTGGAAAACGCTGTCCAGATTCTGCAAAAAAGAGATTGAAAAGTGCTTGTAAGACAAGATGGGTCGAGCGTATTACTAGCTTAGATACTTTTGAAGAACTGTATGTTGCTATTGTTTTTTCCTTGGAAGAAATGAGTTTTAACGTCGAAGGCAAGTGTAATCGTGAGACCTCTAGTAAAGCTTCCCCTCTGTTACATCTTTTGACATCTTTTGATTTTATTGCAGCACTCGTAATAACTAGATGTATTTTTGATCTTACTCTTCCAGTTACTCAGTTACTTCAGTCTTCTAGTAATGATATTGCTGACGGTTTGAACTTGATTGAGGCATTAAAAAAAATTGTCGAGAACTGTAAGAAATGAAGTCGATGTTTATCATGCTAACTGGTACAGTATTGCATTGACGATGGCAGAAAAGGTGGGTGTTGAAGAGAAAAAACCTAGAACTTGTGGTCGTCAGGCAATTAGAAGTAATGTTCCGTCTGAATCTGTATCTGATTACTTTAAGAAAACAATAACCATTCCTTTAGCTGATCACTTGTGTTCTGAGTTAGAAAAACGGTTTGATTCATCAGCAACTAGCATATATTATGGCTTGTTTTAATTCCATCCAAGTTACTTTTGTGTCTTTCTTGTGGCGTTTCTTGGAAGGAAAAATTTTATTCATTTTCTTCTTTGTTCTTGGATGATCTTCCAAATCCAAAGGCTTTAGATGGTGAACTTGATCTCTGGCAGAAATACTGGGAATCGTCTTCTACAACTTGTCTTCCTGAAAATGTCTCTTCTACTTTAAAGTCGGTAAATTTTCCAGGTTTTGAGAACATAAAAGTATTGTTAAAGATCTTAGGTACTATTCCAGTCACTTCTTGTGAGTGTGAGAGGTCGTTCTCTGCTTTGCGAAGACTAAAGAACTATACAAGAAGTACTATGGCTGCTGACAGGTTAAATGGTCTTGCTTTATTGTATATTCATCAGGACATTAATCTAGATATAGAAAAATTATAGATCTTTTGCAAAAGACAAAGAAGAATTGAACTAGCTTTCTAGTTCGGAGTGAAAGTTCTTCATGCCTTTTTTAAACTCTTGACTGTAAAGATGACTGCCGCTAACCTCAGTCAATATAAACACAAACAATCGTTCTCAGGACTTTACTTACCTGGACGATCGAAATCTACAAACATTTTTTTGCTTTTTTTTATTGACAACTTCATTTGATAAATTGACATAAAATCGTTTGCATAATAATCAGCATATAGGTATGACTAGACCATTATAAAATGAAATTCCATATTGATGAAGCGTAAAGAATTTTTTTAGGCTAAGTTTGTAATGAACCAGGCCGTCCATGTCGGAAGCCCTCAAAGCATATTTTTTTGCGAGTTTCCTAGGCATGCTGATGAGCTCTGATATTGAGCGAAACGGTCAAAAATCGATAATTTATGAGCAAGAATGTTAGCTCATTCCAGTAATAAATATTTTAGAAGACCAACTGCAAAAACGCAGGAAATGGCGTTTTTCGCAATATAATTTTAAAAATTTACCGGGGGGGACATGTTCCTGGACCCCCCCAGAAAAGTCGCGCTAACGGTGCGACATTGTGCCTAAGTTCATATACGAAGCTGGATCCGCCCCTGGTTGAACATATGTCCAATTAACAACGACAAAATAAACATATGTAAAAATTTTCATTCATTCTCTTTGTACAAAACTACAATTGTATTTGTTTGAATCAAAACAAAATAGCCAGATGTTCTTGCTATGTGACAAGATGCTCCGCGTAGACAACATTGAAAATTTCACGAACAGATAAAATTACATTGTTGAACATATGTCCAATTAACAACGACAAAATATACACATGTAAAAATTTTCATTCATTCTCTTTGTACAAAACTACAATTGTATTTTATAGACAAACGTCAGACAGTGTTAACTAACAATGAAGACAGACACATCGTGTCCGTTTTATCTCATTGAAGATGTTTCGGTGCTTCAGCAAAAAAACACTTCAGTTTAAAAGCTTCGGCGACTAATAATTCGACATCTTTAAAGCCCCAGTTTCCCGTTGGTAGATTTTGTAAGAGGATGAGTAAACTCTAAAAGAGGTGAAAAAAATATGTTATTTTCTAAGTCGTTTGTACGATATGAACAATCTAATGATACAGAGAGTTTGTAGATTACTTTAACAATTAACGGATGACACATCAATGATACTGATAAAATATCTTTATACAAGATTTTACTCAAAATATTGAGAAAAAATGATTGATGCGCGTTTTGAGTATAAGTATTCCTCATTGCTGAGTAAAACGGAACTCTTCACAATGAGAAGAAATTACTCAGCGATGATTACTAAAAATTTTGAATAAGAGTTATTTGATTTTACTGTAATTACTGTTGCTGTTACTTGTGTTCTCTGTTGCTGTAGTAATTTTTGTTGTCTTGTTGTTGTTATTGGTAATGTTCTTCTCACGGCTGTTATTGGAGTTCCTGTTTTGTTTTGTTAGTGCTTTTGTTGTAGCTGTTGTTGTTACGGCTGTTGCTGGAGTTTCTGTTTTTGTTGCTGTTATGCTATCATAGCTGCTGTTGTTATGGGTGTTGCTGGAGTTTCTGTTTTCGTTTTTAGTGCTATTGTTGTAGCTGCTGTTGTTATGGGTGTTGCTGGACTTTCTGTTTTTGTTGTTGTTAGTGCTTTTGTTGTAGCTGTTGTTGTTATGGCTGTTGCTGGGTTTCTGTTTTGTTGTTGTTACTGCTTTTGTTGTAGCTGTTGTTGTGATGTCTGTTGCTGGAGTTTCTGTTATTGTTGTTGTTACTGCTTTTGTTGTAGCTGTTGTTGTTATGGCTGTTGTTGGAGTTTTTGTTTTTTGTTACTGCTTTTGTTGTTACTGCTATTGTTGTAGCTGTTGTTGTTATGGGTGTTGCTGGAGTTTCTGTTTTCGTTTTTAGTGGTTTTGTTGTAGCTGTTGTTGTTATGGGTGTTGCTGGAGTTTCTGTTTTCGTTTTTAGTGGTTTTGTTGTAGCTGTTGTTGTTATGGGTGTTGCTGGAGTTTCTGTTTTTGTTTTTAGTGCTATTGTTGTAGCTGTTGTTGTTATGGCTGTTGCTGGAGTTTCTGTTTTTGTTACTGCTTTTGTTGTTACTGCTTTTGTTGTAGCTGTTGTTGTTATGGCTGTTGCTGGGTTTCTGTTTTGTTACTGCTTTTGTTGTTACTATTGTTGTAGCTGTTGTTGTTATGGGTGTTGCTGGGTTTCTGTTTTTGTTTTTAGTGCTATTGTTGTAGCTGTTGTTGTTATGGCTGTTGCTGGAGTTTCTGTTTTTGTTACTGCTTTTGCTGTTACTGCTATTGTTGTAGCTGTTGTTGTTATGGGTGTTGCTGGAGTTTCTGTTTTTGTTTTTAGTGCTATTGTTGTAGCTGTTGTTGTTATGGCTATTGCTGGAGTTTCTGTTTTTGTTACTGCTTTTGTTGTTACTGCTATTGTTGTAGCTGTTGTTGTTATGGCTGTTGCTGGAGTTTCTGTTTTTGTTTTTAGTGCTATTGTTGTAGCTGTTGTTGTTATGGCTGTTGCTGGAGTTTCTGTTTTTGTTTTTAGTGCTATTGTTGTAGCTGTTGTTGTTATGGCTGTTGCTGGAGTTTCTGTTTTCGTTTTTAGTGGTTTTGTTGTAGCTGTTGTTGTTATGGCTGTTGCTGGAGTTTCTGTTTTCGTTTTTAGTGGTTTTGTTGTAGCTGTTGTTGTTACATTACGAACATACACGATGTCAAAAGCTACCTGAAAGTCGTTTTCCTCTTGAATTTGTTTGGAATATTTCATCAAGAAAGCAGCACAAACGTATAAATGAAATTTTGCGAAACCTTCCGATTCAGACTACATAAAAATTTGGGAATATTTAGAAATTTGGATTATTGTTAAGATGCGAAGCTCCACAGGCTGAATGAATGGTTTGAGCCCGCGAATGAATGGTTTGAGCCCACAATGCTTGCATGTAGATGTAGATCGTCCAGGCAAGTGTAGTCCTTAGAAGGACTGTTGGTGTTGAAAAATGACTACCGCTAATGTGCCGTAACGTCACTCAACATCAACATAAACAGTCCTTCTCAGGGATCTAATCTTATTAAATATACAGCCAGTTGCACAGCTAAGTGGCCCTTCTGTATATTCCCTATACCTTGGTTCTACTAACCTGGACGATCTACATCTACGTGTAAACACGTCAATAACAAACTACTCACTAAATATGTGTCCCAAAGTCTAATAGTACAGCGCAAAGGTAGTTCTCGCATTAACAAATTGTTCATCCAACGAAACGAGAATTGTAAATATTCGACATTGTGCTTCACTAAATGCTCGTGAAGTGCAACTGTAAGAAATAATTGAAAGTTAAAACGAGACAAAAACGCTCTGACGGAAAGTTAAACAATTATTATCGCTTTCGTGTTAATCTACATCTGACGATGGAGATGAAACATATTACATTCAATGCATTCGTTTTATTATGTTGGAAAATATATATTACCATCCACTCTCTGTATTAAATCTTTCAACGAGTGAACTTTTTGTTGAATTCCCGGTTGAGCAAATGTATAATTATCCTTAAGAAGAAAGAAAACAGTTTAATACTGAGCACTACATGCAATAAAACAAACGAATTGCGACCACGAAACTTAAAATCCCATTTACCTGAATACCATCTAGTAATTTTCCCAAACACCAAAAACTATCGGCCTCAATAGTCATAAGGGCGTCCTTGGATAACTTAGTTACATCATAAATTTCCAAATCCCCATCTACAATAAGATTATTCAACTCTGTTAGTTAATGTCCATCCTTTCTCAGGTGATTCGCTCGTAAACACAGAAAGTGGAAAAGTACCCGCAAACGCAGATAAAAAGACGAAAAAAAATGGAGTGACTAAGTCGTTGATGCCTTGCACGTAACCGCTCGCTGGATGCCGGATTGCCCAAATATATAAAATCCGTTCAAACGCCTAAATAGATATTTAAAAGAAATGACCAACAGAAAATAATGTTCGTGGTTTTTTTAACTTTCGAACAGCTGGATATCATTAAGGCGAGCTTTTAATTTTTCAAACAACCAAATAAATCAACCTCTTGAACTGCTTTTTGTTGAAAAAGTGGTATGAGAGGATTCGTTCGCGGGATATCAATATGAATCTGGAAAAACAACGAGAAAAAAAGTTTACAAAGAGTATATTAGCGCGTTAAGCGTCTAATTTGTCTCCCAAACATGTTCAGCATACTTGTCGAAAAGTATCTTGATGAATATCTTGATGTCTGGTATCATAATATTGCTTTAGTAAGTTATAATATTCCTGACGTTTTCTATCTAAGACGCTTTGTCGTCTGTCTATGTTGACTGGAAGATAACCCTTAAACAAAAATTGTACACACATTACAATTCACAAAGGAAGCACGTATTTTGAAACAATATGTTTACTGCTGGGGGCAGAAAGATTTAAACCTGAGCAGGGAGAGTTAAAAACATATACTTATTCTTATCCTAACCTAAATTTGGAAACAAATAATTAGTAAGTGGTTGCACTTTGGAAAAATACATACTGATAAAAGTTGCCATGTGGTGGGTCTAACTTGTGAAGGTACACCTGACCAACTGAACTGTCGTAGAGTTACTGTGAAAAAATTAGAGTTAAAAACATTCGCAATACATCTTGTTTGTAGTTCAAAAGACAATCAAACTGAATTAAATACCTAAATCTGTATTTGGACCAGCCAGTAGTTTGCCAAATCTTTCCAACTTTAACATTTCCTGTTCTTGTATTTCAAGTTGTATTTCCGTGTCAGGTGACAAAGGAAGGAGCTTTGGATGTACTGTGTATTCTTCATTGGGAGTAGACGATAAGGTATTTGATAGTTTTTCATTATTGCCTGAATTTTACCCACAAATACAAAAGTCAAATTTGTTGGCAACTGATTCCTAAAACAGTTAGTAAATATTTCTCATTATACTATACCGTGATTATGTTTTTTCTTAATCCTGGACAAAATACTGGTTTTAATGTCTGCACTTCGAATAACCTTCACTGATGGTTCGTGAATGATTACCGAGCCAACAGGTTCTCCTACTTTCTCAATATCTTCATCATCTTCGCACCATGCATCATGTGTCTTACTTGCATAATCATCAAATGATCGTGTCTTGCTTTTCATCTTCTCTTGATGACTAAAATGAAATGTAAAGTATAAAGTAACAAAGGGTAGCAAATGTACTAAAATTGTCTCTGAACTTATACAGGCTTTCGGCTTTTAAGTTAAAGCAAATCCCAATTTCTTTCGACTTCTGAAAGAGTTTGGTATTACTGCTCCAGGTAAAGGTTGAAAAAATAATTTATGAGAACTGTTTACAGCAATGTGATAATAGAGGTGATGAACCCTTTTCCTGCCGGCCAATTATGAGCACATAAACACCAAAAACTGCAAAGTTTTTTTTTAACATTTGCTAGAGCTTTTGCATAGTAACTCGGAGTTAGTAGAAATTACAAATGCAAAGACGTTCAAGTATGTCCTTGGGTGCTGATTTTCTTAATGGTTGAAACATGAGATAAATAATTTAAACAAAATGGACCTACAGTACAAAGAAATGTGTGATATGAATCTGATGGATAAAACTTTGGCCTGGTAATAAAGTGGAACTCAAAGAAAGAATTGCTCAGATGACTAAAATTGATGGTAGAACATAAATATGGATGAATGTATATTAAAAAAGGACAAATAATGGGAAAATTTCGGTTAAAATCATTGCAGTGAAAATCCCATGAAACAAAAAATCTGTTCATTTGTGGGTAAACTGTCACACCCTTATCATAACATTATACCCTGTTATCCTTAGTTGCACAAACCTCAACACAGGACTTCCTGATAGAGTAGATAATCCAGAGCCTGATAAACTGCTTTGGGTGTCTTGACTGCTTTTACTATGCACAGCTTTTATACTAGTAAGAATTATGATAAATACAAAAGATGGAAGCCTTAAATATGTCTAATGTTAGACATAAGTACATTTCAATTGACTTTCTCACTTATAAAACCTAATTAGTCATGCATTGCGGTTTGAGAAATTGCTGATATATAAATTGTACGTCCTTCTACGATTACATTTTAAAAACGCAAGTAACGATATCAAATAACATTTGCATTCGAAACACACACTAGTTAGTACACAAAAACTTGGGTAAATAAAAATTTAATTCAAGAAACAGTTCCGCTTCGAGCGTTCGAGAGTGATCTTAGACAATGAGAATTAAGATAAGGACGACAACAATGCAGCGGAGATTTTACCTTCCTGGTAATTTATTTGTGTTGCGTTTCCAAAGGATTTCTTTCCTCGACCTTCAGATTTTTCGACACTTTTGAATTGAGCACCTAATTCGATTACTCGATTCTTCGCAGCATCGCTCATTTTCTATCAGTTGCTAGCGACATTTGCTCATCAATCCATTCATAACACTCGTGTTTCATAAGTTCTTTTTTATAACACTCAATGAAACACGCAATGTTTGACTTTTTTCTTCAGTAAAGTGTAAACTGTGGTTTTTTTCGATAATTTTTTCCAGCTTTCTATCATGAATTGTTATTGTTTTATACAGTAGCCTGCGTGCAGGCGACAGGCAAAAACGTGGACGGACGACAAAGACAAAAGAAAAGCGAAAAATATTTACACAGGACTGTTCATCGAAACGCACTATCCAAACTTGGCTAATCAGTGGTACACTCTAAAATAGGTTAGAAACTATTAGCAGAGTTTTGTCAGACCAAAAAAGTTACCAAAAATGACCAATTCAATGTCGAATACCCCACAAAAATTGTCTTAACCCGCTATTGGGTTAGCTACAGCTGGAGCGAAGTGTAGTATGGAAAGCTATATATGGAAAGCTATAGGACAAAAGTAGTCGAGAATTTTTTTGGAGTCGAGTTTTTTTTTTTACAGTCGAGAATTTTTTTTTACAGTCGAGATTTTTTTTTACAGTCGAGATTTCGACTGTAAAACTCGACTGTAAGTTCTCGACTGTAAATTCTCGATTTTACAGTCGAATTCTCGACTGTAAAAAAAAAACTCGACTCCAAAAAAATTCTCGACTACTTTTGTCCACTATGGCTTTCCATAGTGTAGCTCTATTTAAGTTGAAAAAAACATCTGCCGAGCCCTAGCTATAGAAAATATCAAGCTGCAATCATGAGGTGTGAAATATGGGTCATGGACAAACGCAAGACAAAAAACATCTTTCTGTAGTTTATCTTATTCCATTTATTAGCCACAATTAAAGTAGTTACAATCAGTTAAATCATAAAAATAACTTGTTTTCTCAAACTTGCATTTACTAATTATGGTAGGGCCAGCCCACCATCAAGAACAAATTCTTGCCCAGTGGTAAAGGCGGATTCATCAGATGCCAAATAAATGGCTAAATTTGCAACCTCTTCTGGCTTACCAAAACGCCCCATTTTTTGCAACTGAAGAAAACTTTCCCTGGCTGCCTTTGGATCACCTGTAGCTTCAAATCTTCCAATAAGAGATGGCGTCTCAATGCGAGCAGGACATATACAATTACATCGAATACCCATATCCACAAAATCCGCAGCAATTGATTTAGTGAGGCCAGAAACTGCAGCCTTGGTTGCAGAATATGCACATCGATTGCGAAGACCCAAGACATTTGATGCAACTGAACCCATATTGACTATGGACCCAGCACCTTGAGTTAGCATCTTTGAAATGAAGTATTTACACATAAAATACATACTTTTGATATTGACATTAAAACTCGAGTCCCAGTCCTCCTCGCTGCAATCTAGTATGGAACCATTGATAACAATGCCTGTGTGTAAATGAATAGCAAGTCAAATTATGAAGTATGGTTGAAGAGTGCCTGTATAGTCAGTTTTTTTAGCAGCAGTATAAATGTTTTTCAGTTACCTGCGCAGTTGAAAAGCACGTCAATTCTAATGAAATCGTCCGCTAATCTCTGGATTGCTTCCTTGTCAGTGGCGTCCAATACTCGAGTTTCAATACCTGGTACTTCGTTAAGTTCCCTCAATTTATCTTCGTTTATATCGGTCGCAATAACTCTTGCGCCTTCTTTGGCGAATTCTATGGCTGTGGCACGTCCTATGCCCTGTGCTGCAGCTGTTAAGATGGCGATTTTACCAGCTAAACGACCTGGACGAATTGTTTCATTTGTCGCCATGATGGGAGGGGAAACCAAACTGGGACAATACCATTTTCATCTTTTACTGCTCATTTCCCCGTAGGCTTACGGTAGGGAGTTTGTCTCCGTACGGCAAAACATACCAGAAGACGTGGCGGCAATTAACTCCGCCAAATTTCAAAGATGGCGGGCGAAACAATGAATTTAGAAGGCTCGGATGTTTTGAAGATTTTACGTGAAGACGGTAACATTTCACATTGAATTGTTATGATTTTTAAACAAGACATGATATCTAATACAAAAAAATTTTGAATATGGTATAAATATCATCTGTGTGTGGTCAGTTATTCTTAATTTGTTGTTGTCCTGACAGACAGTTGTCAGTCATTGTATCTTGTAATTTGTCCACTTGAATTAAACCTGTAATTTGTTATTGAATTGAGTATTTCATCGTGAGTATTGCATCTAATCAATGATGGTGTTCTTGTCTTGTCATCATTATAGACACATTTGAAATGTTTCTGGAGAAGGATTTTGATGCTAAGGGTTATGCAAACAATGTCATTGAAAGTAAAGCAATTGGAGACTGTCTGGAAAAATTGGCTGACGGTATACGCCTGCTTGATAAAGAACTACATTCACAGGTTTTGTAAAATGTTACTCCTTTCTTTATATGTCTACATGTTTATTTTGTGCAATCTATAATGAAAAGGTCATGTTTCTAGTTTCTATTATTAGGTTGTATCCAGACACGAGGATCTTTTACAGCAGGCGACTGGTATAGAAACATTGGAAGGTATTTTTAATGATAGGCTATCAGTATCAGCGCAAGAAGGTAGCATTACTTAGCATGCAACATGTATTGTGGTCGGGAATAATAAGTGTTAAAAAAACATGCTATTAATAATTTTACACAAATTTTCAGTTGTGGCTTTTTAGTATATTCATCGACTTCATTATTGTTAGCTGATAAATTTCCTTTGCAGTTCACAAACTTGTTGTTCATTAATTATTATATTGTCTATCAATATTTTTTATTAGGAAGTTTATATGTTATGATTCTCTGTATAAAACAGTGCTTGATGCCCGAGAGCAGAGCATAAATATATGTAGTGATGTTGAAAAAGTCAGAAAAACTACAGATTCATCCATAGGGATGTTGAAAAAAATCACTACATATATATCTTTTATTAAATATACATTGCTGATTAAAATCAATTTTGTTCAACATATTTATACCCTTCCAGGTGTTTTGCAAATGATGACCTCAAGAATTACATCTTTGCAATTGTCACTTGAAAGGTGCCCAATTTCGCCATGTAAAATTTTGTTAGCATAACTACAGTTGCACTTAAATGATCTTTTCTCTTCAATTAGAATACACCAACAGATTAGTGAACCGTATGAAAAAATCCGTGCAAGAACATTACAGCTACGCAGGTTACAAGTATGTATCACAAGCAGTGTTTTTATAAACAATAATTGATAACTTGACCAATTCTAATTGGGCACATGCTTTTTAAAAATCTTTCTTTGATAATGACTGGTCATTCATGTTAAATAGACCACCTCAAGATAATACTAGTTATACTAATTCAACAGACTTTTTGTTATGCCTAGTCTTTGTCATAACTAATCATTAAATCACACTTGTTTCCAGGGGGGTGGCAAAGTCTTTGTTTTTGAGGGGGTATGGACATGAAATATGGCAACAAATTGGGTATGGCGTGGTCCTAGTTTGGGTTTAGTTAGTATTAATGAATTAAAATTTTGTTCAAAACTACCAATAGAGGAACAATTTTTGCCTACAGAACAATGCTTGGGGTGGTCTGGTTCACCAATCCCCAACCCCCAACCCCCCAGATTGCTATGCCCTCTAATAATTTGTTTTAAAGGTTACCTGGTGCCAATCACTGCTCATTGTGTACATTATTTGATTGCCTTTCAGACAACATGTGATCTGTTGCGTCGGGTAATCAGGATAAGTTATCTCACAAGACGTCTTGAAAGTCAATTAAAAGGAGGGATTAAAGAGACAACCAAGGCAGCTCAAAGTCTTAATGAACTAGGTTACTTGAAGTATTACACATGTTTCTAAAAACTTGCTTCATTTTTTTTGATAGTCAAGCAATCAAATGTAATATTTTTTTCTAGGTTATTTAATGGAAGGTGTAGATTTAGATGGCATTGAGGTATTTTATTATTTTTGTTGTGTTATTTTGCATGTATATCAATGAGATTTTTGCTACTTTGCATCATTATATGCAGAGGCTTATAATTGCATTTACATTCATTCATGATTAATATAAACTTCCTGAGAAGGACTATACCAACCTGGACGATCTACATTTACAAACATGTAACGATACTCCCGGGCTCAAACCATTTACTTTATAAACTAGTCTACCTATCTACCTTAGGTCTTACATAAAGATATTGAATTTACAAGAAAAGCAAGGACAGAGGTGACCTCACAAGCTGAAAATATGCTCACGCAAGGAATGCATAACTTGGTAAGATGAGAAGACATTTATTGGACGTTACGTAAGTTAGGGCTTGGTTACATAAGTTGCGTGTGTTGTGCAATGTGCTATTCATTTATTAAACCGAGCATAACTCGCTTAACTAGTTCCAATCTTTTCATGCATGGGCCAAAGAAATATCAACTCTAAGTTAAGTCGTGTCTTGCGATGAAACTTGGCTTATGCACTATATAGGAATGTTTACCTTTACATGCAAGTAAAGGTAAGTTTTATCCAGTTTGGGTAGGCGTACCCTAAAGTAAGTGAATCCAGTTTCGTATTCAGTTCAACGTATTCACCAGATCACGTGTTGCCAATTATGACGTCTCACTAAATGTTACGTGTTTCTGATCAAAATAGCGGCCAAAATGTCTCCGGTCAAAGTCTGTTTTTGATCGATCTCTAATAGATATACATCAGTCCAGGTTGGTGTGAGTCCTGACAAGGACTGTTAGTGTTGGTGTGTGTGGGGGTTGGCAACCTGACGGTAATTATTATCGGAGTTAAGTGAGAATTAACTTGTTCTTGTTCTCCTCATTTGATTCTAAAGATGACTACCGCTAAGGTTGTCAAAACGTCAGTCAACGCCAATACCAACAGTCCTTCTCAGGACTCTACTAACCAGGACGATCTACATCTACAAACATGCATGAAACGATACTCTCCGGTACGAACCTTGTACCTGTAAATGGCACAAAAAGTGTTAAAAGATTTTTGAGAATGCAAATGATGTTTGATGTTTAAGGTCTCAAAAGGTTAGGATGCATCGCATGACAATATAGTACTTTTTAGACAGCCGTAAAATTAGTCGGTCATCGTTATTTTCTTCTTCACTATCATCATCTTTTCAAAAAACAGAACCAGACGCAGGTTGCTACTGCCCTTCAAGTATTTCATAATCTTGGCGTTTTACACGAGACCATCGAAACGTTGGTTGAATTGGAGAGAGGAGAGTTTCGAACGCACATTAAAAATACATTAGATATAAACAATCTTATGTATTCACAAAATGGTATGTAGCTAAATAGAAATCCAATTTGTAATGTTACTAGCGGTCTTAAATACTGTACTAAAGATTCGAGGTCGATGATTCTGATACTGACAAGAAAAATAACGCAGAAATATTGTAGAACAGGTGAAGTGGCTGTAGAATTCATCATGATGAGTTAATACATGCTTGTTGATGTAGATCGTCCTGGTTAGTAAAGTCCTGAGAAGGACCGTTTGTGTTGATGTTTAATGACATTTCAACAACCTCAGCGGTAATCTTTACTAACCTGGACGATCTATAATACTCTCGAGTTCCAACCATTCACTTTATTACGATTCTGTTAATGTAATTGACTTATTGCAAATTGGAGCCCGTATTAATTTCCGTCTTAAATGTAGATTTGGATTCTGTATTTGGTTCAGAGCTTCGTTGCAATCTCAATGGCAAGGCTCTATATTTAGTTTAGCTTAATGTTGCTGTTAGAAAAACAAAATGTTAGATGTTTGTAGATGTAGATCGTCAAGGTTAGCAGAGTCCTGAGAAGGAATGTTGATATTGATGTTGACTGACGTTTCGACAATGTCAGCGGTAGTCATCATGTTGTTGGCGTGTACGCACAAACGCACAAGCCAAGAATTTTATGGGTAGCATTCATGCTGGTTTACTGCTGGTCAGACTTATCATACAACTATTTTGCATTTCTCACAAGTCCTCGTTGTACCGGATGTTTTCTTCTGACGTTATGCCTAGCTGAGCTATCAAGTAATATTATAGGACTGGGACAAGAACTCTTATTGGTGTAAAACGTTTCATAAACTTCCGGTCGACGTCATAGTAATGCGAACTATCTTGTTTATACATGTTGACTGATCACAATGATCTCATTATATAGGAAACTCGGGTCCAGGTCGCGCCGCCGTTCCCGCCCCAGGAAACACGGCTATGTGGCGAGCAACTTTGTGGACTGGAATGGAGAAACTGATGGATAAGATTTATAGTTACTGTGGAAAGGTGCCCATATATTCTTTGCTGACGTCATCAGTTATAGTCCCCATGTATCCACTAAGTGTTCTTTGCTATCCATTAGATTCATCATCTCCTTAAAGTTCTTTCAAAGAAAAGAGATCCAGTTACGCATGTTTGCTTTATGGAGGAATTTCTTAAGGTATTGTGGTGTATATTCATGTCAGAGGTCTGGTACATTAAAGAACTTCCGCTGCAGATCATGTCGTACAATTTTAAACTTTCAAAGAAGAACGATCCTGAGTGTTTTTGACAGCGTTTTGTCGTTTACTTCATAAAGTTTAGCCGGACATCCAAGTTATTCCGAATGAGGTCATAATTTGTATATAAATAATTGTGTATATATATTAATTGTGCACATTAGGGTAGTCCAGAGAAAGACTGTTGGTGCCAGAGTTGACTCTGAAGATGACGACCATTATTAACCACCGCCAAGGATGTCGAAGGGTCAACTCTGACTCCAAAAGTCCTTCTCAGGAAGTCGTGATGACGAACAGTTAAGAATGTACAATTTGTATCAAATTATGATATTCATGCAGATTAACTTTCATTGAAGCATTTCATGAGTAAATCTGGTGCTAGAAAATTTAATATTTTACTTCTATCCATTTCTGTTTATGTTCTCGATGTATTTTATTGAACTTTGCAGTTTACACGTCAAAATTAACAACAGTTTTTTCACTATAGGAAAATAAGAAAAGTAAAGTTTTGTCATTTTGGAAGTTATTCACTGAAACATTACGAGAAGAACTTACTTCTGCAGCAAATAGTAAGACTTGAATATAAAAATGCTTCATTTAATCGTAACAGTTCTAAAATGTCTTTGCATTCATGAAAGATGTCTTGTTTTATAGAATCGCCGTTTCTAAAACAAGCTTTTGAAGGGGAATATCCTAAGTTGCTTCGATTGTACAATGAACTGTGGGCGCGTCTACGGCAATTTCATTTAACAAACAGCGCGAATAATTTGTACACGGGTGGAGTCGCCGAGGTTGTTTATGGCGTCTTTCATATATATCAAGAATCGGATATAAGGTACAATTTTATTGAAGTGAATGGTTTGAACTCCACTTGTCATGGAAGATGACTTCCGCTAAGGTTGTCGAAACGTCAGTCAACATCAAGAGCAACGGTCCTTCTCAGGACTCTGCTAACCTGGGCGATCTACAAACATTTACAATTTTATTGTTTGTCAGATATTGGGATGTAATGTCAAATGTCGTCATTATTGGTTTGCGTTCACTTCAGTTTAACTTTTGTCTGTTTTTTCAGTTTAGTCTGACTAACATTTACGTTTTATATCATCAAAGTTTCATCCAGGTTCTCTTGATCTGCGGTTCCCAGTGACCCCCCGACAGATTTGTTGTTCCCAGTGCCCCCCCCCAGATTTGCTGCTCCTGGTGACGTAGCCAGCCCTTGAGTCATGCTATGTATATATTTAGGTGTACATCACTGTAAAAACATTAGATTTCTAAACAATGCAAATGATGTAAAATTTACATAGCGAAACTAAACTTGCCAGCAGTCTACCCCATGTCTACTGAGATAACTTAGTAAACAACGATGGAGCATTATATATTTAATATGCTATTTTGTGTAGTCCCGAAGATCTGTTACGGAACTCGTTATCGGGATTCGAGAGCGCTTATCTTTCGCGCTCGCTCTCTCGACTCTTCGATCCCATCAATCTCGTGTTTCCTGCTGGAGCCCAGGCTCCTCCATCGAAAGAAGACGTGGCTGGAATCGTGAAAACTATTGCAAGGTATTAAGGACAAATTTTTTCAATTTTCCGTGCATGAACAAAAAGGGAGAGAATGTCGTCAGTTTTAGACAAGGCTTTTCTAAAAAAAGATTTGTTATTTGCAGTTTATGAGCAGCTCGTGAGAAGTTTCTTGTTGGTTTTTATTGTTTAGTGAAAACATGTTTTACATCTTGACCTATTTGTATGTACAAGTAAATACTTATGCCAAACAAAATTTGCAGTAGGAAATTCATGAATTGCAAAGATCCATGAGGAGGCGACTTCTTTTTCGGACACGTTTTATAACTGAATGTTGTTATAGTTGCGCGAGATACTGGCAGCAGTCGACGGCTTGCCTTTCGTTGTATTATGTTCTATATTTTTGCCTGCTTATTCAATCTTTACGTTTTTTCCCGAACGTCCCAATTTTCTTTACGCATGTATTATTTTTCCTCGAGTACACTGTAAAAGATTTCATCGTTCAGAAATGTCTTGAAAAGCAGCAATGTATATGTTTGCTTGTTTTTCTCGTGTATGAAAATTTATAAAACTTGTTCTGCCACGAATTTTACAAATGATTAAAACATCTACATCTAGCCTTCAGTTACAAATAGATGTAGTCATTTCAAATAAACATTATTTAAATCTAGTGAAATGAATGTGGCGAATGTCGACGTTGGATTAAGTGTTTCTGTGTCAAGAAATGTAGAAAAAACACTTCAGTTGTACACAGCAAAATCTGAACAGTTGGTAGGTTACAATGCTTATAAATTTCGATGTCAAAATTTTTTTGTTATTGTTTTTTTTTGTCATTCATTTGAGAATCAGAACAATTTTAGTATTTCTTACATGGCAATATGATCATGAAATGCATGTAGCTCACGAGAGTTTTTGAAGTCAAAAATGTTTAAAGTGCTTATGAAAGCAAATGTTACCGTTCAGTTTTATGATTGCATTGCAAAGACCATTTATAATGACTGAATGACTTCTTCGGCAGAATTATTTTATTTTATTTCTTTCTCGAGATATTTCACATTATTAATGACTAATAAATTAGTAGATTAATATGTGCATAAATGCCACAAAGTTAGATTCATTGCAGGCAAAAATTACTATTTTAGAAATTGTAATCATTCATTGTGATGTAACAGTGATGTGTTCGCATAGTCAATAAAGTTAAATATCTCCTGAAAAAAGTAAAAAAAATTCTACTGAAAAGTTATTAACTCATTTTAAATGGTCTTCGCAATGCAGTCATCAAACTGAAAGGTAAAATTTGCTCTCATAAGCACTTCATGAATGGGTTGTTTATATCTAAAACATCTGTGTACATTACATGTCTGACAGAGTTGTTAACGTAAACTGCTGTTGTCCAAAGAAAGTTGCGTAAACAGCACATTTTTTTGGCCATTTCTCCCCCACAAGCACTTAACGTTCGTTGATTGTACCGTGTAATGTGATTTCTTAGCTCGTCACTTCTCCAGATGCGTACGAAATCGAAATAGAGATCAGTGAAAGCCAAATGAAAAACGCCGCAATAGTTAATATGCTGTACGAATTGCATCAGTCAACAATCGAGGTGAGTACTTTGTTTCATTACTTATAGGGCCTGGGGCGATGTATTGTCTTGTATTCTTTGTGTTCAACGAATCATTGTCGTTGCCCTTAAGTTTTCTTAATTGGCTGTTTTTATGTAAAATATGGAGATCAAAGGAATTTATTTACTGTTCATTACGTCTCCTATTGATTGATGAAACGTGTATATTTAAAATAATTATTTATAGAATTTGAATGTTTGGGTATCTTATTGTTTCCATCTTGTTAATTATTTGTAAAGGAATGATCGACGTTTGAATTTCTACATAAATTCTAGATCTTAGGAAAACTAAATTATCCTAAACTTGGCGTAGAAGCAATACACAACGCCTTAAAAGTAAGTATGATTTCTCATAGGAAGGATTATAGATGACTAGTTAATAAATAATAAACCACAGAGTTGAAATACTTGATTCCATAATTAGATGTCTTTGAAATTTGTTTTTATGTAGGTGCTTGTTACGTTAAACATTATCTCTATCATACAATTTCACAACTCTTTCTGGTTATTGCAGTATTGTTTTCACTTTTTACTGCAATTTTTTTCCATTTCCTTCAGCAAATTCTTTCACTGATCGATAATGCCGTAGAACATCTATTCATGTCAATGCAGAGAAGAATGGAAGAAATAATTTATAATATTTACGTGGAGGACTTCTCAAGGTTTTTTGCTTTTAATTTCGTCTGCTGTATTACGAACTCGCTATTCACTATGATTGGTTGTGGGAACGATAAATATGATTGGTTGTGGGAATGATAAATATGATTGGTTGTGGGAACGATAGATATGATTGGTTGTGATAACGAGAGATATGATTGGTTTTGAGAACGATAGATATGATTGGTTGTGGGAGCGATAGATATGATTGGTTGTGGGAACGAAAGATATGATTGGTTGTGGGAACGAAAGATATGATTGGTTGTTGGAATGATAAATATGATCGGTTATGGGAACGATAGATATGATTGACTGCGGTTTTCAATCCGGGGAAATCCAACTTATTTTATAAAGTTTTTTGATGAAATCGGTTTAAATTAGGTTAAAAACTTGCTATGGGTTTAATGAGTTGATTTTTTAATTGAATCAAGGGTTAACGTTTCATCAAACTTTAACATTGTATTTATTCAATCTATTTATTGCTATTATAGTGCTCAGCTCTCTGTTAACCTCTCAGATATCCCCGAAGCACCATGCTCGTCCTATATAAATGAACTTCAGGTATTCATTGAAATCCCACACAGTACTTTTACATTATCCTAAATTTTTCTTAATCGCTGTTGCATTGATTTTGTTAGGATTTTATTGTTCATCTGAAAAGAAAGATCTTGTCCCTCTACAATTGTGGAGAACTCTTTTTAGACAGGTATTAATTTTCATTAAATTAAAGAGTGTAAAGTCATTTGTCTGCTTGTACAAACGTTTGTTTGTCGTGAGCAGTTATTGTATATCGGTATAAGCTGTGAAACTATATTTTTGGCGTACTTCATTTCAGATTGAATAAAATGGCCGCTCGTATTTTACACGTGTTTGTTCGTCATGTGAGTTTATTGCGATATTTGGGTGAAGGAGGAAAATTAAGGTTGGCCGCAGATATGGCACAGGTATGATTTTGATAACTACATATACAGGCTCATTAGGCTGGTGATTGAGTGAAGTTTTAGTTTCTATTACTAGAAGACATTTCTTTGTTTGATGTTTGTGTGTAGGGGGGGGGGGTGTTTATTGTGTTTGGTGTGTGAGTAAAGATGGGTGTTGTATTATGTTTGTGTACATGAGGTTAGAGGGATGGTGTATAATGGGTGTATGATGGAAGAGGGATGGTCTATGACGTTTGCATGGGGGAAGATGGGTCTTGTAATGTTTGTGTGCATGAGGGAAAAGGGGTGGTGTATGATGTTTTGGGAAGGGGGGAGCCATAAACAAGTGTTTACGCTGAAAGTAATTCGCGTTATGAAAGTTATTTGCTTGTACACAAGTTCATGATAATTATACACATTTTTACAGAGACTGCAATGATCTTGAATATTTTTTTTTGCTATGGTTTAGATTGAGTTTGCCGTTGGTCCTTTATGTCGTCGTGTTTCTGATCTTGGACGTTCTTATAAAACACTACGATCATTTAGGTATGAATAACGGACGGCTTGTATAATGTCTTTATAGCCAACACACAACATCGTGATATATTTTAGTTAGTCAGCACATCGAAGGTTATTTAGGCAGGCTTTGTTGTCCCATTTGAAAAATTTTCAGGCATTTTTCCAAGATCACAATGGCCTTAATATACGCTTAAATTAAGGTCATTCCCTGTTAAATGATAAGCAGCTAATAGGGAAAGATTTTAACATATGTTTTCTTTTATGAAGACCTCTACTATTTCAAACGGCTGTTGACATCTCCAACAATCCAGCTCTTGGCGAAAGCTTACCTTTTTCATTAGTCTTACACCACCTTCTTGCTCAAGGACCATCCGATCTTCTATCACCTTATGAGGTATGTTATTGTGTGAAGATCTCATGTGTGAGGTGTGTTATTGCATGAAGATCTCATGTGTGAGGTATGTTATTGTATGAAGATCTCATGTGTGAGGTATGTTATTGTGTGAGGTGTGTTATTGTGTGAAGATCTCATGTGTGAGGTATGTTATTGCATGAAGATCTCATGTGTGAGGTATGTTATTGTATGAAGATCTCATGTGTGAGGTGTGTTATTGTGTGAAGATCTCATGTGTGAGGTGTGTTATTGCATGAAGATCTCATGTGTGAGTGTGAAGATCATGTGTGAGGTGTGTTGTGTGAAGATCTCATGTGTGAGGTGTGTTGTGTGTGAAGATCTCATGTGTGAGGTGTGTTTGTGTGAAGATCTCATGTGTGAGTGTGAAGATCTCATGTGTGATGTGTGTGAAGATCTCATGTGTGAGGTGTGTGTGTGAAGATCTCATGTGTGTGAAGATCTCATGTGTGAGGTGTGTTGTGTGTGAAGATCTCATGTGTGAGGTGTGTTGTGCATGAAGATCTCATGTGTGAGGTGTGTTATGTGTGAAGATCTCATGTGTGAGGTGTGTTGTGCATGAAGATCTCATGTGTGAGGTGTGTTATTGTGTGAAGATCTCATGTGTGAGGTGTGTTGTGTGAAGATCTCATGTGTGTGTGTTATTGTGTGAAGATCTCATGTGTGAGGTGTGTTTGTGTGAAGATCTCATGTGAGGTGTGTTGTGCATGAAGATCTCATGTGTGAGGTGTGTTATTGTGTGAAGATCTCATGTGTGAGGTGTGTTGTGTGTGAAGATCTCATGTGTGAGGTGTGTTGTGCATGAAGATCTCATGTGTGAGGTGTGTTATTGCATGAAGATCTCATGTGAGGTGTGTTGTGCATGAAGATCTCATGTGTGAGGTGTGTTGTGTGAAGATCTCATGTGTGAGGTGTGTTATGTGTGAAGATCATGTGAGGTGTGTTATTGAAGATCTCATGTGTGAGGTATGTTGTGTGTGAAGATCTCATGTGTGAGGTGTGTTATTGTGTGAAGATCTCATGTGTGGTGTGTTATTGCATGAAGATCTCATGTGTGAGGTGTGTTATGAAGATCTCATGTGTGAGGTATGTTGTGCATGAAGATCTCATGTGTGAGGTGTGTTATTGTGTGAAGATCATGTGTGAGGTATGTTGTGTGAAGATCTCATGTGTGAGGTGTGTTATTGTGTGAAGATCTCATGTGTGAGGTGTGTTATTGCATGAAGATCTAATGTGTGAGGTATGTTATTGCATGAAGATCTCATGTGTGAGGTATGTGTGAAGATCTCATGTGAGGTTGTGTGTGAAGATCTCATGTGTGAGGTGTGTTATTGTGTGAAGATCTCATGTGTGAGGTGTGTTATTGCATGAAGATCTCATGTGTGAGGTGTGTTATTGTGTGAAGATCTCATGTGTGAGGTGTGTTATTGCATGAAGATCTCATGTGAGGTGTGTTATTGCATGAAGATCTCATGTGTGAGGTGTGTTATTGTGTGAAGATCTCATGTGTGAGGTGTGTTATTGCATGAAGATCTCATGTGTGAGGTGTGTTATTGCATGAAGATCTAATGTGTGAGGTGTGTTATTGCATGAAGATCTCATGTGTGAGGTGTTATTGTGTGAAGATCTCATGTGTGAGGTGTGTTATTGTGTGAAGATCTCATGTGTGAGGTGTGTTATTGCATGAAGATCTCATGTGTGAGGTATGTGTCTCATGTGAGTGTGAAGATCTCATGTGTGAGGTGTGTTATTGCATGAAGATCTCATGTGTGAGGTGTGTTATTGCATGAAGATCTCATGTGTGAGGTATGTTATTGCATGAAGACCTCATGTGTGAGGTGTGTTATTGTGTGAAGTCATATTGCATGAAGATCTCATGTGTGGTGTGTTATTGTGTGAAGATCTCATGTGTGAGGTGTGTTATGCATGAAGATCATGTGAGGTATGTTATTGCATGAAGATCTCATGTGTGAGGTATGGTGTGTTGTATGTTATTATGAAGATCTCATGTGTGAGGTGTGTTATGTGTGAAGATCTCATGTGTGAGGTGTGTTGTGCATGAAGATCTCATGTGAGGTGTGTGTGTGATCTCATGTGTGAATCTCATGTGTGAGTGTGTTATTGCATGAAGATCTCATGTGTGAGGTGTGTTATTGTGTGAAGATCTCATGTGTGAGGTGTGTTATTGCATGAAGATCTCATGTGTGTTATTGCATGAAGATCTCATGTGTGAGGTGTGTTATTGCATGAAGATCTCATGTGTGAGGTGTGTTGTGTGTGAAGATCTCATGTGAGGTGTGTTGTGTGAAGATCTCATGTGTGAGGTGTGTTGTGTGTGAAGATCTCATGTGTGAGGTGTGTTATTGATCTCATGAAGATCTCATGTGTGAGGTGTGTTATGTATGAAGATCTCATGTGTGAGGTGTGTTATGTGTGTCTCATGTGTGTGTGCATGAAGATCTCATGTGTGAGGTGTGTTATTGCATGAAGATCTCATGTGTGAGGTGCATGTGTGCATGAAGATCTCATGTGTGAGGTATGTTATTGTGTGAAGATCTCATGTGTGAGGTGTGTTTGTGTGAAGATCTCATGTGTGAGGTGTGTTGTGCATGAAGATCTCATGTGTGTGTTATTGTGTGAAGTCATGTGTGAGGTGTGTTATGCAGAAGATCTCATGTGTGAGGTGTGTTTGTGCATGAAGATCTCATGTGAGGTGTGTTATTGCATGAAGATCTCATGTGTGAGGTGTGTTATTGCATGAAGATCTCATGTGTGAGGTGTGTTGTGCATGAAGATCTCAGATCTCATGTGTGAGGTGTGTTATTGTATGAAGATCTCATGTGTGAGGTGTGTTATTGTGTGAAGATCTCATGTGTGAGGTGTGTTATTGTGTGAAGATCTCATGTGTGAGGTGTGTTATGTGTGAAGATCTCATGTGTGAGGTGTGTTATTGTATGAAGATCTCATGTGTGAGGTGTGTTATGTGTGAAGATCTCATGTGTGAGGTGTGTTGTGCATGAAGATCTCATGTGTGAGGTGTGTTATTGCATGAAGATCTCATGTGAGGTGTGTTATTGCATGAAGATCTCATGTGTGAGGTGTGTTGTGTGAAGATCTCATGTGTGAGGTGTGTTATGATCTCATGTGAGGTGTGTTATTGTGAAGATCTCATGTGTGTTATTGTGTGAAGATCTCATGTGTGAGGTGTGTTATTGCATGAAGATCTAATGTGTGAGGTGTGTTATTGTGTGAAGATCTCATGTGTGAGGTGTGTTATTGCATGAAGATCTCATGTGTGAGGTGTGTTATTGCATGAAGACCTCATGCCACCCTACGAGTTATGTTACTGTATGGATTATCTTAAGTTTGAAATTTCCGTGCTTATCCGTTGAAATATTTCACTGGAAAGTAATTTAATCTAACTTCCACTAGTCATTGTTTTCATCTCGGTTCACTCATAATTAAAGAAATTCTGTCTTATACGTTGGTGTGGTTTTGAAATATATTCGTTGATCTATCTTTGCAACATGTCACGACAATCGAGACTGGCTGAGAACCTTAAAACAGGATTTATTGTTTTTAAATTTAATTTATGACACCCCTGCCTTAATTTCTGTTTCTAAACACATATGTCGAAAGTATCGAATCTCTGACAAAACCATATCGCTCTGTAAATGAATTGCTACTTTGTAAAAAAATGTGTGCTATTGTAGTTCCCAGGCCCTTTATCTTACTGTAAAATCTATTGCCAGCTGACAATTTTGCAAAGAGCAAATGGAAACCTACTCTCGAGAATAGGTCCATCTTGAATTGGTGATATAAATATTTAAATAGTGTGTTGTGTCTGTTTTTCCAACCATTTAGTTCAAGCTGGAATTTTTCCCAGGAGTATTTTTATACTTTGCTTACTGCTTAAAGCGCGCTTTTATTTTTTACCATCGGTTAACAAAAGTCTTTTTTTCCAGGTTAAAGGATGGTCTCTACGTTATTATAATCAATGGCTCGATGAACATGAATCAGAAAATGAAAGACTTACTTTGATAAGGTAAAGGGCTTTCGTGTTTCATACTCTCATTGTACATGATGTTGTTGTGTCAAATTTACATACTTTCTTTGTTTTTACATGAAAGGGATTCTGGCTTAGCGACATAAAAATGCAATGTTTGGCAGTGTGACAATTCCAAGCACTCACAAATGTTTCTTTTCATTAATGTCTTTGCTTGTATAACGGCCTTGCCGAAGAATACATGTGACGTCAAGACCTTTGCCATTTTTGATCTCGGAGTACAACTCTTTCCTAAATTCTCCTGTTTATGTAGTGTTGCTCTGGAAACATATGTCCAATCGGTGAGATCACGTGGGGAAAAAGAATTTGCATCCGTATACCCAATCTTACTCAAAGTATTACAGAAAGCATCAACGTGATAGGACGGTATTGTACAATTCGAATCGTATTTAACGCTGGTCCGGTTATTTCTCATCTCGGTATCTAATATATCCCATATTGCGTTTCCTTAAAAATAATTTCGTGAAATTTGTTTAATTTCGAGATTTGATATGTCCGTGAGACTATTCGTATTACGTCACTTTTTGATTGTTTCAATCCGACCATTCTTTCTTGTTTTAACGATATTGGCTTGTGAAAAGCTGTGTTTGGTAGTTGTTACCGCTCCTTGTCGGCTTTTACCATATTTAGCGGTTTTACGACTTTGCGGAGGCTGTGATGCCGGTGTTTTTGTGTCTACTTGCTTCTTCAAGCGAATATCATCGCTTTAAAGAGTCTTAGAATCGTTGTTGCTTTTTCCTATTTAGTACCATAATTAGATCACAAAGTGTCCAATTAATGATAATTATCGACATTAAGAATGCTTCTCTAAAATCGGTGTTTTATTGGTATTGTCCTCCAGAACGCTCATTGATTATAATTGCTCATAAATGGACAATTCTTTTCGGCATTCTTTCAAGGTCATGCCGAAGGTTCGTCAGGAAACGATATTTATACGTGAAAGTTTTCTTTCGAAAGCCCACACACTCCAACGATCTCATGCGCACCTCATACATTCATGATATTTCAAGCATTGAGTACACATGTCATCACAACGGTTGGCGTTTGTTTATTGTTTTTTTGGTCTAAATGACTCTAAATGGCGCCTTCTTTGACGTATTGCACAAGATTTAAAGTTTGAGTATTTATGGTGTCAACCTTTGACAGTCGAGGCACGAGGGGGGTTTTTTTCTTAACGACCGAGTACAAGAAAGAAAAACGCTTACAAACAAAACGAATTAAGCCTCCGCACACTGCATCATTAACTGTAAATGGTCGTGTTAAGTCGCAAATTGTTGTGTTGATCGTCGTTTTTCGATTTTTTCTTTATATCACTTTGGAAGTCAACTTCGAAAATTTTGCTGTTAAATTCAAAAACATTCACTCTGCTGGCCAACAGCGTTTCTATTCGTCTTTTATTTTATATCATTTAGTTTTCTTTCACAATGTAACATTCTCTCCTAATTTCAGCGATTGTTTCTTTTCTTCGCTCTTTTCGCAGTTCTTTACCTTTTACTTCAACATTTTGTCCCTACCCTCACAAATAGCTAGGTGTACAAGAATAAACAGAATTTTGCATTTTAATTTTGTTGATATTGCAGAGCAGGAAGTATCATGTAAGGCAATAAAGCAGCATGCAAAGAGGACATGTTTCAAAAGAATACCTTGACTGAATAGTTACGATTCTCCTGTGCTGGATACGCACAGTGTGCTTAATTGCTAAATAACTACAATTATATATTAGATGATCGCATTAAATACAAAACCGCTGTCCAAATAGATTTGGACAAGTGTGAGTTCGAAGTGGCTTGATTGTTACAAGCAAATCAAATCGAGTGTAGACCAATGAGAATGGACTAGTCTCACGCTACTCACAATGCCTGTCAATGTGAACGGCTTGCACCCATCGCGTCGCGCGACATCTATGACTCGTAGCCAATCAGCGTCGAGCGGTCCCACGGTCGATGTCATTTAAATTCATGACATTGTCTGATTTATACACTTGTGTCACAGACAGACAATTACCAAGCAAATATTTGCGCATGATAACGCAGCTCTACGTCGATTTTCCCACGATTAAGACAACTGGCTTTGTAATCATAAGTACTCTAAGCTGTGAATATCACACATTTGCTTGTGGTCGGCGAACAATCTGACGTCGTTTTACATTGCTACTTGCGGAAGAAACGTTTTACTTTTGATTTGTAACATTTTTGACTTCACTGGAATTTTTTTTTGTCGTTATGGGTCTGGAAGAGATGCGCAAGGTTGAGGAAATAAAGTCACCTGACAGACGAAAGGTAACACACATTGAATTATCTGCACATTACACGTCTGCAGATTTCAAAATATGAAATCCTAAGAAAAATTTAACTTCCTTTGATTCCATTCCTACCCTACATAATGTTCGTCGTCAATTTTTCGTTTTTGATGTTATGGCGTATGTCTATTTTGTACGTGGATAGCAACCATATCTAGTCAGTGCTTGTTCCCAAACTCGAAAATGACGTTTTGATTTTTATTCTTTTCGTACATTCCATCCTAAGCCTTTATACTTTTAGAAAAAATTTGATTGATTGTCGTTAAATTAATGATTTCGCACTGACTTTTATTTAGGCCAAAACCTCTCATTGAAAAGCAACGAAGAAAGCGTATAAACGAAAGCTTGAACGAGTTGAAAGTTCTTGTACTTCACGCCTTGAACAAAGATGTAAGTTTAGTGGTGTTGAGTAAGTCATTGACACCTACCAATTTCCCCATGACATGATTAATTTTATGACATGAATAATTTATTTTCTCAAAAACAATGTACAACTATGTATTAATCTTGGCCGGCTGCTTCAAAGAAATACAAATTAGTGCTGTGTTTCAATTTTACAGAGCTCTTTATGCATAATTGAATTTAAAAAGAATAATTCACTTTTTCATTGCTTGTGTAAACCTCTAAAGGCTGATTCTCGTGTGGAATCGTTGCATATATGCATCATTCGAGTCATCGGTTTTCTGTATGGAGCTTTATCTATTGGCTTTATCTTATTGATATCAGACATGAGTACCAACCTTTAGCGTTTTGTTTATTTTCTAAGTAAACTAATTTATTGGAACAACACAATGCTTATTGATGATTATAAATTTCATCTGTTTGTGATGGCATTTGTATCAGTTAAAGCAAAGTTGATATTTCTTCGTTTTCATTAATCGTTTTGTAATATACTGACAAGTAGACGAAGCATTCACTGCATGACGCAATTTAATCCACTACATCAAGCAACTTTGATCGTTGAAACATGAATGAAACTCAGCATTAGGTCTACAGTGAAATATTTCACATCTTTTTCTGATTTTTCTGTTTTACCTCCAGGCGTCTCTGTATTCCAAGATGGAGAAGGCAGACATTTTGGATTTGACTGTTAATTATTTAAAATCGGTGAAATGTGATCAAGGATTTTTACGTGACGCGACCTCGCTTGCAAAATATCGCTTGGGATACAACGATTGTGCCGGTGAAATGACTCAATACATTATGTCGGATGCTGGTTTAGATTATCATAACCGTGCAAAATTACTGTCGCAAATGGCGTCGAGCTGTCAAAAAGCAAATCTACGTACAACCGCTGAAATGAATGTTCCAGGATCACGGGCTCCATTGTACGCGAGACCGCCTGCAATACCCATTGCTCTCTCTGCTAACAGACTTGCTCCATCTATGAGTTCACCGATCCCTATTTATCCTTCTAGTTTTAACCCCACTGAGATCAATCGTCCCGTTAATGTTTCAATGGGTTCGTCGTCTGTGATTTTGAAAGAATCTAATGTGAAATCCAACTGCTATAGTCCCCATTTCATGACGTCATCGACTGCGTTAAGTGGACTGGAATCGAGTGGTTCGAATGTTTGGCGTCCCTGGTAAATGGAGAGTGAGCTTAAGAAGATGATATATTTGCTACTGGAACGCTTAATCGAGAACTAATCTCACATTTTAAATCAAACACAATTCTTAAAGTAGCGAATGTACCGTTCTTGTCGTAAAGCATGTCTCTTGCTGAAGTTCACTAATTTGTTTATCCGGCGGGAATTGAAAAAACGCATATAATTTTCGCAAGTAATGTTGTGTTGAAAAATAATTTTTGTTTATGGTTAAAATATATTTGTAGATTTGTATAATATACGTTTGACGTAATGCACTTAGGAAATCATTTTGAACTCTAATTTAGTGCAATCATGAATGCATTTTATGATGAAGATAATAATATTTTGTTCATATTTACAGTGGAATGATTTCAAAATTAAAATTAGATTAAAATGGTGCATTATAAGCCTAATATGTAATCAATGATGAATAATTGAGTAATATTGTCGTTAATTTGTCTGGAAATGGCTTAATCTAAAAATCTTTGCACGTGAATTGCGTTGTATCTCGTTGACCATTGAATATTTTTTTGTACCATTAATTCCATAAGTGATTAAACTCTATATTTGCATGTATTGAGAAATTTTTATCTCTGGAAAACATCTGTCATTTTAAACTTAATACTGTTGCTTCAACGTTTATTTTATTGACAACACTAGAGAAAGGAAATGTTTCTTTTTGTAGGATTAACCTTTTTGTTTAATAAGTCGATCGTTTTGTATTGTTAAATTAGTAATTATTTCACGCACAACAATAATTTGTTGTGCATGTTGAACAAAACAGAATAGTATCTCTCATATACTCCTTGGAAACTTAGTTGATAAGTTAGCCTTAAAGTTTCTTTGGGGCTGATTACATGGAGCACTTTCAATCCTTGACTGAACTGCAACCCCGTTAGCTAATTGAATTGAAATTTCAGCCTAGCCTTCATACGAAACATTTCTTATGTCAAAAGCGCGAATATATGGTATATTTTCAACCCTGTATGGTTCAACCCCAGGTGGTCAAATTTCAACCCTGTTTCACCTAACCGTGTTGAAATTTCAGCAATATGTAGTCTACTGCTGTCGGGCTGTACATGATTTTTATGTTTTATATTACGGGTGTTTATTAGATAAGATTCCCATTAATTTCTATCATCAGGGATGAAATTTTCGAATTAATGCAATGTAAACGCAATACATTTAAACTCACTTAACACCAGCCCCTAAAGTTCAAGAAGAAGTTCTTTGTATTTTTCGTGTTTGCGCTTTGATGCATTTCTACAAGGTCAATCTCATATCCAAATGAATAAAGTTTTTTCTTTCGTTTTAATTTGGTAGCTCCAAAAATAGCTTATAGCTTATATTTTAAAATACAATAATGATAATTATATGATAATGTTGATATAGACTTTATAAGTTAAAGCATTTTCTTCGTTTGTTCAAAACCCGCCGCTATCGTCTCAGACGTTCCTACGTTTCGCATAATAGCTTTATATCGTCCAAGGACGCCAAAAATCCTTTCCAGTTTTTGCCGCTGATCGTTGATTTAAGTTGTTGCTTTTCATGTAATCGTCATTATAATCTGTCGTATTTAAAGATCTCATGGGAGACAGCAGATTATATCGCACTGGCACATGTCGTTGAGAATGTTCATTTTCTTGTGATTCTGTTTTGATCCGAAGTGTAGTAGATTCAGTTTCTGCCTTATTGTTATTTGATGACCGTATTGTGTTTAAAGAAGCGTTTTCTAGCTTTGAAAGAGGATTTCGTTTGATTCTTTTAGCTGTGCTTGTTTTAGGAAGGCAAATGTCGCTTTCGGCTTGCTCTCGCTTGCCTTCCAAACATCTTATTGCCAGCTCTAAAATTTCTGCTTTTTCCATTGGTGGATAGAAACCAACCTGCCCAGAGGATAATGAATCTATAAGCTTAATGTTCGACTAAATATGGAATGGCGGGCATGATGTCAGCGCGTGGCATGCACAAAATTTAGCAACATTGATATAGAATAGAGCTCAAATTGTTCACTCCAGTGATTTTTATGTTGTGCTTACGTCATTTCCTAGTTGTTTCATTGCAATAACTTTCAGCTTTTCTAGTCTTTCGTTTATTTTTTGTCTTCTTTTCTGTTCAAGTTGTCTTTTCTTCGCCTGCAAACGATAAAGATCGATGTACGCTTTTAGCCAAATTATAACCTCTCACAAATACTTCCTGTCATTTTTCTTACCTTAACATTTTTATTCTCAACGCAAAAAATATTCTCCATTTTAGACAGCAAGTGGTTTTCAAACACGACGCAAATAAGGCAATGTTGTGTTGATTTTTGAAAGCTGTGTCTTCTTAACCGCTTCGTACTGTTTAAGTAACGTTTGCTATGCTAAATTATAACAACAATTGTCATTGTCTGTTGTTATTGTTCTGGGCACATGGCCTTTGTTTGACTCTCTAGTTCAGTGCACGTGTGTAAAAGTCAAATGGCTGGAACGGTGAATAAGATTTTGTTATAATACTAGGGTTGTAAGGAATGTTTGTAAATGGTTAATACTCTCAGTCGCCTTAGTTGTTTCTGCATTTTATGATAACTTTCATTTTCTCTATAAAATTTAATTTTTCGAGCACCTGTGGTGTACTTCAATGGCGTCTTGTGTATTTATTGGTATTTTAAATGTTTCGTTTTATGTAGTTTAACGGATGATACGAAAGATAGTATGACAATTTTAGGGAACAGCAAGACCATAATTATTCCAAGTTGGTGCAATTTGTTTAAAATGTCTTGCGTCAACATTCTAGCGTGCATTGCATAATTTATTGTTTTTCCTTGCAGTCGCATCAAAGACAATGAAAACAATTTTGACTTTGTCTTTCGTCAATGGCCCTCGTGGCTGGCCAACTATAGCGCGAAATTTGAAAAACGTGCTCGAACGAAAGTGTTTGTTTTGGTTTGATGGTTTCGCGCATGCGTAAATAGCTAATGTGATCTTGACAAAACTTTCAATTTGTTTTCGTTAATTCATATTTTTGCGAGAATTATTCCTTCATATTTTTGCGAGAATTATTCAAAGTGTTGATTAGCTGTTTATAGACAAACCCCCTTCCTTTTTAATTGTGTTTTGGCTTGATACATTTGTCACGATTGCTGTAAAATCTTCGTGCAAAACTTTTTTGACGACAGCCTTTGCATTTGGGAAATAACGAAAAGAGGTGCTCTGTTTCGTGGCATTTATAATAGTTTAACGCACAACTTGTTTTCACAACTGACTCTGTAATTATTCAAAATTTCGCGCTCATTTTCTGGCAACAATGGAGCATGCCGGTAGTCCACGATGCCTTTGTTTGTGGCACGTGTTGTTTAAGGAGCATCAACTTCGTGCAGACATATTTTACTAGGGGTGGAACCAGCGAACATAAATCAAAATGGCCTGGCTGTGTCCCATTGTCGGCTAACTTTGGCGTTTCAGTGTCGCCCACGTCCAGTCTCAAACTGAGTCTTAAATCATTGTCTTAATTGCACGGATGTTTGTTCATAAACCGATGAAAATTGTTGCTTTTTGTCATCCGACTCTTGAATTTGTAAACAAGTTTTATGAGCTATAAATACTATTCGTTTTGCCAAAATGTCTAAGATGCATTCAACCTAATTTCACACGACGAAAATCTGATTTGAATAAGCTTTTTCAAAGATTCATTTTGAAAGAAGATATTGCATTGGATTACATAATCCATGCTCTTTTCTGTATGTTTGTTTGTATATTGGCAGAAAATAGATTTGGCAGCTGGCGACAGCACGCTAACATTGAACAATTCGTTCTCCATTGTACGATCTTGATTTGAAATTATCTGATCTTCAGTCCAAACATTATGCAAGTTTAAAAGCAGCGTAAGGCAGTTGCATAACGTGGAATATTTCTTAATTGCACATCCTTGGAGCCATTTTCAGAAACAGACGTCCCTAAAATAACCTTTTGATAAGCTAACCATGTTTTTCTGCACATGTAGAAGCCCTATATATGTATATATTGTGCTATTAATATTTATCTTTTAAAAATCTAAAATGTTTATGTATATATAAAGGAAAACGATAAATTTAAGAAATACAAGCTGGACCACAATCTATACTGTTTCATCCGTATAAGGCAATCAGTTAAGGTAAATGTAAGCATAATAAATTTTACAGCAGTTGAAATACAGTTTTGTTAAGTTTTTTAGTACATAGTATATTTATATATGAAGACCATCTATTGTTTTATCACATATATATTTATATGTACCTGAAGTCAGGCAAAAATTCGTTAGGGCCCCGTTAACACTATACCGGATTGCTATCTTAGCAGGTTGAATATTCTTTGTATTAAAAGGCAGTGAAGATGTTCAACGTCAGAAACACAATCAAAAAGACTAAATTTATCAGCTTAATAAGCTTTTACTCCGAACAGTTACACCTTTAAAGCAAATGAAGATGTCGTGTTGAGCGAATCTGGTATAGTGTAAACGCAGCCTGAGTGTAATTTAGTAATTTCCAGGAAATAGTATCAAATACGCGTACAGGGCTCAACCACATTGTCAGAAAACTCGTTTTATCTACCGAAAATACTCAGTTCTAGTTCTCTCGTTTGTTTGCTTTTTTTTGTGCCTTCTGAGTCCTTTCATATTTGTATTGTTTGTCATGATAAAATTGATAACAAGTTTCGTAAAGTTAAATTTTATCTCCCCAGTCAACTGTCGTCATCTGGCTTGATCTGATCTGATATGATACCTCACGCACGAGTATATCTACAAACTCCTTTTTTGGGCCTTTTTTATCTATAATTATAAGCGTGCATCGATCTTCTCAATGCGTTTTTGTTTGAATAGTAAAATATATTCTTAATATTCACAGCCAATGTTACTTTAAGATTTTTAAAAAAACGCCTACGAGTAGGATGTTTGTATTTCATATTGCTTTTCTTCAATTTCCTATCTTCGGCAAATACTTTCAAATATTTCATGAATAAAATACTCTTCATTAAGATTAAATGTCTCTTGATAGCTAAGATCACAAAATTTTAATTTAGTAGTTTTTTCTAAACTTTATGTGCAGTCAATGTGCCACAAATTGTTATGTATAGTTAGATGTTGTTTAGCGATGATATTTATTTTCCTATGATTTTGTTTTTTATTTTGTTAAATAAGATACAAATACATGCTAACTAGCCTTAATAAATCTTGCCGATGTTTTTTTCTTCAATGTATAGAAAAGTGACGTTTGTGGTAATTGATTTTTGCGCTGTTTAGGTAAACAAATAAAGTCGAAATTAAACTACCGACGTTTCACATGCCTTTTTTAGTCAACTCGTGAATCCGACTCTTTCTTGAATCAAAATTAATAATTTAAAAAGGTAAGATTTGTGTTTGTTCATCAAAAGTTGATTTGCCCACAGCATGTTATCACTTACCGCACGAAGTAATATTGATTTTATCACATATACCACGTCTTTGTGACTTGCATTTTGTCGTTCAGGTTATTTTTGATCGTGTGCAATTAACGTTTTAACAAACTCACATATGTTATGATATAGGTACGACCGACTTGCCTCAAAACTAAAGATTTTCGCAGTTTCCGTTCGCGCAAAGTTTGTAAAGCACTTTTCAGTGAAAATTTGGATCATTTCCCTAGGCAGGTAAGATGTGTTAATCTTGAGATAGATCTACGTGAAGAATTTTTCAATCAGGCTTTCTTTTTTACCAAAATCTATGGGACATTTTTTTTATCTTGCGTTCTTTTCCCAGTAATGAGTACTCTGAATTAATTGTAAAAGTGAACTATAGTATTATCTTATCTATGTTTTGTGTTGGGTTTCGTCGGTTTTAACAAGTCCGTAAAAGTTTTTTTTAATAAGTTCTAGTATATATTTTTTGATTTAGTTCAATATTTTTTGTGACAACAAAGCTTTAAAAACAACAAACTTTCGACACCTTTCGAAAAAATTTCGTCGAGATAAAAAGGGCTGAAACTCAAATTAGCAAAAAGCGTGCATTTTATAACATAAAATTTTCATACCAGATATCTTGTCTTTAAATTTTATATGAATAATGCTCTCAAGGCTTGTGGCTGTTCTAATACAGAAACTTTGAAAGATTTTGTGAAACTTTCCCACATAGCTAGTGCTGAAAATTAGTATTGATTCTAAAACAAAGGACATGTGACGTATTCCTGAGCCGCATAGCTAATGTTTTGAGGGAAAGTCACCACAAGCTTTGTCGTAGCCAAACTTAACCAGGGGATAATCAGAAGTCGGTGAATAAATACAAATATATACTATACTGACATGCTTCTTGATTATTTATACACCTATTTTGTCTTTACATAAGATGGAAAACAATACGATAGTGAAATCTGATCATGGAGATGAAATAAGCCCGTGTTTATATCTCATCATCCTAGTTGTCTCTGTGTGTGTTATAATCCTGGGTATCGGTGCTAACTGTTTCGTCGTCATCTCGTTTTGTAAAATGAAACATTTGCGAACTGTGACAAACTATTTCATTTTTCAATTGAGCATTGCCGATATATTTTTATTGATGTCTTTGGCGATTTGGATGTGCTTTTCTCAATTATCAACGAACGAAGAAGATAAATACGCGACAAAAGTTATTCTTGCTTCCATTGAGGTTTTTTCATCATCCGCGTCACTCGCCAGTCTCGCGTGTGTGAGCGTGGATCGTTGTCTTGCTGTCACAGTACCTCTAAGATATCAATCGATCACGACCCATTCACGTGCTCTTGTCGTCATCATCTCCGTATGGATTTACTCCATCATTACGTTCATTACGTCATACTTGCGTGATGTCATCACAAACGAGTTGTACGAGAAGGTCTTCATCGGTTGTCTTTTCTCGCTAACGTTTCTTTTTCCGATTATAATCACCACGTGGTCCTATTTCCAGATCTTTCGCGCGGTTTGGCGCCAAGTTCATCACGTGGTCAAGCACACAACGTCAAACCGACGTATGTGTACGGTTATGAAGGAGTTTCGAATGGCTGTCAACTTTTTGGTGACTATTGTACCCACATACCTACTGTGGGAAGTTTTGGCTAGCAACAGTCACAGAGGTTTTGTTAGAAAGGCACCCCGAGTATCCCAAAGTTATTAATTGGTTGCTAGGCATCACGCCTCATTTTGCTGCAGCATTAAATCCATTTTTATATATAACAATGACTCGTGATTTTCGCGTGTTTTTTCTTCGTTTGGTGTCATGCAAAAAACTACCGCGCGATCTTACTTTTGACGTTGGCTCCAAACGAAAGTGCTCACTCTCCATGCGAAGTTCGTTGATCTCAACGCGAAGTTCTTCTGTTTCAACCCGAAGCTGTTCCATCACGCATGGAATACCTATCAACGATATGGTCATCGCTGAAGATTTTGTTAAAATGTTTTAACTGTAGAAGGTAATGCATTGAATAGTGAGAATCTGTCGACAGATCTTAGCTGTGTGACGTCATCAATTTCCGAGAAAGACCTTGTTCGCAAAGAACTTCGAAATGAAACGAATTATCTCACTACGGAAATGTAAAGCAATTTATTTTCTGAATACCGTAAATGATCCAATAAACGTTTCCCTATCAAATAAATGGTGACTTTTCATTAAACGCCACTATCTATAGTAATCTCCGTATCCGATAAACACCTCCCCACTCGTTCCCCAATGAACCTCTAGAATTTATCAAATACCCCGGGCGTTTATTGGATGATTTACGGTAATTTACCATCAGTCTTGTCAATGTTAGTTTTCATGTAGAATAATATAAAATAAAATGTGCCTGCAATTGCTGAATTAGTTGGTGTCGTCATGAGAAAGGTGAAGTTACGTATAAAAAATTACATTATAAAAATTTACTTGACTGTAATTTTTTACTGTTCCCAATGACTCCTAGCTGCACGCATTTTTTTGTTATTGTGATGTTTTGAATATTCAATACAATACAAGGGTAACACACTCTCGTCTCGATAAAAATTCCGTAGTCTGTAGTTAGGTTTTAGATGTAAACAGCTCAATAGATATTTTTTTGATGAAAAATATTTGAAATTTTAATAACTTGCAGAAACAGGAAACATTCCTTACCTATGCCACAACTATTATACTTTAACTGGATGCTGACAAACAGAGAAATGTGTTGACTATGTCTAATTAATAATCAATAATGTAGTTAATTATTCATTTGAATTTGTTAATTGATCTTAAAGAAAAAATCAAAAAATGTTTCGCACATTATGTCGTAACTAATCACATCATCATTTAGAAATTTCATAAGTATTTGTATTTGAATACCTCTATTACTGCCATCAATGTGAACACTAGCATGCATGGTGCAAATCAATCTGTGAAAATAAGCAAAAACAACGCTCCAAAACTAACCGATTTTTTATCAAATTGGCTTTCTTTACTCAATCAAGTACAGAATACGATCAGTGTGGGCGCAAAAGCGCGGGAAAAAGTAATCACGTGACATGTAAACACATTACTGACATTTGAGGGAAGGAGAGTGCCAAGTGTTCATGAACGAAATTTAAACGTTTAAACCATAAACAGTCTCTAACATAAAGAGGAAAATGGCCGTGAGTTTACTTAATTTCATATATGTAGATTTTTGTTACTGTTTGGGTGCTTTTGAAACGGAAACATGTTTTTGCAGTGAGTATTTAAATGCCAATTTGCCAATGCGGTAATGGCCACGAGGTCAACGACTAAAAATTTAAGTAGCAAAAGCAGACTTTGCTGTTTGATGTTTTGCTGTATGACTCTCACTATTTGAGCGTATTTTTGCTTTGAATTACCAAAAATGTACATATAAACACTTCTGTCGATGAAGCGAGCTCATTTATTGTTTCTTTTGTTTTAGTTGACATTGTACATAAATACACTGTTCATGTTTACGTTAACATTGAGCCAAAGTCTTGGCATATTGTGCGTAATCATAAGTTTCGGTGGTGTACCATGTTGAAAGAACTGGTTTTGCAATACGAAAAAAACGTACTGCGAAAAACATCTTGTAAACCCAAAGAAACGAAAATATAGCATTAATCTTGAGTTTACAATGCCTTGTATTGGCTTACGAAATGAGTCAAACTTGCTTATCATACCAACTGTATATTTGTGTAAAACCACAGTCCGAAGACATATGTAGCTCTTTTACATGATGCTGTCAGTTTTTGTTAGACATGGAAATCAGAAGATATTTTTACAAGTCTATGTTGAATCAAGTTCTCTCATTCAAGATTAGGTCCAAACACAATACTTATCAATATCTTATAATTTATAAAAGGACGAAACATCCAGCAGTAATGGAGTGCCCACAAGCCCTATAAGAGGATCAGATCGTACTGATGCATTAACATCTAGTCCGGCTCATAATTTGCCTCCATTTGAGGATGAGTCCGATGCTATTTTGGGCAATGATGTCAGTGCTGCTGAAGAGGAAGCTGATGATGGGATAGACCTGATGGGGGATAACATGGAAGAGTGAGTATAATAGTGGTCGTATGATGATATTAAATTCAATTGTCAATATGCATGTTGAAATAGAGAAAGCACACAAAGGCATGGTATACTAGCAGATCCGAGTAGCATTACAGGAAGCTTGAGTATATTAGGCATGGTATAGTTGCACATTGGGATATAACAGCAGGCTAGGATAGCTGTGAGAGTTAGTGTAGTAACTGGCTTGGATATCAGCTGGCTTGTTATTGTAGTAGACCTGATATTATAGATTACTTGGTAAAGGTCAAATATAGCTTTCTATATTTCGTTACACATTTGCTGCCTATACGTACCTATGCTCATACGTACCTATGCTCATACGTACCTATGCTATGTTCTCCCTGGAAACAAATGTAAGAAAGTGATGAAGACTTGCCATTTTTTTGTCTAGGGACTACCGAGCAATACCACGGTTAGATGTGTATGATGAAACAGCAGTTGATGATGAGGATTATGATGAAATGGATATAGGGGCACGTCGTGAGGCGGAGAAAGTCATGGGGAAGAGAGATAGAGAAGAAGCTGCATTGACTGGACGGCTAAGACGCGATCTTCTTTATGGTTAATGTTGTTTTAAGATGTTCTTATTGAGTGAGTGCTCATTCAGTATAATGAACAGAATTTGTCGTGATTTCAGATGAAACAGATGAGGAAGATGATTTGCCCCGTCCATCACGAAGACGTCGTCTTGCAGAGCAGGCCGCCCGTGGTGATATGGATATGCTCGAGGATATGGTGGAAAGTATAGAGAACCTAGAGGATATGAAGGGACATTCTGTTCGTGAGTGGGTATGTCTACAAGCACCAAGACTTGAAATAAAGAACAGATTTAAACAATTTCTAAAGACTTTCGTTGATGAACATGGAAAGAGTGTATATCGTAACAAAATTAAGATGATGTGTGAAGGTACATATGATGACGCATGTAGTATTTGGGCAGTTTATTAGTTTGCTATATATGATAAAATGTGTGTATTTTGTAGTGTTTTTTAAGTCATTGCCACAATATGATAACATTATCAAGACCTTTGCAAACTATATTTGTACATGTTTTTTGCATGCATAGTACATAGATGATAGATTTATAAGCATCAAGGAACATTCATGTTTATCAAAGGCAGTAGATGTAGATCATCAAGATTAGTGGAGTCCTAAGAAAGACTGTTGGTGTTGGTCTTGACTTATGTTCAACTACCTTATTGGTAGCCATTTGACTCTGAAGATGACTGCCGCTTAGGATGTTGGAATGTCAGTCAGCACCAATGCCTGTAATTCCAACAGTCCTTCTCAGGGCTCCACTAACCTGGACGATCAATGTACATCGACAAACATGTAATGATATTCCTGGTTTCAAACCATTTACTTTAAAAGACAGCTCTAAGTTTAAACATGCTATAGCAGTTGCCAGATAAATGCTTTCAAAAACCATTGCATCATAAATCTTTTTCTTTAGGAAATCTTCAAAGTCTTGTCATTGATTACAATGTTCTAGCCTGTGAACAACAGCTGCAGGTGTTGGCATATTTTCTACCCGAAGCACCTGCTGAAATGTTAAAGATATTTGATGAGGCAGCAAAAGAAGTTGTTTTATCAATGTACGAAAAGTATTATCAGATAGCAAGCGAGATACATGTGCGAATAGCCGAACTTCCTTTAATGGAAGAAATACGCTCACTAAGGTAATTTTATAAATACTTATTAATACAACTCACGGATGGCCAGCCCTTGTGGTCATTGTGATGTTTTATTTTACAATTATCTCACAAAAACTTGAGTGACTTATAATGTGGTGTTAATAATTTATCTCAGAGAATGAGTGACAGTAAGGTTTTGTTTGATGAACGTATGATATCTTTGTTTTATAGACAGCTGCATTTAAACCAACTTATCAGGACAAGTGGAGTTGTATCAAGCAGTACTGGTGTTCTTCCCCAGCTCAGTATGATAAAGTATGACTGTATGAAATGTAAGTTTGTCCTCGGTCCTTTTATCCAATCACAAAATCAGGAAGTAAAACCTGGCAGTTGTCCTGAATGTCAGTCACATGGTCCATTTGAAATAAACATGGAACAGGTACGAGTACTTACTAGCCCCAGTCCTTTTATGCTCAGTTAAACATAGGAAACCATTACCAGTCACATGGTCCATTTGAAATAAACATGGAATAGGTATGAGTAGTTACTAGCCCCAGTCCTTTTATGCTCAGTTAAACATAGGAAACCATTACCAGTCACATGGTCCATTTGAAATAAACATGGAATAGGTATGAGTAGTTACTAGCCCCAGTCCTTTTATGCTCAGTTAAACATAGGAAACCATTACCAGTCAACAATTTTTATTTAGTACAATGTGAAACATATCCGAATTAAAAGTACATGTTTACCTCAATATCTGAGAAATAAACAAGACAATTTTTTATTTTAACAGTGATGTTTCAAATTTATTGCAAATTCATCATCTGACTAGGGCAAACATGGGAAAGCGGGAGATTTTTTACATGGGCTTAGCATGAGTTGACAATTTACTTACATAGAGAGGAAATGTTTTGGTAAAGACTGTTGCTAGGTCTGGTTTTGTAAGGCATTCTCTGGAAAACGGTATTACTGACGATATTTGTCATGCTTCTGGCTTTTTATTACAAGAAACTTTCGAAAAATGTCAATTTCAGAATATTAAAATGGTTATTTATTAGCTTCGTACGTAGGACTTGTCTTGTTCTGTTACCTTTCTGGCAGAATGAACTATGAAAGATGTCTAACTGAAAATCATAAATTACTTACATCAATATGATCTGATTTTGTAGGCTTTAGTTTACATTTTTACCTTCTGAATCCCTTCTTCTACAAGATATTTACAAAGCAACCACTATGTTCGTATTTTGGTATTTCAAATTTTTTTTTAAAAAAGGTTGAATGTTTTCCAGACCGTCTATCAAAACTATCAACGAATCAAGATCCAAGAAAGTCCCAGTAAAGTTGCAGCTGGTCGCCTGCCTCGTTCCAAGGATGTTATTTTATTGGGTGATCTTGTTGACTCGTGCAAAGCTGGCGATGAAATTGTAAGTCAATGTGAAAAAATTGATATTGTTTTTTACAATGTATAATGATATTCGTGTCTTTTTTTGTTTGACAAGTTTTTTCTTGTCTTTGATTCGTGGGAATAATTTATTGTTTTCTACAAATGGCTGTTCCATTGAAATATCACTAGGAGCAAGAATGTTTATCGCTCATTTTGTCATAAAAATAATGGTTCCTTTTAAAAATGATATCAACAACTGTCGATGATACTTGGTTTATATTTCATTAAAGGATTTGACTGGAATATACCACAACAACTATGATGGTTCGTTAAACATCGCTCATGGTTTCCCTGTGTTCGCAACGGTCATTGAAGCCAATCACATCTCGAAGCAAGAGGACAAACTGGCCATTACAAGTCTCACGGATGAAGACGTGAAGGAAATTATGGCTTTATCGAAAGATCCAAAGATTGGTGATAGGGTAAGGATCATTGGTGATAGTGTAAGGATCATTGATGATAGTGAAAGATCAGATCAGTGGTGAGAGTGTAAGGATCATTTGTGACTGTGTAAAGATCATTGGTGATAATATGAGGATCATTGGTGATAGTGTAAGGATCAGTGGTGAGAGCGTAAGGATCAGATCAGTGGTGAGAGTGTAAGGATCAGATCAGTGGTGAGAGCGTAAGGATCAGATCAGTGGTGAGAGTGTAAGGATCAGATCAGTGGTGAGAGTGTAAGGATCATTTGTGACTGTGTAAAGATCATTGGTGATAATATGAGGATGATTGGTGATAGTGCAAGGATCAATGATGATCGGGTAACGGTCATTGGTGATAGTGTAAGGACCATCGGTGATGGTGCAATGATCAATGATGATCGGGTGACGATCACTGGTGATAGTGAAAGGATTATTGGTGATAGTGAAAGGATTATTGGTGATAGTGAAAGGATTATTGGTGATAGTGAAAGGATTATTGGTGATAGTGAAAGGATTATTGGTGATAGTGAAAGGATTATTGGTGATAGTGAAAGGATTATTGGTGATAGTGAAAGGATTATTGGTGATAGTGAAAGGATTATTGGTGATAGTGAAAGGATTATTGGTGATAGTGAAAGGGTTATTGGTGATAGTGAAAGGATTATTGGTGATAGTGAAAGGATTATTGGTGATAGTGTAAGGATTATTGGTGATAGTATAGTAAAGATCGTTGGTGACAACATAAGGAATGTTTGTCATAGTGTAAAAAGCGTTGTTGTAGTTATGCGAATCTATTTTGATAGTGTAAGAATTCTTTGTGATTGTGTAAAGAGCATTGCTTTAAATCTTGACATGCGAGTTATTTTTAAAGGCAGTGCTCATTACATTCTTTTGTTTTCTCGCTCTTCCTGATGAATGTATGCGTGTGATTTACGTCATATTGACAATAGACATGCCAGCATTTTGTGATCTTTTGTATGCTTAAATGTAAAAGAATAGTTTGCTTATTTTATTCTTTAGTTTGTAGTCTTATTTTCATCGTTGTAGCGTGCGTTTGTTTTATTGTTGTTTAGATAATTGCAAGTATAGCACCGTCTATTTATGGCCATGACGATATAAAGAGAGCAATAGCGCTTTCCTTGTTTGGTGGGGAAGCAAAGGATCCCGGTGGTAAACACAAGATACGTGGGGATATTAATATACTTCTGTGTGGCGATCCAGGCACAGCAAAATCTCAATTCTTAAAATACGTGGAAAAAACTGCTCCTCGTTCGGTGTTTACGACTGGTCAGGGTGCTTCTGCTGTTGGACTTACGGCCTACGTTCAAAGACATCCAGTTACAAAAGAATGGACTTTAGAAGCTGGTGCTCTTGTATTGGCTGACAGGGGAGTTTGTCTTATTGATGAGTTTGATAAGGTAAAATTGTTTGTTTATTGTAAGGAGTGCCTGTTTGTCAACGGGAAAGTTTGTTTTGAGAAAATAATTAATCACTCTGCAAATTATGAATGTTTCCCTAGACGTTGCGTGATTGATAGAATGGTTAGATTACAGATAACCCGTCCACATTTCATTCATGGCTTTTGTTTTGTAATGCAATGATGTCGTTAGACTTTCGCCCAGTCTTTTTAACCGTCTCCTTTATATCACTTCACACATTTTTTATGGAGTGCAGGGGCTCGATGGTAGATCTAATTCATGCCTCCGAGTAGAACTGTTCTCGCCCAGTCTTTTTAACCGTCTCCTTTATATCACTTCACACATTTTTTATGGAGTGCAGGGGCTCGATGGTAGATCTAATTCACGCCTCCGAGTAGAACTGTTCTCGCCCAGTCTTTTTCACCGTCTCCTTCATATGATTTCACACATTTTTTATGGAGTGCAGGGGCTCGATGGTAGATCTAATTCATGCCTCCGAGTAGAACTGTTCTCGCCCAGTCTTTTTCGCCGTCTCCTTTATATCACTTCACACATTTTTTATGGAGTGCAGGGGCTCGATGGTAGATCTAATTCATGCCTCCGAGTAGAACTGTTCTCGCCCAGTCTTTTCACCGTCTCCTTCATATGATTTCACACATTTTTATGGAGTGCAGGGGCTCGATGGTAGATCTAATTCATGCCTCCGAGTAGAACTGTTTTCGCCCAGTCTTTTTCGCCGTCTCCTTCATATGATTTCACACATTTTTTATGGAGTGCAGGGGCTCGATGGTAGATCTAATTCATGCCTCCGAGTAGAACTGTTCTCGCCCAGTCTTTTTCACCGTCTCCTTCATATGATTTCACACATTTTTTTATGGAGTGCAGGGGCTCGATGGTAGATCTAATTCATGCCTCCGAGTAGAACTGCTCTCGCCCAGTCTTTTCACCGTCTCCTTCATATGATTTCACACATTTTTATGGAGTGCAGGGGCTCGATGGTAGATCTAATTCATGCCTCCGAGTAGAACTGTTCTCGCCCAGTCTTTTTCACCGTCTCCTTCATATGATTTCACACATTTTTTATGGAGTGCAGGGGCTCGATGGTAGATCTAATTCATGCCTCCGAGTAGAACTGCTCTCGCCCAGTCTTTTTCACCGTCTCCTTCATATGATTTCACACATTTTTTTATGGAGTGCAGGGGCTCGATGGTAGATCTAATTCATGCCTCCGAGTAGAACTGTTCTCGCCCAGTCTTTTTCGCCGTCTCCTTCATATGATTTCACACATTTTTTATGGAGTGCAGGGGCTCGATGGTAGATCTAATTCATGCCTCCGAGTAGAACTGTTCTCGCCCAGTCTTTTCACCGTCTCCTTCATATGATTTCACACATTTTTATGGAGTGCAGGGGCTCGATGGTAGATCTAATTCATGCCTCCGAGTAGAACTGTTCTCGCCCAGTCTTTTCACCGTCTCCTTCATATGATTTCACACATTTTTATGGAGTGCAGGGGCTCGATGGTAGATCTAATTCATGCCTCCGAGTAGAACTGTTCTCGCCCAGTCTTTTCGCCGTCTCCTTCATATGATTTCACATTTTTTATGGAGTGCAGGGGCTCGATGGTAGATCTAATTCACGCCTCCGAGTAGAACTGTTCTCGCCCAGTCTTTTCACCGTCTCCTTCATATGATTTCAAACATTTTTTATGGAGTGCAGGGGCTCGATGGTAGATCTAATTCATGCCTCCGAGTAGAACTGTTCTCGCCCAGTCTTTTCACCGTCTCCTTCATATGATTTCACACATTTTTTATGGAGTGCAGGGGCTCGATGGTAGATCTAATTCATGCCTCCGAGTAGAACTGTTCTCGCCCAGTCTTTTTCACCGTCTCCTTCATATGATTTCACACATTTTTTATGGAGTGCAGGGGCTCGATGGTAGATGTAATTCGTGCCTCCGAGTAGAACTGTTCTTTTTTAAAACGTATGTCTGTTTTTAATTACTGTCGATGATGAGAAATATCTTTTTGTTTTTCTCAGATGAATGACGCCGATCGAACGAGTATACATGAAGCGATGGAACAGCAAAGTATTTCAATATCTAAGGCTGGTATTGTGACTTCTCTTCAGGTATGTTGTATTTACCTCATTTTATACAGAAAATATCACATGTTTCCTAATCCACCACTGTCACAAATTAATAACACTAAAATTGCAACACAACTACATACCAAACACAAAATCTAACACCAATCATACCATTCCACCTGTGAATATCCACATAATACGCCTTATCCTATGTCATGCCATTCCACCTGTGAATACCCACATAATACGCCTTATCCTATGTCATGCCATTCCACCTGTGAATACCCACATAATACGCCTTATCCTATGTCATGCCATTCTACCTGTGAGTACCCACATAATACACCATATGCTCATGCAAAGCTGAAAGCTTACTTTCACAATACCTGCGTCGCATTTCTTTAGTATCAAAGCAAACAACTCGCACCAAACTTTTCATTGCTCGCTAAAATTTTAAATTCTTCCCACAAACATTTGAAGGGAACGAGACAAAAAAATTTTGAGATAAGATGTCGCACAATAATATGTTGTAGATTTAAGTCGTCCAAGTTAGGGCAGTTATAAGAAGAACTGTTGGTGTTGAGTCTGTTGACCGACGCGTTGCACTATCCTGGAGCTGGTTGCACGAAGCCTGGATAGCGTTATGCATTGGATAGCAAGTTTTTTAAGCTTTTATAAAATATTTTAAAAAGCGAAAAGTTTAAGATTTGAACTGAACAATCACTGAAATAAAATATTATTTCGAAAATTACGAAATTTCTTTGTCGTAAGAAAAATATTGTATAAACAAATTTTTTACAAGTTTGAAGGTTTTTGCTATCCAATGGATAACGCTATCCACGCTTCGTGCAACCGGTACCAGGATGATAAACATCAACAAACATGTAACAATACGCCCAGATTTAAACATCCAATTTATGTCCGTCGATTGATAAATGATTCAGTGGATTTTTTGTGGTCACTTTTCCAGGCACGTTGTTCCATCATCGCTGCAGCTAATCCCATTGGTGGTCGTTACGATCCGTCTATGAATTTTTCAGAAAACGTAAGATCTCAACATAACTACGAGCATGTATCAGATAGAGAGCATGGAAAATATTGCTTCGCTTGTAATGAATTTCTTTGGTTTGTTTTAGGTCGATTTGAGTGAACCCATTCTTTCTAGATTTGACATTCTTTGTGTCGTAAGAGATCTCGTTGATCCAATTCAGGTACACTTTTTAAAGTTGTAGTATATTCTTTTTGAACTCTAATTGGTTACAATGCACTTTTTAATAGGTTAAAGTATAGAATTTTGTATGTTTTGATTTCGTATAGTATTTTGTTGGGTAGGAAATTAGTTTTGATGAATTTGGTTGCATATTAAACGACAGATTTTAAGTTGTTGAAATTCCTACCAGTTTATTTTTTATACTTGCTCAAAAATCATAAACTTCACTTGGAGTATGGAGTTTACCAATAGTAGCTTGCAATGCATGTGGTGTCTCAACTGCACTATGATAGAGCTTAGACTTACTTGTGAACGTTTTCATGGTTTAATGCAGGCTCAACTTGCAAGTATTCAATGCAGGTAATTTTTTGCAGGACGAGCTTCTCGCAAAATTTGTTGTTCGAAGTCATGTAAAACATCATCCTAACGAAAAACAACAAGGCGAAAATAACAACGAAGAAATTGAAATGGTATGCTTCATATTGAAACGATAATGAATAATATCATACAGTAGACATTGTCTCGGATGATCTGTAATGGAGACAGGGAGGGGTGGGTAAGGCAATATGGAAATAAGTTAAAGCTAGTTGCCGCGTATTTTCAAGCCCTGTCAATCATGATTACATTCAACATTTTTTTTCGCAATGATGTAGGTTTTAATTTCATGATTCAGCTTTTCTGTATTATTTAACAGGAATCAAGTCCGACCACAGGAGTCGATCTTTTGTCACAGGAAATGTTGAAGAAGTATATTATTTACGCGAAAGATAAAATACATCCAAAGTTGAATAATATGGATCAAGATAAAATAGCGAGAATGTTTGCTGACTTGAGACGCGAATCTATGGTAATTATTGTAGTGGTTTTAGATTTATGTAGTTGAAATTATGGTATATATAACTATAAATTGGTGAGTATTTCTTTATATAAACTACGTATGGTATATGTAGTTATGTATGGGAATTATTTATTGTCCATTCTTAGTTAACACACACTAAAAGTAAGACTTGTTTTTAGGCTACCGGCAGTGTTCCAATCACTGTACGTCATATCGAGTCAATGATCCGAATGGCTGAAGCAAACGCTAAGATGCATTTACGTGATTATATATGTGATGAAGATGTAAATATGGCTATCAGAGTCATTTTGGAAAGTTTCATTGATACACAAAAATATTCTGTGATGAGAAACATGCGCAAGGTAAGAGTGAGGAACATCGACATCATTAAAATGTTTTGTTTGATGTTTCTTTAATTTTCATTGTTTATGGTAAATGTATTTGCTGTAAGATAAGTGTTGTTGCATCTCTAATGATCTTGTTGGATCACTTGGATGTTTAATGATCTTGTTGGATCACTTGGATGTTTAATGATCTTGTTGGATCACTTGGATGTTTAATGATCGTGTTGGATCACTTGGATGTTTAATGATCTTGTTGGATCACTTGGATGTTTGATGATCTTGTTGGATCACTTGGATGTTTGATGATCTTGTTGGATCACTTGGGTGTTTAATGAGGTTGTTGGATCACATGGGTGTTTGATGATCTTGTTGGATCTCTTGGTGTTTAATAATGTTGTTGGATCACTTGGGTGTTTGATGATGTTGTTGGATCACTTAGGTGTTTAATGATGTTGTTGGATCACTTGGGTGTTTGATGATCTTGTTGGATCTCTTGGGTGTTTAATGATGTTGTTGGATCACTTGGGTGTTTGATGATGTTGTTGGATCACTTGGGTGTTTAATGATGTTGTTGGATCACTTGGGTGTTTGATGATCTTGTTGGATCTCTTGGGTGTTTAATGATGTTGTTGGATCACTTGGGTGTTTGATGATGTTGTTGGATCACTTGGGTGTTTAATGATGTTGTTGGATCACTTGGGTGTTTAATGATGTTGTTGGATCACTTGGGTGTTTAATGATGTTGTTGGATCACTTGGGTGTTTAATGATGTTGTTGGATCACTTGGGTGTTTAATGATGTTGTTGGATCACTTGGGTGTTTAATGATGTTGTTGGATCACTTAGGTGTTTAATGATGTTGTTGGATCACTTGGGTGTTTAATGATGTTGTTGGATCACTTGGGTGTTTAATGATGTTGTTGGATCACTTGGGTGTTTAATGATGTTGTTGGATCACTTAGGTGTTTAATGATGTTGTTGGATCACTTGGGTGTTTAATGATGTTGTTGGATCACTTAGGTGTTTAATGATGTTGTTGGATCACTTGGATGTTTGATGATCTTGTTGGATCACTAGGATGTTTGATGATCTTGTTGGATCACTTGGGTGTTTAATTATGTTGTTGGATCACTTGGGTGTTTGATGATCTTGTTGGATCTCTTGGGTGTTTAATGATGTTGTTGGATCACTTGGGTGTTTGATGATGTTGTTGGATCACTTGGGTGTTTAATGATGTTGTTGGATCACTTAGGTGTTTAATGATGTTGTTGGATCACCGTAATGTTAATTGTTTGTGCTGTATTGTTAATGATGTTGATGGATATTTAAGTATTGAAGTGTGAAGGTTGATCTTTGTTGATATCGATGAGTCATCATTAATGTAATAGTTATTATATGTAGGCTATTATGGAAGGTATGACAGTTTATGTAATTTTTTGTTTTATTTTTTTTTGATAGTCGTTTTCACAGTATTTATCGTTCAGTCGTGATAACAACGAGCTTCTTATATTTATTCTTAAACAACTGGTCCGCGATCAGATCACCTTTCACAGCAATCGTTATGGCGGTACGCCAGAAATGGTAGAAATATTAGAAGAGGAATTTCAAGATAAAGTAAGTGTTGATTTTTTAGCATAAAGTTCAGTATGATGTGTAGTTTGCATTAATGACTCGTTTGCAAAAATTATGTCGCATTGATAGTGATAACAATCCTTTTGTTGATAATGTTTTTTTGTTCTTACAGGCACGACAGATCAATGTAGACAATATTTCCAGTCTTTACGAGAGCGAAATGTTTGCTAAAAACAAGTTCGTTCATGACAAAAAACGTAAGCTTATTGTACAAATGTTATAGTTTACTTTGGATGTCTGTGTAAATAACTTTTTGTTCACGTGAACAACATGTGGTAAGATGCATTCAGTAAACTACGTACGATTGACTTTTTGTTCACGTGAACAACATGTGGTAAGATGCATTCAGTAAACTACGTACGATTGACTTTTTGTTCACGTGAACAACATGTGGTAAGATGCATTCAGTAAACTACGTACGATTGACTTTTTGTTCACGTGAACAACATGTGGTAAGATGCATTCAGTAAACTACGTACGATTGACTTTTTGTTCACGTGAACAACATGGGGTAAGATGCATTCAGTGAAGTACGTACGATTAACTTTTTGTTCACGTGAACAACATGTGGTAAGATGCATTCAGTAAACTACGTACGATTGACTTTTTGTTCACGTGAACAACATGTGGTAAGATGCATTCAGTGAAGTACGTACGATTGAAATGGGCAGAAAATATGAAATATTTTAATGTAAATATGTTTATTATAATGTTTTTGTGAAAGGAACTTGTAGTTTTGTGTTTTATTTTTAATTGTTTGGTAAAATAATTGTTATTCTTCGTGTTTGTGGTGTTTGTCTTGGTGGTGGTGATGTTAGTGTTGGTATCGTTGGTGTTGTTGATCTTTTTCGTGTTTTTCTTGGTGGTGGTGATGTTAGTGTTGGTATCGTTGTTGTCGTTGATCCTTTTCGTGTTTTTCTTGGTGGTGGTGATGTTAGTGTTGGTATCGTTGTTGTTGTTGATCTTTTCGTGTTTTCTTGGTGGTGGTGATGTTAGTGTTGGTATCGTTGTTGTTGATCTTTTTCGTGTTTTTCTTGGTGGTGGTGATGTTAGTGTTGGTATCGTTGTTGTTGTTGATCTTTTTCGTGTTTTTCTTGGTGGTGGTGATGTTAGTGTTGGTATCGTTGTTGTTGTTGATCTTTTTCGTGTTTTTCTTGGTGGTGGTGATGATAGTGTTGGTATCGTTGTTGTTGTTGGTCTTTTTCGTGTTTGTGGTGGTGATGTTAGTGTTGGTATCGTTGTTGTTGTTGGTCTTTTTCGTGTTTGTGTTGGTGGTGTTGATGTTAGTGTTTGTGGTGTTAGTGTTTGTAGTAGTGGTGGTAGTGTTTGTGGTGCTTGTGGTGGTAGTAGTGGTGGTAGTGTTTGTGGTGGTAGTGTTGGTGTTGATGGTGTTTGTGGTGGTAGTGTTTGTAGTGGTAGTGATTATGGTGGTAGTGTTGATGGTGTTTGTGGTGGTAGTGTTTGTGGTGGTGGTGCTTATGATGGTAGTGTTTGTGGTTGTAGTGTTAGTAGTGGTTGTGTTTTTGGTGGTTTGTGGTGGTAGTGTTAGTAGTGGTTGTGTTTTTGGTGGTGGTGGTGTTTGTGGTGGTGATGTTGGTAGTGTTAGTATTGACGGTGTTGGGGTTGATGGTGTTGGTTTTGGTAATGTTTGTGGTGGTGATGTTAAAGTCCTTCGTGAACTTTGTGAACATGTCGATGACCGTGGAAACACAATTGGAGAACCTTCTGTTTCACAAGGTAGGATGTTTTTAAATATTACTTTTGAAGCTTAATTTTTCAAATAGTATAACTCCATATTGATCATACTACAAGTACTACAAAATGCTTTATTTGTCTAGAAACAGAGTGTACTTTGAAAAGAATTACGTGTTCGTAAAGAAATGTAAGTTTTCAAAGCGACATGTTTTGTATTTCCCTTACGGTCTAAGATATTTCCACCGTTTGTGAAATCCCACAATTTACAAACAATACGTCATTAAATTATAGTGATATTTTTTTAAGAACAAAAAAATGGTTCTCACTTCTCAGCGCAAAGATTTTCAAAGAAATTATCGCTAACACAATTTGATTATATATATTGATTTTTTTTCTGCAAAGATTTCTGTAAACAAAAAACTCATCCTTAAAATGTTCTTAAACGTGTCAATTTTAAGAGAAAATTAGGACAAAAGTTATTTCAAATGTTTACACAGAGTATATATTTTTTTATATTATGAACTGACACAAAAGAAACGTCCTTCAATACGTATACTTAATATAATTGTACATATGTCATTTATTTCAGGTTCAAAGCGCGAAAAGATCTTAGACGAACAATCCTTTTTGGAAGTTTTGCAAGTAAAATGTTGAATGTCTGTCTCATTTAAACAGGTACCGTTAAATGATTCACAATGGTGAGTTGTGTTTAGTGTCATTAAATTAAAGCACTCTGCTGTGAACTTTCAAATGAAACCATCTAACTTATAATTGCATGATGTCATCACAGAAAACTTACAATAAAGCTAAATAACCTTAAAACATGAATATTTATTTCTCGAACATTAACGCCTATAACATAGCTTATATTTACTGTTCTTTTTACTTGACGTCGTAATCAAATGTTGGCTGTACGAATGAAAATTAATTCATCAAGTTTTCTCGTTTAAAGAAGCACTTGTATTTCCGCCATTTTATTGTTGTTTTGATAACTGGGAGGAATGTTAAAACGCTTTGTAAAAGCATTTGAAAAGAAAAGATGTATTTGTTATTGTGTTTCGTGGCTTTTGGTGTCCTAAAGTAAAGAACTATATCCACAGACGCGATGTAATCGGCACATTCATAATGAGGAATTTGTGCAAATATATTGTGCGAAAGATCATCCACGCAAATGATAATTGATAGTAATTTATTAAAAATTGATGAGATGATAAAATAACATGTTTCGACAATCCAAAGAAAAGAAAGGTCCACTTGCTATGCACATTTATATTAGCTCAAGATTCCATATTTTCGTGTTCATACGGAAGTTGCTTTCACATCAAACAACTATAAGGGCAACGAGCACACTTTATAATGGATATGAGCGTTTTTAACTTGTGGATACTCGTTGCCATCAACATCGTATTTTTCTTTGTCGGCACAGTGCTAAATGTTCTTGTAATTATAGTGTTTTGGCGTTCGACATACTTGCGGAAGAAATTGTGTTATTTCATGATTATGGTGTTGTCTTGTTGTGACTTGATAACTGTGCTATTGAATAATCCTGTTTTGGTAGTCATCGCTGCACTTTTCATCAAAAATAAAGATAACATATTTTCTCAATGGGAACGTATTATCCTCGAGATTGTATCGATAACTATTTCGTCTTCATTTTTGGCTTTGTTAGTCATGAACATTGATCGTTACTTGTCTGTATCAAAGCCATTATACCACAAGACGAACGTCACCAAACGAAAACTGCTCTTGCTGTTTATAGCACTACAATCAATAAATGTCATCATAGCTGTATTACACACAGAGGAGCTTGCTTATCCAAGAGAAATAAATGCTTTTATATTTATGGTTTTGTATCTGCCGCCGATGTTATTTATCAATTATAAACTCCTGCGGTTGTCAAGAAAATATCGCAAGTCTAATGTCAAAAATCGTGAGAAGAAGGCAACATCCACCTTGAAGCAAATTTCAATTTCTTTGATGGCATTTGCAGGTATAATTGTTTTTTCCATTCCTGTGCTCGTGTTCATCGTTTACAACATGTTTGTAACAGAAATCAAATGGAAAAACGTTGTCGAACTTTGGCTGAGGACAATTTTAACAATGAATTCGACGTTTAACTGCTTGATCTTTTTTTGGAAAAACACAATTTTACGAACAGAAGCATTTAAGATCGTTAAAACTATACTAGGGGTTCATTAAGTGCTTAATGTGAGCTTATAGTCTTTTAGTGTCCATGGATATTCTTCAAGATTATACAGTAAGATACAATATTTTGAAATATTCTTCCTATAAAACGTTTTTGTTTGTTTAACGTTAATTACTTAGCCTATTTGCACATGTACACTTAATGAAAATATTGTAGTATAATAATGCATGAACCATTCAAATTAGTAAACTGCTGTAAATGAAAAGTTCTTCATACCTAAATAAATGAAATATAGATAAAAAAAACTTACGTTAAAAATGTGAGATGTTGTGAAGACATGCGAGACTTTACTTTTAAAGAACTAATTCGTTACAAAAAGGTTAAACGAATACTCTTTGATAACTCATTGGAAGTGTAGTTTTAAAATATTTTCATAATTATCTTAGGATTAAAAATTGGGGAAAAAATATGTTTGTAGAAAGTAATTCCATGAAACGAAAAGGCAAGAAACCGTTTCATGAAAAAGCATAACTATAGTCTTCGTTAAGTCTTATCATTAAATGCGCGATGTGTTAATGCAAGAGAGAGTATCGTGAAAAAGATCAATTATAGGTATTTTGTTCCTTATTTTCAATAATCGACATAGGACATCTTGGAACATGTGAAAGTTTTTGTATGTTTTTTTCTTACAAGTTAGTTACGATTAGAAAAGTTGCGTCTTTGTTTCTTTACATGTGGAGTATCAAAATTCATCGTTAGTGTCTAGTTTTGCGTTTAATAAAATATTGTTCTTACATGGAAGGTGCTTTTAACCAATTCCTTGTTCGTACAATAAACGGCATGATAGACCCTTGCAATTTAAATTGACTAAGTAGAGTTTGACGTAAATGGCCTGATACTGATAGGTATCAGCTGTATAAACTGCGTTGTTTTAAATAGTTAAAATGTTTATGAAGTATAAAATACGTGAATGCTAACTAGGAATTGTTTTTTATTTTGAAAGATGTAGCGTAGCTATTTTTTACCCATGACTAATGCGTGTTGTACGACGGAACGTCGACAAACGGTATATGTAAAATTACATGGGCAGTAATTATTTTATGTCTATGTGTTGTAAGAATAATAGTGCGAGAAAGTTAACGGATGATTGAATTGTGCTTTATGTTTGCATTATTACGTAAGAAAAAGTTTATATGCATGGTTTTAGCAATCTCTCTGCACTTAAAAACTGTATTTTTATGAAAGGTAATATTATCTTAAAGCAATTGTCCATCTGGTTTGAAGCATGTTGTTAAAGATGGAAATCTGAATGGGAATAGAAAAAAAATTAAAATTACAAATTTAATGAACAGATGCTTTCTTCTAAGGAAGCTTTTTTTTTCTTCTGGGGATCTTTAGCATAAGACTTTGGGATATTTTATTGAGAAGTAATATTTTAAATGAAGATATGATCAAACACCGCACTGCATATAACAAGTAATATTTTATCAGTCTATTTTATTGACAACTATAATTTGCAGTTTGTATGAAAGAACTACATGATTTTTTTGTGCGAGAAAGACTTCTTTACCGAACATGTAGAAAATTAAGTAAACTTTAATGGAAAAGTAAATTTTTTAAGTTGTATATAGTACATTGATGATTGTCATAAGTGGTATAGTTGAGCAGGTGCGTCACTGAATAACTCTTAATTATTAGCGGAAGTTTAGGAAGATTGCGTTTTCGTCATAAAATACTTTCTATTGTGTTTTGCTGAGGTGTTGGCATATAGTTGAAACACGAATTTATCGTTAGACAATTTATACATTTGTTTCTTTGTGTGTGAGGAGAGCTATTGTTAATATACATGATGTATTTGTGTATTTATTTTTATCCTATTTGAAGAATGTTGCAAACGATGGAAGTGCAATAGAGAAGAAAATTAGATTTACAAATGTCATCATTAAAAAATGTCAAATTACAAATGTCATCGTTACGAAAATGCTACTTTACTAATAATTCTCATTTAAAGCAAAGGTTTGCCGAAATTTTTATAAAATAATATCATCTTCGGAAGACGATAAGGTTCCATGCTTTTGTAGTGAAAACTATATAAGGTAAAAAGATCTATATTTTCTACTGAGATCTAGCGGAAGTATCTTGCTGGAAGGCGTGTCTGCTTAGAATTTGCTTCAAAAAAGCAGGGAACAGTAACATCATAAGCTCCGACACAAGTGTACCTTCTGTTAAGATATTTATTCTGTAGTTTTTGCGTAAAAATTTGGGAAAATGCATGAATTATAGCTTTTTTCTAAAAATAAGTGAAAATGCATGAACATGTGTGAATTATAGTCTTTCTATAAAAATGTGTGAATTGTAGTCTTTGTGTGGAATCGTTAAAATGTGTAAAAATGTTTAATCGATTACACGCATTTTAAAGTTTCACTTTCACAAAGACTATAGTTCATGCATTTTCACACACATGGCTATAGTCTTTGCATTTTCACATGCCAACGACTATAGGCTGCATTTTTCATTAGTCATTTCCCACATTTTCATGTCAAAGACTATAGTGTTTGCATTTTCACATTTTCATGCCAAAGACTATAGTCCTGGCATTTTCACACACTTTCACAAGAAAGACTACAGTCTTTGCATTTTCACACTTTCACGCCAAAGACTATAGTTTTGCATTTTATACACTTTCACACAAAGATTACAGTCTTTGTATTGACACTTTACACCAAAGACTAGTCTTGAATTTTCACTTTCACACCAAAGACTATAGTCTTTACATTTTTACACATTTTCACGTTAAAGACTATAATCTTTGTTTTTCACACATTTTCATGCCAAAGACTATAGTCTTTGCATTTTGACACACTTTCCCACCAAAGACTATAGTCTTTGCATTTTTACACACTTTTACGCCAAAGACTATAGTCTTTGTATTTTTACACATTTTTACGCCAAAGACTATAGTCTTTGTATTTTTACACATTTTTACGCAATAGACTATAGTCTTTGTATTTTTACACATTTTTACGCAATAGACTATAGTCTTTACATTTTCATACACTTTCACACCAAAAACTATAGTCTGATGAGATAAGTTAACATGTTCCGACAATCCAAAGAAAAGAAAGCTCTAACGGCTGTTAAAAGGAAGTCGCTAAGTCCACCTGCTATGCACATTTATATTAGCTCAATATTCTATATTGACACACTTTCACACCAAAGACTATAGTCTTTGCATTTTTACACACTTTTACGCCAAAGACTATAGTCTTTGTATTTTTACACATTTTTACGCAATAGACTATAGTCTTTACATTTTCATACACTTTCACACCAAAAACTATAGTCTGATGAGATAAGTTAACATGTTCCGACAATCCAAAGAAAAGAAAGCTCTAACGGCTGTTAAACGGAAGTCGCTAAGTCCACCTGCTATGCACATTTATATTAGCTCAATATTCCATATGTTCGTGGTCATAACGAAGTTCCTTTTCCATCAAACAACTATAAGGGCAACGAGCACGCTATATAATGGATATGAGCGTTTTTAACTTGTGGATACTCGTTGCCATCAACATTGTATTTTTCTTTGTCGGCACAGTGCTAAATGTTCTTGTAATTATAGTGTTTTGGCGTTCGACATACTTGCGGAAGAAATTGTGTTATTTCATGATTATGGTGTTGTCTTGTTGTGACTTGTTAACTGTGCTATTGAATAATCCTGTTTTGGTAATCATCGCTGTACTATTCATCAAAAATAAAGATAACATATTTTCTCAATCGGAACGTATTACCCTCGCGATTGTATCGATAACTTTTACGTCTTCATTTTTGGCTTTGTTAGTCATGAACATTGATCGTTATTTGTCTGTATCAAAGCCATTATACCACAAGACGAACGTCAGCAAACGAAAACTGCTTTTGCTGTTTATAGCACTACAATCAATAAATGTCATCATAGCTGTATTACACGCAGAGGAGCTTGCTTATCCAAGAGAAATAAATGCTTTTATATTTATGGTTTTGTTTCTGGCGCCGATGTTATTTATCAATTATAAACTCCTGCGGTTGTCAAGAAAATATCGCAAGTCTAATGTGAAAAATCGTGAGAAGAAGGCAACATCTACCTTGAAGCAAATTTCAATTTGTTTGATGGCATTTGCAAGTATAACTGTTTTTTCCATTCCTGTGCTCGTGTTCAACGTTTACAACATGTTTGTAACAGAAATCAAATCGACAAACGTTGTCGAACTTTGGCTGCGGACAATTTTAACAATGAATTCGACGTTTAACTGCTTGATCTTTTTTTGGAAAAACAAAATTTTACGAACAGAAGCATTTAAGATCGTTAAAACTATACTAGGGGTTCCATTAAATGCTTAATGTGAGCTTATAGTCTTTTAGTGTCCAAGGATATTCTTCAAGATTATACAGTAAGATCCAATATTTTGAAATATTCTTCCTATAAAACGTTTTTGTTTGTTTAACGCTAATTACGTTTCATACTTAGCCTATTTGCACATGTAAATTTATTGAAAATATTGTAGTATAATAATGCATGAACCAATCAAATTAGTAAACTGTTATAAATGAAAAGTTCTTTATACTTACAATAAATGAAATATAGACAAAAAAAACTCCACTACTATAAAAATGTGAGATGTTATGAAGACATGCGAGACTTTACTTTTAAAGAACTAATTCGTTACAAAAGTTTAAACGAATACTCTTTGGTAACTGATTTGAAGTTTAGTTTTAAAATATTTTCATAATTATATTAGGATTAAAAATTGGGAAAAATATTTTGTAGAAAGTAATTCCATGAAACGAAAAGGCAAGAAACCGTTTCATTAAAAAGCATAACTATAGTCTTCGTTTCAGTCTTATCATTAAATGCGCGATGTGTTAATGCAAGAAAGAGTATCGTGAAAAAGATCAATTATAGGTATTTTGTTCCTTATTTTCAATAATCGACATTGGACATCTTGGAACATGTGAAAGTTTTTGTATGTTTTTTTCTTACAAGTCAGTTACGATTAGAAAAGTTGCGTCTTTGTTTCTTTGCATGTGGAGTATCAAAATTCATCGTTAGTGTATAGTTTTGCGTTTAATAAAACATTGTTCTTACATGGAAGGTGCTTTTAACCAATTCCTTGTTCGTACAATAAACGGCATGATAGACCCTTGCAATTTAAATTGACTAAGTAGAGTTTGACGTAAATGGCCTCATACTGATAGGTATCAGCTGTATAAATTGCGTTTTTTTAAATAGTTAATATGTTTATGAAGTATAAATACGTGAAAGCTAACTAGGAAATTGTTTTTTATTTTGAAAGATGTAGCTATTTTCTACCATGTACGATGGAACGTCGACAAACGGTATATGTAAAATTACATGGGCAGTAATTATTTTATGTCTATGTGTTGTAAGAATAATAGATGCGAGAAAGTTAATGGATGATTGAATTGTGCTTTATGTTTGCATTAGTATGCAAGAAAAAGTTTTTATGCATGGTTTTAAAGATCTTTCTGCACTTAAAAACTGTGTTTTTATGAGAGGTAATATTATCTTAAAGCAATTGTCCATCTGGTTTGAAGCATGTTGTTAAAGATGGAAATCTGAATGGGAATAGAAAAAAAATTAAAATTGCTAATTTAATGAAACAGATGCTTTCTTCTAAGGAAGCTTTTCTTTTCTTGTGGGGATCTTTAGCATAAGACTGCGATATTTTCTTAACAAGTAATATTTTAAATGAAGATATGATCAAACACCGCACTGCATATAACAAGTAATATTTTATCAGTCTTTTATTGACAACTATAATTTGCAGTTTGTATGAAAGAACTACATGATTTTTGGTGCTAGAAAGACTTCTTTACCGAACATGTAGAAAATTAAGAAAACTTTAATGGAACACTTTAATGGAAAAGTAAATATTTCAAGTTGTATATAGTATATTGATGATTGTCATAAGTCGTATAGTTGAGCAGGTGTGTCAAGGAAGAACTCTTAATTATTAGCGGAAGTTTAGGAAGATTGCGTTTTCGTCATAAAATACTTTCTGTTATGTTTTGCTAAGGTGTTGTCATATAGTTGAAACACGAATTTATCATTAGACAATTAATACATTTGTTTCTTTGTGTGTGAGGAGAGCTATTGTTAATATACATGATGTATTTGTGTATTTATTTTTATCCTGTTAGAAGCATGTTGCAAACGATGTGGAGGTTGAATAGAGAAGAAAATTTGATTTACAAATGTCATCATTACGAAAATGCTACTTTACTAACAATTCTCATTTAAAGCAAAAGTTTGCCGAAATTTTTATAAAACAATATCATCTTGGGAAGACGATAAGGTTCCATGCTTTTGTAGTGAAAACTATATAAGGTAAAAAGATCTATATTTTCTATTGAGATCTAGCGGAAGTATCTTGTTGGAAGGCGTGTCTCCTTAGAATTTGCTTCAAAAAAGCAGGGAACAGTAACATCAAAAGTTCCGACACAAGTGTACCTTCTGTTAGGACATCTATTCTGTGGTCTTTGCGTAAAAATTTGTGAAAATGAATGAATTATAGCTTTTTTCTAAAAATAGGTGAAAATGCATGAACATGTGTGAATTATAGTCTTTCTATAAAAATGTGTGAATTATAGTCTTTGTGTGGAATCGTTAAAATGTGTAAAAATGTTTAATCGATTACACGCATTTTCACAAAGTTTCACTTTTTTCACACAAAGACTATAGTTCATGCATTTTCACACACTTTCACACCAATGGCTATAGTCTTTGCATTTTCACACATCTTCATGCCAACGACTATAGGCTGCATTTTCACACATTTTCATTCCAAAGACTAAAGTCTTTGCATTTCCACACATTTTCATGTCAAAGACTATAGTGTTTGCATTTTCACACATTTTCATGCCAAAGACTATAGTCCTGGCATTTTCACACACTTTCACAAGAAAGACTACAGTCTTTGCATTTTCACACACTTTCACGCCAAAGACTATAGTTTTTGCATTTTTATACACTTTCACACAAAAGATTACAGTCTTTGTATTGACACACACTTTTACACCAAAGACTATAGTCTTTGAATTTTCACACTTTCACACCAAAGACTATAGTCTTTACATTTTTACACATTTTCACGTTAAAGACTATAATCTTTGTTTTTCACACATTTTCATGCCAAAGACTATAGTCTTTGCATTTTGACACACTTTCCCACCAAAGACTATAGTCTTTGCATTTTTACACACTTTTACGCCAAAGACTATAGTCTTTGTATTTTTACACATTTTTACGCCAAAGACTATAGTCTTTGTATTTTTACACATTTTTACGCAATAGACTATAGTCTTTGTATTTTTACACATTTTTACGCAATAGACTATAGTCTTTACATTTTCATACACTTTCACACCAAAAACTATAGTCTGATGAGATAAGTTAACATGTTCCGACAATCCAAAGAAAAGAAAGCTCTAACGGCTGTTAAACGGAAGTCGCTAAGTCCACCTGCTATGCACATTTATATTAGCTCAATATTCCATATGTTCGTGGTCATAACGAAGTTCCTTTCCAATCAAACAACTATAAGGGCAACGAGCACGCTATATAATGGATATGAGCGTTTTTAACTTGTGGATACTCGTTGCCATCAACATTGTATTTTTCTTTGTCGGCACAGTGCTAAATGTTCTTGTAATTATAGTGTTTTGGCGTTCGACATACTTGCGGAAGAAATTGTGTTATTTCATGATTATGGTGTTGTCTTGTTGTGACTTGTTAACTGTGCTATTGAATAATCCTGTTTTGGTAATCATCGCTGTACTATTCATCAAAAATAAAGATAACATATTTTCTCAATCGGAACGTATTACCCTCGATTGTATCGATAACTTTACGTCTTCATTTTTGGCTTTGTTAGTCATGAACATTGATCGTTATTTGTCTGTATCAAAGCCATTATACCACAAGACGAACGTCAGCAAACGAAAACTGCTTTTGCTGTTTATAGCACTACAATCAATAAATGTCATCATAGCTGTATTACACGCAGAGGAGCTTGCTTATCCAAGAGAAATAAATGCTTTTATATTTATGGTTTTGTTTCTGGCGCCGATGTTATTTATCAATTATAAACTCCTGCGGTTGTCAAGAAAATATCGCAAGTCTAATGTGAAAAATCGTGAGAAGAAGGCAACATCTACCTTGAAGCAAATTTCAATTTGTTTGATGGCATTTGCAAGTATAACTGTTTTTTCCATTCCTGTGCTCGTGTTCAACGTTTACAACATGTTTGTAACAGAAATCAAATCGACAAACGTTGTCGAACTTTGGCTGCGGACAATTTTAACAATGAATTCGACGTTTAACTGCTTGATCTTCTTTTGGAAAAACAAAATTTTACGAACAGAAGCATTTAAGATCGTTAAAACTATACTAGGGGTTCCATTAAATGCTTAATGTGAGCTTATAGTCTTTTAGTGTCCAAGGATATTCTTCAAGATTATACAGTAAGATCCAATATTTTGAAATATTCTTCCTATAAAACGTTTTTGTTTGTTTAACGCTAATTACGTTTCATACTTAGCCTATTTGCACATGTAAATTTATTGAAAATATTGTAGTATAATAATGCATGAACCAATCAAATTAGTAAACTGTTATAAATGAAAAGTTCTTTATACTTACAATAAATGAAATATAGACAAAAAAAACTCCACTACTATAAAAATGTGAGATGTTATGAAGACATGCGAGACTTTACTTTTAAAGAACTAATTCGTTACAAAAAGTTTAAACGAATACTCTTTGGTAACTGATTTGAAGTTTAGTTTTAAAATATTTTCATAATTATATTAGGATTAAAAATTGGGGAAAAATATTTTTGTAGAAAGTAATTCCATGAAACGAAAAGGCAAGAAACCGTTTCATTAAAAAGCATAACTATAGTCTTCGTTTCAGTCTTATCATTAAATGCGCGATGTGTTAATGCAAGAAAGAGTATCGTGAAAAAGATCAATTATAGGTATTTTGTTCCTTATTTTCAATAATCGACATTGGACATCTTGGAACATGTGAAAGTTTTTGTATGTTTTTTTCTTACAAGTCAGTTACGATTAGAAAAGTTGCGTCTTTGTTTCTTTGCATGTGGAGTATCAAAATTCATCGTTAGTGTATAGTTTTGCGTTTAATAAAACATTGTTCTTACATGGAAGGTGCTTTTAACCAATTCCTTGTTCGTACAATAAACGGCATGATAGACCCTTGCAATTTAAATTGACTAAGTAGAGTTTGACGTAAATGGCCTCATACTGATAGGTATCAGCTGTATAAATTGCGTTTTTTTAAATAGTTAATATGTTTATGAAGTATAAATACGTGAAAGCTAACTAGGAAATTGTTTTTTTATTTTGAAAGATGTAGCTATTTTCTACCATGTACGATGGAACGTCGACAAACGGTATATGTAAAATTACATGGGCAGTAATTATTTTATGTCTATGTGTTGTAAGAATAATAGATGCGAGAAAGTTAATGGATGATTGAATTGTGCTTTATGTTTGCATTAGTATGCAAGAAAAAGTTTTTATGCATGGTTTTAAAGATCTTTCTGCACTTAAAAACTGTGTTTTTATGAG